ACATCCCCCACACATGGCCAAGATTTGGGGTCTGAAACATTTACATCGAAACAATAAGACACTCTAAATTAACCGAGGAAGGACTGAATGAGAATAAGGGTGGATGTGGTATAGCAAGTTCAATCAGCGGGGACCAGAGAAACCATGAACCATGCCTTCGCCGACCTCTTTACCAACTCTAAATATGTAACCATACATTGGATAAGAATAATAGATACACATCCAATTAGTTTAGTCCCGTCTTCATGTTGTGCAAGTTCATGCTGTGTTCCTAAAAAAACATACCTGCGCCATCCTAGATTCCCAGACCAGACTAGCTTTCTGTGTAAATATGTACGATCGTCTCGATGACGGTGATCTTCTCCCCCTCCGTCTGTTTCACATTGCATTGTTTCACATCTGTTTTTAGAAACACCACGCGGGCGCGCAGGGATTAAACCTCGTGCATATGTACTTCCCCCCTCCCCACCCCCCATCTTGCCCGCTACTCCTGTAGGGCTTAGGGCCGCTGTTGGTATGTCCTGCGACGAATAGGCTAGGAGGCTCAACTGTTGGGATCGGCAATTGTTAGAGTAGATCCAGCGTTAACAGAGGACTGAATTAGAATAGTCTAGATATAGCCTTTTTTGTGATTTCCAACTGCGCCTGGGATGTCTTGTCGCTTCTTTCAGTGTTGGTTTATTCTTGGAAATGTTTTGGTTTTCGGTATTAAACTGCGAAACTGGGGAAATACCAACGTTTTGGGGGGTAGATTTGCCACTCTGGAAACTGTCTTTGGCCCCCAGATGATCTGAGCACGAATAACATCAAAGTAAATATTGGAGTTGGAAGTACAAAATAACGTTGTCAATGTAAGTCGGGGGGTTCCAGGGTTCTGTTCGAGTCAACCACGGGCGACTGACCGGAACCCGGACTAGTTCCATGTTTATCATTGTTTTAATATTTGGCTTAACCTCATTTCCACACGCCAACATTGGCGCATTGGGTATATCTTCTCAACCAATCTTGGAGGGGTAGCGTAAAGACTGATAAGAGCCTCTTTGATCACCGTGCTTTTAATTTCCATACGGCAGGCCTAAAAGGGGAACCTTCGGGGTCGCCGGATTACCCTCCTTTTTGGCATATACGTTATACCGGTTGTAGCGCCAATATCCCATCCAACGTCTCTAAACGGGAACACAGCCATCCCGATGCCATGGCAATGGCTGGAGTGGATAGTTATTGGCTACTCTAATCATCCTTGAGTGAAAAGAAGAGCCTGGAATGTCAGACTCAAATGCTTGGCTTTACGTGTGTTTTTGAGTGTTTCAGCATTTCAGTAGAAATATCCAAGAAGTTGGGGGCCAAAAGCGGGAAATCAGGGAGAGCAGATCTAGTAAATGATTGGGTACAGTAGAATAACTCCATCACACGTGTGAATGCCTGACAGCCTTAATCAACGACCACTCCTCGGTGCTGACTGGCCAATGCGCTCGAGGACGTTTTGGGTGTATGTTTGACGTGGACGTTGAAAATTGACAATCTAGGTAGTCATATGTTACATTTACAAATCCCTGTAGCCACTCACCATTAAACAAATTATGGCTAACAGAAGTAAACCTGCAATTATTAACTCATTGCCCGGGTAGGTACATATGTCAAACCCGGGCGTAAGGCAAATGCTAGGATGCCGACCGCTAGTTTAACTAGGCCAAGGATCTCACACCCGCAAAACCAGGGCAAAACAATCGGTCAACCCAACACACGGGCCGGAGATGACCTCATTCCCCCAGTTTAGCACAATCTAGAATTTAGACTGTGCATACATGAGTTTAACTAGGATTGGGATGGACCCGTCTCACGTCTATTGAATCCACGGGGGTTTAGCACCGGGATCGCCGATAAATACGAACCTCTCAGTCAGCGGTGTAATTTATGATAGCTGCGCCTCGATTTCAGGGATGTGGACCGACCATTCCCTACGTTGTTTGGCTACGTGAGGAATTCTAAGCTCGTCTTCTTTCGCTTATGATTGGGACAAACCAGCGTGGGTCTGTGGCTTAAGGTAGTTGTGGCGCTAGTTGTCTTTTGGGGCATCAGTACCTCCCTAACACGGACACTCCGAGTGACAGCTCGCATTGATATTCCCCTGTACCGTACCGGCTAGGGCTATATGGCGTAATTAGTGTAGGAAAATCTACGGAGTAGACGATCTAAATAAATAAAAGTGGTCAATGGGTAATGCGGAAGGTCTAGGGGGAGATTGCTTCTGGTTTCTTTTCCTGGTATTTAATCACCACCATGCTGTTCTGTGTACTTCATACAGAGTACAAAGTACACTATTTAAACACATAAGGAATAATAATAACAAAAATAAAACCGTATTAATCTGCAATTGAATCTCGGACCAAAAATTGAGAATGTCACTTTTATCACCGTGCATCCGGGAAAAAAATAGATTGACATTCTCTCGTCCATTTTGAGCAGACCCACCATTGGTTTTCTTCTTCGGATATGCAACCCCGAGGAGAGATCGTGATTAAGGGATGTACGATATGTCTCTAGACGTACAACGTATGTTGTAAACATACTGTTATTATGAATTGTAAATCTAACAAGGAGGAGAGAACTGCTACCCCGATTTCCTAACTGGGAAATAGCGCAAAAGGCAACCAAGAGAAAGAAGCAGACCAAATAGTGATAATCGAAAAGTATGCGGCTCTTGCACGGCAGCCAAGGACAAGTTCGGAGAGGACAATCATCAGACAAGGATTTTTTTTTTTTGATACAACACACTGTAATGATCGCCTGTTATGGTTACCAAGAAAGAATAGCGGGCGAAACAAACATGAACCCACCGAGCCGACCCCCCCCTAAGGAACGCACATCGAGCCCGGAAGGCCTTTAGGGGCCCTGATTGGGGAGGAGCTATGAGTCCCTCATTTCATTTTTCATTGGGCTGTGACACATGAACGAATCACCCTTCCGTGCACGCGGTTGGCCTGCCGAATTATGGAGGATGCGAAGTGGATGGGGGACCCGTCAGGGATCGACCGAACTCATGGAATTTCGATTTGTATTCGTAATTGTGTGTTATATGTATGGAACTCCGTACTGGTATCCTCTTCGGTGTTTTCTAACATTCCTTATAGAGATGTAGTACGGAATACTACTCCGTATACTCCGTACTCGTCCTTGTTCTTTTTTTTTTTTTTTTTTTTTTGCTTCCCCCAGATCTGAGTGTATTATACTTTTTCCTTAGCTTACTTTATACTTGCATACTATTCTCTAGTCCGCTTTTCCTCCCAACATGATTTGGTGCAAAGAGAGTTGGACGAGTATTCTGACCCGGAGTGGCGGGATAGACTATATTTTAAAGGGTACAACATATAATTTTCATTTAAGATGAGTGCTATTGTTGTATACCTTCGTAAGTTAGCTCAATATGCATACCGAGGCGACGAGGCTAAAGGGTGTTTTCTGGGGGAAAAGGGGCCATGGCGCCAAGCTCACGGGAGAGAGCCCCTACTATGTAGAACGGAGGTGCCGATGACGACAAGAAAAATATCAATTAATCATTTACTCCGTACATGTAATCCATTCTCGTGCAATGGTTGAATTTCTGACAGGAGGCTTCTCCTGACCCCCCGTTAAAAATCTAATTTGTGGTGCAGGGATTTCAAAGCAAAGGACTAGTTTGCACTATAATTGCTTTTCATCTGAATATACAACATACCCCCTCGACTAATTCGGTTTTCAGGAGCACGATGGACGATCTATCTTCTCGCTGCAGGTACTTTTGTGAAAACCAATATTTCCACCGGAAACCAATCCGGGAGAAGATATTTGGAGATCGTACATACATTGTAGGGCAGAATGAGCCAAAAGTGGATAAAGGTAGGCGAGCTGTCAGAACCCAGATCTACTATATAGTGGGCTATTGACTATTGACTATTGACGGGATGGGCAGATATAGGACGCCTGACGAAGGCTGAGCTGAAGGCCTAGACAAGTACGGAGTACGGAGTACCGTGCATACTATAGTAAAGAATAGTGTGTACACAAATTTCCAGGGTCCCGAGGTTAAGCAGGTAGAGGCATAATATTACTAATGGACAGTAATTAATCTACTCTAGAATAATATTCAGATGACTACTCCGTAGATAGAGACCCATGAGGATTCCCATGTGCAGATAAAATAATAATAGCCCGAGAGTCCCAAATTTATCTGCATGGGCGCTAAGTTTCCCTGTCCCTGTTCACAGCCCCAACACGTTCAAGTGGTTCGTGCCAAAAATACCGTATGTAATCGTTATATTTTATATTTTATATTTTATAATTTATTATTTGCTTTTTCCTTTTTTACTATGGAGTAGTTTTCAAAGAGTTTTGTTTTTAATTCAATTCAATTTTCCTTTTCCTTTTTTTTTTTTTTCCTTTTCCCTTTTTTTTTTAAATAAAAATATAATTCTAGACACAAGACTATAACTAACTACTGTAGGGCGGGCCCATCGTCACCATTTAACAATGCTTCCTCCTCTTTGACATCTATAATATCCTCTCCTCCCTCCCCCAGTCTGTTATGAATCTAAATCATTGACTTGACCCTCGCCTTCGATCATTTTGGGAATACGCTTGACTAACCCTATTTCCCTTGACTTTTTGCTTCCGATACTGCTTCGCTACCCGCGTCTGTGGAGTTGCAATTTGGAGACCTCCCTGCCTCGCAACACCATAGCGCACCTCCTTACCTCATTACATGAGTATCTATTCTATCTGTCAATTGCGCACGTTGCTTCATTTTCGTGGTTGGCATCTTTGGTTTGCCGAGCGGGCCGCGATCTTACCCAGAAACCTTATCACCGGTATGTCCATGCGTCGCAACTCTCTGAGACAGCATATACTGACCAATTTTCGGTGACTAGGATCGCCATCGCGCATTGCATTTCTAAATTACAGAAATGACGACTTTTGAATCCAACCCCGATTTCACTCTCTTTCCTTTTCAAGCCAGATCCAAGATGATGGCTGTCGAAGCTGCTAGGCCTAAACAATTCCCATACTTCGATCCCATGACCATGGATTCCTCCTCCATGTTCTCTTTCCCCGTTGAGAGTCTCCCCCACTACACGCAAGGACATGATGTATCCCATGCTTCCCATTCCTACTACGATACCCACCCTTTGTTGGAATCCGCAGACCTGCAGAAGCCTACCTATTTTTCTTCCATACCTGCTACACCCCCTTCAATCTCCGCCTCGCACTCCGCCTCTCACTCTACAGAGCCATATATCCCCACTGGGTCTGCTGCCTCAGGGCAGTCAATTCCTAGCGCATCTTCTTCGGCTATGGGGTCACCATACTCAGGAACCGCCCATGCATTCCAGGAGAATTGGGTGAATACGAATCACGGATTGGGTTTACCAGCCGCAGTGATGAACGATCTTTTCTCCCAGGACTACATGGGAAGCGCTTTGGACATGGATATGCTCTACCAAGAAAAATTCCCAGATCCTTTCGTCGGTATGTTTCGATATCAATCGCAAAAGCTGTCTGGTATACTGACAATGTATAACAGATCCCTCATTGATTCAACCGGCGCAACAAGGCCCTGGAATTACTCCGACTATCTCATATCCTGACCAACCCGTTTCTTCCTACTCAACCGTGCCACCTAATTACATTTCTCACTCTCCCGCCCCGTCACCTCTCCCATATAATGACATTGCAGAGCACCACACCTCCCCCCGCTCACACCCAATACAACACACTGGGCCATCTCCACTCATGGTTCCACACAGGTCACATTCACGACCACTATCGATCTATGATCGGCGATCGTCTATTTCCTCAATTCACTCCCGACGCTCGCAACACAGCCCGGCGCTGAGCAGCATCGAGCCAGATGAAGAGACAAAAGATAAAGGCCGCTGTCTATATCCCGACTGTGGCAGAGTCTTCAAAGATCTGAAGGCCCACATGTTGACTCACCAGTCAGAGCGACCAGAGAAGTGCCCGATCCTGAACTGCGAGTACCACATCAAGGGCTTCGCTCGCAAGTATGACAAGAACCGCCACACCCTGACCCACTACAAAGGAACAATGGTGTGCGGTTTCTGTCCAGGCTCCGGATCTCCCGCGGAAAAGAGCTTCAACCGCGCCGACGTCTTCAAGCGCCACCTAACCTCCGTCCACGGTGTGGAACAAACCCCACCAAACTGCCGGAAGCGCAGCCCTGGCGTAGCCAAGAAGGGTACCAACTATAGTCCAGACGCAACAGGAAAGTGCTCAACCTGTTCATCGACCTTCAGCAACGCCCAGGACTTCTACGAGCATCTGGACGACTGCGTTCTCCGCGTCGTGCAGCAAGAAGAGCCTTCGGAGGCGATCAATCAGCAGCGTCTGGCAGAGGTTGCTTCGGATGATGATGTCAAAAAGACCATGGAAAAGCATCAACTACACGACGTGGCTGGCCCGGTTGATCAATTCGACGATTACGAAGATCAAGATGAAGACGATACCCACGACCCCTCCAGCTGGCGCGGCCTGAAGACTAAGCCCAAATCCTCAAAGGGAAACATCCCCACCTCCCGCCCTATCATCGGTTCCGGGAATGCCATCTCCAAGAATTCCTCCAAGGCTCCCCGTGCTGTTGCAACTCGTCGCCGCAATAATCGCGGAAACTACCCCAACTCCTGGGGCTGCCCCAGCAGCACCATGAAGACCAAGAAGCGCGTGCTATGTGTCTTTGATGGCCGGCGCCGTCTGTGGAAAGATGAGATGATGCTCAATAATGAGTTCGAGGTCCGTCTGAGACTCCCCGGTGGTGCTGGCGATGGTACCAACCGCGATGCCTACGTTACCGATCTGGATGTCGAGACGTTGAAGCGCGCTGAGGGTGTGCTCAATGCTACCGAGGAGGAGCGTGGCCCTTGGTTGAATGGTCCTTCGGCTCACATCATGGGTCAGCCGGCGATGCTATTGCCAGAACTATGCCAGTCCCATGATGATGAGCTTTCGATCAATGAATTAATGGCTTAAACGATCTTCATTTTGTTCTTTCTTCTTTTAACTCCTTACTCCTTACTCTCTATTCCCCTTCTCCCCTACCTTTGGAGGTCTTTGTCTATTTCTTCTTTACATGTCTCATGTTTCCGTACAGCAGCGTCTTGACGAGCGAGTTGTCTGAATACGGATTATGGATGATACCTTGGGACTGATACGTTTGAATGACTTTTCTTGTCTGCTTTCTCTCCAGGCTGGCCTTGCATGCCTGTATGCCAGATCCTGCTGGTCGGGATCCTACCAGGACAGTATTAATTGGAGACCAAAATGAGTGCCTGAATGAAAATATAAAAATAAAAACATTCTACATTATTTTTCTTCTTTTCAATTTGGACAACTGTAATAGTCTTAAAAGTAGAAAAGACCAAGAGAGACTTAAGACACCGTCTGCCGATCTCCACACCCCGTGTTCTGCCATCTCCCCCGGTATCAACTCCATTCAACCTTCACGATGCAATTAGGACTCTCAGAAAACCTCTCCACTCTGGTCACAAGGCGATTTACAACTGCTAGAGATACCGGACATCTCGTCTTCTCCTCAACTCATCTGTCCATAATCAATGCCGCAGGGATATCAGTGAGTGACGCAAAGACTCCGACCGCGACGATTCTAACCTCCCAATCTAGTACCAACTTCGCTACTGCCCTGCGCTCGCAAAGAAACCCTCTAATTTAAAGCTCGATAATGGCCCGAAAACACCAAAGCCCGATCCCTTTGAGAATCCATCTCCAGATCTTCTGATCGCCCAGTTCCCGCCCGAGAACCCCGCTTACAACCTCATTCTCAACAAATTCCCCGTCATCCCAAATCACTTCCTCCTCGTGACAAGAGATTGGCGTGCGCAGACGGATATCCTCGACAAGTCAGACCTAGAGGCCGCATACGAGTGTCTAAAAGCCTGGAACACCGACAGCGATGGATCTCGATCTGCAAATGGCTCTCCGAAGAGCCTCTTCGCTTTCTTCAACTCCGGCGATGACAGCGGCGCAAGCCAACCACACCGCCACCTCCAATTCCTCCCCGTTGAAGCAATGCGACAGCCAGGCTCCGAGTCCTGGCACCCACTGATCGACCTCCTCACCCCCCACCCACCCACCTCCCCATCCCCAACACCAAAGTTCAATCACCTATCAGGTCTCCCCTTCGCCCACTTCGCTCTCTCAATCCCACCAAACCCCTCTGCCAAGACCCTGCACGCGATCTACCTAACCCTCTACAAGGCCGCAGCTGCAGCGACGCGCGGACAAACACCAAGTCAGGATACCGAGCCGCTCCCTACACAAGGACCGGCGTCTATCAGCTATAACCTGGCCATGACCTGCTCGACGATGATGATCTGCCCGCGCAGACAGGAGACTGCGCTTGTTCCCATCGACAGCGAGACGGCGCGCGATATTGTTGACCCCGGCTTGCTCTCGCTGAATGGTACTATCCTTGCTGCAACGCTGATGGTTAAGGCTGAGGGTGAGTGGGATGCTTTGCGAGAGAATCCGGAGCATTTAACTCAGGTCCTTGCTACCATTGGATATCCTCGTACGGATTCCCGTGGGCCTTCGCTGTGAATAGTTGGGGTTGTTGTATAGCTGCGCGGGTGGTAGACAGACTACTTGCATGCCAGAATCAAATACCCGGAATGGAATTGCTGGAGGTGTACACATTGAGTAAAGACCTACTTGTATTTTTCCTATCTACCTGATACTAAAAATAATTCTATCATGATCTCCAAATAGAAAATATAACTTGTTCTCAGATGCTGCGTTCTCATGGATAGAAAATAGAAGATGGAAGATGGATTCCGAATGTGTAGCAAGGACGGGCTGGAGACACAATATACTACATCACTGCCAGCGTAATACCTGAAGCATCTTATAGCCTGCTGAGTTTCTCTTAATATATTAGTAATGGGAGTGGGAATGTACTGATAGGGATAGGTATATCATCAAGGTCCTGGGAAGCAACTATGTTAGTTATAGAGATGAGAGACTCCCTTTCCTAATGCATTGCTTTCATCCGATCATCAAAAGATTTAGGAGACAGCTATCGACTCAGCAACACTAATTGTTGTCACGAGAACAGCGAATGATAACGCCAAAGCCAACCAAAGCCAAAGCCAAAGCCAAAGCGACCGTCCTAGCCTGAGATATCTTGCCTTTATTTAGATATTCCATCACATCGCTCATCCCAGGTTTAGATTGACTAGAAATAAAAAGTACTAGATACATAGATGGGATTGTTAGTACCATAGGACCTCCAAAATCGTGTAGGGAAAACGGAACGGTGTGATCTCAGTTCTGGTCTTTTTGGTGAATGCTGTGAATTCTGGGCAAGCGTGAGCCTAAAAGCGAGCCATTGTGAGCGAGAAACAAAATCAAAAAGAACGGCCAGAAGTTAGATACAAAAATAAAGAAGACACCTGCCTAGATAGGAAGGTGTTGGCAAGTTCGCACGTGACTCCATAAGCCCCAATTTCCTTTGTCAGTTCGATTGTAGAGCGGCGGGATCGAGTATAGGAGACGAGTAGGCATTGGTGCAAGTCAATGTGATAGTCAAGTTCTCAGTTTGGCAGATTTAGCTTCGTCCGAGGGTCTTTCTAAGGTAGATTTGATCGAAAGGCCATCATATCGCTGGATATCATGAGGCAGGTTGTCTGCCTTGACGACATGTCGTCATATCCCGTTGTGAAAGTTTGGGATCTCACTCATATTCTGCAACTCGATGGTCTCGGTGATTCTTGTCGAGTTATCAGGTTGGAAGTGTGCATCGTGGAAGGAGGTGGTGGTTTCATTGGCGGCTCTGTTCATCTTGGCGGCCGGGCGTAGTCGTGGTGGATATGATGGTATAGGGGCTTCTGTAGACGCCAGAATACACGTTGATAGATAGCAAGTCCCCGCCTTCCTGTGGAAGAAGAGTGCTGGTTGTGTCAGAAGCCCAGTAGTGAATCGCCATCAATAGTGGCGACGGCGATGATATGTGGTGATTATCTCGGGCAATCGGTCCAGGATCAATCTATACTTAGAAGTGTTATACTCACTAAGCCTAATGCATGATAGATCTTTTGTACCATATAGGTTGATATCACCCGCCATACGAAAGTTTCAGTTTGCTTTTGATCATGATCTAACTACTCCATACAGCGTCTTAGTTGTTGGGTAGTATCGGCAGTGACCTGGATTAATATGCCCAAATTTGATACTCCATAATAGAAAAAAAAAAAAAAGCTGATAATTGCATAGAAGCTAAAGTGAAACATTTGCTTGCCAAGATGCATGGTACGCAGGGGCATAGTGGCCAGGGTTACTTTCAGATTTAATGCAGTGTATTGCGGCCTTGGTGCCTTAGTTTGGTCTTAATTTTGCCTGATGTTGGCCTTAATACTGACCGCCTTTAGACCCTAGGATCCAGTGTATTGTAAAGCTTTCGGTACGGAATAACTAGTACGCCGGACTAACCCTTTGAATAACTCGATATCTTCTTTACCACCTCAAAGCATTAAATAAAGTGAATGATACCTTCTAGATAAGAGAAATACCGCTCTCTTATTGTTCGAGCCGAAATAAATTGTTTGACTATATCTACCCTCTCTTTCTTGTCTCTTCTTTACCACTCTCTCCTCAGCTAGCGAGTACGTAGAACTTGATCAGTTTTGTATCACAGATAGTATTTGTTTTTAGTCTAGATTGTACCACAAAACCTGCTTTTTAAAAATAGAAAAACGTCTTATATTGGATAAGCCGCCAATTCTCTATTTAATACAATAAAAACCAAATCTCTTGAGCTTATATTGGTGGAGTATACTGATAAGGCAGTTGTCAAGTTTTGGAGGGTTATCACTGAATTCAGGTTCAAACCGCCTAAAAATCATGTGATGTATTGATTTGTATGGCAGAAATGGTTAAATGCTGCCTAAGGGATTCTGTAATTGTAATTCAGGTATCGTCATTTTTTCTGCCATACCAAACTAAGGCATTAAGGCACCATTAACGTAATCCACTACCGAGTGACGCACACTACCGAGTGACGCACCCCCACCCAACTTCCTGAATTCAAATGCATTTATCTCAACCAAAACGCCATTAAATTAAATAAACTAAAATCATCATCTATCTGGACATGTCTCTCTCCTATGTCCTGGCTTCCTACATATTCCACATGCTCGTCCAGCCTGGGGGGGCGGCCTTAAACCTTCCGAAACCTGCTCACGATAGTTGTTGATACGCGCTACTTGAGCCTCAAATGGCTCTGAACGTAGCTCACGAACATCCTGAACTGAGAGATCCCCTTCGTGGACTATCGTCCTTGTAGATCGGGTTCGCTTTTGCTTTTTCTTCTCGTTTTCAGCGCGTAAATCGCTCACTTCTTTCTCTAGTAGTGCGGCGGAATACATCGTGATCTGGCAGGCTTTTAAAACCTGGTTGATAGCGGAATTGAGCGGGCTAGGGGGGCTCCTTGATCTCGTACGAAGTAGTGCTTTTATTGAGGAGGCTTACTTTTGCAATTGTATATAGTTCGAAGGTGTTTTTGGATCCCAATCACTACCCCGGCTAGAAGGGGGGTAGGGGTTCGAAGACGAATATCAAGCCTCGAAATCACTCTCTCCGGTGTAAAAGGGACTAAACCAGCTGCTCCGAAGCTGTTTTTAATAGTCTCTGATTTAAAAGCTTCAATTCGTGCGAGAGGGTATGCTTCGAGGAAATCAAGTTTATCAATATGATTTATCCCAACCCGCATTTTTGCTTTAACCAGCCGGCCGTACGAGCGTTTTAACACCGCAAAACAGCCTATATCCAAAGGCTGTAAAAGGTGAGAGGAATACGGAGGTATACAGATCGGTATAATTTTGTTTTCTTCACAGATTTTATCGAACTTCGGGGTTAAATGACTTCCGTGGCCGTTAAGTATCAAAAGCCGATATACCCCCTTTATACGTATAGAAGTGGTAGGAATAAAGAGCTTTTTTAACCAGCGAAGTCCAATTTTATTAGAGGTCTATCTATTAGGACTAACCTCAAATCGCCAATCGTCCGGGAGGCCGTCAAACCAGGATTCAATAAAGACTTTGCCTTTAAAAATCACACACGGTGGAAGGGCCTAACCAGTAGTATTTATACACTCAATAGCCGTCACCCATTCACGATTTCTAGGTTGTAAAAGTGCTCGCCGACCGTAGTATTCGCTTCTCGTAATAACCTTCGCAGTCGCCGTTAATCCTATCGCAAAACCCGTCTTATCAAAGTTATAAACGTCATCCGGATCGATCCCAAATTGTAGGATAGTTTTTTGAATAAGATCAAACCACTCCTTTATAATTTTTGGATCCTCACATTTCGCACGCTCGTAGTTATAACGTTTCGAGAAACGAGAGGAGAGAAGAGGACGTCGTTTAATAAATTTTGTAACCCAATTTTCGCCAACCGAAAGAACCGGGCTAGATCCGCGCTTTTCAAGAAGAAGATTCGCCATTTCTCGTACAGTAGTAGGCCGGGGGGCTGCTCCACGTAGATCCATAGAGAGTATCCATTTTTCAAGAGATTGCTCTTCAAGCTCAGTCAGTTTATGTGAGTTAGCGCGTAAAATCGCGCGGTTTTGAACACCCCGGAGGCGGCGGCGGAGGGTAGCCTCAGGCACTTTAAAACAGCGCGCAGCTTCACGAATTGAAGAGAATTTTTCATTCTTAAAATCTTGGATAGCTAATAAGATCCTACCCTCTTGCTCGGTTGAATCTTTAGACGATCGAGAACGAATTGGTGGCATAGTGGGTGGTTGAAGAGAGAGGGTTATATTAATTGACGCGTTTTGGGAGGGGGTGCGTCACTCGGTAGTGTGCGTCACTCGGTAGTGGATTACGTTATATGCATTAAGTCCGAAAGTAACCCTGGCCATGCCCGTATACATATAGCACTATAATAATGGGGAATTTCTCGTGACTCATTACAAGGCTGATTTTTTTTTTCCAAGCTAAAGCTCACTAGGGGAGGCTGTGACCAGGGCACTGATTTGGGGCGCAGACACGGGCCAAGCTTGAAACCCATGTGATCTATAAAAGTGCATCCTGATTGGCCAGGAAGACTTTGAAATTCCGTCGGCTGATATTGCCTCCTTTATTGGCCATATGGGCCCCTTGGGTCTATGCTGTTTATGGCCTTTAAGCCTCAAATTACCCTTGACCCACTGTGTTCTTCGTACTGATTTTAGCTCCCATATTCTGACTCTGTCAATATTTAAGAAGAACAGCCTTGGACTTATTATTGATCTTTGGTACTTTTCTTTTCTTAAATATCAAGCTACATACAGATTGCCCACCATGGACCACAACAAAGAGTCGATCGTACCCATTCCACCGGCCACTGAACCAACTACAGATTCTGCAGTAGAAGCTGCAACTGTACCAAAAACGGTGCCGGTTGATGGCACAACTTCGCCCACAGCGGTGCCGACAGAGTCACCCGCAGCGTTGCCCACAGTACCTGAAGCTACGCCGACACCGGAGCCAGTCACAGCCACAACAAGATCATTGCCGGCAACGGACCCAATGGCGATCATACCGGCAGAGATTGGACCTCCCCCACAATACGATGAGTATGATTTCCGACCCAAACAAAATAGGCCTAAGCTAACGCGAAAACAGATACGACAAAGACGCAATAACGACTCCTGCACCGGCAGTCACATTGCCACAAACCACCGAGAAAGGCACACCAGTCGGACCACAAGTTCCAGTTGCGCAGAGAGTCATTCCACTGGCCAAACTTGGCGAAGATCCCGGACGGATCAGTTGTCCGTTTTGTTTCCACGAGGTTCAGACCAGGGTCAACAAAGAGAGCACCAGTTCCACAACGTAAGCATTGGTCTATCTCTATCTTCACTTCACGTTTTGATCTGTTTTACTTCGGAACATACTAATCTTTCAATTTACAGTATGGCTGCCGCCTGTTGCTGTCTCTTAGGTGGCATTATCTGTGCATTTTTACCATTTTGCATGGAAATGTGCCACGACTCGCATCACTATTGTTCAAATTGTGGCGTGCAAGTTGCTATTCACCCTCACGAGGGCCCGGTACAGACATTTGGGCCTGACTCCCCCGGCGCCATTATTGAAGCACCAGGGCACATTCAACCACCAGAGGCTGTTAAGAAGAACTAGGATGACGATCTACAATGTTTAAGGAGTGAAGGATATGTACTGCTCTCACGGGTTTGCTTTGTTTGATACCTTTTTATTTTACTCTGAGATATATCTCATGCTTAGATTTGTTTACTCTGAGATGTACATGCATTTATTCTCAGATTTACTTTATCTTACTATCATCTAATGGAATATGAAGTCTGAAGAAGCAATTGAATTTCATTCATATGGACCCTGGCCCACGCCAGCATGGGCCAGGGTCCGAACCATAACACCCCCCCCCCCCGTCCCTCTCACGGCATAGTCCCATCCCTATTGGGCATGTTCCCAATCATCACAAGGTAGAACCGCTGCAGGCCGTCGGAGACCCAGGGGTCCTCAACGCGGCGGATTTGCTTGGCAATCTCCACCTTGGCCTCCGCGATGTGGCGGCCCAACTCCTCAAACTCCTCGAGATTGACAGGGAGGCTTTCTGCGAGGCGCTCACGGCGCAGGATGCAATCCCCCAGATTCATCATTTCCCGCTCAAGGAACTGGCGCTCGGTGAGGGTGTTGGGGGTGGACTGGACGCCACTCATCCTTATTAAGTAAGTTAGCATATGTTTGATATTTTTCATGCATGGAATGAGACTGCTGAAGAGCATGTGTCTCAATTGATGTGTACATACTTTGCGGTGGCGTCAACAGCCGCACAGGAAGGAGAGGTGGGTTGAGGTATGAGGGTTGGCGTGGAGTATCACACGCGGCAAGATCAAGAGCTTGAATGACGTTTCAGACAAAGGATTGAAGAAGTAATTGGTATGCCGAGGACAGATTGGATGGATGGATGGTACACGGATGTAAGGAAGAAAACCCGTTTTGCAACATCTCACGAATAAATACTAATCCATAAGCTTATCGTTACGACGGTGGGCAACGCGCAACCTTCAGTGGAAACGATACAAGGGTGGCCGTCGCATCGAGGGAACAAGCCATACAGTATAAGAAGTTCATGGATGTCGTGAGACCAAGCAAGCTAACAAGGCTCATGGACAATCGTACATTCAATATAACACTTTCTAAAGCTTAGATCCAGTGGCTTTAGCAACCAGATGGGCATTAACAGGAGTGACAGCCTTTCCAGTCTGATGGAAAGCAAGGATGTTCTCCATACCCAGTCTCTCAAACCCGATGTGTGCGTCCACCGAAGCACCAGCATTATGCGACATCATCTCAACATTCTTCATGCTTGCAAGCTCGGGATTAACGTGCGGCTCATCGTAGTGAACATCCAGTCCAGCAGCAGCGAGCTTGCCGCTCTTAAGTGCATCAATAAGGGCACCCTCGTCAAGCAACTTTCCACGAGCGATGTTGATGAGGCGAGATCCAGTCTTCATCTTCGCTAGTAGAGATGCGTTGAGGAGTGTCTCTCCACTAAACGGTGTAGCAACCATGACGCAGTCTGAGATGGCGAGCAGGCTGTCCATGCTCTTGTGATATGTGGCTTTTGAGACAGCTTCGAGGTGTGCAGGCATCTGAACGATATCATAATAATGAATCTTCATGTTCATGGCTAGGAAGGCCTTTTCGGCGGTGCGCCGTCCAATTTGTCCAAATCCAATGATTCCAAGTGTGTGGCCATTGGGATTATGCGAGACCATTGCCAGATTGCGGTTTGCATCGACAAATGCATCGGCATCCAGTGTGCGTGCGGCAATGTGTGACCAGGAGAAGAGACGGAATGTGGAGATGATAAGCCAGATTGCGGCATCGGCCACTGATTCTGTGCATGCTGCTGCAGCATTGCAGTAAACAACTCCTAGATAGATTGAAACTTGTCAGCTGCTTTCTCTTTCTCTGGCCTTTGCTTTCAGAATCGTCTTGTGCAATTGTATACATACCCTTCTTCGCTAGAGCTGCAGTATTGACCCAATCAAATCCGGCACCAGCACTGGCATAGATCTTGCAAGAATCTGGGAGCAGAGAGATAAGTTCCTCATCCCAGTTTCCCATCTCACCTCCGGTATTCCAAAATGGGCGGTAGATGGCGAAGAAGTCACCGAATTTGCGCTCTTTCAGGGCTCGGATAAACTCCGGCCGAGACATGCTGTAGGACCGGCGGATCTCGAAGACATCTTGAAACTTGCTGAGTAGGTCGTGATTCCAGCGGATGTCGTCGCCGAGTTGGAGAACAATTGGTTTGACCATGTTGGTGGTTGCTTCGGGTTGTATAGATCGGATCGGTAGTTGGAATAAGGGTTTAGGGGTATATAATGACGTCTCGGGCAACGATAATGAGAGATTATGTAGAACTTTGTTATAAGAATTTTATTCCTAAGCTGGCAAGGCGGAATGAGTTAAAATAATTGTTTCCGACTCTTCTATGGATGCTCATCGCGGCTATTGCCAGTTCTATGACACGGCTATTGAGCGACCGCCCGGGTATCGATGCGCCGGCTAATGAAATCCGACATCTCAACCACCGAGGCAATTATGAATTGATGAAAATGTTAAGTATACCAAACGAAAGTCCAAGGAGAAAGGGAATATTGTTGTATTTCTAAATTAGAAAAGCTGTTGGTCTGACTACCTTGCATAAAATGACTTGGAATGCAAAAACCCAGGCAAAAAGGAAAAGCAGCGGAATACCAAGCCATGTTACCCCAAGCCATCCATCCAACTACCCAAGTCATGCGCTTCCTGCGATATCACCCGTGTTTTCACGATTTCTACTGTTGTAGATCCCCACATTACCTCATTGCGACCTCATAAGGTTGGGTAAGCTGCAAATCCACAACGTGAAATTTGTCGATTCGAAATTAGCCGAAGGTTGCTGTTGCTTGAATTCTTGATTTGCTGGCACATTCTTTGATGCCTAGTCGGACATACCTAGATCGAGGTTGTACGATATAGCGAAACAAGCTTGACCAAATTGGGCTGAAAATAATCACTCCTTGGTAGGTAGAAGAGCATTATTCCAAGTGTGGGTGGATATGCTGGTACAATAGATACCTTACTCAAATGCAGGGTAAGAAGCAGATATAAGTTAGCGCACTAGCCTATCATACGGTGCCTAAATTGGATTATGCTAGCATATTCACTTCATAATCGGCTAAACGCGCTAAATCGTAACTACTTCATACCCTACACTTATGTATCAATCATGCTAGCAAATCTATCTCCACCCAAGGAAATTTTCATATATGTATCGCATTGTGCCGTAGATTGGCGAGAGCATTCTTTCGAAACTCAATATCAGTGTACTTATAGGGCCATCGAGCCCTCGTATGGATGGCCAAGTGTGATTTTTAGGAAGCTCAACATGAATTGCTTCTTTGATATCTGCATTCAAGGAATCAGTCTTGATATCTAGGTAGTGGAGCCGCCAATCAAGCGTAGCAGCAAATGCCCAAAAGTCTTTGCAACTTATTAGCTTAGCGACAACGGTATAGAATTTATAGGAAGTTAACGCCTACCACTTGATTAAAGCCACGGGCGACAAGACGAGCTTTGTAATGTCCATTATCTTTCTTGATATCGAAAACCCAGCGAAGCGTAAGCAGCTTTCTTCCAGTCTTGTTAGACTTGCGATCAGTTGCGCGCTATGTTCCGTTTTTGATTTGAGCCTACACCTCTTTATGAGCTGCATGCAGTCATTTCTCTTTCTTGGCATAGTTCATAGCATCAATCCACCCGTTAGGTATGTAGCCAATATCACCAGGTGTCAATTTTGGAATATCGACTGGCTCATTGTCAGATATTCCAGGCTCCGATATATATATTGCGACATAACATAGACAAAGTCTTGAACTCCCTGTACCCCCATAGTTCTCATTAGGATAAGGCGCTGCTAATGAGGCCCTGAAAGATTACCGTAAGAAGATATTGATCTGTATTGTTATCAAGAACAGCCCGGATTATTTGCATGATATTGAAAGTTTCACGATCGATCTAGGGAACAAGGTGCCTCGAAATGGTCAGGGTCCAGTCGACGGTAGTTTACTATGTGGTGACGGCGATCCACTTGATTTCGTAGTTCAGAGATTCTCTGCACGATTTGCACGGCTACCACATACCGTCTGTGGCACGCTCGTTGGGCGAACGCATGTTCATTAGAAGCTCCATGCCGTTCCATATCACATTTCATTGAGTCTGCCAAAATAATCTGCTTTCACGAGACTTGGAGGACGACTTTATACAGAATTAAGTGTTTAGGAGAGAACTAGTAACCTCTGAGGTAATGCAATAAAGTAGGGCATCTCAGTAAGAGGATAATAAAGGTCAGAAGATTGGTAGTGAACACAATGATGAGTCTGAAAAACTTTGAAGACAGTAGATAATTGATGCAAGAAAAATGCGAAGGATGGATGATAAGTGGTATGGTCAGGTGAAGGAGAGATAGTTGATGAGGTCTAATTGATACCTGCCCGGTCAAGGCTTTGAAGAGCCAGTGATAGGAAGGTGAGTATATGAATAAGCAAACAATATCGTATCTCACTGCCAAAAAGGAAAAAATAAATATTTAACCGCGTGGTTGTATTCTAACGAGTAGGTATAGTCGAGCTTCCCCTGAAGGCAGAGCTACTAAAGGATGTATAAGTTAGAGTGAGAAATAGAAAAATGCTCATAGTACAAATGAAAAGAAAAGAATGAAGGTGCTAGAGTATTATACAACTTAGGTCTAGAGTAAGGAGTTTGATGGTAATGAGTGATAGGAAAAGTGAAGTGAAATTGATTGCCTCACATACTTTCCATCGCTTATATGAGACATACGTTGATAACTGATAGTTAACTCAGAAAAGAGCTGATTGTAGATTGTGGAAATTAAATACCACATTGACAAGGCTCTAGTGTGGAAAATTCTCATTGATACCTCACTACATACTACTGATGTAAGAGTGTTGTTCCAACTCGATACTAACAATAGATTCAAGACCACCAAAGGCAACTCTGGTGGCCTCCTACTCCGTATCCCGTAATTATATAGCCTAGTGTTAATCCTACTTTGAGCATTATTTATGCCTTATATTCCTCGGACTCCCTGCTTCCTACATTTCCTCGACTCCCCCAACACTTTCACCGACACTGGCCAACTACCAATACTTTTAACTCTGCCAACCTTTACAAATAACAAAAGATTACGCCGTGCCATTCAACTGCAATGAGTTCCTCAACTTCCAATACCACCTCCTTGTCTTCTTTCTCATCCTCCTCATCATCATCCTCTGCCTCTTTTTCATCCTCCGCTACAACCTTAGTCTCGTCAGGCACCTACAACTCCTCCGATTCCGTCTCCCTGTCGCTCTCATATGAGTCTATGGCAGTACACACCAGCGAAGGTGGGACAATTCCCATCCAGGGTATTGCTCCCCTACGGCGGGAGACTGCTGAAAAGCAGATACTCAGTGGGATTACCCAGCTCGCGGTCATGGTAGACCGCAGGGATGCCCTCGGAAGCAGCCTCGACGGAGAGAGGAACAGACTTGCATTAGGAATCGAGGACGCTAAGGTACTGCTCGGCCTCCATCTATGTCGCATAGAGGATAACCTCACGAGAGAGGTTCTCCTGGAAACTTTCCTGATTCACCTGGGGCCAACGGATGCACCGTGGATGCTTGCTCCACTCTTGGAACGTCTTGCCTCTGGTTTCTGAAAGCCTGTAATGGCTTCTTTTGCTCTGGGTTGCTCTGCGTAGAACTAATTTTCGTTATTTTGTTTTGTTTTGCCATTTGCACTGCATTTATAATCCTCAGGCATCATACCAAGCCTCCGGTCCTAAGGTCGAGGGTGAAGAGGACAAGTTCCATTCCGATAGATCCCGATAAAATTATGGATTTATCACATTCGATATGACCTAGCAATTTGTTGTAACTATAATGTTAATTATGTGTAAATAAAACATTGAATTCCAATATCCAGAACAACAACCAAAAGAAACAGTATACAGAGACGAGGCAACGCTACAATACAGAGACTCAGACCAGCTGAATGTGAATAAAAAGACAAACATATTTCATATCAAAAGAAAAGGGATACCAATTAACCAACCACCCCTACTTCGAAAGGGACTAATCCAATGATCAAATCAAAGAGTAATGTTGTGAATCTCGCACCACTTCTTCTTGCAAGTCGCATTTCCAAAATGGTAAGATCCCCCATTTTTCCAAATGTGCTCGGCAACCTTTTTCCAGGATACTTTCGGTGGCTCATTCATGTTCATATTGATATTGGTCAATGAGTTATACACATCTTGTGTTTCGGCGTGAGTTCTGACGGCTTCGCAAAGGAGTCGGATCTATAGATTAGGATCATGTTAGTCTGGCTTATTTTAGAAACAAACAAAGAAAAGTTTGGTAGCTCACATCCTTGTCCTGCCATTTAGGTTTTCGTACTCGCTGGTCTTTGGACTTGGTAAGAGTGCGATATCGGCCTCGGAGTGTAGACTCCGCCTCCTTGAAGCCGCCAACTCGCTTGATGTCCTTGTATGATAGTCCGCGACGCTTGCAGTCGATAAGGAATGAGTTCCGCTCGTTGCTGTAGTGCGAGCCTCCTTCAACCCTGCTTTGGCCTTCTCCACTCTGCTGTGGGGATTTTGCTTCGTTGCTTGAGGCGGAGAAGGATGGACTGAGGCTGTTTGCTGATTTCTGGTCTGGGGATCCAAATTCTGTGTCAGAGGGAACTGGCTGTGTGCTTGGAAGGTACATTGGCTGGGGCGTGAGGTGGTATTTAGATGCCTCGATGGAGATTACATAGGGCACAGAAGTAGGCAGATAGGACTGGTGGACCATGGGCGCTGATGAGCCCAAAGGCACGGGTGTAGGACCAAAAGAAAGCATAGATTGTGCACTGCTCATTCCATAGACATGGGAAAAAGGCTCATTGCACTCGTTCGGGCAGGTGTAAGCATTGGTGACAGGCCAAGGTGCACTGTATGCGTTGTGGGTGTGCCAGCTGCCCTCCGCCGACGAGACATTGGGGTCACGAGTAGGATAGCAGATATCAGTCGCGTCGGCTGGTTGACAAACAGGCCACGATATATCCTCGTGATAATTCACAGGTTTTGCATTTGGAGGAGTGATGGATTGCGCCAGATGTGCATTGTGTGAGTGAGGATTGAAGGGTGTGCCCATGGGGTAGTTGGCGCTATTTTGGTTTGGAATATTGAAGTGAGTGTTGAAAATGGCTTGCTCACTCCATGAATTATCTGGGAGTTCCGAGGGTGGAGAAAAAGGTATTTCATCGGTGTTCAAGAGGAAGGAGTTGCTAGTCACCATGGAAATATTGCTCCGTGGTATTGGATGAACCAGCCCAGCATGTGTTTCCCCCGCGCGAGTGGTGAAAGGCTCGTCAAAGTGCTCAAGTGACTCAAGATCAAATTCGCAGTAAGAGCTTCCATTGCTTGAAAGAGTGCTGTTCAGGTCGAGACGCGTCATGAATGGAGAGACGCTCTGCGAATACGCAGTCGCGCAAGGATCTTCCACTCGGAGTGGCAAGTAGCGCCTATCATCCATGAGAGACATGGGCTGTCTGGGCAAACGCTGTTGGTCCATCATCGCTCTAGTGAGTTTTTTAGGTAGTTGTTGTGTTTGAATAGTTGTGGAAGAGTGATGCAGCAAATGAAAGTCCAAATGGGAATGTGTTGTGGATGGGTAGAAGACTGAATACCAATCTGTGGGGGAAGAGGAAAATTGTTTATCAAAATAATCTGAACTCCAGCCCGATGAGTAGGCGGAAATCAGTTCAGGCAACTCAGTGTACTCCTTCGGATGGGCCATCCATGACTTCGGTGCCCCAGAAATAGCCAGCACGTCCACCATTTCGACCAGAAAATAAAAATAGAATTATAAAAAGAGTATAGTGAGCAAGAATAGAGTGGTTATTGTCTTCCACACTTCACCGCAATTGCTGGAGAGTGTTGTACGCGGGTTGTCGCTGGGTGTGGAAGACCGATATCCCGGAGGTTTCCTCTTTGTCCGCCAGTACACACCGGATATAATGTGGAGACTTCGAGGAGACCTGCAGGGCTGACCGTTATGAGAGGTTAACGCTTTGTTGTATATGGAGAGGTTTCACCAGAACTGTCAGAACTGATTGGGCATCACTCACTGTATGAATATGATGGCACGCAGCTGACTTCCAGAAGACGATCCCACAAGAGATGTGCAGTGCAGAAGCCTCTTTGGATAAACGTAATGAATAGAGGCAAGCTCTGAGTAGCTCCTGAGTAGCAGTTATTCTGCGAAAAGCTACAGCTGTGCGGCTTTTAAGAGACCGGCCTTGATGGGGATTGGGCTGTAAGTCGAGCCGTTGAATGCAATGCGGTCTCAGATTTGTCGGGAATTCGGCCGTTAGTGGAAAGGAGGTGAAGGTCTAAATTTCTATCAGGTCGATATCTCAGGTTGCAGGTTGCCAACAAGGAGAGATTGTTTGAGAGACAGTATAAAAGTTGGAAGTCGAGGATGGGGGAAGGAATCGTGTCAAGCTTATATCAATGTGTTGGGAGACATATCCATGCTAGGGGAGATATCATCGGAGTCTTTTAATAGACAATATGAATTGACCTAGCCAGTACACATGAACCATGTCTATCATTCCGCCAGCTCATTTCAACCTCTCGGCCCGTTTAATCTCAACCGAGGCCCGTGCCATTACTAGATGAACGAGAAAGATCTCGGCCTGTTCTGGGTGTCTGGAGGGAACAGAGAGAAATAAAGAGAAATATAGACATGGGTTGATATTCAGGGATACCTGAACCCTAGCCACGTCAGAAATCCTAGGTCTGGAAACCCGCGGGACCCCAGTCGTATACTCATGATCCACTTGCCGAGCGTTTCAGATATTTCCTCTATTGTCTAGCGTCATCTCTTGACTTAACCTCGATACTACGGGAAGGAGATGTATGTCTAGAAGAGAAGTGAAACGAGAGCGAATAGTGGACTGGTTGTATTCTCGACGGCTTAAGAAGGTCATCCCTTCCAGCCGTTAGGCTCAACAAAATATAACTGCGTTCAATATTTATTTTCTTTCCCTCATGGCTATATTTTATTCCATACTCAAGGCTGGGTGAATTGTCCCCGGAACTGCATCCCCGTTGGTAACGGTCCCAACATAGTATGCCGCGGACATAACTGATGTCCACCATGTACAACCCTGATTAGGGCTATGCACCCGTCTGCAGGTCTACCTGATCGACAAACTGTGTAAATCTCCATGACTTGGCAGTGGCTCGGGCGGTTTCGGAATGTTCCATCCTGGGCGGGTAGTTACAGAGAGCTTCTGGGGAAGGCTAAGTGGCATCCGGGCGAATCAAGCCAATCAGGCCAAAGGGGCCAATCCAACCTGCTTTAAAAAAAGCAAAATAAACAGGATAGCAGCACGGGAAATTTCCTGGTTGGAGGCTGGTTGGAGAGGATTTTGCCGACGGACTTGACCTATCTAGTATTTTGAGGCTCTAGCGTCCAACACAGGAGTTCCTCGCGCCAACATGAGTTCATCGAAGGTCCTATGAGATTGAGTGTTGAAAATCGACCTGATACCAGCCACAGTGCTTTCTGTTAGGTTATTTTTAGAATAAAGTAAGATCATGTTAAAGCAAAAACAAAAAAAAAAGGAACTAACGACCACAACTGCCGAGAGAAATATAAATCAAACATCGCAAACCCTAGTAAAAGAAAATCCTCCGGGCCCCTTTTCCCCGGATCTTCAACGTCCTAAAAACGGTGCTATTGAAAAGAAGCTTATTCAACGATCTATGGGATGGCCTAGGTGGCGTTGAAACCGGAAAGATCGAAAACGAGCCTGCAGCAGCACGAACGCGCAAAGGTTCCATCCGCTCCCCTAGCTAGGGGGAGAACCTCAAATCCTAATTCTGTGGGTAAGCTCCTAGGAAATTTCCTTTCTTTGAAGCAATGTTCTGTTGGTGTTACATATCGGTGGAGTTTCTGCGTTAGGGGTTTTGGGATTTGCCTTTTTCCAGGTTCCAGGTGCCCGATCGACCGCTATTTCACGCATATGCAGACCATATTTGCTTGTGTTGTCAATATTATTTTATGGACACCATGACCTAGATTTATCCTATATGTCAGGCATTAAGACCTAGACAAAATCTGAAACAAAGCTGGGGAAAGGGCGGGATGGAAACAGACAGAACTGAATTAGTTGTGTTGATACGAACAGTGGACCTAAGAATGATCAGTGGAGAACCAGAGGCTAGAAAAACCACAAACCTGTCAAAAAGCAAGGAGAGGTTGGCGCTGTCTAATTTGAAAGAGGTCTCTCGGAAGCCTGTTGGTTGTCCGTTGGTTATCTGTTGGTTATTGATTGGCTGAATTAGGGCTCGCGGATCCCGGATACCGGGGTTGTGGGTAGGTACTTTAGTTTGTGCTTTAGTGTAGTTTATTTGGAATACTTGTACTAAAATGTCCCATAAATAAAATGAAGCGCATCGGCTCTTGGGCTAGGAACAAGACCAAAAAGCTGTGATATTTTTGGAGTTGAGACATAGAAGCTGGGGGATTCTTCCACGCCCACAAATGGTGACTCGGCTCCTTCCTTACAGAGACAGACTTTATTTGTCGCATACCAGGTATATGGGTCTCTATGTGAGACATACGAGTCAATTCAGATGTGGGAGGATCATCCAGCCTACTACATTCCAGATCGTGGCTTGCTGGCATGTAGCTATACACTGTCGCGGTTACTGCGCTAACAACTCCCAGTTAAACGGGCATAATGTGACACCATGTTGGTTTTTGTTTCACAGTATTTCACCTTCCACTCAAGGTTTCGGGAAATATGCATTATTTTCAGAGTTGCAGATCTTGAATTATGGCGCCTAGAGCCGGGAATATTTCAACTAGTCTTCTATGCGGTTCAGGGGAGATGCTGCTTATGGATCAAAACTTGATCAATTAACAAGATTTGATATTCCCGCTCTGGATTGAGGAAATCGCTGTTTCATTATTCATTTGACAAAGATCACGCAATATAAACTCATTATCATGCCGGCTTAATAGAGTACAGAGTAGGAGGAAATGTTACATAAATATAATAAGGCAATGAGATAACATTCCGATCTAGATTTAGCGCCCCTATAGAGCTCAAAGTTCAAATTGTTATCCTTTAGTGGTAGGAGTTGCCATAGAGAGATCATCAGTGACGGTCATCCCCGGTGCAGAGACCAGACGTTTGAACACTTCGTCGCGTTCCCGCTTCCGCCGGCCATATTCGTCGTCCTGGGATACCAACTAGTCAAAGAGTCAGTCAGTACAGAGCAATGTTAGTAAAATTAGATCATGGGTAAGCTACACAATCACCAGTTTATAGTATCGCCGTAAAAGCGTAAAATATTGTGAGCTCCTGAAAGAGCGAGTGCATAGTAGGCAACTGGAGAATTCTCGAGGAAGGCAAAAGAGAGACCATAGAGAAAATAATGCAAGCTGGTGTGCAGACTAGACAATAAAAACATCTTGCCAGCTTCATATATATATCTCTCTTTTAAAGCTAGCACATACTAAGCACAGTGATCTCTTCCCTTTCCTTTTGATCTCCATGCCAAGCAGCAAGCGGCTATCAAATTAGTGATCTTGTCATAAATGTACCGATTGATGGGTAGTAAAGTCATCCTAATTTGTACTAGTTCATTCCCCTAATATCCTCAAAATGAGGTTAGATTTCTGAATATCAGCGAGGATCTGAGACTTTCTTAAGGGCAGAGTAGGCGATACGCCATATACACCAAATCAGTACTCGTCCTGATCTCCCAAAGAGTGTGCAGGATATATAATAGTGCAAATATTACAGTGCTTCCGGAAAACGGTAGCACGACCTACACTCTTCGACACTCGGAATAAAAATATCCCTGTATATACAGCTCATGTATTGTATATCTACAAAATAAAAGATACTTTTCGTCACTTTTGGATTTTACTTTCGGACATATTCTTAGGAGCCAAGCAATCAGAAGGTGTGGCTAGATACCAAACTTGATGTGAGACACCTCAGCTAGGAGTGGTCAAAGTGGACTTGGTCATTCCAAATCGCTCATGTTCATAATCTACAAGTGATTACTAAGGTTTTAATTCAAAGATAAACATATATACACATATGGATAGAACATTCTATGTACATGTACGCAATGCGACACACAGTTCTTTCAGGTTCTCTACTATTCATAACGCGTTGTTGCATAGACGAGGGTGGTGATAGCACCCTGACGGGGAGCGCCCTCGGTCTCCGAGTCAATTTCCTCTTCCTCTTTTTGCACAGGCACAGGAGGAGGAGGAGAAGGCAAGGTTGTCCGCAGAACATCCCAAATAGCGCACTGCATGGCGAAAGAACAGCACTTCATGTACCAAGGTTTACTCTGGAGGCTCAACTCGATACAATGAGGAGCCATTGGAACCACCTCACTGATGATATGCGGACTATTCGGGAAAGCGTTCTTATAATCCTCCAGTACTTGTGGAGAATAACTCCAAAGCCCGTCGAATTCAGCCAATACATGCATGACCGGAACAGTGACTCGGTCCGAGTACTCGTGCCAATAATCTAGCCAAGTCATGTTGATATCGTGGAGTTCGCCCGGGGGTACAGGCCAATTCAGACGCTTTGTGTGGCGACACATCTTTTCATCCGTGAATTGATTCATGGGGATTTGCAGCATTATGGCATCCTTTGGGCTGTCATCGAATTGCACAACGCCTGTTGTCTCCTTTAATAGATGAAGCATTACTGCTCGCGGTCCCGGAGTCAGCTCGGTGCTTATCCCGGATGTGATAAGTCCTGACAGTGGGTAGCCTTCGGTTCCCGTATAGGATCCCGCTGCGATAATGGCGATCATCGCGCCAATAGAATGAGACAGGAGCACGATGCCTGTTGCTCCGGAACTTTTGCCGTACTGCTCCCACAGGAATGGTAGTACTGTGGAATTCAGATACTTTCCCTGGGCTTGGCCGTAGGTGGTGTCTTTATCCATGGCATCCATTGGGACAGTGGAACTGGATCCGTAACCCGGCCGGGTTAAGGAAATGACGGGTATTTTTGCCGGTACTGAGGTACTGAGAATGGAATGGTCGTCATCAGCATCAAAGTACTCCGCATCATAGCTGCCACCATGAATGCAGACGATCAGCGGTACATGGTTGGAAGTTGGGGATGTAGTCGGGAAATTGAATCGTCCAGAGATTGTACCTCCATTGGGGAGGGTAGTCTCAAAAATTTCCATACTCTTTCAATTGCCTATTCTGGAGTTTGAAGCAAGGGAGAAAACGATTTCCAGGGGTGTTGGTTGGACGCGGGGCACCAAGCTAACAACTGTTAGAAGACTAGCCCTAGAGGGCATGTAATAAACAACGGCTTGTTAGTTTATCCGGTATTTACGATACAACTCTTAGAACCCCTCACTAAATGTAGGTAAATACTGTCGACAAGGAAAGGATGGGTATTTTTCTGTGTGAAAGACATGTTCAAGATATGTCAACTGGTAGAGTGAGAGTCTCCAAGAATGCTGAGGTACTCCGTACAGAGTACATAATAGGAGAAAATCATAGGCAAACGACCAGATGGTTCGGCCAGCCGCACCGTCTTGTTGACAATTCGAGTGACCGAATTGACCATTGCTCCAATGATAATGAGCATAACATACACGCGGATGTCGAAGCGGACGTTAAAGCCGGTACTGTGGGATCCGATTCCTAGGAAAATGCAAAGACCCCCTATAGCCGTCCGCATCTCAACTTCAGAATGAACGAGACGGCTTGCGATGGGAGTTAATCGGAATTCACCAGGAGCGAATGGCAATGGATGTAAGATGTAAGTTGGGTCCAACGCATGGCAGGTAGAGAGACCAATTCACCGCTCTCTGCTTCTTCCTACAACCCGATCGATCTGACACGTAATATTGGGAATATTTTGTGGAGTCGTTTTTGAAAGTCTTTTTTATACGCCTTTTTTGATGATCCCTTTTCCCTCAAAACATCTAATATATACATAGTTGGGGTACTAGAGCACCTCTGTTTCAGGGTATTGGCTGTTCTCGTCATAATGTAGACATATTTAAGTACAAAATTCTACCTATGGCTCATTGGTTTTCATTCAATAGCAGGAAAGGAAAGTGAGACAACTGTTGCATCATTTGCAGCGAGATACCCAAGATAGTACTATCAAATTATGGTGCCAAAGGCTTCCCCTGAAGCAGCTGAGCCAGATAATGAAGTGTCCACCCTAGGGGATTGACAGAAGTGATACTCTCATCCCAACATCAATTTCCCTGGGCTAATTTTTTCATCTTTGTAACACATTACAAAGGAACTTCTGTGCAAATAAACACTAGTCACAGATCTTTTTCTGGGACTGATATGTAGTAGCCTCGCTCATGTATCGCGGGGAATGACGAGCCGAGAGTAGCGTATTCCGTCGGAAATGGCACAAACGCCACGAAATCTTCGTCACGATCTTAGGAGATCAGTAGCTAAAATGTCAATGCAATGCGTTAGTCTATCAACTCAAATAATCCATAGTCAAACTCACTGGTCGCTGAAATTCACTCCCGCTCTGTTCTTGTAGACTTCAGACGACTGAAAATGTAAGGCCTAATGATTGACAAGGGTAAACTGAGTCGTTTTTAAAAAGCTGCTCCCACGGGATGAGCTATCAAGTCCAATTTGTTCTTCCCATATGCTGTAGAAATCCAACATTCTAACAATCAACGTTTGCTGACCAACGCATAATCGCCAAAGCTTGCCCAATGGCTCGGGCATAATGCTGGATAAGTAGGTTCAGTTGGATCATCCGATCAAGGCACACGTTGAAGTTTCTAACTGTGAAGTTGTTTGTGTGGTGATGGGGTCATTCGCACCATGCCGAAGTTGTCGTGCTACAGCCAGGCAGATGACGGGATAGCTTGTTCTTAGAGTCAAACTGTACCGCACTGGACACACTTGACGGATGATTTAGAAAGTGCGGCAGGTCACTCGTTCGTCAGACGAGTGGCCGCCTTGCGAAAAGGAAAATGCGCGAGATCGTGTACGGCAGAGTGGCCTGAAACCAAGGTTATATAGTCTCTAGGATCTAGAAACCCACAGTCTTCAAGGGCGAGTTGATAGGCAGTTGCAAGGATGAAATAGCTGAGCACACTCTTTAGCGGACCGAGATCTTTCAGGTAGTTCGCTATGACGATGGTTTTTCATGTCCGTACCGGTGCCATATCTCTCTTGGCTGTCTCCTGCCCGCCTACGCCGGTTCTCGTTCTGAATTCGGGGAAGAAGTCTTCTCCGAAATGTCCGGGCGGAGGTCCACAAGTTCTGATGATGTTTGGTTGACCGTAAACAGCTTCCTGAGAGTGAAGTGATACTGTCCATCTCACTTTTCTCCCGACCAAGTCGATTTGCAGTGTTGCGAGACACCTGTCCGTGCCAGTCAGTGAGGCGTCGAATCAGGGCTGTCTTTTAATGATGGGGGTTAAATGGCGGGTTGAGAGTGGTTGGGGGATCTAATATATAGCTCGAAGAAAAAAAAAAAACAGTAAAAGAAGGTAAGCAACCGAAGAGTGAGGTAAATGAAGATGGAAATACAATTCAAAACTCGTTCATTGGGTATAAAAAGGAAACAAGAGTGACTCCACGAAGACGATGCAAGGGAATCAGGTAGCGACCTAGGTGAAGCTGAGCACCCAGGCCGCCCAGCAGGTAAGTACAGGTACAAGAAGGAAAGCGCTATGAAGAATCCTCAAAGCTAGAATCCGAGGAATCTGACATTGAGGTATCTCTAATCGGAACAGGAGCACCGATACTTTCCAATCCTCGGGGCTTTTCTAAAGCTCCACTGGAAGCATCGAGCTTTGCCTTCGGATCAACACCGGCTTCCTTCTTAAGTCGCTCATAGTTATCGCCGGCTTCCTTGATCATCGCCTGGATCTCTACCTCACGAATTGCGATATCTGCCTTCTCCTTTCTCAATTCCTCCATCCGGCTGATCATCTGTGTTTTCGAGACTTCCATGGATGCCAAAGACGTGCGTAATCTTTCAAAGCTGCTAGCAAGTCGTGGAAGAGATGTCACCTTGGGAGGAGTCTTTGGACGATCAAGACCACCTGACTTGCCACGACCCATGGCCGCATGGACCTGGGCGGCTTCATAGGCAGCCTTCTCCTCCAAGTCAGAATCATCTTCATCGGAGACACCTTCAGCATCCTCAATGAGGTCACGCATTGCATCCCTGTCCTTCCTCTTCTTCTCGCGCTCTGCCTTTCGCCCGAGCGCCATCTTGCCATCCTCAGTGAAGGCTTCGAACCCTTCCGCAAAGTCCTCATCGTCCCGAACCAGCCTTGTATCTTCGACCTTCTTTTCCCCTCGTGCAACCGCATCCCAGTCATCAACGTTGGCTGCATCGTTGGCGTCCAAGGAAATGAAGCCGTCGTCCTCCGCACCGTGTTCCATGGCCAGGCGTGCGCGTCGGGCTTTTTTCTCCCGAATCTCGGCTTCGCTCGGAATGTGTGCTTGTGCCGGAACAGTCATAATCTCACCAAACTTAGCTGCAACATCCACAGCCGTGCTGGTTTCGTCGTCGGTGGTTGTCTTCGGCGTTGAGGGTGTGGAATCGCGAAGTTCCTTCAAGTAGTCATGACTGTAGGTAGGCCGGTCTGGGTCTTGGCCGACTCTGGCAGTTAGCCTTTCAGCTGAGACTGAAGGCAGTGGACCGGCACCCCTTTCCATTGCCTTGCGCCCCAGACCGTGGCGCTTGGGTAGGACTACTTCGCTCTCTTCGTCTCCATCGTTCATCGACGTCTCGGGCCCAAAGGATAACTGTAATTTAGATCTTTGCTTCGGCTTGAAGGCAGCTGGACGCTTAACAACTGGCTCTGCAAATCTCCATGTCAGATTTCACCTTAATCGGCGGATATCTAATGTAGAAAAAAAAGTATTCTCAGCCCACATACCTGGTACAGCGCCTTCATCATCCTCTTCGTCATCACCGCCAACCTTACGTGGCTTTCTGCGATTGGCAAATCTAGAACTCATCTTTGGAAGTACGTAGCAATCAATATTGCAGAAAACAAAGTGATTCAACTTGGTGGCGTGAGTGCGCGAGCGAGCTTCACACCTGGAACAGTGGGCAGCTCTTATCGCGTATCTCATATCCGGAATATCATTTCTCCCGCCCAGCTTGCACCAAACTCCCAAAGCCACTGCGGTAACTTGAATCTTGCCAAACCCCAATATACCCAACCAACTCGCCCAAGATGCCTCAAGCTCAGCCTGAATTGAAGAAGGTTAGTGCCTTTCCTGAATCCGTGCTCTTTTTGTCTGTCCTGAGATCTCAGCTGACGTCGCGTCTTTTCTGCAGTACATGGAGAAGCGGGTCTTCTGCCAACTGAACGGCAACCGCAAAGTCATTGGTATCCTTCGAGGCTACGATGTATGTCCACACCTATTGACCCAGCTATCTTGATACTGGGATAGCAGCTCCCCCGCCGGAAGAGTGGGAGGACGGCCGTACCGATCAAGCGCAGAATAACTAACAATGCTTTCGCAGGTCTTCATGAACATTGTCCTGGATGAGGCATTCGAGGAGAAGGAAGGCGGAGAGAAGTCTGCCATTGGCATGATTGTACGTTGAATCCTCATCTATAGGTATTGGGAATCCCGCTAACAGATCCTCGTCCCACCAGGTCATCCGCGGTAACTCCGTTGTAATGCTCGAGGCCCTCGAGCGCATTACCGATAAATAAGCCACACATCTACACACACGATCTACGACGTTTCTTTTGATTGAAAGGGCACGCACATAGGCACCACTCTATCACCGAGTGCTGGGAAAAGATCTAATGCTACTGGGAGTTTCTGGGTCGGTTTCCCTCATGGGAACAATCAAAACCTTTTTTTCTGTTCTATTTTTTTTTCTGCTCGTTTGCCAGGGCGCATGTTAGACTACTATGGCTATCCAAATGACCTTTTCACCAGATACTCCTACTCTAGAGATTTACCAGGGGAGATGAACATAGGGCACATTTGGTATTGAAATCGGAAGATAAAGCTGAATCGACATCGCGCCTGGGAGCATGCTTGGATTCCATCCTCTTGCCTGAGTCAATGGCAAAGGCGAGAGATAATAAAGAGATAATGATAAAATACATGTGATACTGGAAACGACATCGTGAGATATTCATGTTGGTCTACCACCGAACTTGATCTTTAGCTTGGGTGTAGACGAGGCAGGAGCTTTCGGAGTTGCGCCTTGCGCAGGAGATGGCCTGGGGATGTGGATTTTGGGGAGAGAGGTAGGAGTTGGAGTTCCTGGAGTCAGGCCAGTCTTGGACTGTTTGAACGTAATACGGGTTGATGAAGGTGGGTGTATGCCTTGATCTTCGCGCTTGCGCTTGGAGGACGGACCCATCCGAGCTTTGGTAGATCGATAGAACCGTAGTTTGCCTTGTCCCTGGTTTTGCACACTCCAATATCGAGGGAGTCTCATCCGCACGAGTTTGGAGGTGCTTGGGTCATAGAGGGTACGGCAAAGGTCAGTGAGTTCGGAGAGCTCCAAGAGACCCATACACGGCGAGTTGCACGCTGCCCACATACATTCCTTCATCAAGGTGTCGCCAGAAAGCTCTCGTTTGAGGGCTTCAATCGCACCAGGAATGGTCTGGCGTCGTGCGATATCGTCTCGGCGGATTTGGGTGGAAGATTCTTGTTCGATAATCAATCCATCGTTTTGGGAGGCTTCGCTTTGTTGGGGACGACCAAAGGCAATCTGTGCTAGGGTCTGACCGAGCAAGCGTAAAGATTGGTGGCGTATCCAGGGCGAAGAATCGGTCGACAACGTGAACATGAGCCATCGAAGAAGCTCTGGGCTCTGTGAAATATCTAGGTCGACCAAGCATTGGAAGGCTTGCATCCGGAGAAGATCATACGTTCCTGCTCGCGTATATGGGATGAAACGCATCAAATCCAGGTCGATCATCTTGGCTTGCATCAATTGCGCCTGGCATTGAAGTGCAGCTCGAGAGTAGAGGTTTTGGAAAGAGCTAGACCATTCGTCCATTCGTCGATAGCGGTCAAACTCGGCAATGGTATCCTTGTCCAGTTGCTCCTCGGCCTGAGCCTCAATGACACGTTCCATATCGAAATGGTCTAATTCCTCATCTGTCCGCGACTCGCCCTTGCCAAGCATCGCATGACATAATGACTTCATCAAGGAGGCGACATAGTAGTTGTCTGAATACTCATTGTTCGAGTTGTCATTGAACTTGAGTTTATCGAAAAGGAATCGCTTCACCCTTAGTGGAGTTTTGCCACTGTTGTCACGGACTTTTGAAATTGCCTCAGGGATGACTTGTTGGAGGATGTAGGCCGCTCGATCAGAGAAATCATTCGAGCGAGTCATGGGCGATCCTGGGAGACAGAAAAGCTCTTGGAAAGCCTTTTCAAGATGATACAGTCCAACCCAATCCACCTCATCCTTAGCGTGTTTTACCAAGGCACGCGCAGCCGTGGTACGTATGCCATGAAAGTATCGACTATCCATGAGTGTGCGAACAAAGATCGTGGAAATCAGAGGGTGCTCTCGTTGAGCAGTCATGTATTGTAGCGACTGGGAATATTAGCATCATGCTTCAACTCGTTGAAAATAGCAATATAACGCACCTCGAGCTGGGCCACGACATCTCGATCTTGCTGAAGTTGTGAGAGATACATGTACCCCGGCATACCGAGAGACAGTTTACAGATCCATTCAAAGTCTGCATCCATTCGGATCCACTCATAGGATTCCTGCCCCATTCGCTCCTCGTCCTCTTTCGTCCAGTCAGCCAAACGCCAAGCCTGTGCCTCTTCTTCTGTCTGAAGCACATCCCCCAGACAGTAGAGTAGAACTTCTTCCTGGACTTCAGCATCGCCTGAGGCGACGGCTCTTTCTCTCTGCTTTTTGTTGCGTTTGAGCCTCTTGTACTTTGTGTTGTATGGAATATCGAACTTCGTCACCCCCTCCTTGATTTCGACGATATGTTCATACGGAGTTCCATCTGCTTCGTGAATCCGGAGGGTCATCGACCCTGTGAAGACCGGCTGAACTGCGCCCGCGTAGACGTGCCGGACCTCCTCCTTCACGTCACGCAAGAAGGAATCCTTATCGAGATCGCGAGGAGGTTGTGGTTCAGATTGGACCTGTCTGATCATCATTTCAACAACGAGTTTCTTCTTGTTGAATCGTTGGGTCGCTTGGAATCGTGGGCATCCCGCGCCATATACCCATTGTTGGAAGAAGACGTCTAATTTCGCGTGTCCCAGGCGCTCACAGGTTCTCTGGAACAGGGTCGTGGTGACAGCTCCATTCGGTATATCACCCATGCGAGAGTTCAAGAAAAGTCGAGAAATTATGCGGGACATTGTAGCCTTGCCACTCGCCTTCGTCAGTCGACGATCAAGAATGAACAGGACTAAAGGCGCTTTCAATGCGACGAAACGATATTCGGAGGGGTCGACCTTAAGGATGTTGCCCATGTCATATATCGAGGGACGCTCGAAATCCAACTCGCAGACTTGGTCAGACATCTGCTTCAACCTGAAACGGTATTCATTGTTTCCGCAAAGCTTTCTCATGAACGTATCTGTAATGTACCATGCCACACCAACTGTCACCCATGTATCCGAGGGCTCGCTGGGAATGATGTTGATTCCAGTCCACTGACATGCCAGACCGTGCACCTGAGCCCGAGTGGAGTCATACATAGGGTCGATCATCTCAGCTGGGAAGAGCAGATGGCTACTGCAGATTGACAAGCATGCAGTGGGAAGGCTATCAGTGGGAAGATCATCGACAAAACACATCTTGTAGCTGCCAAATGGATACGACCCGTATGACAAAGAGAAGAAGTCGATCGCCTGAGCCATAGGGAAACTACTATTCTGAACTTCGTCGGCTCTGCCTGGGAGGCAGAATGCGTGCAACGGAATCGCATTTTGGCCAAGTTGTTCATCCTGGTCACTTTCGCGGAAGTCGGCCAGGTTGACATACTCGAAGGGACCAATGGCGAACCCAATTTGCAAGGCTCCCAATGGTGAATATGACGCGAATGAAACTGTTTTGCGGGTGTGGTCCTTGGGGTCGACAATGTCATCAGTCAAATCGCCAGAGCATACCACGGACATATCAAGGCCCTCGTCGTCCGCAGAAAGTTGACGGGTCTGTGATTTTGGGTGAGATGGAGTTGTTGTATCAGATGCGTCTTGGTTCTTGCTCTTGCGGTCGAAGACATCACCAAGAGAGCTAGGACATGTTATGGAAACCTCCCAGGTACATCGCGAGGATATATCATCCACGCATGGAAACAAGGGACAGCCGATACCAGATTCAAGCGAGTTGGTGGTGTATGCATGGGGATAGCGTCGATCTCCATTTTCGACACCGACAAATTGTAAGCCATCCCGAATATTATCAATAACAAATTCGATGTTGACTGTCAGAGCCGTGAATCGTGGGAGGTTTGCCTCTGGCGCTCTGGCACTAGAAGGGCCATCCACATTTTCGACGGTAGATTGGAGGGCGATTTGATCCTGCGCTTCGGCTGAAGATGGATCTAGTTCATCGATGCGGACGCCCTTTGGAATCGTGATGGGCAGGGTAGGTCTTGGGGGAGTCTGTAAGAGACTATGGATCTTTGGTGTCAATCGCTCGTGGTATTGTACGCCGTAGAGTTGGAGCGACTCGTATTGATTGGTGTATTTTGTTGTTGCAGGCTTGCCGTTAACGCTCAGTTGCTTGACCTCGCCCTGTCGAAAATTCAACCAAATCGTCCCTAGATCTCTGCGACGAGGGTGAATTGTGATTTCCGTCTTTCCTTTGAGACTCTTAGAGGCTAGATCAATCTCAAGTTCGACTTTTTGATGTCCCACACTGAACCCCAGGTCAAACGGGCGTGCCGCAGCACCAACGGGGAGTTCAACAACACCCGGCATCGTGAAGATTCCTCAGTGACGAGATGCGCGGGGAGCGCTTTGTAGACCATCCACCGTCATGTCCAACCAGACTCGAGATATGATTGTATTTTCGAGGACTGAAAGAAATCGAAGCGTACGTCGCGTGGCGCAGATTCGAGCTCCAGATGACAGTGAAATGCGAGGTGGGAGATTACGCGATTATGGTAGACGGTCGAGTATCGCAAGGCGCTGAGGTAGATCGTGTGCGTGAATCAAAGGCTGAAGTGAGGCGCAATTGATGATTTCGAGGGTACAATTAGCGGCAACAATGCGACTCAAATCTGAACAATGCACCAGCAAATCCCTGGTGGTCTCGGTCAAGTCAAGCTTCCCTTGTTCGCGTTCCCGATGCGGAGCAAGGCACGTGATTTCGACCTGAAAACCACTCTCGAAACATTTCCACTTCTCCTTTTCTCCACGTAATCTCAAGGGTCAACATTTGTGTTTAAAGGCATGATTTGATTTGCTGTGCATTTGTCCATCTCACCCACTTGTTTGCCCGCCTCGCTATGAACTGAGGTGTTGGTGTTTACCCCAACTATACTACAACTCCGCGCATAACACGGCCTAATCTTCAAAAATGAGTGCAATCTATCGCATGGTCAAAGGTTGGTGATACGGAGACGGTGGTCATGATATATATACTGTGGCTTATTTGCTAATTCACCTTCGAACCCTACAGAGACCCAAGATAGCCTCTCAGACGAGGACCTCCTACCCCTTAAGTCCTACAAGTATTCGAGTGTCGACAAGTCGTTTATTTCCCAGTATATCTTGAAGCACTACGTATGGCAACCTGAGACCCTGCACGAGTCGCGCGACTTCAGAACGAAGAATTGACTTTCCCCCTGTTTAGTGGAATGCCTTCGTCGAGGTTGTGCCGATGTGGATGGCCCCGAATATGGTGACCCTTCTCGGGTTTATGTGGATCGTGGCCAATATCTTTATAATTGAGATTTTCGTGCCAGATATGGTGGGACCCGTGAGTGTTCCTGTTCCTTCCTCGGTGATTTATTGGAAGTGGCGAGTTAACCAGATATTGCAGGGCCCCGCATGGATTTACTACAGCTTTGCTCTTGGCATGTGGATGTGAGTAACCGGCTACCTACCATATATATGATTCCGACTCACACGAGATAGGTATTCGACCCTCGACAATGTGGATGGTAAACAGGCACGCCGGACCGGGACGTCCAGCGGACTCGGAGAACTTTTTGAGTTTGTACCACTTTCCGAAGAGCCATGGATGGATCACTAATCAGCTACAGTCACGGTATCGACTCTCTGAACTGCACTCTTGCCAGTCTGCTTTCGACCGCCGCAATGGGCTTCGGAGCCACGCATCTTGGTGCTTGGACCGCACTCGTGCCTTGCCTGGCCATGTATTTCTCGACATGGGAGACCTTCCACACCCACACCCTCTACCTCGGCTACTTCAATGGCCCTACCGAGGGCCTTCTCATCGCCATTGGAAGTATGATTGCTTCCGGAATTTGGGGCCCTGGGATATGGTCTCAACCCATTGTGGGGTTCCTTAACTTCCCTCTAATCTTCGGCAACAACTCGATCAAAGACCTGTGGGTCCCCATTCTCCTGGGTGGCTTCTTCCTTGGCCATCTCCCTGGATGTGTTATGAATGTGGCCGAAGCCCGCAAGAAGCAGGGCCTGCCGTTCGCTCCGTTGCTGAAGGAATGGGTGCCGATGATCATCTTCACTTTCTCCAACATTGCCTGGCTGTTCTCGCCTCATTCGGCTATTCTTTCCGACAACCACCTGGTTTTGTTCTGCTGGGTTCTTGCGTTCGTGTTTGGACGCATGACTACCATGATCATTTTGGCCCACCTCCTGAGACAGCCCTTCCCCTACTGGACTGTGATGCAGGCCCCTCTCATCGGTGGCGCGGTCCTCGTCAACTTGCCGATGATCGGCTTACCAGCCATTGCTCCATGGCTGGAACTGCTCTATCTGCGGCTGTACTTCATCTACGCCCTGGTCATCTACATGCACTGGGCGGTCCTCATTATCAACCGCATCACCACTTTCCTCGGCATTAACTGCCTTACTATCCGAAAGGATAAAGGTGTTGCGCGAGATAGAGCTTATCGCGACCTTGGTGAATCGTCCCACCTAGATCGGTCTCACGCTTCGACTGACACATCCAAGACCCATTAACTTAGTACACGCCACTCCATCTTGATGGAAGAATCTACGATCGACACTAGTTTATTTGGGTCATTCGTCCTTTGGCCTTGCGTTTTCCCCTTGGCCGTGCCATAAAAACGCCCTGGGCGGTGCATTGTTTAAATGTTCAACCTCATTGTAATTATGAACATGGCCATTCTTCCTCTACATATGTGTTATGATCTTGATCTGATATGAGATATAACAATCCCGAGTGGATTTTGATGAAACCAAGCATGGAAATTGTACCCTGCTGCATACTTGTACTTACGAGAATATTAATATTTGTGAATAGATGAAAATGAATCAAAATGAAATCCAAGTTCATTAATCTTGAAAGAAGAGTCAATCATACATAGTACAGGTAATTAGAAAAATAACACCAAGACCAACGCTGGCAAAAACATGAAGACAGAGAAAATCACAAAAGCACCGCCATTATAAGATTCAAACCAATTCAGCTTTTCATTTCTTTCCACCAAGTCCGAGAGCATCGGTCAAGCCACCCAGACCGAGTCCATTAATCAACTTGTCCAATCCAAGACTGCCAAGAAGACCACTCAACAATCCACCAAGACCAAGACCATCAAGCAGACGACCAACCAGTCCAAGCACACCAGTAAGCAACAAGCCAACAGCAGCAATGATCTGGAACAATGGCTCAGAGAGCAAACCCCAGAGGGGATTCAACTTCTTCTTGGCATGAGGCATATCAGCGATGCGTCTCTTGCCGTTGTCAATACACTTGACGACCGTCTCAGTCAGCTCCTTGATCATATCGGCAAGCTGGTACTCCTCGGGGGTGGCATCACGGGCAGCAGCGCGGGCCTTGGCTGTCGCGGCAATGCGTCCATCAGGGTCGAGACCGCGGATGGCACCGTTGCACTCTTGCAGAATGCGGCCACCTTCTTCAAGGAGCGGCTTGACGGTTTGAACAAGCTTCTCCTCGTCAAGCTCGTCCTTCGGCGTGCGGTCAGCTTTGTCGCAGGCATCAGTGATCTGCTTGCAGATAGGCTTGACCTTATCAAGAGTCTGGCTCAGGATGGATATCATCTTCTGTGCGAGCTGGCGGTCGTTCTCGGCCTTGGCCGCGGCCTCCTGCTCTTCGGGAGTAGGTCCCTCCTCTTCCTCCTCCTCGGGCTCTTCGGGCTCTTCGGGCTCTTCAGGCTCAGGCTCGGGGATGTTCTCGAGCAAGGTGCATTCGCCGATCTTATTGCCATCGTTGTCAACAACATAGCCGTTGTCGTCGATAACCTTTCCGATAAGCGTGGCCAGGTTACCCGAAGTCAGCTTGCCAATGAGGTTGCCGTCTGCATCGCGGACTTCGCCCTCTTTGTTGACCTTGCGTCCAGACATGGGGTTCACTTCGCGCTTCTTCTCCTCGGGCTCCCAGCGCTCAGCCTTACCGATGGTGTTGCCGTTCTTGTCGGAGACATCGCCATCCTCGTCAACCTTGCGGCCGAGAAGGCGCTTGGCGTCACCTTCGATCAGACGTCCGATGATCTTCTCACCGTCAAGGACGACTCCGTCCTTTCCGACGACAGCATTGTCAAAGCCGAAGAATGGTCCTTCCGCCTTATTCTGCTCGGCGCCGGGGATGAGCTCGGCGCGTCCAACGACCTTGCCATTGTCACCCCAGATTTGGCCCTTGCCGTCGACCTTGCATCCAGCAAGGCGCTTGTCACCTTCGACGATGCGTCCGACGACGGCACCAGTAGCGGGGTCAACAACGTTGCCAGACTTATTGACAACCTTGCCCTCGAGGATAGAGAGGTCCTCCTCGACAGGTTCCTCCTCTTGGGGAGGCTCGTAGGGCTCAGCACGGCCCTTGACATTGCCGTACTTGTCGGTGATCTCGCCATCCTCGTCGACAGCACGACCACGCAGCTTCTTGGGGTCACCTTCGACAAGCTGACCAACAATGGATCCTTCATCATCCTCGACGAATCCGTCCTTGGTTACAAAGAGACTCTCCATACCAGCGAACGGACCCTCGGGCTTGCTTTCGATCTCATCCTCAGGAATGAGCTCGACACGGCCAATGACCTTCTTTCCGTCGTAGATCTCGCCGTCCTCGATCTTCTTGCCAGCAAGCTCCTTAGGATTGCCCTCAACAACACGGGCAATCGGGTACCCCTCGGGTCCGATGACATAGCCAGCCTTGTTGCAGGTAAGACCATTGATAGCAGAGAAATCAGGACCAGCCTCTTCCTCAGCCTCGGGCTCTTCCTCCTCGGGTTCGAGGCGCTCAGCGCGTCCGATGACGTTACCCTTGCGGTCGAGGATTTCACCATCCTCATCGACGCCACGACCGCTCAGTTTCTTCGCATCGCCTTCAACAAGACGGCCAACGCGAGTAGAGTTCTCGTCCTCAACAAAGCCGTCTTCGGTGACGACAAGACCCTCTAGACCGGAGAAGGGGCCTTCCTCGCCTTCATCCTCCTCCATGGGTAGCGCCTTCGCTTGACCAATCACATTGCCGCGATTGTCCCAGAACTGGCCCTTGTCGTCGAGTGTTACGCCGAGCTTAGCCAGTTTCTTAGGGTCTCCTTCAGTGAGTTCGCCAACGGGCTTACCGGTGGCTTGGTTGATGATGTAGCCGCGCTTGTTGCAGACCATGCCTTCGAGAGTCTTGATGTCGGGGGTCCGTGCCGCAAGTTCCTCGGCGGTCTCCTCGGCGTCTTCAGCCGCATCTTCCGCGGTGTCCTTGACCTCTTCCGCGGTGTCATCGGCGGTATCTTGGGAGTCGTCGACAACACCTTCCACGGCGTCAGTAGCGTCCTCGGCGTCAGTAGCGTCCTCGGCGTCTGGGGCAACACCTTCGGCGGTATCCTTGGCACCTTCGACGTTGTCATCGAGAGCCTCCGTAGCGTCTTCGGCGTCGGAGGCGGCGTCGGAGACAGCATCTTCGGCAGTAGACTTGGCACCTTCGACATTGTCTTCGAGGTCGATCTTGCTCTTGCCATCCTCGGCAGTGGACTTAGCACCGTCAACGGTGCCATCCACGGCATCGGCGGCATCTTCGACGTCGGAGGCGGCGTCTGAGGCGGCGTCGGAGACAGCATCTTCGGCAGTAGACTTAGCCTTGTCGGCAGTTCCTTCGACATCGGGAACATCGTCCTCGACCTCATCGGCGACGCCATCCACAGTCTTGGCCTGAGTGGCGGATAGACCATCCTCAGCATCTTCGTATTGATCCTCCAGGTCGTCCTTAGCGTCATCGACCTTGGAAGTGGCATCGCCAGCGGCACCTTCGATGGCCTTCTTCTGCTCCTCAACAGGAATCAGATCAACGCGGCCAATGGCATCGCCCTCTTCATCGACGATCTCACCATCCTCATTGAGGGTATACCCAATAAGATCCTCTGGGTCACCCTCAACAATACGGCCAACGATCTGACCAGCAGCGTTCTTGATAACGCCGCCATCAGAAACAGGAAGTCCTTCAAGCTGAGCGAGATCCGTAACAACATTGTCGAGATCAACCTCTCCAAGGTCCTCCTGTGCGTTATCAGCGGCATCCTCGGCGGCATGTTTAGCCTGGTCGGCTACCTCATGCAGGATATCAACGCGACCAATCAAGTCACCATCCTCGTCGACAATCTCTCCATCATCGCCGACAACCTGCCCGACAAGATCCTCAGCATCTCCCTCAACAACCTTGCCAATGGGGTTTCCGTCTTGTCCGAGGATATTTCCGCCCTCGGCGACCTCAAGACCCTTCAATGCAGAAAGGTCAAAAGGCACGGGCAGGTTATCGATGGCAGTCTGGGCGGTATCTTTGGCGCCATTCGCGACACTCTCGGTGCTTTTCTGCGCTGTCTCATTTGTCTTTCCGGCAATGTTCTTAGCCTTGCTGGTCAAACCGGAGGCGCTGCGGCCGAGGGGGGGCAGCGGAGCCAGAGGCGGAAGGCACCTGGGAGGCGGCGTCGTCGGGTGGGGAGACGGGGCGACGTTGTTCGGAGCGCTTCTTTGACTTCGGGGAGGGTGTCTCGGGGATCGATTGCTCTTCGATGTCGTCGTCGAGTGGTTCGGGGGCTTTCTGGGAGAGTTTGCGAGGGGTGGCCTTCTTTGCGGGCTTGGGGCTTGCGGCGGCAGTACTAGGCTTGCTGGCTGCGCTGGAGGCAGAAGTTTTGCGAGTTTTGGCGGGAGTTCCGGCCTTGGAACCCAACTTGGGGGGTGCTTTGCTCACGGCTGGGGAGGACATGGCTGTTTTCGTTCGTGTTTCGATGTTTGAGATTGTTGTTGGTATAGAGAATCAAAATCCAGTCTGATAATTGCAAATTGAAAGCAATGCAGTTGTTTCCGTTAAAGAGTCGTGGGTATACTTCGTAAAAACGTATGCGTGTGGAATGATAATGTACAAATCCCGAGAATAGGCTATAGTTCGGGATGATAAGTGGTAGATTCTAGATTGGTAGAAATATAGCAGGTTTGAATGATCAAAATAATAATATGATGAACCTCTACAGCAGATTAAGATGTTTATATAAAGACTGCAAAGATTCTGATATCATCAAACCAAGTATACTATCCCAACTGTAACCAGGTACAATACCTGCAGAGCACTGCAGAGCATACTACGTCATGGGCCATTGATATCATAATGGCCTTTTGTTATTATTATTTTCTGTTTTAAATCCCTGCTCGGGGGATCGTCATGGAGTTAATCTATACATATAACATCGTATGCACGGTGCAGCGGCTAGGACCTGGTAGGGCGATAGGTAGCATCATCGGCATCATGCAGTGGGTCGATTTGACCTGCCAAGCGGAGGATTTGTTTGGGAAATGGTTGATCCATACAATATTGCAGGGTGGACGCACGAATCAGAGGGCTGTAACTGGGATATGGGGGGCAATGTGGCTAAATCGGGGTGTAGAAGAAGATTGAGCTCTGTGCTGCTTCAACACGGGAGTTTGACTGTACAACTCAGAGGCACCGATAGTCTATAGTAACACGCGTCTATTGAATTATAGATATTTTATTGCACGATAGCACCTTGTCCGAGAGGAAGTGGGATATTCTTCCTATATTTTATGTTCCTGGCAGTCCCAAGGTTCTAGGCTTTCCGGACAATTAACATACAAAAAGCAAGCTGATTGGTCGAATGTCTAGATATTACCCTGGATGCTCCCCGCAGCCACGCTATGGTAAACGTGGGAAATGAACAAATCAGAGATCTATCAGAGAGGCGATATTGTCCAAATTTGCTTGAAATTTGCCTCCCGGAGGTACCTGTCAATTCTGTCAATGCCTGTCATTGTCCCTGTTTTGTGGAAAAAAGAAATGAAAGAAGCATCCTGGTTCGCCGGCTCTAGTTTTTTTTTCCCTGTACCCCGAATCATCATTACATCAGAAATTTGTGTGAAAACTCTTGAACAGTGCATTCTACTTAATGTTTCTCCACGTGAACAGTTACGATATAGGAAGCATTTACCGCACGCAATACAATATAAGCATCTTGTTCAACAAATGACGTTTTCACCTACGATATTTGTGTAACAATTCATGAAATGTATATTCAGATAGAAATAATAGTAACAAGCAAAACTGGGCTACGGTTCAGGTCCTGTCAGACATGGGAGTGTCAAGAGAGGGCAGTATGAGATCATATTAATCTATTTGGGTGGAGAGTTCAGCCACACAACTCATTTTCTGATATCATAGTCCGAATTCAAGGAATATTCTTATTTTTCTTGTCAATCTTTCATATTCTATATTCTCAAAAAGAAATATTTAATTGCAGTAGCAATATATACAATATGTACAATATGTACAATATGTACAACATAGTCGTGTAACAGGTCAGTGGAAATTCCCCGATTATCAACTCCAGAAATCAAGATTTGCCTCTACCTCTTGGCAGCTTGTGTAATCTCTTGGGGGATCAGCTCTATATTGTATGATCATATTGCACTACATAGAATATAGCACATGGGACCTGGATCTATATATCGCATGATATAGTATGATATAGTTATTCGTTGCTCTCATCTAAGCGTGGTACTCCACCCCGTCGTTATATATTTGTGTAGATGACCCTTGCGAAATATAAAACAAGTATTAATATTCACTCATTCAGTTTTGAAATTAATCTAGACTTGACTTCCAATCAAGATCGATCGGAGTTTGACTCCTCGTCGTTGCCAACCCAATTAGGAAAAATTTGGTGATGTTCGCCACTGTTGAATACTACCCAAGTCGGATAAGATCAACTACAACATACAATATATGTTGTACACATATTTTGAAATCGAATAACTTAATAGTTGTGAATAAAGAACTCTATACAAAAAAAATTATCAAGTCATCACCAAGTATCACTTGTTTGCATTCAATTCCCCTTCCACATCTATCTCCATCTCTTCTCGCGTCAGTGTTGTCCATTGTAGCATCAATTCTTCCAGTTCCCGATCCACTGTTTTGATATGAGAGAAAGCTGGAGGTGGATTATTTGTAGCTATGGGATTTGACACGGCTTCCTCATATTTGTTAGTCTGCTGAGGTGTGGGGTTCATATACCACGGGTTCTGCATATACTGCGGTACGCCGCCGTGGTTGCCTTGAATTTGGGGTTGGACTGGGTACTGATAGCCATCGATAGCGGCTTTAAGGTGAAATGGTCTCTTATGTATGTCAGACTCGGTCTTGTCGACTTTCTTGTACTGTTTTCCGACGAAAAAAGAACTAGTTGCATTGAAAAACCGGGTAACTCGACGCCTCCCGAGATCAGGTGAATGACTGTTATGATGATGATGATGTGTCGGTGAGGTATCGATTAAACTGTCATCGGCTTTAATGATGGTATCCGGTATACATTGTTCGTCTAGTTCTGCAGCTTGTGCTTCTGCGACACCATTGGGAGAAAGCCGCTCTGGGTGGTATTGCTGTTGTGTATTGGGCTTAGGAAGACAAGATTCTCTGAAGTTGAAAAAGGGGTCATGAAGATCCCGAGTTGCAGAATGCCCGTGGGTGTGTTGGAAAAGAGACACTTCCATCGAGTGCACATTTGCGACTCCATTCCTGATCCTGAGCACCCGGCTCTTTTCTAAGCTATGGTGGCACGCGTCGATCTCGCTGAGCAGCCTTCTGACAAGAGTCAAATACTCTTTAACTTCGGTCAGAGAAGGATCCGGTGGTAAAGGAGGCTGCGGCTCTATGCTTAAAGCTCTGGTAGTCCCCTGCAGGGGTTCGTCTACTTTCAAGACGACCGTGGACGCAGGGCGACTTAATTGGTGAAATGTAGTGTCCTTCTCTTTCTTTTCTTCGAGAAGGCGTTGAATTAAATTTTGCTGATCGGTGAGTGGGGCTTTGGCACCCCTCCTGCTGATTGTCAGTATATATATGTTTCAACATACTTGCGAAGCTGCCCTGCATACATAAGAACATTTAGCATTAGCAACATGGTAGACTTCAGTCTCTCCAGATTACTCTTCAGCAAATCGAGATATGGGCCTTGGAATCCTAGTGTGATATTTTGAACCCCGCGAAGAAGTCGATTCGTTCCTTTTTCTTGGTCATGCTTCTCAATTTCACTATCGATTTCCTCGAAGATTGCCCTGCATTCTTTCAAGACATCTTGAGTAGTGCTGAAAGCCCCAGGCGAACAAATTTTCGTCTGGGAATCCTGATCAAGGGCTTTGCCAAGTTCGCGAAGAACACTGCAAGTAAGAGACACGTCACTAGATAGACTTCGCATAGAGTCATTGGCATTTTTGACAGTGCGGTAGAAAGAGCAGAGCTTGACTGATATTTTGGCGCCGAGGTCTGCGATTTGAACTATGCTCGCGACGATCCCAACGATTTCAAGACCAGAAATCGTGCCACGGAAGAAGACTTGAAATCTGGTGTAGCTCGAGTCACATTCCTAGGATGGTCAAGTCAATGAAGCGGAGAGTCTTTAGCTGACAGTGGCATATCGCGTGGGCGCAGTCAATGGCTTGGCGCGAGGCGGTGCATTCATGCTATCCATTGCTTACAAGGTTGTTTGCACACAAAAATAGATACCTGGTCGACGGGACAAGTGTGAATTTGAATGAGTTATTCGAGGTTATCGACCAGCTATTTAACAAATAGGATCAAGAGTCGGCAACAATCAAGCCCGAATGAAGGTAAGACGAATGCTGAACATTGAAGGGTCCTAAGTGGTCAGGAGCAACGGGGTCGGGTGGCTGTGCAAGTTATATAATCGGGGTCTGTGGGGTCATGGATACTGTAGGTAGGGTAGTGAAGGCTACCGATCGGCATTTGTTCCCTTTTTTTTTTTTTTTTCTTTATGAGGAGGCCTTTTTGATTATCCGGCCGAGACAAGAACAGCCTTGAGACCTAGTTTAGTCGTCTAGCCATGAATCTTCCAAGGTTCTCCTGTAGGACCGCCCCCTTGCAGTATGCAGTGCCCTGACCTCTCCAATCGTATTCTTCCGAAGACATCCCGATTTAGCGATATTGCCCAAACGTCTAGGCTATAATTTGTCAGACAAGAAAGTGACAGCCTCACTAGGCCATAAGCAGATGCCTTGGTTTTTGCTATGGTCTAGCAGTTGGGCTGTATAACATAATTCTTTATTTTCCCCCGGTCTTTGTACAAAAATTCCCCCACTATCCAAAACTAGAAGTAGGCCTCATTGGTACATCTTCACGATCTGTATGTATAAAGTATCCGATGAGGCAGGACATGGTCGCCAATATTCGCAAGCTAATTGTGTCTCTTGGTGGCTCCACTCAGATAGCGGATCTAAATTCCCCTGTTTCTACTCCGTACGATGTACCCCGTAACTACACCGTACATATGTTGTATAGACTACGGGATTCGTGCAATATAGTCACCCGTTCGCGTTAGCGATGATCAGCCACGTTTTAGTTTTTGAAATTGATATTGGCTATACCTCACTAAACTACTCCGTATAGTGGAGTGAAATTGCCGGGAAAGTCTTCTTACATACAGATTGAGATGTAGAGATGCATGGCTGATGTGACAGTAGGATAGGAGGGGAGCACTGCTGGGGAAATATCTCATCTGAGAAGGAATCTCCGTCACTGTGCGAGGTGTGAGTGTGGCAAGTTAGTAAGATAGGGACCATTCTGTAGATCGACAAAAACTGCCGAGAGAGATGGACAGGAGGCAAGATCAATTCCGGGGATGTGTCGTATCGGGCTGAGACACAGTGCCTGGTCAGCCCTGGAGCTATCCAAATAACTACTGAGTAAACCGGCCCAAACTGGATGCATACATGAAAGAAAAATAACCCAAACAGGAAACACACCGCGAGCTATCGTGTACCTATTTTCAAGTTAACTCAAATTTTCTTTGTTCGACCACGCCTAGAGCTTGGCAGATTTCCTGATCCGCCCCTTGCTTCCTAGTTGGGATAGATCAATCATATTCGGACCAAGATGGGAAACTGAATTCTACGGCCATACAACATGTGTATGTGCCCATGTGACTTTTGATACCGAAACTTGCCGACAGCCCTGTGCATGGTTCCGTATGCTCCGTATGGTCCTCACCAGGGAGGCGACATCACGAGTGCTGCAAATTGCATCTGCGGTAGCATCAAATGATCCATAATTATGCACTCCATCGAGTCAGAGATCTAACTATTCGACCTTGGTGAGCTTGTATTTCTACTTGAAACATACGAAATAGCTATCCATTTTTCGCCAACAGCATCCATGCATACAATAACAAATTGGCTGTCCAATCACAAATTCATCGCCACATGTCTCACCGCCACTTTTGTGTGATCTATATGCAGGTTGAATGTGGCTTATCACATCACACGAGCCGCAAGGCCAAAAGTCCGGCCTGGCCTATTACACTACATACTGCATATGCTCGTGCCTAGCAAATCGTGGCGCCTGCAGGGTAGTAAAGAAAGTGGAGACAACTCAATCGAATACCTTAAACGCCCTATCTATATTGAGCCCAAAAACAACTCGGCTAATCAGTTATCTATTCTACCTTTGCCTGATACCTTTTAGACGATGCGCACCATTTCAGGTGTGTGTCTGCAAAGGCAAGAATTGCAGTCTCAAGAATCGCCTCGTGGGAATCCCCATTCAAGGAAGCGTATAGTCCTTCATGCATCTCCACTGCATCTGAGACACAAAGATTGTGGATACCACACACATCCTGAATAGTCCTGGGTAATAGCTTATTCATGTGATCCACATCCATCCCCGCTTGCTCCTTTAATGACACCAAGACTGCATTCATGGTCTCGCCATTCCGACGATCTTTCTCCAGGCCAACAAGGTCGTTCTGCAGCCCTAGGATAAGACTAATTCGATTCTGGAGATCTCGCAACTTGGAGAGATATTCCCTCTCGATTGGTTGGTGCAGTGTACGGATCAGGGTGAAGAATGGATGAATCCCCATCGTCTTACCACGGAATTGCAGATAGGTTTCCAGGTTGTTGGGCAAAATGCCCTGACGAAATAGGAGCTCTTCAAGCAGGCCCTCACACATATCGCATATATCATTGCTGAGCTCGCGCGCAGTGCTTTCACAGAGTTCAAGTTTCTGAACGCAATATTCTTGGAAGAAGCAAAGGATTGACGCGACCTTGTTTGTCAAAGAGACTATCCATAGGGGTCAACTTCACTGCTGGTAATGTTTCCGCTGCTGATCTTGATATACATACCATTTGCCTTTTTTCCTTGCAGTTTCAAGATTGCCTCTTTCAAAGCAAGTGCAGCGGCAGCTGGGGTCATTTCTTCAAGTATGTCATCTGCCGCGCAGTTTGCAGCCAGCCACGCAGTCATGCATATGCGGATGCTCTCCGATCGAACGTCGGGGAAAAGGAGGTTAATTGCAGCAGCTTCTGCAAAACATCTCTCATAAAAGTCCTTGGTATGTCCAGCTTTCTCCGGTTGGATGGAAGACTTGAAATTAGCGTGAGAATAGATGACAGCCGATGGAGGGGCTGGATTGATAGGAACTATGTCGTAATGAGGAATCTTGAGCTACATTCAACTTATTTAGTTGGGGATTCAATGAAGATGCAGATATAGTTTGGCTAACCTGGAGGGATACATCGCGTATTCCCAGGGGTATTTCACATGATTTGATAACAGGCTGTTCGTTGAGGCGCTTATAATCGGGTATATGGCCTGCTACCCTAATTGGAAGGTAAATTCGACCATTAGGAGAGGCGATCCCATGGTGCTGTGGAAAGGTATAATCGCATGTAGCCATTTTCAATTTGCAAGTTTGGATAATGGGGGAATACCCAACGACGATTGACCCAGTTTATATATCCACTCGAGCTTAGCACGGATACCACGGACAGTCTCCTCTGAGAACCTTTTTAACAGCCAAGACACTTTCTTTGTTCATGACGTTACTCCTGTTTTTGGGGTGCACGTGGAAAAATTCCCTCATTTATTTCTCGTAGTATGATAGGTCATATGGTCGACTAGTTCGCCCGAGTTAGAACTAACGGTTTCTCGGGAGAAGCTATAGACGCATGGATACTGGTTCGCATCCCCATGCGAAGAAAATCTTCCCTTCCTCGGACGAAACTAGCTCCGATGGGTCGAAGTCCACACCGCATAGAACTTCTAGGTGCGGGGCGCTTGGAAGGCGTCCATGCACACGTCCATACGTGGCAAGACGGATGGCGGGTTAGGTCGGGTACTTTTCCCCACTTGGTGTGGGCCAGTCTAGATGAAGCAAGAGATACATACATTGGATTATTATGCTAGTATGCAGTATTTTATGCGCTTGTATCAGGGGTCTTCTAGAAGCCTAGGGGATATCAGAGACGACTGTCCAAGCACCGGTCATACGACGCCAATGTAACCCCATAAGGATATACAAGCCTGCTGATCAGTATAGACAAAATCTGGGAATTAATCGGGGACCGAAGGATGTGGATATCCGGTCGTCCACGGGAGGACGTGCGTTTCAAGCTTGGAATGCTCAAATTTGCTATTGACGGAAAAGAAAAAGCAAAAGTTGCTCATTATTAGCTTCAATAGATAGCTGCGAGTGGTAGCCAATCGATGTTGAAAATACGGAGTACTGATCAAACATCCTATCTAGGTATGATGTACGCCACAGATTACAAATTAAAATAGGCGAGAGACGGTTAATATGAAACATGTGCAGCATTAGCGAAAGTAATACCGGAGCCAAGCGCCGAAATCTCCAGGGGGATCGAGGCCGATAGTTATGAAGCATAATAGTTGCATATTATTTCTCTTGCTACAACATGGGCCTTGATCGCTCTCTTCAGTCAACGCCATTAACGATTTTCGTTCTATAGACTGATCATACTCATCAACATATGTAAGTTTCAGGGGAGTGGTGAATTTCAAAATGGGTAAACAGTATGAAAATGTTCCGTCGCCTAATATTTCCATGAAAGCTTCTCGGTTCCTTATCGGTTGGTATTATTGTGTAGACAAAAATTCAGGGCGTACGGAGTAGAGTAATGGCCAAATTCAGTATGAGGTGAGATAGATTCCGAGACCTTGGTTCTATCAATTTTAACCTTCGTCACAACCTGACACCTCTGTGTTGGTACATAGTACATATGTATGCATTAAATAATTGGTGGCGATTCGCATGCATGTCTGCCTAAAATGTCAGGCCTTCATGATTTTATACAACTACGTGTATTCCAATTCACTTGTTTCTCGATCTATATATCAAAAAAGAACTTCATTTCAACTATTATACTATTTAATTCAAGCTAAATCTCTACTCAGATACCCCTCGAATGATTTTCCACCCCACCTTGGCGAATATAAACAGTGAATATAGTGCCGGGATCTAGTTCCTCTTAAGCGGGCCCAAGTGGATCACAAGAAACCCTTCAGCGATCCTTCGGGTAGTTTTGGCCTGAGCCGTCATTTTTGGCCCCAACTGTCGAAAGTAGACCTCTTGGCTGACCTTTTTAGGAATTTGATCTCCACAAATATATTCAGGACCCCGCGATAGTTTGGGGGCGCTTTATGTCCCTGAGCTGACCCCTCCTATATTACATCCCCCCCCCCCCCTGTTAATCATTTCTTCACATTGTAAAAAGGACCTGTAATGACGAGGAGGCTGCTGATGCATACTTAAATACTCCTGTCGAAGTAGCCTAGAATCGTGGCAACTTAGTGACAGGTCCACACCCAGTGGAAGGCTCAACATCCATGCATATGTAGGGCTTACGGGCTAGATCCTATTAGCGAGCCAAATCTTCCGTACTTCCGGATTTAGAGCGATATAACAAGATAAGACCTAATAATAGAATTCCTACCTAAAGACTAGTTCTTACTATCTCAATACAAGAGAGAACTGAGGTCGCAAGAAAATATATTCAGAGTTACTCTGCTTTAGAATAGATGATAGTCTCACATAACACTCCTCATCAGAGCATTATCTCAGGAAGATCACATTAGACATCAAGACAGTAAAGAATTTCTCAGTCATCAAATCATATTTGCCTCAGGCTGGCTATAAATTACATTCATCCTCTTATGTACACTTCTATCCTAACGTCGATTGAGGGTGAACATTCTACCTGGAAAACTACATCCGTGAAAATAAGACCGAAGATATGATTCCTATACTATATGGTACATGACCTCATAGGTAGAAATTTAGCACATAATTAGGCACATTCACAGCTTGACCAATCGGGACTTCGGAGCCTCCGGTTAGACTACCTATGTACCCACCAGAAGGTTTATTTCTAGATAAATGTTCTCGAATAAAGACATCGAAATCGTCTTCCGGTGATTGTTGTTATGAGGAATGTCCAGGTGCCCCAACCGCGAGCTCGTCTATGCCTTAGCGGAGCCAAGTCATGTTTACCCATACGCAGCCTAACCTGGGAATGCTCGATTTCCATGAATGTACTAGGTTACTGTGATGGGTTACTGTGGAAGATATAGCGGTACGTTGGGCAATGGGGAATTGATGGATTGAGAAGTGAAAACCTTGGGATTCTGGCAATATTTGCGCGTTTACTAGGCGTGGAGTATGGCTGTGATGCGTCGCACAAGCATCAATTGACGAGGTCCAAGAAGTGAGAAAAGACATATTCTGTCGATGTATTCAAACTCTCCCGTGATGTATACTAATGTAACTATATAACTATCGTCTAGACTCGAGGATTTCATATCGTATCGAGTAGTGGATAGGCTCCGCCAAATGCATTCAAGTAGCGCTAATATTCGGAGCAAAAAGAAAAATCACGCGCAACCTCAGGATTACCATGACTAGCAATATCACCCAAGCGTGCGGTCTGAGCTGGGCAGGAGGAGGCGAAATGCATCATCTAGGCAAATGAATTTGATTTAATTAGTAACCTGATTGAGAAGAGAAGAAAATTTGAATAGTGCCAATTGCCAAAAAAAAAAAATAGCGTGACATTTGATAGCATCGCTGAGCTCGCTCTGCAATTTCGGCCGTCGCATCAAAAAGGTCGACAATGAATCGTGGAGTTCCTAGTCATGATCAAAGTTGGGCTCCGCTTTACCAGGGCCAACATAACTCGGGAGATTCTCCACATCCTGGAGATCAACCGCTTGCTTGGCACCATGTCGCTGATACTGTGATCGGATCTTCTCTCGTATTATCCATTCAGCGCTGAAAGCTTGACGGGGTACCTGTTGATGTTTTGTGTCACCCGAATAGCCACTTGAAGATCATACTGAGGTCTGATCGGCCAGCTTCGCTGATCAAACACCTCGAGCTCGACAAGACGTATTTGGCCTCTAGGCAATCGGAGTTTGTACCCGGGACGATGTGTCCGAACTGTGTCCGAACTGGTTTACTGCGCCGAAATTGGAAGGAAAGGAAGCTATGAGTTTGTCAGTCAGGATGTAGGCTGTAATAGATCGATCGTCGACACGGATCACCAGACCCACATCCTCTGTAGCTCGTCAGGTGCCATAAGGCACACAGCAGCGCCACCCATGATGGCATAACCAATCTGCAACGAGCCTAGCCGTTGCGCAATTGTTACAACAACCTGTTCCAAATGTTTCTGTTAGAGCATAGGCATATAGAAAGCCTTGTCTATATTTTGGTGAAATTTTCAGTGACAACATGAGGAGAATGCGCCTCTTACTACCTTTTGAGTATGGCAAATCGGTGGAGTAAACACAGAAGCAAGACTAATGGACGTATGTCGTGAAGCAAGATGCAATATTGAGTTTTAGTATCACGGGGGAGGCCTTAGCCTCAGGATCATATGCGATTGCCGCTTTGTAGCCACGGGTTGCTTTGACAATTTGTTGGTACGGCGGTTGACATGACAAAAATTGAATAACGACCGAACATCTACTAGGGAACATGTCTCAAAGACAAGCTTAAGCGGCAAGAGCTGAAGATTTCCCAAAGTCGAGGTAGTGACATGGATGGTTTGAAGCAGCAAGCTGCGGACTTGATCATTGTCACATTGTCACACTCGTAAGATGTCTCTGCCTTGGCCTAGTTTTATAGCTATATACAAGTCAGCGGGTGGTTTCATGGTGCTTGGCGTAGTTTTGAAAAGTTTATTGACAAGTCTTGCGTTGATATGTCTCCGAAAGAAAGAACGGCGATAGTCACTGGTCTTGATAGTAACGATCGGGTTTAGTTTTTCCAATTCCCGTAAACATAAGGAAATAGGTTTTATCAACCTAAATCGACTCTGACGACATCAATACCCTTGCAGGTCTCCCAAGTCTTGTTCATTCTCCCTGAAATCAGTTCGTAACGAATCTATTCCGGAGCTCATCTTACAGTGTCATGGCTGCCAATTGCACGTTATAGTCTCACATCTCTAGGAGGGAATCTCGCTCTAATTGATCATCTACTACGAAGTAGACTTCTATATATTTTGATACATTCGCCGGACCCTGATTCTTGTTTGCATACGAGGTAGCATTCAGAATATGGCGGCCTCCATACTGTTCTAAAATTTGTGCCTATATTCATGCTTCGTACCGTACGGATTATTTCCCCTCCAATTCAATAGCCAAATGTTGTTAGTATACTTCCATTTCTGCGTTATCGCGCACATCAGGTCTCATTCTCAAATTCTAGTCCTTCGTACATCCTTAGTACCATTTTTAAAAAGAGCTCACCTTCGACGTCTTACGACGAATCGCACACTTCTGATCGATTTTATTTTCTATACTTTTCTCTTTATAACGTTCACCATGAATTCAGTCTAATAAGTATTACCGAAGCGATATAAGAAAGTAGGATTGAAGGAATCCAAGTTGAACATGGATCATCAGCGACCGATACTGCAAAGTTGGAGATGGGTGGATTCCCTTGAAAGATACATTTATGACAAATAGTATATGTACCTCCAGCTCAGCCTACGTACATCGCATGAAACGCTCAAACACGACCGTGTAGTCCTTGATATTCCCCGCATCCAGGGAAAGGGGCCGTTAACCAGGCCTATGGCGGGGCTATACGGGACCGATATCGCACGAACAGTCGATGGTACGTTATGGAATGACCTGCCATTCTTGGTTGGTAACATGGCCGAGTTATGGATCGACAATGCTCTACCAATGGCTGGCACTCAGCGTATGAACTTTGCCTCATTCCTAGCTAACCTAGCGTCGACTCGTGTCTACAAAAACAGGATATGCTAGGTAGCCCTTGTCCTCTTCCGCTGTCTGTTTGAGGAGAGACAAGAGCTTCGCACTGACGATGACCCAGATGATAAGAATCCAAGAAGGACCATGAGTTCACTAGAGATTATGCATTTATTGCTAGCTGCGTTTGCGTGGTTTGACGAGGCTGCGTAAAATCTGATGACACTCTCGGAGCTATTGTAGAATGATTGCCCCAGCGAGGTGAGCCAGGGAGTTAAGAATTTCATCGAGTCGGAGTTCGGGAAGCGATCACTCACTGGGTTCATACCATGGAGATGGATGTACTGGCTGAAGCGACTTCACGAAATTAGGGAGGCAGCAAGCGAGGCTAGCGAGAGGCAATTGAAGGAGTATACGACTGGCTCTATCTTGAGCATGATCAAGGAGGTAGAGGAGCAAAAGTCCTATATTTTGAGGGTTTACAAAGCCGGCGGAGATGCCTTATATCATGCCAAACATTTGTTCCTGTTGAAGATACCGGTGTTGAAGATAGATACAAGCGTCTATATTTGTCAGACTGAGCATTCTTTAGATGTTTTTCTACTTACAGGGTATTTAAACCTGTTTTTATTAGTTTTACAATTAACAACTTCTTCACTTTTTATGATTTTTCTCGCAGTATTCTACTTCAACAGCTCCGTCCAAAACAGTTTGTGGAGAGCAAAGACAGTGAAGACTCCGAGAAGAATGAAACCCCCGACGAGAGCCAAAACTCCGAGGAGAAAAAAAACGAGAAGAGAACAAAAAGCCAGAAGAGAAAAAAAACTCGGAGAACGGCAATAAAAACCGAAGCCCTCTCTTTCACTCTCTGTCTCTCTATATGTGCCCTTTGTGATCTGGGGTAGTCCTACTCAATTCACTATCTTTTACCCCTAATCTTTACAAAGATCAACAAGTCTGCACGGGCTTTTGTATTGGAACCAAAAGAAATAGGCAAAATGACACCTTGAGCGAGGATTCAGTGGAATGGAGAAGGAGCTATAGATAGAATATATGCTTGCAATTAAGGTTAAAATGTTGATCTTAGTATGTATAGAGATACTAATTTTAATTTTTGGATCAAGTAACGAAGTAGTTTACATGTGATATATCTCACCCCACCTAAAAAGAATATCAGTAACAGCAACCCCATATTGTTCAATTATGTATCAAACTCTGTGATTAGATACCCCGGAGTACTGGGAAAGATCATATGTCATCCACACACACCTTCTGCCAGTAATGAACATCGTGTGGAGTTCACTTCATTGACCAGATTTGACTACTTTATAGCAACATAGCCCCAGCAAGGAGTCCTCCGACCAGAACCAAAGGCGCGGGTGTCTGGTGAGCAAAGTTCCCAGATATTGTAGTGGTTGCAGCATCGGTGCTCACATTTGTACTTTTTGCCATACTGTCTGAGGGGCCACTGGATGTCTGCGAAGCTTGACTTGCAGAACTGCTGATAGTCCCAGTCAAAGTTCCCGTATTAATTGGAGTATAAGCGCCCGCAATTGCCATACTGGCAGTAAAAATAACACGCTCCACCTTAGTGCCTGGAACCTGGTATCTGGTGCTTCCTATCACGGGCCTCAAATCAGCCTGAACAGACTGGGTCAATGAGCAAGTTGCAGTCGTTGGAAATGGGGAACCAGTAAAGGTACACCCAGACGTCGTGAATCTTTATGAAATTGTCAGTCAAATGTCAGGATGATTCTCTGGCGCGGTGGGCCTTACGTGCTGTAGTCCATCTCCACTACGTATTCGAAAGCTTATCTTTTGGTTAGCCTCGAGCTTTAGCGTTGGGGGTTAACAGGTGAACGCACAGTTGGGTTGGAAGACAACTGTCATAGGGTGTCTATCACAGGGTGTCACGGCTGAGGGACAACTGACTGCATAGGTTGTTTTGTCGCCATCCTATTCTACTTTTCAGCTGGGCTCACTGCTTAAAAAGGGCTATATAACTGCGGACATACCAAGCCAATAACTCGACCTTCGTCTTTATCGAAATAATTGTCGCCGAATCCTACCCAAGGAAATGTCTGATGTTGAGTTAGCAGGCATTTTAGTAGTCGTGTGTCTCCCGCAAAATCTCACAATAGTTGAAGTTTCCTCGGATGCTGCGAATTGGAGCATGATCGAAGCTAACTGGAAAAATTGTGACATTGAAAGAGAATGCATTTTGAATGGTCCACTAGGAACTTCAAGCTAAGCCCACGAGGTTTCGTATAGTGTCCGTCTGGAATAATGGGAAAGAGAAGAGAGAAATAAAACCAAGTCCAACAGTGGACCTGCTCGTAGGATATATTCCCTGAGGCTGAACAGCATTATATTGTATACGAGATGAAGGTGCCACCGATAAGGGACCAATGGTCATGAGGAACCCCAAGTGCGGGTAGTTGGGCGCACGTGTTTTGCTCGGGATCAATCTATTGGCTCTCGTTCGTTTATACCGAGCTCTGCCAAGACTTTAAAAAAGACTTAGCGCTGCAGGGCTTCCAGAATGTAACACTGCACGCGATCTCCTTTTATTTCTTTGCATCTTTCCTGTAATTCAATAAGATTTCCCCGGTGACTCAAACCTATGACTCTAACACTTCGGCCAGAATTTCGGTGTATATAAGCGATTACATCCATCTCCAAAGCTTGTGTCTAACTATCGTGGGGAAGAAATACCCCTGAAGTGTCCCGCAAACCCAACCCAAAATAGGGGCCAAATTTGTAACATCACTTCACTTTCGATCAGAGCATGAAAAGAGCAGCAGCAAATGCCGCACCACCAATCAATCCCTCTCCGGCTGTAGCAAGCGGCATCGCCACGTTTGAAGTTGGAGTGGGAGTCGAAGTCTGCGAGACCGTACCAGAGCTAGTCGAAGAAGCCGTAGTACCGGTGGAGGTGACCTCGCTAATTGAACTATCTGTGGGAGTAGCTTCGGCTTTATCCGACGCCGACGAGACCTGGGCTGAGTAGTCTGTGGCTGTGAAGCGAACCTCTGCGATGCAAGAGTTTTCCAGGGTGGACCAGTCGGTCTCGGACGTTGTGGTGGCGGTGGCGGTCTCGTAGCGTAACGCCGTGTTGGTAAGCGCCTCTTTGTAGAGTCTCATGTCGTAGACGCAGCAGTATGCGCCTTGTTCGTCGACGACCATGTTGCCGGAGCAACATCTCGTGACGTCGAAGGTGTTTGGCATCCAACCTACTGGGCAATCGGTTTTCGCAGCGGTTGAAGCGACAGATAGCACCGTCGTCAGGATAAGGCTTTTGATAAATGGCATTTTGGGTGGTGTTGGAATTGGTGTTAAAAAAAAAGTTGATGCGTACGGGAGTGCTCGTGGGAAGTGAAAAAGGAGGTGAGCCTTCAAGGCAACAAAATTTAACACACGGACTCTTACTCAAGTGAGCAGAGTGTCGTCTCAGGATACTCGTATTGACACAGGGAAATTGTCTCATAGGTCGATCTGCCGAGCTACCCCAAAATTGGGGGCCGGGGGAGGCTGATTTAACCAATCAACATCCATAACACTTATATTCAGCCGAACCTAATATATGGCCTGTTAGTTGTTTTTCTGCACCTCGACAGACCTTGAGAGACTTTGTCCTCTCCGAACTGGTCCTCCCCGCATAGCGTTACGAGTTAGGGGCTTTCACGACGCCCGGCCGGGATTGTGTGGGAGGTGGCCTCTGGAGCATCTCATGTGGTGATTAACTGACTGTCTCTAAGGAACGCTATCCGACAAGATATCCCCGAAAAGAGAAAGGGAATATGCATTCACTATGTGGCGGGGTGGACGGGAGGAAGAGAGAGAAGGGAGGAGATCTGACTGACTACACGGCCTCGACCTTGGCCTGAAACCACCGAACAATCCTACCTCCTGAGCCCAGAGCGCTGCTCTAGCATTCGATTCCATCGATTTGCTATCCTTGGAACTACAGAGTAGGACCAAAGCAGGAAGGAGAAAGTTGTATTGTAATGGAGACAATCTTAAAGAACCCCGAACTAGACTTCTGCAGAGCCCACAAAGCCCACTGCAGGTTAATAGGCCCCCAAATGGGCCCCAAACAATACAAATATACCGAGAATTCAGAAGTTGAACCCCCTTATAGGGGTTTTAAAATTACCCTTCGTTTTACCCCCGTTTCTAAGCCTTATACTAAAGGTAATATTTTATTAGTTTGAATGATTTAGAATTCATCACTGGTTATCTCTCTATGTAACGGTTAAAAATATAAAAAAGCGCGTTATTTAGATAATTTATAAATTACAGAAGTTCACCTAGAAAGTAGTAGTACTCCTACATAAACCCAAAATATATATCTCACCAAAACACTAAGATTAATAGCGTTAAATTTTATTCAAAATTTAAATACATACTTATCAAGGTAATATAATCCTAGCTTCTAAATTTGAATTTTATATACCTAGTGGAAGGTCGTACTACAGCGAGTACAGACGCCGCCTAGGATGGGCTTTAATGGGGGCCTTATAGGCCCCCACTGATGGGCTGTGGGTTGGGTTGGGTTTCGAAGGTAGGGCCCATTTGGGGCTTTGCGGAAGTCTACCCCGAACTATCTACGGAGTAACGTAATCCACTACCGAGTGACGCACACTACCGAGTGACGCACCCCCACCCAACTTCCTGAATTCAAATGCATTTATCTCAACCAAAACGCCATTAAATTAAATAAACTAAAATCATCATCTATCTGGACATGTCTCTCTCCTATGTCCTGGCTTCCTACATATTCCACATGCTCGTCCAGCCTGGGGGGGCGGCCTTAAACCTTCCGAAACCTGCTCACGATAGTTGTTGATACGCGCTACTTGAGCCTTAAATGGCTCTGAACGTAGCTCACGAACATCCTGAACTGAGAGATCCCCTTCGTGGACTATCGTCCTTGTAGATCGGGTTCGCTTTTGCTTTTTCTTCTCGTTTTCAGCGCGTAAATCGCTCACTTCTTTCTCTAGTAGTGCGGCGGAATGCATCGTGATCTGGCAGGCTTTTAAAACCTGGTTGATAGCGGAATTGAGCGGGCTAGGGGGGCTCCTTGATCTCGTACGAAGTAGTGCTTTTATTGAGGAGGCTTGCTTTTGCAATTGCATATAGTTCGAAGGTGTTTTTGGATCCCAATCACTACCCCGGCTAGAAGGGGGGGTAGGGGTTCGAAGACGAATATTAAGCCTCGAAATCACTCTCTCCGGTGTAAAAGGGACTAAACCAGCTGCTCCGAAGCTGTTTTTAATAGTCTCTGATTTAAAAGCTTCAATTCGTGCGAGAGGGTATGCTTCGAGGAAATCAAGTTTATCAATATGATTTATCCCAACCCGCATTTTTGCTTCAACCAGCCGGCCGTACGAGCGTTTTAACACCGCAAAACAGCCTATATCCAAAGGCTGTAAAAGGTAAGAGGAATGCGGAGGTATACAGATCGGTATAATTTTGTTTTCTTCACAGATTTCATCGAACTTCGGGGTTAAATGACTTCCGTGGCCGTTAAGTATCAAAAGCCGATATACCCCCTTTATACGTATAGAAGTGGTAGGAATAAAGAGCTTTTTTAACCAGCGAAGTCCAATTTTATCAGAGGTCTATCCATTAGGACTAACCTCAAATCGCCAATCGTCCGGGAGGCCGTCAAACCAGGATTCAATAAAGACTTTGCCTTTAAAAATCACACACGGTGGAAGGGCCCAACCAGTAGTATTTATACACTCAATAGCCGTCACCTATTCACGATTTCCAGGTTGTAAAAGTGCTCGCCGACCGTAGTATTCGCTTCTCGTAATAACCTTCGCAGTCGCCGTTAATCCTATCGCAAAACCCGTCTCATCAAAGTTATAAACGTTATCCGGATCGATCCCAAATTGTAGGATAGTTTTTTGAATAAGATCAAACCACTCCTTTATAATTTTTGGATCCTCACATTTCGCACGCTCGTAGTTATAACGTTTCGAGAAACGAGAGGAGAGAAGAGGACGTCGTTTAACAAATTTTGTAACCCAATTTTCGCCAACCGAAAGAACCGGGCTAGATCCGCGCTTTTCAAGAAGAAGATTCGCTATTTCTCGTACAGTAGCAGGCCGGGGGGCTGCTCCACGTAGATCTATAGAGAGTATCCATTTTTCAAGAGATTGCTCTTTAAGCTCAGTCAGTTTATATGAGTTAGCGCGTAAAATCGCGCGGTTTTGAACACCCCGGAGGCGGCGGCGGAGGGTAGCCTCAGGCACTTTAAAACAGCGCGCAGCTTCACGAATTGAAGAGAATTTTTCATTCTTAAAATCTTGGATAGCTAATAAGATCCTACCCTCTTGCTCGGTTGAATCTTTAGACGATCGAGAACGAATTGGTGGCATAGTGGGTGGTTGAAGAGAGAGGGTTATATTAATTGACGCGTTTTGGGAGGGGGTGCGTCACTCGGTAGTGTGCGTCACTCGGTAGTGGATTACGTTAATCGAGGCACTTATGCCTGAGGCAAAGTATTTGCGGCCTGAGGCAAATGGTCCAATAGCTGTTACACGAGGTCATTCCACTATCGAACATTCATCGACTTCGTTCACTTCTCATGCAATAATTAAGTTTAGGAATAGAGAGAAAGACATTTAGTTCTGGTAGCAAAATTGTGAATTTCAACACTTCGCACTATGCTTTTGTCATTTTATACATCGAATAGACTATATTAGGTGTCTACAATCCCGATATTTTTCGAACTTTGGAAATATAACACAGGTTGATTCCTGGCGCAAAAACCATTTCAACAGACTGGCCCCTCATTGGTTGTAATTGCACTCAGGGCCCCCAAATTGCAGCAGGAATCTCCCCATCCAAGCTCTTTTTGGAGATAAGCTTCCCTGGGCTCCTAGTTTGTTCATTCCACTGAATTACAGCCACTTCATGGCTGTTTTGCAATGCCACCACAATTGTTCCATTATTTTCATTAAAATCAAACTCACGTGGGAAAGAACCGTAGGCGGGAAACAATCCGACAGATGAGACATTCATGTCGCCGTTACCGTTGGCAGTGAAGCAGGTGAAAACGGCGAAAGTGTCACTCCCTTCACCAAAGGTAGCATCACCGCGGTTGGATACCATAATACGTTCATTTCCGGGCTAAAGATTAAGTGCTGTTAAACAAAGTGCTCTTCCTTTGTCCGTGAACATGATGAAGTAAGATTGAACGTACTGAGATCTGGATTCCTGAGACCTTGGAGCCACTTGGTGCGGCATTTCCGCCGTATGTATTCTCCTTGTGAACCTTAGCAAAGGTTAGGCTATTGTGGGTATAGTGAGACTTAAATGCGCTGAAGGTATTGTCAAGTTCTGAGACAAGATACAAGAACGTGTTATCAACAGAGCCAACCCTTGTTTTGGGTATCCAAAACACGGCATGTCGTGGCCCAGATCCGGGGTTTACCACCAATGGCGTCTGAGGTAGGAGAAGGCTGCTGGAGGGACAAATCTTGAAGATATGTATTTTATCCATGCCCAAATCAGGAACCACAACGAAGCGGCCCGTCGGGTCAACGATAGCTCCATGTGGATGAGAGACATCTTGTCGGTCGGGTACTGGACCGGCAGCAGGAATCTGATATGTAAACTCCTGCGTTTTGTTCAAATGGGCTGATGCTGAGTCAAATGTGTAGGCTGTGACGGCAGAAGCTTCGCTAGATAATTGATCATATTGGCGTGACTTTGAACAATTTTTCTTCGTGGCCTATCAGTGGTACTTATTAGTGTGCGACAGCAACGAAAAGCCTTGCAGATAGATAGCCGACATAACCGGACCGGGCAGGGTGTCAAGGACATCCAGCATTGTCAGCGACCCATTGGAATTGACTCTGAAGGAAGTCAGACTGCCATTGGGAGCCCCGATCGCTTCATTAAGGCAGAGAATGAGACCCTGCTTACTGTCCAAACTCAACCACGATGGACTGACCCCGCAAGCTTTCGTCTGAGCGACGACTGACAGGTCATTAGTCCCGTTCCCCCTCGTGGTGACAGAGTAGTCACGGTGCCCGAATAAGACGCCGCATATATCTTGGCAGCTATGGAGGTGGCACCGAACAAAATTCCGGACAAAAGAACAAAACGCATTTTGAAAGGTTGATGTGGATTCTAAAAACAAAAACAATAGGAAAGTCAAGTATGTAGTATCAAAGAAAGAAATAAGTACGGACACACTAAGTGGGAATTACATATGTAGCCTTAGCACTGTACAGTATTGCAAAATGTCTGCCAACGTCATCTTGGATTGTGCTTCTTGGCTAGTCCTGGAGTGCTGTCAGCAAGACTGATCTGGACTATCCCAAGAGTAACATGAAAATGGAGTTGCTTCGCCGCCCGAAAGTCATTTCAAAGCAATTCAATTCTAGGTCTATCTTCCCGTCGACGTTACTTACGGTGACTGAAATGGTGATCTGCAAGCTCTGACCGGGAAGTTGTTGGGCAGGGATGAGTCGGTCCGGATCTCTGCAGGAACACGAGGTTCACGGTATTTACCTGGTTGGCTCGAAACCCAGTGGAGTGCCAATACTGCTACCCATAATTTCAAGTCTAGGAAACAAGATTGGTTGAGCTTCCGTGCTTGGCAAATATGTCTTTTCCCCAAGGTATACATCATCCGGAATCTTGGCTGTCTTGGCAATATCTCTTATCGGTATGCCGAGATACTCTCGCTATACGGTATACCGACCTCGGGATATGCCCAAGATTATCGTTATCATCGATCAAGAAAAGTAACCCCGATTGGAGGTCCTGCTGGCTAGCGCGGGACGCGAGGAAGCCAACAGGATCGGTTCTCTATCACTGTGGTCGTTGTTGCATTCACCGACATCATCAATAGAGAGATCGACAGTGTTCATGTTGGATATGCTTCCCGTCTCCGTTGGTGCACAGTCGTCATTGCACTTCTAGGTGCCAAAATCTCTAGAAAGCGGCTTCTACGAATCGAACGACGGTCCCATTATCGAAGATCTCAACGAATATGGTGATATCTTCGGCACCTCCGTCGATTACGCCTTCGAAACGGTTCCGCTTGCCGTCCACAACCGGACTGAGCTTATTCGCTCAGGCAAGGGACTGGGAGGGTCAACTCTCGTGAATGGAGGTTCCTGGACACGCCCACACAAGGCACAGAATGATTCCTGGGAAGAAGTGTTTGGGATGAAGGGATGGAACTGGAACAATCTGCTCCCGTATATGAACAAGATCGAGGCCTTCCGTCCTCCAAACCCTGACCAAATTGCTGCTGGACATCGCTTTGATCCTGCCTGCCATGGCACGGATGGTGTCGTCAAAGTCGGTCCTCGAGACACCGGAGAGAAGTTTTCTCCCATGATCAAAAGTATCATGAATACTGCGAACAAATCCGGTATCCCTGTTTAAAAAGATCTGAGCTGTGGGATTCCTCACGGTATATCGATGTTCCCAAACGGTTTACACGAGGATCAGACTAGGTCAGACACTGCCCGAGAGTGGCTTCTGCCAAACTACAAACGGAAAAATTTCAATGTGTTGACTGGTCAGATGGTGGCAAGAGTTTTGTTCAATAACGCTACCTCCACCCCGAAAGCCGTCGGAGTCAACTTTGGTACTCATAAAAATGTTAACTTTGATGTCTATGCTCGCCATGAAGTTCTTTTGGCCGCTGGATCAGCCGTTTCCCCACAAATTCTCGAGCATTCTGGAATTGGGTTGAAGACTGTCCTTGATAATGTTAGCGTTGACCAGCTGGTTGATCTGCCGGTTGGTCTCAATCTTCAAGACCAAACCACCACAACCGTCAAGTCCAACATCAACTCAATTGGTGCGGGTCAGGGCCAGGCTGCGTACTTTGCTACCTTCAATGAAACCTTCGGAGATGAGGCACCTCGTGCTCACCACCTCCTGAACACAAAACTTGAAGAGTGGGCCAAAGAGGTTGTCTTACGGGGCGGGTTCCACAACGGAACCGCCCTCCTGATTCAATACCAGAATTATCGCGACTGGCTTGTAAACACAGACATCTCCTTTGCCGAGATTTTCATCGAAACTGGTGGAAAACTAACCCTTGACTTGTGGGACCTTATTCCGTTCACTCGCGGCTATGTCCATATCATGAACAGTGACCCATATCTACGTCGTTTCGCTTATGACCCTCAATTCTTCTCGAATGAGCTTGATCTGCTTGGCCAAGCCGCGGCTTCGAAGTTGGCTCGTGAAATTTCCAGCAAAGATGAAATGAGCAAGCATTTCAACAGCGAGGCTACTCCCGGAAACAAACTAGCGTACAACGCTACTCTTGACGAGTGGGCCGACTACGTCAAGGAGAATTTCTGTGCCAACTACCATGGGGTTGGTACATGTTCTATGATGGCGGAGGAATTTGGTGGTATCGTGGACGCCGCTGCTCGGGTCTATGGCGTTCAAAGTCTGCGTGTGATCGACAGGTCGATTCCTCCAACTCAAGTCTCGTCTCATGTCATGACTGTCTTTTACGGCATGGCCGAGAGGATCTCGGAAGCCGTTCTTGCCGACTATCATTCTGCCATGTAGTCGATTCCACTGTCGTCACTTGATCCTTTTCATGGACGGCGGGACACCCACTCAACTTATCTGTATATCCTTGCAGAGAGACCTTTTTTGAGATTGCGAGAGCCGGGGCTTATGCGTTCTTTTCAGGTTTTTATCCTACATGTCGATCGCGCCAATTAAAACAGAGCCACACAAACCAGGAATAATTCTTAGACTGTTTATATGAACGATTACGTTGATTTTAAACCAATTCATCTTCGGTACCTCAATATCTCATCACCAAATTACAACCTTGTCGTAGACTGAAATAATTCGATACCACCGACACTACTTTAAGCTTTTCCTAATTCCATCTACTATATGGCTAGCAAGCATGGCCGATGTCCCTTTACCCATAATTTCTAAAACACTGATATCAAAGCGGAAGGTCTGCTTTCATCACATGCACATCTCTATCGCTACCAATAAGTCCATTCCAAGACCTGAAAGGCCCAGGTTTGTGTTGAGCTCCTCATCAGCCTTGGGCATCGGATTCAAGACTTTTAACCTGTTTGTGACAAGAAAATGTATCTCGTATCTGTATAACGTAGTTTCATACCGATCCTTCTGAAAAAAAGCCATTGTAATAGTGGGTTCGATCTTCAAGAGCCAATATCGGGCATCGGGTGACTTCTGTAAACACTGGCTTGACCTGTACTAGCTCAGGAGGGAGACATGGCACTTCCTTAGACTGTGTATGAATTTCCTGCTGTCATTGCTCGATCGGGGTACAAATGGCGCATTTACCACATATGGTCTTGATGGCTTCAGGATTCCGTCCTCTGACGCTCTAACGGGGTCTCAACGCTCCACCGTCGGTGTTGCTGTACAGGAATATCGTCTCCGTGTCCATTTGGTCTCATATTCTCGTGTTTGGAGGGCCTAGAGCCGCAATCGCCATAGAAGAGGGCCGGCGCTTTCACCGGAATAGGAGGACCACAGAGCAAGCCATTCATTGTGACCACAAGATTTTCTAAGCTTTCAACTCGGTTGCATAGATCGGCAATTTCATTCGATCTGTAGAGTATTCAGGATATTTCGCAGGCGTGTGGCATCAATACCAGTAAATCGGCATGTGGTTCTGCTCGACGACCCACAGTATCTTGGTTTGATTGTGTTTCTTTCCCTTTTCTGACCATTCACACTGATAACCTAGCCTAGCACAGTTCAGGCACTCTGGGCTTTCCCAAATACAGCGTATCCTTTTGTGTTTGCATTGACAGCAAGCTAAAGGCCTTGCGTAAGTTTGAATTTCCTTTGTAAAGGACAAGCTGTGAAAGGTTAATCTCTTTCAAGACTTACCAGCATGATCATTGAGGCTCGTTTAGCAAACAGTGGTGTAGCATAGATTTTAGAATTTATCCAAACCAGCTATAGGCAGCCGCTGAAGTAGAAAAGAGCACCAAACTGCGCACGATAGCCAGATTATCGGCGGCCAATCTAATCACTTCATAGTTTCTTCACAACAGCCCCCGGTTGGGCCATACTTACTACAAGACGTAAAACTCCTTCATGCATGTTCAATAAACAAAAGCACAGAGAGACTCTAATTGAATGGTGGGTGTTGAAACGAATCTTCGAACTAATTCCCAAGGCGCCGGACGTATTCGGGGATAAGCCAGAGAAGCGCCAATAACCGGCAAAGGTGAACATTTGGAAGTTGTTGGCTGTGTATTGTTACGAATCGACGTATCTATTCCCCGATGTCTCCAAAAAAAAGAAAGAAAGAAAAATGGCGAGATGGTGAGCAGATGTAGTCGATTTTCCCCGACATTCTCCTGATTTGCGGCTTGATTGTTCTCCATCAGTCCACTTTTGCTTAACCTCCCCTTTTTTTTTCAATCTCACCAACCACAGCCACTCGCAGTAAGATAAAGAACGCACAATAACAAGGATTATATCACGCCATGTCTACGGTTATCGCCCCGATATTTGAATGCAACGACGGCATAGACATGGAGCCGTGGAGACCTTCTAAGGTTCGATTGCCGATTACCAATCCACCTCATTACCAACCGGTCACTTTGATAATCTCTGGCATTTATGGGGTATTTGTATACATTATCCGCTAGGGGAGAAATTGGAGTACCAAGCTTTGATTAATTCAGATCTAAGGAATGTCTTTACCAATAGAATCTGCACTGAACACTAAAGAATGTTTCGACCAATCATCTTCGGGAGATCCTAAAATTCCATCTCTGTCCCATTGTCAGCTCAAATCTGCATCCCAATCTGAATGCGACTGTACGGAGAAAAAATATGTATCAGACGTGCCAACAGCGAGCGACCCTGAAGCAGTTCAACAAAGCCGAAAGAGAAAGCCTTTATCATTCTTTCTTGCATTCACAGCACTGCTATTGATGGTATTCTTGGTATCATTGGATGCCACCACGTTGGCTGTCGCAATCCCGATAATTATATACACAGCCATTGATTTAAAATCACAACACGGCTCACCCTTTTCTTCAATAGGCTATCACTGATGAACTCTCGGGTACAACTTTGACGGCGTTTTGGGCCAACATCTCGTTCACGGTAGCAGTCGTGGTCATCCAGCCTATTTAGTATACCAGTTTCTCAGACATATTCGGCCGTAAAATCCCTCTTTATGCGGCCTTTGCACTGTTTGGTATTGGATCAATCGTCTTCGCCCTCGCGCACAATATGGCAGTTCTGATTGTGGGACGTGTGCTACAAGGATTGGGCGGCGGCGGACTTGACGTTCTGAGTGAGGTCATTGTCGCCGATATCACTACTCTGCAAGAGAGGGCTGTCTATATGGGGTTACTATCCCTTCCAATGGCTACAGGATGCATCGCGGGTCCCCTTCTCGGTGCAGTCTTCAGTGAGTATGTCACGTAGCGTTGGATCGGCTAGATTAATCTGCCAATAATTGGCATTGCCTTATTTCTCATCATCTTCTTTATGCGCTTGAGACCCATTGACCAGTCCCTTCGCTCCCAGCTTGGCCGTATAGACTGGCTCGGGATGCTCCTTTTCACGGGCGGTTGTGTTCTTTTTGCCCTACCACTTAGCTGGGCAGGGAATATGTATCCGTGGGGTTCGTGGCGAACAATAGTTCCATTGATCATCGGTGTTTTGATTTTAGTGGGATTTGCATTTTATGAGGGGTATCAGACAGACGCTGTGTTCCCCTACCGTATCTTCAGCTCGAAAACAGCACGAATGACGCTGCTTGGAAGTTTCATCCATGGCTTCGTGCTTTATACTCTTCTGCAATATCTTCCTCTGTTTTTCCAAGCAGTCTATCTCGAGACACCGCTTAAATCCTCCATCTCGATACTACCATTCTGCTGTGTAGTCTTTATTTTCACCGGAATTGCTGCCTTCGCCGTTGACTTTTTCCGGAAATACATGTGGAAAATCTGGACTGGCTGGGTATTTCTTGCTATTGGTTGTGGTATTTTCGCAGTGTGGGACCAATCCTCGTCACAAGCCATGACTGCTAACTTCCAGGTGATTGCAGGGATAGGCATTGGCACGATATTCAGCGTACCTCCAATCCCAATGCAAGCCAGTGCTGCAGCTGATGACCAGGGCCTCGCGATGGGAATAATGGTTGCATTCAGACTTTTTGGTGCTCTCATTGGTCTGGCAGTTGGTGCCACTACATTAAGCAGCGTTTTCGCCAATAGGATCGAGGGGATCGCGTTGCCTGCTTCTCTAGCATCGCTGAGAGACCCCAGTGAGGCCGTGAGCTTTATCCCCTACCTACGAACAGCCGACATCTCTCCTGCTTTGCGGGACCGTATTCGAGAGGCGTACAAGGACGCCATGCAGACAATCTGGTATGAACTCGCAGCGTTTGGAGTATTGGGATTTTTGACCTCTCTGTTTGTGGAAGAGTTGACTATGGAGACGGAAGAATTGGGTCGGCAGCATTTCGAGCATGAGTCAGACTGAATAGAGTGAGGTCATCAAGCGGATCAGTAGGTCTAGATCTATTTATTCTTAACAAAGTTCATGGCACGAAATGAAGCTTGAATAATTAACTCCCTGATATACAGCCAACAAACAATATGTGTTAACCGGAGCTCTTCACCAGTGTTGTATGGTTTCGAATAAACACAATGAACTCTTCTCACAGCCCTCATTAATCACATCTATTCTCAAACTAGATTGATGATCCACGTAGTGCGGGCAATGGAGGGTACGGCCTCATCGGCGAGATACTGCTAGTGAGCGAGCTTCTTGATCGAAAAGATAATTTCCACTTAGTTTAGATTATCGATAGTATTCATTCATGACTCCATATTTAGAATAGATTAGTTTCCGATGCTGATCTTGACACATACGACCATAGGGTGTGGAAAACAGGGCTTCCCGTCCGCTCAGCCGTACTTAAGCCACACGCCGGTGAGTTAGTAGTTGGGTGGGTGACCACCAGCGAATCCTCACTGTTGTATGTTTTTGTTTTTCTTAGTTCTTCTGCATGGTGGTAGGCGAAGGGGGTCGCCTACATATATTTTGGGGATTGTTATATTGACCCCCCTTGGCTAATCCGACACCCTTTTGGCTAATCTAAAACCCCACTTATCTACAATTAAGCGATTTTCACACTAAGACGAAGCGCTAGACGAAGCGCTAGACTTACTGCTATTGTTGTAGAGTGAGAGGTGGCCCGAGCCTTTACAGGGACTAGGTAGGTACATACCTACATACCTACCTAAGGTACCTAGTTATCGTTGGAAGCGTTCAAAACTGCTGAGTCAGCACCGATAAACCGAGTTTCATAGCAAGGGGTAAATTCGTTTGTACAGTAGTCCGTTAATTAAGGCGCCTGCATGCGATTGTTAAAACTTGGTATTCGCTATATCCTAAAAACTGCCCCAGCAGTTTTACTGTCGTATTATATATATTGTCGAGATATAATTAGCATCGGCATCGGACGACGGACGACGTTTGTGGGTTAGCCCACTTTGACCCACTCTGGACCCTGAGGAAATCGTGTTGTGAATTTCAGAATACAACATATGAGTTTTCGCGATATCTTAAATTCCTGCTGTGGAATTTACTAGTGATTTATATTGGTCTTGGAATTTCAGCTTCCAGCTTCAACTGCTCTCAGCGAAATTTGAATAAACGAACACCATGGCCATCCCGCCGATTGCCAAAGCCACATTGCAGGCCGCGCTCATCAATGCGGGGTCTAACGTGTTAGCCCAGGGGATTAAGGCTTATCGAGCCAATGTGAGTTCTGGTTTTATTTGTTACTCACCGTGAATTGCTATAATGTTCAAGCTGTGAGGCAGATGCGGGGAAGGCTTCTTTGACATCTGCCAGGGGTGAAACCAGATCAACTATGTAGCTTATGCTCGAGATTCTGAGGACAATCCAAATAAACTAACACAATATACAGACCACCTTTGAACTAGACATTGAGTCTCTGATGCAATTTACAACCTGTGCATTCATCACCTCACCACTGAGCTACCTCTGGCTGGGAACTCTGGAATCATGGCTTCCCGGCCGGGTGCCCGACTCGAAGACCGACCAAAGAGAAAACAAAAACGATAAACAAACCCTATCAAAGCCATCTTTGAATTTCACCAATACAGTCGCAAAGATTGTTATTGATCAGGCTATCGGCGGCGCTTGGAACACCATTGTTTTCATTCTGACGATGGGGATACTGCGGGGATTGGACTATGATACAATCACTGGACAAATTCAATCGGTATGTCAAAACGTGAACCTAATATATCTCAGGCTGGTTTGGACTCCAATGTTTCTCCGCTCAAAAGGGGGCAGACGCGAGATCGTGGATCGAAGGATTGAAGCTTGGCTGTTGAATGTGATTTCCTAGTGCTGATATTGATGTCATAGGATTTTTGGCCTATTATGGTCGGTGGATTGAAGCTCTGGCCACTTGTGTCTATTCTCAATTTCACAGTGGTGCCTGCTAATCGGAGGTTGCTTGTAGGTAACATTTTTGGAGTTGTTTGGGCTATTTATCTCAGTCTGATGTCTGGGTAAATCAAACGGTTAGATTTGGTTCTTATTCTTCTCTACTGGACCGAAAATGGACACAAAACTATCTCAGATAATCCAACAATAATACTGCTTTTCTTCCTTGAACACGGCAGGTTCCAATGGACAGCATCACCGACGAACAGCCAGAGTTCAGTCTCTATTGCCCGTGCCCCCAGTCAATTACCACTGATCAGGATCCGCATCGGCAAAAACAGTTCCAGCAGCAATCTCATCATACCAAATCGACCGAGTCCCCTGGGTGCCCTTCATCCCTTTATCATCATACCAGCCATTAGCGTAAAGTCCAACACGGAATTGGAAAGCCCGATCATCATCAATGGTGGTCACAATGTCCCTCTTATCCAAAAGCTTATTTCCATCCAACCACAACTTATATTGACCAGTTCCATCCGACTTCCAAGTGGCCTGGATCACGATCTTATGCCAGACGCCTGCAGTGACAGTCGCTAGACTGGGGAAAGTCACAGTCTTCTGCGCACAGATACTGCCCTGCTTGACACGCGTGTACAGCTGGTCACCGACAAGCCAGACCATGCTAGAAGGCATGAAATCGTCGCAGCCGGTATCGCTGAAGTCGGCGATGAATTGTGCGATGTTGTATGATTGGGCTGGGGAGAATTGCCAGTTTTCTTGCAGGCGGAAGGCGAAGCCGTAGAAGCCTGTGTCGCCGCGCTTGTAGACGTTCTTCTTAACAACCTCTGAGTGGTACCGGCCTGTGTAGCTGGAGTCGTAGATCTGGGTCATTTTCAAGGCGGTTGGGCCCTCGTAGACTACGTTTGTCACTTGCTGCACGGTGCCGGAGTGTTCTTTGTTGGTGGCATCCCAGCCAGAGGTCGTGCCTGTGTTACTGAAGATTTGAGTTGCTTGAGCCGTCAGGCTGAGGGCCAACAGTGCTGCTGAGGAGAGCTTGCCGAACATTTTCGTAGAAGATGAAGGGTTGATCAATGTGTCGAACTATTTTGCTCGGGATTAACGGGGGTTTTAAACACATTGGTCTTACCGGAACTCCACCTCAACGCAATGAACTGAGCGAAACATGCCGATGTGCTTGTGAAGGTTATTGGACTGTTGTCAGTGATGTTTGAAATACTCGGATTCTTCCCCTAAAAGGGAATTCAGCCGAAGCAGCCATTATCTTGGGATGATGCTACCATGGTAAGTTTTTCCATAATAGGTAGTAGTTGAGTAGCAGGAAAACAGCCTAGAGGAATGCTATTGGGTGGAATAAGCAGGCTGAGTCGCAGTTTGGAGGCCCTGACCCGCAATCCTGCAGATCATGCAGGAGGGGGAGGAGTCAGCTGTTGAGCGGCTAGCCTCAGGGTTACATTTTCAGTGCGAAGGCTGATAAAGGTGGGCTTTTGTCTCACTTTCATAGAAAGGTGACTTGGGTGATGGAAGTTGAAGTGTCAGGTAGATGAGGGGGTACGGAGTAGACACGGGGCGCCTAGCGAGATTTGGCTTTAGTTCAGGCACGAGGTGTTTGCCTTTTTCAGATAGCTTCACGTCAGCAATATCTCTTCCTTCTTACCCTGGATTTTGCTTGTATTGGCTTCTTCTTTTCTTTTCAAAGGAAAAGTGATGTTTCGTCGTTCAGTGGTCTCCGAAATGGCACCTTGATCCCCAAGAACATCCAAATGTTGACTCGGATACAATGCCATCAGCCGGTACACAAAATAATAATTATAGCAAGGGTAAAATCAATGATCAGAATCAAATATGACCACTGTCGAAAATGATCTGGGTTATCGTGGTAATTTTGTATTTCGGCCGCGGTGTTGTTGAACAGGCGTTGAGCAGGCCCTACGATCGTGATAACATCGCCGAAAGCTTAGCCCAAGCTCATAATGTTTAGTTTGTGCACCGCTTAATTCAAATTTATGGTCTAAATATTAGTATTCCCGTTTGAATTCTGGACTGCGATATCCAGCGCGGCCTCATATCATATATAGACCGAGTCATACCAAAGGCTATAGACGGGTACGCAGCGGTATAGTCGCCAGCTGCCAGAACCCTATTCCCAGTAAATGTGGATGCCTTAAAGCCTAATTTTGGCCTGGTCATTGACCGCTTCTTACACCGCCAGATACAATGTAATGTAAATTTGCCAGTGTCAAAAACGAAGCTTTTGGCTTCCCTGCAAAGTGAGATATCGCGACTTTCTTAGACGATTTGCAAGGGTCAAAAAACATGGAGGTATACGCATTTATATGGGATGGAAAGCTTCATTTTTGGCCCTTCCAAATCGTCCAGAAATATTGAGATATCTCCATTTGTATTGAGGCCAAAAGCTTCGTTTTTGAGAGTTCTAAACGCCAGCAAAATCAGGCTACTTTGATTATCAAGGGAAGTGTCATAGTAATTCAGGTATTTTAATTTTTCTGCCGTTTTTAATTCAGGCCGCCAGGCCAAAGTTAGGCTTCAAGGCATCCACATTTACCAGAGATAGGGTTTTGGCAGCTAGGCCTCTGCAAAGCCCATTTTGCTGCATAAATATTATCTTGGCATACATAAAGTAGCTGATTAATGACAGTATTTTACGCATGTTCCAACCTGTATACTCAGTAACATTTAATTATCATGGTAAGAAGTAGGAATTTTACGAATGTAACACTAAATTCTAGTATCTTATTAATTGAATCAAATCATTTGAATCATTACTTTTTATAACTTTACTTGTAAATTTGTCAAGGAGGAAGAAGATGAAGAAGAGGAAGAATATAATGATTCACGTATAGCTTTATATATAGCCTGGATAGTAATCTCAATACCCAAAAAACCAGCAAAAAATGTATTAATTATGCAGTTGCAATAGATTGGTATGTTTGTATTGTTTGATAGATAATGGGGGCCCATTATGGGCCTAAATGGGCCCTACGGGCTCAAGGTATAAGCCCATAACCCATCGATGGGCCCGAAGGATAGGCCCAAAGCCCAACCCATTAGTGGGCTGGGCTTTGGGCTTTGGGCTTTGTGGGCTTTGCAGAGGCCTAGCTGGCGCCTATACCGCTGCGTAGACGGGCGAGTGGAGGAGAGAGGAAGCAATCTTGTTTTACGGATAATTTTGTTTGCGCAATTTGCATTAGGTATTTCACTCATTCGATACTACTTAGTTACATAGCCTGTATGCCTAGAACATGGCTTAGACTATCGAGTCGCCAATCAAAAACGCTCTGGCGATGCCATTAAACTAAGGTTATAACTATATTTTGTCCCCAAGTTGTGTCATACGCTTGCCTGGATGATATTGATCAACAATAATTACTGATATGACGGAGGCCACGGTTCATTCTAGTTTCGTATCATAATTCTAGGAGGTCTATACAATATAATTCAATAGTGAATCTAACATGTACGCCGTCGGGTGTGGAAAACATAGACGCTATTGAGTTATTAGGTGGATGGGTGACAACCAGAGTCACCAATTTTATATATCTTATCTTTGATTTTGGTTTTCTATTGCGCTCTTAACGCCAAAGGGCCCAGGTAGCACTCTGGAAGTACTCATAATTATCATTATTACTGTGACCATTCCCATACTTGACCTAACGCACAGTCAGCCTGAAGCGGATTCAAGAGAGAAACGCTAGAGCTATCTACTGTCGGTGATCGCAGGACCTAGACACGAGGCGCAGCTGGTTGCACTGAAGGATAATCTACATAACGCAGAAGAAGCGGGTCTCTGCGAGCAGGACTGAGAGAATATTATAAGCAACCAGGCTAGGAAGCAGAATTGTCAATAGATTCGGCACTCAGAAGTGCATCGCTTAGTAGAGGTGGGCAGAGCTGATAAAATTTAGGAGAAGACAGAAATCCGATGGCACCGTCTCGGAGCAAGTGGCGACATGAGGAGGTTCGCTAGAGAAATTGAGAATAGAAGAGGGCATTGAAGAGTTCGGGAAAGAAGGTTAACAAATACAGTGTGCGTGGAGTGTGTGCCATCGTATATTTGGACAACAAGCATGAACGGGAAATGGGATGTTCGCTTTCTCTCTATTGATGATATAGAGAGATGAGATATTGTGTTTTTCTCTGAATATGTCTGCTCCATTTAGCCTATCACAAAAGTCGCGCATCCCTTAATGAGACTACATATGTATGTACATACTACTGTGAGCTTAACAACGATATAATGGTCAAGGTAATACCAAGCCAATCCCAAGCTAATGCTAAGATGATGCTACACCCTACCCCGCGACACCCTACCCCGCGAGACCTGTGGACATAGCCATGGCTTACCTAGGTAGATACTGGTCCACGGGTACTTTAGTAACCCACATACAACAGAAGTTCTTTCCGCCAGATAGTTACATTGCTATAGAAAGTGTGCTAGTAATGCTACGTAGATTATTTGATCCAAGCACACAACCTTGGGAGTAAATTTAGTTACCATATAAAAGGTGGATAGCTGAAGGATTGTGGGTAGGCTGCCGAGGCAATGGAGATGGATACCTGGCGATCATAAGACTCTAGTAGACGGGTAGGTTGACGGCCCGAGCCATGCCTAATCTAGAAGCGATGATACACCAATCCTGGATCGCTACGGGAGCACTCCAGTGAAGTAAATTCCCCACTGAGACTCTCTTTGGCGATGAAACCGTTTTTTGTTTCAGGCCCTCATGGGACCCTGACCCAGCCCCACGGCATGCTTATCCTAAGAGAGAGGACTAGCTAACATCTGAAAGACCTAAAATTATGATGGTAAGTACTAGATAGATCGCTCCGTTCAAGTGGACGAGTGCGTATCGTCGAGTCATTGGCGGGAACGAAGACGACGTGTCGTGGTCGAATTGGATGCCCCACCAGGATCCTCGTGCTAATTGTGATCATGAGCAGCATCATACAGCAGCGCTGCTTGATCAGGGGCACTTGAGAGTCTCCGACAGCTGTGCTTTGACTTGAATCTGTTGCACACACCTAGCTTTACAGACAGACACATTTCTTCATACACGTGCAGGATACTCAGTAACCTGAGGATAGGCAGATGCATGTTCGGTTGTGTTTCTTCTCTACTACATAGAATTCCTGCAATAGCGAGGTCCATGCACAGCACCAATCTAGCGTCTCTTACCAGGGCCACGGTAGTTCTTCCCAAGGTGGTGTTTGTTTGAGTAACCGTAGTAACGGATGTACCTGATTGTATTCGGAGACGAATAGATCTTCTCCGCGAAAGATACATATCTCTGGTGTGTTCTGGCTCATGAAATCGTGTTTCGGGTGATAAACCTTGGTTTTGTCTCGGCAAGCAGGGCAATTCCTCTGTCAATCACTTCAAATTTCGGTGTATGGCTGCCAATCCCGATTTTACGTTAATTCCCTCGTACTCTCATCTTCGTTCTCATTCATATCCTTCTTGCCCCAACCGTCATAACCTTGGGGTTCAAATTGTGCGGCCTAACACCTACTACAGCCAAAAAAAAAAGGACCTGCCAAACGTGCAGTGCAGCTAGGGTGGTTAACGTTAGGCAAGATAAATTACCACAGGCCGAAGTCCACCGAGTTTTGAGATTTAGATTGCCTATCCTTTGGTTAAGAAAAATTGAGTCTAAACTTCCCTCAACTCAAACAAAAAAGCCGCAGGCAATTTAAAAGATTCATCAACAAGAACAAAGACCGATATATTCGGTGGTGCTGGTCTATTTATTGGCCCCATGTAGCTTGCTCTGATTATATGGTGCTATACGGGGTTGCCCTCAGGCATGCCAACAGCTGAAAAGCGGTTGCCGGCCCTTTAGACGACCGCTTTATGAAAGTGGAAATGTGGATTTAATAATCATTCAACCTGAAATATAGAAAGGGAGAAAACTATAAGCACCTAGAAAAACCGGCAAAACGAGGTACCCTTTCCCCTTGCTATCTGTCCTGCATGGCTCCCTCATATCACTGAGACCCTACCTTTTGCCCGCCTTTTGCCCAACTATGCAACCCAAAAGCTGCCGCTCACGTGCGTGCTTGGATCAAGGGATTACAGTTGACCTTGCACTGCACTTGTAACGGGTGCTATTGTTCTTCTTCCGCCACACTGTCCTAGGGTTGTTCTATTCCATCCCTTTGCCTGAAACTGTGAAGGAGGCCATTTCTATAACTATCCACTGTCAATTCACTCGCTGAACTCTTACCGCATGTCATCATCTGGGCTTTCTATTGTGAGTACATGAGTCATGATCACTGGAGGAGAGAGTTTGCACAGCGTTTGCGGGTGGCGTTACCCCTTGGCTGTCCTCCTGCTCGCTCACATAGCCCTTGTAAGACGGCGAGTGAACAGAGTATCATCAGTGTTGCATGTTTTTGTTTCTTGTCTTTTCTCAGCGCGGCAAATTTCAACGAGCCCTTAACCCCCAAGCAACAGTCTAGGATGAGTCTTTCGTATCATTCTTCTTGTAAGTATTCCCAAAGATCAATGTTAGAACGTAACAAATCTTTCTCCCATGGATTTTACAGAAAAAAAAGAGAAGGAGCTCTATACTAGTTGTTGAGGCTACAAGCACGAGAGAGAGGAAGAAAAAAGAAATGTCCATTCAAACCAGAAAATTCCAACAAAGTCATCTAAACTAAGGCTCGGTTTACCAGGCAACAAGTGTCTTATGAGATGAAGATTCAACACTAGTCATTTGCGAAGCTGATTTTTGGCTGTTAAAAAAATATTCATTCCGCCGGGAAAAGATTCTGCATCCTGCTGAAATGGCTAAATGCTTTCCAACCAGACGAAGTGTTCGAAGCCCGAATCCAGTAGCCCCCTGATCCATTTTTTTCGATGAGGACCATTGGTCCAATTGTAAGGTTGAATGGAATTGTAACTGCTGGATTGACAAAGCTTACGACAGGTGCAATCTGTCTATCGAGACTAGCACCAGAGAAATCCAGACCAGTGTAATTGAACGATGTCCACTGGGAAAGCAAGACCACAGCGAGGTTTCCACCGCGGCGAGCATTCAATGCAAGAGGTGCGGATGCGTGATCTTCGGAAAACCGGAGATATTGTTCAATAGAAGCAGGAGAGGTGTATTGCAACGTCTTGAGGCGTATGTCTCTTGCGATGTTGGCGATGGGCTCTCTTCGCAACTGTTCAACAGAGAATTTGCAGCGAAGCACACCGACGCTATTGTGAATGTAGTAGGTGCCAGTCTCAGCAGGTTTGATGAAACGCCGATAATTGATGGGTCCGTAATAATCCACCGAGTCCTGAGACGAAGGCTGAGGGGAATAAATGGTCTTCAAGTACCATGCAGCGAGAACATCATTCCGTGTGAGGTTGATATCCAAAAGACTTCGGTTCAACTCTTCCTGCGATTTGGCCCGTAATTCGTCCACCCAAGCACCTGGGACATGAATAAACTTGGTACTGAGCTTCTCGGCAAACCCGAGATTTTCAGCAAATGTTGCTGATAGCACACGCCAGAGAAGTCTTCCAAACTTGAAAATCCCATTGTCCAAATTTTCCGCGTGAGTGTTGTAATACATATCACGCTTTTCTTTGGTCCATTCAGTCTTAGCAATCATTTTATCCGACAAACGTGTACCTTCTGCATCAGGTGGAAGAGCAAAGCGAGGGATCGATTTCTTCGATAGTAGGTCACAGAATGCGCGAACCACCTCAAAACAATCCGTGCCATCGCAGATATGATGTGCTATTCCAAAACAGAGAAAGGTAGCATCCGAAAGAAGAGTTACTCGAAGGCTGAAATTAGTGTCGTTGAAACCGACATCGAATATAAATTTCTCATCTATTTCGGACGGCTGCTGACCTTCCAGGATTGTCGGTTGATCCTTAGGCTCCCAATTGAGTGGAAGATAGCAACTTGATACTTGTTCAATGGTTCTACTTGCAAAATCGACAGTGGAGCCACAAGTGAATGACCATGGTTTTGTCTAAAGAGAAATCAGCAAAGTACGATAGAAAGGAAAAAGTAATCCACCTACGCTCTTCAGCAACGTGCCACCAAGAATTGGCCATGCCGCAACCAACTCGGCAGCTTTATCGCCCAAGATACCTGGATCAAGCACACAATCAACAACCAACCCCACATAAATGGTACTGTAGTTTGTCAAAGAGTTAGCACTTCTGCAAGTGTATGTCGGAGAGTCCAAATCCACTGTTGCCATTTTTGGTCTGTATATTGAACGGGGGAATATGAACGAAGCCAGTTTTGGTTCTTTCGAGCTGCTTGTATTTATCCCTTATTTTTAACCGAGATGACTAGCCCTAAATCCTGATTGGCCTTGTCCAATACCATGAGTATCTAGACGTGATAAACCTGATTTATTCTATCTGTAGAAGGGTTGCGAGTGCTGTGCGGTATTGATCTTTGTACCACATGGATGCCTGGTTTATTTGCAGATCCAACAATAATGATGTCGGCCAAAGTGGTCCATTTGCATACATAAACAGGAATACGCTTAGATTTGCCACTCTGATCTGGCAATGGCACTCTGTGTTGTATCAACGGGCGAATATTCAATGACATGGAATAAATATCGCAGGGCATATAGCGGTCGTAATAATACTGTGAGTCTTGCTCGCCTGAGCCTTGCAGGCTCTGACATGGCAGGATTTAGTACTTAGCCATGTCCTAATTGGCGCTTAGGACTGTCGTGCTCAAAACTAGCTTCAGAAAATTGAACAATGGCTCCGTTATTCGCTTTAAGTAGCTAAAATAGTAATACACCTGCCCTTGATTATAACACTCGTGAGGAACCGCTGGCCAATTTTGGCAGGATCTACAACAGTACCAACCAAACCCTACCAAGTGTCTTGTATTCCAGTAAATTGATTCTATGTTTTCAAGACGGCTATTAGATAGAAATGGTCAATTACCTAAATTTCTTTTTGTGTCTGATACTCTGACTTGATACAAATAAAAGATCTAACACACAATGAAGAAAGTGATGTTGAATATATGCCATACTAAAATTGCAGATGCATTGCCACTTCTAGCTAAGAGTTGTTCATTGAGGCGGTCATGTCGCCCGCGGGAAGAATAAGTTCTCCAGCCGTGGTGCCATAGCAGCGATGGTCAACATGATCAAGGGACTGAACTGAACAGCGGTGAGTAATGCATGCTCCCGTGAAGATCGAGAAAGAATGGCTGTCTCCATTGATGTCTCCGAAAATTCAAGCTAGGCAACTCTTTGTTCCTGAAATTTGCGAGGTGTGACAGTGAAGCTTATCACATTGTTTTCATCCCGTTCCCAGGCTTTGAAATATCGATCGCCAAGATAACTAGCACATTTGTCAGTCGGATTTTAGAGACATTTCAGATTTCAACCCAACCTCCAGTGAGCAAGGCCCATTGCAACATTCAGACATCCTTTTATAAAGATATCTGAGATGAGTCTGGATCTTCCTTGGTGTTTTTGAACGAGGTATGCTCCCGCATCACGAAAGCTTGTTGCTTCATTGTGAAGTAGCTGATAGCATCGAGTCATTGCCGTACTGCAGTCAATTTGATCGTTCAGCATCAACACAGTAATCAGGTTTTCAATCTGACCGTCGTTCTGTGATTCTTTTTAACCCACAATTCATTCTAGTAAATGGGATAGGTACGTACTATCTCTTTCCGGAACGAAAGCATGTCGTTGGTTCTGGATATTCTGTCAGAAATTTTCATATAATGGAACACTGAGAACCATGTTAAATGACTAACATGTGAACAAAATGAGAGGTATGTCTCCACAAGTCTCGCATAGACCGATCTTGGAAATCTGCTCTATCAACATCCACTCCGTATATAAATCTCAACAAAAATCAGTTATTGCTCACAAAACGTATTTTAATGGGGGACATACGGAAGTGTGGCGATCACACAATGGGCTCCAGCGGTAGCCTCACGTCGGTCCCAGTATTCCTCGACTGTGGGGATTTCATGGACTGCGAAATTAATGTCCACATTGTTGAGGCTTCCGATATATCGTGACATCTCGTCATACAAAACTTCGCGAGTCGCTTCGTTTCAGTCAGCACTATCGTAGAAACAGCAATTCATCGCGGCATTGAATAAAACCTCACATTTAGAACAAACTTCACGAATATGCTCTCCGATCTCGTCCCAGCACTGAAGACCATTCCGGAGATCGATATCGAAACAAGTTAGATCAGGTTTCTCACCCTCACCAAGTAGAGAACATTTGAAATAATGGTGGCTTGCTGCTTTGTATTTGGTAGCAAGGATTTCATCATGTTTCAAAGCTCCACAATCAAATACTGAGTAGCACATAATTCCCCTCGTCAGTCGATCAGGAAAAACAAAAAACAAAAAGCTGGAAAGACATACAATCGTCGTATACAAAATACTGACATATGATGGTCAGCTATAATGTGTGGCAATAGTTGAAGAAATACATACCCAGGCAAAATACTTCACCGCTGTACAAAGTATATCGAACGGGGCATCTTGACACCAGACTGCGGCAAAACTCCCAAAGTCGGCCGTTTCCAGCGTTCGAGCAGTGCGTTGGTCAATCACCCATCTTGAATTTTTCAGCGGGCTTCATGTGGAGCCTCAATTGGCGACGCAAAGTAACCATTAAAACTAACCTTTGAATCCACGGATTCAGGGCCTCCTCCCGTGCTCTTCCGTGATCTGGATGCTGTCGAGGGTTCCAATTGGGAAAGGTGTTGTAGATACTCGGAATAGTGACCTTCTGCCCCAAGATTGATTTTCCAAGGGCGGTGTAAGTCGTTGGATCAATCGAATCGGTCATTCTTGCTTTGATTTATTTTCGATAATGGAAGAGCAAAAAATAAAAGAACTGAGATGTCAATCAAGGCGTTGCATATTACCCATTTTTATAGTTCGACCACATTTTCACTGCTTCTGTCTTGTCACCGCTACTTTATCATTTGACGTTGCTTCCCACTAATCCTGTTTTGCAGTACAGGGAATGCGGACTTGCTTGCTTCTACTGCAGCTTAATTATGGTTCACCAATATCATCACAAAGATCCTCGCTCGAAGTGGCAATGATCTGCTCTACAAGTTCATCGGAAACCTCAACCGCTCTGGATTTTATACTATTCTCCAATGGATTAGAGGCATGAAGTAACACAATATCATGCATAGTGATGTGAAGAGATAGGGAATACTAGACGAATGTATTGCAATTATGTCGGCCAGCGGCATCCAATTGCATTAGTACGGATTCTTCACAAACACAAATAGAAAACATTGTCGGCCCCAACCAACTCTTGAGCCTAGAGGAGAGCCTGCATATATGTCCCTGCTCTCTTTGCACTGGCTTAATGTGGCAAGGAGATTGTGCTTTTGTGATCTAGATCGAGCAATTCTTCAAGATGTCGGAACATGATACCCCTCTGTTGCCCCCTTCGCACTTGGCTAGCTTGGATTTGGGCCCTAAGGCCTTCTCTGCATCAAGCGTTATTCCCACTCCGGTATATTAGAAGACATGTCTCTCAAAACATATGCCTTTCGTCATCATATATACCGGGCTACTCTACAGTTCGCTCCCTGTTTCTTGTCGCTCTGTTTATCATCCTTGCACAACGCTCATTACAGATCCAGATAGTGATTATCTATCACAATTATCCAATAACAAAGGTGTGCTCGGTGTCATTAATCAAATTTGCCTAGAAACGCCTCTTCTTAAATTGCCACCTTCCAATTATTTCTTTTGCATCAATTGTAGTAACGACTCTCATTTCCAGTCTAGTATCGTTTGTTGTTTTGACTGTAAATTCAGGACCATGGCTCTGGCGTAACCTCCTAAAATCCCATTTTTCAACGAGTCTAGTAATTCATTCCAGCAGTTTGATCTCGATCAAAGAAAGTCCCCAAGCCCTGTCTCTCATATACCGGAACCCTGAATTCGTCAAACCAATAGCACTTTCAATTCTTCTTTCATCATCGAACGAGGTGTGGACTTTGTACGCAAAGAGCATGAATTTCATGTGCAGGCTTCGAAGGCACTACCATCTCCTATATGTCAACGTCACTGTTGTTTTCTTCAGGAGCGTGCTTGGATTTACATGCCAAGAGTTTATATACTCCTTGCGGCGAGCCTGTGCCCAGCAATATAAGGCAAATCCTGAATGATGATGTTATATTCCTGTTATTAGAAATAATACTCGATGACGGTAGCTGGTGTGACAGGTGCTAGAGCCTATGCTCTATATGTCGTGCTACAATCCAAGGGTTGCCAGTAAACTTCTACACCGTACTCCATGGTGGCCTATGGAAAGAAACTATTCCCATATTTTTCTTTTGACTTTCGCCAACGCTAGCGCGAATGTATGCAAGACTAGACTCAAAGTACAAAAATATCAAAAAAAAATAAAAACATACAACAGTGAGGATTCGCTGGTGGTCACCCACCCAACTACTAACTCACCGGCGTGTGGCTTAAGTACGGCTGAGCGGACGGGAAGCCCTGTTTTCCACACCCTATGGTCGTATGTGGTTTAGTTAGCCTAGAAGTAGGCTATACAGTACGGCCTTTTGGCAAATAACAGTGAATTGTAAGGTCCTCGAATAGCACCGCTTCTACGACATAGAAATACTGTAAGCGATTAAATAGCCCTGTGCAGCTTATTTCAAAAGATTGCACTGTTATTTCTTATTCAAATTTAGATGACTAAACATAATGTCCCAAGGTTGGACAAAAAACAAGCTCCCAGCACAATATATATGGAAAACACAAACCCGTGAGCCCTGAGTTGCCATCGTTCTTGCACGTTTCAAGATTTGGCTCTTGTATCTGAGCTATACATGAAGCAGTTTTCCATCTTGTTGGTCAAGCCCCCTAAATCAAGAACGCCTTGCCAACTCAAGATGTTGCAAAGAAGGTAAAGTGGCAGAGGACAAATTCAAAAACCCTGCATTGTCCAATAGCTTGGACTCTCAACTTTCCCTGAAGTTGCTTTGACAATCTGAGATAAACTTTTGTCATTAGTAGCAAGCTTGCAGTGCGTCTTATCAATCTCGAAATATCTCAACAGCAATTCTGTAGATGAAGCTTCATTTTGCCTGCCCGAGGGTGGCAGAACTTCCTAGTAAGGCCTTTGTAATAGCAACCCAGGTGCTTATATGTTTCTATCATGCCAAATCGCAGCATCAAGGTAGCAGTTTCAGGTTTTGAACACTGACCGCTGTATATTTTCGCTGGCGAGGACCTTGCTGTTCGTTTAGTATCAGATTGAGGCGAATTATTTCATATGGCAAGATGCATTGTCTCTTTCTTGTCCCTCTTGGCCCACCGTTCCAGCAAACCATCCCGTATCTTATTTGCGACCACAAAACCCCTACACACGACCAGGTCAAGCAGATTCAGTAATTCGGATTGTTGCTCAACCGTCCGGGCTCGAGCTCCTGCAACGGTTACTGGGAAAAGCAGCATCACTCCCGGGATTTTAGAGTAGCGCAACACCTCCCCCGAGAGATACAAGATTGTATTCAAGTGTTCAGAAACTTCACCAGAGGATAAGACTGGGGCCGGTATATTGTCCCAGTAGGGAAAATAGTCATAATTGCCGGAGAGAAAGATTAGCAGAGCGTGATAATACAGCAAAGCTAAGTTCAAATATTCATTAGGGCCATCCTGGACCAGCTGCAGCAGCGTTTTCGTGTGCCAGTTATAGATATTTTCTTGGGCATTGAGTCCATCAGCCGCAAGCAGAGCAACTGATGGATCCGTGAACCGTTCTGTTTCAGGAATCATATCAATTATTGCACCGGCTCTGTCGTTTGAATTATTAAAACAGAACAATTTGCTCAGTTGTGAGTGCCCACTTACCTTCGGCTGAAGGCGGATGTCTGAATCATCAGAGTTATAATCTCATCCATGGGCTCCCACCGAGTGGCCTTGCTTGATAGGGTTGTTTGGAGTCGATCCCAGCATTCCTGAGAAAGAATTGTTTCGTCATCATAGAGTAAGGCTCGGCTGGCTTCGAGGGTACGAAATAGGTCGTAGAACATTCTTCGGACGGGTGACATGCAATCGCTTGGTCCCGCAAGCTGGAGCATTTTCGATGTTCCATACAGCATATGCTTGACCCAGCCTTCACCCGAATCGTCGGAGAGCAGCTAGGTGTATAGATGTCAGTCAAACCCGAATTTGCTGCATTCGATAGGGCACACTCTTTGTGATAGAACCATACCTCAAACAGCCCTAGGAAGAAAGTAGCCCAGAGAACGTCCTCTCTTTGCATCACATTTTTGTTCCCCACACATGAACGCAAAATACCAATTGACATGTGATAGGAGCTCATGGCATCCACATAAGGCGAGTTCTCTCCCTGTACTCCGCGTCCACCAGTGTGTCTATTTGCATCCAATGCACCAACCGCTATCACTGCATGGTAGAGGATCGGAGAAGTTGAAATTAAGGGAAGCAAATCCGGAACTATTGATGAGAAGCTGATCGTGAACATGTTCCGCTGAATAAAAGAGACAAAATAATCAAGAAGGCGGGAACCCTTGTCCTTCCCGATAAAATCGAGCGGGTGGATCCCAGAGCTGTGTCTATTTGTAATAGTCACGCCATTCCGATCAGCACTTCGGTGGCCTCCATCAAAATCATCTTGCTTTGTTTTATTGACAAACACAGCCATACCATGTCCCGACTGCTGCTGGGCAACGCATATCATGTCTTGACGGATGCATTGAGAACATGGAAATCCCCCTTCACACTACTGATATTTAGTTGCACTGATCTCATGTAATTGGAGTTTAACATCCCAGACCTTGATGCGTCGTTTCGCGCAGCCGAGGCAGCGCGTCACCCGCCTTCGCTTGTCCAGTGGGCCGAGCATTCTCCGTTGCAAGGTCGTTGGTGATGGCATAATTTTGAGGAATCTGCTAACACACACGAATTACGCGTGTCCCCCTGAGCACTACGATGGAAATGGTTATATTCGAGCGAGACCTAGTCTGACACCAGGCGGCAACGTAGCTGATGGCGCTAACCAAGTTGGGAAGTAATCTCGCGGGATAGATTCCACTAGCCTAATTAGGAAAGGGTCCCGCGAGATAAGGACCCACATTATGCAATGTTTTCCAATCAACGTAAACCCCTTTCAACAACCATATTTGAACATTAGTTATTTGATTATTGCCCGATGAGAATGGATATATTTGAGCGAGACCTCTGACAGAGGGCTGCGAATCAGGCGATTGCTAACCCGATCACAATGTAATATCGCGATACAGGCATCCATATTACTTCAACAATTCTGGATAGTCCTTGGCAACAGACTTGGATCTGATCAACTGACGCTCTGTCACTTCCAATCCAGTAACATACTTTGTCAGGAAGAAATTTCTATTTTTGAATCGCAACGCGTGCTTTGATACCTAGGTATACAGGGCAATTCTAGGCTACCACTCCGCCTCTTCCCTCCCAGATGTATAAAGGGTAGGCGACCCTTTGAGTATCTGGTCAATATCTCATCGTCTTCGTCAACAGGATTTCGAAAGTTTCGTTCTTACTCTAATTTTATCCAGGAGTGCCTTTTCTAGCGATCGATGATGTTTTACACTCTTCGTCTCCTGCCTATTGTGGCTATGTCCGTCTCTGCGGTGGTGATCCCTAGCCCACCCGGACAATATGACGTATTTTACAACACGGCAAAAATGATTGAAAAGACCAGAGTCGATCCATTTGATCCCCACCACGGACCACGTTCAGTGATGACTTCGGTATTCGCGCCCACCAACTGCAACGTCGACCTCGAGACGATCGACTACCTGCCGCCTGCAACGGCCAAGTACTACTCCAACCTGTACAGCGCATACGGATTGCCCAACGGGTCCCTTCAATCCCTCTCCTTCCAGGCATGCCCAGAGCCTCCAAAGGGACATCACCTCCACTTCCCAGTGGTGATCTTCTCCCCTGCCCTCGGCACGACACGACTGTTCTATAATGTCATTGCACAGGCCGTGGCCAGTGTCGGGTACATAGTGGTGTCTATTGACCACCCCTATGATACCGAGTTCCTCGAGTTCCCGGACGGAAGTGTTGTGACTGCCGAAAATATCACTGACGACCAGGTTCCACTAGATGTCACCACCCGAGCGCGCGATGTGAGCTTCGTGCTGGATCAGCTGAGCAGAAAGGCTGGTGTCACAGCCCTACTCCCTGGAACGGAAGCTGCGGGTTTGAGAACTCAGGAAGTCGCGATGTATGGTCACTCGGTTGGTGGTGCGGCCACCGCCGCAGCTATGCTTTTAGATAGTCGGATTATCGCCGGAGCGAACCTAGACGGGTCGATGTTTGGGCCGGTAGTCCAAAAGGGGCTAAAGGGACCATTCCTCCTGTTCGGACACGAAAGCAAAACCCAGACGACAGACCCAACGTGGAAAGAGACCTGGTCAAATCTCCGGGGGTGGAAATTGGAACTAGAAATGGCTAATGCTCAACATTACACATTTTCCGACCTGTCGTATCTGTTGAAGCTCCTGGCCCTGCCTGTCGAAAGGGTTCCGGCCATTCAAATGATGGTTGGGACTTTGGATGGGTTCAAGGGATTTGAAATTATTCACCGAACCCTCGTCGCCTTTTTGGGGTTTGGCCTTCGTCAAACATCAGACTCTCCGATTAATGAGGCTATTTCAAAGTATTCTGAGGTATCGGTCTTCGCGCACAGTGAATGAGGGAAAACTTCCATCAATGGATAGGATATGTGACAACTTTCAAATATGAATAGCTTTACTGCAAGAAAGTGGAAAGAAAATTGGGAGACTAGGTTACATGACACAGAAATCAGAATGCTCCTACATATTCCCATATGGACACACATGTGCGGTTTCCCACCTTCTGCCCAAAACTATTCAACACACTTCAGGTTTGGCTAGAGTTACAACATAATTATCAGTTCATTATGATCCTAATCTAGGTTTGAAATAGTCGCTCCACCGGACGCTGCTGTGAAGGAGTTCGACGCAAGAGCATCATTCCCATACGGCCCTTCGCCCCGAGTTCCTCGAATTTTTCGCGATAAATTCATTCCACTGGCACTGGTGACAGCAAATCCCACACCTGCGCCCACCAATGGAATGATTCCTGTCGCAGTGCCAGCAGCAGTCATGCCTACTCCAGCCAAAAGCCCCAGAAATGAAACGAGGTTCCGCTTTGCCACGTCTCTCTTTCTTAGTCTTAGCGCATTTTCTGACATATCTGGCTCTTCATCGCTGCAATGAAACTTAGCGTGATTTTTTTTCAAGTGACCGTGCCCTTCCTCTGCAGCATACTGACTGCTCTTTATCTTATCCTGTAGTTGCCGGTATTTTCGCATTTCCTCTTTAAGCTGCATTGAGAGGGTATGCTGGTAATCACGCATTCTCAACAGGACTTTCCCATAGACCTCTTCTCTTTCGGCAAATAGGCTCCCAGTTGACACGCTTAAATTCCTTTGTGCACGTCTCAGGCCCTCAATCTCCTTTCTTAGCTTTGATATCTCGGATTGAGAGCCTGGCTCCTCCAGTTGGACAGAGTGTAGGTCACTTAATAGTTTATTCTCGGCCGCTGTATACTGAGCTGCAAGATCTTGGCCAGCGGTTGTGTTTTTAGGCGACTTTCCTTCGTCGACGATCTCTCTCTGGATAAGCAGTGGTTCATACCCCTTATCGTCGCTTAGAGAAATTAATGCTTTTATCATCAAAAAGGCTGAGGACTGAGTGCCAGCCCATCGCTTTGTTTGGCTTCCATAGCGACAGAACCGCCCCCAGTACTCTCTTGTGGACACCAGTCGCGATTCTCGAAGCACCTCTTCATCATGCTCCTCGCGTGTCGAGTGCCACATTGTCGTGACAAAAAACACTCGGGACGCTGCATCTGAGCCGCACATGCATTCTAGAAGGTTCAAATTTTTCAACGCCGATCCTGTGACTCTGTTATCTGAGATACGATGCAGATATAGAATTCCAGCTAGCTTCATGCCTTCTCGATAGATTTGAGATAGGACGAATGCAACCTCCAAAAGGACCTCGTGATCCGATCGAAACGTGTCGTTGAATCCAGGTGTGTCTACAAGATAGACAAGTCTGCCTTCGACCTCCATACTATAGAACTCAACACCCCTTGTATCTTCATTCCATATTAGCATGGTCAAAGTGGACAGATTGTGCTTGCACTGACACGAAGTCAAGTCATGGCCAATGCCAGAATCATGTCCGGTAACCTTTGATATGAAGCTACTTTTCCCAACCCCGGTGATACCCATTATCAATATCACCACACCCGTTGATTTTGGGCGGCTATTGGGTGTTAACAATAAGAAATAAAATTAGAGCTCGAATACTTGCTGTGTCATATTTCCAATCTGCACTTCGTCCAAAAAACAAAAACAAAAAAAGAAATTTCCCCCTGAGAAAATATGGCCACATTGGACTTCTAAGATGGTATTATATACGGAGTATGAGTCCTTATGCAGCAATGACTACCTATACCTGGGGGATAGCGTCAATTTGGTGATGTGTTGTATTATCACTTCCTGGGGATAACGTGGCTGTGATGCGTTCAGCCGCATCCCAGCAAGCAAATGCAAATGCAAATGCAAATATTGTTTTTCCTCGGTATTTATAACCAATTGAATTATGCCTCTGCGGGGTAATGACAGCGCATCAGCATCCCTCACATGATGTCTCATCAGGGTACCCACGAGGGACAAATAAAATCTAGTGAAGCTTGCGATATAATCCTATAAAACGAGGGGGTGGAGACTTGCGATTCGTAGAGTATGTTCAGATCTTTGGTGGCTGCGTCTAGAACAGATTGACTGCAGATAACACCCCCAATTGAGCTAAATTTGAGGGATAGGTGGTCTTCATAAATGCCATGAGTGAGGCCTAGCCGCTGTATGCGTCTGGATTATTATGAATAGATTTATTGTACTCTAAACTGTTGGACGAACACTGCAATCATTATTGGAAACCTAAACTAGCCTTAAATGACGTGTGAATTTCAACGTCAGCTGCGACTCGATCATGCATAAGACTGTGAAATTGGGGGGAAGGCCTGAATTTCTTGCTTCCATCCTGTAAAATTATAGTTACTGACATATCAAGTTAGCTGCTGATATCCCTCCTTCAAGACCTTTATATTGAGATGTACTTCTCGGGAACTAAAATCTGTAATATCCCGTTTCACATATTTTGAACTAGTGTAACTCGTGGTTTAATATCAACCTTAACGCAAGGACGTCGGAACGCGATGTCCTCTACATCTAAAAACGTGAAGCGACCTTCCCAGTCGCCCGGGGAGAATTCACTGAGCCAGCCAAAAGCCAGGAAATCAGATATATATATCGCGATCATGGGGATGACAGGCTCGGGTAAAAGCACCTTCATTTCGCATTGCACAAAGGAGAGAGTTGCCATAAGTGAACCAGGTGCTCTTGAATCTTGTAAGCCCTGATCTGCATTAATGCCGAGGAGGCTATCCTTTTGTTTAGACCGTGTTAATTATTGCATATAGGCACACAGGAAGTTTTCGTGTACAAATGCAAACACTTCGGTCCCAATGCCAATGTCTACCTTGTAGACACTCCTGGCTTCGACGATACGACTCGTAACGACACGGACATTCTTAAAGAAATAGCTACCTGGTTGACGAGGCAATACCAACAAAAGGTTTGCCTCAGTGGCATTCTATATCTGCACCGTATCTCCGACAACCGTATGGGTGGATGTGCTTATAGGAATCTTTCTATGTTTAAAAAATTATGTGGTGATGAAGGTGTTAAAAACGTGGTTTTCCTTACCACGTTTTGGGAGAGGCTTGATGATAGCTCTGTTGGCGAGAGCCGGGAGCTCACATTAAAAAATACCGACAAATTCTGGGGCTTCTTTGTGAAAAAGGGTGCCAATGTCAAGAGACATTGGAATAATGTTGATTCCGCGCTCTCTATATTAGCCAAGTTTGTCCCTGTTAGCACAGACGAACGGCCTGATGAGATGAAATTGGCCATTCAAACCGAGATGGTTGATTCACACAAAAACTTGGATCAAACTTCAGCAGGACAGGAGCTGCAAAGCGAGTTTAAAAAGGAGCGACTGAAAATGAAACAAGAAATGAAAGAGAGAGAGGAAGAGATTAAAGCGGAAAGGGACCAGGAGATGCGCGAGATTCTCCGACAGGACCAAAAGAGACAGGCCCAAGAACTCAAGCGAAGGGATATGGAGATGCAGGATCTTAAGATTAGCATGGAGAGGATGCATGAAGAGAAAATCCAACAACTCGAGGCGCGGCTACGTAGAGAAAGTCGACAGCATCAAAAACGGATGGAGGAAATGCAAAAGAAATATGAAAAGGACCTACAAGAAATTCGAGGCAAGCGCGACCGGATGGAGGGTCGAGTCAAGGACCTGAGTCGAAAAATCGGAAATTTGACGAACAGGCGCCCGAAGAAAACAGAACCCTTGTACCAGGGATGCCTGTTCTGCGTTGAGGAGTTTACAGATCTGAACGAACTGTGCAATCACGTACAATCCAAGCACTTCACACCCTCACCAGAGGTAGCAGCGTCCGACGCAGAATCCGACTATGATGGCTTGTCGACAGTGGGACATAATGGCCTATTGGACACCAGACACGTGGTTGGTTGAGCAGTTATTAGGGTTTCACGGAGTAATTTCAAACTGGAAACGGGAACATAATCATTGGTCTATACATCGGTATACATCAGACCGAGCATGGCGGAGAGTGATCTCCTGCCTGGTAATACAAAATAACTCCAAGTTGAACAAAACCAAAACAAAAGGACAGCGTAGACAGAGGTATCAAATGACCCGCATGACGCTGCTGTCTGCGCTCTCTCTAACCAGCCTCATTTGCAAAACATCAAACATGGGCACAACTAAACAATAATTTCATCATCTCATAAATGCGGAGAACGTGGGGAGCAAACGGTTCTGGCTATGCATGTGCCAGAAAATAGCAGCAGTGCCGCTCATTCCCATGAATGTCATCAGCTTTCGGCAAATTCCAACGCTGGGCATTCTAGGAGGCTTAGCCAGATCTGCCTCGGTCTTAGGTGGTGCGAGATATTCCAAAGACGGGCCGGCTCTTGAGAAACTGGCATAGAGTTTGGCCTTGAGCCTGTCGCTGACCCACGGCACAACGTGGCGAGCTGCAAATTTGAGAACCCAGCTATCTTGGGCTTCATAGCGCGTAATTTGACCGGAAACATCAACGACTGTTTCTGCCCGAGGCTTCTGACCAGCAACATACTGATCGAAAACCTCAGTCAATTCCTCAAGGGATGGCATGGGGTTCCGTCTTAATAAAGGCACGAGACCGTTGGTCAAACGAGCGATACCTTCATAAGCCAAATTGCCACCTAATCCAGGGTTGACTGTAGCCTGTAAAATTAAATTAGTCAGAGACTCTTTTGAATTGTAACAGGAGGTACGAACCTTATGAACAGCATCACCCATCAAAACCACCCGGCTGTGAGTCCACTTGGGGATAACACCTTCTTCCAGTGGTACCATTGTGGCTTTGACCCGAGCGCCCCATAAGTCATTCACAGTATATCCAGGCCCTACTAGCGAGCTTCCATATTTCTGGATAGTTGCCTGTGCATCTTCGTCTGTGAATCGTGGGCAGTTGGGGGTTCTCGTCGATTTGGAAGCCTTGACAAAAAGGAACCAAAACACAAGGCCATGCACACCAGTGGCTGCAACTGCAGAGTGGTTATTGTAGTACACATTATGAACCATCGCATCGGGTAAGAACTGGTTCTTAGGATCGTTACGAGAAACGGCAAAGATGCAGTTGTACTCGCTTTTGAATGCTGTAATCGAGAAAGTCAGCGGGATGGGCTTTGAGGCTAAGAACACAGAAAGGCTGGACAAACCCTGGTTTATTTGTGTAGCTAGAGCCTGATCGGTCACGCTTATTTCGTCAGACATCAGCTTCCTCACTTTGCTGTGGATTCCATCCGCGCCGATGAGAATATGGCCATGGTGCTCCTCGCCATCTTCGGTGGTGACGATGATACCGTGCTCGGTTTCTTCATATGAAGCAATAGCAGTTTGAGCGTGCAGCTTCGACTTGTCTTTTACATGGTTATATAGAGCTTGCAAAGCTTTGCACCGCTCTATGAAGATAATGGGACGTCGAAGCCTATACAATGTCATTAGCAAATTGCTTTTCTCGGCCCGTGTCATCATTAGACAGATAACATATCACATGTAGACATACATTTCATTGATTTGGAGCAGCACATGGGACTCCTCAAAGCAGTGTCCATTTCCGTCATAATGGTTTCGACCCTGCAGAGGTACAACTTGTTTCTCAATATCCTTCCATACTCCTAGTTGCTCTAGGATCTTTATGGTATGGGGATGTAGTCCAATAGAGGCCCCCAGTTGTGTTGCAAAGTCTCCCTTTTCAAAAAGCTCGTAATCAATTCCGGCACGCTCCAAAGCCAGGGCTAAGCCAAGTCCCACTAGACTTCCCCCGGCTATGAGGACCTTGAACTGAGTCTTTTCTTGATTGAACGCCATGAGTGGAATTGAATGGAAGTAAGAAAGATGGCTGAAGTGTGGAAGATGTCGTTTCGTGAAGTTGGAGGGCACGGAGTAATAAGAATATATATAGATGTAAACAAATGCCTCGTTCATATTCCGGGGACCGTTGAAGAGAAAGTGAGGGGGAATGCATAAAGCATAACCGTTTGTTTTCCCAACCCCCGCGTTCTCGAGGTCTGTGCAACTTCTGATCACAACCTGGCACTTCTCTTCGAGTTGAATATATCAAGTGAAATGGACTTCCCTTACTCTGAATATATAGATATACTTATATTCCCCTAACTGTGTGAAGAATGAAGCAATTTCAGATTATTCAAATGTTATGCATATGTACCGTTTTGTACCCTTTCTATGAGCATGGCATACAAAAGATACCGAATTCCTGCGGCGTGCGAAAGGTGGAAATTTTGTGTGCATATCGTGAAACAGACCCACCGGGTGAATGTGGTTGGGGCTGGGAATACGATGGTTACGTAGTTGCAAGGATATCCCATGAAGATTTCTAAAGTATATCCTCATCCAAGGAGGAATATACACCACTAATTCGGTATTATTTTTTTAGTTGCGAAGTCAGGGACAATCCAATTGCGCACGATCTTAATCATTGGGTCGTGCTTCTAGGGATACAACCTAGGGATACTCCGTAGAGCCAGTGGATTTCCTGATTATTTTCGAAATGTTGAGATGGCCTGAGATTGACATGCAGCGCCAAGGACACGCTGCACTCACTTGCGCATCACGAGTAAGCCCACTCTATTAACGCGGCCCCTTGCCCCTTACATCTGATGAAAGGGAAAAAAAAAAGAAAGAAAACCGGCTTAACGGCTGAATTGTGGGGACTGGATCTCGATGTACAGGGTCTCGATGCTTGCATTGGCCCTGCGTTCTCGTGGTTATTTGAGTGAAAAACATGGGAGGAACTGCACGGAGTTTGACTAGGGCTTATGCCATGTGACATTCCAGAATGTTTGTTTTGTTCAGCTATCCGCACGGTCCCGGGGGCTTACCTGGGCTACCTGAGCTCAAGCTACCTGGGCAATTCCCGTTGCACTTGCACGGGTTGGAAATATTCAATTTTAGCACCCTGTCTATTATACAAACTCCGTACTTCAAAAAAATAAGCATGTATCCCTTTCAAACATATATATCTGGAAATCATTCAATTATACGAAAATGAATTACTATCAACATATCTCCTTGCTCAACTTCAAAAGCATAGTGTTATCTCTAAAATATTTTTGTTATCTAAATGTACTAAAAAAAATAATATCAAGAACCCCTGTTATAAGCTTACAAAACTTCAAAAAGTCTTCCCTTCTACGGAGTACTCCCTATGGACTAGGCCTTTCTTCTATCTCCACCTAAGGTCTCCATATTTATGTCACGTAGCCTATACATTAATTTAGCATTGTCTGTGTTTGATCCAAAGACAGTCATGTGGTCAAAATATATATATTTAAACCATGGAGACTTCAATGTACCTTTTGTATGTATATCCTACAGAAAGCGCCTAAACTCAAATATTTGCATTGGACTGGGCTTTGGATTCAACCCGTGCGGTCTAACACTTGGTGAAGATGGTAGGCTGCGCACCTGGGCATTGGGCTGAGCACCCAGGTACTAACCTTGGAAGGTACTGTTCATTACCGCTTTTCCAGAGATTTTCCTACAACAGAGGATGGATATCATACAATTCTGATTCACAACATTAAAGTCTACTCTTGTACACCATTTTTAGAATCTTAAATGAAAAATTAAACTATGAATTTATATTTGACATTGTCAAGTTCTTTAGTAAAGACTTGTTTGGTACCGTGTTTTTGATGATTTGCCACAACAATACCAATATGGTTAGGGATGAATGGGAAGACCTCACCCCACCAAATCCCTAAGATATTCTGAACTAAGATGGGCTCTGCCAGAGCAATGCAGCGTTGTGGGAGGGGCGGTTGCCAGCGACCGTCAATCATGAACTAAGTAAATTTAGTGATAGTTTATATTAAGTATATGGAGCAAGTTCAGTATACCTGGAAGAATGGATATTTGGAAGGATGAATATCCCCAGTTGAAACACCGCAGAGGATATATTTTAATTTCGTTGGAGGTTCTAGAAATTAGACCGTCGTCCTTTGTTCCGGTGGTTCTGGATGGTTGGTTGTGATATGATCGATTCCGAACCGGCTAGGATCAATGTCGAATGCAATATTCTTCCTCGTATCAAATGGAATATAAGTCAAGCGAGTGAAATATGAAAATAGATTGTAGTGAGTTCTGATTCTACTACGAAGCTAGAATCAACCTAAGAGTTTCGCGGGAGAAATGGTCGCGCATGAAAATATGGTTCTTCTGCTCTAATTCGATTCAACGGAACAATGGCGCGGCGTTTCCAAGCCTGTGACATATTAGTCCACGGAGTACGGAGTACGGATTATATCTGATGGGATTAGGGAATTGGATAGCTTACATCGCGGATAATTTGAAGCCGACGTACATCAGCATATCGGATGATAGATACCTCATACTGGATTCGCCAGCCAATGCGATTGCGATTATGGAGAATCCCTTCAGGCCCAGCGTCTGTTTCACTGAACGCAATGTCGATCACTCCAAAGCCATCACTTTTGACTGCAAGATAGCCGCTTGCATTCAGCTTATAGTCCTGGCTTGTTGTTGTGTTGGGATCAAGCCAGTTGAATCGGAGGGATTACTGATATAGATCCTGCCACCAATATCAATTGAATGAATCTTTAGTACATCGCTCTTCATAGTCAATATCCCCTGGTTGAATCTCTGCTTGGGTACGGTCTTGAGATCCTGACGCTGCATGGCTATTTGGGATGTTGTTCTCATCACAAATAGCAAATGTCCGACATCGTATTCGAGTATCATGTTTTGGATTTCGGATGGTAATTTATCAAAAGAATTAGTAAAAGTGCAGGGAAGCAAAGGTACGGGTAAAGAGAAAGCACCATGGTTGCTATTAGGGGGCGACGATCGTTTGAGAAAAGTTGGCTCAACCACATCATTTAGGAGATAAAGTTGTGTGTATGAAACTTCTTTGACAAATTCAAAGCACCTCCGATGGAAAAGGATCCACCTTTTCTCATATGTTACTGAGGGATAGGTCTGATAGCGGGCGGATTTGACGGCTCCGATCGAGATGCATTCAGTTTCAGAGTCTCAAGTCCAGACACCAGAGGAGAAAGGTCTTGCATAAAGAGAAATTAACGGTAAAATGTAGTACTTTTGTGGTTGTGATTCGTCCACATCGAGCTGATAAAGTGAACAGCGAAGATGGTGGAAGCCAACCATTTTGATGATGGAGTGCTATGAATTTTGAGCGCGGAAAAAGGAGAAATTTTCCTCAAATATAGCTAGCGCCATGTAAAAGCGACAGGAACACATCAGGTTCAAGCCGAAGCTAAATTATCCCAAACGCAGTGGCAAGCAATTATGTAGGAGAATCGATAACTATTTTATAGAACTTACAACCTCCTGATTTCTCACAATGTGTCAATCTCAAAAGTTTTGCCGAAGATGTACGCAACGCCAGATCGAATGTGGCGTTATGGAACCCCAGAACGCTCAGAGCAGGTGCGTGAGAAAACCCCTGGTCCGATGAAGTTGCACAGTTGCACCTGCGTCTTGAATTAGTTCCCGATGTCGTTATTACAGATTACCTCAGTAGGTGACTAGGTACTACGACCATTAAGTGACTTAGCTTCTTAGTTTGGCACTGTCCCCTGACTCCAGAGGTCGACAGTCCATAGCTCACATCGGAAACATCTTAATTTGCAGCCACTGATATGAGTTATTACCTCCCTTAGGACGTATCCAATAGATACTAAACGGTTTGGGCGATCTCCTATTTGGTGGTTGGACGGGACGGGATCCCCCACATTCAACCCCACTGAGCTAACGGCTATACTTAGCCTAGAATAGGTGAATCTCACCTAAATCATTGGAGATTATACAGAGGCAAATAAGGATCGGCGGCTTAAATTGTCTAAAACAAGTTAACAATAGGATGAGTCGACATGTAATTCATTGATCTGCGCATGCGGTCTGAGGGTTATGCACAAAAGTACACGAAACTTGCAGGATACGAGTCACAATACAGATTTTCTTCTTTTTTTTTCTAGGTCATAAAACACGCTTCGCCCAGTTTCTGACCCAGATATTCGCATCTCCTGATTTTTAACTTGTAATGCTCTTTGTAGTCACTACCTGAAAAGGCCCCCGACTCTTCTAATCGCTACAATGTCCAACTCAAGTTCCGAGGTGTCTACCACCATTGCCGAGCTGGCGATTGCCATACCACCCCCGACAGCAGATGAACGGTACCTGCAGTCGCTCATCTATGGTCTGATTATTAGCACAGGAATACTTTCCATGGTTGTCTGCAGCTTAAGAGTAAGGCCCTCGTCGAATACGAGAAATCCGGTAGAGTATGGTACATGAGCTGATTATACCTACAGCTTTATACAAGAGCATTCATCGTCAATGTGTTTGGAGTGGACGATATCGCCGTCTGCATCGCATTGGTATGTCCCAGTCTCGGCTTTGATTGCACACTATAGACCACTTGTGAAGAAGATTAACTGAGTTGATTAACAGGTATTCACGCAAACGTTTAACGGGGTGGGAATCGCAATCGTATATTATGGAGAAGGCCTGCATTTCACCAGTGTATCTCCTGAAAGTCGAGAAATGTGGCTCAAGGTAGCATTGACACAGTTGCTCCTTGCCGAATATATCGCTGACCTAGGGATAGCTCTATTACGTCGCGATGTGCCTGTACCTCTACACCTCGTTAGCAGTGAAGATCAGCTTGCTGGTATTTTTACGACGGATCTTCGTGAAACGTAAGTCTTTCGCTAACTTGAAGAATTCCCAATGGCCTACCATGGTCCGGCGCTGACTGCAACCCCCTCCATGTTTAGCCTGGATGAATCGTCTTACTATGAGCATGATTGTCTTTCAAGTCCTATTCTCGGTATCCGGTTCTTTCGTTTTAGCCTTTCAATGCAACCCTCCGAGGTACAAAAAAGCCCCGACCCTAGCAGCGTCTACCAACACACACTAATCAGCAGGATGGCAGTGCTTCTTATGACCTATCTGTCAAAAATCCGACATGTTTTACCCAATACAAACTGTTCCAGATCACACTATACCAGGCGGTTCTTATCTTCGTGTGTGATGTCATCATCCTGCTAGCCCCAATGGCTATTCTATGCAGACTACAGATGCCTACGCGAAAGATCATTGCTTTGGTGGCAATTTTTGGATCGGGTATGTACACACCCACTATTGTTGCATATTCGAGTTTGACAAATACTTATTTCGGTCCCAGGTATAATCGCATGCATTTCTCCAGTCGTTCGCTTCAGTACGTTGGATTATCTCCGCAATGGCACTACAGACCTTACCTGTAAGCATACCCTACCTCAAGTTCCTGTGCTTTATTCGGCGCCTGGCTTAAACTGACTGTCATTCACAGATGATTCGGCATCATCCTTGTACTGGATGGCCATTGAGTTCAATTTGGGCCTTGTCGCAGGCTCTCTGTCCTCACTCCGACCATTGCCTCTCTTTTGTCGATTCGGCTCAAGCACAAATGCCGGAGACAAGGCATCAAACAGCGATGAATCGCATGAGCTTCGCAATGTGAAAGGGAATGAGCCCGCAGCTGCCAAGAAAAACAGGATCAGTTTCGGAATGGGGACGACAATTTTGCAGGATAGTGTTAATGAGAGCCAAGAGCGCATTATCCATGCGAAGGGAGACTACAACGTGAAGACACATGTGATGAGCTGTTAATTGTTACAAATTTTTTCAATTCTTATATATTCTATAATTTAATTCCAAAAGTTTCATCCGGTCAAAAATACACCGAAATGCCGAAATTGCTTGATGTTTGGGCCCCGGGCCTGATCCTCCACCTAGTTAGATCTGCCCGGGCGTTAAATTGGTAATAATTGGGGGCCTCGCATCATGGTGGCTGAGCCAAGCGATGCAATGCCAAGAATCTGAGTTGGCACCGGATACGATTTCGGGTTCCTAGCGAACGCCAAGTGATTCATGTACATATGATATAGATTCAGATTCAACCCAGGTCGGGGGGATCGAGAATGCGGCTCTGGAGAATTCAAATCATCGGTCCATGCTATGTTTCATCGATCAGATTAGAAATATGTTTGTAGTCAAATAATTATCCAACGTCTGGTCTCTTAAACCGTAAGATGGGAGCCACCGTTGTATCGGTCATGGGTGGACTGATTTCTGTCTCTCGCGTGCCAAGACTTCCCTCATAACCCGGTTCTGCAAGCAAGAGACCTATGGTATCACCGATGCGCATTGAATCTTCGATAGCGGGATGCAGGTTATCCTGTCGTGCAGGGAGTTCCATCCCGAAGACTGCTCTTGATAATGTGATAGAAATTCAGACCACCGTGCATCGCGTGGAAAAAGGGTGTATGCAACAAAGCGGACATAGCTGGCAGTGAAGGGCTGCGACTTTCCCAGGGCAGGGGTTGATCGGACTGCAGATACGAGATAGAAATGCATTGAGGCAGCCGTACTGCCTAAGGTGGATAGGACCCTCTTTCCTCTATCAGAAAACACGTATTTCACATGCGAGCCGCCACCATAAGCGAGGCATCTCTGAAACCTTCATATAGTAAATGCGATAGAGTACAGCTCTATCATTTAACCACCATAACTTTATTTAATTTTTACCATCAGTAGATAGGTATCGATACGCACTTTAAATGGCATATACCAATTTTGAAGAAATAGAACACTTACATCATCGCGGCATCGAAGGTTATGTCGCCAGACTCTAGAAATATGTATATATCTCAGTCGCCAAATCATTAATTTTCTCTAGCCTCGCCTCCCTAAAGTGACTAGATATCATATAAAACCCGTTAGGCTAAAAGTAAAAGTTCCCGAGGGCCACCGCTGTTTAAGATATTAAGTTGTAATCTATCGCATTTACCATGTGTTTTAGACATGGTGGCTCACTTGCGGTGGCCGCTCGCATGTGAAATACATTATAGAGAATCTGTCGGCGCAGATACACCAGGATACCGGAGGATTTATTAATCCTAAGTATGCAGTAATATTTCTTATGTAATCAGGACAGTATAAATTGCCAGGAAGTCAATACAGCAATACAGAGAGTTGAAGACCATTGATTGGACCTATACATTTCCACCATACGGAGTAGTCGGACAGTTATGAGCCCGGTTCGCACTGAATAAGACTACTATATCGGTATATAGTACCTAGCAACTTGCTAGAAACTGTCTTATAAACCTCCACGAAGCCACTCCGCAGAAAGTCATCCCTTGTTTCACATCAAAACAACACAGTATCCAGCAATGGAAACAGCATCGATTCTCTCCGCTATGAAGGGCGATAAACTGAAGGATACACCGCAATAGCTCACCTGGTTTGCGAAGGTGCAGCTATACGCAATATAAAAAAATGTCTGGGATCACTGCAACCCGGATACCCCGTCAACTGAACGACCTAATACTCTAAAGGAACCGGTACAACCAGAATATCCTAAAGAGGGCACCGAAACAGATCGAAGGAAATGGAGAGACTAAGCAGACATATATAAAATGAGCTATACTCGATAGGAGAAGTAAGCAAAGGGACTGAGTGATATAAATAAATATATCCTCACCTATCTTGACCCAGTACACCACCTCGCACTGATTATATATCGTACACTGTATAATAGACTTATATATCTGAAGTCTCGGTTCGCTCGATCGACCGCGTATAAGGAGGAAATCCGAATAAGTTAGAAAGTGTTTGCAATATAGAAGCCGACTAGAGATATCGATAAGTGGCTTCAAAAGTGGAACTCGCTAAGGGAGTAAGCGGTTAGTCTTAGTATTAAGGACGGAGATACCAATAGGGACTTCCTATACGCTGTGAAAGAAGTTCTACCTATATAGTGGCAAGGCAAATACCAGGAAATAGTGATAGAAAAGAAGGTGTATAATACCCGAGATCTCCTTGAATCATTCCGCGCGATAAATCGCGAGATAGGAGTATAGGTAGTGTTATCAACCACTCCTCCAAAAGGCGCTTTCTCGACCTAGTAAGGTCACTAAGAGGCGAAACCGGAAACAAAGTAAGAGAAGCTTCTGTTTAAGAAGAGACACTGCCCTTATAGTAGCTCACACCCGAAGTATAAAGTTGCTACTTACTGGCTCCTAAACGAAGCGATTCGGCCAGAAGGGTATACCCTAAACGAAGGGAAACTAGAGAAAGTAAAGAAGAAGTTAGGAAAGGACTACGCTTAGAAGCAATAGATAGATAAAGTGATAGCTGAAGCTTAGTAAGCTTAGTAAGTATAGGAAAAACCAGCCGAATCTACCAACTAAGTCAGCTTTACAACCACTTTTCGAAGTAAGCTAAGTAAAGCTATATAGATTAGTAAGTATATACTCTCTGTGGTAAAGGTAGGCGAGCCCTCCCTCCGTGACCGGTAGATTCTTGATACCGGATCAAGTGCGTATATCTGCAATAACTGAGCCCTATTCGTCGACTTCACACCTAATATAATTGACCTAATAACCGGAGATAGTACTACGTAGGTGCTAGGGAGAGGTAAAGTCAGACTTTTAGGGAGACACCCGGTAAAGGGAAGGATAGAGATCACCTTAAGCGACGCTCTATACTCACCAAGTTTCTATACGAGTCTCGTGTTGTACGCGATACTAAAGAAGAAAGGCGGCCTCTAGTACTAACGTACAAACTGTATACGGGACCTAAATAATAGACCTGTTGTCTGTGTGAACCTATAGGATCAATTCAATCTCTGGATCTTTGATAAGCCAGGCGAGGCTCCGCCACAACAAGTATATACTGTGCAGCAAGTATAACGGAAATCAGTGAAGCTACAGGAATCAAGGGCTTCCTCTAAAATTTAGCACCGACGCCTAGTATATATTCAACCGCGGACTGTAGCAAAGCTTGCTACTATAGTAGACGGCGTTGTTCTTAACGATAAAGGAGGAGTAAGCACAGAGTAAGAATCTCTATATCAGACCTATAAGATAGGAAGTGCTCCGAGGCAGATTTTAAGACGATAAGTTAGACGTACCTTTGGACGTTTTGGAAGGGTGTATTTCGACCTAATTCAGCTGCAGCCAGCCTACAATAAGCACCGCTGGATATCCTACTTCTACCTAGAAGGACCGAGATTCCACTGGATCATGACTCACGAAGTGAAACCTAAATATCAATTGGCCATCAACTAGTTTGTATAACTTATAAGAAATCAGTGGAAGCTGCCAATTAAGGCCTTCTACTACGACAATAAAGCAGCAGCTGGTAGAGCAGCGGAGTATAGTCTTATAAGCGATAGTATCCTGATATATCACTCCCCCCTAGGGTACTCAGAGATAAATAGGTATACTAAGAGATTAGGTGGAATGATTATCACCCGGATACGTATACTCGCCCTCGAAGGGAACCTCCTAAAGGAGCTATAGCCGGAGTTCGTAAGCGCCGCTGTATAGTTATTAAATTGTACACTAACGTATATCGCCGCCGAGAATCGGTAGGTAGTACTATAGGAGGAAGTGAGGAAGGAAGTCGCACTATAGGCGCCGAGGATAAACCTATTAAATATTAGGTTATATAGAAGCTTAGTGTACTGTAGGATTGAGAAGTAAGTATAGTCCGATAAGATAAACCTATATATAGAGATTGGCTTCGTGGTGGGATACCTTACCTCGAATATCTAGAAGATCTAGTTCCTATATAGTGGGAAAGTGAGGTATATCAGGGATACAGTTATTGACGAGACACGAAAATATACCCCTGATTATAAGAAATATCAGCCTATCCTACTACCAGCTATAACGGGACTATAGGAACTCACCGTTAAGGAGGTCGTATAGGTGATAAACCACTAAATTACTAGTTAAGAGGAGACTAGTACAATAGAAGAGAGGACTTAGGATCTACAGGAAGCACAGGAGCCTCAGTAAGTACAGCAGTAAGAGGAGGTTCCGCAATAAGCAGAGGTCTAAAAGATAACAGTTAACTAACGAGGGACTACCCTAGTCCAGGGGGTAGGTAATAGGTTATATTGGCCGACCCTAGACCCTCCACTATAAGCACTACTAGGTTCCTTTCCGATTGAACAGCCCCTACTACCACTACCAATTACCCCACCGCAGGAGTAAGAGAGGTATACTGGCTCTGGTTAGGGGGTGGATACCGAGGGAGATCAAAGGGACTAGATCCAGTAAGAAGAAGCGGATCTTAAAACCACTGAAGACGAACTAGAGAAGTAACTTTAGGCAGAGCTACTGGCTCCGAGAAGAGAGATAATCGGAGATATAGATACCAGCAATATACTCAGTGGTAGGTGTAGACGTTAAGTAAGGTAGGAAAAAGACTTCGCCTACGCGATAAGCACTACCTAAGAAGTGGAACCGCCGGCGCTACTCTATACTTTTGCCGCTGGCTTATACGCTGAGAAACCAGACACTCGCCGCTACCGAGACGACCTCCTACCACCGCCAAAATACTGGAAGGATATAATAAACCACCTATTTTAGGAAGGTTTTCTCGCAGCGATAAGGAAGGAGATCAACTCCCTCTCTGAAAAGGGGACTTTTAAGGTTATTAAGAAACCAAGAGACCGAGGGAAGTAGATTCTCCCTCTTTTATAGGTGTTCTTATACAAATTTGACCAGGACGGGTACCTTTTGAAGCTTAAGGCCTATATCTGTGTGCGCGGAGACCTTAAAACTATCTCTTACGAGGAAAAGAGAGCTGCTACACTAGCAGTAAGGACAGCGAGGATGATTTTTGCCTTAGTTGCTACCTTTGATCTTGACCTAAGACAGAGAGATACTGTCACCGCGTTCCTAAACAGTAAGTTAGACTAAGAGATGTATACGTATATACCTGAGGGATTTCAAAACCTAGGTAAATGCTGGAAGTTACGTCGCGCGCTATACGGTCTACGGATTTTACCACGACTTTGGCAGCAAGAAGCAGTAAGCGTGCTCCGCAAGCTAGGTCTACAGTAAGTGCCAGAAGACCTATGCGTTTTTATAGGAAAAGGACTACTGGTTTTCTTCTATATAGATAATATCCTAATCGCTAGTTATACCAATACAAAGGCGTAGGTACAGCAATTAGAGCGAGATCTCGAAGTACACTGGGAACTGACCGATTATAGAGAAGCAGTATAGTTCCTAAATATACGAATTATTCGAGACCGGTAATAAAAGAAGCTCTAGTTATATTAAGATAGCTATATAATAAGTATTGCTACCCGATATCACTTAATAGAAAGGGCACCAGTCTATACTCCACTGCCGGTTAAGGAATTGACCCCTTTTTAGGGGGTAGCAACGCCAAAGGAAATCCTGCTATACCAGCAAAAGGTAGGCTTAGCAGGGTATACCACTATTATCACTAGGCCCGACGCTGCAAAGGCGACCGCGAAGCTCGCGCAATTTCTCACGAACCCCGGTCTACAGCACCAGTAAGCAGCTGATCGAGTTATTACCTACCTCTACTCCACCCGGAACCTAGCGATTGAGTACGGAACAGCCAATACTGGGACCGACTCGGTGCAGTTTGTAAGTGACGCTTCGTATAGAGACCACCCGGATAGAAAAAGCTCAGCTGGGTATATCTGTTAAGTATACGGCGGTCTAATTGACTGGAAAGTAAGCAAGCAACCCACAGTGACAACGTTAACCACAGAAGCAGAGCTACTCGGCCTATCGGAGGCAGGAAAGCAGCTCCAATAGTGGCGCCGATTGCTTTAAAACCTCGCCTTTACTCCGTTACACCACCTGACAATCGACTGTAATAACGAGAGGACTATCAGCTTATTGACAAGCGAGGACACAGCTTTTGAAACGAAGCTTCGATATATCGATATTCACTACTATTGGCTCCGCCAGGAAGTCCAACAGGGTCGAATACGGGTGCGCTGGGTGCCTACAGCAAGCATGGTTGCTGATGGCCTCACCAAATTGCTCACTCGGCAAAAGCATAAGAGCTTCGTGCGACTGCTCAACATGGTTGATATAGGCCATCTTATAGACTAGGAATTACAAGATGATACAGCGATCTCAGCAAGCATACTGGGACCGCTGAGGGGGTGTGTCGGCGCAGATACACCAGGATACCGGAGGATTTATTAATCCTAAGTATGCAGTAATATTTCTTATGTAATCAGGACAGTATAAATTGCCAGGAAGTCAATACAGCAATACAGAGAGTTGAAGACCATTGATTGGACCCATACATTTCCACCATACGGAGTAGTCGGACAGAATCCGATAGCCTGAGGCACCCAAATAGATGTTGTTTGCATTTTGCATTGAGGAATTCCCCAAGCCCATCATGACCCCAACAACAACGCGCTTACATCTGGTTAACTCACCATGCTGTGGATTCGTGTTTTTGAATTTTGATAGTATTGCACATTTTGAAGCTTCACTTCCTCTAATCAATTACAGGCCGCATTTGGCATTTCAGCATCCGATGAGAGTCTTTATCACGCTGTTTTCCGGCGAATGCGACGGCAAGAGATACTTGAAGCTTTTCATTGGTCGATCAACAAGTCGAACAGATTTTGGCCCCGATCGGTATGCGAATTGTTCTTCGAGGAAAACTCACGAAACCAAGAGGCCGCCAGTCATCTTTGGTCAAACAACAATGCAGGACCAATTTATGTCGCATCGACGTGGCGAACGTGGTGTCACATCCTGCAACTCTCAAGATTACACCGTGCTATGCTGGTCTTGTTCCCCTGACATGAGGAGAGGGGTAAAACAGCGGGAAACACCGCAAGGGAGATACCTAAAGGGGCATCTTATAAATACTCCGAGCTGCGGGGAATCTAGTTTCCATGAACAATCTGTCGATTTCGAAATAGATAAAGAGTTGGAACCTCAGCCACAGAATCCACAATCTTCATGTAACCTTCTCCGCTATGAGGGTAATTCGGTGTTGCATTATCAATATTGCGATCGGCTGTTACGGATGGCCACACAATAGTACCAAGCAGGAGAAATATGAGCGCAGTTACTGCCAATTTAATGACTTGAACCCCAAGAACATCTTGAATTAATCTTCCTTGTGCTATTTATTTACTGCTCGAGAACAGAACATCACGAGCGCCCGGACTCCAGATTATCATTGCATCATGTTAATCTCCATCATTGCGGTTCTCTGTACAAATGCAGTTGGTACTGCGGCAAAGCAGATGTGGTCAACTGAGCCTGCTGATGCGTCAAACATTGAGATGACAGCGTATCCCCTGGGAAATGGGAAACAGGGAGGTGTGTTTCTTCGTTTATCCTCGTTCCTCAGTCGCCTTAGACTGATTCCTGGCAGCCATGCCATTGGGTATCGCAGGAAAGGATATCGTATACTTCAATCATGACAGCCTGTGGTCAGGTGGCCCATTTGCGAACAAGGTTTGCATCTCACAATTATTCTTGCGACGAAGTAGAAATTGATTCTGAAGCGGACAGAGCTATGTTGGCGGGAACCCCAAATCTTCGCTAGCGGAGTATCTACCAGGGATTCGGGATTCAATCTTTAAGGATGGGACTGGAGGCAAGTCGCCTGAATATTGGAGAGCGTCATCCTTTACTTACTCTACTGTAGATGAATCTGCCTTGTATGGTAGTGACGTCGATTATGGATCATATGAGATCTTAGGACAGCTCACCGTCAGTATTTCTGGCACCCAGAATATCACATCTTATAGGCGCTCCCTAGATCTTGATACCGCCATTCATGAGGTCACTTACAATTCAAATGGAGTGGACTTTGAAACGTAATACCCCTTTGCGATGTTCACGCTTGTTCAACTGATCATTTTTAACAGTGCTATAGGATTCAATTCTGCTCGTATCCAGCAAAGGTCTGCGTCTACTATATCGAGGCTTCTGATGTGTTGCCAGATGTGACGATCGGCTTCAAAGATCAGGCTCGAACGACACCGCCTTCCAAGACTTCGTGCTCCTCGGACAGTATACGGCTTCATGGCCAGACACAGGCAAATACTAACCAGGGGGATATCGGCATGATATTTGATGCGCATGTTGAAGTTGTCACACCCTCATCAACTACCTGCACCTCGTCAAATGAGATTGTGGTCACCGGAAGTACTGCGAAGTCGCTATTGCTTCTTGTCGGTACTGGTACCAACTATGACCAGACAAAGGGCAACAGCGTAGACAAATACTCCTTTAAAGGACCGGATCCGTATCCCAATATTCTGTCAACTGTCCAGGCGGCATCTAAGGAGTCCTACCAATCCCTCCTCAAGACCCACATAACCGACCACCAGTCATGGATGCACAAATTCACCTTGAATCTTCCAGATCCAAAGGATTCCGCCGAGGTCGATACAACTACATTGATAAATGGTTATTCAACCTCAGAAGGAGATCCATTCGTTGAAGGGTTGATTATAGATTACGCAAAGTACCTATTTATTGCGTCCTCGAGACCAGGGTCGCTTCCCCCTAATCTGCAAGGCAATTGGGCCCCTGACATGGCTCGTCCATGGAGCGCGGATTACCATATCAATGTAAATCTACAAATGTATAGGATCTCCTTACTTCAAATACTTTTCTTATGGAATATCGCAGCTACATTTATCTGACATTTTGCTAGGAACCATTGGCACACCGAAATGATGGGATTAGGAGACCTAATGGGCCCTTTATGGGATCACATGGAAAATACTTGGGTCCCACGAGGTACTGAGAGCGCAAAGCTCTTCTACGGCGCAGATGGCTGGGTTACACACACCAACGTGAACATATTCGGGCATACGGCGTGAGTAGAAGGATGGATCTCGTGCTATACTTCTTCTAACACATAATTAGGCAAGAGAATGATGCTTCTTGGTCGAACTACCCAGCATCTGCTGCATGGATGAGTAAGAAATACTTCTTGGCCCCACCTGATGAAATGCTGATTACTTTACTAATCAAATTCTCCGACATAGTGAAACATGTCTGGGATCGATATGACTATTCCCGGGACCTTGAATGGTACCGTTCTACGGGATACCCGATGATCAAGGGGGTGGCACAATACTGGCTGTCAATGCTAACAACAGATGAATATTTCAAAGACGGATCGTTGGTTGCTATTCCTTGCAACTCACCAGAGCATGGTTCCACTGTAGGATACGTTCCAGTGTCTCTATCGGCTAGTATTTTGCTAATTTCCCTATTCCAGACCTTTGGTTGTGCCCACTGGCAACAGCTCATTTGGGAACTCTTCGATCATATCATCATGGATTGGGAGGCTTCGGGTGATGAAAGTGAGGGTTTCCTTCAGAGCGTGAAGAAGGCGTATCAAAGTATCGACAGCGGGGTTCACGTGGGCTCATGGGGTCAGATTCAAGGTATGCAGATCTTTTGGAACGTTCAAGATGTCTAGTATATTAGACTAGGACACATACTAATATGGGATATAGAGTGGAAGCTGGAGATGGATCAAAAAAACGATACTCACCGTCATCTGTCTGAGCTCTATGGATGGTACCCGGGGTACGCCATTTCCGGCGTGCACGGCGACAACCAAACGATCATAGATGCTGTCACTACCACCCTTTATTCTCGCGGTAATGGAACCGCAGATTCCAACACCGGATGGGAGAAAGTATGGCGTTCTGCGTGCTGGGCGGCGCTAAATAATACAGATCAGGCGTTAGTATCCACTTTCATGATCCGAGCTCGCGTTCTCTCCCCACATCTGAAACTTAAAGCTGACTGGGTCTCATTTCGCGAGAACAGATACATGGAGCTGAAGTACAGTATTGACATGAACTTTGCACCAAATGGTTTATCCGGCTCTACATCATCCCAACCGCCCTTCTACCTCTCGACGCCTTTCCAGATAGACGCCAACTTTGGCATTGCGGGTGCTGCACTCGCAATGCTGGCGACTGATATACCACAGTCATTTGGTGATACCAGCGCTCACAAAGTCATTTTGGGTCCTGCCATCCCATCTGCATGGGGATCTGGTTCTGTTATGGGTTTGAAGGTTCGTGGAGGTGGAAGTATCACCTTCAAATGGGATGGCAACGGTAAAGTGACGGAAGCGACTATAGACGGCCGCTCGCTGCCTTTAGTGGTGTACGACCGGGACGGTGGTATTCTGGCGCAGCATTAGACCTGGGCAGGTTGAGATGTCTGTGGTTGGACCACTTCTCGTGGCATATCGATGTAGGCAAGATACCGACTCACTCATAGCGTAGACAGCTCTTCGAGCTAGCGACACATGGAGCTTAGATGAAATAGATGAGATGCAACAATTGAAGTGTCCCTTGGATCATCTTACAATAGGAGATACCCTGTAATAGAAAGATTTAACATCTGGACCTAGTCAGAAAGTTGATTGTGGGTATGGATGATTGCATTGATATCTTCCCTAGGTGACCTTCAGTTGGCTAAGGACAGTGAAACCAGCGATTTGGAATGAGCTCTGGGCAGAAAATAAACGCAGCTGACCCTATCAAATCACCAAGAGAACCGGGAGGCTCCGTATTCTTTAAGGGGTTGAAGGATCACCCTAGGGGCTAAGAAAGGGTTCGGCCCCACTTGTGATATTGATTGCTACAACAAATTAACGTAAGCAAGGGGTCAGTAGACGTTGTCACTGTATAGCCTTGGCACTATAGGAGCCCCAATGCTGTGCATTTCCTAGTCAAATGCCCCGATGTCTATTTAAACGTGTTGGAGGTCCATTCCTTGGGCCACGCCATAGCCGTGTCAAGCGGGTCTGTGTGCTTGGCATGGTTTAGGCTACTGGTAACGTGGGGAAAGAAGTCTGTGCACCCCATCACGCATACCCGCTTTCAGCCCCATCCAAGATTTGTTCAAGTTGATTCGATAACAGATTGTGATACCTAGTGTGGGACATATTACATACATGATAATCTGTAGACACATGCGCCACGATTATCATATTTTATATATGAAATGGACATAAAACTGGTACAGGGCATGAACGATGCGAGACGGGGGAAACAGAGCAGTTTCTAGATCATGGGATAGATCATGTCTCGTTTCCAGTTGGCCTGCAGCCTCGATGGTTCGGATTTATTTGCAAAGTCTCCTGTATGTCCACCCGAACCCTGACGAATTTGGTCAAAGTATGACTGTACAAACTAGATATGTATATCTAAGAGAATCTTGATTGAGATGCGGTCAGTATGTTGCCAAACTAATTTAAACATGACTAGCATCATCCAGTATTACAGTAATTGCCCCCCGTGTCTTGAGACCCTTTTCAATATGTTACTGAGTTAACTTTTCTAACAAACATGGATATCACAATTTTCAGTGCTATGAGAGATAGATTATACAAATATCAGCATTAATATATATATCCAACCCTAGTGTATATACTCAATCCTAGTAGACTTCACTTAGGTCTAACACACTGGCGCGCTCCCTTTAAAAATAAATGGAAATGAGATAACATCCCTCGCTTTTGGTCGTCATCTACTCACTATCGCGCTAGTTTGTAGGTAGCATAAAAGGGAAAGCCACCCTCATCGTAGAGAAAATACAGTGGACCATTGCTAACAATCGTCTGCAAACGGTGACTCACATCCTGAATCACTATATAAAGAACGTAAAGACAGTCAGCTTAGTCCAGCCGGCAGATAGTCCCCTCCAAAACTCCATCCATTCCTAGGGACAGTTCGAGGTAGTCGCATTCAACTAAGACATGAGATTCGGAGGCCTTGTTTGACATATGCCTTGAGAAATAGCGACGTATCAATTTTAGAAATAGCAAGTCGAGAGTCCAGTGTGGGCATCACAGTCCACACCTCATCTTGAAGCTTGCGGTACATCAATGTCATTGTAGGAGATGGTGGAGGGTTGATACTAGCGGGACCAGGGTGTATCAGTTCTATCAAAGATCATAATGATAACTTCTGAGGTTAAATGCTCTTTTGTCAGCATCCTAACATTTTGTTTAGCGGCTGGTATGATATTCTTTAACATGATCCAGGATCATATACATCTCTTGAAATCCAGCGTCAGCTATTGTTCCCACTTCCAAGACGCTATTGAGGACAGCACTGAGATTGTAGGAACTTGCCTATCTGACTAGTTTTTGTAGAATAGGAACACGTTGGGAGTGCTCATATTCCAAAATCAGGACTTCCCTTCTTAAACGCAGAGCGGACACTTATAATCGGCACGGAGTTCGTCGCTCAGTTGATGGTATTAAAAGGAGCAATGGAATTGGGTTTCTGAGAGCATACTTCGGCCTATACAAATCCATCGACATACTCGCCACATTGCTGGAGACTACCAGGCGAGCATGTTGCACGATCTCGAGCTCACAGATGGATCGGCGCATGTTCCTCGGGTGCGCAGCTTGTATATACCATTACGACCGCCAATATCACATAGGGAAGTAGGACAATTGCAGTTTAGTATATGGGGAGGAACGCGTCCTTGAGTTTTGTGGAAACTTGATACATGATGGTGCCTAGCAGGGGTTCTGGGAGATGGCGCGAAGACAGATACCCGCAATTGCAAGGGACACACCGTACTCTACTAGGCTATTGAAGGGATACGGTGGGAGATCAGCTGTGAAAAATTGCAGCTGCTGCTTGACTGAGGGGTCAGTCTAAATGTCCAAGATAGAGATAGCAACTGCCTGTCCAATGAACCTATTATTAAAATACACCAGCCATGGCTGGTTGGTATTCGTCTGCATCAGAGAACACAAACAGGCCGGAGAGTGGACCCCATGATGATTTAAAATTCTCCAGGTTATGGCGCCTCTTTCGAGCTTCAGAGCGGCTAAGGGCGCAACCAGAGACACACTTTGCTGTTCATGGTATACTTCTATCTGAGTGTGCCTCTGACTAGACTCCTCACTCCTCTTGGAAGATGTCTCTGATCCGAGCTGCCAAGATAGTGATGGTAATACTCCACTACATTCAGCTCTCTCGATCTGTGGAAACTTGGAAATTGCAAAATTGCCACTTAAGCACGGAGCCAGGATCAACGAGGAAGATAATGATAGAATAACCTCGTTGGCGAGAGATGCAGAGACTTAACCGGACGGTTATTGACTAACTACTCGATCACGGGGCCTAATGAGATTTTGGTGAAGAAAAGGGTTCAGCGTGCACAGCTCTGGCGGAACATCGGCGGAGAGCGCAGAATTGGTGGCTGGAATGCTCAATAAAATTTTGTATTCGGAGGGAGACCCTCGGCCTGGTCATCTCTCTGTGTTCACCAGTCAGCACGCCAAACTCTTCCAGTATGGGCAATGAAGCCCCTACTAGTGCGTCCCCAAGTCCCTCCACAAGCGCAATTTCGTGATCATAGCGGGCCAACTCCTCAGGTCCAAAGTCTGTGAAGGTTATTGCAATATCAAAGCCAATCCAGACCAGCCTATTGGGGTTTCCATGAACAACGAGAAGGTTTCTGGGATAGATGTCTCGGTGGTGAACGCCCGCCCTGTGTATCTCCTTCATACCCTCGATTGCCTGAGGATAGAGAGCATCCGAGTAGTTCACGCAGTTTAAACTCTCTGAATTTGGGAGATCTTCAAGTAATATTGCTCTCGGCTTGAACTTGTTATAGGCGAAATGTTGGAAAACAGGATAGAATGCAGCCGGATCCACTCGATCGATGTAGCCGTAGCATTTTGGAACGAAGCCGCGCTCACAGATGCCAGAGCCTAGAAGCTTCTGATATGCATTGGATTCGCAGCGAAATCGGTTCAAATCACGACCCTGATTAGAATATTTAGGGTCGCCGTCATCGTGGAAAAGCTTCAATGCATACTTTTGTCCATCTAGATCTACCTCAAATATCGAAGATGCATCAGAGCGCGTGATCTCCCTGATAAACTTCATTCTAGAGGGATCTATGTCTGTCAATAGACAGCTTGTTGGAACCATTGTGTTCTTTTTGGGAGTTATGTCTCCACCAAGGAGGTTGGAGCAGGTGGTCAGGCAACGAACACCTCAGGAACAGGTCCACAGGTGGGTTAGTTAGTTAGTTAGTTAACTAACTAGTTAACGTATTTCACATGCGAGCTGCGCACATAAGCGAGCTGCGCAGTCCGATACCCTTAATTACGTATCAATTAAATTAATAAAATATTACCCTAATATAAGGGCTAGAAACGGGGTCTAAACATAGGGTAATTAAAAAAAAGCCACGTTTTTCGGAATGTTTGTATTGTTTAGTGCTTATTGGGCCCATAGCCCACCGGTGGGCCTAAGGACCGGGCCCAAAACCCAGCCCATTAGTGGGTTGGGGTGGGGTGGGCTTTGGGCTTTGTGGGCTTTGCGGAGGCCTACTTCGGGCATAGCACTAAATTCCAATTTAAATGCCGTCCCAACTTTCATTAATGATTTAACACTGACGTGGTATTCGGCTTGGATATGATTGAATGAATTTCTGTACCTCGACAAGATTGCTGTTTCTTTGGGATAACTTCCTCGGGTATCACCCTTTTTTACTCTTCACACTTCAAACATGTTGTCATGATATTGTTGGTAGGTTTCCACATCCACACTTGTCCTCACACCAATTCCAGCCATGTGGACGTTGTATTCCAGGCGGTCCCCGCTCTTTGCCGATACTAATGAGCGTCCATACCAGTTGGATAGCTTATAAGTGTCATCGTTGGTCTCCTCAAGACTGGCCTTCCGAGTGATTAATTTTATCAGGGGTCCAAGCGAGGGGAGACAGGCTTGGCATTTTGTTAGTATCGCATAACATAGGATTTATACAGGTAAAAAAATGAATCTCACCAGATACAATGCCGATATTAGCCTCCACGGCCGTCCAAGTGGAAGGGCCAATAAAAACCCATGTGACATCGACGGATGGTGTCTTGTACGAGTCTAACATGACCACTAAGCGAATGATTGAAATGATGCAAATGCTACGCTAATTAGCATACTGGAAGTATCCGGGCAGAAAGGGTAGTACATACAACCCTCCCATTGCAAAAGCTCCACATAACGCAATTTTTTGGGTGGTATTTTGCTGGATCTTCCACACATATGGTAGGGGCAAAATCAACAGAGCCCAATCTGTGATGATGTTTGGGACTGCGTTGCCGATGAAAAAGTCGTTGATGTTCACACCGCAGTGTGCCGTGATAGAGAAATCCCACAGTCCTTGGACAGGCACACATTGGAAAATGGTTGTCAAGATCTGTGGAATATTTATCAGCTTTGTTCATTGGCTTATAGCACGATATGAAAAAAGAAAGTAAGGGTTCCGGGATTCGTACTATACCCAGGCCCCAGCCTGTGATCAAGGATGCTATGATATAGATCGGAATGCGAATGTTGGTAAGATTGAAGATACGCCAGAAGAACAGCAGGATGGAGTATTTGGTGAAGCATAGAGAGAGCGTGTAGAGGATCTCGCAGACGAACAGATTGATATAGAAATGTGAGACGCCAGTCAGTCCTAAGGGATAGATATGGGTGCCAACACCTCGATTTACCCAGAGTATCATGTCGATGAAGTTGCCTGTGGCAAATGCCTAGTCGGCAACTACAGTCAGTAATTCTCAATCAAACAAAGAGATCCTGGTATGTTATAGAAATTATGTACTCGAGTGCAGTGCGTGGAGGGGATACTCTGTACCAATGCAACACACATGATATAGTCATCCCACCATAATCGGACTTTAGAGATCCTCAGTCGACATAGCAAGCGCAATGCTACAGCAATTACTGCTAGACCATAAGTAGCTGAATACTTTGTGTACAGCTCGGACTGATGGGATGCATCCAGATCTATGCCGGTCGGAGGGGTGAGATCCATAACGGCATGGACAGACTGGAGAACACACTGGGGACGGAGGGCAATTAATAACACCAGAACAAGTAAATCATGGCTGGATTAGTGTGCTGTTAATATACCCTGTATGGTTATCAGTCCAAATTGGGATGGCGATTGAGCCCCTAGGTAGTATTTAAGCTCAGACCTCGAACACTACGCGTCCTTATGGCTAATTGGCGGTGTAATCCTGGCTTTGGTAAACGAAACCAGAAATTGCATGGATGCTAGGTGCATCCCTGCAGGTGGAAATGAGACGACCTCAAGATGCTTAGTACCAATATTGTAGTACGGAGTAGTTGTTCACTTGTTGGGTCCAGTGTAAGTAGTATATTAGGGTGTTGTCCACCATTTACCTGGTTTGTTTCTTGACAAGCCGAACATATCGGACACAATGACCACTATCCTCTTTGTTCCTGGAGCCTGGATCACTCCGGCGTTCTACCAGCCATTTATCTACGCTCTGAGGGTCGCTGGATACGATGTCCACTACGCGGGATACCCCTCGTTAGACCCCAAGGACCCACTCGTTACCGATTGCCAGGCCGACACCGATGCTATTACTGGGATTCTCCGGTATCTGGTCGAGGATGAGGGCAAAGATGTTGTGGTTTTTATGCACTCCTATGCCGGCATGCCCGGCTCTGCGGCCGCTAGCGGGCTAGCCAAATCGCAGCGGGCACAAAAGGAAAATGCTGGTGGTGTTATTGGGCTCATATTCCTGGGTGCCTTTGTCGTGGCCGAAGGCCTCAGTTGTGCCGGTCTTCAGGGCGGAAACCTCCCCGCCTGGATCTTGCCCGATCAGGTGATATGACTCCTTCGCCCCCGTATATAAGGCTATCAACTTGCTGACCTGTTGCAGCCATCGGCGAATCTCAATATCGTGGATGATCCTATTAGAAACTTTGCGGCCGATGTCGATCCCCACTTGGCCAGGTCTCTGGTCGCAGCAGTCGAACCACATTCCACCTTGGCTTTCACCTCACCCCAGCCACATCCGGCCTGGGCGGATGAGGCGTTCCAGGGGCGTTTGGCGTTTATAGTCACTACAGAGGATGTTGCGGTGCCACAGGAAGCGCAATCTGGCATGATGGCCGCCACAGAGAAGGCGTGGATCATCAGGGAAATAGCGTCTAGTCACTGCGCGCCGTTTGCCAATCGAATCGACGAGACGGTGGGACTAATGCGGGGGATTATTGGCCAATTCATATAAACCGCAATTCAGAATTTAACTTTGCAAAGAGGAGACGTTGTCGTTGCTAGTGGCTTTTTGGGGTCGACGGTGTGACCACAGACTATACCCAAAATGGATTACCCCCTATACATCCATGTCTGATCTGGACATAGCAACTACACATAGGTACTTACTTGTACGGCGTACATACTAGTGTTGACAGTACCGTTAGGTTGACTAGTCGGGCATTCCAATTGAGAGGAACCTTCGTTTGTTATAAACCCAGTTTATGTAGAAATCAAGTGCAGCGGTTCTTTTTCTCTTCTTTTTTCTCCTCTTGGTTGCCCAGGGGTTTAACCATACAATAGGATACTATTGTGTCTCGCTAGCGTGGGAGGCGGCTTATCTGATGCGTCAACCTAGGTAGGTCTCCAGGAGGCGAGGCTGGCCGTGAACAGTTCCCTCGGTCTTAGGAGCTTAAGAGAGAAAGAGAGACACCGGAGGTGGTGATAAGCAAGATCGATAGACTCCCAACCTCTTCGTTGCTGGGAATATTATGCCATCACGGCCACTTTTTGCGACCGACACAATCCCGCGATATCCGCTCAGACGCAACATCTCTTCTACCCACTCAACAACCAACTCCAACCTGGCACCAACCACATGAGAAAGCTTCCGAGCTTGTTAAACCAAAATAGCTTACCCAAATGTACCAGCTATAGCTATGCAGTATTCATCGGTGTTCGATAACGCGCATAGATCGATCACGCTCTGGCTGGTGTTCGTCTTTTGCGTTCTTCAACGAACTCGTTATATTCGACACACGGAGAGGAACACAGCTATCATACGAGCCAGGAAAAGAATTGTTAGTCACCGACCGCAAGAAACTTCTTTGTTTGACTTTTGACCCAATACTGACGTATCGTAGGTCTTGCCTATCGCCTTTCTTACGATTCACCTGGTATTGGTGCCATTTCTCAATTGAAGAGCTTAAGGGCTGCGTCCCAAGCGAAGATAACGCCGGGGGTACTGTGGATTCTGGCCCACAATGGCCATCTTTAGGAAATTTGCAGATTAAAGACAATTCAGTCGCCTATTCACATTCCTCAGAACTTGCTCTGCGAGATATTTCTCTCGCTGTCAACCATGGACAGAAGCTCATTCTCATGGGACGAACAGGAAGGTATGTCCAGTACGTAATATTAGGGCCCTTGATGTTTTTTTTCCACCTTCGAAAAAAGCGGCAAGAGACAGGCACTAAAATAGAAGGTGAAACGCTTCGACCTCAGGAGTGCTGGGCATTGTCCCATATATGCATGTCGACAGGTTTATGTAGAATCAAAATCATCTCGGGCTTATGTCTCAATTTCAGCCCAGTGCAATCTTGTTATTGTTGTATACTGTATCCCATTCGTCTGCGTGGGCACTCCGATATACTAACTACAAACATGCCTAGGAACCCGACACAAGAATCTTCCGAAGGTGAATTGAAGCTCCTAGTCATCAATTTGTATCATTTTGGGCTGTTCAAAAAATACATATTAATACAATATTTTCCTGTAGAATCCTCGGGAACAACCCTATGTCCCCACGGATATCCATAGAGCGGTCGCGCCAGCCGTTCGAACCTTTGCGGCAAAGTACGAAGTAGGACCGAAAGGTGTAGGCCTGAGATCCAAACAAAATTACCATTTCCTAGCTGAAATACTAGCAAGGATTCTGAAACATGCCACGTAACAATCACAATCACTAACTCCTTTTCCGTACATACTCGGTAGGATATTCGCGAGACCTCAATCCCTGCTAGAGCGATGGGTCAACAGTCTCAATTCAGATTACACGAGTTAGGAACTTATAGTTTGCATCGTTTGCTTTATTCTTTTTTCATATACTATACCGAGGGATTGACTTCTATGAGATCGTTTGAACTGCCTGGGAATCGGCACAAAATGATATTGTATATCTAGTTTGTCACTACCCCCACATAAAAGATCAGACAAGGAAACTGCCAAGAGATAATTTACACATTTCAGTACAATCTAGAACCGGAATCAATGCTCAGTACTTTGTTAGTATCCTTGTGTCTCTGATGCTTATCCCGAGTAACAAAGGCAAGCAACAAAGCGACAAGATTAATGACATTCAACTTCATTTAGTTCTTTTTCGTTTATATATTCTTTGTGTATAAGAATAGTCTCTTGTTTACTTGACCCGGTACGTCGAACTCGAAAGACATATATAAACCTCGAAGTCAATACTCGACTCACCAAACTACACTCCGTTGGTTTTTCTACCACTTCATCAATAAACCCTCATTAGACTATTTATACATTGATTGCCTTTCACTTAGAGCAGTTACGTTCGCAACCTTGAACCAACAAGACTAGGTGACCCATCACTATCCACTACCATCCCACCAATCTATCTATTAACCCGCAACCATGTCAGGACGTGGACCGGCTATCGAGTTCCGCGAGGAGCATGCTAATTTCTGGACCCTCATGGAGCAGATTATCCATGGTCTTCGGAACAACTACCCAGCAAACCAAGACGAGATCATTGGCCGTATGGGCCAGCTTAATCTCCAGCTCTCGGCCTTTCGACGAGCCGGAGAGATGATGGGTTCTATTTATCCACCCAGTGACATTGTCCGTGATGCTCCTCCCCAGTACTTTACTGTCCGTGCTCAACGCCATCAGAATTACTTCGGCACAGAGTTCGGGTACTCCTGCTGGTATACCCAAGCCCAACTGGGCTACGCTATTGTGGATCTTCTGCAGCAGAGGGATCACACCCGCGTAGCCGACCATCTGGGACAGTTGCTAGCGAGTTGGCAATTGACCGAGATGAGAGTCTTCCCCCGTCAGCTCCCTACACGCAATCCTGTCGCGCCGCCGGCCACTATCATGCATATTGATGGCCCGCCATACTATACACCAGGCGGCTCTGAACCACATGTCAAGACAGCCAGAACGGTTGGGCCAGTTCGCACACATCCACATGTCCGTGTTAATTTGCCCGCCCCAACCAATACTATTTACGGTGTGGCACAGCAAACACGCCATCGCGCTGCCCCATACTCTGAACGCGGTCGCCCGAGACGTCGTGGAAATGCTAGATCCGCCCTTCCACTACCTAATATTATGCAAAATGGCGATGCTTCCCTTATGCCAGTACCGGTACTTCCCGGTGTTCCGTCCCTTTTCACTCCACAGGCCCTCCCTGGTGGAGGTGCTCTTCCCGGTGCACCGACTACCTCTGTGCCACCACGACCTGCTATGCAGTTACCGTCTAATATACCTGCCCCTGACACTGATGTATCTATATCTATCTTGAATGCCAATGTCGGGGAAACTTTGTTTAGGGATCAATCCCGTCAGGACCCTAGCGCTGGCCATTAAGGTCATTAGCATCAGCAGAATAATGGGCAATCGAGCCCAGTTAAGCTCCTCAATTTGGATCCTAGATCATTGCAAGGCATGATCTAACATTGACTATTGATGAGTTCAAGAATCCTAGTTATCTTTGTGGCTATTGCTTACGCTGACTTTGGATTTATAGATTCTTATTTTATACTCCCTTCTGTTCTGATGGACACTATGTAATATCCCCCCTTTGGGAATATGACATTACATTTTATACATACAAGAAATTATTATCTTGTAGATTGCGTCCTCATAGTCCGATATGTTCTTTGAATACATTTTGGGCTATATATTTCCAAGTTTGGCACACTTGAGCTTAATGGAATCCATAATTTGTATCTGCTAAATAATCGATCACTTGATACTCGATTGTATCGTATTTCCGCCAGAGAAACTACTGCTAGATCTACATGTTCGTACCTTCCAATATGAAGTATATCTTTGGTGTAGAGTGCAGGGCCAATAAGGCAATAAGTCAAGGTTATTTAGAGTATTGAGCAAACTGTACAGTTATTCAATATAGCTGTCTATTTACTCACCATTACTGTACGGCACTTTCTTCTAATATATCTGTCTTGTATTTCCACTAATAATAAGTGATGCACTCTTAGTGAACGGAAAGTTTTTACGCCTTACTACAAACAACGAACCTTTTTTTCTTTGTACGCCGTTTCAGTTATGGCTAGGAGAATTCTTCATACAAGGATCTGAGTGGTTGTATTCTTAGACGATTTCTCCGTGTCTCAATAAGCAGTGTTCTTGTCCAGTCAAAGTACATACTTTAGATGTTTAATATATGTTTGAAAGTGGCATGTTGTTCAAGAGAATGATTATACTATTTCGATCAATTGTACTATATTTCAAACTTATATCATGACACTGTAGTATATAACAATGTACTGTCGAGTATAGCAATGTAGTATATGTGGCACGACGTCAATTTCCATCTTGCCACTTTCCAAATTGGTCCACAGAAGCTCAATAAGCCAACCAATCAGAGTCCAGAATGAATCAGGCCATCATCTTTTCTTGGCGATCGGCCGATCCTCCGCGCATTTCGAGGCCAGCTTGTCCACTTTGCAGACCCTGACATTCTTGATTCTTTTATCTTGTCTTGTGGAGACGGTTTCTTTTTTTTTTTTCTTTCTAGACCATCACTGCGCAAACTTCGCGACTTGTCCCCATCGAACAGACCTTTCCGTTGAATCCCTGGCCTTTGCGCCACCCTGCATATACAAAAATCAGCGACTCTATACACGCTTGATCTACATATACCACAAGTTGAAGACCAAGATGCGGTCTTCCGCGAGACTGCTCTATGCAGCAGTGTTTGCATTTGCTGGTTTGAGCCATGCCGGCATACATAACCCTTCACTGGACCCAACAAAGTGTGCTGTAAGTCTTGTCAAGTACCCCGGATACTCAATACAAATGACTGACAGTCTATTTCTCTTCAGCTTGAACCTTCAGCCATGGTGTCAGATGCCTGCGTCTCATATGGCGAGCTCAACGGCATGAACGACCTGGTTTTCACGACGATCAACTCCCTCACGCAGGAAACAGACTTCTTCTCTTACTACCGCCTCAACCTATTCAATAAGGAGTGTCCCTTCTGGAGCGATGCCAATAGCATGTGCGGCAATATCGCCTGTGCCGTGAACACTATTGATTCAGAGGAAGATATTCCGTTGACCTGGCGCGCGGAGGAACTTAGCAAACTAGAGGGCCCCAAGGCCAACCATCCACCCCGCAAGATCCAAGCGGAGCGTCCGAAAGAACGCCCACTCCAGGGAGAGCTGGGTGAAGATGTCGGCGAGAGTTGTGTGGTGGAATACGACGACGAATGTGACGAACGAGACTACTGTATCCCTGAGGACGAGGGTTCCGCCGGGAAGGGAGACTATGTGAGCTTGGTGGACAACCCGGAGCGATATACAGGATACACTGGAGCAGGCGCAAACCAAGTGTGGAATGCGATCTACAACGAAAACTGTTTCTTGAAGCCCGTTGCTGATGAACTGGATGAGCAGTCGGTGAACGTCCCGATGGGCGGCCTCCAGGCAGCCTCTGACTTCCGCAACGTGCTCCACAAGGAGTCGCAGAGAAAAGAAGGCCTGCCGCTGGATAACGAGTGCTTAGAGAAGCGGGTGTTCCACCGGCTGCTGAGTGGCATGCATGCTTCCATCTCCACACATCTGTGCTGGGACTACCTCAACCAAACCACAGGCCAGTGGCATCCCAACGTGCAATGCTACAAGGACAGACTCTTCGACCACCCAGAGCGCATCTCAAATATGTACTTCAACTTCGCACTAGTGTCGCGCGCCGTGGCAAAACTCCGCAAGCATTTGGATGGGTACACGTTCTGTACTAGCGACCCAGCGCAAGACCGCGAGACCAAAAAGCGCGTCAACAAGCTAACAGCGACTCTGTCGGAACTCCCCAAAATCTTTGACGAAAAGATCATGTTCCAAGATCCCAACACTGTCGGCCTGAAGGAGGACTTCCGCAATCGCTTCCGCAACGTCAGTCGCCTGATGGACTGCGTCGGCTGCGACAAGTGCCGCCTCTGGGGAAAGCTCCAAGTAAACGGCTACGGAACCGCACTCAAGGTGCTGTTCGACTACGACGAAACCAAGAACGGCGAGAACCCGCCCCTACGCCGCACCGAGTTGGTCGCCCTCATCAATACCCTCGGTCGTATCTCGCACAGTCTCGCTGCTTCGCGCAGTATGCAGCGAGCCTTGCTGACCGGAACTACTCACATGTTCCCCGTTCACGGCGCTGTGCCCTCCTCCCACCATGCCAATGCCCTCGCCAACAACAGGCGCGTGTTCAAGGACGGGAATAACAACTTCTACTATGAAGGCGAAGGAGCCGAAGACGGGTTTGTCTACGGCAGAGGCGAGGCCCCAGAGCGATACCCCTGGGAGCGCAAACCGCCTAACCCAGATGACGGACTCTATGAGGATTTCATCTCTGAGTGGAATATGATCTGGGGTACGGTTGGACATATATGGCAGTCTTGGATGGACCTCCCACATACAATGTAAGTTTGAGCTTGCGTTTGCTGTATTTGCATCGACTAATTACTGACCGACTCTCGCAGTTTCCAAATCGGCGCGTCAGAATGCATCCGATTGTACAATTACTGGCTCGGATTGCCGGTGCCTCCGCGCATGTGGAAGCTGAAGACGCCGCAGCCGCGTGCACATACTCAACCTGCTGCATATGCTAATCGTGACGAGTTATGAGTTCCCTGTATTTCATCTTTGCATTGGCATCTGTACATATATCGCTCTGTGCTATGGCGTTAATAGACTCTGGATTTTCGGTATTCGGAGTACTCTGTGAATCTATACTCCTTCATGCTTCTTTGAGTTGAATTTTACTGTAGAGTGTGTTCACATATATATATCTAGGCCTATGTGGTGTTGGTCGTGAAGGGGAAATGCGGTACACATTGAAGCTGTATATGTAGACAGAAAGTGAATATAAGCACTAGTACTTTGATACGTATGACATACTACATCATATATATGATCCACTAATTCTTCGATCTACTTTTGCTCATATTAATCTCAGATTACCTCGGTCGCCCTAGGTACATGCGTTTTGCCACCAAGGACCGAAGAGATTTCGCCGAACAGGTGGAAGATAATAGGGCAAATAGGGTGAACAGGATGAATGTGATAATTAGATATGATTTATATAGATAATTAGATATTCAGAAATACAATGCATCTACAGTGTACCTACAAAGTAGGTCTGTATACTAAACAAAGATACCCCGTATTTCTTCGGCAAACCCCGACCTCGGCATCTCCACTCCCGGCCACATGCGTCCTTTTCTTCCCTCTTCTCTCGTCTCTCATCCTCTCAGCCTCGCGAATTCATCTGAATCCAACGTCGTATCTCGATGCGATCTCGTTAATATACAACTCCATGGCGACGCCTTCGCCACCGAAACCGTGGGAGAGAGCAGGTGCAGCTGGTGAGTGTTTTTCGATTGCCGATATTCTAGCGCCACAGAATCAGTGCAATCCACAATGTCCACCCCAACTAACTCCCCTCTTCTTCTCTCTAGGAAACGCATTATCAACAGCACCTATCGCCGGTAGCCCTGCTGTCTCGACCGCGATGACTTCCACAGCCAGCCCCGCAGTCTCAACGTCCACCGCCCCCGAACTTCCCTCCCGCCCTAGCACTCTCAATTCCGTCGTCAACAACACCGCCTCCAACTATTCGCCATATGGAGCCTCACGCCTTGGAACAGGCGCATACGGATCTACCTATGGCGGAATGGGTGGTATGGGTGCCATGGGATCACCTTATTCCCGCTTCGGCACCATGGGCGGTATGTACGGCGGTGGTGGTTATGGAGGCTATGGAGGCGGCATGATGGGCGGTATGGGTGGTATGGGAGGCTACGGAGGGATGTACGGCGGTATGCCAGGACAAGATCCCAATGATCCGAACAGCTTGACGAACTCGTTTGGGCAGAGCACCCAGGCCACTTTCCACATGATTGAGAGCATCGTCGGTGCGTTTGGTGGATTTGCTCAGATGCTCGAGAGCACGTACATGGCTACGCACAGTTCATTCTTCGGTTGGTTTTCTTGAGAAGAAATATTTCACGGACACTCGCTGACTCAGTTTTATAGCAATGGTCTCGGTCGCAGAACAATTTGGAAACCTGCGCAACACCCTCGGCTCCGCCCTGGGAATTTTCACCCTCATTCGGTGGTTCCGCACATTGATCGCTAAGCTCACAGGACGTCCTCCGCCAGCTGACGCGACGTCTCTGACCCCCGCTGCCTTTGCAGCTTTCATGGGCGGCCGTGCCGCAGCAACACTCCCCGATGGCTCGCCAGCTCCCACCAAGCCATCCAAGAAGCCCTTCTTCATGTTCCTGATTGCCCTATTCGGTCTCCCCTACCTGATGGGCAAGCTCATCAAGACCATGGCACGAAACCAGGAGGAAGAGGCGAAGCGCCGCGCGCAGCTCGTCGGCCCCAACGGCGAGCCAGGCTCAGCAGCGCTCGACCCGGCCAAGCTGGACTTCTGCCGTCTCCTCTACGACTACACTCCCGAGACCCAGGAGAGCAACGGCATCGACCTGGCCGTGAAGAAGGGCGACATCGTCGCCGTCCTCAGCAAGTCTGATCCTATGGGCAATGCCTCCGAGTGGTGGCGCTGCCGTGCCCGCGACGGCCGCGTCGGATATCTCCCCGGCCCGTACCTGGAGACTATCCAGCGCCGACCCAATCAGCAGGTTATCACAGCAGGCAGCGAGCCGGCTACTAGCACCTCTACAATGAAGGGCGACTCTGTGGCCGAAGGTCGCACACAAAGCCTGTCATCTCTGGGCAAGCCCGAGCTTAATAGCAAGATCGGCGATATCTCGCCTGAGAGCTTCCAGAAGAGCACTTTCTACTCATGAGCCGTGAGTCATGACATATAGACTTCGCCCGGTGCTCTTGCCTGGGACTTTCTCCTATCTATCCTTGTCATTACCTTTGTCTTTGGAATGCTATACGTGATGGAGTAGGGTATGATTTTCTGATAGTGACGTTATGCGGCCAAAAGCTTCCATCCCTTCGAGCTTTTTTTTTTGGCTCATCCTTATATCCCCCGAGCGTGCCTTTGGATCCTCTCGATTCTTCTTATGACCTGTGATCTGCTGTACAGGCAGCAGCCTAGCTTTGATGCCAGTGGTTATCTCCTTCTTACCCAGGACTCATGATATTTTCATTACTACATGTACCTGGGTAGTCTCCCCGTTCCCCACCTCCTCTACCTCTCTATTCCTATTCCGGCTCCTCCTTCTCCTTCTATCGTCCTATCGGATTGGACTCATTTTAGCGACGGTCTCCCCGATCCCATTTGGCTTATGTATTTAGTACTTATTTAGTGCAATGCACACACACTGCAAACTAGTTCTAGTTCGAAACAAAAGCCCCTCCTTCCCCTTTCTAACCACAAAAGTACCACATCATATCACATCCCCCTATCCAATCCTTCGTACTCCTATTCAATACTTCCCCCCTCGTGGACTTTTCCTCGTGTGGCCCACAGTGGGCCATTCCATACCCGTCCCGTCCGTTCCCGGCACTCCGTAGTACTATCCGTCTCCACCGCAACATTTGACACTCGATACATCCAATATAAATCTCTGTAGTTTGCTTTCATATATGTACTTTGCATATTTCATCACCTTACTGCGCCGATGGGTACATTACCTCTATACGGAGATATATATACCCTACATTTACAACACGAGATCCCCGCCCCAATATTGTACACCATCGTATATGCGATGCGTATAGCATGCACCAAATCTGGAGCAAGGAGAACGGAGTACATACCGTAACTCTAAGCCATAAGGCAAATCCCTAATCCACCCTCCGCACCATATGCAAATCACTAATCCCCAATGCGTAAATCCTCCCTCCCATCCCTCCCATGCAGGCGCATGTGCACATACCCGCGCACGTCACCTCGCTTACAAACCCCCCTGCTCCTTACTCCGTGATCCGCATCCCCGTCGCAAGTCCCAGTTGCAGTTCCAGTGCTAGCTCCAGTTCCCACGCCTGCATCCGGCTCCCTGCAGCTTTTGCCTCCCGCGGACTAGTCACTCCCGGTTGGATTGGGTTTGGGGCTGGTGAGGCGAAATTGCGGCGTTTTGGCTTTTGGTAATCCGGCTTGGATACCCGCTTCGTACGGTATGCCTGGAACGGTTAGGGTTGGAGGTGTATTTTGTACGAGGCGTTAGAGGGCCGTTTTGGCTTTTTGCAGGTTACTGAGGTGGGATTTGCCGGGTTGGACTCCTTGGGTTGGTGGTTTGTAATGGATATGACCTCCCAAGGTTGATGTACAATGTTACAATGTATAGTGTCCTTAATGGAGTACTGGAGTATTGTAAGGGGTCGAGGGTGTGCCTTTTTGTCGCCGCTGATTGTGTTTGTGTGGTACTTCATCCTTGAAAGCATATTGATCTTGTGTGCCTATGTGCTGCATGTACTGTTGTCATCGTACTTTCGTCGTAAGCTACTGAGTACGGAGTATAATGTGCTTAAATGGTTAGATGGTTCAGAATTTGATTTTTTTCTGAACATTGTAGATAACAGACGTTGATCAATTCAGTTCAATGCTTTTCGCGCTACACTTTCTACTCCTTCTGTCTGGATTGTGTCACATCGACATACGTGTTAATGTACGTTACTAGCATCCCGTAGGATGATTCCTGTGCTGGGAATATATACATAGCCATGATGTATAATAATAGTGTAAAAGTATTTTTTTACGAATCCCACGAGGAACTGGTTGTTTGAGATATTTAAACGTGCCGGGTCTCAGTCGTTTCGATCCGGAGTATGTTGTGCATGGGGGATCCCAGGAGAAACGGGGGGTGGCCGTGGGGCTGGCACAGAATTGAGTTCGGCTGGGGGTGAAGTTAAGCGAAGTATGATCGTGGGAGCGAATGGTAAATTGACTAGGTTGATCGGGGTAATAGACGACAGGGCTGGGGGTTGCGTGGTGGAAGTGTTGGGCAGAGATTCGAGATGAGGGTTGCAGCACGGTTGCTTCTGAGACGCAGGGAATGTCGTGCCGAGTGAGACATAGCTGAGATTGGGACCGGAGCCAGGGTTTGTCGAGTCGAAAGGGATCAATAATATCGGTCGAGCGGAAGGATAGGTATCGTTGTTGTTGTGGAGCTGAGACGTGACCAACCCCCCCTTCTCGTGCTACCCATACTTGACAAGCAGCACAATTGCATATACAGAGACTCGGATGCCATAATGCATAGATCACCAATCTAAAACGCAGAGAATCCATAATAGAACGCCCTTGCTATGAGTCTTCCTTCCCGTGGGTGGGCTATGTTTGGAAGGGAGGTGAGAATGCGAAGCAGAGCATGGGAAACATAACCATATACATAGATAAGAAGAGAAAAAAAAAACGAGAGAAGAGAAAGAGAGAAAGAAAAACAGGCTCACACGCTGATGGGGAAAGGGGAAGGGGGGTGGGAAATCAACACATAGAAAGCAAATCAAGCAATGAAAGAAATGTGAAAAAAAAGAAAGAAAAAGAGAGGGAAAAAAAGAGTCTCAAACAAAGTAAACCAACACCATCAAAAAATCACATCCCCAATCCCTCATGATGAGGAATCTCCTGATTAGGATCCTGATCCCTCGCCCACTTCGACATCGATTGCGTAAGTGTATAATCCAAATTCTGCAACCTGTTCTGGAACGATTCAACCGTATTCCAGTCAGGAGGGTGGGTATCTTCTTCACCAGGAGCATCCTCGAGATCCCTTGGCGCAGGTCCAGGGTGACCATGCGCAGAGTGCGAACCGTGTACACCCTGCACCACTTGCACGCCTTGAGCACTGTGCACACCTTGTACACCTACAGCATGGGAGTCGTGAGAGTTGTGTACACCGTGCGAGACGTGAGAGGTGTGAGACCCATGTGCAGCATGTGCAGCATGTGCAGCATGTGCACCGTGTGAGAGATGGTTCCCTATTGAATGGTGGTAGGACTGGATATGACGTGGCTGGGATGAATGCTGGGTTGAATGCATGGACATGGGCATGGCCGGTGATTCTTCCAGTTCCAGATCGGGCAGGTTTTCGAGGTGGTTTGGGTCTAGAGCGAAATATCTTCCATCAATATCATTCGGTACATACACACTCACCGGAACGGCTGTGGAATTACCGTATGAGCCGAGCGGGTAGGGCGGCATCTCTTGAGTTGGCGATTGCATGTCGGGGAGTGGTGAGATGGGGGTGGTGATGCTGTGTTCGTCTGTTGGTTCTGGTGTATAGCAGGTCATGTCGGAGGGTGTTTCTATTGGAATTGGGTTGCTTAGTTAGTAGCTGTGTGTGTGGTTTGGGTGAGGGGTGGGGGGAGGAGGGGGGATTAGATATAGCCCAAGGGCCTCTAGTTATATCAATTCGGTGTAAGATAGATGTCAACTCACGAGGTTCAGGGCTTTGTGGCTCAGTCTCTGGCTCTTTGCCTCGATTGGTATCCCATGATGTCCCATAGCGACGTACGAAGCGGGCGATACGTTTTGGATCGACATTCTGACCGTTTACCCGGAAGGCTGTCTGTTTGCCTTGGGCAGCGCGCTTCTGTTGCTTGCGAAGCATGAGATGGACTTCTTTTGCTTTGATGTTCTTTCGAACATGCCATGCAGCAAGACGATCTTTGTATTGTTTTTCTCTAATGGACTTGGGAGTTAGGCGATACTGCTTGAGAAAGGAGGGGAGATGATAGATCTATAGGATGAAATACGCAAGGCATATTCCAAAGAATCGGAGGGAGATGAAGGTAAAGATGAAGAAGAAAAAGAAAAGGATAGTAGTACGATGCAAAGAACTTATAATCCCTTTCCATGATTCGTTTCACATCTCGTAGTTTCAACTGGTCGTTGCGGTAGAGCTGTTCGATGATTTCACGATATTCGTGCCAGTCGTCCGATCGGCGGGGTCGAAAGACATTTGGCGATTGAGGGGAGATGGGAGTCGAGTAATTATTCTCCATGATGTTTAAGAATGTATCAAGATAGAGTTGTGGTTTCTCATATCATACTTGTCTCATGAGGTTTTAGTATGCAAAACAGAGGTTCCGACGGTTAATAAATTGTTTTAAGGAATGCAAATCATAATATGTTAAAGAAAGAAAAAATCAAATAAAAGTCAATTTATAAAAAAAAAACAATGTACTAAAAAAGATGCTAAAAAAGATACTAAAAAAGATACTAAGGATACTAAAAAGGGTACTAAAATATAGAAATATAAGAAATATATAAGAAATATATAATATACATATTTCTGTAAGTAATATCACAAAATATCACAAAAAAACATCAAAACATTCCAAAAAATCAAATTAAAATAGCAAACAGGCAAGAGATGAGGGCCAAGGAAGATTCTCTCTTCTCTTTGCGGCGACGTGCACGCGGAGGCACGACCCCCTGCTTCCCCGGACGAATGAGCTTGTCCAGTGGACTCCATTGAGCACAGGCAACTTGTCACGATCGACGAGGAGAATATCTCCGTACGGGCTTTGGGTCTTTTTGTTATAATTCTAAGGGTGTATGTTATTTCATTTTTTTCCATTATTATTTGCTTTTTTTTCGATTTAATATTTAACTATCCTATATCTTACTAGTCCTTTTTTACTATATTTTCTATATTTTCTACATTTCTATTAGAATCCGAGTGGATATAGTACTTTTGATCTTTACAGCCTAAGCGAACTATTACATGCAGTGCACTGGCCGCAAATTGGATGCATTTTCCGTTGCCTAGTTGTAGATTGTAACAATATACTCCGTACTCTTATATATTAATACAAAGTATACTCCATCCACCGGTACTTATACTATATTATACTATATAAGAACTATAATACATCCAATATATAACCTGCAGATAAAAAAAAAAAACCATTCGGGAGCGGGCCGAATCTTCCCTGACAGGTCTTTGTCTTCGAGTCTAAAAAGATCCTCTAAAAATCCCAGGTCCGTGGATCAATCAGCCACGTCATGAGGATCTAAATACATACATACATATATATATATATATATATACTACTAAATAGTATACATTAGTAGATCTAGATCTACATCCCCATATGACACCTGCCACACCGAACGTGCCAGATCTCAACTGTCAACCAAAGTAAGGAGTAAGACCGTTAAGCCCGTTAAAAAAACAAATCAGACAGAAATGCGCTTTGATGTCTCTAGACAAGGTTACCCTGTCGTTAATTTCCCCAATTTCCCCTAGTATTCAGTATTTATCTATAAATAAGGGTCAGATCCTTCATCTCTCCGGCCGAGACTCGTTGAAACATACGATGCAAGGTCCGTGCTACCCTTTTTTTTTTGATTTGGTTTCGGAGGACTTCCTAGCGACCGGTCAGAAGTACCTCTTCGTATTGGATGTATATATTTTTATGTTGTCGGGGACTAGGAACATTAGGTAGTACGGAGTACAATGTAAGGAGGTGATGTATTCCCGTACTTATAGGCATGGTACCCTCTCGGCGATTAGATCGATTCCTCTTTTTTTTTTTGCCCCTTTGAAAGTATGAAAGTATGAAAGTATGATCGTCTTTTTTTCTATATCTTTTCCCTCAATCCTACTCTCATATACAACGGTGCACATACCCCTGTTATCACTCTGCACGCGTGGCCCATATCCCAAGGGCTAGAACTCTGCTAAACCCAAGAACTAGCGCTGGGAATGGGGTTGAAGATGGGCTGCAGTGATCTACGGACTTTTTATTTTTATTTTTAATTCTTTTTTTGTCTTTCGGGGAGTAGAATCCTAGTCCCCGATAGGGATGGGTATCTTTGGAGAGCTTTGATATCCCGAGGTCCGAATAAGTGAAATGCCGAGTACTCCGGAGTACAATCATATTTGAGAGGAAAGGGGGTGAAAGGAATATTCAGCTCCAAAAACATTTGAAAAAAAAGAAAAGAGCTAAAAAAAAGCAAAGAAAAAAAAACGAAATAGAAAAGGACATCACATATTTCTCCCCAAATCCGATATCCAAGCTCCAAACTAACCCGCGAATGGAGATGATCTGTTAAAAGTGCGGGGGGTACTTTTTTCCCTGCTCTTTTAATTCCTAATACAATATATATATATACAAAATAATAATAACCGCGCTTTCCCTTCAAAGGAATACAACGGCCATCCCGCGTGGAGTCTACAAAGTACGGAGATATCTGCCGCCGACACGCTCATAGGTCCACGGACCATCGTTCACCGGCTCGGATCGCATGCAGGTACTAGGATGTAGCGCGCAGTCTGGCGATGCATCTCGGAGGCACTTTCTCTCTTTCCGACTTATTGAGGTTCCCCAGTCCTGCACTCAGCCGACATATGTCAGGGGATTGGTTGGGCCTCGTCAATCTGTTGTGACAAGCCAATCAAATCTTGAGGTTAGTCTTTGAAACCTCTGGCACGTCATTGTCATCCCCTATAATGTACAAGGTACATTACTTGGGAGCTTATCGACAAAAGTACGAAAAGTGATGCACTTTGCAGGTCTTCAATTTTCATCCTGCGTGATTTGCTTGCCACATGACTGGCATTTGAATACTTGCTGCAGCCTCACCTTTGTATTTCTTTTTTTTTTGGAACCCAAAAAAAAGAAGAAAGAAGAAAGAAAAAGAAAAAGAAAGAAAAGAAACCAAGAGCTTGGGTTTGGTGTCATGGCTTATTCTTTGGGACCGTTGTCTGTCGGGCTTGTTCGGCGGCTGCCACGGCAGCAGCCGCGACAGCAGCGGAATTACTAGACCCGGTGCTAGCGATATTGCTGGCATGCGCGAGAAGGAACTTGCAGCAAGTGAGCGTGTACTTGCAGGCTCGAGTCCATGTCTCATCCGTATTGTTGAAGCCTAACTTGATGCTGGCATCGCCAATCCGATCCTGCTTGATCTCATAGGGTAATTTCAACCCCGGTGCTGTGGCGCCGGTCTGGCCTCGACGAGGGTTTATGACGGGCGCTGGGGTCTTCTCAACAAACTTTCCCAACTGGCGCAGACACTCCAGGAACGCCACCATACCAAAGTCAAAGCGACGGTGAAGCCAATTAAGATTAAGCAGTTGATCCCCAGACGAAAACAGGTCTAGTTGGGTCACTTTAGGTGCAGCTCCTTCGACAGGCTGACCGGATGGCTGCTTGGGGTATTCAAGCTTGTCAATCCGCGAATTAGATCCCAGAGGCCTGAGACGATACCCCTGGAATTGGAATCCGAGTTTCTCGGCCATTGTAGCCAGAAGTAAGGCTGTTTGTCCCCATGCAGCATTTATTTCAGGCCACTCAACGGAAGGATTGGCCAGCCGACCTAGCCGTAAGCCATTGATGGTACCGAAATATCCATCATGACCAATGCAGAACGCGTCATTGTAGACGTTTGTCCTTTGCAGTCTCTCAAGCTGTTGCGAGTCATGATCATAACGCATATTGAGCGCATCACGTTCGTTTTGAAACTCCGTGAGCGTCAAAGCAAACGCATTGCGAGACCGCCAAAAGTTCTCCTCGTCCGCATCTAGCCGTCGCGAGTCAATTTCCAAGCTCGCAATCTCTGCGTCTAGAGCAGCCTTTTCTTTCTCGAAAGCCTGCAGCTCTGAGAATGCAGCCTGTTCCGCTTCGAGGCTCTCATTCAATGATTTTTCTGCCGCCTGCAGCTCCTCCGTGGTCAGGATCGACCCATTCAGATTCCTAAGAAACGAGATGTAGGCGTCTCGTTCCTTCGTAGACCCAGCCAAGCGTTTTTGCAGTCCTTCCACAAGCAGCTCGGTGCACTCTATACATATAGGATGGTCGATGTCTGAGCGCGCCGAGACTATTTCGAACAGCCGCGTTGTTTTCTCCACTTGATCAACGAATGACCCATCCTCCGGGTTGCGGAGTTGGGCTGATGTATGGTTTCGCTTACTTCGGGCAGCCGAAGTACTCTCACTGACCAGTGGTGGCGCAACTTGAGACTCAGTAAGCATCACAAATGACATATTGCCGCTCTCAGCTCGGGGTATTGCCGGGGGATTGGGCTGGCCTCCTGCACGCGGGGCGGGGATAGACCGTCTGTAAACCGGCGGCGTAGCATGTCTAGAGGACTGGTCATACTTGTCGCGGTGTTCGGGCGGATACGACAATCGTGCTGATGAGGAGACAGCTCCAGTATCTGATACCGTCTTCCCTGTAGAGTCTAGACCGCCTGGTTAGTGGGGATCTGAACGATCGCCTTGTGTGAACTTACTAGATAGTAGGTCAAAAGCAGCTGGGTTAAGTGACTCTATTGAGCCATCCAGCTTCAACGGCGTGCGACACTTCTGGCAATACATGGTGGTTCTAATTCATGATAGTGGGTGTTGTGGGGGAGTGGAAGTTGCGGAGCTCCAAGGGCTGGGAGCTTCGGGGAACGTCATTTTCGGTTTGTTTTGCATTTACCGCATATTTGCTCGCGCTTGCGCCTGCACACCACACTTTCACTCTATGATCGGACACAAACCGCTGCCAAATTTAATTATGCGGTATTCTACCACGCGCTCGATGATAGATCACTTCTGAGGGACGCACGCGCCTCTTGTTTCTTATCCGCAATCATGAACGAGCCGGACGGCGGCATGGACCACTCCATACAGGACAATATGGAACGACCAGTGAAGAGACCACGTCTATCATATACCCCCGAAGACAACGAAGAGCCCCTGGCAGACTTTGATCTCCCTGCCGCGCGCGCGCAAAATGACTCGCGACTGAAGTCTCTCTTCGAAGGCATTTTCGCAAAATATAGCCATGACTTCACCGACATTGGCGATGAGATTGACCTACAGACCGGGGACATAGTGGTTGACAATGGGCATATTCTGGGGATGCGAGGCGAGCACGGTGCTGGGGATCAGACACAATCATGGCTCTCCCAAGCTGAACTGGATAGATCGGAAGAATCTGATGTGGACGACGACAACAACACGCAGGTAGAGGATGAGGAATTTTTTTCTATGGCATCCTCTCCCGGCGGTCACTCTCCGGATGCTCTACATGACGAGTCGCCCTCGAAACAGCTACAGACAGACATAGATAGCTCTTTGGATTTCGTGTTTACTTTTAAAGCATCGGGGACTGTAGGGTCCAGTCCTACGGCCAAGGAGGAACATGTCCCCCATCTCACCAAGCCTATCCCAGTTTCCAAACCGCAAGATCCACTTTGGGCAGTCCCAGATCTCCCCCCATCCTTTTCAACACCCACCGCTGAAACCCGCAAATCAAACGTGGGCTTTTCTACACCTGCTAGGTTTCAATCTCCGCCAGGGAGTGGTTCGGTCTGGGCTTTGCGCAGATCTCGTAGACCACGCACAGAAACGAAACCCAAACCCACGCCGAGTAAGCGCCGACCGGCCGCGAAGCGCAAATATCATTCTAGCCCTGTGACGCGCGACTGGTCGTTTGCGGCTCTGCCAGATGGGAATGAGTCAGATGACCCTTTGCAGGACTATGAGCCATCGCCCACACCATCGAAAGTGAAAATTATCCGTGGGAAGCGCCTCATTCCAACGAAAGAGAAAGATGGTCCATCTACTCCTTCGAAGAAGCCAGCCCCTGTCATCAAAGCTGATGACCAAGGTGATGACCAAGAAGGGGGCGGTGAGACTAGCGATCACGACGATGATGGGCCTGACGCACACCTCGAAGAAGGGAACTGTGGAACAAGCAATGAGATAGACAAAGTGCCTGAAGCATCCCTTGCAGAGGAGGTCTGCGAACCGAATCAGCAAGAATACGGAGTGCCTGAAGAACAACTCCCAGGAGGCTGCGGAGCAAGTGACCAAGAAAAAGAAGCGCCTGAGGCAGAATCAGAAAATGAACTGCTACTAGATTCTATTGTACAATGTGATTCAACTCCCAAGGCCACGACCACGGCCAGCATCCAGGCCTCATCCCCGCTGCCCATGGAAAATACCCCAAGCAAAAGACTGCCCGTGACACCCGATGAAGCAAAGCTTATCGTGTATATGATGTACAAGCAAGAAAAGAAGGCCAGCGACGTGATGCAGCTGTTGCCAGGTCGCGACTACCACACAGTTTGGCACTGGTTCTACAATCACTGGACCCGCCACCTCGCCAGTCCGCCTCTCCTTTCCGCTGCCTGGTCGCAGCCTGAGCTGGCAGCTTTGTCCCAACTCAGCACCCAATCGGATCTTACCTGGGGTCAGATACAAAATCGGTTCAAGGGCCGGTCGCGACATGAGATTGAGTTTGAGCTGCTTCGTGCCTGCGTTGGTGAGGGCTTTACCTCTGCAATGATAGGGAACGTCGAGGAACACGTGGAGTCGGAAGAGGAACAGCAGGAAGAAACGACAGAGGAAGATGATACGGACGACGACGAGATTAAGGACGAGTCGGAATCTGACGTAGGCATGGATGGAATCGAAGATGAGTCGGGGGATAACAATGCTCCATCCGAAGACACTGCCCAGGAAGAGCTTCAGCAGCCCGGCATCCAAGAAACGACCGACATAAGTGTCAGTAAGGTGTCAGCTCCCAGCACCTTCCTGGGCATTTTTATTTAACTCCTGAATATGGTGATTGGGTGCAAATATACTAATAGGGTGCCAGTGATCGACGATCGATGAATCTATGTATCCACATCCACATCCACATCCATAACCACTACCATACCATATTCAATTAATCTATCTATTGAAAGTCCTCGTCCCGTGCATTCATAACATCCTCAAGCTTAGTATCAACAGCGCCACCAACATCTCCTGCCTTAGCCCAGAATCGAGACAGATGTCGTGAGCCAGAGTCCGAAAGTACTGTGACAATCCGATGACCAGGGCCAAGTTTCCTGGCTGTCTTTACAGCGGCGATACCTAGAATCCATTAGTAAAACACTGGTGTATTAGGCAAGGAGTTAATAAACCCACAGTTCACTGCACTGCTACTCCCAATGAAGATCCCGTCCTTCTCAACAAGCCACCTCGCCATAGCCAAAGCCTGCGCATCAGTGACACGCACCGCGTCATCAATCATCTCCTTTCCAGCCTCGAAATTCGCCGTGACACGGTTAATGCCAATCCCCTCAACGATAGTATCAACCTGACGACGTCTCCGCGTTCCCTCCCTCTCCTTAACATCAAACATAACACCGTAGACCACTCTATTAAAAAGCCCACTCCCCTGCGGATCGGCCAACACAATCGTAATTCTCGGCAGCAAGGGCTTCAAGTACCTCGCCACACCAGAAATGGTCCCGCCCGTCCCAGCCCCCGCTACAAAAGCATCAATGCGGCCCCCACACTGGGCGTACAGCTCTGGACCAGTGCCTTCGTAGTGGGCGCGCCAGTTAGCCTCGTTCTCGAATTGGTCGGCGAAAAAGCCCCGGCCACGGGTCATGCGTTCGTTTGGCGCGGGGAGATCGGATTGATCTTCCGCTGACGCAGAGGTAATGCCCGATGAGGCCGTGTGCGTCTTAGCCAGTGCTCGTGCGCGATTGACGAAGTTGTCCTTCTCCACTATTGGTGCTGGCGGCACCCGGTCTACGATTGCTCCGAGTTTCAGCAGCAGGTTAGATTTTTCAATTGCCTGGTCGGACGGTAGGCAGCTGGGTTGCATGTGCATTAGTGTTTTTTCGTTATTGGGGGAGAAATCGGAGTGGCGTAGGCATACATGTGTGCTAGGTAGCCCTTTGCACGGGCTAGAGTTGCTAGCGAGATGCCGGTTGATCCCGAAGTTCCTTCGTAGATTGTGTCGCCTGAATGGGGCGTCAGGATACCTTGTTCCTCTGCCTGGTTGGTGTTAGTGATGCTGGTTTAGTGCAGAGGGAATTTTTTTTTTCGTTTTGTGTATTTTGGCATACAATTTCAATCATGCTTAGTGCAACTCGGTCTTTGGAACTCTGGCCAGCGCCATTCAGAAACTGTGGGCGTTGTTAGCTCTTTTTCGGAGTGGTATACGAAATACTAAGACTAGGTACATACCTCTGCTTTGCCTAGAATCTCACATCCCGTCTCGTCTGACAATGACTTGATTCGGAACAAAGGGGTGTTTCCGATGCAGCCTTCAATGCCTTCCACGATAGTGGGCGGGCCAGCTCGGGCGATTAGCCCATTTGTTGGAGATATTTGTTCTGTCACATTATCCTCACGCTTTGGACGCGTGAGTTCTTGGTATGTGAGTACTAAGCAGACACCGGCCACGAAGGCTGTGCCTATATACGCTGCCGAATGATCTGGCATCTTCCAATGCCGTTTTATGTCTTGAAGCTTGAGGTTATGTGCATAGACCGAACATTTGAAGCTCGGACCATCGGGCTTTTTTGATGGAAAATAGGAATCAGCATGTACTTCCTCGATAAAAAGGGATATTGAAAGCCAATTCAAAGAATTCTCTTTGTATTCAACTTGTGTTCGGCTTCAAGAACCATGTAATTCCCAAAACGTCGAAGAAGTTGGAGGTTATGAGTTTTGCCTGAGGCACGTGGTGTGTCATGCCTGAGGCCAGAAAGGCTATCCGGAGACAATGTCGTGCTTCTTCCCCGGAACGACCGTAAGAGCTTAGCTCTGCAACCACAATGGACTCACCAGTCCTTTCCCAGCTGTTCCGACAGCTCTTCCGCCATCCATCATGTCGATCATTAAGGCGATCACCTTCCGTACTTGTCCGGCCACAATCCCGATCATTTCTTACGCGGCGCACACCTCTCAACGTGAAGCGCAAACCACACGATGATGTCCAGCTCTGGACTAAACGAGGAGACTACCCCAAAAACATCGATGAGGAGTATATGAAATACCCGACAGTGACGGCAAAGGAGCTACGCAACCGCCGCGAACGGCCGCGGCAGGTCAAGATGCTGACGCGCGAGTTCATTGACGGTGAGTTCGGCAGCTCAAGTGCAACGAGACTAGTTCTGACATTGCGCTTTTAGACAGCCTCTACAACCCGCATTACGGATACTTCTCCAAACATGCGACCATTTTCAGTCCCGGAGAACCGTTTGACTTCAACAACATCGAAGACGGGCCCGCGTTCCACAGACTCCTTGGTCAACGATACACGGAGTTTGAAGACAAGCTTGATGCGGAGAACCCAGATATCGCGCGGCAACTGTGGCACACACCGACAGAGCTCTTCCGACCATATTATGGCGAGACAATTGCTCGGTATTTGGTGTCAAACTACAAGCTGACCCTATACCCGTACCACGACCTGATCATCTACGAGATGGGCGCAGGAAACGGCACAATGATGTTAAACATTCTGGATTTCATCCGCGACACCGATCACGAGGTGTACCAACGCACCAAGTTCAAGATCATTGAGATCTCGCCCGCGCTGGCAGATTTACAGTACAAGAACCTGACCGACAAGCTCACTGCCAAGGGACATCGGGACCGCGTCGAGATTATAAATCGGTCTATCTTCGACTGGGACACATACGTTCATTCTCCATGTTTCTTCCTGGCTCTGGAGGTTTTCGATAACTTCTCCCACGACACCATCCGCTACAAGCACGGCACCGAAACGCCACAACAGGGTGGTGTGCTGATCGATTCCGACGGCGAGTTCCACGAGTATTACAACAACCAGCTGGACCCAGTAGCAGCTCGCTTCTTGCGCGTGCGCCAAGCCGCCGCCCGCCGTCCTTTCCCGAGTCCGCTGGGTCCACCACTCCTCCGCGGCCTCCGCTCCGCCGCTCCCTTCCAAAAGGAATACTCCCTGCCGGAGTATATCCCCACCCGACTGATGCAGTTCTTCGATGTCCTGAATCAATATTTCCCAGCCCACCGTCTGGTCTCCAGTGACTTCAGTTCTTTGCCAGATGCTGTGCCCGGAATCAACGCGCCGGTTGTGCAGACTCGGTATCAGCGACAGACAGTGCCGGTGTCGACTCCTTTTGTATGTGGATCATTTCTGTGATGTGAGCTTTGAATCTGGCTAATTTTTCTTCGCAGGTCCACCAAGGCTACTTCGATATCTTCTTCCCGACGGACTTTAATGTCGTCGAGGATATGTATCGTGCTATTACAGGGAAGCTGACGCAGGTCACGAGCCATGAGGAGTTCGTGAACCGTTGGGCTTACATTGAGGATACAGAGACGCGGAATGGGGAGAATCCGCTGCTCAGCTGGTATAAGAATGCCAGCATGTTGATGACCGTGTAGATAAATATCTCGATGTCAATATCATTTAACTATGCGTTGTGGGTTTTACTTACCGCACAAGCTCCTTTGTTTACGTGGGAATATATCTGCCTCAACCGCATGTCTTCTTGAATAATAATCTAACCCGACAAACAAAGGGTACTCAACTCAAATACCTCGGTGAAAAAGAAAAAAAAAATGATAATCCTCCAATTACTCCCAGCGCAGGATCGAAACCCTCGCCAGTTTCACCATTGACTGAACTTCCCAATACGGTATCACCCGGGCTCATTGTTCCATTCAGTAATCAGATGACCTCATGTCTCTCACCCACTCAGCCATCCAGGAAGGATTATTAGCCAACTAACTTGAACTGCAGTCAAATAGACTGAATCCTATCATTTAAGCCATGGTATTCAACTCCAACTCTCTCCTAATATTGTCTCACTGGTCTATAGGATATTAGTCTTATGCTGGCCTGTTAGGTAGTCAAGCCTAAGAAGGGGGAAAAAGTATGAGTCCCTTTACACATTCTCACAATACAAGACTTTGGAAATTATCGTCATCTTGGTCACACGTCGGAGCCATCAAATATGTAGATTGTTCTGGTATATATATGAGAGTCCCACGATACCAACGAGCCGGTAGATTCAAAATATTGAGATGCGAAACATGATCTCGGATGATAAACTCCAGAATCTGCGATAAAAGGCCACTCATGGGAGTGACGATCATTGGAACCATCCTTAGATGGTTAGATGGTTGCTTGCCAGGTAATTGGGGGAAATTGTGAGCCACCGAGAGACAGCCATGTCCGGCGTCTTCCACAAAGTTGATGGTGAACATGAATCAAGGCTCTAGAGACACCAATTTGACCAGTTTGATGATCCCTGACTCGAAGTTGGAGATGTCAAAGTCGCGGAAGTTATATCACCGTCGCGCTCTCGGGTCGTGTCTCAACAAACCGAGCAGTCTGCATTCCCATAGAATGTAAAAACACATGAATAACTAGCATCTAGCTTTGTCCCCTAGTTCTGAGGAATCTGAAACACGATATTAACGAGGTCTGTCATATCCTTGACCCCAAGCTCCTTGAGAGCATTAAGTATCTGATCGACCGTAGTCTGAGGAAGCCCCTTCTTGTTCTTCGAGTAGATATCAATGCCAGCAGGCGTGAAGATTGTTTTAGCAAAGTAGGTAACAATCCACTGGTTGTCATCATCGGTAGGACCGAAACCAAGACACTCCCAGTGTGAGCTCGCGATCATCAGCCAACCTTTGCCGCGCCAATCCCAGGCGCCGGGTTTATCTGGTGTTGGGGTGTCCACGCCATGAACGGATTTGATTATCTCAGAGTCAAGGGCTTGGTATTGTACCAAGTCGTCGAGCTTCTGGACCCCGGCTGTATCTGCGGGGAGTAGCTCGTAGGTGATGTTGACGTTGCGCTTGTCTTTCCACAGGGGAAGGGTAGAGTGGGTTACGTGCCATGTCCCGACTATAAAGTCGCTTGGTGGAACGCAGGTAGCTTCTTCGCTAGAATTGAAGTCTGGGGGTCTGACAAAGATAGAAGACATGCTTGCTCAAGCTCTAGGTCTATGATGGTGGTGTTTAAGGGGCGAGAGAGGGCCTTTGGTGGCGGATCTGGGCCGATCGCTACCACATCGGTGTCATCGTCGATCCGCAAAATCCTAAATGATGGACACTAAAAGTCTCTATAAAATATGTTTGAGTAGTATAACTCACGGCATAGGACCCCAAAACAGCAGAAGAAACAAGTTTGAAGAACATATACTTTCCTCAGTGATGTCGTGAGCCATATCTAGAACTGCAAGACAGTGGTGTACTATGCATGAAACCTCGGGATATATTGCGTAAACAACAATTAAAAGCTTAGATTGATGAGGCTGAAAGGAGTTATGGTAATAGTATTCTCGTTACCTCAAAACAAGGTATCGACGCTATTAGCTTATGCTAGAAAGGCAAATAGCGTGCGCATGGCGGGATGGTGATAATACAAAACAATGGACATGTATCTCATCTTGATACCCCCACTAGTATGCTGCCTCTCAATTCATCTCTTCCCTGATACAAGCAAGCAGCTCAGTGTTTCGAGTCGGGTGAAGGCTGACTGTGATGAGGCCAGGTTGGAGTTATGCTGAGGTCGTTAGTTTGTATGAAGGTAGGCAGGGAGAATGCAGTTTGGCCAAAGATCGGCTGGGGGAATTTGGAACTGGCGAATGCCGACTGAGCAGAGGCAGGCTTCGTAGGAGCGACCTTCCATTTGGGGATGCTAGATCGAGGCCCAGTAGGAATTCGTTGGATTCTATCCCGTAATGAGGTATCTGGTGCAATAGAAGCAGTTGTCTTGGGAGCGAAGATGTTCGTCGGTTGGGTCAACGTGCAACAAGGGAAGCCTGACTGAGCAACGCTAGACTTCGCAGGAGCGGGCTTGTTCTTGGGGATGCTAGATCGAGGCCCAGTCGGAATTCTTTGAACTCTTTCCAGTAAGGGGGTGTCCGGAGCAATAGGCTTCGGGGCGAGGATGGTCGTGATGTTCACATTGTTCAGTACAACACGTGAATCCATAGGGATACCGGCTTTGCTGTGGAGCCTACCAAGGGCGGTATCTAGTTGAGCGAGAATGGCAGTGTTGAGCGTGGCTGCAGTGACTACCGGTGCAGGGTCAACTATGGGCACAGTAATCTTGACGTTTTGAATAATAGTGCGCCGGCCACGCTGTTTGCGCCATATATGGTCGGGGATAAATAGTCTGCAGTATCGCCAGGAGTGACCGACCTCTGCACACTTCCTACAGAATGCAGTGCATATCCCAATGTGTCGCTTGTCACAGCGATAGCATCGGGGACGACACGTGCCTGGGTGAGATCTCGCTCCACAGTCCTGGCAGAATGGGGGTGGTCTGTACCTAGGAGGGTAGTCATCGTCGTCATCCGGGTCTTCAACTCTGGCATGCTTCTTCGCAGTGCTGAAGATTCCCTCATTGTTAGATGTTCTTTGGATGTTCTTTGGATGCAATTTACTCACGTGGGTTCCATTGTGACTACGCCGGAGAAATAAGTAAGCGAGAGAGAGAGAGAGAGAGAGAGAGAGGAGAGAAAGTCACGAGGGGGTTTTGTGTACTTGGACAGACCTAACAAGGAAGGAACAACTCTGTCACATGATAGTCAAGTCAAACGGGAAGGCGCACATTTTTGTGTGTGAGAGAGAACAAGAAAGTAAAGAAGGAACCGATGTGAGAGAACCAATCCAGTAAATAAACTCAATGGTTTGCAACTTGCCTCAGCAGAGTCCATGAGGTCTGCTTGGCCTGGTCTTCCAGCGGAACACAGTAATACAGATGCATGAAAAGCCCAAGTCGAAAACTAAGCGCTACAGTGTTTACTGAAAGCCTCTAGCAGGCACGCCCGCTACTGGGTCATTGATCAGTACCTTTTCGCTGATTTTCACTTGGTTCGGGTGCTATCAGTTCAAGATGCAATATAAATCTCAAAAAGAGTCAAACAACCGAACCAAATCGACTCCTTTTTGCTCTGGCGATAACACTTCCGGATATCCTACTTGCGACTTGTATGAACTTGTCTAACTCTAATATACACTATACCATGGTCGGCTTTGCTGCGGATTACTGCTTTCCTCAGTTAAGCGTACACACTCGCCTGTACTAAAATGGCCAAAATTTTATCCACACAAGGTATATAGTAGTGAGATAGCTTTAACAATGGTCACTTAAGATAGTGATAGCGGTGCACAGATCCTCGCAAGCTTTGCGTCCCCTAACTAGTGGGGTTGACTAGGAGTTACTGTCCAATGATAAGCCATTTCTCTGTGATCAACATGCATTAGAGCCCCAAAACCTCCCACCTTAGCCCAGGAGTTTCAACCTCTGGATATAATTATCAAACTTCACTTCCACTCCGTTTGCGAGTGTATAATCCCACCCAAATCAGCCAAGTGATCACACTTCTCGACCATGTCTTCGGATCTCACTGGAGATGACTATCTCAGGGAGTACCCACATGTGAGCAAAGATGTGATGGATTTGCAACTTGTTCAGTTGGCTTTGGCTGTGGCAGCGGTTGGATTTGTCCTAGTAAGTCTTCATCTTCTTCGCAAAGATATGAGTACGGATAAGAGAATGCATAGAATAGCGCATTGACCATTCGAAGGCTGCATATGTGGATAGGAATGTTACTGCGACATTCATCGCATCCTCGACGCCAAGAGAAGAACGGTGGAAATTCTCCAAACATAATTTCCGAGGCTTACCAATCATCGTTGTTCATCGATTATTGAAAATTTCTCTTCTTTCCTTATTCCCTGCGCGTGGCTCCAGTGTTATCAAGTGCTTTCTCCTGAGTGTGATATCGGACCTGACGCTTTCAACTCTCAAGGTAGCCAATGTGCATACCGTCCTCAATTTACACTCGCAAGTGCCTTTGCATCGACGCATTTTCAATCAGTCGATATGGTTCGATATCTTCCCGGCTACTTTATTGTATAGCACTGCGTGGAACTCGTGCTTTTATCTTACCATCTATGCCATTCGTACATTGGGGTTTCTGGATCATGAGTTCACTATGGTCTCAAGAGAAATTGCACTCTATATTGCTTTTATCACGTTTGGAACCACATACTTTGGAGCCATGGTCCCCGCACATGCTATTTTTATCCGTGTCGCTGTTTCCGTGAATCCATTACAAGACAATCGCAGACAGAGGACCAGGAATCTGGATATCAAGGGCAACTGGGAAAGTTTGCCATGGTCTGTTCTTGTGATGCTCCTAGGGCCGTTTTATATCGTCTTCATCTTCGAATTCGTAGCTGTGTCCTGCATAATGTTGTGTTCCCTCATATACTTCCCTGAAATTAGGTACAATGAGGTGGGTCGGCTCTTTGTCAAATACGCTGGGTAGTCTGATCTTATTCATGTGGGATGTTCTGATCAACAGAAGACCTGAAAAAGCAAGAATTAATGACAGCGAATTGGCGGTATTCAATTTGAGGGTTCCATTGCAAGCCAAAGCCGATCTGGCCATCTACGGATGCAGATGAAGCATTCTGCTCAACGCTCAAGCTGGAGGAGCCAGCTCAGCACTGTCTAGTCGGGTTCTGCGCCAACATTACTGAGATGAAGGAATATGAATCTGTGAACCTCCAAATGACACCTGCATTAATTTAAATCTGTAAACCCAACATCTACCCATTCAATACTTGATTCCTCACTACATATACAGCCTGGGTAGTAATTCAATACCCAAAAAAACCAGCAAAAAATGTATTAATTATACAGTTGCGATGGATTGGCATGTTTTTATTGTTTGATAAATAGTGGGGGCCTAGTATAGGCCTCAATGGGCACTATAGGCTCAAGGTAGAAGCCTATAACCCATCGACGGGCCCGAAGGATGGGCCTAAAGCCTAACCCATTAGTGGGCTGGGTTGGGCTGGGCTTTGGGCTTTGTGGGCTTTGGGCTTTGTGGGCTTTGCAGAGGCCCAACTGTTAGTGTGTTTTCTTCATTCGTTCATTTTCTATTTTTGGTTGCTCCTGTCGCATTGCTAGTGTTTAGGTTGGGTGCGCTTGACCGATAAACTAGCCAAATTCAATAGTTCATCTTGCAGTTAGTCGAGTTGATGGGTGCAGTGCTGTATGTCAAGACCAATGTGCCGCAATCTATAAGGGTAAGTTCTCCTTTTTTCGTCTTCCATATGCGCTCTGGACGACAACAAACTCACTAAACCAGTCGATTAGATGTCAGACTCATAACCGTATTCAGCCAATCCATCAACGCCTTCAACCACGTCCTAATGTCAGACGGTAGCTTCGGCAGCGCAGGCGCCCCTGGGGCTCTGGAAACAGCGTTTTAGGAATTTGTACTGACATCAATGGCTCAACCCGAGTACCCTCAAATCTATAGTTTCTATACTCTATATGACCAACGACGGGGAGAGTATCACGGAATTGCTCCCTGAATGCCATTGATTCTCCTCCTTCGTATATTGAAAGCATAGTCAGTACTGATATATCTCGATGGTTTGTAGCAGAACTACCTTGTCCCACCCGTTGTCGGACCAATGGCTATAATATTTATAACATCCTCTTTTCCCTCCCCCGTTACCCAAACCCAAATCAATATCAAAGTCCGTCTATGAGTCTCACACCACTAACCCAGTTTGAAGCAGCAAAACTCGCCTTCCTGAAGCAATGAGACACCTTCCTCATGATCGAGAGAGCCATTATATTAGGAATGACTAGGATGCTTTTAATCATTTGTAGTGTGAGTGTTTGTTTGCTTGGGTTGTCATTATGGTGGTTGGTTTTGTTCAGTGGAGTTTCCCTTTTTATTAGATGATATTGACCTTGTGAACGGGATGCCTATCTGTGTGCAGATTGTTAGGGTCGATTTGCAAAGGAAAAGGCCGTGGCTCCTGAGAAGGTCGCTGATGAGTTGATGAATCCGACTCCCTTTCATCCATACCACCGGAGAGACCACCTACGTACTTGGGCAAATTCAAGATAGGAATAAATGCATTCATGAAACATATACATGAGGAAGTGCTTTTTCCTCTATGGCCTGTAGATACCATCTAAGCAGCCATCAAACGATAAAAAGTAGATACAATGCAGCCAGGCCTCGCCAGCCAGAACCCAGAAACCCGAAAGATATATCCGATACCTTTCCATGTACGCAACCAATAGATCAATCAACAATAACCTAGAATTCGAACTCCTTGCGGAAAATGTTCACGTCCATGCCGGCGACAACCTGGTCAGCCAAGTCCCGACGACCCATCTGGCTGAACACACGACGCAGCGTGTCGTACAGATTCGTGCTCTGATTCTGGCTGATATGTAGCATGCGCTCGAGACGCTCGTCGTCGAGGCCATCTGGATGCACTCCGTCGCTGATGATCTCACGTGCACGCTCGCGGCCCTCCTGTTCCACGACGCGGTGCATGGATAGCGCGCCTAGCAGGTGCTGTGCGGCTTCTGGATAGCAGCCGATGTTGATGCAGGATACACCTAGGTTATAGCGGGCACGCACGAAATTGGGGTTGATGTTGAGGGCTTGCTCATAGGCTTCGATGGCTTCTTCGGAGCGGCCGGAGTTAGCGAGGGTCGCGCCGAGTCGGTTCCAGAGGAGGTGGAGCTGCTCTTGTTGGTTGGTGCTGCCGGTTTCGGTGGAGGTGAGGGCGGCGGAGAAACAGTCCACGGCCTTCTCGTATTCTTCGGCGCAGTAGAAAAGAACGCCCAGTCCGACTTGTACGTCGGGGTCCATCTGAGCGCCTGAGGGGGAGAGCTGGGCTGCTTGGATGAATAGTTCTGTTACGCGGTCGTGTAGGAGTTGTCGGTCTGTGAAGCCGAGGTCTGAGTCGCCGGATACTTCCTTCGGGTCGATGATTGTTGGGTACTTGTGAGACAGCCAACGCTCGAGTGTGCGGTAGGCGGTTGAGTCGTAACCTTCGTTTGTGTACGAGACAGCCAAGCCCATCAATGCATCTAAATTCCCGGGATCGACCTTCAGGGCTTGTTCCAATGCACGAATAGCGGGCAACTCCTTCTCGTTCTGCGCCTGCGCAGAGCCTAGCATCGTCCAAGCATGCACATGTTGCGGGTCTTTTTGAACCGCAGCCTCAAAAGCTAGCGCTGCCAGCGACAAATTACCACCCTCGCGCATGATCTTCATTCCCTCCTCGAAGGGATTACCGACAGCCTGGTAGACATTATCCTCCTCAAACATATAGTCGCCAAGCTGGGGATCCCGGAAGCGAGAGTTAAGACTATCAAATCCATCCCAGTCACCGAGATCACCAACATGCAAATTATCGGTGACTTTAAAGTCATCTTCCTCGGCAAGTTTCCTGCTCGTTGCGGTCTCAGCCTGGACCCGTTGCCATACAGACTCAAACGCGTCAATGGAGGGCACTGACCTGTCCAAATCATTCAGTTCCGCCTCAATTGCCGCATTGGCCTCTTCATCCGTCCGGGCCTCGTTGCCAACCGTCGCAGTCTCCATCTCAGCAAACTGCGCCTCCCAATTCTCATCGTCGAGCTCCACCATCCGTCCCTTGCCCTTATCCTGTGTCTGTCCCTCCATAGGCCCCTGCTGCATCCCCATACCACCCATCATAGGCTGATGCATCATCCCCATACTGCCCATACCGCCCATGAAACCACCCATTGCCATCGACCGCTGATACCCCGACATCATAGGCGACGCGTTCTGGACAACGGGGCTCGACGTCTGCGGCATACCCATACGGCTCTGCTGTTGGAAGCGGGCAAATTCGGCAGGATTGAACCCGGATCCGTTATTCATTTGGCCCGGAAATGCGGCTTCCATGCGCGCTTGCTCGCCCGAGTCGAACTCTCCTGCCCACCCAGGCGACCCAGTGCGGGCTGGCTGCGTCTGGAAATTATCCAACTCACGACGCATGTGCTCCATTGCGAACGGTTGCGGCGAGGGTCCGTTTAGTTGTTGTCCTGGTTGTTGCATGAATTCGTCCATCATCTAATAAGGAGTTTCCCAGCGCTGAGGTTAGTTGTTGTTTTCTTTTGCGGGCTTGTTGCGGGCTGTATGGCTCACCTGGTCCTGTCCTCCCATCATGTTGTGTGAGCGCATGCCTTCTTGCATGCCTGGTCCCCGGCCGACCAGCCGGTCGCGCTGTAGTGATTTATCATCCTGGACATGCTTTGTGAATTGTGTGAGGGGGTTCCCTGCCGTAGAGCATTCTGCGCCACCGAGGAACGACATAGTAGAAATTTGGGTTAAAGGTGAGGTAATGAGGTAAGTGTTAATGTAAAAATGAATTCGGAGGGAATTAGAGGCAAGTTAAAGGCGAAGGTGCATCCCCGGATATATCTTGACGTGGGGTTCAAGAGCTTTCCGCCTCCTTCAGCCGAGGTTCCCCGACGGAGTTTGTGTGGACCACGGAGTCACGAGATTCATGAGATATCAGGTACAATCATATGTAAAACATTTACTCTTTGAGATAATTGAATGCTTCATTTTCTGGCTAACTTTTTGAATTCATTTATTTGTTACTATATTTGTTACTATTCATATACAGTGGCGTTCGCTTTCGTGAAACGCCACGTCGAATCGGGGTTTCTTAGTATATTCAAAGCCAAGTCCCCAGGTTTACTAAAAGAGTATCAGCATGCTGATCGCAAATTTTGTGAGAAAGATACTGACCATGAACCGCTTTTACTTGAGTATAGGCCGAAAGGGCATATTCACCCAATTCCCTCCCAATACCACTCTGCTTGTATCCACCGAACGGAATAGCAAAGTGGGAGTCTTGCGAGCTGTTAATCTGTTGAGTGTCAGTATATGCCATGAATAATTATATCTGTGAGTACATACCCAAACCATGCCAGCCTGGATAGCAGCAGCGACATTATGAGCACGGGTAATGTTCTCCGTGAATACAGCAGCACCAAGTCCATACTCAGTATCATTAGCCTTGTCAATCGCATCCTTCTGGTCCTTGAAGGACTGGATAACGACAAAGGGACCAAAGACCTCCTCTCGTACGACAGTCATATCGCGATTCGTATCCTTGAAGATAATGGGCTTGACGAAATAACCCTTGGCATCCGGGGAAGGCTGCTCATCTCCAAGAACAAGCTGTGCGCCTTCGCGCTTGGCAGTCTCGAGATATCCCAGAATGCGACTTTTCTGCGCAGCAGATACTTGAGGTCCGTGGTTAACTTGGGGGTCGAATTGGCTTCCGACAATAGAGTTTTCAATAGTGTACTGCTTGAATTTCTCGACGAAAGTCTCGTAGATACTCTCCTGCACATAGATGCGTGAAGTGGATGTGCAGATCTGGCCCATATTGGTCATGATGCCGACGTGCGACCACTTCACTGCTTGGTCGAGGTTGGCGTCATCGAAGACGAGCAAGGGGCTCTTGCCTCCTGTCTCGAGGGTAATCGCCTTCAGATTCGAAGCTGCCGCTATCATAATGGCTTTTCCGGTGTTGGTGCTACCGGTAAAAGCGATCTTATCAATGTCCTGGTGCGACGCCATAGCGGCGCCGGCAGTGGTGCCGGGGCCATTGACAACGTTTACCACTCCAGCGGGGAAGCCTGCTTCCTTGATCAGGGAAGCGAGGTAAAGGATTGAGAGCGGGGTTTGTTCAGCAGCTTTGATGACAACGGTATTGCCGCAGGCGAGAGCAGGTCCAAGTTTCCACGCCGCCATCTACTTCGTATTAGTATTGCCTCAACAGCCTGAGAGAAGGGTGCGCTTCCGCAACATACCATACTAGGATAGTTCCAAGGAATGATCTGCCCACACACTCCAATAGGCTCATGTCTCGTGTAAGCCAACTTGGCATCACTGGTCGGGATGGTCCGCCCCTGGATCTTGTCTGCCCAGCCGCCGTAGTAACGGAAGACAGAAATGACCTCGGCAACATCCTCGCCCAATGCCTGTTCGTATGGCTTGCCGTTATCCCATGCATCGATTGTGGCGAGAATGTGCTTATCGCGATCGCAGAGATCTGCGAGGCGAGTCAATAGGACGCCTCGGTCATATCCGGTCAGGGATTGCCATTCTTCTGACTTGAAGGCATTTCGAGCAGAGGCTACGGCGAGGTCGATGTCCTCTGGGCCAGCGGATGAGACACTGGCGATCAGGGATTCATCGAAGGGGTTAACAGTTGATAGAGTATCGCCATAGACAGAGGGGACGAATTCATTATTGATGAATAGTCCTGTTTAAATAATCAGTCACTGAACCCAAGCTGAGGAATTGCACTTCTCACCAGTAGGTTGTAAATAGGTGGTCTGGTTAGGAGCCGTTAATTGGATAGATTGAGCCATTGTGAAAATGTAGATTGGAGTTTCTGGGGGTTTGCAGAATCATAGACTTGGCTTTTATATCTTACAACATATAGTGGACAACCAGCAAATGTACCCGAATAACATTTTTTCGAGCCAAGCAAAACTTGTGGCCTATCTTTTTGCCTATTTGGGAAATGTGGATCCCTATGGGAGGACCCGCGATACTATGGAGTCCGGGGAGTTTCTTTGACATCGAAGACATCGAATACGAAGATCGCCTGGCCCAAATACTTTCCCATTTAGGTTATTATCGTGTATCGATAAAAATGCCTTATCAGGCAAGCCACAAGCCCATATACTGCCTGTGATAGGTTCAAAGGTCCTTTCAATCGGAAACATTGAGGAGATAGAAGAGAATGGGACTGCTAAAATGAGATGCATGGCTTAGCGTAAAATAAAAGCCATCCTGTGGGGGAATCGACCTCGGGCCAGTTGGATGTCCCAATTAGGAAATGATCCTATATATGTCACTTCAAAGACAAGCTGTCACTTCTGGATCTGCCCCGGTTAGCTCAGTGGATGGGGGCTCGGAAGTCTGCCTCGTGGGATGCTGAGCGTGTATATCTTCAATTGGTTCTGGGCTTCATGACCCCAGGGCACAGTTAAGGTCGCTGCACCTCTTAAGGCTGAACAGGGTAGATGGATGAGGCCCCCACACCCTCAGGGTAATTATGACCGGGTCCGAGTTTGAAGGGGGTAGCGGTCCCAACAAATGAGGTTCGTGGGTCTGGAAGTACCTCTTCTTTTTTTTTTTTTTTTTGCTTGGCTATTCTATCAAACCTCCACAATTAATTAAAACGTTGTATAGATACCTTTTTTGGGTAGCTTGAAGGCCATGGTCAGAATACTTGCCGTATCTGAAATGCCCCATTTTTCTGTACATTCTCCAAGAAGAATGCTTTAAATGGCTATTTAAATAGTTTGGCTACTTCCATTTCCTCTGACTACCACCTAGACTCCTAACCTCCTCTCTATCTTCCTCGCTGCCACTTGTCGCATCCATCCTTCAAATCCACCAATACAACAACCATGCAATTCTTCAACTACGCCGGCACCGAGGCAAACTCGGAATCCTTCCACTACTCACAAGCCGTCCGCATCGGAAACACTATCAAAACCTCTGGCCAAGGTGGTTGGGACGAGAGTGGCAATGTCCACCCCGACGTCGAGAAACAAGTGGCTATCGCTTTCGAGAACGTCGAAAAGGCACTGAAGAGCGTTGACTCGCGTATGTCGTGGGAAAATGTCTATGCAGTGCGCAGCTATCATCTCAACATGGATCAGACTTTTGAGATAGTCACCGGCAATTTCAAGAAGGTATTTCCTGGTCATCGACCCATTTGGACTTGTGTCGAAATTGGAAAGCTTGGAATTGAGGGAATGGTGATCGAGATTGAGGTCGAGGCTCATTGCCCTTACTAGTTGGGTTTTCCTTTCGGGTTTTATCATGTGATGAATTCGTGTATATTACTTGCAAATGGAAACATATATTGTAACCTCGAAAAAGATCAAGTGCGATAATAATTGCAACTATTTATCTGTGAGATAAAGAATGACTGCGAAATGGGAGCCAAGAGGTCCACATATGGCACTTGCGACCTTTCTATTTTAGTGCTCACCTCTTGCCGCTTTTGATCTCAAAGTATAATTGAGCACACCTCTACGGAGTACCCCTAAGCTGGATACCAAACAAATATCACGCTCAGCAGTTTCGTTTCCCTGCTTTTCCCACGAAGATTAATCCGTCAATACTGGCAATGTCGAGCGGCACACAATTGGACACCAACCCCGGTGAGACCATGCGTCTGGCCGTAGAACGATTTCGCACCAAAATGGAGTCCTCAAATCGGCAGTTCATTCAAGACCGCATCAATGAGATCGAAGCTATGCATCTCTCGACCGAAAAAGAAAAATTGAGAATTATGTCTCGCTACTGGGATAACTTGGGAGATAAGGGTCAGAGTAACTGGAGTGATGATGCACCCAGAGACATGGTTCGGCAAGCTCGCGAGATGGCAAATGTCTCGCGATTACAAGACCTGAAGACCACATTTCATGAGCATATGGATGGGGTCAATCCGACGACGCTGGTGACAGATGAATGGCGCCAAATGTTTCTTGAGACCCTCGAAAGTGTGTGTAACAAAGCCGCTGAGAAATATGGGGATCATAACTTCCATATACCAATATGTGATGATCTGGGTCACTTCATCAAATACGCCAATGGTGTCCAAGATCCGGACTTCCGTCACTCGGGGATATGTCCGTGGAAGCCCGTGCCTTATATTGGAATCCGTCATTATGCATTTCCGGATCGCCCGAGTATCCGAGCACTGCCTCTTCCGGATATAGCGAAATCTCGAGACCAACTAAAGCGCTATCTTGAATACAGCCTGCTAGGTGAGGATTTTATTTACAGCACTTTCGACAAAGACTTAGAGGTGAAGGTCGGGCTTCACACTGGCTGCGGCTTGCGTCGAGGATACGATGAATGGTATAGCGCCTATGTCTATTGTCGTCGATACGAGGATGACCCTGATCCAAGTCACAAGGATTGGGCATGGCGGGTTGTCATTTTTCACGCTGGTGGCGCCAACCCAACCTTGTAAATAAGTATTTTCAGTTAAAAGGTATATAAATACACCCACTTACTATTTCTTATATAAATTTTAATGGTAAATTTAATAATTATTTATTAAGGCCACTCCCCTCTACGGCCGGAATCCAATATTTGATTCCATCGTCGAATTTTTGGATTGGTACAGTAGCTGGTTCGATCATTTGGATATGAGTCTGGTTCGCAAGCAGCTCTTATATGTGTACTGTGGTGGTCGAGACTTATCCAGTGATGACGACCAAGATTAGTTTTCGGGATTATTATACCGCGAGCGATAGTTCCCATTTAAAAAAGCATAGCCTACTAGTGTACTCCATATAAAAGTACCATGCAGCTTCAATTCCCTCGGAAGTGCCAAATTTCCACCAATGGGAATTTGGGTCGGCAATGTACATCTGCCGCCTCTACCGTAAACAATATTTCTCCATGACATGAATTTTACCCCGCAAAATTACTATGTATTTAGAGCATTGATAGTGCGGGGACTGTGAATCTGCGGAGGAGACTAATGCATCCAAGCAGCGCCACATTATGAGTTCAATCGTGCTTCCCGGCTGAACCGATTCTCGCTGAATTAGAATATCAGTTCACTGTATCAAACTTTATCATATATGGTTCTTAGAACTATTGAGTCAGGTCTTGTAGTATACTTTCTCTTCTGTAGCGAATTCTCAGAAGGATAAACGGCTAAAAACATGACATTGAACGAAAAGTCGTCCTTTGGTTATTGGTGCAATTTATATCATTCTATAAGCAATATATGTGTACATATACATGGCAATAGCTTTAGATACAGGACCAGGAGAACCAATCTTATAATCCCTCGCCCGATGCGTTCATCAACCTGCTTTCGACCCCCCACGCAGGCTTCCTTTATCCGTACCCCATCTCACAGCATAAAGAGATAGCAAGGACTCTTGGCATGCATAGAAACAGCAATAGCTTGGTCTAGGCAATGAATTGAGCTGACGACAGCCATATATGAAATGCGGGGAACTTTTCAAAGAGCGCCGTTAGAGAGGTCTTGGCTTTGGGCTGTTTATGATATGACAGGAAATAGTCAACTTGGAAGACAGGGCAATAGAATCATCAGTTCCTCTTTTAATGTGTCGTAAGGGTCATGTTCTTATTGCTTTCTACTATGCTGATATGATGTGCTCGATTGGGGGTCTCTGGAGGGTTGGGAACGAATTCCTTGGAGTGCATCAAAAACCACCCTTTTCGACAAGGATAAGTACGATTTTAGCCATATTCGAGCGCTTGAACTCTGTCTCCGCGCGCGGGGTTGATTTACAGGGCCATCGGCTGTATACGTGACTCGATTTGGAGAAAGTGCGTGTATAGATACTTCCATGGGCAAAAAGCACAGCTATATAAGGCGCGGCTGGAAGGTCTCGTCAAAATTTTGATTCTTCCCTCGACCACTTTCTTGACAACTATTCTCAATTCACTATTTTGTCAATATATTCAGAGTCATGACCATCCCAGACGAGGTTGATATCATCATCTGCGGTGGCGGTAGCTCGGGATGTGTCCCTGCGGGACGCCTCGCTAATCTCGATCCTAAGCTGTCTGTCTTGTTGATTGAGGCAGGCGAGGATAACTTGAACAACCAATGGTGAGGACCTTGAGGCTACCACTTTGAGAGAATGTATTCTCATCTCAAGCTAGGGTTTACCGGCCTGGTATATACCCGAACAACATGAAGCTTGATTCGAAGACGGCATCGTTTTATAAATCCAGGCCATCTGAGCATTTGGATGGTCGCCAGGCTATTGTTCCATGCGCCAACATTCTTGGAGGTGGCAGCTCTATCAACTTCATGGTAATTGACCGCTTATTTGACATTTTGATCCAGTGGCACTGAGCTAAATACATCGAAGATGTACACCAGAGCATCTGCATCCGATTACGACGACTTCCAAGCAAAGGGCTGGACAACTAAGGAACTTCTTCCATTGATGAGGAAGCACGAAACATACCAACGTGCGAGCAATAACCCGGAACTGCATGGCCACGAGGGACCTATCAAGGTCTCATTCGGAAACTATACGTACCCGATCAAGAATGACTTCCTTCGTGCTGTTGAAACGCAAGGAATTCCCTTCACTGATGACTTGCAAGATTTGAAGACTGCGTATGGGGTCCACAATATATATATTATCATTTTATGTTGCTAACAACGAGCCATAATGTTACAGCCACGGCGCAGAACACTGGTTGAAATGGATCAACCGCGACACAGGTAAGAAAAACACGCTAATTTTGCATCGGTATCATTACCTTTTTAATACTCGGTATTAGGACGACGAAGCGATGCAGCCCACGCCTATGTCCACAGCACCCGAGCCAGACATTCCAACCTCCACCTCCAATGCAATACCAAAGTCGAGAAGATAATTGTTGAAAACGGCCGTGCTGTTGGAGTCCTGACAGTTCCAACCAAGCCTCTCAGCGGCGGAGAACCAGTTCGCAGGATCTTCAAGGCCCGAAAGCAAATCATTCTCAGTTGCGGCACAATGAGTTCTCCACTTGTTCTCCAGCGGTCTGGCTTCGGTGACCCAGAGAAGCTGCGCCGGGCTGGTGTCAAGCCCCTGGTCAACCTGCCAGGTGTGGGCCGCAACTTCCAGGATCACTACCTTACTTTCTCCGTCTACCGCGCCAAGCCCGACGTTGAGTCTTTCGATGACTTCATTCGTGGAGATCCCAAAGTTCAGAAGAAGGTCTTCGATGAGTGGGATAAGAAGGGCACCGGTCCATTGGCCACTAACGGTATCGATGCCGGTGTCAAGATTCGTCCTACCGAGGAAGAGCTAGGAGATATGAAGAAGTGGCCGACCCCAGACTTTACAGAGGGGTATGAGTCGTACTTCCGGAACAAGCCTGATAAGCCTGTCATGCATTACTCTATCATTTCTGGGTAAGGATTTCATCTGCTTTGTTTTAGATGTCACGACGCTAACCCACGAATAGCTGGTTCGGAGACCATATGCACATGCCCCCTGGCAAATTCTTTACAATGTTCCACTTCCTGGTATGATACAAAATTACTAATTCTAATTCTCTAGTGCTAACAAGATATTAGGAATACCCCTTCTCACGTGGACACACCCACATCCAGTCGGCCGACCCTTACGAAGTCCCAGACTTTGACGCGGGCTTCATGAATGACAAACGCGATATGGCCCCTCTGGTCTGGGGATATATCAAGTCACGCGAGACTGCCCGACGCATGAGCTCGTACGCTGGAGAGGTCACTGCCATGCATCCTCAGTTCGCCTTCAACTCACCAGCACGGGCGCAAGATATGGATTTGGCCACCACCAAGGCATATGCCGGCACGAACCATATCTCTGCCGGTATCCAACACGGTATGTTCTAATTCTTTCCTGTCGAGTTATCCTGTCCTAATAAAATTATTATAGGCTCTTGGACCACTCCATTGGAACCTGGAAAGCAGTCTTCGGCTTCAACCCTCAACTCCAATGCACATGAAGCTCGTGATACTATGGAGTACAGTGCTGAAGATGTCAAGCACATTGAGAAGTGGGGTAAGTACAGAACATGGAATTGGAAATCCCTCGGATCATAGAAGCTAACACTCTTACTTCAGTTTCCCGTCACGTCGAGACAACCTGGCACTGCCTTGGCACATGTAGCATGGCTCCACGAGAGGGCAACTCCATCGCACCCCATGGAGGTGTTGTTGATGAGCGCCTCAATGTCCACGGTGTCAAGGGCCTTAAGGTTTGCGACTTGTCCATCTGCCCTGACAATGTTGGCTGCAACACTTTCAGCGTGAGTTTTCCCTTGCTTGGTTTTCTGGGGTTTTGTCAAATACTGATTATTATAACCGATAGACTGCCCTCCTTATCGGCGAAAAGTGCGCAATGTTGGTTGCAGAGGACCTTGGCTACTCTGGAGCCGATTTGGATATGAAGGTCCCTAATTACCATGCTCCATCCGAATTCGCCAATCTTTCTCGCCTCTGAGTCTCTTTTTGATGTGAAATGAACAAATTGTTCTGTGATATTCAGTTCCTGTTAGCATAGCCACGCAAATGAACAGTCAATTTCAAACAGAAGGCGAACGAAGAACATTTCGTAGTCATAGAGGTTAGCATAGGTAAAATGGAAATCCCAAATTTGAAGGGATTTAGAGCTGCAAATGGATAAATATCACTATAATCACCTGCTTGATAGTTGAATATAAATATATGATACTATGAAACAAATGGAGAGGGAATAAGTGTAACAATAGTACTACTTTATACTCTAGCATTCTACGTAATCAGATATATATAAGCGGCCGCTTTAGTTGCGTTCCCATGTTATTTCATCCGAAGTACTGGAAAGATTATTCTTCCTACTCCCCAGCCCTATTGTGATTTCTGTTTTTCGTGATCGATGTTGGGATCGGGGATCTACATTCACCAAACCTTTGGATGATCTGAGCAAGGTTCCTATAAGCCCATGCTGATATTTACTTAGTGAGCCTAAATCCTCATAAAAGCGGCAGCTCAGATAAGAAAGCCCAAGGTAAGACCAGCACGTTATTTGCCTTCGGACGAACCTCCGGATGCAATATAAATCGACTTGACACACGTACACGTTAAACCCAATTGGGAAAGTTTTTGGGCACGGCAATATTGACCCGCTCAACAACACCGAGACATCCGTGGATGGTACCCGATAAGACTAGCCGAATCAGTCCCATGGGCCAGCCTCTACCCCGCGATCGTCTAACCATAAACATAGTTAGTTCCAAGCTTACATAGTACATGCGCCTTCCTAGTGGGTATATATGGATGTGGCCATTAGGACCATGATAACAGTCCTGGACCTCGGGAGAAAATCGTAGATAAGTGACCATATCTAACGGTTTCCTGATTAAACCGGGCTAAAAAGATAAATGGCCCAAATAATTTCCCTTACCGGACTAGAACAAAGCTTCTTCTCCAGGATCATGTAGTGGGGAAACGGTATAAAGACCAATGCTACATACCCACGGAATGAATCTATAACCCAGCCAGTGTCTTTTCAATTCCAAATCGGGGCAAACAATGGAGAAGAACACAGAGAAGAATATGGCGCAACAAGACCTCCGCATAGGCTCATGCGAAAATCTCGAAAAGCATGGGCTAGGCACATACCAAGATGAGCAGCTGTACCAATTGGGATACACGCCTCAGCTGCGCCGCACGCGCAAGCTGTCGAGCATGCTGTTCATGTCCCTGTCGATTGCCTCTATTCCTTATGGTGTCGGTAGCGCCCTGATCAATGCCGTATATGGCGGCGGCCAACTCTCTCTCTTCATTGGACTCCTAGTCGTGTTGGCACTGGATACCTGCGTTGCCCTATCTCTCTCAGAACTCGCCTCACGATACCCTACCTCATCCGGTATCTACCACTGGTCATTCCGCCTCCTAAAGACTAGCGGGAGCAGAAAGTTGGTCTCATTTGTCACGGGCTGGATCTGGCTCATTGGAAACTGGACCATATCGCTTTCTGTAAATTTCGGAATCGCTTCTCTCATCGTTGCAACTGTATCCATCTTCTATCCCGCCTGGACAGCCTCTTCCTGGCAACTCCTTCTCATCTTCTACGCTATCTGTCTGGTGGTTTTCATGATATGCTTTTTCGCCGACCATCTCCTTCCTCTCATCGACACTCTCTCCGCAGCGTTTTCGGTCGTCACATGCATCACACTCGCCATAACGCTCCTCGTCCTTGCAAAGACCGGTCGTCATGATGCCTACACAGGCTTCGTTGGATATGACCCCAGCTATTCCGGCTGGGAGGAGAACTTCACCTTCTTCATCGGTTTGCTACCACCAGCCTACGCATTCTCCGCACTAGGAATGGTGACATCGATGGCAGAAGAATGTACAGACCCCGAAGTCCAGATTCCCACAGCGATCAGCCTGGTACCCGTTGTCGCCGGTGCTGCAGCACTGGTATTCACCGTACCAATTTGCTTCACGCTCCCACCACTAGCGGACATCATTGACGCGCCATACGGCCAAGCCCTACCATATATCATCCACGTGGTGACAGGCTCACCTGCAGCCTCAATTGTCCTCATGATCCTCGTTTTATTCGTCGCCCTTTTCTGCTCCATCAGCATCACAACCACAGCCGGGAGATGTACGTGGGCCTTCTCGCGTGACAATGCAATCCCCTTCTCGCACCTCTGGTCCTCCACTGTCAGGGGCAGCCCGCTGGCAGCGCTATGCTTGGTTACTACTGTTGAGATGCTGCTGGGACTCACCTACCTCGGAAGCAGTAGTGCATTTACGGCTTTTGCATCTGTAGGTGTGATTGCATTGGCGGTGGCATATGCGATTCCCATCGCGATCAGTTTCTTCGTTGATCACCGCGTGGAGATTAGCCAGTCGCGCTGGAAGCTGAACCCTCTCATTGGGAAGGCAGCGAATGTTCTTGCGCTATTGTGGATTGCTTTCCAAGTTATTCTGTTCAGCATGCCTGTCACACTACCGGTCACTAGTGAAACTATGACCTATGCGTCGGTTGTATTCGTGGGCTGTGTTGCTTTAAGTATGGCTTGGTATATGTTCCATGGGCGGAGATGTAAGAATTCACCCCCCTCAACGCGAAGATAAGAAAACTAACTTGAATACAGATTTCAAAGGGCCTCTAGAAGAAGCTGAGCATTCTTAATTTAGGATTGGATTTTTATATAGCGTGTTATTTACTTTGCTTTCACATAGCCACAGGAATTATCGATTATATTTCTATCACTACATAATACTACTTCATAAACGTAATCAAAGATAGTCATGCCGAAGCTATGGCTGTTATATACAACCTATAGGCCGGACCCGTAAATGTTTTTTTTTTTTCAACCCCACAACGGTGGGCCAAGAATATGACAGCATCTCCCACGGTTGCCCGTATTGGGAAAGTCAGGGAGACCTCGGGAAGGAGCGAGATACGAGAGATCCCGATGGCCGAATTGCGGGGAAGACTGTTGAATGTAGCCCTATCCATGGTACTCAAGCATGGATCCCCATAATGTATGAGACCCCACGTCTCTTATCTGTATACCTAAACGGGCTTATCTGGATACCTAAGAGGGTGGGCATCAACCTACTTGGTCGGAGTGGTCAGAAAATTTACCAGAATAGGTTTAGTGGGTTTAGCATCCTCTAGAGTGCCGATCTAGCTAGGACATAGAGCAATGTATATGCATACTTTATTTAAACCTGCACCCCATCAGCTATACTAGAAGTGTAGTGTTTTACAATCAGAACTCAACATTGCATGAAACAATGATTCCCACTGACATCTCCCTTCCATCGGGTGTCTTTCCCTTCCTAGGGCTACTCGTGTCCATCCTCACATGGCTAATAGTGAAATGGCCAATTCACCGTAAATCCAGTTCTCTTCAGATACAACAACTGGAGAAGAAAGAACCATTATTCATCAAGCCACTTCCCAGTCCTCATCCCGATGATCCAACTTCCGACTCTCCCAAAATGTATCGCCCCTTCCGACATGGACCCAACTTCGTTACCATGGGAATTCGCAAACTGCACTGGGATAACTGGATCGAAATGGATTCCTATTTTCTTCGATACCATGATATGAAAGCAGCGGAATTGAAAAAGGATTTTAAAGAACACGTCAAATATGTTGATAATCCTGTCACGAAAGATGCTTGTTTTGAGCTCTATGAGGAATTGGTCCGTCATCTGACACATCGTTATCCCAAGACCTTTCGTTTGGAAGGAGGGAAAGTCCATAACAGTCTTACTGGAGAAGCCTTTGCATTCCCAGCGGGTATGTTCAAATTTTTTCGCTCCTGTCAAGAGAGTTTTCGCTGACACAGGTTATAGCAACACCCGATGAGGCTCTCGCAACATCAGCTCTGCTAGTTCAGGATGATCTAGTGCTGATGATGAAGAATGATGGTATGTCCTTCTTTGCTTGAAAATTCACAATGCATAATCCTTAACGCAAACACAACATAGACGGAGAATATCATCTCGACGCAGCTGCCGTCTGCCTCCCAGGCTTCTGGCGCCTTAAGGAGAAATTCCGCATGTCCCTAGATACACTTCACTTCGAAGCCGGCGTTCCTCATTATGCGGCAAAACTACAAAGATCCATGAATAAGTTTATGTTGAGACTTACTCCGGACAAGCCAGTTGAGAGAAATAATGTATGTTCGATTCGGTTCCTCCATCATTAACCAAAGAAGATATAGTTCTAACAGAAACTACAGTTCTTCATCCAACTCGACGACGGACTCCACTGGTCCCACCGCATGGGTGACCAACAAGGAACAGAAGTTGCCTGTTCGTTCCCCTCCCCGTTCCCTTTCTCTATGGATAAAGCAAATTCTAACGATTCTACTTACCAGCATGGGCCACTGCCAACGCCAAAGGTCTGACCATTGAAGAGATCCACTTCCGCTCAGAGCGACAGACACTACGTCGGCTGCCTCGTTCAGGGGCAATTTTATTTACGATTCGCACATATTTCGAACCGGTGACGAAAGTAGCTCAGGAGCCTTATATTCCCGGTCGTTTGGCGGAGGCTATTCGGAATTGGGATGAGACTGTTTCTTACTATAAAGGCAAGTCCAGTTGGGATAAGACCCTGATGCCGTATCTAGATGAGCAGGATCAGTTACAGAAGGAGCGCGGACTTATGGAAGGCACTGAGGGGGAATTCCCTTACTAAATCTCGGTTATTGGGCTTTGACTTTTGGAATCGAGGGAGTGAGGCGAACTTTTGTACATAGCTAGAAACTAGTTGCCCAGTTGAAAACCCTAAAATACAAACTGAGTGGGTAGTGACATATTAGGTATATCTACTGAAATTGGCCATATGTTGGAGTGCAAAATATGCTCTCGTGGACTCGAACTTATAGACTCATCTGTCTACCCAGGTGACTTTGTACATAAATTTCTTCGAGGCCTAGATACCATATACTGCCTTTCAAGAAATATGGTAACATGATAGGTTACATACTCAGATCTAAAGATATATGAAGCTCCCTCCAAAGAATAGAACCTTCTTCCTTCTAACTAACCCAACCCAGCCAACCAACCAACTAGCCTGTCACTTCGACTCCAGAGCTACACGCTCTCCACTCTAAACACAGATTCGGAGGTCGAGGGAAGAGATCCATTCATTCGGTGTTTCGCATGGCGATTTCCACCTGCCTAATTTGTTATGGAATGTTGAGTTGCAGCGAGTTTTGATTATTGAATTTCATAGGTCGAGGTTGAGTCGTCGGTTGATGACCAGGCATAGGAATCCACACGTACAAGACATCCCGTGTGCAGTTATCCCTACTTAGGTAGAAAAACAGAAAGCATGTATGACAAATAGAAGTACATGTAGATAGTTATCCATAGATGATCATTGCTGCTTAATATACATCGAGATTTGAAAAATGCTTCCGGTAGTCATTTTGGGACACTATTGTACACTTTATTACTCACATATAATACTCTCTACTACTTCTGCTCAGTCTCGGTCTTCTCAGCCACCTGCTCAGGTTCCTTCACCTCAGGAATAGGCTCGGCCTCTTTCGGCTCAGAGACCTTTCCAAGCTCATTCACCTCCAGCACATCTCTCACTTCTCTCACACCGGTATTCTGAGCACCCGTACGTTTATTGTTGGGAGATCTCTTCTCCATCTTCTTCTGCTGTTGACGCAGGTGCTCCTCGGGGCTCAAGACCTTGCGCTTAGCAAAGCTGACAGTAAGCTTGCGGCCGTAAGGCGCCTTGCGGGAGAGAACCTCCTTGGCGTTGGAGGCGCTGGCCAGGTCCTTGAAGTCGATGTGTCCAAATCCACGGGGCAATCCTGTGCGACGGTCGACGGGGATACGGACATCGGTGACACCTGGGACATCATCGAACAAATCCTGCAGATCCTGGTCGGTCAATTCGTAGGGGACGTTGCCAAGGTAGAGGGTCTTGCTGGGCTTGTTGTCGGCCATGGATCTGTATGTGGTGTTGGAGAACTGCACCACCACCTCGCGGCCTTCCATAATGCCTCCGTGCTGTTGCGTGATTGCTTGCGTAGCTTCCTCGACAGTGCTGAAGGTAACGTAGCCGAAACTACGAGGGAGACTGAGTCAGTATCTGTGTGGGACTTGGGCTGCATTGCCGAATGTCGGCTTTGAGGACTCACCCTTTGCTCAACCCGCGGGCATCGTGCACGATCAGTGCGTTCTCTACGACACCGTACTTCTCAAACTGTTTGCGTAGATCCTCGGCAGTCACGTCGAAGAAGAGGTTGCCGACGTACAGGGTGGTCTTCGGTACAGGGCCTTCGCTCATGTACTGACGACGGCGCTCGGTTCTCTCCAGGCGGACTTGGTCCGGGGATGTTTTCGGTGCGACAGACTCAACATATTTAACGGGAATTCGTGGCCCACTTTCATTGGTAGAGTTCAACCGTGTCTGTGTGATGGCTGGGTAGGCGAACCACGAAGCGGCGAGCATCGGAGTGGGACATGTTGAGCGTAGCACTGCGCTAGAGGTGATGATCGATGAACGCGAGGCGGCTGGGGACAATTGAAGCCGAGAAACGGCTCGGCGGAAGCAATGCCTATGAGAGAATTGTTTAGCAAATTGACAATCTTCAAATGCGGCATGCATCAGCAAGGGCAGAGATCGAGAGAGTATAGGAACTCGAACTCGGACTCGGACTCGAACAATTCATTCGGTATCACTCACATCTTAAAAATTAAAACAACACAAGATGTGTTGATCTTGTATTTTAATAATATGTTGGCTGGAGAGGAACTACGCAAAGCCAGATAACTTTTTCCCTAGTAGATAAGTCCCTGCACGTGACCTATGTTACGCCAATGATAACGAAGTAGATCAAAGCAATAAACAGAATTATGGGGCTGGATAGTTTAGATAGAAAGTCTTCAGGATTCAAGTAAATATGAAACACGAATAAGACGTTATCTGATAAGTTAGAGTGGAAATATGATATAGTAGCCTCCTGATATGATACATTGACCAACTCCAACACCAACATATTCTCCCCCTCAAAGACAACAGCTTTTATCAAATTCCGTGAAATTCCCCACTAGAATAGCGATCATCGCCGCCCTCACGCATATATGTCCATCCAGCAAAGAGAAGTAGAACTTCAATCATTACCTCACGTCATCCGACCAACGAACCTTACATTTCCAGGTATCAAAAACAGCCAGCGCAAAGCAGTTTCTGGCAAAAATGGGAAGAATAAATCAGGCATTATACCAATACATTTCGTTCATAGAGAGCCCTGACCTCTACCGTTATTGGGTTGAGGCATTTGTGTCGTGCCGTATCCTGGTACTGGCACACCATTATCCGGACTGTTGGTGGATCCTGAGAACATTGTCGATGGCCGCAGAACACCGCTCGTCGATGGTACCTGCCCTGAGCTTAGGGGACTAGACACGGAAGGCTGTGACATGCCTCCAGACTGTAGAGGCATTTGGCGTTGTGCATCAATCATAGGCCAGAATTGATTTGTCGCGTCGAGAGTTGGGTTTTGGATATATGTGTCCCAGGCATCCTAATATCAACATGTTAGCATTGAAACCCAGGTCCCAAAGAAAAAGAAACTAACCCAATCCAAATTAGCTTGCATGTCCGGCATCTGCGCGAACATGCTGCTAAAGGGCGAAAGCACACCCGGCATTTCGGCCGAGGCGCCCACACCACCTACTCCTGTTCCCATTTGCAAATCTCCCATTTTGAACATGGGATCAGCAAACTGCGGCAGGCCAGAGTTCATCGGGCTCATTCCACTGCTCAGAAGACCGAGGGTCATGGCAGCATTCTGCTTCTCGTCGTGTGGCTCAAATGAAGCAGCTCCAGCGCTATTTTCAAGACCTGGGACCGGCATCTGCAGTTTGCTGAGCATCACACCAAGAACGGTGGATGCTTTCCATGCTTCCATGCTCTCATCACGCAACTCATCCCAAATAGTTTTCGAGAGTTGTATCGCAGTAATCATTTCATCGCGCCGCTCTCGGCCCCATGTGTACGTGTCTCCCGATGGCCGACCGGTCCCCTGGAATGACAGGCCTTGGTATAGGTCGAGAGCAACAATGGTTGCGGCGAGTAAGAAGTCGGCTGAACTTAGGGAAGTTGTTCGGCTCTGGCGACTACGTAGACGTCCGTTGCGCGTTTCCGAGTGCATAATTTTCTGGACTTCCAATAATTCCATTGCCGAGTCGATACATGTCCTTCGAGAATAGGTGAAACGAGGATTTTCTCGAGCGCGAGGCAGGTACGGGCGGTGGAGCACACACTGAGCTTTGTTGTACACGGCCATTACCTTCAACAAACGGTTAGTATTGATACAAATTGCGGTGACTTCGAGGCAACTTACGGCAAACCGTGACATGATAATATTAATAGGATCCAACTGGCACTCCTCCATAGGCCGAATATGCAAGTGATCAGGTATCAAATCTCTTGCCTGTCGGAGTTCCGCGTCAATTTCCATCACTTTTTCGTACGGAGCCGGCGAGACAGCAGAGCTTTGTTCAACAACACGACTGAATGAGTACGACAGGCGTGCTTTAGCAATCAGATACGCGATTGGTGTTGGCTCGTTCAATTGACGAGGTGGTGGGAGTTCCTTGCAGTCTTCATCGAAATCATCATCGTACAAATTCCGTGGCAGTTCAGTGTCACTATCTGTACCCCGTATCATGGCCGGCAACCCGACCTGGTATGAGAATAGAATATCGGCTTGGCGCACAAATGTCCACACTCGCCGTCGAATCTCACCCTGGAAAGGTGTGATGTTCGGGAACATTTTGGAATCACGGTGATATCCCGATCGCATTGCTAAGCGAGCAACAACGCCGGTCATAACCCAGATTGAAATATCCGCCTCTCGGGTCTGAGAGAAATCACCATGCAAGTGAAACACAAGCGCTTCAATCAAGAAGCGGTGAGGTTTTGTGTAGTCAGCCAATGTCAAACACTGTGCTACAGAATTCCGGAATCCCCCAGCCATGTCAATGGACTTGCCCCGGAATTCAGGTGGCTCATCGCCTTCGCGGTGGTAAGACAGCATTGCCAATCTCATCATTGCAAAGAGCATGGCGATCCAGACAAGTTCGGTCGCCGCAGGATCATCCCAATGTTTATTATACTAGCAGAATCAGAGTCAGAATCTTGGACACACGGTGAACTTCTTCTATGGAAGCTTACCTGTGCTTGGAATGTGGGCCCATGGAGAACATCTGGATCAAGTCAGTATCCAAGTCACGGCTTGTGGAAATAGCAGATACTCACGGGTTGCAGGGTCATAACAATTGAAATAGCGAGCAACAAGAATGTCAGTTGTATACTTAGATGGCAGGCTAGCCATAATCTCGCTACGGCTCATCGGTTTAGTGACACCAAATAATAAAGTGGCGCCTGGTGCATCAGTAGTTGGTCGGGCCGCTTTGAGTTTCTCAACCTGCTCATCAACTTGCTTCTTGTGCGTTTGGAAGAAACTTCGCACTTCGGCGATCTATTCGGCGGGTTAGAAAGAGTCGGGTCTGGTCAAACCTCTCAAACTTACATCACTTAATACAGACGCCCAATGGGCTTCACTGATGTAATAAGACTTGTTATTTTCCATCTTCATGACACCAAACGACTTCGTCACCTGGTCCGTTTCGCTGTCTTCGGCGCCCTCCACGCCCTCCTCCTCGATATCGTAGTCATGGGAGAACTGAGCCGAGCCCGCACTACTATCACCGGAGATTGCTGCCATAGCAGCAGCCGGACCCTCAGACTGAGCGCCGTTTGTCATCAACGAAAGAACCAAGCCTTCTAACCGATCGATGCGGTTTTGCATATCATCTGGTGTGTTGGACGACTGCTGCGACGGGTTCTTCCTGCGCGAGTTGGTTTGCGCATAGTTGCATGACGCGGCGTCTCCTCGTTTGACACAATTTTCGCAGGGATTTGAACGATTGCATTTCAGCCTGGAGCTGTTAGAAACAAGAAATTTTAACCATGTCTTGAATGCTTACTTTCTGTGTCGACAAGGCCCACATGACAATGGGACCCTATTTCGTTTCCGGACGACTCTGTAATCTGGAGAATGGCCAGCACTCGAGGAGTTTGTAGAAGGAGGTGTCGGAGTCATTTTTGGGGGAGATGGTATGAGCACGTATGGTAATCGAATTGTTGCAATATCCTCAGTGAACCCGCAGCCACAGATGACGCAGTGGACGTCAAGCCAGCGATCTAACCGGGCGGGGCTCTCAAGCACGCTGTCGCCGTCTGCACAGTCCTAGGACCGAATCAAATATACCACTCAGTTGACCTGCTCATCCGAGAAAAAATCTTCGTAGTCTGATTCCAAGGCAGCCCGTGAATCTCTGCGCGGGGTTCCAAAATCTATTTTGTTCCCTTCCCTGGTCGTAGCAACGTATGCACAGTTTTGCGCAACGTCGATGCCAGAAGATCTGGTTCGTATTCGTTAGGCAACCGCGCCAGACCTGGAACTTAAAGATATGGTCGGGTCGATGTGGTTGGCAAGTATTTTGAGCGGTCAGGTATGTGATCTAGGCGGCGCAGTATCGCTAGACAAAATTCGGGGTAATGCGATGAGCGGATGTGCGTTGGCGAAGCTTGCGAAGGCTGAAGGAGGGGTCCACCGAAATAGCGTGTGGGTGGATAAGCGTGGTCGGGGGCCGAAATCAGACTCGGGACGCTAATGAAATATTTTGATCCAGGTTTCGCGATTCAAGGCTCATTCGAGTCAAGGATAACAACAAAGAGATGATCAGGAGAAAATGAAGCTGGGCCTGCAAGTGGAGGGCCCGACGAAATGATGATTAATCCGGTCCGATTTTGCTTATCGCCAGATGATCTCATATCAAAATTTAAAATTAAGCCCGTTGGGATACATAGCGGAAGAATATATCTTCAAGTGTTGAAATGGTCTATTGCCCCTTCGATACTCTGAAGGATAAGCGAGTCTCAGCCCTTTCTCAACCCCGATATCATGCCGGTCCATTCTCCTTTTTTAATATAACTAGGCTTCTTTTTCCTTGGCTTGATGCCAATTGGTTAAATGATGATAAGTGACTCATGGGCGCACATGGGCGCATGTCTCGAGTATCCGTGCGTCGGATCTACTCCGTACGCGTGTACTCCGTAAGGGGAAAAGTATTTGAAAAAGTGAGATCTAATACATATATTCACATCGGCATTATCACCACAATTCAAGCATCTTCTTCAACCTTCACCAGAATGGTCTTCGTCTCAAGGAAGTTGTTCAGGCTAACAGTCCATCCCTCCCTTCCGAGCCCACTGCTCTTATACCCTCCGAACGGCATATCGTGAGCCGCAGTTGGGCTAGTGCAGTTAACTCCGACAGTTCCAGACTCCAGTTTCTTGGCTATTCTCAAGGCCCGATTGATGTCCTTGGTATAGACTGCAGCATAGAGACCAAACTCAGTGTCGTTGGCTTTTGCAACCACATCATCTTCATCCAAGAAGGTATTAATATTAACCACAGGTCCAAATATCTCCTCTTTCATCACTTGTGCATCCTCTTGCGTCTCCAGGAACACCGTGGGTGGGATAAAGAACCCATTGTGATCGATTGTCTCTTCTCCCAGAGACATCTTACCGGATTCCTTCCCCTTTTCGATATAAGCCTTGACCTGCTTGAATTGCGCTTCATCTGCCAGTGGTCCGTGGTTCGAGTCGGGCAGAAGCGGATCACCGATTGAAACGGCGGCAAATCGCTTGTTGAACAACTCGATGAAGGTGGGTGCAATCGATTCATGGACATAGATTCTCGAGTTTGCCATGCACACCTGACCGCTATTCCACTGAATACTGTGCTTCGTTTCCTCAACGGCCTTTTCGATGTCCGCGTCGGGGAAAATGATCGCCGGGGATTTTCCACCAAGTTCCAGAACTACATTCTTCATGTTCGATTCGGCAGCAGCAGTCTGAATCAAACGCCCTGTTCTTCCCGATCCCGTGAAGCTCAACACACGGACATCCATGTGGTGGGATAGAACGGAGCCTGAGATTTGACCATGTCCCGAAATGATATTGATCACACCCGGGGGAAAGCCGGCCTTTTCCACAAGCGTCGCAATTTTGGCGGACTAAAATGTAATTAGAATTATTGTCCTAAGTAAGATAACTGGTATTTTGGAACTCACAGTTAAGGGCGCCTTTTCGCTACTCTTGATCACCACTGTGTTTCCCGCAATCAAGGCAGGGGCAGACTTGCCCGCGAGGAACAAAATCGGAACATTCCAAGGAATAATGGCAGCGACAACACCGAAGGGCTGACGAACAGTCATGTTGACATAACCAGGGGTATTAAGACTGGTTGTTCCTAGAGCCTGATAGCCGTTCTCAGCAAAGAAATCGAAGGTGATCGCTGCTGCATAGGAATCAAAATAGCCCGAGACAGGACGACCCATTGACATAGCTTCCAGTTGAGCAAGTTCCTCGTGCGATTCAAGAATCAAGGCGGCCAACTTCTTGAAGTAGGCCCCTCTCTGAGGTGGCGAGAGCGCAGACCACGCCGGGAAGGCTGCCTTTGCGGCTGCCACTGCTGCGTTTGTATCATCTTCACTCGCTTCGTGGACTTCAAACAAGCAATAGTATTAGTCCATATGTTCTTTTCACTATAGAAAAATGTATATACCTTCGGCAAACTTTTCATTTGTCGTCGGCGATATCAAGTCGAACGTGCGGTTGTCGGACGATTCCACGAACTTCAACGGCAGTGAGTATGTCGCCTATCTAGATCTAGATGCAAATAGCACGAACCTCTCCATTAATGAATAACCGTGTTTCGATTTCTCGAATCTTTGTCGATTCAATAGAGCCCATTTTGCTTTCTTCCGGCAAGGTTCTAGCAAAGTTCTAACAAGAGGTGAGAATGGCGTTTATAGGACGGTTATTGTCAACAAGATTGAAGATGACGGTTCATTCGTTCTCTTTTATATCTTTGTTCCTTTCCGATACCAACTTCAGATAACCTAATTAACATCAACCCAAATTTACGTCCCGGCTAGATTACTCGGATGCTTTGTCTTGCAGTTACGCAGGGGCTTTGTCCAACGGATGGATTCTTTCCGTATGCGGGGATCTTTTCTCCGATGCGTTCTACTCATTGTACCCCGCTAAAGTATAGGAATAATTACCTACATGTCTACCAAAAGAATGTTAGACAACTAGGTGGTTCGGATAACCTTGGAAGCATCCATGCCTTGGCACGGATTGATACTGCCGTGTGTCAGCAACATCTCGGAAACAACATACCGGAGATATAGTTTGGCGATTGATTTACTTAGATTTCTAGTTTCAATGAAAGTTTATACATAGAAGATTTAGTTGCACAGTTTACGCTTCTTAAAATCTTTGTATATATCTAAAATGACGTCTAAATCCCCTTCCAGAAACACATCAGAGTGTTCCTACATAACTATAACGTCCCAAATATACCAACGTCATCAAGGACAGAGGCTCGGCCAACTATTCTTATTCATCATAAATAACCAAGTTAGTTAAGCCTTTTACAGTACTACTAGAAGATACCTATGTAGTAAATAAGATCATGAATTAATACAGATAATGTATTAGAAAAATATTGATGAGACTGGTGCCTGAGGTTTCAGGCCACTGCTAGTTCTGATATCTGGTCTCTTACAATTGACAACCCCCTTCCCCTCTCTTTGACGTTTCAGCTTGTAGGCCTCAACACCTGCTATGAATGAAATGACAATGATATCACAACATGAGTCATTTGCTGTGTATAGAGAGAGATCAAAACATGGGAGAACCCATTCCAACCTTGGAGCCCTGGAGGATCTGGTTCCCCGCAATCCCCGCAATCCCCACACTCGTCGACGGGAGTTACCTCATCATTGAGATGCCGATGCTTCCAAGTTTGTTTGCAACCTTCTATCGCCCCCGAGTCTGAGTAAACAATTCCCATCATGGCTGGACATCTTAAATCTGGTCGCAGAACTCGTGCTGTGATAAGTTGTGACCGTTGTAAAAGTCGAAAGACAAAGGTAAGCGACACACATGTTTCTTCTCTCGGTCTTTATCGCATTGAATTGCTGCTAATTCTGTTTCAAGTGTAATAATCCAGGTAATAATCGCATCTCCCTGTGTTTCATATGTTCGCATCGCGATAATGAAAGTATCTTACCAATTCGTCAAAAACTTCAGTTCCAGGCCCTTGCGATCATTGCCGCAACCGTGGGACCGACTGTCATGTTGATTTAACGAAACGACGACAGAGACCGTATTATTTTGTCTCCGAGAATGAATTCCGCGATATGCAAGACATCCTGAAGAGCTACCTTCCAGATGACGACCTAACTCCGGAAACCCTTCGTTCTCTTGCGCAGCAATGCCGCCATCAAAATACTGCTCCATCGCAGCTGCAGCTCAATACCTCCCCCATAGCTGCACAGCCAGTCGTCCCGACTACGCCCATCTCGGTCCCTTCATTTATAGCTCCTAGTCCTCGGGAGAATACGCGGACGACACCGGAGGTGAATTCACGGGAAAACTCCGATGTTGAGCCGAACGCGGAGGACGCTGTGTTGCAGGATGCTGTTTGCTTCCATCAAAAGCTAGGATGCTTGCTAGCAGATTCCCTGGGTGAATACCGTAGGTCAAACAAAAGTCAGTCCCCGTATTAAGAAGCCTAGAGCTGATGATTACTAGGCTATATGGGACCTGAATCAGGATTGTCCTTCAATGCTGCTATTCGGCGCCTCACGGTCGATGAGATGTACACACCAGAATCACCGGACGTGGTTCCTGGGATGGTTACGGTCGCTATGCCTGTTCCAAGCCCCCGATCTCAACAAAGCAGCCCGAGCTTGCCCCCTTTGGAAGAATGCCAGGCATCTATCATGCGCTATTTTGAGGAAGTACATTGTCTCTATTGGCTTTTCTCCTCGGACAGATTCCACATTCAGCTAGAAAAGACGTATAACACCCCACTGGAAAGCCTGACGGCCTCCTGGTTATGTTCACTGTACTCAATCCTCGCAATCGTTTACATTGGCACCAATGGCTCGGGTAGCAACACCACAGCAACAGAGTACCTGGAACAAGCAAAATCATATGTTTCAACGGTGTGTGATGAAGGAACACTTGATAGCGTTCGAGCGATGGTAATCTTAGTAAGTGATTTGGTTAAAATTCCCCATTTTGAAGAATAGCGCTCACCAAGATTCATCATTACTTAGGCAACAGCGCTACAATCGCACGGCTTTTCTAATCCCGCATATCTATACAGTAGCCTGGCTGTACAAATTGCTCGCTCGCTTGGACTACATTGCGATACGTATTGCGCATTCTATGGCTCCGTCGAGAAAGAACACGCCCGGCGACTCTGGTGGTCACTTGTGATTTTTGATCAGGATCTATCGTTGAGATTAGGGAGGCCATGTGCAATTGAGGACTCTTGCCATCCAAGGTTACCTTCCGAAATGGTACGTCGTGTCTAAGTCCTCGTCCAGTCTTTACGGTGCGAAATATATCTAATTTATGTATTTCAGATACTACCAACTGGCTCTCATACCCCTCCAGACTATTTGGCTGCTTGTAGCAGTCTTAGTCAATTGGCAAAAACCGCGCGCAACCATGTTTACAATAAACCATTCCTAGGTGGCCAGCGATTAGAGATGAAAATCATCAGAGAAGCCATATCTTCTTTACAAGAATGGGCAAACGGTCTTCCTCCTCATCTCAAAATTTCCGACACGATAGCCCCGCGCCTCTTTCATAGGCCTATCGCGATGCTCCATTTGAGGTATCATGGTGTCCGGTTACTTATAACACGGCCTTTCCTTCTATATGATGTCATATGCCAGAAGACCATGTATGGAAGGGGTAAATTGCCAGCTCTTGAGCCACTTAGTACTCTCTGTGTCGGTTCTGCGGAGCGTATGTTATTCATACTGCTAGAAATGGTCGCTGAGAATACCTTTTCGAGGTTCATTGCCTTGGATTTTCTGTTTGCCTTAGATGTTCTGCAGGTTTTACTTTCAGCGTTCGCTCTCTCGAAGGGGGATAATGAACTCAACAATGTGCGAAAATGTCTCCAGGTACTCCAGGCCATGGGAGCTGAAGGATATGGTGAGAATATGATCTCCGAAGTGATCTTTGAACTAGCTCAATGGGGTATGATCCCAAACAATTCTGGTCCTTCACATTCTGTGCAAAGTGGAGAACTATCTATGTCAGGGTTTGATTCTCTGAATGATACGTTCAATTTGTACGTATCAACTGCCTCCCCTTTGGGCCCTCGTGGTATCTCCTTGTTCTAACGATTCTTAGTCTCTTTGGGATGTCTGATACCACAATCGATCTTGATCCTAGTTCATTCCCGATATTCTCGGGATTAGATCTTCCGCAGTTGGAATGCGATTTGGATAGATTGGAACACGACACTTGTATAAATTAAGATGGCCCGTTTTTCAATGACTAGATCTCATTTTTGGAGCAATTGAACTGATTCAACTGTACAAATGCAAATTTCATTATCTTGCGCTATTTTTGCTTTAGCTACATGCAACCCCGAAATTTATGAGATAAGTATGTATTCAGCCCAGGAAAAAGATTCCTCAGCCTGTCATCTAATCTATAGAATCGTTCCAATATTTCAAGACAAGAGACCATAGGCTCATCTTATAGACCAGATTAATTCTGAACCTTCTTGATGAAGAGTTCCATGAAATCTGGGTGCTCAAAACTAACAGATAACACAAATATATTGATCAATCCATGGGTGTCACAATATTTATAACTTTGTGGCTGGCACATCGGGGTCACGAATTGACAGAGCTGCGCTACTCTTGGACAAATCGCCATCCAATGTTGGTGCCAACAAATCACTCTCTTTGACCTGCTTCCCGGTGACCGGATGAGGGTAATGGAAAGGAACCACCTTTGTGTCTGGCCATAAATTCCTAGTTTCCACGAGTTGATCAGGACCAAGGGGATCCTCTGGGTAGCAGTGCTTGGGGAAGGGAACGTATTCCGGCTTGGTGTGACTCCATCCTTTGTCAAAGTCGGCTTGCCAGAAGGGGAAATATCTGTAGCGATACGGCTTCCAGACTCCGTCTTCCTTAATATACTCGTTCTTGTAGAGTCCTGCCTCCCACCATTGAGCGAGACCTCGGGGATGATCCTTGGCAATACTTTCATGGTTGCCAGCGGACATCAAGGTTCTCATCCTTCCCCAGGCATGATTTCCCTCTTCATTGACGTCGATGATATCTTGCAGCATCGCATGGTCTAGGAGGACACCTTGGACAGGCCCATTACGGCCGTTCACGAATTTGCCTGCGAATCGATCGATAAACAGTCGGTGGATGCCTTCCTTTCCTCGATATCTTCCTCCGTGGAACTCAATGAACGCATCGGGCGATTGAGACCACATATCCACGACCTTGAAGATTTTTCGTCAGCTTGAAGTACCTTAATCTTGGGCCTTTCATACATACCTCTTGATACAAACATTTGTCGAGATAATAGCCGTACTTGAAATGCAGCTTGCGAAGTTCGGCCTCATCTGAAAAAGGTACCATTCAATTAACTTCCGCGAAAGATGTACCAATTGCATGCAGACTCACCGCTGATACGAGACACCTTTGCCTTCAAAGAGGCCAATTCAGCTGTCAGAGCTTTAAAATCTTCAGCCATGTTTGGTGGTTGGACGTTGTGTTCAATTCTTTCCTCGATTGTTCCGGTTTGTTTGAATGGTTGGGTTATACGCTATGAGGGCGATATTTATATAGTTCTCAACTAACGGAAGTCATTCGCGCCCATAACCCACTTTTCTTCTCGCTTGATTGTATCAATGGCTGGGGTAGAAATAACTAGCGTGAGAGCCAATTTATCGGCACAAACATACCGACAAAGGCCGGAGGCATATCCAAGCAACGGATGTATACTCCGCATATCGGTTGTATTAGACCGATATATGGTATCGGATTACAGTTTCAGCTTCAGCTCGTATTATTTCGCCTGGAAATGCATCTAGAGTCACGAAAACCTGGAGTCCTGGAGGTCCAGATCTAGTATTTACTGCAGCCACACTAGATTGCCAAGTATAATCCAAATACTGTACGCCTTAGTGTATTCGATAAATATGGCACGATTTCCGGCTTCCCCAGAGTTCCCCAGATTTCCCCAGATTTCTTTCCCGCAACAAGATCATAATCGTATGATTTTGTTTTTCATCTACTTCCTTGTTCCGAAGTTCCCCAATTTTCGATCACAACATGCCACCCTTCAATTTGACCATGGGCATTCTCCGCCCCACTGGCTCGGAGGACTGCCCTGGCACAGTTCTTCTCTTTGAGAGATCCGACAATGAGCAGAATTACCATCCTGGCGCTAAGCATGACCCAAAAGTACGTTTCGTATCAAGATATCCAAACTTGTCCTATTCAGTCTATTGACTAAGTTCAGGACCCTTCAATCATCTTGGATCCTCAACCGTCAGATGATCCAAACGATCCATTGGTCAGCATAACCTGTCATTCCTTCTTAGCATGTATTGACTTCTAGAAGAATTGGTCGATTTGGAAGAAGGATCTATTGTATTTGACACTTTTCGTCAACACTGTCATCCTGGCTGCGGTGCCTGGACCAGTATTTGCATCTTCGACTGCAGTTATGGCAAAGAGTTTGGAAGTCTCGTTGGATAATGTTGCTCTTCTCTCGGGATACCAGCTACTGGTTGTTGGATTGTACGGGTAAGAGTGAACCCTTCCCGATTGACATTCCGAAACTGAAAAATGTCCCAGTCCATTCTGTTCGGCATTTGCTCGCAAGTACGGCAAACGACCCCAATACCTATTCGGTTGCACGATGGCACTGATTGGAATAATCATTTGCGTGGCCTCTGGGTCAAATTATTCAACACTCCTTGCCGGCCGACTCATCCAAGGCTTTGGGACAACTGCATTTGAGTCGCTGTCGCTGGCCGCAATCGGGGATATGTACGTCCCATTCAAGTCTTGTCTATCTATATTCATTCTCATGATATCTAATTGACCTGTTAGATACTTCGTCCATGAGCGTGGTATCAGAACTGGAGTGATGGTATGGTTGCCCCCGTTTTCATAGTTACAGTATGGATCTCCTTGCTAACCATATCCAAGGTGATTGCGTTGACATGCCTTTCGAGCGTAGTCAATATCATTGGAGGCCCAATTACCCAAAATTTGGGGTGGAGATATATGCTAATCATTCACCTGCCATTTGTCGCAGCTGCGTGGATTCTCACATTCTTTTTTATCCCCGAGACTCAATTCCGCCGTCCTATCGGAGTTGTTGAGCATATTGAGATGCCAACCCATATAACTGACTCCAAGGAAAAGACAGACGAGGGATCGGAGGTTTATCAAGAAGAGAATGTGGATGAACAACAGACCCCAAATCCGTCTACCAATATTCCAAAGAAAACCTATCTGCAGACTCTCGCAATCTTCTCAGGAACATACAGCGACATGAATATCTGGAAACTCATTGCGGCACCCTTTGTTGTTCTTCATAACCCAGGTGTTATTTGGGTGAGCCTCGATCCACGCGATATAAAATATACTTGCTAACTTCGTTGGTAGTCGCTGGGTATGTCCGGTGCGGTCGTGGTAAATTTTACATATCTCTGGGCATCGTATATATCTTGTCTAACTATTGCAGGGACTATGGGTCAGTTTGGCATATGTCTTCGCTCAGCTATGGTCTGCACCGTAAGTGTTAGTCCTTGGATATGAAGGTCGTTCATTGGTTAACCAAGACAGGCCATATAATTTGAATGCCGCCCAAAACGGATATTTCTATGTTGGAGGTAAGTCACGGTCGCCCTGAAATTATAGGGAATCCCATCTCACAAGCCTACCTATAGCTATGCTCGGCGGTATGATTGGCGGCCTCGGCAGTGCCTGGGTGACTGATTTGATCACTAAAATCATGGTCCGCATAAATCGTGGGATTTATGAACCGGAATTCCGAATTCTAACTCAAGCGATTTCCGCTGCCGTCCTGGCCTTGGGATATTTCGTGTTTGTATGGCTCTTTGAACACCCCTTCTCGACGGGCTACTATCTCGGCTCATTTCTTCATGGATGTATTTGCTTGGGTATTACAGTGTCGACTGTATCGTCAAGTCTTTACATCTTGTATGTCTCCCTCTCGCACTTCATCTACTCTTGGTTTCCCCTGTGTATGAGATAAAACTGACAAGTTATTAGGGATGCTCATTCCTCTGAGACCACGGAAATCTTCTGTCTACAGATGACGTTCAAGAACCTCTTGTTCTTCGGGTTTGCACGCTTTGTCAACTCCTGGGCAGCCGAAGACGGAGCCCAGTCTATTTTCCGGGCTTATGGGATAATTTCACTCTGCCTAGTTGCAACTTTGATTCCAATGTGTAAGTAAATCATTTGCAGCTAATTAATAGATTTCAGCGGCTGACTATTTATAGACATTTTTGGAAAGTGTAACCGTCTATTCATACACAGATTGGCATTGCTGCAACGATTCTACTTTGGGAAAGAATAAGGGGGTATTTCCTGGGTCGTTCTGGTTTAACCAACCATTTTGCTTCATACTAAGGTGTCGAGACTCGTTTTGAACTTTCTTATTCCTCCTTTGAAGAAATGAATGACATTAAGGAGGCTCTTTGGCACTACATTAATGAAGCCAAGGGCTTTTGGTCTCTTGTTAAATAAACCGGATCTGATCAGAACACTGGAAATCAACGGTAATATTGAAGACCGGGCACAGTATAAATAAACATATCAACAGAGACTGATTATATTTCCAATATTAAAATAGCACGGAAATTTTGTAAGATACCTCGTCCTCTCCCTCTTCTCGACCGCGATCAGGCCTCGCAGGGATTGTTCCACTTAGTAAATATATACAAACTCGTCATTCTGCCAATCTGTGACATCCTTGAATGGAACCTCGCCTATTGTCTGCTCCTGTGCTTTGCCCTGTACTCCAACCTCAGCAGTCATGGACATATCCTTGATATCTCCTGCCTTTCCGTTGCTGATTCTCTGCTTCTTGTGGTGTCTGTTCATCATGAATAGAATGCCAGTCTGGATTCCCACGCCTCCAATCAAGGCGATGAAGAGACCCAGCACAGACCGAATTCCTTGAAGGTAGTTGGGAGCCTGATCAGAGCTGAAGAGATAGGAGCCTGACATGGCTCCGGCGGAGGTACCGATCTGATAAAGCGCCACGACGGTGGAAGTTTTGGCGGCTCCGGCAGTGTTTCCCACAACCCAGGAGAGAAGGATTGGGTTAGCGGCATACAGGAAGGTAGTAAGATAGTATGCCAAGAGGAGAGGTCCTTGGTTGGCTGGGCTGTGATCGATTGCGTAAAGCATAGCAGTGCCCACCACGACAGGGATCATGAAGGCAACCAAAACGGCGGACTTGAGCTTCACCTTGTAGGAGCACCAGCAGCCAGCAATGATCACAATAGTGGTCAGAGCACCGTAGGGGATGTTCAGGAGAGATGTCTCATATTTATCGAAGCCAAATCCAGTAACGATAAGCGGGCCGAAAAGAGATGGTAGGGCGGAACCCATGTTCGGCAGCAAGGCAAGCGCAATCCAAAGCAAGCTCTTAGGCTCCATAAACGCTTCAATTGCCTGGCTCCACTTGAAGTCATAGGATGTGGGGGCCATCTGGTTAGCGCGGAGACGCTCCACACCGAGTTGACGTTCGTGCTCAGTGAGGAAGCGGGCGGTAGTAATATCGTTATCCAGCTTCCAGTAAACGAAGGGCGCGGTAACAACTGTGCCCAATCCGACGAAAAGGAAGATACTATATACTCATTAGTAATGTTTTATTATGTTATAAAAATCGGGTTTGACTAACATTTGCCACGGCCGCAGGACGTCCGATTGGATATGACCAAGGCCATAAGACAAGGCAGCGGCCGCCATTGTGGCGGTACCGTTCATACCATTCCAAATAGAGACTCGGACTGGCTGTTCAATACGACGATACCATCTGCTAGTGAGAATAGTGAAGAGGGGCAGACAGCCGGCTTCGAAAAGTCCCATGAAGAAACGAGCGGTAATGAAGGTTCCGAAGTTGTTGCAGGCAGCCATACATGTGACTGCAATTCCCCACCCGAGAACCATACACGGCATCAGAATGCGGGGAGGAACTCGGACAAGAATCCATGCCGAGAATGGCTGCCATCCGAGCTGGGCGATAGGTGCAATTGATCCAATGATAGAGTACTGGTTTCCAACGAGTCCCAGATCGGCCTGGAGATTGAAAAGAGCCGCAGTGCCAAGAACACCTTTATCCAAGACCTAATATGTGATATCATGTAAATATCCTGTGAAGTATGTTTTTCTTTTGTCGGTTTCATCTCACCTGCAAAAAGTAAACCCAGGTAAGGATAGCCAGAATGACTCGGTCGGTCTTCTTCTTGATTCGGTCATTCTATAAGGAGATGTTTAGCGATGTTCTTGTGTCAGAGGACATTAAGGTGAACATACTTCTTCCTTGGTGAGAGTGATAACCACCTCCCCTACCTCCGCAGTGGAGGTGTTCGTTTCGGAATCGGCCTTGGGGTTGACCGGGGACTTCGAGTCCCCGACATATTCAATATCTGGGGTCGACATTTTGAGTGATTGCTACTCTTTCAATCGAAAGTAAACAATTCAACTCAATCCAAATGAATTGTAAGTGTGGTTATGGACAGTGGAGAGAACTGTAGTACAATGCAAGATGGGACAAGATGGAATATCACCTGGATCTTATAAACCTTCCCCAGAGAGCAACTAGACTATCCAGATAACATATCAGAACCTTGAAATATTGCCTACGACTTATCCTCCAATCAATATTGCCGATCGCGTAGGTATCTGGAGAGTCCGGGGTAACGGTCTTCCCCCTTCTCCAAAGTAGCCCAAGTGGGGCCTGGGGCTTGAGCCATGAATTTGATAAGAGGCTTCTCCTTTGAACGATAGTACGGAATGAAATAAATTAAATGTTCTATATATTTAATATGTTTAATATGTTTAATATGTTTAATATGTTTAATATATTCTAATCGGACAAATGGATCGGGTTTAGATGCATACACTTAGCGTCAAAATCCTTCAGAAACGACCAATACATCCCCCGTTGAGACAATCTATTATCTCGGATCTGGGTTGATAACAGGGGATCCCGTTTGGATTGTCCGATTGCTTGCAGCTCCATCCTCTAAACCGATATTATGATTGTGAGGCACTAGAACTAAATTCCATCGGAGAATGTAGGATCGGCAGTGTAGCATTGATAAGCCCCTCTTCCTTTGTGCAGCCGATGGTGATTGATTGTTGATTGGCGGGTTATTACAGAAAAACATACGTATGTTGTACTCTATGTATACACTAAGTACGCCCTTGTAATACGCCAATGTAGGATAAGACCACTTAATCAATAGGTCAGAGCTCGGCCTCAGCGATTGGCTGACGGCATTTTTTCCGACCGGGTTATTTGAACTGAGAGGCTGGGGTTTAATCGAAGGACGGGCGAATTAATTTTGTGCTTTTGGTCTTGAATAAGCGACCTCGTTCAAGCGAACTCAACATTCAAGAAGACCCGATCGGGTGGCGTAACCTTGTCCTCGTTGAGCATACTCTATACCCATGCAGCCAATCGGTTCTTTTATTTCTTATTTCAGCGGCAAGATTCAAGATAGGTAAGTCGCTAATCTCTGTTCTCATCCTAAATGTAGTCAACTTTACGGAGTACATATGGCAATGGTGGTATGTTCAGTCTGATCCTACAGATAACTCAGCCCACAGGAGCAAGAGCTTGATCATTATTGTCTATCCTTTTTGCTGATTGCATGGAATTTATCCGACCATTCAAGCCTTAGGGCTTGTCTGCCCAGATGCCCAGGTGCGTTTATTAAAGTTATGTAATAGTGGATGGCTGGGAAAGGAAGAACTAGCCAGCCTTGGAAAGAAGTCAAAGGAGAACTACGTATATCGCATCCTTCGCAAATTTCACGTGTCCGCGTTGCCTGTTCCTTTTCTTTTTACGGCTGGTCTTTGAATTGCTGGCCTACCTCGCTTTCCTAGTTCCAACATGCTAAATTTGGATAGTGCCATCTTTAGTCACTTCTATCAATCCAAACAATTTCGTTCAGACTTCCTTTGAAACATATGACTCAGGGGCTGTCATTATACACGGATTTTTCCAAAGTTCCGGTTTGAAATACAGGATTTAGAAAGCATTTGGCCAAAGCACACCCAACTACCAATTCCGCTTGACGACCTTCATAAACATATCCTTTTGACTTGACGACCAGCAGGTGTGGACTTTCCATGGCTCGCTGGGATTGGCGATTTCGAGTTTGAAGTGGCGAAGCAGCTGTACCACATAGAGATTGATTTCCACCAAAGCGATATTTTTCCCCAAGCAGGATCTCGCACCATACCCAAACTACCCCGAGGAAGATTATTAGTAACTTTCAGATAACATCAGAAAAGCGAGATATTGCGGAACATACCGTGGCAAGATGTTTATCCATCCAAGCCGATCGCTCGTTGCTCTCCAACCACCTATCCGGGTTCCAAACGTCTGCGTCCTTTCCAAACACAGCTTTGTCACGGTTACTTGCCAACGGTGACATAGAAATCTCGGTTCCCCCAGGGATGAATGCATCGCATATCGTGACGCCACCCTCAGGGGCAAAACGAGGAAGTTGGAACTGGATAGATGGGTGCATGCGTAAGCCTTCTTTGATTACCGCCTGCAGATACGGTAACTCAAGACATTCTGTATATCTTATCTCCCGACCTTCCAGATTTTGAGAGGTATAGAAAGAGTCAATCTCTACTGTAAGTCTTGTATAACAAGTGCGATCCACAACCAGGGGACCCAAGACGGCTCGAATACCAATGGCGGAGGTGTCTGCTCCGGCTCCCAAGAGGCTAACAACTTCTCCAAGTAGCTCTGGGTGGTCTAGCGGCTTGCCGTCACTAGTCTTGGAATCGATAAATTGTTGGAGGAGATCGGTGCGCGATGCTTTCTCTTGTTTCCTTTTCATGGCCATCTCGTCGGCATATTGTGTCACTTGGAACAGCTGTTGGAGCTTGCTTAGGTCAATGTTGAATAATTTGCAGATACGCCTGATTCCATTGGACTTGAGCCAGCGAAGCTTTCCAGGAAGGTATCCCGAGTTTGCGAGCACTAGGAAGCTCAAATCAATTGCTTCGACAATAGACTTAGATGGTCCCTGGCCTCTTGTTTTCAAAAGATCAAAGTTGCCACCAAACCCGATTTCTCCCAGAACATCGAACGCAAATGATTGAGTGTACACGGCCATGTCTAGAACTGCCTCGCCTTTGCTTGCCTCTGCAACGCATTGTGCAAAAGTTTCTCTGCTCAGATCAACAACAGCTTGAATATAATCTTCCATTCTGAGAATAGATGTCATTGCATAGGCTTTCGCAACTTGCTTGCGCTTTCGTGAATGCTCACTGACATCTATTTCACTGAAGGAGGTGTTGGCTATCCTCCCACTGCTGTTCCATATCAAGTACCAGTCGGTCTGAGTTATTCAAAAAACATTAGTTTTCTGTAGAGTCAAATTTATTTGTTACATGATACACTTACCTTCGTCGCTTTGGTGCCATGACCGTAAATTGTCCGTAGTCCCTGAGTGGCATCGAGCATAGATACCGCGTTTGGTGCAATGCGTACCACTGGTCCATACCGGGCATGTAGTCCAAGAATATCCTCATGCCAGTGTCCTTTTAGGTAACGCCAACTCTGCCAGGCACGGGTTGTTATTCCTATTCGGGGTCCGGGGATGTGGGAGAGCGGATGGAAAAAGTGCCGGTAGACTAATGTAGCCACCAGACTCGCTGCCAATACAAATCCCCATATCAACATTTCGCCAAATTCCCCGAGTATACTGAGAAGTTTTCAAGGATCAAGAGGATTGAAATTAGAATTCCACAGTGTAGAAAACGGCCAGAGACTGATGGTAGCCTTTTTAAATTATCGAGCTTCTACATTTTTGGACTTCGCTATATGAAGCCCGCGATGTTCAAACACTTCGGAGTATGTTTATCCAATGCCGTAGCATATAGGTACAGGTATCGCTTAGATGATTCCGACGCGGTTTAGGTCTTATGGCTTGTGTATAAGAGTTCATGTTTGTGGTATTAAAATACGGGGGTAACTTGATATAGAATAGCGTAAATTGTGGGTTGCAAGGACTCGTCGGTTGTTAAGTCGGTTGTTAAACATTTTTCCGAGTGCCGACGCGACGATGAAAGATGTGTTATATAATTGGCATACAGTAAATGTGCTAAATATGGGGAAATTGTGGCGTTTAACGAATGGATGAGTTGTCCGGGGTAATGATTCCTGCTCGCGGGGAACCTTGAAAGGTTACATATTTGAAAATGTGGTTGTTATATAACGTGTGCGAAGGGTATGATCAACTAACTAACTACGGACTAGCGGCCAAGGTCATATGCCATATTTTGTTAATTTCGATGAATCAACGTATTTCACATGCGAGCGGCCACAGCCGCCATCTCGAAAACGTGCCTGTTGGGGACGCCCCAGCCAATAATTTTCTGTCAACGATCAGTTTCCAACCACATTATTATTCCATGTCATTACTTGTCGATAGCAATTGATAAGAATAATTAATGACATCTATCAATATCAGGAAAATCGGAAATGTGCAGTATCATAGCATTGGAAATTATGTTGTCGAAAGGTAGTGGCAGGAATATATATATTGTAACCACAAAGTCAGAAATCTTTTGAACTGGCTAAAGACGCTAGATATCACCTAAAAAGTAGATATTGAAGGAGTCCCGATGAGATTCCAACAATCTAGAGTCAATATTTCCACATATAGCCACAAATCAAGCTCTTCAAAGATTATACGCAGGCAAAGCAGAAAGAACTAAGGAAGAAGAGCCGGTCCATAATCTCTGAATAAAAGACAAGCGATATATAGCTCAGGAGATACATGGCGAGCAAACGATTCTCAAGCGAGGTAGAGCAGGCGTTTTCATGAGACTTCATCGTCAATTACGCCCCCTTCCAAAAATTCTCTGCAACTTGAACTTCGATTCTGGCACCGCCTCGGGCTTCAATGGGCAAAACATCCAGTTTACTATATTCATAAGATAGGGCGAACAGCCCTTCTGAAACCTATATTTGAGATCGTTCCTGATCTCCTTCTTGTCTTCCTTTGTAAGGTCAAAGCCCCGAAAGCTGATGCAGCACCAGCATTCCAAAGTGCAATCGCCCTGCCTTTCTTCCTTTCAGAAAGTTGTCTGTTTGTACAGCATCCATAGCCTCGGCTACAACATCCGCCTCGATCCGAGCAATCCTGAACCATTCCTTCACGCATAAACCAGGGCTTGCTGTTTTGTTGAATATTGTCTTTTTGCCTCTTCAAGCTTTTCATTTACGTCTTCAAGCTAAGTCATATCAGACTCGACAGCTGTGGCCTTTTGCAAGGCCATAGCCCTATGGCGTAGCCTTTCGTCGCGCTGCGTTGGTTCACGTAGGGTGTACTCAGCAGGAATTAAATTGATGGCACTGCGCCGTTGGATGTGGGTTGACCCGTTTGCTAACTAGTTTAGGCGCCATTCGCTGAAGTAGAAATAGCCCTTAGAGCTCTTGGGGGATTCCATTTCTATCGCGAGTGGAATTCTTAATATAAAAAAAAGCGAGACAGATTATCCATAGATATCAATATTAAAAAAAAAAGTGATATGATAGATAAACTATTTTTCCAACTTCTGAAGTCACGTCACCGGCCGCCCAAAATGGAAAACACTTTAATCCTCACCGTGCCAAGGTATCACTAAATTCACTTAGGATATCTTTCGCGTCGCTTTCTATGTGTTTTAATATGGAAACAATAAAAAATTGGAACTGCTGAAAGCGTATCGGTTCCTCACTTCTATGTTCTATAGAGGTAAGGAGTACGGAGTTGATACTAATTTGCGCTGTTATTGAAGCAACGAGGGCTTGAGTTCTCTCTATTTATTCTTTGTCGCCCACATCATGGTCATAAACCTCCAACTCAGCATCCCAATTATCATCTTCATCCTCTTCCTCATCTTCAGAATCTCCCAATCCCCTGTGTCCAGTGCTAACCTTCTGAATACCTCTCCCACGAAGAGACATTTGCTCTCTCCACCGATCTAACAGCCGATCTACCGGCCGATGCTCGCATCGCCAATACTGTACAGCGAAAACGTGTCTGCCGGACATATTGGCCTCCATACTAGCGCCCGATGTCTTCCGGCTCGAAGATGATACATCAGCTTCTATCTCAAACCCCCTCATTCCGATCCCCGCAGTTGCTGCAATAGGCATTTTCACCGTGGTTTTTGCGTCGGACTGGCTTGTTTTTGAAACGCTGGTCTTGATATGCGCATTATCAACAAAAAGGATGGCTGTAATCATCCACACAGTGTGCATTCCGGAATCTCGCATTAACCTCTTCACACTATCCACCACGTCCCTGTCGTCCATAAGCGCATCAAAAGCTGAGCGAGCATTTCTGATTCCTCTTTTCGTCACTCGGGCGCTGCGTAATACCACATCCCCCTCGCTGGTGTGAGACCCGCCTATCATGAGAGCCCTGCGGACACCCGCATTAGTGGAGGCATGCGAAACAGAAGTGATGCACATCTCGGCATTTTCAAAGTGAAGATCTTCACTTCGAAATTCTTCTGTGATAATTCTGGACGGATCTTCTGGTTCGTAGCCTTGCACCCCGGGGTTCCATCGGTCTAAGACAAAGCGGCCGAGAAGGTTGTTTATCTCTGAGCTTGGGGGTTGGTTGAGGGGTTCCAGGTAGTAGAAGCTTGGCTTTGACATTTTGGAGGCAGTTGATCTATCAGATTTGGAAAATCGAGAATGAGTGCGAATTTGAACAAATTCAATAGTTCCAGAGCTGAAAAAGTGAAGAGAAGCCAATGACAAAGTAGCTACTCCGTAGTTACTCCTCGGGTAGAGGCTCCTGTTCGCACTCCCCTGTCATTTTCGGCAATATCAGCCTCAGCCTCATTCACTCAGGAAATCAATACAACCAAAGTCCCGAGAGTTGATTGTATTTTGCCAGACGTTAGAATACTAATCATTTTCACCTACAGGAATTTTCCTGATCTTCTCTCGATGGAAAACGCGAGAAATAGTAATAGTCTTCAGTCTTGGCTCTCCAGCTGACCATCAACACAGCCACTGGCGTCGCGGGGTGAAATATTTACCGACGCGTCTTATCGTATAGGAGTCATAACCATTCCTATTTTTTGAACTGTTTATCTTCGCTTGTTTGAATCATTCAAAATGCATCTTTATTGCCGTCAAGTATCCACCTTGTCCCCCCGGTCTTGGAGGGTGATCATAAGTGGCGACGGCCAAGACAAGGTCGTCGATCTGCACGACCCCTCCAAACCCGAATCAGAGGATCTTATACAGTGGTATCTTGAGGATTTTACTGATTCCCCTTTCGCCAACTACCGAGCCAATGCAGCAGTTGCAGAACTTCAGAATTACACGGGATCGCTATGGCAGCAGCTTCAGATTGACGTCGCAGAGTCCTTCACAACCCTTGATAGCTTTAGCTCTATTACTTTGAGTATCATCTTATCTAAAGATCATAATGAAATTGACAAGCTCCACTGGGAACTGCTCGAGAGTTGCAAATCGATCCCCTGTCCCATAATCATCCATAGAGTTCTGCTCAGCGACTCTTCCCCAACGACCCTTCCAATTCCTCAAAGTGTTCAAGTTCACGAAGGAATTTTGCGGATTTTGATTGTCTCTGCAAGATCAAAAAAAAAGGCAGATCTAAATCCCAGGCTCACAACCCTACCTCTTGTGCAAACTTTAGCGGGAGACCCTCGAGTTGAACTAGAATTTGTGCATACCGGGACATTTGAGGAATTTGAGAGTATTCTCAATCAGAGACCGCCTTCTAAAATGGTGCATCTGGTTCATTTTGACCTTCATGGAAGTATTGATCGCGATAAGGGGTAAGGGAATCGTTAAACAGGCTCTTAACTAAAGTTTTTCTTGCTGACTATCTTCAAATCTGAATAGACCAGTGTTGGAGTTCTCAGACTCGAATACGAAGCATCGAACAGGCCACACCGCGTCCTCTGTTGCAGAAGTTTTGCGAAGAAACGGCGTTCAATGGGTCGTCCTATGTGCCTGCCGTACTGCAAAAGTCACTTCATCCTTCAGTCACCTTGCGCTCGAGTTTTTGAATCATGGAGTCACTGGTGTCTTCGCTATGAGATACGAGTTGAAAGCTACAGCGGCAAAAATTCTCACATACTCTTTCTACTTGGCACTATGTCATAATGGAAAATCATTTATCGAGGCCGGGCACTCTTCTCGCCGCGCCATGCACAATGATCCTTCTCGTCCGGCTCGCTTTGGGGAAAATGTCAAGATACAGGACTCGATGGTTCCTATTGTCTATTCAATAAATGGAGCGGACTTTCGCCTGGCAAATGTTCAACCAGCAGATGAAAATTCCAATGTGCTGTTGCCCGAGCTAATCGGCAGGGAAGATGATATTTCCCAGTTGAGCACGTTGCTGCAGGAGAGCTCATTTGTTCTCCTGTCAGCTGACATTGGCAACAGTAAATCCATACTGATGAGGCACCTGGCTTGGTGGTGGAAAGAGACAAAGCTGTTCAAGCGCACTGCCTACGTGAATGTGTCGCTTGCAGAAGCTAACTATGATACAAACAGCTCTGTGGGACTTCTTGCCGTCGCAAAAGGCATATGGCGATCAGTGTTTGGGCAAGATGCTGCGTTACCTATACAATCAGATCCAAAAACATATCTCTTCCAAGCGATGGAAGCAGCAAAGGGTCAAGACCTTCTCGTTTTCCTGGATGGAATTGATGAGATCTATCATCCTTCATCTCAAAGTGATGATACCTCCGAAAAATGGGCGGGATTATTCCGTATTGCTAGGCTTTTATCAATTACCGGCTTCAAATTGCTAGTGGCAACATGTATGCCCTTACTAATTTCCCCTGATGGGGCCAACGAGACTTCGCTCCAGCTTGGTGTCTCCATGTCTACCGAAGAAGTCTTTCAACTCACTTCTTCCAATGCCGAAATTATATTCCCACAGCTAGATAAAGCAGAGAAACCACAGTCACCAGACACACATCTTCATTGCACACTTGAAGTTTTGAAATACAACCGCACCGTCGTGAAAAGCTTGTCTACTTCGTTGGGGGGAAGATTTCACGGGCTAGAAACTGTGCTCTCGTGGGATATTGTGTTCGACGAAAATATCACCAAGACATCATACCTCGATATGTTTACCAAGAAGTCGACCGCACCCTTGTCTCTCAACCTAGGTGACAGCCAAGGTCTCGACCGTACCCACCACCTCATGATCGCAATTTTGAAGCATCTGGCTCAATCTAATCGGTACCCCGACATGTGTGTTTTATTTTCAATTGGCTTGTGGATTGATGTCATGCCACATCCAGAGGAGATCCTTGACATCTTTGAAAATGACGATATATCAGCAAAGATCCCACTTCTTCGATATGTTGTGGATAATATTCCGATGACCGAAGGGCGCAATTCCTTCGTACCATTCGAACTTTGGTCTATTATGAAGGAGATTCCTGTGCCTAGGGTTAAATCGTCATTCTCATCAAAGGTAGAAATTGTAGAATCTTTGACATGTGTTGTGCGGCTGCTTGTGGCAGCCAAACTAATCACAGGCCGAACAAAACCGCTAGTCGACGGAAAACAGGGATATCAGCTTCATCCTGCTCTGACTATCTGGCTTCGTCGTATCTTGCGAGTGCTGCCCTACGATGTCATTCTTATCAACTTTGTTACTTGCATGGAAAATCGAGCTTCCCGAATGGGTGATGCCAACCCTAGTGTCGACGATTTCAGGTCCGGGGACGCGAAACTATTACGAGCCGTTGAGTCGCCGTCCTTTGATTTTGTCGAAATGGAAAAATGGAATTTGATCTCAGCGGTTGTTGTATTAAGCCAAAAGGTCGATATCTTTTCAAGCATGGGAATCGAGCTTCCGTCGGACACTCGCAGATTTGCATGGACGTCATTCTTCGCTCTTTCCCCGATCACTGCCTCCAGAGAGGACTTTTGTACCTGGTTTCTGATACACGTTGCTCTTAAATCTATCAAAAGATTAGCAGCACTCATGCCTGAATCTCACACAGATCCTCTCCCCAGTTCCCTCAACCATTTCCTTTTTCTGGGTCTTTTAAATTGGGTCATCTGGATGGCGCAGAAGTATCGCTTGGATGACAAACTTGCCATGCCTCTGAGGGTGCGAAGGCTTCTTTTAGCCCGTGTGCAAGCTATGAGAGATTGTGGGATACATTGCGATGAAATCTACCACCAAGACTTCGTCATTGCAGAAACACAGGCCTGGCTCAATGAGAGATGGATTACTTTGGGGTCACCTAGTACAGACCATGGCCAAGCAGCAGCACTTGAACAAATCCGGGAGAAGGTTAACATCTCAGTGCAAGGTGTTGAAAGAGGCTGGGATATGAGAATTAATCTACTGGATTCTATCATGAGTGACCTCTCTCTCCCCGAAGGCGATTCCCTTCAAGGTCAAAAAATCAACGAAGACATTGCCGCACGAGATTCTGATCCTCTTCCGGATCATGCCGCTATGACATCGTTTGCCATGAATAAATTTCGTCGATCAATAATGGCACCAGGCAAAAATAGAGACAATCCCACCATCAATGCCTGGATTATGGACATCCTCACGTTCATGGAAACTGATCTTGACTTCATGGCAAGTATGCGACCCTGGTACATTCACAAACTCATTCCCATCTTCACTCACATCCGCAACGGCAATATCCCGCGGGCTATAAAGGCAGCTCTAAGCGGCCTCAGTGTGGCTGAGCGTGATGGCGATACACTACTGGCCTCGAACTTTCGTCAACTCAGCCGCCGATTAGCCGATCTGGACACCATCGATGAATATGATGCTCAACAGACCATGCTCGCACGTACTTCTGAGAAGTCTGTGCCAGTTCTTCGAGATCTCTTGTTGATTTATCTGGCCAATCACGACACGCCTGGTGCATACGAGCATGTCAAGAAAGAACGTGTCAAAATAGAGACCGATGGAGCCATTTTTTCGGCATTACGCAAGATGATGGAGGGTATTTCTGGTGACTCACAGGGATCCCTATTGGCTAACTTGCCGGATAGCGATGCATTCAGCCAGACTGGACTTGAGGGGTGGGATCAACTTCTTACGATCTTAGAGCCATACAAAAATGAGAAGCTGGAGGATAAATTGGAATGGGTCTCCTTGATGAAGCAAATTTGGAATCTTATGGATGAACTTTTCAATCGAAATACGCCAAACGATCAAGCTTGGTTGCTTGATCTCTATAGAACCCACCCTGAACCGAGAAAGGCAAGAGACTTCTAGAGCAAAATCAGGGTATATCGAATGGAGATCCATAAAATTATACCTAGCTTTTTGTGGAGGTTTGAAGTATGTTCTATTTTTTCGGCATAGGGATGATACTAGTCATGCTGACTTTTTTTTTCGATAGTTACAATTGGCGCATCCTGACCAATAATGGAAACGTTGGAATTCATGGACTCCAATGCGTTTTTGCGTGTTCTCTTTATATATCTTCTCAAGTGTCTTTTTACATGTATACGAAGCGGTAAAAAGCATAAATTGTGCAGGGAACTTTTCTACGTATAACCTCTGAGTAATAGCTCAATTCTGGTAAACTATCATGGAAGTATGAGCTATCAGGTTGCTATGTTCCAATGAATACAATAGAATATAGAATGTAAATGACAACAGAGATCTCAAGAAAGATCAATCACTGCTCTCCCAAGCAAGCTTCCTGCCTTCATATCCTGGAAAATCTGGGAAAGCTTCTCCATTGGCAGCGTCTGTAAGTGGACCTTGACGATTCCCCGAGCAGCGAAGTCCAACACCTCAACAGCGTCAACACGATTGCCAACAGCCGATCCGATGATCTTTAATTGCTTCGCGATCAAAATCCCAGGATAAGCGCTAGCGATTGGCTTTCGTTCGCCTGAAGGGATTCCAACACAGACCAGGGTACCACTGAACCTTAGGAATTGAACCGCTTGGCTGTAGGCGCTATTGGCAGCAGTACAGACAATGGCAGTGTGAGCCCCAAGTCCTCCAGTTAGAGATTTGATGTGGTTTATAATTGCCGCGCCGTCATCATCTGCAGGGAACTTGGTAATATCCACAAAATGTTCGGCGCCTGACTCCTTGACCAATTCTGCTTTTGATCCATGATCAACACCGATGACACGGAATCCCATTCCCTTGCTGGCAATTTGAACTGCTAGGTGTCCAAGTCCGCCTCCTGCCCCAGAGATGACAACCCACTGCCCAGGTGCGGTCATGCTACCTTTAAGAGCAGAGTAGACAGTAAGCCCCGCGCAGAGTAGAGGCGCGACTTGAGCAGACTCTACTCCATCTGGGACCCTAGTCACGTAATTGGCAGGACCCAGGACATATTGTTGGAAAGTTCCAGGAGTGTAAAATCCGGACACCTTCTGGTTAAAGCAAAGGCTGTCCGACTGCATTTGGCATGGTTCTGCGCATTTTTAGGTCAGTAGAATTCAACGAGTCTCATAGCTGTGAAATTATAATCTCACCGCAGTTTCCACAAGCACTTGCGACCCATTTCACACCAACCCTGTCTCCAATCTTTATGCCAGAATTGCCTGTTGCCGAACCCAGCTTCACGACACGACCAACTCCTTCATGGCCGCCAACTTGTCCCTGTGGGGTCGGTGGAAGGCCTGCCCACTGATCGACTGGTCAGTTGAATCAATAATTTTGATCTTTTTCACATGAGTTAAACATACACTATTTGTCATTATATCGAGATCGGAGTGACAGACGCCAGAATGGGTCCTATAGGCGAGTTGTGAGCCATAGAAACTGATGGGGATATATTGTCTACTGCAAACCAAGTAATTGACAGAACTTACAAGTTTATCAAAACCTCATCTGGGCCTGGCTCAGGAATGTCAATCTCCACGATATCGATAGAAACTGATCCGGGCGAGTTGTAGACTGCAGCTTTCTGCTTCATCGGTAGGGCTGGCGTGGAAACCTTCATCTTGATCTATGACGAATTTAAGAAAGGATAAAAGGCCAACAGATTGAGGGTAGAATAGTGATGAGTAGAAATGTAAGCACTAGTTCATCCAAGACATGATTATGGGGAGAACAGTGTTATATATTGACCGAGACATCCATGGATATTAGAATCAACGGAAATGTCAGCCTCAGAAGGACCCCCGCAAACAGGAATCCCGGTAAATCAAAGAACTATGTTGAATTAAACTTGTAAAATATTTCGGCAGTATCAAACCGACTGCATGTTTTTGTGTATAAAAGGGATAATGAGTGCAAATAATCTCATGATGCCGAGAGCGGCAATCGCTTCCATGCTCCCGACAAAATACGGAGAATGAGCAGCGAAAGAACTTTATGAATACAGTATATAAAATCAAGTACTTCAGCAAGATATTGAACTCAATTCTTTTCAGGACAACAATACCATCAATCACTCGCTCGATACATAGCTTATTCTATTTTTCTGATCACGATGGTAACGAACGGAGCACCTCGAGCGAAGTTTCCCAGTACCGAGACTTTTTATGGCTTCAATAAACCATCTCGCCTCGAAGGTGACGTCTTTGACTGCGAGGTAGATGGAGATATTCCTACCGATATCGATGGCACTTTTTACCGCGTGCAGCCAGACCATCGCTTCCCTCCAATGTTTTCTGATGATATCCATTTCAATGGCGACGGAAGTGTGAGCGCAGTTCGCATCGCCAACGGTCGAGTAGACTTCAAGCACCGCTATGTCCACACCGACCGCTACAAAGTCGAAAGCGCGGAAAGAAAATCACTTTTTGGCAAGTACCGGAATCCATTTACAGATCATCCATCTGTAGAAGCGGTCATCCGGACAGCAGCCAATACAAACGTTTTCTTCTGGAGAGGTGCACTACTTGCCACAAAGGAAGACGGTCCACCATTCGCAATGGACCCAGTTTCCTTGGAGACAATCGGGCGTTATGACTTTGACGGTCAAGTGTTATCACCCACCTTTACTGCGCACCCAAAATTCGATCCAGTCACAGGAGAAATGGTCTGCTTTGGCTATGAGGCCGGTGGGAATGGAAATGACGGATCTTGTGATATTGTGGTATACACCATTGATCCCAACGGTAAAAAGACCGAAGAGGCTTGGTATGAAGCACCTTTTTGCGGCATGATCCATGATTGCGGGTTATCCGAGAACTACTTGGTTCTACCTATGACCCCTCTGAAGTCCTCCCTCGATCGTATGAAGGAAGGAGGACGACACTGGGCATGGGACCCCAAGGAGGATCAGCTTTACGGCATCGTACCTAGAAGAGGTGGAAAGCCGGAAGATATTGCATGGCTCAGAGCAGACAATGGTAAGACGGACATGTTTTTCTTTCTCATTTTTTCAACCTTCATTTTAAAAATTAGCTAACATACGAAAAACCAGGTTTCCATGGACACGTAGCAGGCTGTTATGAGAACGAGGAAGGAAAAATCGTTTTCGACCTCTCCGTTGCTGGCGGAAATGTCTTTTTCTTTTTCCCCCGGAGGATGCAATGGCTGGAACAGTGGCAGAGAGGAACAAAACACCTAATCAGACCGTTCGCTGGGTCTTCGATCCCAAATCGAAGACTGACACGCGTGTCACTCCGTTTGAGATCATGAACACCGTCAACGGTGAATTTTCACGCATTGATGACCGCTTCGTTACGAAGGAATATCAGCATTTTTGGCAGGCATTGATCGATCCAAGTCGGCCGTATGACTTTGAAAAGTGCGGGTCACCCGCAGGAGGTCTATTCAACTGCCTAGGTCATTTCACCTGGGATAAGAAGGTGAGGGATATATACTGGGCAGGCCCAACAGCTACCTTCCAAGAACCCACTTTCATTCCGAAAGATAGCGGGATCGAAGGTGACGGATATATCATCGCGTTTCTTAATCACCTTGATGTCTTACGAAACGACATTGTGATTCTGGACGCCCAAAATCTGAAGGATGGCCCCATTGCCACTATTCGTCTACCTTTCAAGTTACGCCTGGGGCTTCATGGAAACTTTGTCGATCACAAAGACATAACAGCTTGGCAAAAGCGAAGAGAAGAAGGGGGTGAAGTTGGACCAGTGCGTGCGGCAACCGAGCCGCTCCCATGGCAGAAACAGCTTGTCTCACAGTAATAGTAGCTTCTGATGATAGTATAAATGGAATCAGCGTTGGAGATGTATATCTCTTGCATTATTTTCAGTAGGTACTATGATCGTGATGAATGAAAGATAAAATCGACCATCCCCTATTCGGCCCGGTCCGAGCCGGCGTTTGGGGTGTTTTGCGGGGAACTAATCCGTATAGAAAAAGCAAAAACGTAGGATATAGGCTTCCGATCGTATATCAAATTAATACTTCGCTTCAATTTGGCCATTTTTAGACCATTAGCATTGATTTTCCTAGCCCAAAGTAAAGTGACTATCACAATCAGAACTGGTCTTCCGTTATTTGCAGGAAGGCAGTAGTTTCGGATCAAGCGTGTGGAGGAGTTCAATCGTCTATTGATGTACAACATAAGTGAAGCTCTCTCTTAGCTTCCAATTCTAGAGAAGTTGAAAGAAAGCAGGAATGGGTATTTGATCTACTTAACTGGAAATACGAAATTGTTGGTGCCGGCCGTGAGGGGTATGTAGGCCACGTAAGTACCATCTGAGTGATCGGTGTCCGAGTGATCGGCGAGCGGCATCCGCAGGCTATGCTCAACTTCGCTATCCTATAAATATAAGGGATGAGACCAAAATGAAGCGAAGGATAAACCAAAAAATAATCGGTAGCATACCTCCGCCACTGAAAGGGCTGCTACTTCGGCTGCCCAAATTGGAAAGTGGAGAGTATCTACATAGCATGCAACAGCTGCAACAGTGGGGTAAAGAAAGACGAAGAGCGGAGTCCGCAATAATAGATGCACCTACCCACTATGCATGTATAATCACATATTATTGACCAGCAGCCTAGTAGTCACTCGAGCTACTCGGCAATTCAAGAACTAGGATCTACCCGGGTCCTTTGGTTATATGTGCATCATGATTCTAAGGTTTTTTTCATTCTCTTAGAGGAGTTTTAGACTCTTCACAGAGGGAAATTTTATATCAAGACTTTTACACACGAAACTAAAACGTCTTATCAACATGTCATTTGACATATTGCATGTAATCATTTGCCTTGCCATTGGTCTTGGACTCTGGAATGTTCCTCATGCCATCTACAATCTCTTCTTTTCTCCATTGAGAAAGGTCCCGGGTCCTTTCCTCGCTCGTTTTTCGAGTTTCTGGGAATTAAACGCCATTCGGAGAAATGGGCTTAATGAAACCTACATACAGCTACATGAGAAATACGGTCAGAAGCCTCTCTTTCTTGGCTTTTGCAACCCTAGCTGACCGGAGATTTCGCATGCATCAGGACCTGTCGTACGTATTGCGCCAAACCGCTATAGTTTCAATACCCCAGAAGCTTTGAAGACTATATACGCAACAACGGGGGTTTGTCAAATCAGACTGGTACGCAGCGGCAGGTCATCCAGATCGGCCGAATATCTTGAACACGCGAGATGTGCGTGTTCATGCTGAGAATAAGAAGAAAATTGTCAACTTATACACCGTGTCGACCATGGTCAATTACGAAGGGGCTGTCGAGAAAATGAATGTGGTGCTAATGCGCAAGTTCCGTGAATTCGCCGAGACAAGGAGGCTCGTTCAGCTCCCAGTTTTCTTACAATATTATGCCTTCGATGTAATTAGTTATATCACGGTAAGTCTCCAACTTTCACACGCAAAATTTCGTCGCCAACAACGTCACAGATGGATAGAAGTTTCGACATGATGGAAACAGAAAGGGACCGCACTGGTTTCCTACATAAGATTAAAGTGGCCACGGAACATCAAATGAGCTTTGGTCCCTTCCCTTTCTTACATGTTGTACTCACTAGGGTTGCTGCCTTGCTTAAATTGAAAGATCCGCATAATGAGTTGTTCCAATTCATCGGAGAATCGATTCAACGGTTTCGTCAAGTCGGCTCTGAGCCCAATGAGAACCCAAAGTCTGAACCATTCCTCGCCAAACTTCTCGATCTAGAACTGAAAGGGAAAATTGATGAAGGATCTATTTTCAGTTCTTGTGGTTCGAACGTCATCGCTGGGTCTGATACTACAGCTATCACTCTAAGTGCTGCTTTCTTCTACATATACCAAAACCCAATGGTTCTCAAGAAGCTCCGGGATGAGATTGATGCACATGAACGTGCAGGACTTTTGTCGAGTCCGGCTGGATTCAAAGAAGCGCAGCAGATGCCATATCTACAGGGAATAATTAGGGAAACGCTTAGGATGCACCCGGCCGTGGCGCAAATGCTACCACGAGAGGTTCCGCAAGACGGTGTCGTCCTCAGTGGATATCATTTCCCAGCAAAGGTGTGTAAAAATCTTACTACACATTACTGATCGTGTCATCGAGATTAATTATTTTGTTCAGACACAAGTCGGCATCAGTGCATGGGCACTGCACTATAACCCAGAACTGATTGATTCCCCGCGAGTTTTCCGTCCTGAAAGATGGCTCGAGGGTGATGCAAACAAACCGCTAAGTCCGGCCTTGAATTTCGCGGTTCGTGAATAGCTCGATAAGCCCTTTGCTTTGCGTAAATACTGATTTTTATGGTTTTAGTTCGGCGGTGGCTCGCGTGTCTGCCTCGGCAAGAATATCAGCCTGCTTGAGATGGCCAAAGTCATCCCTGAAGTGGTGCGTCATTTCGATATTCGCTTTAAAAATCCAGGTCAGCGGTGGGAACTTGATGTAGGCTGGTTCACCTGGTCATCTTACAAGTGCTGGATTGAAGAGAGGAGACCTGCGAAGGGCTAATCTTCAAACTTACGGCCAAGTTTTTGCTTTTTTTTTATGTCTAGCAAACCTCAAGGACTGTTTGAGGGTTGCTGATATATGAAGTTTCACACATTATATGACTTGAAATGTTCTTTTTTGGTGTCTTATATTATATTATGACTCCAAGCGGAGTATAGCGCTTCTGGTATTAACAACTTAGTGGCTACGAAATACTCCAGGGCTGGCTATTATGTTGGTCTCACCTAGTAGCATGTAATATCGAATACAAAAATAAGAAACTGCATGTCCAGCACCAACAGCAACACACCAACATCAAAGCCTACGGGATGAAATCATTGGATATCCGTAATCCCTAAACTCATAAGCCAAGCCACCATACCTGCCCGCGTTGGCCCCAATTTATTCTAAGAAAATAGTAATTACAGGTAACCACCAATAATATCATTAAAGCTTTATGCTCAGCTTCTACTAAATCGCTGAAGTGCTTTTTTTCCAGAATTTCATTTAATGATCTCTTTCCAAGGTTAGCGCGGTCAGAATTAGACGACCGTTGCGAGAAAAGAGTACTTTGTAGTGTCTTGACATATGTACTCGAACGTACACGTAAAGCTACAGCAACCGAAATGTAAATATATGTACTACCCTTTTTCAATCACAAAAATAGACTAGAAGTACACCGCTATCCAATACTCCATGTATCTATCCGTACTCTGGTCAACCGCAGCAACTGCAAACGGAACGATAATAGAGCTGCAGGGAAAAAACCCCCCAAATAGAAGAGATGTGAGAAGAAACATTTGAATTCTACTCTTATCTCACCATGTACATACGTGTACATAGCACATTCTCCTTACTTGTAGTACCCGTATCAAATTTCTAGGTAGTACTATGTAAAAGCGTAGGAATAGGCGAGGAAAGCCTGTCATGGACACATCATTCCTACAAATAGAAGCTTCTATTGTAACCACCTATAAGTACTTGCCCAATTGTCAGCCTATTTATACAATCACACTATATACCCTTGTTGCCTAGGGCCAACACATCAAACAAAGAACCTGGTGATGATCGATGATACATCCACTCTAAATACTTAATAAGCCGTCCATCCCCCATTCCCTCATTCCCCACTATCATTCTCTTTTATTTTTCATTTTCCAACCCATATAGCCATCTGTACCCGAGTCTATCTTATTATGAGTGACAATCGAGGTCGTGGACGAGGTGATCGTGGAGGTGATCGTGGTCGTGGTGATCGAGGTCGCGGTGGTGCCGATCGGGGTCGGGGTCGCGGTCGCGGAGATAATCGCGGTGATTTAGCTTTCCGCCCAGCCGGTAGGGGCGATGGAAATCGTGGAGATTTCAGAGGTGATTTCAGAGGTGATTTCAGAGGCCGAGGTGGTGATAGAGGTCGTGGAGGTGACTTTCGAGGTGGAGGCGACTTTCGAGGTGGAGGTGATCGAGGAGGTCGTGGTAGAGGTGATTTCCGCGGCCGTGGTGATTTTCGTGGTAGAGGTGATTTTCGCGGCGGCCGTGGTGGAGGTGGAGGACGTGGGGGAGCTACCAACTTTGGCCCACCTATCTTCAGGTTTGCCTCGCACTCTTCGCTGCTTATTAAACAAATCTAATCCTCGGGGCCTTTGCTTATAGACAAGGCGAAGCTATCCCACCACCTGACCCCACCGTCACCAAGACCGAAAATGACCTTGCCAAAGCCCTTGTTGTGGGCGGCCAGAAGACCCCCAGGCAGGCCAAGTATCCCGAACGTCCCGGTTACGGCACAACTGGCAGGCCAGTGACTTTGTATGCGAACTACCTGCCATTAACTCTGCCTAACAGGCAGCTGTTCCGCTACAACATTGCCATTGCAGCCGACTCAGCCGGCCGAGCTGCACCTGTGGGGAAGAAGGCCCGACACATTGTGCGTCTGCTGTTGGAGGAGCACTTCCCACAACAGAAGAACAGTATTGCGTCGGACTTCCGGTCTACCCTAATCTCGTGTGTCAAATTGACCGAGGGCAAATTCGATGTGCGATACAAAGAGCACTTGGATGATGACTACCTGGATCCACCCAGGGTACATCAGGTTACTTGCCAGTATACTGGCGAGGTCAATCCTGCTGACTTGGTTAACTACCTGACCTCCACCAACGCCGGTGCCATGCTTGAATCCAAGTCTGAGATTGTTGCTGCTCTCAACATGATCATGGGACACCACCCCAAGACCGACGACCAGGTCGTCTCTGTTGGGGCCAACAGACACTACAGTCTGCGTCAGGATACCATGGAATCGTTCAACCTTGGCGGCGGTCTATCCGTCCTGCGTGGATTCTTTGTCAGTGTGCGTGCCGCAACTGCTCGTGTGCTCTTGAACGTCCAGGTCAAATATCTGGCCTGTTACAATGAGGGACCTTTGATGAACCTGATCCAAGGCTACGGCAACAGGAACACTTATCGATTGGAAAAGTTTCTCAAAAGCCTACGTGTTCGCATCACCCATATCACCCGCAAAAACAATCGCGGTCAGCCTCGGCCTCGTATCAAGCCTATCTATGGCCTAGCCAACCGTGGTGATGGTGGCTCTTCCCCCAACCCGCCCAAGGTTCCCCGCCACGGCGCTGGTCCCCAAGATGTGCAATTCTTCCTAGCCGAATCTAGCCCTCAGCCCGTCGCCGTGCCTGGTGTGTCCGAATCCAAGGCTAAGAAGGGAAAGAAAGCGCCCAAGGCTGGTCCTGCGGAAGCCGGTCGCTACATCACCGTTGCGGACTTCTTCAAAAAGGGTCCGTTTATCTTCATTTTTTATTTACATTTCCTTCGACTCGCTTTCTCCTCGTGTTGTGCTGACTTTCCTCTTAGAGTACAACATGGCTTTAAATGCAAACCTCCCTGTGGTGAATGTCGGGTCTCGCGACAGACCTGTCTATCTCCCCGTTGAGGTCTGCGAAGTGGAGCCTGGCCAACCAGCTAAATCCAAGCTTTCTGGCGATCAGACAGCCAGCATGCTCCGCTTCGCCGTTATGGGTCGAAAGCCGGGTCAGAACGCCCAGTCGATTGTCACCAAGGGTGTTGGCGTGCTGGGACTAGGCGAGCCATTGAATGCCACACTAGTAAGCATTCTCTCGGTCTGAAGATCCTGTCAAAATATCTAACCTTTTACAGTCTGCTTTCGGTGTTAACTCTTCCACTGAGCTGATCACGGTTCCTGGGCGCGTTCTCCCCGCCCCAAATGTCTACTACAAAGACGGAAACAGGACCAAGGAAATCAGGACTCAATTTGGCAGCTGGAACATGCGCCAAATCCAGTTCTCTAAGCCTGCAGCCATGAAATCCTGGAGTTATCTCTATATTGACCAGGAAGGCTCCCGGCAAATTTTCCAAAGCCCAGATCAGCTCAACGCATCTCTGATGGCCTTCAGAAAGACGCTCAAGGATATGGGAATGTCCGTGGAACCCCACAAGCAAGGCAAACGTGTCGTTCTAACCGGCAAGAACGACGCCGCTGATATCGAGCAAGCTGTCGATGATCTGAAAAAGCAGCACAACCCAATATTCATCTTGGGTATACTATACACCAAAGACACTGGCATTTACAACTGCGTCAAGCAAGTCTGCGACGTCCGTTTCGGAATCCGAAACGTGAACGTCCTCGCAGAGAAGCTCATCAACTCCAACGACCAGTACAATGCCAATGTTGGCCTGAAAATCAACCTAAAACTAGGCGGTGCTAACCAAGCCCTCCGCACCGCCGACCTCGGAATCATCTCCGAAGGCAAGACCATGCTAGTCGGCATAGACGTGACCCACCCTTCGCCAGGCTCTGCCAGCACAGCCCCCAGCGTCGCAGGAATCGTCGCTTCCGTGGACGCAACCCTCGCCCAATGGCCCGCTGAGATCCGCGTCCAAGGTGCCCGCCAAGAAATGGTCGCCGACCTCGAGACCCTGCTCGCCTCGCGCCTCCGTCACTGGCGAAACCTAAACAAGGCTCTCCCGGAAAACATTATCGTCTACCGCGACGGCGTCTCAGAGGGCCAATACAACAAAGTTATCGACGAGGAACTCCCCCTGCTCCAAGAAGCATGCAAGAAGACCTACCCAGCAGACCAGACGAAGAAAGGTCTCCCTCGTCTCGCTATCATCGTCGTCGGAAAGCGCCACAACACCCGCTTCTACCCAACCACAGAGCAGGACTCGAACCGCGAGAACCCAACTCCCGGAACCGTCGTCGACCGCGGCGTCTCCGAGGCCAGAGACTGGGACTTCTTCCTCCAGGCTCATTCTGCTCTCCAGGGCACAGCCCGTCCAGCTCACTACTTCACCGTCTGGGACGAGATTTTCTACCCCCGTCACCCGGCTAACAGCACCGGCCCCGGCGCGGCTGATGTCCTCCAGGATCTCACACACAAAATGTGCTACATGTTCGGCCGTGCTACGAAGGCGGTTAGTGTCTGCCCGCCGGCGTACTATGCCGATCTTGTTTGTACCCGTGCTCGATGCTTCTTGAGTGATCTCTTCGACCCTATGCCTCTTGATGGCTCTGGTGGTAGCACCAGTGGCACGGAGGCAACGGATATCTCCCGTACGGCGGATGTCAAGATTCATCCTAATATTGCCGAGACTATGTTCTACATCTAGGCTGAATTGTTTGAGTTTTCGTTTGGTCTTCTATTGGATATCTACTATATGTGTGCGTATCTTTTGAAATCTAAATGACTCGACTTGAATGGATTTGATGGTGGAATTGGAGGAATGGGAACAATTTGCTGGAGGAAGCATATCATATTTTGGACCTGGAAAACCAACTTACATTCGCTCGCTCATCCTTGGTCTTTGGGAAATATCGTTTGGGATATTTCGTCTCGCTCAGCTCCGATACTTGGACATCGGAGATTACACGAGATTGACATCTATCGACGTCTATCAACATCTATTTTACTATGGTGGATTATGACTTAGCTGTGAGAGTCAATTGAATCTTCAAACGATAACATCTTCTACGACCCTTGAGTAGGCATATACTATGTTTCTCTACGATACCTACAGTAGAAGAGATTTTACTAATCGGAAAAATCAAAGTATCACACCATTAAATTAACAAATAAACGAGTCCCGCTCTCGTGGAAATAAACTTGTAAACTAGTGACATTTTGAGGGCAAGGTACAGGAAGGATAAAAAAATAAAGGAAAAGAAGGAAAATAGACAAGAAGGCAAGGGTTGAAGATAATACACGCAGGCCAGGCATTCCACACTGCACTCCAACTGCAGGGTTCCAAGCGCGAAGTGAAGGAAAGCCCTCAGTCACTTTTTTTAGGTTCTTTTTTAGGGTTATTTTGCAGCTTCAAGGACAAATGTCCAAAATTCATGCGGGTATCGATACATTGCTCGTGATCGGAAAGAGGGCGCGCTTGTCGTGTAACGAGAATACGGAGATGAGACGACATCTCCATTGACAAGGGATACATACGGAGTACCAAGCTAAGCCCTAGACCAGCGAAAGCTCACTCAGTTGTCTCCATGATTCCAGCTGGGCTGGTTGTGGCCGAGAGGGTTGCGCTGTGCGGTGGCATTCCTCCTAATCGGCTCCGGGGACGCTTCGTCATAGTTATCCCAGTGTGACTCCATCATCTTATTGTGCTTGTTGTGGTTCTGGGTAGGGTGGGGAGGAGATGCCTCGTCGTAGCTGTGCCAGTGTGCCTCCATTGCCTTATTGTGCTTTTCGTGCTTTTGGGTGGGCAGAGGTGACTGCTCGTCATAGTTATCCCAATGGGACTCCATCATCTTATTGTGCTGGTCGTGATTCTGGGTAGGCTTGTTCTCCTTGGCGGCGGGCGATTTGTCGGCCAGTTCAAATTGCGAAACAAAGTTCTTGTTACGGCTGACGACGTTACCGCCTGTTGCCAGGGGCTCGCTCTTCTTCTCGCGCTCGGAAAGCTCGGGCTGGCCGTTGTCATCGAAGAGGCGGTTCTCGTAGAGGCGCTTGCCACGGCCTCCAAATGAGCTGATGATCCGGCCGTCGTCCTCAGATTCTTCATCGGTCATCTCAAAGTGGCGGTCTGCGTCACGACGGGGCTTGGTCGCATTGGGCTTTGCTTGCGGTGATCCGGTGCCTTCCTCGTTATCGCCGAAGCCAAAGTGGCGTACTTCTTCTCCACGAGGGGCGCGCGAGCCCTTGACAGGGGTCTCGATGTCGTCGAAGTCCCAGTGGGTTGAGTGGGGGGTCTTGGCTTGTTTGACTTCTGCCTTGACCTCGCGGTTCGAGTTGTCGCCGCCAATCTCGAAGTGGTTGTATTTACCGGGGATAGATTTATAGAAATGACGGTCTTCGTCGACGGGCCCTGCTCTAGCCTCTTCTTCGCCGCCAATCTCAAAGTGGTTGTATTTTCCGGGGACCGATTTATAGAAATGACGGTCTTCGTCGACTGGCCCTGTTCTAGCCGTTTCTTCATCTTCATCAACTCGGGGAGCTCTGCGTGACTTCGAAGGCGAGTCGGGCATATCATCATCCTTCAGGAAGATATCGCTGAAGTTGCGCGTAGCAGGTCGCGCAGATGAGGGCGCAAAGGGAGCCACATGGGCGGGTGCCTTCTTAGATGGGGACAGAAGCTCATTCAAGGAGCCCGCTCCATAGGGGTCCTGGGTATATCTCTTGCTTGGGGCGGGTCTAGATGACTTAGGGCGGCTTTCGCCATCAGCAACCTCCTTGTTCGGGGAGATGAGCTCAGTCAGGGAGTTGGCTGAGTACGGATCTTTGATACGGCGCTTGCCCGGGGATGAGGAGCGGTCGGGGAGCTTAGTCTCTCCATTTTGAGAAGACTGCGAGGGTGCCAAACGCGTTGTTTCGGCGATTTTGAGGAGACGGAGTTGGTCTTTCCCATCACGGATGGGCCATTGGCGTCCGCGCGCTCCAATAACCTCGACATGCTTCAGCAATGAAGCCTGATCCCAGTAAATTCGAATCTGCTTGATAAGTTGGTTGGCGTCGAAGTGGACGATGTGAATCTGCAAGACGCTGCATTAGCTTTTGATAACGCGACGCGCGTCGGGGAATTTACCGTGGGGAAAGTCGCAACACGGTCGGCCAGGAAATTATCGTCGAGCGAGGGGAGATAAACCCCGCCACCCTCAGTGAATTCGAGGGTTGTTTCCATGTCGAGACATAGCGAATCCGATCCTTCAATGGCGCTGATGATCTGGTTCGATTTGGTCTTCACCACCTTTGCGTTCTTCAACACATGAGTGATCACATTGTCGGCCTGCTCGAACTTCGTCGTAGTAGGAACATAGATCATGGACACATCGTCGGCCAATTTAGCAGTTCTGGGGTTATCCAGAAACCGCTGGTATTCGGTCTTGAAGTAGGACATTGTCAACTGTGTAGGGAGAGGTGTTTTGAAAGGAGGACGATATTCCAGAGAAGAAAGCTACTCTAGAATACTCTAAAAGTGAGCTAGATGAGATTGAAGTTACAAACAAACTATTTTTTTTCAACTAAGAAAAAAAAAAAAGAAAGGGAAGGAGAGAAGGGAAAGGAAACGGTAGTTTCTGTTTCTACGAGGCCAAGTACGGGGAGTACAACGTACTCCGTACTCCGTACAAAATATTATACAGGGGGAACGCTAGAACCATTTAGTACTCGGTACCTTGCATATATGCAAATGTAAATAATGTAAATGAAGTTAATGCAAATAGTAAAACGCGCTGAAATCCTCTAAAATAACCTGAAAACACGCCAGTGTTTCACCATACAGGCCTAGGCTTGGGGGCTTGGCTCGGGCGCGTCCCTCCGGCAACTGATACACTCTAAAGGCTTCAGCCTCTACAGGGGGTATGGATTGCACAGGGTTAGACATGCAACATGAGGTACATTGTACATTTCAGAGTACTAGATTGAAAATGCCCAGTGGTTGACACAATCTCTAGCGAGTCAGAAGTCATTCCAGTTGTCTGCAATGGCGAACACCGAAATCCGACACTCTCAGGTAGAAGACATGATCGGGCTTTCATAGAAATATGGCCATTCAAGTCAAAGTATGGCATATGTATTGAGCAGGGAATTGTCAAACTCCAGCTCCTGATCGGCCAGTTCTTTCTTTTCTCTGTTAGGCAGTAAAGCCGGTCCAAGCACTTGCCGTATCTTCGGGGCACGATAGATAGCATGGTAGATTATCGTATTGGTGAAAAAGGGTGGGTATGTGTTGCAATCGTGTCTCATTACAAAGGTCTGTTGAAGAGAAACCACGTTAGAAAGGCCATGTGCGCTGGGTGCGGTTCGAAAGACTTACCCAAGATAATCCTCCTTGATGGTGCCAATAGCATTGATAGCAGCCACGTCGGGCTTGACACCGAGAATCTTCAACCGCAGACTGGTTCCTTTCTCGATCACTTGATCGGCATGATCAGTATATTGCGGCGGCACGGTGTTGGGCTCCCACTTGATATCGGAGGGGATGTTCTGACAGATTGTCAGCAGTGAAACTTACAGACTCATGGTCAGAGGAAACAAAAACATACCTTTCGCGCAATGAAGACAGACAATGGGCCCGCCAGGGTGAAGATACCCGTGGGCTTAACAGAAGTAACAATGGCATCGACCTGAGCTCAGTCAGCAGGAATTCAAAGGTGGCAGATAACCTCGGATCCCGAGTGCATACCGTCTCTCCACGGAACGGCTTCCAGATGATCGCACGATATCTGATGGTGTATTCTGCCATTCCGATTCCAGGCATCACCCGCCCCTCGCCAATATCAACCATGTCCATGACACAGATCACAAAGTGATCACCTGTGCACCGTCCCTCTTCCTCCTCGTTGAGTCGACCGATGAGGTACTCTCGCATGTTAGGTCCGAAATAGGACGGGTGCATGGAGATCACCTTGGTCTCTTCTTTTAGGAAGAACATTGTCGCGGCTATGGTTGGATAAAAATGCGCTAATGTCGAAGTGCGGAGTGCAAAGATTCAAGTCGCTTTCGGGACAGTAATGCTGTCAATCGAGGTCGAGGGACGGCGTTTTCGACCACGAGCTCATGACCTGCAACGGTGAAGCACAAACAAGACGTGGCAGCCAGAAATGAGCGAAATGAGATCCGAGTACCCGTGGGAGTGGCAGAAATTGTATCTGCCTTGGATCTTGAGCGAGGAGGCAGATACAGTTGCTGCAGGCGCAAGCTTTCCCTTCGTAAGAGCATCTCCGGTCTGGTGGGCCAAGTTTGGGTGGGCGGAGTCACGTGGTACGATTATCGCACAGGGGAAAGTTGACTCGATATTTGCACGTTTGAAGTCATTGAACATTCATTTTGCATTGAGTATGTCACTTACTCGAATAGTTAAATGTCTTCAACAGTGTGCGTGATGATAATTTAGCCATGACCGAGTGGAGGATTGCTGCTTATGTGAAGAACGATTGGATGATCTATATAGACCATATATGTTTGACAACATGTACAGAAGTCACGAACTTTGCTGAATTTACGTCTCCAGCTCAACTTATAGTAAGACTTTTATGCTATATATAGCCTTTCCGGGTCGGCTCTGACTGGTTATTGTGTTCAAAATTTGGCTCAAACATATACCATGACACTATATATATCTGCCTTCTTGTATCTTCAACTTCGTGAGATTTATATTATGACCGAGCTCTAAATCTACAATTCGGAATATAGAAGACCCTACTGGATCTTCACCCTATAAATCCAAAGACATCGAAAGTAAAAACAGCTAAGCTTGTAGGAAAACATAGTCTAATGCCACACCGGAACATTTCGTACTAGCCCCGGAGGACCTTACAATATCATATACTCCGTAGTCAACGACCAGTTTAATGAGACACGGGAGAGAACCCCAATCATAAACGTATAATATATTACCTGCAATGCAGGATATCTTAGCAAAACTATAATTTAGATGGGCTGATAGGCCTGTAGAAGGCGGGTTGCCCTGCAGTCCATGTATGTATACCAATTACGCTGCCAAGACCAAGACCAAGACCAACGTCTTCCTCGGCCTGAGCACATGACGCCAGGACCCTTGAATATCAATTGCACCACTCAACGCTTTCCGATAAAACATGATGCCACTTGCCTAATCCCATCACCCCGCAACTCTCTTCCCCCAGAATTCCCCATCTTTTTGTTCTCCACCAGGCAAGATGGCGCTTAACCTTGAGAAACAGTTGCTTTTCGTAAGCATCCACATCTAACTCCCAGAACGACTACAACATATAGCTGACTGTGATCTAGTACGGAGCCTACCATAGCAATCCCGTATAGCGACCCTACCCCTGTCGCCAATCACACACAGAGATCACTAACAACGCAGGTCAACGTCGCAATCCACGTCACCTGCGTCCCAACCCTACTGTTCACCGGCATCATCCTCGTACGTGCATCTCGGCATTTTCCACCACCTAAACAGGATATCCCTAGTGTACAAAAGTGCTAACAGCGACTCCAAAGGCTTGTAACTGCCCTCCCCTCGTCACACTCCCGGATGCCCTCCAAATCGAATACCTGCCCGTTAACGCCGGCACCATCGGCGCTCTTATATACGCCACCTTCTATATCCTCCTAGAGCCCATGGCCGGGGGCCTACTCACACCCGCCTTGATTGCAGCTGCATACTACGGAAACTATTTCCTCAGCACGTACGGCATCATCGTGAACTACTGGGCCGGGGCCATCCACGTCGTGTCATGGCTGGCGCAGTTTGTCGGACACGGTGTGTTTGAGAAGCGTGCCCCCGCCTTGCTAGACAATCTTGTCCAGGCTTTCCTACTTGCGCCGTTGTTTGTCTGGATGGAGGTTCTGTTTTTCTTTGGATATCGCCCGGAGCTCAAGAAGCGCTTTGAGAAGGGCGTGGAGCTGGAGATTCTGAAGTTCCGGAAGCAGCGGGATGAGAAGAGCAAGAGCAAGAGCAGGGGCAAGGTGGAGCAGTAGATGGTGGCTTGTGCGTGCATCATGCAGCAAGGGGAGATATCGCTCGTCAAGACCAGGAGCTATATGTTCTCATGTTGTCTTGGTTGACGATTCAGTGGTTTCATGGGCGTCTTGATTCATGTTCATATCTATGTTATTAGCAGAGCGATTGCTTGTGTTTTGTTTATCTTTCTTTTTCTCCCTCTTAAATCCTTTTGCGAGTGTTATCTCGCATTGTCGTTTGGCTAATTTGGGATGTACTTATCCCTTTTCCCGCGGAATAAGCGTTGCTGTCTGGTTTAATATGTGAGTCTATTGCATTGTACTATCATAATGCCAAGTATATAGACCTAGAAATAAGTAAGGAAGGAAATAAGAGCACAATAACCAATATAAAGCATAGAAGTCCCTGGGCACTCATCTTCGGTTGCCGTGACAAGCCATGACATAAGCGATTCACCTGACCAGGAATTCCGCCGATCCGAGAAGAGAAAAAAACGGAAGGGCAGTGGCCCGTGGCACACTCTTCCGGTCGGCTATACAAATCGAAAGTAACTCATTATGGGCTTCTATAACATTTTGAAAAATTCATAGAATTTATAGAAATAAATGTTTTAAATAAAAAATAAGACTATATAACAATGTAGTAAATAAGAAAAGCGTAGGAGATACACCGTGTCCTCACACTAGGGCCACCTCGGAGGGCCCAGCGTCCGAAACGGTTTAGCGCGAGTCCTGAGAATCCAATCCTCCCCCCGACGACAAAGCTCTCCCTCCCGTCCACAATCCTCTCTCCTCTCCCGTTCTCTCTCCCCAATTACATCTCTCCCTCAGAGAATTCATCCTCACATCCTCTGAACCCCCTTTCACAATGTTCAGAAACGCTCTGCGGTCGTCCAGCCGCTCCGTTGCGGCTGTTTCGGCCACTGGCCGCATCGCCTCGGTGAGTCCATCCCATCCCAGCCGCCTTCGTCCATCGCCAGTTCGACATCCTTCATCTCAATCTTGAGCTCGATCGATGCTCATACCTCATCATACTTCGACAACGATACTTCAATGATGGCTTAGGCACATTGTCCTTCTCTGGGTCGGTCATTAACAGGTTTTTCGTCCATTACAGGTCCGCGCGGCTGCTGCCGGTCCTCTCAACGGCGTTCGCTCGTACGCTACTGAGGCCAAGGCTACCCCTACTGAGGTCTCCTCCATCCTTGAGCAGCGCATCCGTGGTGTCTCTGAGGAGGCTGGTCTCGCCGAGACCGGTCGTGTTCTGTCGGTCGGGTACGTCAATTCTCCCTGGGCGGCTTGGGGCGCGAAAAAAATTCGGTCCCCGACTACAATCCCATCGAATCCGCCATTATTTATCAACATTCGACAAAATACCGATACAGAAACTGATTGAGCTTTAAATAGTGATGGTATTGCCCGTGTCCACGGCATGTCCAACGTCCAGGCTGAGGAGCTGGTCGAGTATGTGAACCCCCAAAGTCTTGGCATTATACCGACATGAAAACTAACCTATCTTCAGGTTCGCCTCCGGCGTTAAGGGTATGTGTATGAACCTCGAGGCCGGCCAGGTCGGTGTCGTGCTTTTCGGTTCCGACCGTCTCGTCAAGGAGGGTGAGACCGTCAAGCGTACCGGCGAGATTGTAAGCACCCACCCCTAGGTTCATTCTGATATTGCAATTTGAATCCATCAGTCCCATGCCAATATCTCTAACACCAAACCTAGGTCGAGGTCCCCGTCGGCCCCGAGCTGCTCGGCCGTGTCGTCGATGCTCTCGGTAACCCCATTGATGGAAAGGGTCCCCTTAACACCAAGGAGAAGCGCCGTGCCCAGCTCAAGGCTCCCGGCATTCTGCCCCGTCAGTCCGTCAGCCAGCCAGTGCAGACTGGTATGAAGTGTGTCGACTCCATGGTGCCCATTGGCCGTGGTCAGCGTGAGTTGATCATTGGTGATCGTCAGACCGGTAAGACCGCTGTCGCTCTCGATACCATGCTCAACCAGAAGCGTTGGAACAACAATGCTTCCGCCACCGAGGAGGAGAAGCTCTACTGTATCTACGTTGCCGTTGGTCAGAAGCGTTCCACCGTCGCTCAGCTCGTCAAGACCCTTGAGGAGCAGGACGCCATGAAGTACTCTGTCATCGTCGCTGCCACTGCCTCTGAGGCCGCCCCCCTGCAGTACATTGCTCCCTTCACTGGCTGCGCCATGGGTGAGTGGTTCCGTGACAACGCCCGCCACGCCGTCATCATCTACGATGATCTGTCCAAGCAGGCTGTTGCCTACCGTCAGATGTCTCTGCTCCTCCGTCGTCCCCCCGGACGTGAGGCCTACCCCGGTGACGTTTTCTACCTGCACTCTCGTCTCCTCGAGCGTGCCGCCAAGATGAACAAGACCCACGGTGCTGGTTCCTTGACTGCCCTGCCCATCATTGAGACCCAGGGTGGTGATGTGTCCGCTTACATTCCCACCAACGTCATTTCCATTACTGACGGTCAGATCTTCTTGGAGTCCGAGCTGTTCTACAAGGGTATTCGTCCCGCCATTAACGTCGGTCTGTCCGTGTCCCGTGTCGGTTCCGCCGCCCAGGTCAAGGCTATGAAGCAGGTCGCCGGTTCCCTCAAGCTGTTCCTGGCTCAGTACCGTGAGGTCGCTGCCTTCGCCCAGTTCGGTTCCGATCTCGATGCCTCCACCAAGCAGACCCTTGCCCGTGGTGAGCGTCTGACTGAGCTCCTCAAGCAGAAGCAGTACTCCCCCATGGCTGTTTCTGACATGGTTCCTCTCATCTTCGCTGGTGTTAACGGTCTCCTCGACACCATCCCCGTCGACAAGATCCTCACCTGGGAGGCTGACCTCCTCGCTCACCTTAAGAGCTCCCACCCCGAGATCCAGGCCACCATCGAGAAGGACGGCCAGGTTTCCAAGGACTCTGAGGCTAACCTCAAGAAGGTTATCTCTGCCTTCAACTCCACCTTCAACGCATAAGTGAAGAAATAACTCGGATGATCCTTCGTGGTCGGCTTTGTTTTCTTGACTCTATATGTGTAGACAAGATAGCCTGTACAATTTTGAGCCCATCGTTTTTCTGTTCCTCTTGGTGCCGGTGCTTGCCAGGAGATCCCAGTCTGCCCCTGGATGTAGCGATGTAATTATCTGCATGATCCTGGGGAGTGGACCAAGGATTTCCCGTAGTGCTGTTCCAAGCAAGAACTAAAATGACTTTGGTCTGCCAAAATGTGATTATATCCTGTACGTTTAGATTTTATCCGCGCATCGGGGGCGCAAGATGGGTGGACGACCGTTCTAATTCCGTCTGGTCTCCTTATGCTCTCAATGTTGGACCGCAATTATTTTCATTTGTTCAATCGGTTATACTGTAATTGTAAACCGTAGTTATGTTTCTCCACGACTGCCAAAGGATGTATTCAAGTGGTCGGCGGGATGTCTAAATACGACAACTCCATAATCTTATATACGTCAATCAACTGACAGCAAAACCTATAAGCCTTAGTTCCGTCCAAGCTCTCATGTTCGATCTTTTATATCTCTCGATATATCATTCAAAACGCACGACCCGGCAGTTGAGCCGAAACCGGCATCCGATATGTTATCGATAAGCGATCAAGAATTTTCCTGGAGATGGCTAATTCCCCCGCGTCCGACGAACTTCACTTTTCCCTTTATTGCTGATTATATTATTACTATCGCTCTATAGCCGTCATGTCTGCCCCCACCGATAAACCCCCCTCCTCCTGCAAGGTGATGTTGAGCAAGAATGTTGCCAACCGTCTGCTCACCGAAGTCCACGAGGGCCTTAAGACTCTCGAGAAGCCGCCTCACTTGGTCGGCCTGCTGGCCAATAATGACCCTGCCGCGCTAATGTACGCGCAGATGACACAAAAGACCTGCGAGGAGAAGTGAGTGTCTACAATATTCTGATATTATCCGACTTCAATGGCTCAAATGGCTTCTTTGGTGGGCTGGCTGGTGGGGGTACCTAGTATGATTCATACATACCCCTCGGTCTAAAAAAAAAAAAAAAAAAAAACAACAACCAAACAAGCCCAAAAGCACTGCCAATATTCCAATTGAAGCAAGGAAACAAACCACTAATGCAATGTCCTTCTCAGTGGCTTCAAGTACTCCTTGCGCGAAGTGTCCCGCGACGACATCGAACAAGCCATCCTGGACGCAAACACCGACAATAACGTCGATGGCATAATCGTCTACTACCCCATCTTCGGCACCCGCCAGGACCAGTACCTGCAGCAGATCGTCGATGTCACCAAAGACGTCGAGGGCCTGAGCCACCGCTACATCTTCAACATGTACCAGAACATCCGCTTTCTGGACGGCGAAGCCAAGCGCCAGAAGTCCATCCTGCCCTGCACCCCGCTGGCCAACATCAAGATCCTCGAGTATCTCAACATCTACAACACCATCCTCCCTTACGGAAATCGTCTCTTCGGACACACGATCTGCGTCGTGAACCGCTCTGAGGTCGTGGGTCGTCCGCTTGCTGCTCTGCTGGCCAATGATGGTGCTTGTGTTTACTCAGTTGATATTACTGGCGTGCAGAAGTTTACTCGTGGTGAGGGATTGCGCAAGAACACGCATGAGGTTGTTGACCTTGAGGGAAAGACTATGAAGGATGTTGTGCCGCTTTGCGATGTGGTTATCACCGGTGTTCCCAGTGAGAAGTACAAGTTTGATACTAGCCTTCTGCGTGAGGGTGCTGTTTGTGTCAACTTCTCTAGCGAGAAGGTATATTTCCTTTGCTTTTTTGAGTCTGGTCAAGAACTTGTTGCTGACTGTTCTGATATAGAACTTCCCCTACGAGGTCCGAGACAAGGCCTCGCTTTTCGTTCCCTCTATTGGCAAGGTCACCATTGTCGTTCTGTTGCGGAACCTACTGGTATGTTTCGGCTATATACTTCATTCAAACTCTAGTAACGCTTTTGCAACATCATCTAACATATCAATTTACAGAGACTCATCCAGAACAAGCGAATGGACGATGTCAAGCCCGCCGAGGCCACAGAACGACCTGGCACTCTTGAGGCCTCATCTTAGGTCGCCCACTATCGATTATTACCGTTTCAATCTCGATGGCCATGCCCTGAGCTGGCCATTCCGTAAAAAATTATAGATATTCTGTTTGATATTAGCCATTTCGATTATACTCTGAAAGTTCATGTTTCTTTCTTCTTTTGTTTCCTGTGCATATATATCTGCCAATTGCATTCCATGCTTGGAACTAGAGATTGTCTCACTTGACCACGTCTGTTATTTTCCATAAACAAAGACTGTGTTTTGCGAACCAGTAACAGCTTGTTATTTACACACTCTGACTAGCATATTCCATCATACTCCAATAGAAAACCTTCCAGCCGGGCTCAAAGAATGATATTAATACAATATGGAATTGTCCCGAGAATAATTAGGATCGAGAATAACAAATACTTCTATACAGACAAACAGCCCTAAGGCTCTGGCAATTCCCAATTTCCCGTCAGATATTTCCAGAATGAAAGAGCCAAGCCGACCAACCAATGACCACAAACAACAAGTCTATCCAGGCAAGACGCTCACTAAAATAAGCAGAAGGAGAAAAAACAGAGCAAGCGCAACCCAATACCAATATGGCCTCAGCAAAGTCAGCCACCACAAGAAGACCTCCGACCAGCCAGATTTCCATCCAGCAAACTGATCCACCCCGGCCAGCACATGCCCCAGGGATTGAGTCGCTGTCATTGGGCTGTTTTCACTGATGAGAATCTCCCGGAGAAATCTCAGAGGAAGCACAGGCAAGAGAGGCATGGAAGCGGTTGTAGCTCGAGGAATCATGACTCGGATCCCAGGCGCTAAGTCCTGGACCCCGGATGCTATGAATTGGAGCCCAGGTGGCAGGAGTATGAGGCGTACGTGACTGATGTAATGTACTGGGCGGTCAAGTGTCTTGGTTTGAATATGGTAGATTTGGCCCTGTAGGGTTTGCTCAGCAATGGACTCGGCTGGCTTTTCTTCAGGTTGAGTTGCCGACGGCGTAGTTGCTGCACCGGTTGTGGGTCTCGCAGTGTATTTCATGCCCGGTTCCCGTCGTTTGATCTCAAGTGTTTCGGTGGCATTGACGAGTGATTCAATCTCCTCATGGGAAACCCAGACAAGGGCTAATGTGATTTGCGGGAGAGCTGAAATGGTCTGAGTGTTAGTACAGCTCTTCACTCATACAGCAGGTTTCTGTGGGGTGAGAGCTTACCCCGAGGTCGACGTAGGACAGATACTATATGCCTCATATTGGAGGTCTTCAGCACTGTGGGAAATAGCTGCGAAGGTGTCTTGATAACTTGAACTGACTGGAAGTAAAAAAATATATAGTTTAAGAGTAGTTGAGCAGTAAGCTGATATGTGATGGGTGCAGATCATAGACAAAATTGTCTCAGGTTCAAGCTTGTCGTGCCCTAAGACTTTGACTTGGAAGGTTCGAGTCAACTCGGAACTTGTTCAAGTTTGGAAAGCGTAGTTAAGCTTCGAGGCTCCTTTCAGGAAAGTAGAGACCCACGTGAATTCCATAGCCCTATGTAGGACATCATATTCTAACAGACCATACATAGTAGTATGTCGTTGTATTGTTAGATACAGACATCTGATTAACTATGCACAAGGTTCGAAGCACAACACAGAAAGCAAGTTGCGTGACTCCCCAATTTTTCTTGATGGGTAGAACTTGTATGTGCTCTTCTCAATCATATCTGTAGATTGAACTAGCTTTGTGTTTTGTAATAGGCCCGAAAACATAACTTCTGATAGTAATAGATAGGGATAGGTAACCTTCCAATTTAGCCAGACTTCTTTTCATTTTCCTTCGCCGCCAATCTCAGAACATCAATCTCGCTGGCCACCCACCGACGGAAAGGCTCGGGGTGGAATACACCATCTACCGAGAACCAAGTCGTGAAGGGCGCCTCACACCGCTTGTCCTGGAGGACCTTGCCAGAGGCAGACTTATAAATGACATGCAGCTTGTAGAGCTTGGAGAACTTTTGGACTGATGATGAGACAGATATCTATAAGCAAGCTCTGTTAGTAACCTGCCAACAAAATAGAATCTCCCAAGAGCCCAAGATCTAGTGACATACCGTCTCCCCAGTCTTCCTCTTTCCGGAGTATACCTCGCCAGCCTCGACGGCCCAAATCCAGTATGTTAGAATACTGTTCAAGACAAAGTAGGTCCCTACTGCCGCGATAATCCAGGGCGAGCTAGTTGCTTCCCAGCCAAGCGTGCGGTCTGCGTAGAAAGTAAACCCTGCGATTGCGACAGCAGTATATCCGAGCAGGAAGCGGATGTTTGACTTCGAGTAGTCCGGTGTGAAAGCATATGGTGCAGGAAGGTTGGTGAGGTAAGGAAGGAGAGCATCGTCGCTCGTAGACTTGAGATCTGTTGCACACACTGTTAGTGTTGTTACTGTATAGAGTAGATCAGGATTACGGACCGTTGGTCGAGTAGACCGGCACCTTGTTGGAAGCCATGACAGATTCAAAAATATATGTGAAGAACGAGTTTTTTTAAAAACCAAAAGATCGAGTGTGGTTCAGCATTCAGTGGTCAAGACAGGACTGTTGTTTATCACAGGACAAAGATGCGGCGTGGCCCTTTGGAGAAAGCTGGAGCTAACGCGGACCAATGACATCCCTCTCCGCCTGGCGACCTCTCCTTCGCGGCCCCTTCAACTTTCCATCCCCCACCTCCACCCACCACTGATTTATTGTTTGGTTCAAAGGAGGCACTTCTTTGATTCTAATTCTGCCCCAAGATGGCAATTCAGGGGGATGAGCAGACCATCCTTAGGGATCCGGCTCTATTGTGAGAGAACATGATTTGATCAAGCGGAAGTTGGACTGACCATTTGCTTATAGCTATTGGATTCTCTTTCCCATTTCAATTGTCATGGTATGATCTACAACCGGTGCTTGAAGCTTAGATATTTGCGATGCTTCCGAGACTGAAATTAACCCCTCTGGAATAGATCTTGACCGGAATCCTTCGCCACTATGCCACGGTCCTGATGAACTCGACCCCCAAATCGCCATCTACTCTTGCCGAGTCTCGCGAGCGGCTTGCTCTTCTCCGAGGTGTGAATCTTCGCAACAATGCTTGCTCCGTGCTCGACCGCGAGTCCTTCGAGATGCGCAAGAACTACATGGTTTCTGGATTCCGCAGCGGCGCATTTCTGAAGGACCCCAACAATCGTGGCAAACCGCCCGCGAACCCCATGACCGACCCTGCGGGCATGGAAGCTATGATGGGGATGCTCAAGGGAAACATGATGATGATGATTCCGCAAACCTTGATCATGAGCTGGATCAATGCCTTCTTCTCTGGCTTTGTCATTTGTATGTTGCACTTTGATATAAATGGACATAAACAGCGAGCTTACAAATTCTACAGTGAAATTGCCATTCCCGCTGACTATCCGGTTCAAGTCGATGCTGCAGTCTGGTGTGATGACTCGTGACCTTGATGTACAATGGGTCTCCAGTCTGTCCTGGTACTTCCTCAACTTGATGGGCCTTCAGTCCGTTTTTGGATTCATCCTCGGTAGTGATAACTGTATGCATCTATCCCGGCCTTCAAATAAGAACTGTCACTAATAATCTATAGCTGCCAGCCAAATGGCCCAGCAGATGGGCATGGCCAACCCTGCCGCGATGATGAACCCGCTCCAGCCCGGCCAAGATCCCGACAAGCTGTATCTGAACGAAGCAGAGAACTTGGAAGTGATGGAGCACTTCTGCATTCTCGATGGAGTGGAAGAGAGAATCTTGCAAAATTTTGCTCCTGCGGGGATCTAATCTCCCCTTTGACGTTGCATGTGATGTCTAATGTTGGTGTATATACCTGTTTTGAGGTCATCGCTAAATTTGGACAGCATAAAGAATGGAATATTCCGTGTTTCTAAATAAGCCGCAATCCTGTAGATATATAATTTTACTCGAATGTTCTTGAATGATTCATATGACACAATTTTCGTTGCTCGTATTTCATAGCTTATAACTACATAATTACTCTTGACGGTAATTAATAACATCATTCAAAATCCAGACTTCGCCATTATGGACCTTCTCCGCAACCGATTCGACTTCAATATTGCCAGGTTGGATCTATAGAGAGTTAGCTACCACACCTACGACTCGCAGAGGACAAAACCTACAAATATCTTATCACCCTCCTTTGTCCATTTCAACTTCTCCCCTGCAAGTGTCTCAACCTCTTCCCCAACTCTCCAGGGGCTAGCAGGGATGAGATGAGCCTCCACAAATCGTTGCAGGTTCCGCTTCGCCCGGTCTTGACCATCCTGGCCCTCATACGCATTTACTTCTCCAAACTTCTTGTAGTCCTCTGGATTCTCCCAGGGCTTCCGAGGAAGAGCCTGAATTGCACTATTGCGTGGAGCTAGAACTGTAATGTTCTTGGATGCATCGTTAAGGCGATTGGCGATTGGCTCGAAGTCACGGGTCAAGCGCGCAAAGATATTGATACCTTTGGTCTTGGGTAGGACATCTGAGATGATAGGATTACCGCTATCTTTCGAGTTCACATCCTCGTCCGGGGCTGTCTTCTGTGGCTGGACAATACCAGGGAGAATCTTATCCATTATTGACTGATGCTCTTTGTGTTCAAGAGCTAGTGGCTGTTGACGTGAAGGGAAGGGGGATGATAGACCCCAAAGTGCAGATGCTGAGCTAGTGAGAATAAATGCAAACAAAATAGATGTTGTTAGTCGATTCGATCCCATGTTGCGGGTTGGAGCCATCTTGCTGCCAATGACGCCGGACAGAGAAGCAGGTCTCGCTACAGCCATGACGCAACAGGCCTTGGCACGTGATACCGGGAGATAACATAATCACCTGACCCTTATCGACAAGGGCATCCTGCCACAAGAAATTGGCCGATGCGAGCTTGATCTTGCCCCCGCAATCTACACGTTTGGCTCTCCTAATTGACCGATTGGTGTTATGTCGGCTCTGCAGAGCTTTATGCTGGTCGTGGACCACGACAAAGAAGAAGCCAAGCGCATTGCCGAGGGAATCGCGCAAGGTATGCCAATTCGCCCCGCACTCGAGACCACTTCAACTCGTTGCATTACTAAGGGGGGTGGTTATAGATGTTGAGACTAAAAAGGCCACTCTAATTGATACCGTCCAATCCCTTGGCGAATATATTAACGACGAAGACCCTATTTTACGTGGAAAAGCGATTTCCTACCTTACGGCTATTATCAAAGCCTTCTCGCCGAAATACCTCTCAAGACAACAGATACAAGTTTTGACTACATTCTTTTGTGATAGAATTGAGGATGGAGGTGCTGTTGATGGGTTGCAGGCCCTGCAGGGTCTGGACCGTTTTAACAAGTTTTTGGCTACCCAAGTTGCACAAGCGTAAGATATTTTTTGGTTGTATCCCTGTGTTCACCGGGGATAAGGCTTAATTCAATGATGACCCAATGTTGATTTATTGATATAGAATTTTTTCCAACTTCCAAGATCTCCAGTCTCGGTCCCAAACACAACGATTCCACGTCTACCAATTGCTCAATGATCTGATGTCAAACCACCGCGGAGCTATGCGTGATATGGGAGAGATCTCACTTCTGGGTATTGTTGATATCATGACCGGAGAGAAAGACCCGAGGAATTTGATGATTGTTTTCTCGATCTTGAAAGTGGTTATGGTAGAATGGGACATCTCGAGCCACGTTGAGGTATGCGTAATTTTTATACAGTCCTGAACTCCGCTAACACTAGACAGACCCTCTTCGACTCGGTATACAACTACTTCCCAATCACATTCCGACCCCCACCCAATGATCCCTATGGAATCACCGCACAGGATCTGAAGGGTCGTCTTCAAGAATGTATCTCTTCGACAAGGCATTTTGCACCTCATGCTATCCCCGCCTTATTGGACAAGCTTGATTCTACTTCCCCCAATGTAAAGGTAAGATTGCTCAACACGTCATGATCTTGAAATTTTCTAACATATCTATAGAAAGATGCGCTTAGTACATTGATCGCATGTATCCATTCATACGACCCCGACACAGTATCTAAGTATTCTATTACCATATGGGAAGTTCTCAAGTTTGAGATTCTCAATGCCCAAGAGGAGTTCTTATCTGAAAACTCCCTTGAGGCTCTGCAGGCAATCACCCAACGGCTATCTGAAGGAGTTACCGAAGTGTCACAAGAATTACCTCTTGCGAAGTTCCTTCAGCCAATCACCAAGGAATGCAACGAGCAACTCCAAGAGCCTCAAAACAAGAAGGCAAAACCGGCCCAGTCGATCCTCAGCTGTGTAGCGGCTGCTTCGCCCGTGTCCTTCATCCTCGTTGTACAAACAGTCGTAGCCCCGATCTTCACACTTTACCAGGAAGCGGATGGAATCGTCAAACAAAGGGCACTTCTCGAAACTTTGAATGTCCTATTCGAAGCTGCTACAACCGTATTTGGACAGTGGACCACCCGAGGTGGCGAAGCTGCTATCGAAAACCCGCTACTTGAATTCAAAGACCAATTCTCGGACCTATTTGGCCAAGCATTGATGGGTGCAGCCAAGGAAGAGGTTTCCTTCCGGGTGACTGCCTTGAAGGGCTTCTTGCGCCTGTCGACTTTGCGTAATTTCTTCCAGGAGAATGAGATTGGACTTTTCGTGCAATACCTTGACGAAATCCTTCTTAAGGAGGAATCTGTGGGCCGGAATGATCTCAAAAAAGAAGCAATCGCTGCCCTTGCCGAAATTTCCAAACACAAGCCCCGCCTGATTGTGGATATCACTTTCCCTGCGTTTGTGGCAACCCTGCCAGAGGAAGATGAAGGTTCGGATGCTCTGTATCTGCCGACCCTTGAGACCCTTGCTCAGATCAGCGTCGAGAGGGACATTTTCGAGACACTTTTCCGTCGTCTGTTTAGCAAACTTTCTATTCTGCTGCAAAAGGAGCAACCCGGGTCAGTTGCTTACCCACGTGCTATCCTCGCCACTTTGCTTTATGTTATGCAGCAAAGAAATATGGAACAAGACCAGAGTGTGGATCTGTACTTCGATAGGGTTGTGGTTGGACTTTGCCGCGATGTCGCAGCAGCGGCCGCTGGCAAGGCAAAGAACCGCATTCTCAACGATCCCACCGTGCTTGACACTTTGGGTCGACTTTGCAATCTCCTTGTGCGGTCTGTTTCAATTCAGAAGCAGGAAAAAGTTGCCGAAAATGTCTACAGCCTTTTCTCTGAAGACTTCGTGCCTATTCCGTTCACCCAGACTACGAGTGCGGATCAAGAACGTACGATAATCGTCTCGACATACCTTCTCGCGGGATTATCCAAGGACTGCAGCGATAAAATCCCGCATACCAACCCAGATATGTCGGCTTTGCTGTTGGATCTAGTCCATCGTTCAGTTTCGAGCACCGAACCGGCAACACACCAAGCCTACCTACGTCACCTAGCCTTACTCGTCAACAAGTTCCTGTCCAAGCAGGATGTGACAATCGCCGAGAAGCTCTTCGACTCTCTCCTCCAAAGCCGGGACACAGAGTCACAGAGCCTCAGCCCTGCAACTATCCGTACCATCTTCTGGCTATCTAAAGCCTTGATCCTTCGCATAGCCCCCACAACCACCCACATCATAACATCCCTCCTTGCCCTTCTCTCCTCCCAAGACCAGCAAACTAGCGCGACAGCAGCACAAGGCTTCTCCATAATCCTAGGCGAAGACGACATTCTCTCCGCAACAAACGGCGCCACAATCCGACTCCTCTGCAGACAGCGCCTCTTCACAACGGTCATCCCCCTAATCTCATCTCGTATCCGCGAAGTGAACATCGCCGGCACAGACGACTCCACCGCCGCCCCCAAATCACCCGACCACATCAAACCATCCCATCTAACCGCCCTCGCGGGCATCCTCTCCACAATCCCAACGGCCCTCGTCATGCCAGAACTCCCCACCCTGCTTCCCCTACTACTGCAATCCCTCGACCTCCAGACCGCTGACTCTGTCGCTGTCCGCACAGCAACACTCGATACCCTCGCCGTCATTATCCGTGATAACGGCGTCGTTGTAATTGACCAGTGTGGCCATGTCCAGAGCCTTGTCACGAGACTTCTGAAAACAACAGCTACGAATGTCGGCCCTGGTGCGGTTAATAGCCCTCGTCTCCGCGCGGATGCTCTGAAATGCCTCAACCTCCTCGCTAAGTACCAGGTGCCCGGCGCTGCGGCTAACGCGCGTGTGCCACCGGGTATCTCGCCTCTTCTTCCTGTCAAGAATCAGGTTCTGAGGTCCTTGCGAGCAGTTCTTGATGATCCTAAGCGTGATGTGCGGAAGGCGGCGGTTGATGCTAGAGCCGCTTGGCTGCGTGGTGTGGATGATGCGCCAGAAGAGGAAGAATGATTATTTTGGGAGAAGGGGTGAATATACTCGCATTAAGTTTAGAGGTTGTTTATTATCATACATTCAGCATAGATTTCTACATTGAGGATACCTTCAGCATCAGTATAAAATAAGTGTGCTGGACACGTGACGTTTACATTCAGGTAGCTAACCCTAGTTCTAGCGGCGTTTGTCAAAAGTACCTTGACCCCGCTTATTATAATTTTACCATTCATAGAGCCTCCTGAGGTCTGATTCTGAACGACAAAATCCATGGGAATGCCGATGGATTGTTGTGAAATACTTCCGCGAAGTTCCAATTATCTTGTGTATCAAAAACAGCCTCCTGGATTCCTGGATGGCCTCCCAACTCTCTTCAAGAGCAGGATTGCAGGGGGCAGACCCCACACAATCCCTCAATAAAGCATTGGAGAATTTTCAGAATACCTTGACAAAGCAGCAAAAACGAGAATTTCAAGAAAGCGTCTCAGCACCAGATATTGCGAGCGTCATAGAATTTGTCGCAGAAATCGATGCTAGAAATAGCAGCACGACGAGGAGGTGCGTGGCTCCGCGGCTATGTACATTCTTAGAGGCTACGCAACAGTTCACCGATGTTGTGGACACATTTGTTAGCTCTAATCCGATAGTCGCCGCCCTAGTTTGGGGAGGTATAAAGACTGCTATATTGACAGCGAGCAATGTGGCTTCTTACTTTGATAAAGTCACGAGCATGATTATGCGTATCGGCAGATATTCTCCAACATATCAACAATTTGGGCTACTCTATCCCAGCTGCATTGGTCTCCAACGTGCCCTTTGTGATTTCTATGCCATCATCATTAATCTGTGTGTCAAGATTATCGAAGTCTCTCGTCGAACTGTCCTTAAGCAAACTATCTCGTCGATAATAAGTCCCTTTGAATCCGAGTTTAAGCTGTTTCTAGATTTGCTAGGCGAAGCTACACAAAACATAAACCTGGAGGTATCACTCGCATCGAAACAAGCAGACCAAGAAGCGAAAAACCTGCTAGAGTATGAAAGTCGAGAGAATTCAACATTCCGACCAAAAGCTCTAGATTTCTACAAAAAAACACTCAAGCAACAAGCCGATGCACAAGCCGACGCAAGCCGGTCGCGAATGAATATGAAAAAAAGGGAAATAGCGAAATTGAAGATAAGCATTCGAAAAAACCTTTCTCCTATCAACCACATTTCTCCTTGGAGGCAGACCATGAAGCAACGCGTCTCAGCCACAGCTGAATGGCTTCAGAAAGAAATGGCTTTTGAGAAGTGGAAGGACGATCCGCAAACTGCGATACTCTGGTGTCTAGGCACCATAGGCATGGGCAAGACAGTGCTCATGTCTTATGTGGTGGCTCAGTTACAGTTACATGCGGCTCGCAAGAGCAATGAGACTGTATCCTACTACTTCTGTCGCGTCGACAATGAGGCATCTTTATCTGCGAGGAACATTCTTGGAAGCCTTGCTCGTCAAATCCTCGATACTCAGATTGAGCAAAGCGAATATGAAACCCTACTCTCATTAGAGGAGATCACCCGGGATCTTAACACGACTGATGTTGTTCAGTTCTTGTTATCTCATCTGAAAATCGACAAGAACATGAAGTACTATGTTATCCTGGATGGACTGGACGAATGTGATGGCAGTCAAATTCGAGCAGTGACACATGCTATTGCTGAGCTCTGCAGCAACCATACTGATTTCAAAATCCTCTGCGCGGGACGACCTGGTCTTGAAAAACGGCTCAAATCGACCACACCACAGTACAGGATTATGGTGAATGAGAAAAAGGTCAAGCCGGACATGGATCGCTATATCACCAAGACTTTGGACAAGTGTCTGGAAGATGAGGTTTTGACTCTTGGGGATCACACAATCATCCCGGAAATATATAATACCTTAAGGGATAAAGCTGACGGAATGTAAGTATTCAAGCCGCCTAATCGAAGGCACATGTCAGGATTAGGCTATATGGCTACACAATCTTAAATACATTGCTGACGGAGTCCAAAAAAACATAGGTTTCTTTGGGCAAGTCTTTGTATTGAAGAGCTCTGCGCACAGAATTGTGATCACGATATCCTAGAAGCACTGAAACATCTTCCACACAGTTTGGCTGAGCTCTATGATCGAAAGCTTTGTCGTGTTCAAGAGGGACAGATGGCCGGGCAGGCCATGAGAATACTACAATATTGCGGGGTAGTGAAGCGGCCATTGACAGTCATGGAATATCGAGAAGCCCTCAGTCTTTCCCTCGAGCAAAAATCCTTCGACCATGGAAAGGTTCCTAATGACATGGATAGGGTCATCAATGGTTGTTGCGGATTAACTTTCACCGATGAAGAGGAAGACACTATACATTATGTTCACCGTAGTGTGAAAGAACGACTTTTTATCACAAATGGTCAGCACACAGCGCAATTCGACATGGTAGGTGTCGACCGGCATTTTGGGTTTCTTTGCATGACATATCTGGATTTCACCAACTTCAAGCGTCAGTTAACGAAATTTAAGAATGGGTCCGGTACTCCTATTAAGCCCATTCAGCTCGGCACTAGTATTCTGCCCACCTACTCTTCCACCAGAGTTACTAGTCAGATGGCCCGAAGGCTTCTATCTCACCATCGCCAGCTGCAGCATTTCAGCACTCGAGAGGTAGAGAGAACGACGCAAGAAATAATTGGAGATCGGGATTCTTTCCAGCTGGAGGGGGGCTTCCGATTTCTCAATTACGCCAGGGACTACTGGCTTAACCATCTGACTGATTTCACTACGGATACAAACAGTAATATGTGGCGATTGTTTTGCCGGTGCATAGAAGGCGATGATGTTCCTGAATGCAGACCATGGGAGTCAGAGGAACAGACTCAGAACAAGAGAGATGATATACCAGAGGCTATAAAATGGGCATTTGCCCATGGACATTACGGGTTACTTTCATACTACTCAAGACATCAGTCTCACATCTTGTCCGAAAATATGAAGGATAAAGTCCTTCGCAGTGCCAATATTCATAATCGTTATCGATACAGTGAGGTGCTCGTCCGCCTTAACAACACCACCAACGTCTTGAATCAAGGATTGTCGTATGCTGCACTAGATGGATGCATTCCTTCCCTAGAAGTGTGGCTTCAAGCAGGGGCTGAAATTAATGCTGAAGTAAATGGCAGAACAGCACTCCAAGCAGCAGCAGGAGCAGGTCGCCTTGAAGTTGTACAGGCACTGCTAGCAGCAAAAGCACATGTGAACATATCCTCTGCTGAAAATGGTGGTCAAACAGCTCTTCAAGCGGCAGCGGGAGGAGGTCATCTTGAGGTGGTACAGGCACTTCTAGCAGCAAAAGCATATGTCAACAGATCTCCTTCTACAAATGGTGGCCAAACAGCCCTTCAAGCAGCAGCAGGAGGTGGCCACTTTGAGGTGGTACAGGCACTTCTTACAGCAAAAGCAGATGTCAACGGATCTCCCGCTAAACACAATGGCCGAACAGCTCTGCAAGCGGCAGCGGGAGGAGGTCACCTTGAAGTGGTGAAGACACTCCTAGCAGAAAAAGCAGATATCAACGCGCCAGCAGGATACGATAGGCAAACCGCCCTCCAAGCAGCAGCAGGAGGAGGCCACCTTGAGGTGGTGAAGACACTGCTAGCAGAAAATGCAGATGTTAACGCGCTTCCAGCTAGACGTTCTGGACAAACAGCTCTTCAAGAAGCGGCAGGAGGAGGCCACCTTCAGGTGGTGCTGGTACTTCTAGCAGCAAAAGCAGACGTTAACGCACCTCCTACTAACTACAAAGGCCAAACAGCTCTTCAAGCAGCAGCAGGAGGAGGCCACCTTGAGGTGGTGAAGACACTGCTAGCAGCAAACGCAGATGTTGATGCGCCTCCGGCTAAAGCTTCTGGTCAAACAGCTCTCAAAGCAGCAGTAGAAGGAGGCCACACCAAGGTGGCGCAGGCATTGCGAGCAGCAAAATTATATGGCAAGGCCCCTGCTAGATAGAATGGTTAAACCAGCAGGAGGCCGTCTTGATGTGGTTGAGTTATGGAAATTCTCTGGCGCGAAGGGATACCCTGCTATATTGACAGTGGTTTGTTCGTCCAATGTATCGTCCCTTTTCCACTTCGTATAATTTCACTGTATGATTTTACCAAAAGATTTTCGTGTTGAGTTTTGGATTAAGATGTCTGGTTATAACAAAGATCGTGAATTTGTCGGTACTATCATTGAGACCACGTAGTCGTTTCGCTGATGGTATTGTGGCTGTCTGAATTGAGACTTTATGAAACTGTTGATAACGCACAACGCAGAGACTTGATACTTTCACTAATAGTGTGAATCGAATAAGAATAAAGCCACCAAATCAAATAGTCGAATATTATCATTCACCCCCAAGGAAATGACTGCCGGAAACGGAGAATTCATATTGCAAATATGAGGATTGAATTGAAGATAGAGAATATAGATACCATTCTAGTATCCATAAAATAGTAGTAGTGACTGATTCCTATCATCTTCTAATACCTACCTAGCCAGACCACTGGTACATCGCGGTGTGCTATCTCAGAACCTAATATGTAGGTCATTATCAAGGCCTAGTTTGGCTACCTCCGGATTATCTTACAACACTACTGGCTGCTTTGTCTATACATTTGGCCATGGTATAAACTTCATCTTGCATACCGACTCTATTTGAACATTCAACGTAGTTTATTTTATATAAAAGTGACTAGAATACTCAGTGGTGAATAGAGTTAAAGATATATAGTTATATCTACTATAGGGCTATACAACTACATTAACCAACTAGAGGGGGATTCTTAAATTATCAGACATTTCTGGGTACTGTTTTGATTTTTTTGATTTTTTTGATTTTTGTGTTAAGCCTTAAATGAAACATGATGTCGTCCGGGTACACAGACCCATAAAGATCCTAAGAATCGAACGACAATGACAAGAATACATCTGTCCCACTTCCGCTCCAACCTCGGAGATTCATCTTCATACTCCCTATCTCATCACCACTTGTGCTTATCAGGCTTACTCTCATTGGATCTAGGCGGCGTCGGACTCCAGGGCACTAATTGTTTCCCCAAGTCAGTGGACGACTGCTTGCGCGTACCTGTACCAGCTTGACTGCGGTCGTTCGAGGTGTTAGTGCGCTTTTCAGTACTGGCAGGGCCTCTGTTCCAGTGTCCCACAGCATCGATTTTCTGCACGACTGTTTTGGCAAGTTGGAACATTGCTCCAATTCCCGAATGACCGACTTCGGCTCCGAGGGTACTCAGCTCCTGGTTTGCAGTGGGGATGACGTTCGTAATGTCTGCACCAAGGAGATCAGTCGCACACCAAGACTCATTGCGTTCACCAGGTTCAAGGAAGGAATTTGATTTCATTATGCCATCCACTTTGCTGCTGACAATCGAGGCTTGCCACCACTGCTTCCCGTCCTTGACCATTTTCTCAAGTGGGGCGTTCTGAATAACCATGATACCCGGATCCAGGACGGAGGGTGCGGTAAGGAGTTCTTGAGTTTCGGTGATTTGGAGAAACAAGTCCTTGCTCCTTTCCGAGCAGTAAGGGTGACGGCTCCATCGTTCCATGGACACCTGATAGATTCTGATCTTTGACGGCGGGGGAAGACGGACTAGCATACGGAGTTGTTGATTGTCTGGCTCTATCCGGATGCTTTTTGCCATCATTCGTGCAGCTTCTTCAAGCTCCGGGTCAGCCCCCGTGATGTATTCGATAAAGCCCTGTACCCTAGCAGCTGCATCCCAGACTTGCGAAGGGAAACTCAAGTGTACCGTGCCTAGGGACACTTCAGGATAGCGAATCATAGCATGTCCCTGCCCATTAACTGAAATAACAATAGTCTTTTTCAGACCAACACGACACCAGAACTCGTACTTTACGCCTCGGTGGCTGTAGTTTTGGTCGAAAAGGCGAGATTGGTTCACCTCCAAATCAATGAGGTAGTCAATATCCGCAGGAGATGTAGTCAAGCGCTCGAAAAACGAGATTGGAGGCGGTGTCAAGTTATGTTTAGAGAAGAACAGCTGGTGGACCTCCCTGTAGCTCATCTCCCTCTCTTTAGTTGAAGCTGGCACGCTGGGCATGAACATGAGACCGAACTGGATTTGAAGGCTCAACGCCCCGGGGAAGATGCGAACTGCATCAAGAATCGGCTGAAGGAAGTAAAAAAGACTCTCGGTTGAGTCATGAATGAGTTTCTTTTCTCTAGATGGTTTCAAAGCCTCCTTAATGGCCAAGGCGGTGCCTTTTAGTGACTGTCCCTCTGTTGATTTGGATCCTTTTCTTCGCTGCCATAAATTAACAAGAGATGCTTCAAGCTTTGCCTCGTTCTCTGCATTGGCTTCAGTATTTTTCCTTTTTTGCTTGTCATTATCAGAGTGGGCTTCAGTCTTTGCCATGCTCGCTACTTTGGTTACTTCGTTCACCCATTGGAAAGGCTTATCAGGAGGCCGCTGATGAAACATTGTCTCGCGGAATTCTCTTGTCTGAATTTCTTCCGAGACAGCCAGGTTCTCACCCACGTTAGATTCCGCATCTTGCTCATCACTTTTGGAGTCAGATTGTTGTACAGAGTCACAATTAGACACCCCTAAACGAGGGGAAAGCATCTGAGATGAGATATCAATGAGGTCTGGATGAAGAAACGGCACATTCTCGGCCCCATAATCAGAGTGTTGACGTTGCTGAATACTACCACGAGGAAACCTATCATGCGAGCTAGAAGAGAGATCTCGAGGTGCAGGATCACCAGGGGTAGTATCAAGAGATAGGGCAATATCCTCAATGCTGGGGACTACTGGGGTAGGATTGTCCTTGATCTGCTGGAGCAGATATTCCATTGCTATCTCATCGGCCTTGCTGCGACGTTCAGGAGCCTGTTCATTTTTCTGTTTGTCTTCACATGCCGTGCTCTTATGGCAAGAACCAACAACATTCGAATCAGACAATGGCGTATCTGCAGCAATTTCTGGTTGGGCAGGCTCGCTAGGAACAGGGGTTGAAGTCGTCGCACGGAGGATCATCAGATCCTGGATTGGCTCAGGATGATGGGAGATGCTCTGAGTTCGCTGATGTTGCATAGCTGTATCATCGATATTGGGAATATAAGAATTATCACCAGTTTCAGCAAAGGTGGGAGCCTCACCATGCTGTGATTGGTCATGCTGAGCAGCTGTAGCCTGCTCCGGAACGTTTGGTGGGACTATGGCTAGCGGATCGAGCGTAGCAATGTGCTGAAGACCACTATTAAAACTTCTCACATCGCAGTCAAAATCAAGGAGGGAGCCGAGATTTTCTGTTTTCTCTCTGCTGAGGTCCGGCCCAGTGGATGTGCTGCTTGACTGTTTTTGATCTGTTGTCTTTGGTTTGCCAGACAATTCCTCCGTTCCAGTGTCCCTCGTGATCTTGGCAGTCTCAAGCATTAGCTTAATTTCCCCCATCACCGAATCAACACTTCGCCCTCGAGGCTTTTTATCCACCTGTAAATCCACTGCCTCAGGTGTGCCGAGAGGCTGGGTCTCGTCAACTCTTGGAGATCTAGAGCGAATTGGTTGGTGCGGAGCGCTAGTCGGTTTTTCTTCTTGATTAGCGGGGGAGAGAGCCAAATTAGCTGCATGTGAGGCATCTCCCGACTGTTTAGGGGTTGTATCTAAATGAGTGGATACGAATGGGAGGCCAGAGGTGACAACTGCTTTTGGTTCCTGGGTAGAGGTAGAATAAGTAGAAGCAGCAGGACCGGTTGTCTCAGAAATTGTTCCTGATTGTTTGGAAGTTGCCCTTGGAGCAGTGGAATCAGTCGCACTGCGAAGAATACCAATGGGCCTTTTTTCTTGAGGGACCGAGACAGACGAACCAGCTATCGGTTGGCCCCTGACCCGCTCCCTATAGCTGAGTCTGCTAAACACGGACACATGTGGGCCATAAGGGGTATCTATTGGATTTTCTGGTCGAGACTGGCTAGAGGGGGCTACAGTTCCATCTGGTAGTAGAATAGCGCGTCCTTTGATGCCTACAGGCTTAGGCTTGAATGGACCCCACCGTCTTTGATCCCGTGGCGCGGAAACGCTGGACTCATGTGGAGGCTTAGATGCAACAAGCTCAGGGGAGGTTGGGTCATTTTCTAGTGGACCTTTCGCATGAGTGTCGATCGACAAAGGCCGTTTAGCAACACCTCGGGAGATCCATTTGTCGACATCTTTTGCCTTTCCAGTAGAGAGATACGGGTGCTGAGAATCGCTCTTTTCATGAGAGATCTCACTTTGGGGCGCGAGATGCTGATCAATTTCCTTTAGAAGGGGATCGTTTTTCGGACATATCTCTCGTAAATGATAGTCTTTCCAGTCTCGGGTAATGCTCGCTTCCTTCAAGGCCACTTGCGGCGGCTGGCGAAGTTTGCGAAGTGGGCGGAACTCGTTAGCGAGCTCGTCGAATTCACAGACCACCAGAGTCATTATCTTTGGGAACTGGAGAGAGGAATTTTGTTTGATCAAAATACGCCACAAGGCAGTCGCGCTGATATCTGCATATGCCATGATGCGAAAGGTAGCGCTGTCCCGTTTTGGGGTGAAGATGATCAGCCCTCGGTTTGGATTTTCGATTAGGTCCTAGAAAAGATCAACACAGGAGACTCGGAAAAGGAAGACTGAAGGCTATACCAAGCACTCTTCAAGGGAGTCGAGTAAATCCATTGCCTTATCGATGTTGCCCATGTGCTGTGCAGAAATACGGAGCCCTCGGGTTCCATGAATTGTAATTTCTGCATCTACCGTTTCGGAAAGGCGAAGTACAAGAAGGTCCGAGACAGAAGAGATGGGGCCCAATGCCACCTGCGAGGGATACCAGAACTTGACAATGGGTCCATCGCTAGTGGGTTGTGCCGGCATCATATCCTCCACGAGGGTCTCAATGTTTGGCTGCACATCGCTTCCATAGCTAGGAAGGGAATTGGGATCGAATTTGGTCGAAGTCGGAAGTTGACGGACCCTCGGCATCTTAATTAGAGCAGGAATTTTAGTATAACATGAGAATTAGAGAGATATCGAAACATACCTCAAGTAGATCATCATTGCGATGCTCTTCGATGTAATTGGCAAGCAGTGATGTAACTTCGGAATCAAATTGGTTATCGAACTGACCGGTGACAACCAAGATCTGGGTAGGATTATCAGAGCCGTCATTTTAACTAGCAGGCAAAAACTTACATGCTTATCACGTCCAAGATATTGCACCTTGATCGAAGCACCGGGATTCAATGCACTATAAAGAGTCAGTTTTGGTCAAGATAAGTATACATAAGTAAGTGCCGTACTTGAGCTTTTCTCGGAGTTCTGAGATCTATTCCAACTCTGGTCAGTCCCAGTCCTTGCAGGATGTTGAGCACACAGATGCGAAGTATAGACTTACCCCTCGATCCTCCAGTGACCACGTTGAAGTTAAATACAGCGTCCGGCTAGTAGCCATCTTGAATAACGCTTTGTTGGAGGCTATGGGTGGGCAAGTAAGAACTGATGCGGCCTTGAATGGATTGAAGTGGGATGGACGCGAATCGATTTAAGTCGCGCGTCAGTTGGATGGATGCGAATTGATGACGGAATGTTTTAGGCCTTCAATCACTTTGTAGAAGTGTATTGGGTTGAAACATGAATGAAAGAAGCAATTCAGCAAGAGGAAGGTTGATTGGGCCCGGAAGGAGGCAATCGATTAAGTAGGAGGCGGGTGAAGACAAATCGATCGCAGAAGCACTGGGTGAACAGCACCTAGGCAATCGATTCGATAGAGCACAACGTAGTTGACAGTGCACATGAGATGAGGATGAAGATGAAGATGAAGGATGAGGGGCGAGGAAGAGATGAAGGAAGAGAGAGGAAAAGGGAGGAAGAGGTGAAGCTATTCCAAGATTCCTATAATGGCAATGGAGATATTCACTTTCACGAAGGGAAGGAACACCCCAGTGCGTGCGTCTATGAGTTTTGGAGTCAGTGGCAAGCAATGGGATGTGAGCACGCGATGCTATCTCATATCTAGAATGATCGGACTAATTACAGCAATCGATGGAAGATACAAAGAGCAGATAGAAAGAAATAATCAAAAATCAAAAGAGTATAAATTTCCGAGTTGAGCATAATAACAGGCCCATGGCATCTAGGCAGAAAGCAAATATGTAGCCACTCTTGAATGGTATTTTGAACACAGGCCAAAAAAACAAAACTTGCCATCCTGTTCATCACGGTGTAATCATATCCGGGTAAAAATATGCAGGTCGTCAAACGTCATATCTAACAGGGGCAACAGTAGAACATGGATAGGAGGTGATGCACGGAGTTAATCGAATGGAAATGAAAATGTAAATGCAGGTGAAAGTAAAAATAGAAAAAGGAATACAAAAACCGAATGGTACACGGCCGAACTAAACTCTGCCACGGGTATCTGCTGCAAAGGGAAACGAAACGCCATGCACCGGCCAAGAATGATCTATGAGAAATGAACAGGAGTGGTAGGTGAGGGTGTGGGTTGTCAGGACAAGGGATTGAGTGGAAAGGGGACTTGGAGGGCGGTCTGGCGTCAGATTTGGCGGTATTGAGGGATCCGGGCAGATAGCAGAGAGAAGGGGAGGGAGATGGTAATAGACAATTCGTATGGTTAAAGTTGGACGTCGAATCAAATAAGAGCTGACGATGAACGAAGACAAAGCTCAAATTAAGCATTGCTTTGTCGGCTTTCATTGAGCCGGATCGCCCACTTCATTTCTGTCTCGGTCTCTCTCAGCTGAGCAAGAACCCCTGCAATATTATCATTGTTGGATCTGGCCGATTCAATCGTGTCACGGAAGTCGTTATCCTTCAATTCCTTATACGCGGAGTGCTGGGCGAGCAGCTTCTCATAAGATTCCTTGAGGGAGTCGAATTCCCTATTCTTCTGATCCGCGAGAACCTCCAGCCGCTCGGTGGAGTGTATATGTGTTTTCTGGGCGTTGGCGATAGTCGTGAACTCGGCCCATATGGCATTGATGCGTTTTCCAAACTCCGCCTTCTCGCGTTTTGTTGCGCTGGATAGCACCTCGTACTGTGTCTCGTGGTGTTTGGCGATCTCTAGTAACCGGGCTTGTTCGCGATTTTGGTTCTCGCGCTCCTCGCGCATCATCTGGTTGGTCTGATTTACATCCATTTCCGCGTCCTGCCGCTTGCTGCGCTCGTGTTGGAGTTCCGTTCTTAGTTCCTCCAGCTTCCGGTCTTTCCGTGCAATTGAATTGAGGTTGGTTTCGTTGACTTGCTCAAGGTTCCGTAGGCGCTCATTCATGTTTTGTTGTTGGATCTTATAGGCCTCGTTTGTTCTTTGGTATTCTTCCGCGCGGGACTTGTAGAGCGAGCATTCGCGTGTTAGACGTGCTATTTCCTCTTGGAGATTGTGGATAACGCGTCCTGATTTCCCTGTTGCTGCATGGCCAACCGCTGACCATTCTGATGTGTGGGCATCGCCATTGCTCGTGTCGGCGGGGTTCGCGGAAGGTATCAGAGGGTTTGAGGAAGACAAGGAGGTCTGGTTGTAGTCGCCTGGATTGTGGGCACTGTAAGCTTGTGAGGCAGAGGGAGTGGGATGGGGATCACCAACCATTCTGGCCTTCGGTGGCTGATTCGTTTTCGGGGAATCCGTTATGCTGGTGCATGTTCAATTGCGTGTCCACATGCGGGAGATTGACTTGTGGCGCTCCTGCACGGATAGGGGGGTCAGCAGCAATCGGTATGAGATTTTTGCTAGGGCTGAGACGCTTCATGACCCGTTTGAAGCCCCCCATGGTGACTGCCCGCGCCTGTCATGAGGAACCAGATGGGAGAGCAATATGGGAGCAAAAAACCAGTAGGCCTGTGAAGGGAAAGGCTCATACCGGTATTAGAAGCTAATTGAGCTAGAAGTGAGGTCGTTGTCTTAGGATTTTGCTTATTCATCTAGACATCGCAAGGGAGGCCTATGATCAATGAGGGCACTGTCTCATGAGATAGGGATCATCAAATATCACTAAAACAAACTAGCCTGATCCAAGCTGCAGAATATTCCAACACAATGAAGTGGCGGTAAGAAAGGTGGAAGCAGAAGATCAGTCGATCGATCGTTCTTTGTGTTCCAACTCCGCGTCCCGTCTGTCAGGAACGCCACGGCGCTAGCGGCAGGGGTGCTAGGACTACAGTCTGATGTTGTTTGTTTCTTTTTTGTTTTGTTTCGGACCTTTTTCATTGCATCTGAGTGATTTTATTATTCCTAAAGTGATTTATCACTTCTTCAACACCGCGGGCCTCCTGGTCATTGACGATTTTCAGGGGTACTCTATATACAAGAAGGTATACCAGTTTTGTGTAACGAGTGACTGGGGTGATTTCCACCAAACAGCAAGTCCAATAACGATACCAGAGCCATAGTAAATAACCGAACTAGACAAGGTATGCCAACAGACCGGCAATGCCCATAACAAATTGCACGGAAGACTGCTGGATAGAAGCAGCGCCAGTCTGCACGGCTCCGGTGGAGGATGCTGTCTTGGAGCCGGCATCCTTAGTGCTGGTAGCCACAGTACTAGGAGGTGAGCTGGCAGAAGGCGGGGCAGAAGGGCTGCCAGATGGGGCGGCAGAAGAGGCAATTAGGGCCTTGCTGGTAGTGCTGCTAGGGCTGCTAGAGCTGGTCGTGCTGGTCGTTGTGGGATGAGATCCTTGGTCTGCGAAGGCGTTACCCTCAGTTGTCTGAGGGTGCGGGTTGGCAGCAGCGTCAGCAGGACCAGTGGGAGGATCGGCAGCGGCAGCGGCAGGAGCAGTAGTAGTAGGAGCAGCAGCCCAGGTCTCGGGGGTAGTGTCCTTCCAAGATGTAGTCGGCACCTTGCCTTCAGTGCCATCCTGAGCTTGCTCAACATGAGCGACGGGCTTGCTGGCCGATCTCAACAGAGCGGTATAGTTCATCCGATCTTTCTGTCTAATCTGGAATGCATAGGTGTTGTTCTCCTTCACGTCGTTGTCAGGTGTCCAGGTGAAGGTGCCGTTCCTGCCCTCGGTAGTGATGGGTTTGACGTCCTGCAGGTCGCCTGAGGAGCCTTGACGGAGGAGGATTGTCACGGGCTAAACGGGTTCAGTTTTGTTATGAATTAAAACCAAGTAAGATGGGTATTACCTGGTCAGGAGCAGCACCAATCCATGTGAGGGTGACGGGCTTGCCAGCTTCGAGAGGTTCCTTGGGCCAGGAAGTGAACGCCAGAGGGTCGCCGGCGAGGGCGAGGGTCACAAATGAAGCCGTCAGGGCAATACTCTTGGAGAAGTACATTGTGGAGAGAGGCGATTGATAGCTGGGTTTCAAAGAAAGTGTGGTTATAGCAGAAGGATTGCGTACAACAGCTCGTGATGGAGAACGTGAGACAGTTTCAAGAACTTTGGTGGCGCATCGTGATTCTTAACTTGCGGAAACAAGTGCCTGGATCTCTTCCAGACCCACAGAAATCAGGTTGGAATTGCTTGTTGGCATTCTAACGATGAGACCCAGGGGCGTTTGGGGAGAATGTTGCATTCCGATAGCCGTAATGGTGAAGCATCAACATGTTACCCGAAAAGGCAATGGAAAATTCCTGCGGGCGAGCATTGTGAATTCTTGAGCCAAAGCTAGCCCGCTTTGCCTCGGAGAACTTTCTCTGTTTCAATGGTAAGAGTGTGAGAGGTTATAATGTAGTTCAGTGTCTCTTGTGGTACATATTGGTTTGCTGCGGCAATGCTTCACTTTTCCAATGGCGGCTGACAGCGAACAAGAATTGTTCGGTAATACAGGAGAGGGCTCATACTCATTGATGATATGCATGAAGTGGAGTGGCTGAGCAACACGACTCGTCGGCACATGCTAGAATGTCATCCCTTCCCGGATTGTTGTGGTGGGGATCAATCAATCTATAGGGCTGTGGTAAACACCAAGATCATCTCTTGCAGTCCATAAAGCATTTCTCGGGCCTTCTTCTATTCTACGATCGATCCCATACCAAAGGTTGCTCGCAGTTTGATTGGTGTGATCTGCAGGTTGAGGTCGATCGCCATCCATATGAAGCGAGGAATACCGAATATTACTCCGGCCTTCCGACTCAATGATCTGGCCGTATCAATATGCTGAATTCTAGATCATAAGCTTACATGAATATAAATTAATATCAGCAATAGCAAAATAATGATTTGAGTAGGCTCGAAGAAGCCACATGCCCGACTGCTGCGGGACAAAAGAGTACCTACATAGTATCTCCGAGGTCGATCCATACAACGTGATTAGTAGTGGCTAGGTAGATGGGTCATAGTGCTACTCTAGCTTCACCCATGGTGATCGAAATAGGAATGAGCCCTAAGAAATGCCGAGTACGTTGTAGATTTCTTTGACCTGACAGTGAGTTCGTCTTATGGCCACTCCTCCGATGCCGATATCTAATGTTTACTTTCAGCGTTGGAAGTTTTAGGGTTAGACCTGTAGTAAGGAATCTGTTGGTAGATGGTCCCTTCTCTTCCATGCAGAGAACTACAACTATACATCGCATCGTCTCAACGCCCGAGGAGACTTCGTTGTCGAACAAATTGAATTGGTATACGCTGATATATGAACCCTCAGAACTCCCACAACTCCCGCATGAAACTTCCCGGACCAGAGTCCACGCCGCCATCCTCCTCTAGCAGACGATCTGTGAAGATCCGCTTGGGAATCCGGTACTCGACGACAGGAATTTTCTTGAGATTTCTCTCTTCTACTCCAAGGTCTGCAGTTACCATGCCCGCATACGTGTGATCAAGGAAATCTTCCAGACTGTACGCTTGTTTGGTGAACTGCTCCGAGATGATCTTGGCAATGGACGCAACATTAGGATGGAAGTGAGACTGAAGAGTCTCGATCTCCCAAATACTGCTCTCAATGGCATTGGTCATGTTGGGGTCAGTCTCGTTTGGATCGAAAGGATCGTCCATGCCTTCTTTTTCCACTTGGGCGAGGAGGTCTTTATCCTGAATAGATCGGTGCATCATGAATGTAGTCGTGGGGTGGCTCTTGAAAAAGTTATACATGAACGGAACGATCACCACAATGGCGGATGGAGGGGCGTTTAGTGCAAGACGAGCCAGACGCTTGATGAAGCTGGCCACCATTGTGGACGGAAGATGGGTTGAGGACAAGAATGTGTTCAGCAGTCGGAAGAATCTTGATCGGTGCTTCGAGTGCAGCAGCTCGGCATCCAACAGAGAATACAGCTTGGTGTAGAATTGAGGGTAGTCCAGGTTCTTTTCCTGGATCAGGTAGAAGAGACCAGACAATGCGAGGAGAGATGTCGCACCACCGACATTGTATGAGTCCGTCAAGAAGTCCATCAGTAGTTCTGGTTGGTTGAACCACGGTTCAATGTTGTGCACCATCATACGCAACAGGGTTTTCCGCTGCGATTGCTCGAGATTGTTTCGTAGAATGGCCAACCACGCCTCCTGTGCCTGCTTTTTGTGGGAATTGACTGAAACTAAGCGCTTGTTCTTGGTGTCTCGTTTCGCGTAGAACTTTTCGAACTTGTGTTCCGGTCCAGGTACCTCATCGCAGGTCTGAAGGATTTTAATCAGAGTTTCGAGGACTTCGGGGGATCGTTTCGTAGAGGCATAATCACTGCTATGAGTTAGCCACGAAACCAGATGGCGGGAAAGATATACATACCTCATCTGTGCGAAAGTGTAATATCTCACATCTTCATACTCCTTCACGAACTTGGTAATAGCTTCTGACTGTAGATCCTGGCCGTTGTTCGCTTCGACGACTGCTGCAAAGATATCTTTGAAGAGACCCGTCGACCAAAGATTATTCTCGGAACCCGGAATATGGGCGAGACGTTCCTTGAGAATGCGCATGCTCAGCGTCAGAGCAGCAATCTAGAGATCGTCAGCAATAGTAACCCCCGGCAGATCAAGATCACACATACCTGACAGGAAGCATCTGCTTCACGCATGATAGCCACAAGAGCATTCTGATAGTCAAGGCAACGCTCTTTCAACCATGCCACAACGATTTTCTCATTCTCCGCGGCGCGGCTTGACTCGGTCAAATTTCCTCCGGCGATCAATCGGCTGAACACACGGCAGAGAGAGACAGCTACAGCCATCTCGGGGGTTTTGGCCGACTTCTCGACATTGAGCATGGACAATAGGGTCGCAATATTGTTATAGCCCTTTCGCGACTCCGCAATTTGATTCTCTAGTTCTTGAATAGTCGACAGTTTCTCGGCGAGATTGTCCTCGGCAACAGCGCGGCGCTTGGAGGATGGGCCGCTGGCATTCTTGCCGCTCTTGCGCTTCTTCGAGCTCGAATCCGTAACAGCTGTGGGCATCCTGGGCAGATGTCTTGTAGTGTACCGTGAACGGGTTATCTGCAACTTTTTTTTATCGTTTGGACCATCTCGGAAGCTGGTTTTTCCGAGGAACGGAACCACCGCCCGAAATGGCTAGCGTCTTCACCTCCTAGCCATCCCGAACCTCAAGTCTCCTCAATTCCGTTCACCCACCCCATTGACCAAGATTCTTCCATCTGCAACAATGGCTTCACGTCTCGCCAAGAGCGCCATTGGTATGCTTTTTACGATCCGCGACCGTCTGATCGACTCGATACCTTTAGTTACTAACTCACCCTAGGCGCATCCCGACTTCGGCCGGCTCTTCCCGCCCGTGGTGTCCCTGCCGTCACTGCCAACCTGACCTCCTCTCGTCAGGCCTCAAACGTTCCCGCTGAGGAGCCCGCCAAGAAGGCGCAGTCTATCCTGAACGCCATCCCCGGCAACTCCCTGGTCACCAAGACCGCTACTCTGTCCGCCGTCGCCGGTCTGTCCATCGCCGCCATCAGCAACGAGCTGTACGTCATGAACGAGGAGACTGTCGCTGCTTTCTGTCTGCTGTCTGTCTTCACCGCTGTTGGCAAGTACGGTGGTCCCGCCTACCGCGAGTGGGCCGAGGGTCAGGTCCAGAAGCACAAGGACATCCTGAACGCTGCCCGTGCCGACCACACCAACGCTGTCAAGCAGCGTATTGACAACGTTTCCCAGATGTCTGGAGTCGTTGAGGTTACCAAGCAGCTCTTCGCTGTTTCCAAGGTAGGAATACTCGGTCGCACGCGTTGATACTTGGGTCGGTCGTTGACAGTCCGTTTCAGGAAACCGCCGAACTCGAGTCTAAGGTCTACGAGCTCCAGCAGCGCACTGCCCTCGCTGCCGAGGCCAAGCAGGTCCTCGACTCGTGGGTGCGTTACGAGAACCAGGTCAAGCAGCGCCAGCAGCGTGAGCTTGCCGAGTCCGTCATTGCCAAGATCCAGAAGGAGCTTGAGAGCCCCAAGGTTCTTCAGCAGATCCTCCAGCAGAGCGTTGCTGATGTTGAGCGTAAGTTATCCACCAACTGACATTTACACGGCAGACTGCTAACGATTCCCAGGCATCATGGCGTCCAAGGCCCTGTAAATGGGCTCAGTAGCTCACTGCATTCGGCATTGTGTACAAAACTATAAGGGCTATTTGCATCTGCCGAGTTAGACCTTGCAATACCATTTTGATTCTTACTCTATAATCAGACAGGCATGGTTTCAAGACATGTTATCAAGCGAGTTGGGATTGGAAATACCGCCCGGCTCATGTCTGGCACATGAATCTCTTCGGGCCAGTTCCATCGTAGAACACTTTGACCAGAATATGATACAAAGAGATCCTCAAGAGTTCCCTTTGAATGTACGTGACTGGTACGACTCTAGATCTATGTAATACTGAGGTAAACATTGTATTCCCCGAGATAAAGGCTGAGTCCATGTGGCAGCTGAGGCGCCCTATGACATGCAGGGTCTAATGCAGGCCCCCCCCCCCCCCCCCCCCCCCCGGGGGCCCGTGGAGAATGCGATAAGAGATCTATACTAAGGTCTCATCTGGGGAATTCCATGTCGTTGTATACATCCCTCCAGGGCTAGGATATCCAAGTATTTCAAGTCCAATCTAATATTCAATTGTGTGCGGCCTATTAGCCGCTGGCCAAGACTCTCCCGACTCCAATCATCAGCCCGTTATAAGCCGCCTTACACAGCCACTGTCTATCATTGTCACAATGGGTTATTTTTCAAGTCTCATATTCGTCCTCAGCCCTACAAGTATTCCTGACTGTACCTCTCTCACACCTAGAAGCCCGAGTATCACACAAACACGCACAAAAAGCCCCAGATCCACTCCCCGCTGCCATCCGGATAAGTAGATGCGCATCATGCCCTCACTACGCAACATCCTCCACAAAAGCGAAGACCTCAGCACCACTCAAACACCCCAAAATGTACCAACAACACCCCAAGCACCCGAGTTCAAGCTCATCCGCTCAGACACGCACACCGAGGAGATAATTACCCCGCTATCTATTCCAACCAACCAACCCCAACCCCAATACCTATCATCACCAACTCAAGACGAGCCCACGTCTCCACGGCGAAGCTTCCAGTTCTTCAACCGCTCTCCCAGACCTACCTCTGCATCCTCGCAATCCCCACCGCATCGCGAGCACCGCCTCTCAAACCTCCTCCACCTCGACCACCGCAGTCGCAGTAACTCGCGCGACTCCTCCGCTAACATCCCCGCGGATCTGCCGCAGATCGACGATGATCGTAGCGCGAGTAAGCAGGAGCGTGAGGCGTTGTGGGAGAACAGGGCTACTGTGCTTGTGCAGCGGAATCCGTACTTCGCGCACTCCGGCTCGTCCTTGCCGGGGCAGCAGGGTGAGGGGGAGGCGTCGCTAGGTTTAGGACTTGGAGTTCCGGAGCAGGTTAGACCGAAGAGCTCGGGCCAGAGTCGGATTGGTCTGGATCGGAACGAAGATGTAAGTGTTTACTGCTTATATATTTTGCGTGGTGGTCGTGTTGGCGGTTGGAATGTGGAACTGACAGTTTATAGATCAATATTCAAGAGGCGATTCGACTGCATGAATCTGGTGGTGAGTTTTGTTTCTTTTATGTCTAGCTGGAAATATATGTTGATTGACATTGGACATAGATCTCGAGCGATCAACTCACATGTTCGGACAGCTTGCTGATCCAAATGGCGCGAATAATCCTCTGAGTCAGGTTCTTTATGGCCTTGCACTACGGTAATAGCATGCCTAGCTATTTCTCAAATTTATGGATGCTAATAAATGTCTAGACACGGATGGGGATGTCCTGTAGATCCCGCACGTGCCGTAACCTATCTCTCCGCCGCAGCATCCAACTCAGCCGCAGTTGAGGCTGAGGCCCTCCGTGCCGGGGTTAAAAAAGGGGGATCTGCAAAAGGAGAGCTCGTTTTGGCCATGTTCGAGCTGGCGAATTGCTTCCGCAATGGGTGGGGTGTAGCAAAGGATCCTGCTGCTGCTCGACAGTATTATGAAACTGCTGCGAACTTGGGTGATACTGATGCTATGAATGAAGTGGGCTGGTGTTACCTGGAGGGATTTGGGGGTAAAAAAGACAAGGTTCGTGCGATCTCCGCTTGGATATATATTCTGTGCCTATCTGACTCGGTGTTGCTATAGTTCAAAGCGGCCAAGTATTACAGACTTGCCGAGGAGAATGGGTGCCCTACCATTGGGAATTCATGGTATGTTGAAATGACTGAGGATTTGGAGTTGGAAACTAACGGATACTATAGGATCTGGAAAGACAAGTACAACCCAAAGTAATGTGTTTCTCCAACAAAGGTAGTAGGTAATTATTACCTCTATTCTACGATTGATGTATTCCACGGTCTCACTGCTCGATGTATCTTAACTTTTCCTACGTGTAATGTCAAACATTCATGATGTCTAATTTGAGCATCAGATCATGACGACTATATATATATTCTAGATGACAACTCTTCATAACCAATTCCCAGTATGCCTTTCCAAGGTTTCTCCGGGCTCACCTTCTCTTCAGTATGTAATATTAAATGTACATCTCAGGCTAACTCAATAAATGTGGCACAAGTTCACGGGTCATAGTATTCCTCATGATCTCGATCTTTTTCGCCTCTAATTCCACCCATACCTTCTCTTCCTTCTTCTCAGTCTTCTCTCCTTGCTCGATATCACCATTGCTCACAACAATCCTCTCAACTTCGAAATATAACTCATCGATGAGCTCATCACCTCCATGCAAGGAATTGTTGGCAGTGGATTGTTTCAGAGGCCAACCCGGTTGGTGAACTGGAAGTAACACAATGGCATAGCTCAACCGCTGGATAAAACCCACCTTGCTGCGGAATCTCTGGAACATACGCGGCTTATGATGTGATCCGCTGAATGAGACGACCAGTCCCTCATCGTCCTGGAGATAGCACTGAAAATCAAAACAGGATCTGATCCAAAAATGATCATCGCCCCTTGATCCTGATACATCGTTCAACCCCCATTCTTCAACTTTTAAATGTCCTACCCTCACCGCCAGCTTTCCTAACACTAGTTACCGCAATATACAAGCCAGCATTAACCTCCTTGTCGTTGCTATTGGTCATATGAATAGCATACTCATTGGTAACCCAAACAAATGGGATAATTCACAGCCCATTCTTTTCAGTATCCGTCGCAAGGTCTGACGCAAGAAGTGCCTTAGCATTCTCCGATGTCTATTTCGCAACAGGCTTGCCAAACGGAGCCGGGATCTTCTCCCGCCTAGCTAGACTACCCGTGACAAGACCCGCCTTCCTGAAGCGCTGGACTCGCACTTGCCTTCAACTTTCCTATCGATCGGTAGAGCGGCCGCAGCCGCAGCCAACACTCCACCCGATTGTTGGACGTGCTTGCCATCTTTGCCCTCAGAGGCTCGGGTCTCCCAAATCGATATCTTAGGGTCCTCGCGACTCGGTGTCAGCCCGAGCGCTGTGAAACCGCCTGTTTTCATTGTCTTGCAGAGATCGGTGACCTGATTGATTCCAGCCGTTGCTCTCGTTGAAGAAGCCTATCAAGCCCGGGTGGAATATTTTGAATGAAGGTCGGCGGGATCTAGAGGAAGTTGGGTTCTGGGTTGCGGGCTATGAGGCTGGGATATTCGATGCCGATGGTTGTGGCTTTGCCTAGGTTTTGATTTGTTGTTGATATACAGGTTTGAATTGGTTACAGACGCTGACTGTCGCAGGCAACAACAGGTTCAATACGTAGCTCCACGGTGGGCTGTGCGTTGACCTGAATACACGACTCGGGGTATGATCTCATCGTGGACCCTGGATATGAAGAGATATAGAGAACCCCCCTCAACCTTTTTTTTTTTCTTCTTCCTCTCAGCCCAGCCCTTTGACCTGTATGAGCGGCGGACTGATCTTGTGGTTTGTATGTTGTCTACATTGTGGGACTATGCTACTTGGAATCCCTTTATCGGGCTGACGTGCAGTATTTACAGCTTGGGATGGCCTCTGCACAATCATATACTAGCATCGTTCACATCAGATTTGATCCCACTATTCCCATCATCCTGGACTTGCAGTTCCTGACATCTCATAAGCCATATCATACCTAACAAGCCCCACTATTATTGTTAGCCGATGCCCTGGTGTTTTTAGGCATCCTTGGAAGGAAATTCCAAAGAAGCAACATCGCCCCCGAAAGTGCTATGATAAACGGCATCAAAACCTGAACACCTCTAGCCTGCGCAAGTACTCCAACAACAAACGGAAGAACAGCCGCGCCACCACCTCCAAAGGCTGCTGCAAACCCAATGGCGCTGACATGCAAGTGCTTTGGCAAAAGCTTCGTAGTAACAACGATAACCGCCGGGAACAACGGACCCAAAAAGAATCCCTGCAGTGATACCGCGATCGCGCCAGCCCAGAAGTTCGGAACCAGGTATAAGATGGTGCAACAAACTATCTCGAGCGAGATATAGACCTATTGAACGGTGAGCTTCCGGTATGATTTAAATGCACAAGATGTGCTAGGAGAGCCTACCGATATGGCAAGCTTCTCGCCCATTAAAGGAGTCACGAATCCAAGCATAAACCGTCCAAGAGTTATCCCGAGCCAGAACCCTGTAGACGTCATGCTGCTAGCAAATGGTGCGGCATGTCGTACTTCTTTCATGAATGTCACGATCCATCCTCCTAGCGCGACTTCGACGCCAACGTATCCAAGTAAGAAGATTGAGCAGGTCCAAGTAACCCGCGCAGAGGGCATCGTAGATAGAACACTCCACAAACCCGCTTTCTCGGATGTATCGCCGGGATGCTGTTTCTTAGCGAGTTGGAACGACTCTCCTGTAGAATCCCAGAAACTCGAAACGCAGACAGCAAACTCGATTGCAGCTCCTCCAGCCTAGAGAAATCAGCCACTATGATCCTGGTCCCTACCAGAAGATTTAGTGGGTGAAAGATCCCACGTACCATAATGTAATAAAAGTAGTACCACGGCAAGCCAGCATCCGCAACAAGAAACGATGCAATGAGAGGGCTGATGACAGCACCTACGCCGTAGAACCCATGAAGCAGACCGAGTAATTGATTCGCATTATCGAGGTTTCCAATCCAGGCATTCCATCCGGAGTCTGAAAGGCCATTTCCCAGACCTGCGAATGTGAATGACACAACGAGGATGGGGTATGGCGGATGTACAGAGTTCAAGATGTAAGCTATCACATGGCAGGAAGATGAAATGAAGGCTACACCTCGTCGGCCTACGGCACAGTGCACTCGCTCGTTCAGGACGGCGGCGCCGATATAGCCGATGACTGGAGCGAGGAAGACGAGGGAGACGCTTGTATGTGAGAGGGTGTAGTATTTTTCGAGCTAGGAATGTGTTAGAAGGGGGATTTGAGATTTGGTGGGGTTGATGTACATATGGAATGAGTGGCTGGATGACGGTGTTCGGTTAGTATAAGATTCCAACTGCTATGGATATATTGTATATCTTGGGATCTTACACCGAATGCGGAGTCATTTGCTCCCATTATTAGGAAGCTCCAGAATGTTGCCAGTGTCTTTGAAATGTTTGATCGCGGGTAGTTCCATTTTTCCTCGGTGAGTTGGTAAGACGACTCAGACGATGAGGGCTGGTTTTCATGTTGGAGGAGGGGTTGGTTTTCATCAATCGCGGTCTGGGGACTATCTCTATCTTGCACTCCAATGGACATGGCTCTGCTGTTAAATCGACTGTGAACCTCAACTAGAAAAAATAAATGAAAATACAGAATGGAGCAGTAGATCAAAGAGCTTTATAGTATCCAAAAATAACTTTATGTCTGGTTTTTCGAACCCTTCAATGTTAGCTGAGCAAGTTTCCCAATCAGCAACGGAGCGGGGGTACTCTCCCAAATAGGAAGGTCGGCCAGCAATCCTTGCATATTTCTTTTTGTGTTGAAATCATAATGCAACTAATGTACCAATACATAAGAGTTATTAGTCCAGTAGAGAATAAAGTGCATATCATACCCAAAATTGGACATTGAAACATAAGTCCACAGAAGTCCACAGAAGTGATTTCCTGAAAGTGACCAGGTGACTTGGAGTCTTGGAGAAGTGGATTCTAAGGTTCACATGGCGGGCACTGTACCTGATTGGGGATAGCGTGCCCCCATGAGTTCGGCCTCCAATTCCCGAACTTCATTGTCCAGTTTTATCAAAATGGCGTTAAATCCCCTCAGATTTATCTCACTCCCCGACACCCCCAACCACAATTCCTCAATTCTCCGAGAACGGTCAGCCAATGCCCTCCCAATTCACTCAAGAGGAGCTTAACAAGGGCATTGGGCGGTTATATCGCTAGGTTTGACTGTCATATTGCTGGAATTCCTGAAAAGCATGCACACATGAGAGTCTACTCAAATACCAATCATTGGCACTGAGCTCTTTAGTTCCAGGATTAGAGCCGAGCAAGTCATTCCCGCACCTCTGAATCGCAAGCTTGAGGATTTGAAATCTTTCAAAAATATGAACTGCAGCCCTATCTCATTCCTGCTCATCTACTATTAAAGCGCGCAAGACAAAGAGAGGAGGCGGATACGTGACTCACCCCATTTGGGAGAAAATTGCTGAGCATTCTCTGCGTGATGAAGTCTTTTTGGAAATGGATTTGCTCCTTTCCCCTCATCTCTTCCATCTACCTAGGTAGCTATCCTTTCCTCGGCATCATACAGAGAGACTTTCTTCCCTGATCTACCTTCCCTAGACCAGCCCAAAGAAAATCCACCTTGGTCATTGACATCAGCGTTGGCATCCAATCGCTTTTAAATCAATCACAAACTCCGCCCTGAGCATCCCTACTGGTTTGCGCTGCAATTCTGTTCCTCGAGCAGTGAAGAAAAAGTCAAGCTGAATGCTGTTTCCCGTATCACATCCCTTTAGTTCGTTGTGCATGTAAGCCATCAGTGTTGATTTGCCTGCGCCAGGCTTGCCATTAATCCATAGCAGACCGTGGGAGTCGCTCCTCCAGGGCTTATATTCTTCCAGCCTTAAAATCCACTCGCATGTATTTTCATGACGCTGTTTGATGTTATCTCGCCGATCCAGCATCTCCGGGAAGGCCAGTGATTTAAGGATTTCTGCGAACAAAATCAGTAATAGCCTCTCTGGTAGATACTCGGGCGATGCGAACCATTATCAATATTTTCTTGGTCTAAAATGTGTAAGCGCCATAGATTATATATCCGAGAAAGCTCTGCACATTAAGTAGTATTGAAATAGCGGACTAACCTTCTGTTTGTTGGACTTCAGGGCTCAGGCCTTCGCTAGCCAAAGTCACTGCAAAGAGTTAGTTAAGATGGGTGTGGTCTCTTGGCTTGTATTCACTCCCATTACCTCAACAGTTGTTTTATTGCGCCCTATGGGAGTTGTTATTGTTTTGAGCACCACTGCCAGCATTGGCATTCTGTGTGGCACGATCGTGGTTGTTGAAAGTGACGGGTAGCGACGTTAACTAGCCCATGGTATTTCATCTGGAATCCAAAGTCTTCCGGCTATGCACTCCGTAATTAGTCTGGAAATTAATCTTGAAGAGTTGAAGGTGGATCAGGGGCAGCGGGGTATGTGGCTGGAGAGAGTAGGGGGCTGAGAAGTCCAAGAGTTGGGCATCACATTCCCCAAAGCCCACAAATGGGCCCCCACCCTAGGCCCAAAGCCCAACCCGCAGTGGGCTATGGGCCTAACCTCCCTTATCGGCCTCTGTAATCGCTGTATTACGACCTTCCACTGGGTATATGAAGTTCAAATTCAGAATTCAGAATTGGACTAGCTATATAAGTATATCTTTCAATTTTGAATAAAATCAAACCGGTAGAAGTCGAGATACCATTAATCTTAATATTTTGGTGAGATATATACTATTTTGGGTTTGTATAGGAGAACTACTACTTTCTAAGGGAACTTCTGTAATTTATAAATTATCTGAATAACGCGCTTTTTTATATTTTTAAACGTGATTTAGAGAAATTACTAGTAATCAATTCTAGATTATTCAAACTGATATAATATTACATTAGGGATAAGGCTGAGAAACGGGGATAAAACGAAGGGTAATTTTGGAAACCCTTTTAGGGGGTTTAACTTAGTATTTTTGTATTCTTTGGGGCCCAATGGGCCCCTATTAAAGCCCAGTGGGCTTTCACCCCGGGCCTATAGCCCATCGATAGGCCTAAGGACCGGGCCCAAAACCCGGCCCATTTACGGGTTGGGTCGGGTTGGGCTTTGGGCTTTGTGGGCCGGTGCGGAAGTCTAATCACAAGCTAGTGTGATCAATACGCATATAGTATACAGCCCAGGCTTACTGCTAATTTATAGGCTCGGCGAATTACAAGCTGTAGAGATCTGCTAATATTTATATTGTGCATAGGGTGATCTGTTATCCTCCACGTCGGTGAAGTAAAAGAACAGAAGTCTCAGCAGTCCAAATAACATCTTTCTAATCTTCCAAAGTCCAATCTCAGTGGGCAAGACATCAAACTAGCCTAGAACAGACACTTGTCGAAGGCTCCCAGCAGCCACATGACAGGAGCCCATCTCCCCAAAGGCCTTTTATTGACCTAGCATTATCAGCTCACGATGAGGAGCCTGAATCGGATGCTTTTGATGGATTTGCCGGCTGGTCATCCTGGCGGGTGCTGGTGGAAACAGCTTTTGATAAAGGAGGCTTCCGGGTAGGTCTCGTGTTTGATAATCCAGCATCTTTCAGGATCCGCCAAACAGTACTCGAAGAGATATCAAGTCCTTCAAGGCTCAATTCTTCAGCAATATCAGCGCAGGACTTTTCTTGTCCAAGCTGCGCTTTCAAAAGCACCTGGCTTTTGACATCTGATGACTGCTTTGTCGGCCTCCCAGAGCGAGGGGCGTCAGCTAGCATAGCGTCAGAAATATTCCAAGGACGTGACTCTGGGTCGAAGCCATTTTCAATGGCCCTTTTATATATGCCATTAATTGTGCGCGTCGGAAGACCAACTTGCTCTGAAGACCAACTTGCTCTGATAGAGTAGTAGTGTTGACACCATTAGCTTTGCAAGCTACTATAATCGCGCGCTTATAAATATCATGGCCCATGGTGGTAGATGGTAGTAGTAGAAGAAAAGAGTATACGGAGTACATATAGGGGCAAAGAAAAGGGGGGCTAAAAGAGGGGTATTAGTGGTATGTACCGCCATTACACGCTAGTCTTCTTATAAAAAGCAAATAAAAACGCAGACACTAACTTTTGAAATGGACATACATAATTTGATTATCATACCTTACACATGGCAATACATCAGAAGTTTACTATGTTGTATCTTGGAAGCTAGCTCTTATAGAAGGACTTTACAGATAACCGCCCCTTGAACTATACATTTGTATCTCTCTCGAATAGGGGTTATTTATATTATCCTTAGATTTAGGAAGTTTATACCGATGGGCTCTAAATTCTTAGCCAAAAAGCTCGCACGAGACTTGGAGTTTGAGTTAGTTATAGACCTTGTATATGGCAGACGTTACCAATTTAGGAATGTTAATACATAATCCCTATGCGTACATGAATATAGAGATATAGACACTTAGTGACTATAGTCCCTGTAGACTCCAGAAAAATGGTGTGAGGGCTAGAGAAAGAAAGAAACAAAGATGGACGAGAGTTGATACCCTTGACACAAGCACCTTCCTAGAATGGACGGCCCTCTAATTTACCTTCCCTGAGCATTCCAATTTTACATATCATGTGTTGAGCAGAGCCCTTTAGGAAGCTAGTCCTGAACTTCGTAACATATTCTTCTAATTCTCCAGGGCTCTTCCAAGGTAGTCTCCTTCTTTCCTGTCGTAGGACTAAGATTAACTAAAAAGGATTCGACAATAATTGAAATATCGTGTTACTTGATATGTTCCCAAAACTCTACGCCTTGAGCTGGCTTTGTCATACTAATTGTCATCTCTGTCTACAGAACGCTCCTCCGCCGTACCTGACAGACCAGTCCTGGAAGACAGACCATGTAAACTTTACTACGTAAATGACCAGAACACAGGTTATGGTGAGAAATCATAATCACTGCGATCTTTTAAATGCTATGCCCCTGTTCTTGTCACCTGACCAAAGAAAGATCCCCTCACATGGATTTTTCTCGTATATTATTACTCCCTCATCTCTCCTTCCTCTCCTGGCCAACGGCAACATTCTGCCATTCCATTAGCCACGTCCATCCTGATGGATCTATTCCGCTCCGATCGTCTACAATACCATAGTTTCAATTCTCCTGAGGATGATGCCTTCTTCCATTCCATACAGAGTGATCCGGTTGCCTTCACAAACTCCTGTGCATCACTCATACGACCTGTAGACCGCCAATTTACCAAGAATATCAGAAAGCATCTTATTGAACACTCGCTGTTGTTTGTGGTTATCTACAGGACCACCGGTGATTCAGCCAATCAGATGCAACTTGAGCCCATCGGCACACTTTTCTTGAAGTCTCCAAGTCCAGATATGGCTCATCACCGTTGCTCAGAATTTGGTATCGATATAAAGAAGGAATATCAAACCCAAGGTTATGGCACTGAGGCAATCAACTGGATGCTTGACTGGGCATTCAAGAATGCTGGTCTGCACCGGGTGGAGTGCAATGTTCTTGGTTGGAATCTTCGCGCTCAGAAGGCTTATCAGAGACTTGGCTTCCAGGAGGAGGGACGGAGAAGGGAGTGCTTATTTAAGGATGACCAATGGTGGGATGAAGTGAATTTGGGGATTCTCAAGAAGGAGTGGCAGCAAATCAGACAGGGAGAGGTCAAATCGTGAACGAAAAACGGCAGGAGATGACGACTAAAGGAAGGTGGACGGACAGTCTTGAGTGCCAGAAATTAGTATATATACATATGCACATAGGTAAGCTTCATATATTTTTTTAGAATCGTTTGAGAATGTTATAGGAAATCGCTGGGAAAGTTAGTATTTTACCAGGTCCTATCGAGAATTTACTATCTACGGTGGAGCAAAGAAAAGCATTGAATGGATTGCAAATGGCCGGTAGGATATAACAACTGTGAAAGTTCCTGTATCGAACGACCTGGATGTTTCCAAGGTTGTAGAAAATAATCACTTATCACATAAGTGATTATTTTCATGCCTTCAGAAAGAAAGTATTCTCAATACATCGAGCACAAGGAATTCCAAAATAGATACCACTTCCGAAGACAGTAGTCTTTAAAGCTTTGAATACAAGATCAGCTCGCAGCTCATGCGGCGTTTGTCTTTGACGACATGGGTATATTTGAATCACAATGATATTTGGGACTTTATCCGTAAGAACACTCCGGTATGTTTTTGGATGTTTTTTTTGGATCTCTTTCTATACGCATTTTAGTTATTTGAATGCTGTAGAAAGCGTAAATTGTGCAGATGACGTTTATGTAGAACCTTTGAAATAAACCAATTATATAAAATTGAAGCCAGGTTGAGCCATATCCGAGTATAGTCATCATAGAAAAGGCACTAATATAAAACGCTAATTTTATTTCACGCTAGCTCATTTCTTTCAACTGCACCAGTATTCTTTTCATCATGAGAACCAGTCGAGCCAGGGCCATCACCTATCGCACTTTCAGACCTCTCCTTGACTGTTCTCTGCTCAACCTGCGTCCGCATCCGGTCTGCCACTTCATCTAATTGCCGGGCAGACTCCGCAGCGTACTGACAGTGGCGGCGAATTGCTGGTCCATATTTGTAGAAGATCCACGGGAATGGTAGACAAGCTACAGCGAGGAAAGCTGAGACTGACGAGGCCCAGTGAATGCCAAGATTCTGGTACATTGGCGATGTAAAGAGCGGGCTATATAGATATCAAGTTAGTCTGCTGCTAGTGCTTTAATCAGGGACAAAAAGGGCGAAACCATACAATGCCGCGCCGAAAAGGGCGCGGATGACAGCATTACCCGCTAACGCCGATGCCGCATAGATAGTATACCCATCGACAAGGTAGTTCACTACGCTCAAGAAGATGGATACGTGAGAGAACCCGAAAAGCACAGTTCCAATCTCGCAGACGATCCAATGGATGCGGGGAAAGTTAGTCCAGGCAAACCAGAACAGTCCAACGGGAAGGGTAACTGCTCCGACCATTGCCGGAATGAGTCGAGCTTCAGGAGGTGGGCGACCGTGGGTTGTGCGATCGGCGACTTTCTTATACCGGCTATCGTCAAGGATTGAATATGCGCATCCAAGAATTTGCCCGATCATCATCCCAAGGAAAGACAGGCCGGAGGTGCTCTGGGGCCATTTGAGGTTTTCTTCAAAGACAATTGGAAAGGCAGCAAACTCCATATACATTGTTCCGTAAACTGTTGATAGTTTTATTGGTTCTTAGTAAGAATAGAACGAGCAATTAAAAAAACTTATGAGAACTTACTGATAGCCATATAGATGGACAAAAGCAGCACAATCGGCTCCATAAACAGCAAGATCCAGGGCCGGACCATGGTCTTGGTGAAGGTCTGGCTAGCAGTCCGATTTGCATTGCCAACGTCTAGGCGACTCTTGTAGACTGCTCCAGTCAATTTACTGAGCTTAGCAGCGCGCTTCTGCAACAGGACTGGAGTGTAAGTCTCCGGGATGAAAGCAATTCCAATTAGGAACACCACCCCATTAAATATAGTTGTAAGTCCTTGAACCCACTCCCAGCCTTTTGACACTGCCAAAAAGTCGCAAGTGATCGGTCCGAGACTAGGACCTAAGAAGGGGGCTCCAATAAAAGCAATTGTAGCCAGCCCTCTATCACGAGCTGTGTACATGTCCGAAACAACACCACCAGCATTGGAAATAGCCGAAGAGCCAAATGCGCCTGCGAGAAACCGTAAAACTAGCAATGTCGCAATGTTCGGGCTTGCAATTGTTGCCCCGGCAAATAGTGTAGTCAACCCGTACGTGATGAAGTAGATGACCTGACGACCCCAGAGCTCGGAAAGTGGAGCCCAGATAGCTGGCCCGATGGCAAAGGCAAGAACAAAAAGCGAGGTGTCGGCAACAACTAGCTCAGTGCTGATTCCGAACCGTTCCTGGATCTGGGGGTTGGCTGCTGAAAGTGCAGACGAAGCAAAAGTAATGGACAAAAAGGAAGCGGCTTGTAGAAGTGTAATGGACCATTTCAGCCAATCTTGCATTTGGTGGGGATCACGAGCATCTTCGTGAAGCCAGTCGACCAAATAAGGATCTTCCGCCGTGCCATTTCCGTCCCACTCGTGATTGAGAACGCCATCGGTGATGATATCTTGGAACAGGACTAGCTGATATAGAGGTATCCGAAAGTAACTGCTGGTTTTCTTCATGGCTGGCATGGTTTGGGTACTTTTCCCCTCGGTCCGAGAGTCCTCGATTGCGCAAATGAGGATATTCCGGAACAGATGAAAAGATGGCGTTGTTTATAGGGTAAGCGACGAATTCTTCTAGTGGATGCAATAACTTTGAAAAAAAAAAAAAAGAAGTAAAAAGCACCCAGTGCCCGCAGTTGCCTTCAAAATAAGATTGGGGAGATGGTTATTTAAGCACATAGCGGCAACGGTGTTGGAATGAGAGAGGGAAATTGATATAGACCATTAGTAATGATTAGCAAATTTTCACTGTGATTTTAAATCAGAATATGAAGGGGTTGGGGGACATTTGGACTGGAACATGCCGAAATCCTCCTTGAAAAGCGAGTTAATGCGTTCATTGAAGCTGTAATGTTGTATAAAAGACGATGCCATTATTTCCAGGCTCTGCCAAGCTTTGTGATCATGAAGCATATGGGGACTTTAAGCCAATAATCAACCAGATAGAACCCCACTGGCTCTCGTTCCCACTAGTACCCGCCTCCCAGGGCCACTAAGCTGGTCGGGGTAATGCTGCTCCGAATAGACGGGTGTCTTCGGGCCTGAAATGGATGCGACTGATACGCAGCACATCAGTAGCTATAACCAGAGCAATGCTAAATCATTGCACTTATATTGAGGTTGTGACGGACCTAATGCGTTGAATAAAAGGTGGAATTTGACTATATAGCTAGAGTTTCGATTGGCCCAAGAATCAGGACTAAATACTCTAAATAGAGATCGATAGGTGCACGAACAGTCTGTTGCGCTGAAATTCCTGTGTGTGTCAAGTTATTTACTCAAGATCGCATCGGCAAGGACTCGAGAAACTCTAAACCGACTTTCTTCCCCAGATGTTTCACAGCGTTGTATATGGCGTATCATGCAATTTCAAGACGTCGTGAAGATGTTCACAAAGTTTAAGAGTCTGGATTAGATCGTGTTCACTGCGAGCGGGCTGCCCAGAAATGTTTTGAACACATGCAACATTGTTTCTTGATTGTGTAGGTGGTATCTAAATCTTTAAACCCTTGACTCGAGCCGCCAATTGCCTTAACAGCTGGACCATTTTTGGAGAAGCCAATCGCTGGGCGGCCGGTCGTTGTCTCGTATACAGCCTGTCTAGAACTGTATACGGAGTAGACTGTATATATTTCCTATCTTGGACGTTCAAATCAGGGCTGCATTTTCTCCATTGATGCCTGAGCCATAAGGTGTCTAGCCTCTCACTATGTCTAGGTGATGTATCACGTTTACATATCAATTGCACATTGCTTATGCTATCTCGTCTATTTCAAATGCATGACCGTCTCCTTTAAATGATGTCTCGCAAAAGCCTCCAGTGCAATAATCTCAGTGTCATGGCCCCAGCCCCTTAGCTACCATGACCCACCCCGTATATCCCTTCCCACCTGGGGAGCCCACGCAAGCCCCGTGTGTCACCGCCAAGCCTGCAAGAACACCAACCTCAGCGGGTGCACCACCACGGACCCCTTACAATTATGACACCAAGCGGCTGGTGACATCGCACCGCGTTGCTAACAGCCATGCAAGTCCCAACTGGGGCGCCGGATGCTTGTGTCCTTTGAACCATAAACACAGCAACAGCCATAGCTTATCAACATAGTCCAAGTTGCACAAGGTCTGCTTCATCCGCCACTATCAATGACTTCATACTCCTCAATGAAGTCAGTGGGTAGCCTTGTCAATATTTTTGTTCTACACACCATTTCCCACTATAACAGGAGGCGAAAACAGCCCCCTCCTTCTGAATTAAATCTTCATTAATCAATCAGGATCTCGAGCAAATTTGTATGTAATGTGCTACTCGGGAGTTGCATCCATTGATGCAAGAAATCCCCGCTATAGGGCACCCGCCTGCGAGAACGACAAGACGGCCCCAGCCATCATCCAATCGGCGCCGATCGATCCCACAGTTACCCCTGTAGATCCTCCAATTGTCCTGTTTTAGACGATTCAATAATAGATCTTCGTGCCGGTGCGTGGCTTATGTCATTCTGGTGCTCCATGCCTGCAAGCTATAAGACTTTGATGGAGCCTGATATGCGTTTGTCTTTGCTTTTCTGGTTTCGATTTCAAATACCCCGTTCTTCGATCTTCGCATTTTTTGCTATTTCTCAAGGTGTGTTTGTTTTACACCGTCCCCTTACCCTTGCATCCAGTCCAAACCCGCATATCGCACCGTTTTCACTGTATCTTCTATTATTACACTTGAATCGGTCGCTGATTATGTACTTGTCTCCATTCTAGATACCCCATTTCCGACTCTTTCCACCAATTCAATTCACAATGCGCGCCTCAGTCATCATCCTCGGCTTCCTTGCCACTCTTACCGTCGCACTCCCCGAAGCATATCCTAAGGCCGCAATCTCATGCCAATCTGTGAGTCCGCTCGATGGTTATATTGTTGGAGAATGCGGAGAAACCATTTCTAACCCTACCACTAGAACACCATGGCCTGCATAGCTGCTAACTGTGCCGCCGAAGGATGCTGCTGTGAGGGACTTACTTGCGGATCCAATGGTGTAAGTACCTAGCGACCCCACGCAATATCTCCGTGATTGATTTGGTTTAAGATGCTAATGCGGATGATAGACTTGTAGGCCACTATAAGCAGCTTTTTTTCTTGGGGTTACAATATGATACGGGAGGCATTAGCCTACCCGATCAACCATGATGCCTTTTTGAGTTGGCATGAGGATGCAACCTGCACAGAGGAACCCTTGCCCTGGTCCTATGCTCAATGTCTTCACTTGTATCTATCTAGTTTGTTAATGGTATATAATTCTCGAATTTGAAAAATTCTCAATCGTTGCATTGATAATGGATTTATCTTCATACTTCCTAGCCTACCTAAAAATGTAGAACAGCGATGGTAGCTTTGGTTCGATGCAGCTATCACAAAGCCTACCCTTTAGTATGATATTCCTCTTTTCGCATGGTGCTTAACCTTGGAAGATAATTGGTCGTTCGACAAGACGGCCCTGTAACGCAGTGAAATATCCAATAAACTCCCTGAATAGACATCCCGTAGATGGCCTCCGACAAAAAAAAAAGCAAAGGGAGCCGTCCTTTGTCCATGTTCCGTACATGTCTTTCCAGTTGGAGCCCACACACATTGGTCTCCCTTTCAAGGTCGACAACAATCTCAAACTGGCACTCGCCAGCCTTTAGACAATATCGGATGCTTCCCTGGATCCTATTCCATGATCACTTGTCTTCGGTGTCCCGTCTTTGTCGTCCTTCGGCAATTTTCTTTGAAGATCCTTCGGTCGACCCGAGTAGTAGTATCAAAAATGCTGTGATGGTTCCGATCAAGATGACTACAGCGACGAGGAAAGGCAATAAGATGTAAAAGGTGAGCTTGGCACCCTCTATGACCATGTAGACTGTTGCAAACAATGGACGTAGAAGGAGAGGACATTGCATGCACGCGTCTCCGAGCAATCCAGTCGCCAAGTCATCCATTTCGAGGGGTATATGGATGATCTGAAAATAGAGAGTTCGAAGTGATTTGGTTGATTCGATTCGAGATGTAAGTGATAGAATTATATTGGTTATCGGTAATAGCTATGATGTGGAGGAAGGAAGTATGGTAGTCGTAGTAAGGAATCTCGCCAGTGCGTTGAACTTGAGTTGTTTATTTGTTGTAGTGGAATACTACTAGATAGTGAGGGATGATGCAGGAAGAAGAAGTTGTTAAATTGTCAAACTATCAAATCAGGGTTTAAATACCCTGTCTATGAAGATTATCCAAAGACTGCTCGGTCTGTCAAACATACCTGCATCTTCAACACTAGGTATTCAAAGTTGAAATGAACCCTGGTCCAGGGAAAGACAGATACTTTTCCTATTTGGGAACATAGGACTTCCAAGGTTCCCCAATATTCCCAAGGCTGTTACTTGGAAGTCGATCAAGAGCCCTTCTTGACTCAAGACCCCCACAAATCTAAAGGATCGCCACATTTTAGAATAGGCAGGCGGTTTTGTTGCGGGGATAAATACAAATGCCTACTGACCCCGCAAAATGCCATATGTATACTCTAAAATGATCAATTATATGTACTGGCACTAATCTGGTAGGACGTTTCTTTTTCCGCATGGCTCAGCTTGACCTTAGAAGACGGCTAGTCGTGCAAGAAGATGAGCCACCAACGTAGGAACATTGTGAATGAAATTTTCAATAAGCGAAATACTCAATAAACTCCCTAAACAAACATTCTATATAGAAAGAAGACCAACAAAAGAAACAAAAGTGATACGTTCTTTGGCCGTTATCTCATACCCATAACCCTACAGCAACAACCCATAAAAAGAACCCTTACAATATCCACAACGACCTCAACTTTTAAACTCGCCAGCCTCTAGACGACGTTCAACACCTCCGCGGGCCTTTTTATCATCGTCACTTTTCTTCCGTGTGCCATCTTTGCCTTTACCAGGGATCAAGCTAATGAGAGCTCCGATCACATAGATTATCAGCGCAACGATTCCGAATAGGATGGCCCCGGTGGCGATAAGAGGTAACAGAATGTAGAAAATGAATTTAGCAGTCCCCATGACTAGCGTCAGAGTTCCACATAGTGGACGTAGAAGGATGGGCCAGTCGTTGAACCCGCCTCCGTAGAAATCCTGGCCCGCCTGCTCCATCTTGGGTGTATGGATAATTGGTAGGTATTCGAAGTGCGATTTTGGTGGTTTGAGATGCAAGTTATGGGAGTATGTTGGTAATAGGTGGGTTTGGTTGAAAGGATAGATGGTTCGTAGCAAGAAGTGGTATGGTGAGAATGAAGAAACATCAGGATGACGAATAGCCTCGCCAACCCCGGACTTCGTAGTCCGTTCAAGCTTGAGATGAACTCTGGTCCGTTGAAAGTCAGATGCGTAGTTTTCCTATTTGGGAAGTATAACCTTTCGCTACCAACAACCTTCCTTTGAAGCTTCATACCTGGTAGAGATCACTAGTCCTATTCTATCTTCTCCAAAACCTCCAAATCCGAACCCTCGTCCCCCAAATCCTTCTTCCTCAAATTCAAAGCAGCCAGTCTCTCCCGTCTAGCATCCACCATCTCACCAAGAAGTTCAAGCTCAATCTCCAGACGTTTCTGCAAGTCGAGTGTATCATCCGAGCCACCCGTACACGCCAGAAGCGAAGTAGATATTTCTGTATCTGTCTTTCCCTGCTTCTCAATGTTTTCCTGTTCTCTCTCCTTCTCTTTCTTCTCTTTCACTTCAATATCTTTCCTACCAAACACCGCTGCAAGTATGGCGAAGAATAAGAAGGCGCAGGCGGCGATTAAGGCGAGTGCCACGACTATCGGGATGACGAGGTAGATCAATATTGTGAAGAATGTCCCGAAAACAGATTCGACTATTAGGAGGGGACGCATGTAGAAGGATTCGTTTTCGAATGGGAATGGGAATGTCATGGTGGGTGGTTTAGGGAGTTGATGTGTCTTGGATTCAGATTTGGATTAGGACCTGGTCTGTGTTTGGTTCCGATAGGGAAGAAAGAGCGGTGCTTGTTATTTGGGGACGGTTTATATCTCTGGTGAAGGTTCAAAAGTCTGATGTTTGAGAGATGGTTAAATGAATAGTAGTGCCGATTTGATATCCGTGGACATCCTGTGCTAAGCCTCGGTATCGGGCGATGTGCGTTGAGGCTGTATGCACAGCCCCAATGTCTCGGAAGCGGGTTGCATGGCAGCTCTACGGAGTCGGGAATGGATTACTAACTACATCATACAAAGACTACCAGAATCCAAACTCGTAAGAAGGCATAAATGAGCAAATATACACAGGACTAAAAACATAAACAAAGAGATCAAAACGGTGGGTGCAACCAGGTCAGTAGACAACGTCAAATAAAAGGTGTATCTACCAAGGAGTTCGAATTTAAAATAGAAACCAAGAAGGGAAGAAAGGGCCGACCGTGGTCCGTAGACACACCACCAAGCCAGAGAAAGGGAAAACTCCTAGTCCTCCTGTACAAGTTTTGCATTTGCAGAACCGAACCAAAAACAAAATTTCAAAAATCCATCAAGAGTCGTTTCGCTTAGAAGACTCCAGAGCAACCCCAGTGCTGCTCGACGTTGAACTCACCAGGGTTCTTCCAGGTGTCATCGGAGTAGGAGAAGAAGATGGACTTGGAGCCAACAGCCTTGACAATGGACTTGATGGCAACGGCCTGCTGAGCGGTACCGGGGATGGCAGCGCCGTTGGGGGAACCGGCGTTGGGCCAGCCAGTCTCGAGGTTGATGACGTCCTTTCCACCACAGATGCGCTCGAGCTCCTCGAACTCGCCCTTGGTGAACTCACCGGCCTTCTCGGCGGTGACATCGGCGTTGAAGAAGGGGTGGATGTTAGCACCGACGATGTCGACGGCGCCGCAGAGAGCACCAGCACCGTGTTGCTGCCAGACGTTGATGGGCTCGGTGGTGGTGATGAGACCGGTGTAACCGGCGGCCTTGAAGCTGGCGGAAGAGGACTGGATGAAAGAGGCCAGGTTGGCGGCATCAATGACGCCGGATTGGATAGCCTCGTTACCGACAACGATCAGCTCGACCATGTCCCACTCGGCCCACTTGGAGATCTCGGTGACCTGCTCCTGGGCACCGGAGATACCGGAGCCATCGATGAAGACACCCATGATGATGGTGAGTTTGAGCTCCTTGCAGGCGTCACCGATGAACTCGAGACCGCTGCAGTCAGTGGAGTACACACGGATCAGGTTGAAGCCCTTGCCCTTGATGACGGTGAGATCGTTGAGAACCTCCTGCTTGGTCTTGCACTCGCCTCCGTCGGTGTAGGGGGAGTAAGTCATACCCCACTGGCCCTCACCGAGATCGGTGGGGATACCGGTAGCCTTGGGCTTGCTGACGGCGGAGGTAGTGGAGCTGGCGCTGGAGCTGGAGCTGGAGCTGACGGGGACGGCAGTGCTGGTGGGAACAGCGGTGGTGGTGGCAACAACAGTAGGGACAACAGCGGCGGTGGTGGAGGCCAGGCCATTGGTGGGAGCGGGGCAGATGTAGGTGTAGTCAGTGCGGGTCACGGTGACGACGGACTCATCCTGGGTGTAGGTACCGGGCACCACGGTGGTGGGGGTAGGGTAGACCAGGACGGTGCTGGTGGGCACAGAGGTGGTGGTAGGAGGCACAATGGTGTAGGTACCAGCGCTGGGGCAGACGTAGGTGGTGGTCTCAATGACGCTGGTCACGGTGCTGCCGGAGGGCTTGACAGTGGCGTAGGGGCAGACGACAGTGGTGGCAGTGGTGACAATGGTGGTAACACCACCGTAGGTGTGGGTGCCGCTGGGGACTTCAGTGGAGGTGGCACCGCAGACGGTGGTGGTGTCGAAGACGGTGATGGTGGTGGCCGGGATGGTGTAGACACCGGTGGTGGAGAAAGTGCTGACACCGGGGGTGGGCAGCTCCACGGTAGGAGTAGCAACAGCGGTGCTAGAGACGACCGGGGCCGGGGCCGAGGAGGAAGAGCCCGAGACAGTCACGGTCAGAGTGCTGGTGCTGGTGGAGTGCACAGTGTTGGTGAGAGTGGTGGTGGACTCGGGGAGGGGAGTAGAGGAAGGAGGAGGGGAAGGAGAAGAAGCAGGAGGAGGAGCAATAGTCTCAGTAGAAACCAAGGTAGCGGCGCCGTAGTAAGTGATGACCTTGGTAGTGCAGCCGCAGGTCTCCTCGGGGTCCAGAGGGAGAGTTGAAGTGACGCTGGAAGCCCAAGAGCTGGCTGAGGCCTCACGACGCTGGTGGAAAGCGTCATGGCGACGGTGGACACCATCGGCCAAGGCAGAGCCGACCAAGGCGGCGGCAAAAATAGCTCCCTTCATGATTGAAAAGATTAATATCAGCCACGCAAAAGAGTGAATGCCCGCTGAACGAGTGAAGCGGTGGTCAGTGATAGAATCGAAGGAACGTGGGTTGAGAAAAAGGAGAGTGTTTGGGGGCAAGCAAGGCCTTTTGTTGGAGAAATGGTTACCGGGGGGGAGTTAGTTAGGGGGAAAAAAGAGGAAAAAAGGAGAGAAAAAAGGGCAGATAGGTCCCACCGATCGTGAATTTCCCAATTTAATTTACCCTACACTAAAATTACCCCTGGACGAGTCTAGATGTGTATTCAGGCACATTGCCACTTTGATTGGTTGTATAGTTGAACATCCGAGTGTTGGCTGTATGTGGTTGGCCCGCACGGGTCGGGCAGTGGAAAGTAGAGATGCATATGGGTATTGGTATTTATACGACTATGTACGGAGTACAGTTTAACAGTTGGACGGTTTTGAATATGAGTGTCTTAGTATATATGCAGGTACAACTATACAACTATACAACTATACATTCTATTCTCGCCCAACGTTCATTTCATTTATATCTACGAAATAGACAATTTTATAAAGTACTTCATATAATACTATCGGTTACTCCGTACTATTATTATCAAAATACACACGGATCATCAACAGGTCTCATCCTTCCATATCCTTCCAAAATAGTGTCTCACACTTAGTCCCTTGCCGCAGTGAGGCTTCTCAACTCCTAACCTGAAAAGCCACATTGTACCTAAACGAAGCCAAGGTTTCATCTATCCTGTCAGACCATGTAAGGCACCACTGCCCCTCTGTGGCTTAATTTGGTGGCAACTTTGGAAATCGGTTTCTGGTTGCCCAGATGAAAGTAATCCATTGAATATGTGGAGTATCGAATAGAAAGATGTTTCATTGAGTGAGACAAGACAAATCCCCCCCAAAGCCACCAAGCCCTCCCAAGTCCCCCCAAACAAACAAAAACGGGAAATTCTCTTTCGCCATGTGGGGCTCATAGCGTACTCGGCCAGTCCCGAATTGGTAAAGTGGCAGGTAAATTGGAGTTCAGGCCAGTTGTTGATTGGTTGGACATCCCAGCCTCTAATTTCCCATGCTGATCTTTATATTACTCAAATACATATACATTGAACATACACTGTACGGACGAGTACTTTGTGAAGTTCTCTTTACTATAGGTGTCTCGGGTTACCACGGATATCAATGCCAAGATACTGTCGAATCCCCATGTGTTCGTATGTCATACTCATGAGAACCCAAGTATGTTCTATATCAACATATGGAAACAACACATCACCTTTGTTGTCAAATATGCGCTGTTTTCCGCCCCCTGACGATCTCCCTCAAGCCATACACATGGTCATACATACATACACACGCAAGCCGATCAGCCTAAATAAAGTCAAAGTTGTTACAGAGTAGATGGGGCACGAAGCTTGACCGGAATCACAGAACAGAACAGGAAAGACTGCGTCAACAACCACCTTCTATACAGAGCATAGTCACTTACCTAGTGTGGCCATAAAATAATGAAAACATTGTAGCCTGACTTATCCGACACAACCGACACCCACATGGAGAGTTATGCAGTATTTGCAATAATATACGGTGAACAATCTTGGAAGCAATGGAAGTAACCTTGGAAGTATATACGGGGTACTCCGTGCGAACAGATCAACGGATCCTCTGCCATCCCCTGTGCTGAGTGCTGATCACAATGAGCACGCAAGTCTGGATCTCTTGTCTGGCGACCAAGACTCTTGGGGTACGGAGTAGATCACAGATGCTGGGGCACAGCCGAGGGTTGTGCGTGTTTCCCTTGTGGAGATTACCGCCATGTATTATTTATGGAATTACTATTATAGACAACTAGCGGTCCGACTCCTGAATTAAATCATGTCTTACACCAGTCGGTAATGACCCCAGGGATTGGTTGCATTGTTTAATTAACCGTGAAGGTTAAAGCGGTTGGGACGTGATGAAATCGTGTCCGTATTGAGGCCCAGTCTGAATAATAAACCACTACGGAGTAAACCCACCCTGCTTTCAGTTAAAAATAAGAAAACCATACAAAGAAACTGCCCAAGGACAACTCAATGATCCAGACCGCTAAAACACTCTTGGCCATGACAATTTCCAATGGATCGGAAGGCCAAGGAGAAAGCGGATCTGGGCTTCGAAGCGTCTAGAGTGATTGGACATTTAGGTCGAGGCTTGGCAATACCCTTTTTGAGGTTATTCAGGGGCTTCCAGGGGTCGGCGTGTGCCTTTGTGGATTTGGGATCTGGAAAATCAGTTCTATTCGTGCGGAAGACTATTGTGGCGATTTGCTGTCAGCCTTGTTAATTAGGTATATGTTTTGGCCTTATAAAAGGTTCCAAGGGTCCAAATGTCCAACGGTTTGTGGGTTTATGTTCCGGGGAAATTTCTGCAGGCGCGTTTTTTCGGCCATCCCGGTTTTCCCTGCATATGATTGTTTAGAAACGATCATCTTTGGACATGTCGGGTTTAGGTTGGCATTCCACATCTCAAATATTCGGGTGAGAGATCTGTATCACGCAGGCCACATGGGGAATGACAGTTTGGAATGTGCCTCCTCGCTTCACCTTAATCATACTCCCTTTTTCTATTTCGGATATCAATGGCTTGTCCAGTGCTTTCTAACTATTGCTAATGCGTGTTCAATTGATCTCTCGAACCTTGGAAGGTATCGGAATATCTGCAGTCTTATCCTCGTGCAAGATGTGCTAAGCGCTTGGCACGATTACATCCACGGATACATGTACGGAGTAGTTGATACTAGTATCAGGTTGGGCCGACTAATATAAGAAGAAATTTTCGGGTTCTTTCTCTTTACATCCAACTTGGAAGTAACTAATTTTTCACTATATATATATGCCAGCAGCACTTAGCCTGCTGTCCCGGCCCTACAAAAACTATATTTAGTAGAACACAAGTATAGGTAGTATGATAGAATTATACAACATACGTAACGATATAACTACAATTGAACATTTTGACAGAGAATGATAGCGCGGGCGCCCATGTTTTTGTGGAAGTTCTTGTGAATAATATACTGGTTCCATGCCGCCTCACTCTGAACTCATCCAAAGATGTCACAAGTGACGAACTCCGGTCCAACATCCTTGCCCCCGAACAAATAAGGCCGATATCCACTCGTTCAACAATCCGGTGCATGTTCCCGTCATTTTCGTATCTCGCAGAAATCAACGGAGTATACGAAGCCGTTCATCGTATACCATGTGCCAGTCCGACGCTGGAATAATCGTGTTTTCTCGGTTCTACATTTCGATTTTCAGATGATGTAATTTCGCATCTAGATTACATATTACCTACCTGATCTTTGATATGTATGTCGACTTTGGCATAGAATAATTTAGGGTGTATGGAGCAATTTCGGATGAGAAGGTAGATGTCGAGGTACAAGAGGCGACGATGGGAGAATGTTATATATAGTGGTTAGATCTGTGGAGGTGAGTGTTTTGAACTGGTATAAACTGACAGCTTCATGGATTAGCCCGCTAAGATGTTCTCAATCATTGTAGTTATGTGCTGCGCTCTGCCTAGGGTGGGTGTGCTTGTTGTGGCTTTGTTGTGTGCTGTATAGTTGACTTGCGGTGTAGAACAGTATCATCTCGTTCGGATGCGGAACATCAATGTATATTGAAGGAATCAGTTGCAATAGCAGAGAAAATAGACCATTTTGTTGTGATAGAAATGTCGAATCTTGGAACTCTGGAGTGAAGTGCTCTAAACATATCCCGTGCAACTTTCGATGTTACCCACTGGATTGTACATCATACCAGAACACATTCTTCCAAAATATCCAGACAAGACCGTCGCACCAGATCAAGAATATATTCCAACAGCTCCAAGATGTTCTCCGTCTTAATAAATCACCGCCAAAGTATACATTTGTTCCATTTTCTGCCGCAAATCTGACCATCACCGTGCCACCCGATCATGCCACTAACAAAAAAGTCCCCAATCATCTGACGTCGAATAACAATCGGCAAACCCCAGAAACGGAAAAACCCGACTAAATCGCACCACATCGCACGTCACTATCCCAACCACACCCAACCCGGGTCAAATCAATCCGAGATACACAAGAGTAGATCATGCTACCCAGACTAAGCCCCAGAAAAGGCTGACAGCCACATCCCGTGATCCAGCCTCTCGGAATACACCGACATGGCTCAATGCTGTCAGGCCATATTTGCTATGTTTTGAAGCTGATCGCTATGATCGCTTTATGGGACGTGGTGTATATAAGGCTGGGAGGTTACACGGGCTTATTTTGTTCATCACACAAAGACATTCTCATACAATATCTACTACCTACTTCGGTTACTTGATACTTCATACTTCATACCTGATTTGATACTATCATCAGTCACATTTACTACACAACCACACAACCAAACAACCAAACTCAATCAAAATGCCTGCCAAGGAAACCGATAGCGAGCACGCCCGTCTGCAAAATGACTACGGCGCAGATTACTGGGTTCGCGCTTCTGCTACACAGCATCGCGTATGTACTCCCATCGCCATCCACTATTAGCATCCTAACTAACACACCCAAAGCGCGCAACAGCAGGACGAGGCCTCTTCGCCGGACTACAAGATGTGAAGCACTACAACGTCGATCACGGCTGGGCTCGTCGCAAGTCTGAGTCTGCGCCTCCTGGAATTCTCGGGTCCCTCTGGAGCCGGTACGTCGTATCTATGCTATCTATGGTGGCTATGGCTTTATTTGGTGGACATTAGTGCTGACTTTGATATAGACTCACTGGTATTTGATCTCTTAGATGAGGTACTAGTTCGGATTCGATTCTTAGACTCTGTCTGATAGATGACATGGGGACTAAAAGGGGATTAAGACTGAGATGATTACATGCTTTTCTTTTGGAGTTGGATCTTTTGTTTGAGCTTTGCTTATTATTATACCATATCTTTCTTGATATAGGAGTTTCTGGTGTGGCCAGATTTGGTTTCTATATAATTTATTTTTCTGAACGTTTTTGATCTATTTGTATACATATTGCTTGATTTGGATGTATAATACACAGATACATAGATCCTTACCGTGGGTCTTACTCTATAACTGAAACGAGTCAAATAAGCTTGTATAGATCGAATGATATTCTTGACCCAATTGGTTCTATTATGGTCTAGGGGTCGACGTTGTATGTGAGTACCAGGTACAAATACAAATTAAATTGGACAACATTATGGAGTCCAGTAGATCAGTAGTAAAACTCCACTTCATATTCTAACTAATGCCTTGTTTTACCCCGGATATAGCTACATACATACCTTGTCTAGTGAGAAGCCACCTACGAACCAATCTACAACCAAAACAATCCAGAGAAAAAGTTTATATTTCAAATATAATATGTACAAAAGCCGCTAAAAAAAATACCCCAAACGCCCTAACCGCATAACCAGGTTTTATAATAACGAGGTACTGCAACTACCAACAACACTCACACAACTCTACTCCCAAGAGTCAATCTTCATAGTACCCTTCTCCTGCAAGTTCTTGTGCATGTTGAAGGCCTGGAAGAGCATGTGAGGCTCGTGACCCATACCCTTACGGAGACACTCGAACTCCGCACGATCAAGGTAATCAGTGAGGATAGGGGTGTAATCAGGGTGCGAGCAGTTCTTAATGATGACACGGGCACGCTCACGGGGCGACAATCCACGAACATCAGCAAGACCCTGCTCAGTAACGACGACATCGAGATCGTGCTCAGTCTGATCGATGTGGGTAGCGAACGGAACGATACAGCTGACACCGGTAGGATCGGTCTTGGTAGGACGAGCAGAAGGAGTGTGCATGATACTGTATTTGGAGTTACGCAGGAAATCAGCGGAACCGCCGAGACCGTTCAGCATGCGCGAGCCCATAACGCAGGTGGAGTTAGCGTGGGCGTAGATATCGACTTCGACGGGGGTGTTCATGCCGATGACGCCGAGACGACGGATGATCTCGGGGCTGTTGGAGACCTGCTGCGAGCGCAGGAGCAGCTTGCCGGCGTAGCGCTCCCAGTTATCGTAGAAGCGCTTGAATCCGTCGGGGGAGAAGCGGATGGAGGTTGCGGTTGCGAAGTCGAGGTTTCCGCTATCGAAGAGGTCGAGGAAGGAGTCCTGCAGGACTTCGGTCCAGACTTTCAGGTTCTTGAAGTCGGCGCCGCCCTTGCTGAGGCCTCCGACGACGGCGTTGGCGATGTTGCCGATGCCGGATTGGATGGGGAGGAGGTTGGGTGGGAGGCGGCCGTGCTTGACCTCGTGCTTGAGGAACTCGATGAGGTTCGAGGCGATGGCCTGGGAGCCTTCGTCTTCGGGGGCGTTGGGGAGGGTCTGGTCGGGGTAGTTGGACTCCACGATGGCGATGACCTTCTCAGGATCGACGGGGATGTAGTTTGTTCCGATGCGGTCCTCGGGAGCCATGACGAGGTAGGGCTTGCGGCCAGGGGGAAGATCGGAGCCGGTGATGTCGTGCAGGCCTTCGAAGGAAGGCATGGAGGTGTTGACTTCGATAATGACCTTGTCGGCCATCTGGATCAGCTCGGGCGAGGCACCGACGGAGGCACCGGGGATGATGCCTCCGTTTTCGGTGATGGCGGAAGCCTCAATAACTGCCACATCGATTGTGGGCTTAGGCTTGTTCAGAGTGTACCAGCCCTGCGGAAAATGTTAGCGGGCCGATCTTTTTTTTTCTTTCAACTTAGAAAATGTCGAAACTTACATAGACCAAATCCGAGGGGAACATGCTCAGATGCTTATCGAAGAACTTGATCTGGCCATTGTTGATTCCCTTGGCGATCTCCTTTCCGACCTGGTGAGGGCTGCGGCGCTCAATCATGTTCAAGCGGGCCCAGCGGCTCTCAGTCTCTGCGCCAGAGGAAGCACCGACAAACAGGTTGTACTTCAGCTTTCCCTGGAGGTTGTTCTTCTCGACGTGATCTGCGAGAGCAATGGGAACCATCCTGAATTGACGTTAGTGTTCTAGTTCTGCGCTTGACATCCAATTGGTCTGTGTTACATACTTAGGGTAACCGACACCGGTGAATCCGGACCAACCGATGTACGTGCCATTGGGGAAGTGGTGAATGAGATCCTCAGCTTTGGCGAGCTTCTTGAGGTAAGATGGGCGCCGTACACGGCTCTTCAACAATGCCGAAGCAGACATGATAGGGGTAGAGGGGAGAGTGTCAAAAATGTGGGAAAAAAGAAGAGTGGAAGGGGATCTGGGGGTATAAGTAATTTCTTCAACCCCACGGGCAAAGGTCTCCACAAAGGAAGGCCGATAGCTCCGGAAGAAGGGAAGTTTGGGATAGGGCTAGGGTGTTCGCAATTGTATAGTTGGGATAAATATTCTATAATTATTATTGTATAGTTTCACAATTGAATATCGATTTCAATACAAATCATATTACTTTCCTTATTCCCCGTTAATTCCACTTAAATCCCCTTTCCCACCATTTCCCTCTCGATGATGCTTATCGCAGCAGAATATTCATCATGACGTCAAGTACGGCATTGACTCGGCGCTGACTGGTCGTTCGGTGATCTCTCGGTTTTGACATAATCATGCCCTTTTCCCACCTGCACTCTCTGTGTACTTCCATATCACCACTATTAACCCTCATTTTCAATTGACTATATAATCCCTAATCATCCCATAATAAATACTCCAACATACCATCCAAGAACATGAAAAAAAGACAAATCCAGCAGACCCCCGAGTTTCCCCCGACTCCACGTCTCGGGAATCGGCTATGCAAGTTCGGCCACACGGAGATTTCCACTCTGCACATTGGATAATCCATTTCACGCCATTGGGTCCATCGAGTGCCGCTAGTCGTGCCGATGGAGTAAAAGAAGCCGATGATCCGGAGGAATCCAATTCTACCCCGGAAGTTCGAGGCAATTGCCGTATTAGGGTGTCTGGATAGGTGTCCATATGGAGTAATTGGCCCTTCACAATTCCTGTATAATTTCAAATTAGTCTGCATATTTCATTTAGATCTGAATTAACTACTTTGTAACACATGTAGGCTTATTTACTGAGAAGGCATTATGAGGACATACACTCTGAGTAAATTAAATTAAGAATAAACAGGCCTATCTCTCCACGACCATTTCATTTGTGAGAATAAAGTAAGAGATACTAGAAGAAAAAGAGAGATACAAATACAGACTACGGAAACCGTGAGAAAAAAAGAAAAGATGAAAAAACAAAGAACTATTCATCGCAATTTCCTCATCGTGTACGCCGTCCATCCCCCCCCCCCCCCCACAAACAACAATAATGCATGTCAGTCCCCCCCCACTCTTGGGGGGGACTGACCCGTCGTAAAAGTTACACCCCAGCACAAATGCCGCCTATGCGGCCTCGACATCAGTCATCTCAACATCTGCGCCGTCATCCTTCTCCGCCTCCGCGGCGGGGGCCGCGGAGCCAGAGCCAGACGCAGATCCCTCACGGCCCGGGGCGGGACTGTCAATGAGGGTGCCATCCACCCAGGACCGGAAGCGCTGGTTGCTCTCGTCCACCTGGTCCTTGCTGAGACCGCGGGCCCAGGCCGGGTTGTTGACGAACTTCTCAACGAAGCGGTCATGGCGCTTTTCCTTAAGCGCGGCCTTCTCCTTGGCCAGTTCCTCGGCCTGGGCCTTGACGGCCTCGCTGTCAGCATCCTTCTCTGGGATGGGGGCATTGGAGCGCCAGAACCAGTCGTAGGTGGGTGGCTGGTACAACATGGTGTAGTTGTTGGCGCAGATGCGGATGGTCAGACCGTCGTGGTGCTGCAGGGTGCGGTAGTAGCGCTCGTACTCTTCATCTTCTTCGAGCTTGGGGGGAAGATTGCGCTTCAGTAGGGGCATGCGCATCTTGGAGAATTGCACGCCTTCGGTGGGGTCGCGCATCGAGTAGGCGGTCACGTAGTAGGACCAGCGCTCCTCAGGAGTGAGTTCCTCGTTGTCGAGGGTTGCATCTTCGCTAGTCATCACTTGGACAGTGACACGGCGGTCGGTAGGGTACTAAAGATTTGTTAGTTGTTGTCAGGGCATTCATGGGAATTAAAAAAAACTCACGAAAGTGACACGGTAGATATCTCCATCTTTGACCAGTCGCTCGACTTGTTTGCGGTACTGGATCTCCTGGTGGTGGGTAGTCTCCTCCTTCTCACGTTCCTTGAAGAAGAGATTGACAATATCGGAGCTGCGATCGCGAGAGTCACCGGTGAAGATGGACGCCACAAACTTAGAAATGGAGGAGAAAATGCGTTCCAGGTTGTAGAGCAGGTATCCGCTTTGCATGTAGAAGCGACGCAGGGTCTCTTCCAGGTGAACCTGGTCGATATCGCCCTTAATAACCTCCTCGCACATACGCACGATCTGCTTGTAAAGATTGGCTTCGGGGGAGACATCATAGAAGAAATCACCAGGGAATCGGTCGATCAAGCACAAATCGTGGGCAGCCTTGGGTAGAACACCACGTCGGACTTGTTCGCGGGCGGACGCCTCTTGCTCCTTGATGCGCAGGAGACGCGAGTAGAGGATCTCAAAGGTACGCAGGAAACAGAAGATGTTCAGATTGCAGTACATGTGGTGTTCCTTCTTTTTGTACTTCTCGTTGAGTGTGTATTCATGCTCAAGATTGAAGTTGCCTTTTCCGGGATGCTCCATCCAGCGCAGTTCAGCCACGTCAAAGGAGTCCTCAGACTCAGAAACAGTGGAAGCAACTTGGACAACAGGGAGTTCATCATGGTTGTTCACAACACCATCCTCCTTCACAGGCTTCTCAGTCTGATCACCACGTTCAAGGGCCTCACGCAGAAGATCCAGCTTCTGCAAGTCCGCCCCCTTGCGGCTTCCGTTCGAGACATCATCATTGGCATAAGTATCATCGTCATCGTTGATGGCGTTGTAGACTTCATCCATGTACAAGTTGAAAGTGTAACGGTCCAGGCCAAAGAAAGTAGGAATGAAATCCCTGAGGAAGTTCATTAGTCGCTGAGGATCAGCACCAAAGCCATTGGTGTTGCGGTCAAAGTACACGAAAAGCAAGTTGACAGCGTCCAGGAGGACCTGAGTATCGCTGAACTGGAACTGAGCCTGGAACTTAAGTGGGGCCCAGCCACCCTTGCGACCAGCCTTTCCATCCTCAAGCTTCGTCTGCAGGTCTTGCTGGATGTTCTTGGCGACAAAGAGCTTCTTGTCAGTTTGCTTAGTAGCGATGGCCTGGTGGTCAAGACTGCGCCAGTATGCTCGTTGCATCTGTTCGCGCCAGACTTTATCCCACTCACGCTGGCAGGCCTTCCATTCCTCAAGCTTCTGCTTCAGGCGGTAAAGGACGATGGGAAGGACGTGGCAAGGACGGAGGAACATGTCCCGGATGACCTTCTCGCCGCGCTGACGGTCGTAAATCTTCTTAATGACACGCTGGTAAATTGCCTCGCTTTGGCCACCGAGACCTCGTGGCAACTTGAATGCAATGCGTTCCGCATCACTCATGTAAAGGAATTGTTGGCAAATGGGCTCGATGAGCTGAATGGTACGGCTGCAAGCCTCGATGTGGTGATCGTAATCGTGGCGATCTTCTTCAATTCGGTGCAAAGCATCTTCGTACTGGTTCTTGCGGTGCGCAACAAAGCCAGAATCTTCCGAAGCCCAGGTGGGATGTGAGGCCCAGTTGTCATTGAGAACACCGTTGCAAAGCGGATCGCGTCCACTGCAGGGCTTTTGGCGTTCACGCTTGGGAAGAAGTCGATAGCTAGGTCCAAGAGACCGGCAGTGAGCCAGATTGACCACACCAGATTCCGGGTTCGCCTTGGGATCGATGAGCTTATCCTCAGGCTCTTCGGCGCTCATGAAACGTCTGAACCAGCTCATGAGCTCAGCATTGGAACCAATGTATCCCTCAGCTCTCTTAACCAGGACGTGACGATCGAGGAGATCTGTAGTGTACAGGTTGCAAAGCTTCAGGAAATCACTGAACACTTGCTTATTGGCAATGAACTTCTTGACACGATCAAAGAACGCGATTTCTTCCTGGCTAGGTGTCATGGAAACCGAGGGAGGAAGAGGCTCTGGAAGAGCAGGAACCAAAGTGGGAGAGACATTTGCCATGTCGACAGAAGGCTTTCCATGGTGGTATTTGGGTCTCTTGCTAGCGTTGCCGAACTGTGAAGTCTGGCCACCTCGGCCTGCTTCAGACAAGCGAGCAGCTTCAGAACCGGCAGGCCCCGAGATAGAGCCAACGCCACCACCTGGACCACCACGACGCTTCTTGTTTTCCTTGGGGTCCTTCACATTGAACTGGCCCAGAGGAGGCATCTTGACGTCACGGTTAGGAGTCTGGGAGGTGAAACCTGCAGGTTCGCCACGGAGGTTGCTAAGAGGGGCCTGCTCTTCGGCTTGACGCTGTGCAGCTACTTGTTTGGCATGCGCGGCAGATTCCGGCAGGAATTGTTTGAAATCCTCCAAGAGATCTGGGGCAGTGTTGAACAGCTGAGTAACCTGTCCATAGACATCCTGTATAGGCTTTGACTCCCGTTGGTAAGTCTGGAGTATCTCGAGGAACTGCTTGTAGATCTCTGGCGCACTTGAGAAGCGGTTCTTGATCTTGTTCACATAGCTGATGGCGTGATTGAACTCCACGGGACCACGCTTGTTCAGATCCTGGGCACCCTGGAGCATACCAGTTCCGACGCCAGCCAAATTGTTCATCGGCTGAGTGAGACTAGAGTTCTGTCCAGCAGCGGAAACTCCCATGAGGGACGATCTGCCAAGTCCAGCAGATGCTGCAGAGGCAGCACCTTGTAGCTGTGCCACTCCACGGTGGTCTTGCTGGTGAGTCATGGCTGATGCAGCTTGTTGCTCCTGTTGAGTGGGGTATCCATAGTGATGCTCCTGAGCGGGTCCAGGTCCATCCTGTTGGTACATGCCGCCCATCATTCTTGAGCCAGGGGAGTAAGATCCAGAAGTGGGGCCTTGCTGCTGATCCTGTTGCTGTCCTTGTTGCCAGCCAGGTCGAGACTGGTCACGATAGAAATCAGAACGACCATGCGGATCACTGGTGGGGGGTACAACATTGGTGATTGTCTCAAAGGGACGTCCTGCGCGTGGCATACTGAGAGTGTTTGTGCCAGATGGGGTTGTGACCCGAATTGCATCAGGGTTGTCTTCAGTACCACACTCAATGCGGTAGCCAGGAGGCAAGAAGGTGTTAAATCCTTGAATAAGAGCGGGATGACCATTGAACAGTGTCGAAACACGTTGAATCACACCAGGAGTATCGATAGCCTGGCTCTTGAAATCCTTCATGATATCCAAGAAACGGTTGTAGACATCTGGCTGGTCAACAAAGCGCACCTTAACCTGGTCAAGGTAACTGAGAGCATCGTTCAGAATAGGTTGCTGGCCCTGGGCAAGAGCAGCAACATTGCCTGGAATTTGCTGTCCCGCGGCATTGTATGCCATCATAGGCTGTCCTTGCGGACCACCTGGATGCTGCATGTACGAGCGAGGTGTGCCTTCGCCGTGTTGCATTTGAGGACCGAACAAGCCAGCAGCAGACTGAGGTCCGCCCTGGTGGCCGTTCTGCGGGTTTCCGCCAAGGTTCGAGAGGAGTCCACCCGGGCCGTGAATGGAGTTGGGGACTTTATTGGCCACGGGTTGATGGAGGGGAATCGAACCAGTGTGGCTCTGAACAGGATGGTGGGGTTGTTCGCGGCGTTCTAGCTGCCGCTCAATTTGTTCACGGTGATCACGCTCGCGCTCACGCTCACGGTGAGCCATTTCTTCCTGGCGCTGACGCTCGATGATTTCGCGCTCCCTGGAGTCCCGCTCCCGCTCGCGGTTGAGCTGTGGAGAAGCGTGTTGCATGGCTTGACCAATTCCGGGAAGAGAATGGCCGTTGTTATGCGACGGGCCTGCTGGGTGCTGGCCGTACGCGGAAGGCTGGTGCTGACCTCCGTGGGTCTGACTTAATTCTGCCAGTCCAGGAAGAGAGTGGCCACCTGACTGACTAGGGTGGTAAGGTCCTTAATAAAGTGATCAGTTAGTTTAAACTGGTTTTTTTTTTCTATCATGGGATCCCCGCAAGGAAATCCGGAGTTCACAGAGGCACTCACCACCTGGAGGGGGAAGTACTGGGCCCGAGGGCTGGGAGGCCTGGCCTTGCTGAGAGGGATTTTGACTATTGAAGCGCAAGAATGCCATGTTAGTATACATATCAAGCCAGTTGTACTATATACGACTTCTCGTACCTGAAAGACCCCAGGGGCCGAGGCTGCTGGTTCATTTGATCGATGCCAGGATGCGACGGCGGCCCACCGGAGGAGTGCCAGTTATCGTTTCCAGAGTTCATGATGTATGCACGAACCCCAGTAGGAGAGAAGTAGAAAGGTAGGTTTCACGGATAACAAGGGTCGAGGAGGGGAGAAAAAGTAAGGGTCTGGGTAATCGAAGAGCTGGAGCTCGTAGTCTCGTGTGTAGGAATCGACTGGCAACGCTCGGGTTGCACTAGGGTCACAGCATGACCCGGAGTCTCGCAGATAAGAAGACAGGAACCGACTCCACGCAGCAAGAAAGAACCGGTAGAGAAGTATGGATAGACAAGAGACACAAACTGGGGTGATGGAATTGCGCGCGACCGATCGCGGGCTCCAGTGGAGGCTTTCCTGGCCGGAGCTAACCTCTTATAGTTTAGTGCATGATTAACGGACATTTGATTCTCCGAATTGTATTCATAATTCATTCATTACGGTATTGTTCGTCTCAATTGGCGGGACTTGCTTCAATGGGAGATGTTACATTAGTCACGCATTGTATTGTGCGATAGGTCAATTTCAGTCCGCCTTCGTCATCGCCCGCCATTGCCGGCAGAAAAACATGACAGGCATGGGGTGACGAGGTGATCAATGTGAATAGCATGAAGTCATGAATGGAGATAAACCGCTTGAATAGAGCTATAGATACTTACTCATTGTATAGTATATCTTATGCATCAATCTGCACAATGAGACTCGCTCTGAAGGCCGGGGGTACCTCTCGCTTGTCAAGCCACGGAAAGGGGCGGAGGGTAAGGGCTGGCTAACAATGCCTCGAGTGGCCTCTATTCAGCTTTTTTTTTTCAGGGTACCTTTATTCATGTATTTTTCCCCTATTTTCCTATTCAGTCAGAGAATATAATAGGCAATGCAAGAAAGAGGCTTAAACAATAAAATTATACTGTCTTTTTTCGCTCAAAATTAGGGGAGAATTTCTAACATTCCAATACTAGTTAGCTACCAAATCTATAGGTATTTCAGTACTAACTATGGAAAGGCCTTGAAACAGGCATGACATTCTCTATCATGAGTTGGCCACCATACGCCTTTGGCAACACCACTGCAAAAGCAGAAAAAAAGAGTAAAGGGGACATAGGTGAAGAAAAACTAGGTCTCCAAAACTCGAACAGATGAAATTCCACAATGAAAGCAGAGATAGGGAGTGGGGGAGGGGAAGGGAGAGTCCTGTGATTATGGAACCTGTGGCTTGCTGCTATCATTATTTTCTGGTTTTCATTCTTCATATCTTGCCTGTTCACCAAGGCCCTCCAGCCACCCGATCCAACCCCTAGATGCGCCTGTCCATGGAAAATGATAATGGCCTTGTGACGGTACAACGGTACTTGGTGCAATTAAAGAGCGGAGAAAACAAAGAGCTGTATTCGCAGTTAGTAGTGTTGGTATTTGGCCCGAGACCAAAGACTTACGTTGTTCGTCGCCGCAATGGCAATGCTGTCTTCGAATGGATGCCAGCTCATGTGCAAGATCTTCTTGTTGAAGTCGATCTGGTCGGCATCGGTCTCCTTCTTCATACGACTGCCGGGGCCAGCAGGGCTGCCGGATCGCGAACCGGCCTTCTTTCCGTTACCCTTGCTCATCGGCGTGGGTACACCAACCTTCTTTGCCTTGAATGCCGACTTGTCTGCCTGGAGCACAATCTCCGTATCCTTTTGTTCTTCTGTGGGGTAGATCATGAAGTTGTTGTTGTAGCTTCCGGTCATAACGTTCTCCGCGTCACCAGAGAAGACCACCTCGAACTTATCAAAGATGCTATCGTTCTCGTACGTATCACAGAGGCGAGGGCGCAAGTGCTCATGAATGGGGATGGTCTTGATTGGCTGGCGTTCCATGTTGACATCCCAAATCTTCACTGTCAAGTAGTCCCTGGACACGATGTACCGCCCATCGTTGGAGAATCGCACGTCGGAGATTGAGGAGATAATCTCCGAGAAGAAAGAACGGGACGAGGCATCCTCTTCTTGTTCGAACTCTGCAATACAACAGTCAGTAAAGATAATTGGCACAACTCCATACTACTTGTACTCACGCTTGGCATGTTCGTCACACAACGCCCGTTGTCGCATATCCGCAAGCTTGATTGTGCCCTTGGAGCTAGCATACATGAACCAGTTACAGCTAACCGGGTGGAACTCGGCCGCAGTGATGACTTCTGTGAGTTCCTCCATATTCGCTGGCTTGATATCCACGATGTTGAAGCTCTGGTCCTGGATGTTGAGGTTCCATAGGTTCACTCGCAGATCGTCACTGCTGATAAAGGTTTCACCATCGCTGTTAACGGATATGCTATTTATATGATACGCATGAGCGTTGGCGTATGTTCTCCGCGGAACAGCGGCAACAACCGTGTCATGGTGTGTCAGACGGGGCAGCTTGAGCGCAGAGGGGTCCTTGAAGGAGATGCGGGGTGCGCGAGCCATACCTCCACCCCCGACAGGGTTCGCGGGGGTGAGTTCATTCGATAAGTTGTTCTCGGCGACCACTTTCAGCGACTTGTCGAAAACCTTCCATAGCTTTATCGTCTTGTCATTCGTCGAAAGGAGGAAATGGGATGCATTCTGTCGTCGACACCATTTTATCTTGTTGATCTTCTCTTCGATCTCTAGCGACTTCAGATAATCGAACTCTGGCTCGTGTGACTGGAACTCTGTGTGAAACTTATACTCGCAGGTTTTTTTCTGTGTTGTTCAATGATTAGCTCAAGGCAAAACAAAAAAAAATTGAAAAATTGAACAAGACCGGAGGGGGTGGGCTACCGTCTCGTTTCGTTCGAACAATACCACCCTTCCTCCCTTGTCACCAGTGGCCAAGTAGTTACCGGTGTGGTCAAATTCGACGGTGGAGATGATGTCCGCTGAAGAGCGCGTGTCAGTCGATGCACTCTGTGGAAATTGACCAGGTTCGGCCGAATAGTGCGAGGGAGGCTGCCAATTACCTTCTGTAATATCTTCTACATCGCCTTTGTCGCCGAAGCATCTGATACCAAGTTAACCGCCATTCAATGACTGTTTGTGGTGAGGTTGGGTTGATGGCGCCTGGACAAAAGGAAGAGAAAAATGGAAACCGCCATAGGGCGGCGGGAATGTCCGAAAGGTGCGATCCGGGCAAACTTACTGTGTGAACTTCCAGGTAGGTGTGCCTGGATCTCTGTCTACCATTTTCACGTTCTAGCTAGCCCTTGAATGCGACAAGGGCAAGGACCAAGATAGGAGGGACGGAAAGGCGGGTTGGAAAAGCGGGCTGGCAAATGCCTCCGGAAGCTCTATTGTCGATGCAAAGGATCACTCGCGTTGAAAAACGATATGGGCGCGATAGCCGACACGAAAGAATTCGGTCGGATGGGAATAACGAATGGAGAAAGCGTAAATAGAGAGAACAGTCGGTCACCGGAGGTGGAGAGGGGTTTCGAGTGTGGATGGCGGTAAGTCGGAAAGAGGGGCAGGGGAGGGGGGTGAACAGCTAGAACGATCCAAGTTGGAAAGACGAGCTGGGGAATAAAGAGCTGTTGCCGAATGAGATGGCAAAGCTGATGAAACACAGGTGAACGTGCTTGTTATGAGTGGACCCGCAGCAGAGCTTGAGAGGGGATGAGAGAAAAGTTTCTATTGAAGCAAAGGTGGTTAGAACAAACTCCAGAATTTATAAAAAGCTGGGAGGGGGATGGTGTTGCGTACTTGGTCCGGGGGCGATGAAGAAAGACAAGGAAAAGAGTTGTGAAGTGAAGTTGCCCAGATGAGTTGAGGCGGTGGTGGGGAGAGTGTGTTCGTTACGAAGATACCAACAATCTTGGGCACCGTCAATATCAAGTATGCTAGTATTTCTTAAGTTGAATATTGAAATAATAAATTCGATGTAAAATGAAATTGAATATTCTTCAAATAATTTAGGTCGGGCATACCTAGGGTACCTGGAACATGCTGACATCAACACTGCCAGTGACTGTAACATTGCCCTTTACGCCCCTCTCCGGTCTTTCAACCCGTATACAACCGACCACTGGATGTTAGAGATGGAATATCAATTGAAATATTAGGTTAATATCAGGCTAGATGCTTCTACTAAACCAGAGCGATCTTTTTCAATTCTGTATTCAATCATCCATATGCCCGAAGCTGTACTATGCACGCCTCTGTCGTCATCCTTGAGGCCCAAGCAGGTCTCCGCCAAATTAAGCATTGGCATATATCATATGCTATCTATCTAGTAGGGGATGCACTAAGTAGATGCAATTGAAGCTATTCAAATCTGGGACATCTATAGGCTACTGTTGAGGATCGATAGATATATATATATCCATGGGTATCATATGTGCCCAAGTGGTTCTAGAAGTATATATTTGACGAATCCCGAGCTGTGATATTTACAAATGAGCCTAATTCTAAGATCCTATCACTAAAAGCATCCAGTAACTATATTAATTGTTATATAATATACTATATCCCCCATATTATCCATATTATCCAATTTTCTATATTCTAGTCGACCTTCACATGCTTCCCTATATCATCCGGCCCAAGCCATTAAGCCGAACACCAGCCGGACAAGAGCTACCCCATCCCAAATTCCAATTCCAATCCTTACCTACATTTCAACCTCACCACAATACCCTACCTACAGAGTGAACCTCCAACCCTTAATCTCAAACCCCAACCCCAAAGCCATGACCAACGAAGAGAACAAGCGGGGCAATCCCAACCCCAACTCCAAATCAAAAACCCAAAGCTCCAACACTGCAGCTCCAGCCCCATCATCAACCTCAAACACCCCCTCCACCCCCTCCGCCCCCGCCCCCTCGCTAGCAACCCGCATCCAAACCTCGGCAACAGGCCTAGCAAAAAGCGCGTTCAACCCAGGCTCCGACCTCACACATACCCTAGCATCAAGCACAAGCAGCAAACCAGCTGGTCCATCCTCTCTCCCAAACGCACAGACAAGTAGGGATATATATGCACAAAATACTATACCGCAGCATGGAGGTTCCGGGTCCGGGTCTGCGTCTGCATCTGCAGCACAAGCTTTTCGCGAACACGATACAGCGACGGGTGGATTCGCTCTACCCGCCTTGACGGAAGACGAGTTCCAGGGAAATACATACGGATATGATGGGATAGGACTAGGAGATGAAACAACTGCAACTACAACCACATCTGCAACTACAAATCAATCCCACGAAGATCTCCAAACCCCCTCTTCAACCTGGAAAGGCAAAACGCGCGCCCACGACCCAAACCAACTCCAATTCGAAACCGTCTGGCAGCGCCAATGGCACGAAGCACCCAAGCAGACAACAGCATATACCTCAAACGCAGACGACGGTGCAGCCGTTGTCTCCCTGCTATCCGATACAAACTTCGACCCGAATTTCGAGGACCCGACAACGGTCCCAGATACCGAGATTGATATTGCCGCCATGCCGGCCCCGCTTTCTGCGGGCGAGAGGGAGATGCTTGATTCTTTCCGGAAAGGGTTGGGGTTGGACGGGGAGAAAGAGAAGGAGGACAGCGAGAGGGTCGGAAGGTTAACAGGGGCAAGCCTCGTTCCTGATATTGATATGTTTTTGAGTGGGGGTGGGATTGGGGAGGAATATTCCAGGGGCTCTGGTGCTAATTCTACTTCTACTTCTCTCCGCGATGCTGTGTTAGCGAACCTTCCTGGTGCGGGTGATTGGGTTGGTGTTCAGGAGAGGTATCATGATGAGGTTTGGGGATTTTTGCAGCCTGTGCTTGAGGAGGCGAGGAAGGAGATTGAGGAGAAGGGGGCTGGGGGCGATGGGCCTGCTGTGAGGAGGTTGAAGATGATTTTGATGCATATGAAGGGGTAATTGTACTCTGTATTGGGATTTATATTGCGGTGTACTACATGTAGTAGGGGGGCTGGGGTACATGTTCTACGTGATCTTGTAGTAGGGCTTTTTGGTTTTGGTTTTGATATACCATGTACATGTATATGTAAATATTAGGTTGGATATGTATACGAGAGCTAGTAAGGAAGTGAGTATTTGGCGTATTGTATAAAGATGGCCGGGTAAAACTTGTTGACACCTACCTCGGCAATTATCGCTCGGGATTGGCTTTCTAGGCGCGAACCCCAAGCCCTAATAGAGGGATCACTTACCACAGCTACTACCATAACTACAACTACAACAAATGCAAAACCATCTATGATTCCAAAGAATATATTCCAAAATAAGCTATGTATGTATGTTACACAAGAACCAAAATTGACCCAAGCAGGATCATGGATCCCGAGGACCGATAGAAGCAAGCGTGCCAAAGCCGACACGACACGAAACAGCAGAAAGAGACGAAACGGGGGTATGAGAGATCACACGCTGGAGGATCATATTTCATCGAGGGAGGAAGGCGGTCGTCAGGGAGAAGAGACATAAGGAAGAAGGGTACGAGAGAACCTCTACAGCTCCAAGCTGGGGGTCTCGCCCTTAACACGACCGATCACAGTCTGAGCGGCGTATTTGGGAATGACCTCATCGTCGTGGAGCATAGCGAATTCCTCAGTAGCATCACGACCCATGAAGTTGTAAAGGGCGTTAGCACCGCCGGGGTGCTCATCGACCCAGTTAGTGAGGTCGAGGATGACACCCTTGACCACGACCCAGAGGTCGTCCTTTGAGTTGTGCTTGGCGACTTCCTCCATGGAGTACTCGGTCTCTGGGATCTGGAAAGTGGCGGGATCGGGCTTGGAGGCGGGGGCCTCGGCGGCAGCAGCAGGGGCAGCGGCGGGAGCAGCGAGAGCGGGCATGGCTGTGCCGGAGGCAGCAGCGCCCCACTCGACGGAGATCTTGCCCGGGGTGTTGGGGTCGATGTGGAGGGAGATCTGGCCGAGACGCTGGGAGGCGGCGGAGCTGCTGCTGAGGACCTTCTGGAAGAGGTGCTGGGAGGCGGAGTCACCTGCGACACGGCCGTAGACGACACAGCCGAGGAGGGAGGAACCGCCAAGACGGTTGGCACCGTGGACACCGCCGGCGAGTTCACCGCAGGCGTAGAGGCCGTCGAAGGGCTTTTGTTCGGCGTTGAGGACCTGGGCGTGCTCGTTGATCTCGATACCGCCCATGGTGAAGTGAAGGACGGGCTCCATGAGAGAGACGTGGAACTCGTCGTCGAGGCTGAAGGGCATGTTGTGGAAGAAACGCTTGTTCCAGGGGTCCTTCTTCTTGCCATCGGCGATGAGGTTGTACTCATCGAAGGTCTTCTTGAGGGCTGCTTCACCGCAGCCGATTTCGGCAACGAGCTCGGCGCCGGTCATCTTCTTCATCAGACCGCGACCGGAGTAGTGGCGGGTGTGGAAGTCGAGGACCTTGGAGGCTTTGCTGTTGAGGATGAGACGGATGGGCCACTTGCCCTTCTCCTTCTCTTCCCACATCTTGCCGGAGACGTAATCACGGTGGCCGAGCTCGTCGGAGAAGCGCTGGCCGTCGCAGTTGAGGAGGAGACCACCTTCACCGCGGAGGGCTTCGGCGGCCAAGAACTTGAACTTGGCATCGGGGTCCTTGGGGTCGACGAGACCGGTGGGGTGGACCTGGACCTTGTCCATGTCGATGCCGTTAGCACCGATGGCCATCAGCATCTTCTGACCGTCACCGGTAGCGTGGGTGCCGTTGGTGGAGGATAGATTGAAGGTGTCGGGGCGGTGCTTCTTGAGAAGAGAGGTTTCACTGAAGTCAGCGGCGTAGCCACCAGTAGCGAGAACGACGACACCGTTGGCGACCTTCTCCTCGCCGTTGATAGTGTAGGTAACACCGGTAACATTGTTACCGGACTTGTTGATGGAGGTGACGTTGGCCTTCTTGACGATCTGAACACGACCGGGCTCCTGTTCGGAGAGGTCTTCCAATCGCTGCATCAGGGCATAGGTGATGGCCATACCGGGGAACTTGGCATCGTGGCCACGGTGTGTGCGGGGGTGAGTGTGTCCTCCGAGACGGGAGACGAGGGTGAGGTCGAGGTTGAAGACATCCTGCAGCCAGTCGATGGCGGAGGCGGAGTTGTAGGTCAGGACCTTGATGAGATCGGGGCGGGCCTTGTCACGGGCCGACTTGAGGGTATCTTCGTAGAACTGCTTGACGCTGTCCTGGATACCGAGGTCGGTCTGGGTGCGGGTGAGGGCACCGTTGATACCGGAGGTGGCCTTGGTAGAGTTACCACCGAAGAAAGCCTGCTTATCCAAAACGAGGACGTTGCCACCGTTGAGGTAGACGGTGTGTGCGGCGCTGAGGCCGGAGACTGGAGAGGGTTAGCTAGGGACACAGAGAGAATGCGGGGAGAGAAGCTTACGGCCACCACCGACCACAATTACTTGAGGTGCAGCCATTATGTTATTTTGTAGAGGATAAAGGTAAATATGGAGAAAAGAAAGAAAGAGAGAGGAAGAAAGGATCTTTAAGACAAGGAGGGTTCGGGGGAGGTCAGATGCCGACGGTGTCTATCGGCCGAGGCACAAAAAATAAGACGTGGGGAGATGAAAGATGGGGGTACCCGCTGTAATATTAATTGGCCGCTTCTGGTTTGTCTGTTTTTCATTACACGATCTGGGGAAGTTAAGAGGGGATCACATGCGATATGATATTTAACTAGAACATAGTTACATCTTAGGCTTGACAGTCTACAATGTTTCATTTTCACATGCGTCTGCGTCATCCACATTCCAGACCTTTTAAGGAATTCCCGTGATGGGAAGGGAATAGGAAAAAAAAGACGGAACTAGTACTTTAGAAAGCTCAAAGAAGTACCACATAGTGTTTCAGAAACAGAGAAACAACGTACATTGAATTCCGGCTTCCCTCGGTTCATACAAGAGGAGGTGTGAGCCTCGGAATAACAATTGCGATCCGAAGATTCCGACTTATGCATGGTCTGATGAGCAGAAAGTACAAAGTCTTTGAATATATTTGAATAGTTGAATCTTTGAATCCTCTATATGGCTAAATTCAAAGTATACAAAATGTGTACAAAATGTATATAATACGGACATGATATCCAACAGAGCCATCATGTTCCCATAGAAAATGGCCGGAAACAGGTAAAATCAGTTGCCGGATGAGGAACATGTGACCTGTGATTGGTGAAAGAGAAATGTGGGTCTGACCCAATCCGGGGATGGGAATTACCCCAGTGGGCCTGATGACCTCATCTAAGTCACCGTATGTTTTTCAGTTCAAATGCCGATGTTCAAGCTTTCTTTGCATTATTCTGTATAGCATAAACTGGGGACAACCCTTCAACTTCATATCTGGCCTTTATCAGTTCTTGTTGTTGCCAATTTCGACATATTATTGGGAGAATGCCAATTCACTCCATGACGGTTGCTCGGGTTAATACCCACCGAGAAAGTATATGAGTCCAGGCGCTGGCGGGACTGTTGCACCAGGTTACTCGGATGAGAATAGCTATAGGCACGAAAATGGACATGCTCGAGGATATCATCATGTAGGCCTTGGGAACAGGTAGGAGACCACAGGCAGGAGACCTACAATGCATGTGCAGCTAAACAGCGCGACAAAATCAAAAACCAAAAACGCTGATGCCAGATTCAACATAAATCATAATCCTAATCCATCCAGGTCACACTCTTCGTAACCAAAAACTCATTCAATCCCTCATCAGTATTGAACCGACCCCAGCCACTATTCTTCACACCGCCATGAGGAAGAGCCGGCTCATCATGGATCGTCATACTATTAATATGGACCGCCCTGCAATTAAGTCAGCAAAACAGATTCAAACCCACCGAATCCACCCAGAGTTGAAACAACGAAAATCTAGGCCAGGAACAGGTCCGAAAACATACCCAGATTGAATCCGCTTAGCCATCGCCAAGCCCCTCCGCAGATCCTCCGTGAAAACAGACGCCGAAAGCCCATACCCACTCCCATTTGCGAGACGGATCGCCTCTTCTTCGCTGTCGAACGGCATACACGCCGCAACAGATGCGAAAGACTCCTCCTGCCACAGCGCCATATCTTCCTTCATGCCGCCTAGCACGGCGGGCGCCATGCGCACCCCCGAGTCGGTCGGTATGCTATCCGCAGACCCGGAGATGAAATGTGCGCCTGCTGAGACGGCGCTGGCGATGAGGGCTTCGACGCGGATCTTGGAGGCTACGTTCACGAGTGTCGGCGGGAGGGATGAGGCTGCGGCGCCGGCGGCGAGGGCCTTTTTTAGTGCTTCTGTGAAGGCCGGAAGGATGGAGGTGTGGACGAGGATTCGGTCGGTTGCCATGCAGATTTGACCAGACTAATGCAGAAAGAGAATTGGGTTAGTTATTGACCTGGAGGAGGTAGAGGTGGATATAGACCTGGGTATCTCAAACTCACATTCAAAAACGCTCCCGCCAATACTCCCCCCACGGCAGTCTGCAAATCAGCATCATGACAAACAATCGAGCTATTCTTCCCACCCAGCTCCATAAGACAAGGCTTAAGATTCTGACCGCAGGCGCGTGCAATCTTCCGACCAACAGCTGTGCTACCGGTGAAATTGATCTTGCGCACGGCCTCATGCTCGATCATGGCATTAACGACCTTGGGGGCATCCTGCGGGGCGCAATGAATAATATTCAAACAGCCGGCGGGGAGACCGGCGTCTTCGAAGGCGCGGCCGATAGCCCAGTAGCAGCGGGGTGTTATTTCAGACGATTTAAGGACTGTCGTGTTTCCAGCTGCGAGCGCGCAAGCCGCAGAACGGATACCGAAGACGTAGGGAGCGTTCCTGTAGAAGCAGCCATTAGCCCTGGAAACTGAATACAATTCCATGGAAATATAAAAGTTCCCGTTCCCGGAACCACCAAAGGAAATAAATCAAAGCTGGAGCTACTAACCATGGTACAATCCCGAGAATAACACCCATCGCCTCCTTGAAAACAATCGCACTCTGCCCCTCCATCTCTACGACAGGCACACTTCCACAAATAGATGTAATACGGCTGGCAACCTCACGCAGCATGCGCACTCCGAGCGGGACCACAAAGCCCGCAGAGGCGCCGACGTCTGCGCCCATTTCCTGGCGCATGTACTCGGCGTTGGTCTCGAGGCGGGCTTCGAGGATATCAGCGGCTCGGAGAAGGATATCGCGTCTCACGGTTGGTTTTGTTTGTGACCATGAGGGGAAGGCGGCGTTGGCTGCTTCGACAGCGCGGATTGCATCTTGCGGTGTTGCGGCTGAGGCGGTCCAAATAGTTTTGTTGGTGTAGGGACTTGTTACGGGGAAGGTTTGGGGGGTGATTTCTTCGTGGCCATTGATTAGGAGGGGGACTGTGAGGCCGGTGGGTTGGATTGTCATGGTGGGGGAAGATTGGTTGTAGGGTATAGATAGAGGTATGGAGTATAGGATATGTGATGTATGCAGGTCCAATGTTGGAGAAAAGAGAGAGACTATGATTGAGCCCTCGGGAGAAATATTTTTTTTGCTTTTTCCTCTCTTACATCGTATTCCATCTTTGTTCCAGCGATTGAATTACTTTGTAGCAGAATGCGGACCGGATGGCTGATCTTTGCCTGAAGCACCTAGGTCGCCTGCACTATTCCGCGCTATGCGATGACTATTTAAGACAGAACCAAACATCATTTTCGCCTTTTTCTGCCTTTATAAGAGTTCATGCGGGGTTTTTTTCCTCCACTGAGAATTGACACTTGTGCTCCATGTGCCCAATTTTGGCAATCGACACGTTCAGGGGTATCCAGTGATCGGCAAAGATATGAGGTAACTGAAGATTGTGACATTCAATAACCCCACTGCAATTGCAAGCGAGGGGGAAAGACCTTGTAACTATCTCCAGGGCTTTGTAAAACCCCACTTACAGATTTCAGAGCGGTCTACATATGATATACGACATATGCACATATATCCCCGTCCATACCTATTTCTACATCCGTGTGCGTTCACAGTAGCTCACTCTTATCTTGGCAATTTAATAGCGCGGTATTTCCACGCTATTGACTTGGATCTACATGTCAAGTTTGACCGAAACTCGGGAGAGGAGCTAACCGTGGATGGGATGAGACCTTGGTGGCGCCCTTAGGTGCGGGTGGCTTTTTCATGGTCATTCTGTTCGTGAAGGTTGAATGTTATAATTCATGAAGTATGTAGGGAGCACGGAGTATAATGTATAACATAGGATATTAATAGTCTAAAGGCAATAGTACAGGCAACAGTCGATCTTACTGATCCTTACAAGGTTCTCAAAGCATGACTCGGATAGTTGTGGTATCAGATGGCGATCGCAGGGATATCCTTCCCAATTTAATAATCTCCACTTTGGATCCACTGACCTATTCTGTGAAGAAAACCCCATTATTCCGACACAATGGAAAGCTATGCTTTATATACACTTTGCATGCCTTTGTATATACCCTTCAACGACATATATTGTCAGGAAACAAAGAAATAAGAAAACAAGAATCAAGGGGTCGGCTATTAACACCAGACTCCCCTCGTGAGAATGCAGATCTCATCACATCATCCACGTGGTTAAGTCTACGTACATATATCCCGCACAAACCGTGATCCCCATCAGGACAATGATCGTCCGCTAGGCGTGCGTGAGTGGATAGAAACAGTGGAATGTGGGAATTTTGAGCTGGACTAGGGTACCAGCGCTCCGGGATGAACTGGATATTCGTCTACAAAGTGCTCCGTACAGGCTTTATATCGACGGATGCCCTGGGATTGTGTGTTACCCGTTCACTCCTTTTTTATTTATTTATCCATACCTTTCCTTTTTCTGTTAGGTGGCACCCACACTCATTTAGTACTGGGCTGCGTGTTGAGAAGTGCAATGGCGCCAAGCAAGAAGGGATGGCAGATGATTGAGATCGTTTCGGTCTTGGTCGGGCTGTGTTTTATCTCAGTGGTGTTGCGAGTCTTTGCTCGCATTCGGAGGAGAGTTGGGTTCGGCATCGATGATTATTTGAGCTTGGTGTCCATGGTGCTCCTCATTGCCATGTTGGTCGAGTTGATTCTTTGTAGGTGACTCTTCCAGATTGTGATTTAATTCAATACTAACCGCTACCACAGGGTGTACAATTGGAGGCAATGGCGTCCATATCGTGGATCTCTCTTCTGAAACCCTTATGAACTACTGGAAGGTACGTACCCCGCAGATATCCAATATCCAACAACCAACAACCCAGCCTAACACCATCTAGATCTTCCTCGCCAACCAATTCACCTACTTCCTCCTCTGCCCCTGTATAAAGATCTCCATCATCTGCTTCTACCGACGACTCTTCTCAACCCCAAAATTCCAAAAAGTCACCTTCGCCCTAAACTGCCTAATCGCCGCCTGGGGCACAGGAATCTTCCTAGCATGCGCAGGGCAATGTCGACCCCTACGCGCATACTGGGACAAAAGCATCGACGGAACATGTTTCGACGCACAAAAATTCATCATCGTCAACCAAGCCTTTAATGTAGTAATGGACTTCGTCATCCTCATCCTACCCATCCCAATGATCTGGAACCTGCACCGTGCATGGCAAGATAAGCTCGCGCTAAATGGGGTGTTCGCTCTTGGCACTTTCGTCTGCTTTGCCAGTATCTACCGCATCGTCGTGCTCTTCTGGATCAGTCCAATGGACCCGACTTTCACGGTCTACCAGGCGACTCTGTGGACGCACATCGAGCCTGCTGTTGGCTTGATTTGCTCCAACTTGCCCATCATCCGGGGTCTGTTCCCGGCGCTTAATTTGAAGAGTTCACGCAATGGAACGGGCCCGGCATATCTCAATACAGATTACACGAACAACTCTTTGTTCTTGTCGAAGTCTAGCCCTCGATCGCCAGATCTCGAGTACATTAAGATGTACAATGCCCAGGTCGAGAGTAAATCGCAGGGGCACCTTGGTGATGAGCTTCACCCACGGACTATTAATGTTCAGACGGATATTTCTATCCTTCCCGGGAATGACTCCACTACCATGCTGAACCACTGAGGTGGTGTACTGCTTACGCCGTTACGATGTGATGATATCTTCTATACTCTGTTCTTGAGACGGGACATTGGAGCGAATGGGGCTTATACCCTCTTGGGGATAAGGCTGAGCCTGCTTCGAGATGATCGAATTTGTGCAGAAAGAATAGACACTTTGTCTGAAAAACGCTACGGCTATGGCCACTTGCAGCCATAGCTAGGACCGAAACAGCCTACTGGAAACCGTAATAGGACCAAACAGAGCTAGGGTCTTCCCACCCCAGAGCGGGCATATCAGTATGCCACCTGGACGTCGCCAACTCCTTCCATCCACCTCGTGCTTTCTATATTCTTTCCTCCACCTGATGCGCATGCATATCCGAATTGCCACGGCATTTCTTGCATTCGATTACCCTTACCAACTTTACCTGCCATTCTTGATATTGATATGTCGGCTTCACCGACAACCAGAATATGATTTGTCGATACCATTCATACTATGTCTATTGTGTTCGATATTTTATATAATCGGTTTGGTGTTCCAGCTTTGGTTCTTTAGACTGTATACAACTTGATTGCGTGTGCACTTGGACTTATCGGATACATTCATCAAATTAATCCAAAATGTCCAGAAGCGCATTAGTTCAAGATACACAAGTCTATGAGGCCATGGATATCGTTTTTCAGCGACATAATTTATAATTAAGTATAGTCCTCGAAGATACAGAGGCGAGAAATCAGCAAATGTAGCTTGATTTTCATTTTCCCAGGCTGGCTAAAAGGATATGCAAGTAGGTAGAAGGCATGAATTCGTAGATCTTTCATCAGATGGAGGCACATACGAGATAGAGCAGACCATTTAATGCACCATCCGGCTCGTGGCAAATTCCTAGAAGGAAAATATTAGCAAGAAAACCAACTTCAGACAGAACAAAAACCAACACATACCGGGAACTGATCAGAGATACTAGTCGCAACACGCTCTACATCCTCCGCAAGATCTTGCACACCAAGATCCCACTGCCTCAACTTCGTCCCATTAGAAGCACCCGCCGAGGATCCACCAAGCGTATCGGCATCAAATGAAATAACCCCATCGATCTGATCAATACGACCACGCAGCCGTCCCTGCTCAACCATACGCGCGGCATAAGCCTCCGCCTTCTCGCCAGCAGATAAATCGCCAGAATCCTGCAATCCTAGAATCGAGCCCAGGTCATCAACATGGATATTCTCGTACAGCTTGCTAGCCGCCACGAGATTGTGCTCGATAACCGCCTTATCCAGAACGGTCGTTCCATCCGCCGTAACAGCAAGCTGATGCGGGGCAAGTTTCTTCGCGAATGCGGCAACTTCATCCGCCGTCAGGAGTCTGTCGAGGAACATCTTCTCTAGGATACCAAATTCCTCAACGGAGGGCGTGCGGTCATCTTTGTATAGGCGGGCGAGGGAGCGGGAGCGCTGTGGGCCAGCAGGGGCAAGGACCGCGCATCGGATCGCGGCGGATAGGGCTGTCAGACGGTCTTCCTCGTCGACGCCCGGCGCGAGACTCACGTTGAAGTATTCCTGTGCGGCGTCGAGGAAGCGGCGACGGGCATCAAGGATGCGGGCCTGGGAGAGCTGGAAGTGGAGCCGTGCATCGTGATCTTCTAATTTGGAGGGGAGGTTCTTGATGCGGTTGAGGAAGGCTTCGGCGCTGGTGGTGTCGTCGTCTTCGAGATAGTAGCGTACAATGCGGATCCAGAGGCGGGCTTTAGCGGCGTCGGAGACTAGCCGCTGCGAGCTATCGATGTGGATTCCCTGTAGGGCGCGGGCGGCGGCTGTATATTCTTCCTGTGATTCGTACGCGTCTGCGAGGATCTCGCGGATTTGCGAGTCTTGTTCTTCGACGGAGGCGGAGCGCGTGTGGAGGAGGGTGATGGCGTGCTGGCCGACTTTTATTTTTGTTTCTGGGGTGAGGGATTGGAGGACTGTGATGAAGGCGTCGAGGAGGGGGCGGGCGGCGACGATGCTCACTTCTTCGCTGAGGATTGAGTCGAGGAAGTAGACGAGATCTTGGGCGAGTTCGTGGCCGCTGGAGGTTGTTACCATCTCGTTGAGGAGGTCGGTGTATTGCTGTAGCTTTGTGGATTGTTGGGTGTTTGTTTCGATGCCCGCTAGGGCGTTGGTCATCTTTTGGGAGGCCATGCTGGTGATCGATTGAGCGAAGGAGAGGTGGTAAAGAGTGGTGGTCATGGGGGGAAGAGTTGGGGACAGCCGAGATACTGTTATCGATAAGAGGAGCTGCCCAGGCTGCATGTATATAGAACGATGGAGCTCTTGATTTGGCCATATATAGGTAGAATAGGTCTTATGAAGGTCTCATAGTCAACTATGCAGAGCTAGAAATGCACTGTATTTGGGTGCATTGCACTTTGCGACTGAGGTGGTTGACTATTGACGTTTTTACTTCTCAACCAGCTATAGCTTTCCAATCCTCAGTCGTACCAAAACAAGTCTTGCATATCATCTTACTGAGAATATTTAGTGGAACATTTCATTCTCCTATCTAAGAGTTATGCGCAGGGCTTTTATATCTGGATTAGATGCAATGAGATGCTGTTCCATGCAAAAGGGAGAACGGCAGTGGAGCCTTATTTACTCCGTAGTGCATACCAGGTACACTCTTTAGTTCTTCGAGTTGAGAAGGGTCCCAATCATGTTTATAATTAATCAAAATATTTAGGTTCAATTTCAGTTACTTCCTTGATTATTGCCATGGCTGTTGCCTTGTTCTATCTGGTCCACCTCTTGGTTCGCTTACTGATGCCCCTCACTGTTCCTGGCAGCCCTGGAGGATCAAGACCTTATCTACTACACAAAGCACAATGGCCTTACATAATTATAGGTCGACCCCCGAGGCCCTACTTGAAGCACCAATATGCAGTCACCCTATCCCAGATGCATCCGGGAATCTCGCTGTATACACACAGCGGAATTACTCATTTCGCTCGCACAGCGAGCTTGGACAAATTCGAGTGCGGGAAATGAACACTCGGCGATCCTGGGCTATCACCGACAACCCTCATGCCAATTATGCGGGATGGCTCGGCAACAGCGAGCAACTCATCTGGCTGGAGGCCATGGACAATGGGTCCACCCGCTTTGTTGTTAGGGATGCTCGTCTTCGAAGGGCACAATATGTGGTGGGAACTGTTCCTGGGCCAATCCAGAACCTCAAAGTAGGATTTATTACTTTTAAGGAGGACTCTGACGATGATTTATCTTTTGCAGTTGTTGGCCAGGCCAATACAGATGGGACACTTTTCAATCCTGTTGATAGGATACGTGCCCCTATTCCCAGCCAACCACAAACTGCACTCCCTGGGCGCAGTGCACATCGTCCCAAGAATGTGATTTGGTTCGGAGAACTCGTGCGTCCTTCGCAGGCCCCGGAGGGTCAATATACAATGACACCTATGACGAACTTGATGGAATACTTCAAGCTCGGAGATGTTGAGTTAAGTGGGTCATTAGATGAAGACTCTTTGGACTTTTTCAAAGATACTTATCATATCGCGTTTGTCGCCAAAGACCCTGAGTCCGACCAATCAACACATACAGCCTCATCGTGTTACTTGTGTCCCATGATCGGTTGGGATGGCTCACTTCCAACAGATGAATACTACCATGCTTGGCGATACCGTGGCTTGGGAGGTGCTATCTGCTCCCCCACTGTAAATGAGGGAGGGACCGTGGCCCTCTTGTGCAAGAAGGAGGATGGTTACGCCGGTGATAAAAATCGAATTGTAGTGGTGACAAATTTCCAGACAGGGGAAAGCAAAGAGATATTTGCGTCCGCTGATGGCAGGGGACAATGGAATCTTAGCCCGTCGGCAATTTCATATGCCTCTAACGGATCTCTACTGGTCCAGGTTGATGAAGAAGGACGTCAAGTACTCTACCATCTCAACCTGGAAGTTTGGCCAAACGAACCGTCTCCAGCCGACTTGAAGTTATTTGACAATCTTATTCCGTTTGGTTCTGTCACAGGCTTCACACTCCTGCCTGGGAAATCAAAACGGGTTCTAGTGTCTTGCGACAGCTTTATTAGCAGTAACCAATTGGTCATTAAAGATATACCGACCCAAAGTTCTCGCAGTTTGCCCATACAAAATTCCAGTGGAAAGGACTTTGGTCTTTCAAGAAGCCAAGTTGACCAGATACGGCTTCCGGGTGACGAACAGCGTGAGATCCACGCATGGGTTATCAAGCCATCATACTTCAATCCAAAGCAGAAGTACCCCCTGCTCTATATTATCCATGATGGTCCGCAACAAAGCTGGAGAGAAGGCTGGGACCTGCGTTGCCATCTCGCACTTCTTGCCGAGCACGGCTACATCGTCGTGGCGCCAAATCCCACCGGAAGTACGGGCTACGGACATGACTTTACCGATGCCATACAAGGCTCGTGGGCTGGAAAGCCGTATTCGGACCTAGAAAAAGGCTTTGATTATATCTGCTGGTCCCTCGACTACGTCGACACCGAGCGTGCGGTGGCGCTCGGTCTCGGTTACGGAGGCTACATGGTCAACTGGATGCAAGGTCACGAGCCGCAGGTTTAAAGCATTGATCTCAGATAATGGCACCTTTAACCTGCTCTCTCATTTAGCTAGCGACACACATCATTTGATTTTTCATGGACTGGATGGACCACCTTGGCTGAATCCAGAGGCGTGGAGAAAATGGGACCCTGCACAGCACACTGGGAACTGGAAGACACCACAGTTAATCATCCACGGAGAGCAAAATCGTCAGCATCCTGTCTCTGATGCATTGGCTACATTTAACGCCCTAAATCTGCAGTCAGTTGAGAGTGCTCTGCTCATATTTCCGGATGAAGGCCACCAGATCCGGAACCCCGAGAACTTGCTCTTATGGTACCGCACTGTGCTTGACTGGTTGAAGAAGCATACAAGACAAGATGTATGAAATATCACAAGAGATAAAGCAAGTTATATGAGGTCATCAACCTGCGTAAGCATCGTTTTTTTATCAGCTAGTGTCATGGTTTGTTTTTTTTTTCCATTATGATTTTGTCTGTCAGTCCCCAACTATAAGACGGCGTTCTTATCTGCAATAAAATCTTGGATATGAGTTATTCTGCACATAGGTAGAGAAAAAATCTAGGCAATTAAATATCAGACAAGAAGCAAAAAACTACTAAAAAGACATGGCGATGCCGTATAAGCGGTTGACTAAATGTATTATTCCTATTTTCTACCCATGGATATGTACTTGATAAAATGTGATATAACCCTTATTCAATCCGTACAATGAATCATATTAAAGGGTATGCTATGGCTGATTGCCTGGGGTTTGGTTCGGAAGCTGCGCCGATGTCTATTCTCTACAACATACGTTGGGGTAAGTCTATCTCTGGGATCCATATATATAGTATGAAAGGTGATTGTTATGATACGGGAGGTTTATGAAAGAATAACTCAAGAAGGCCCTGAGGTTTCCTCAGTATCCCCAGGTAAATACCCACCTTGACTAGGTCAAAACTGAGTGAAATTACTAGATATGCATTCTAATACTAGTAAAGAGGTGGGTAGTCGAAAAGCACCTGGGCACGGGCGTCGTCATAGTATGTACAGAAAGAGCTGGCACTCACCGCCTACCACTTAGGGTTGACTGAATAGCTCCAGACTTGAGTGGCGCGGACTTCGTAACTCAAACGCGCTTCTCACCCCATCTACCACTTTCTCACCCCAGAAATCCAGTGGCGCCTCGACGGTCGCATTTGTTACACCATCACTTCCTCTCAATTCTGACTGTCCTCGAGCGACCCCGCACCCAGCATGGCCCAGGTCAAGCAGGACCCGGATCGCCCGTACTTCAAGGAAGATCCTGACAGCAAGGACATCGTCCTTAGGGACATAGACGAAGAAGACCTTTACGAAGATGCCGGAGATCTAGATTTTACACAAGCAGGTCAGAACGTGTGGCTCTCCCGACTGCCTCGATCGCTGTGGGAGCACTGGGCCCACCTGGACGATGATGAAGAGATCGAGCTTGGTACTATGAGAGTGGAGGGGACACCGAACGACATCAAGAGGGTAAGTGGGAAGATATGTGTATAGCAAGTTCCTAGCAGATTCTGACGCCTATCCGTTTCTCAGGTCAGTTTGCGCCTACATGATCGCCCAGATAATCGGGAAATTCCCAAGGACTACACACTCCAGCGTCAAACCGTCGACCCATCAGGTACTGGATCACACCTCACCCACAATACGTACGTTTTCACCGAGAAGGATATTCCCGGTGTCGAGAACCGCATGGCTACATTTGGCGAAATGCGCTCGGTTCTGTACGAAGCCCAGAAACGTGAAGCGAAGCGGCGGGAACAGGGCAAGAGATGGGAGCCCTATGTGCGAAAGACGATACCAAGTATGTCATATTGCAGAGATGGTAAGTTTTATTTGCTCACAATTCTTAGAACATACCGCCCTCGCCGGCGCGGTCAGTGAAGAGTTCAATTGTCTTCCAGTGGAGAATGAGGAATTCCGACGGATTTCTGAGAAGCGAGCGCTGGAAGCTCTGAAACCTCGAAAGGAAACCGTCTTCATTGATAAAATCCCCGGGAAGATCATCCAGGCGCGCCATGCTCTTCCCACCGAAAGGGGACAGTTTGTGGTATGTCTTTTGCACTTAAGTTTCTTTTTTTGAGGCAAGAATACTCAATTCGTCTGCAGCAAGCCACACGAACTTCCAAAGGAAAATCCCAAGAGAACAAGTCTACCCGTATGCCGCAGAACGAGCTTCTGGACCTTATCTTCCAGTGCTTCCGCGAATTCAAATACTGGCCCTTTAAGACACTCAAAGCCCGGCTGGCACAGCCAGAGGCCTATCTCAAGCAGACTTTGGAGATGGTTGCACACCTTGTCAAGGCTGGTGACTTCGCTATGACTTGGGAACTGAAGCCTGAGGCAACTCACAGCCAGTATTCGAATGCGATGGAAAATGCAAAGGCAGAGTTGCCACCAGGAGCCGACGATCCTTTCGAGTCAGAGGAAGATCCGGCTTCTGGAATGGCTACGGATCAGGACGACGTCCATTTTGAGAACGTTTAAACACATACAGACAACAGACAATTAACGGCTTCGATATGTTGCATAAGCAGGGCCCTGGCGTTAAGGCTTTCAAGGAGATGCCGGAAGTCCCGGTTTAATTCGGAAAATAGCAATAGAATGGAATGAACAAATGAATTACATACAATGTTGGCCTTCGTCCTATACAATAGTCCCAACTTTCATGCACAAGGCTGACACATTAGTGGTTGAAGTGTTGGGGAGGTGAATGGGTGCTTAGCGGTACATGGTAGAAAGGAACTCTCACTGACTGACATGGGCTGGTGGTATACGCGGGCATATCTACGAGTTATTACAAGATGTTAGAGCGGATCAAGCTTGTTGGCTAGAATTGCTATACAAAAAGGGTGGTTATCCCTTGATACTTAGCCTCGATAATAGAGTAAGAATTTCTATCTGCTACTACACTTGATATCGATTAGTGATTTCAGGTGGCCTTCAATTGGTATATTCGAACCTCATATCTCTCTAAGTTTAGTAGTGACCGACCACCTTGTGAGCATTTCCTTGGCCTAGTCGGAAGCTGCGTCCATCAAAATTGCAGACATTTCATGATGTTTCAGCGCGTCGAACCGACAATTAATGGGCCTGGAATTGTCAGCCTAGGAGCGCCTTTTATCGAATGGCTTTGATGTAAGGTTCAGATTGCCTGGTGAGAGTCGAACTATAGCAGTAGCGTATCCACTGGGGATGATTTTGAGCAAGGATTTAGTTTCCACATTGTTTCGTCATCGCTGGTGTAGGCGGCGGGTGTATATCAACAAGCTTCTGAATACATAGACACTAGTTATGTCTTCTTAATCGTGAAGTGCTTTTTATGCACTTGTGCGCGAGGTTCACGGGTTTCGTTGGTGTGTTTATTCGGAATGGATATGGTCTCTAGTGGCGCTAAAATGAAGTGCTAATACTGAAGTAAGTTTTTCTTTGGCTTCAGGTAACTGCTCAGGCCTCCAAGAGGCGTTTTTCTGTCTCAGTATACTTAGTACATACTGTTTAGCCTGATAGTTGGTGACGTCCTCGTCATCCGAGCACGGACCTCTTCGCCACTCGTATGGCGCGCCTAAGGCACAAAGAGTATGCAAACTTTACAAACTAAAACTCTCGGGATCCAGCGCTGAATGGGCGCGGCTTGCTTCATCCGCATCACCAGCTCAGATCTTATTCTGAAATATCCCCCAGCTTTCGATCTCAATCTGAGAAACCCTCAGATATTTTTTATCTGCCGCTGACTTGCCCTCTTAGCTTCAGATAGTCATCATGAGCGAAAATGACGATCTCCTGGCCAAGATCGGCCAGCTTGCAGGTGGGTTCAATACCAGCTTACCGTCAACACAAAGCTAACCCGAGAAGGCCAAATAAACCGCCACAAGACGCAAGAGGCCCAGCCAGCTAACCACCAGTCTCAATATGTGTCTCGTCATGCCCCTTCTCATCCAGGATGGACCCCATACTACAGGGGACGCGGCCGAGGACGTCGGGGAGCAGCTGTTCCCCACCGGCATCGCACGCTTGTTTTAAACACTGCAGGTGCTGGCTCAAATCCCAGTGCAAGCTCCTCCCCCGCACCGATAAGTGGCAACGGCAGCGCAGTGGTTCCAACACCATCTTCGACTGGCAGTGGTTGGGTTGTGAAGCACGATCGCCACATGCAGCTGATCAACCCTGCTGTATACGATCGGAAAGCACAGGATAGGACCAAGGATATGGAACGAACCCGCAAGCTTAAAGAACAGAAAAAAACTGAGTACGAGAAAGCGAAAGTGCTTCGATATGCCCAGGGTCCAGGTGCTAATGCAATGGTTTCCACCACTGCAAACCCTGCAGCTGGCCATCAAATTCTTGTCAATGGTGTCGCCTTCAGGGTTGCAAATGGCGGAAGCAAACTGATTCGTATTTCAAGTGCGTATTCTCTTCGCTCTTCGCCTCGAATTTGCTTACCCTTCATAGATGACCCCAGTACTGCCAACAATACCCCCAAACGCGTCACAGTGGCCGATGTGTCCTTTGTGCGAAGCAAAAACGGAAACCTACACCGTCTAGGTGCTGTAGCTATGAAGAAGTGAGTTTTGATTTTGGCAATGGCTACCATATACTGACCTTTTCATAGGGGCCACACTGTTAAGAAACGCGATGAGCTTTGCAAGAGATTTACAACAACCGGTATTTTGTTTTCCGACGGGCCATACTGCTATCAGCATTTCCAAAAGCTAATATTTTTGTTTTTCCAGGCACATGCTACAAAGGCCCGACCTGCCAATTTGTCCATGACCCCAGTAAGGTCGCTATGTGCAAGGACTTCCTTCAAACAGGCCAATGTGCCGCAGGTAGTAGCTGTGATCTATCCCATGAGCCCTCGCCCCACCGCTCCCCCACCTGTATGCATTTCCTTAGAGGACGCTGCGCCAATCCGGAATGTCGTTATGCCCACATTCGCGTGACACCCGGTGCCCCCGTCTGCCGTGCCTTTGCAACACTAGGATACTGCGAGAAGGGCGACGCATGCGAAGATAAGCATGTCCATGAATGCCCAGACTATGCCAACACTGGTGCCTGCCACAAGAAGCGCTGCCAGCTGCCACACGTCGACCGCGCGGGCCAGATCCGCAAGGCTGCTGCGGCTGCTGCTAGTAAAGCTGATTTGGGTGAGGATGACTCTGACCCGTCTAGCGAGGAAGAGAATTACGATGCTATTGATTCGGATGACGTTGACTCGGATGCGTTCGACGATTCCCCCGAAGAACTGATCGAAGGTGTGGATAGCGGCGAGTTGTCGCAGCAGCAAGACTTTATCCGCTTCTAAATCCTAAATCCTGCCATTTGTAGTTGATTGGATAGTGCGCTTTCATTCTTGCCTTTCGTTTGCTTTGCCCATACCCCAAAAACATGTCGATAGTATGCAGCTGAAAGGAAATTGAAAAAAAAAAAAGAAACTGAATAGCTTAGTCGAGGTCTCTTCCTGTACGTGTATTAGTTCTTTAGACTCTATATTTTTTGATCATAGTTGGACCTGTCGACAAGGGGGTATACTCTGCAACCCACACACGACGAGCCATGTGACCGTGATGGAAACAACTGCAGGGTCCATGTCCTGCTGACTGGCGACATGAAATAGGAAGCTGTGTGACCGTCGAGGAATGGATAAGCCTCACTATTGCATGATATTTGATAACTAAATAGACCTGTGTGGTAGGCAGCGCAATATTGAAATCCACACCCTAGGATATCCTTCCGACACCTGCAAGGATGGCCCCCAGCCTGTGGAACTTGCTGAAGTCACAAAAGCAATATTGAAAGCAGGCTGAGCGAGACATTACCAGAGTCTAGAATGCCTTTGTGTGCTTGTTGGTTGTAGTGTATACGTAGCATTTTCTGTGCGGTTAGCATATCAGTGCCCTAGAATTTTCAAGTGAAGACGTGGAGGGATATATCAAATAGCACCTAGTGACATAGAAAGCATGGATACAAATTTAGGCTTCAGATATTGATCTGGGAGTAGGTATAGTTATAGATAATAGTCAGAGTTCAAATCTAAAACATTTACAAATATGTAGTAACATCGTGATCAACGCCACGGTTTGTATTGAGCAAGTTGAACAGAAAAATGCCAAGTACTTGTCCAAATCGGCGACAAGTCTAGGTCTACCCAGAATGGATAGTAAATCACTACTCCGTACATATGAACCAAGTGATCTATTGTTGGTGATATCTAGTTGTTGGATAGTTGGTCACAATCCTATGCTCTGTGTATCACCAACACTTGAAAGCGTCGGCGGCTAAGTCAAGCCACACATATCGACCCTTGCCTATCAATACTATCTAGTGTTGGTTTTGGCCCTTGAGCTTGATTGAATCATGAGACTAATCATCGTACTACGTCCAAATCCTCTGTTGGGTTGGGCTTTAGTGCAGGACAAAAGGTCTATTCAGACCAAGACCAGAACGTCATCGGACAAAAGAATATGAATCAATCGGATGAGAATAGTAGCAGAGAAAGACATTCTATCGGACGAGAACAGAATTAGAGAGAGATAGTGACTCAGTTTACCCGAAATACTGAATAATAGCTTCTTTGTCCCACAATTCCGATCATCGTAGGTCTTTGGCCCACCCGTTGCAAACCCATTTCGACGACGTGCTGCCTGGCCACAACCGCAGCAAGCGATAGAAACTCTCAAATCCTCTCATCCTACTTTCGCCCTGCCAGAAAATGAGTCATTAGATCGGTGAACGATGCTCCTCGGCACAGAGATCAAGTGTCCTTCTACCGACGGGTCTAGGAAAGACGGATTCCCCGATAGGCAGGCCACAGACATGAAAAACGTCAACAAGTTCCTCATTCGGCATGTGGAGCATAACAGAAGCCCAGTAAGGAGTATTTAGGGATCCGGTTGCATCCAATCCTAGGCATTGGTTTGCCCCCATATGATGTGCCCAATGTACCCGGTGCACGGCATATCAGGCAGGTACCGTTCAAAGTGAGGCTTTGAGATCATATCCGGCTTAGCTTGTGCCGGGGATATGTTTTCGAGACTTTGGGCACATACAGTGTACGGTGTATTGAAGTTGTATGGAGCCGTGGAAGAAGTGGACCATTTGCTACATAAGTAATAGAATGGGAGTGCCCAGGTGGAGCTGTGGACCTGCCATGACCTTCTAGCTCGTTCAAAGAAGGTCGATCACCAGTTTCATTCTGAGTCATATGGCAAAACAGTGGTTTCACCTTCACCGCATGAAGTGCGTAAGTGTAAGTCTTGCATGAGGAAAGGCATGAGGTGCTGGATACTCGGTCTGTACATAACGTAACTACCATGATACGGGTCCCAGCTTCTCAGATGACTGTACTGTATGATGTAGACGCGTTATTGCCGAGCAGAAACAAAAATCCCATCGGGTACCTTGCACTGAAAAGAGTTGCCTGTCTATGACTAATATAGTAGTGAACGGGGTGGCCGATGGTAGACTGGGTCTCCATTGGACGGACTCGGCTTTTTCACCGCCAGATCTTATCCGGGCCAAGTTTCCCACCCGCCGAGCTGCCGCTCAGGTGACAGACCTATCATTATCACAGGCTCTCTCTGTACTATGTATAGACTGCGAACAGACTCAGGGGCTGCCGCCGAGGGAGGTTTGTGCTCCGGGGAGTTGTCGAGAGGAACTGACAGGAACAGGAACCGGGTCTGCGCTTTGGGCGGCAAGGCTCAACATAGGGCTTATTGAATTTTGGGGGAAGTAGGAGGGAAAACAAAGAGTAACCGCAGCTGAGTGACAGCCCAAATTTAATCCTGGTATATTAGGGCAATAATGGTGGTAGATTAGGGGGGTGTTCACCCCGCAGCACATAGACAAGCCGGAAGGCATCCGTCAAATACGATGGCATCATGCCCCTGCACTCCGCATAGTCGATCACGAATTAAATGTGGTCTGTGAGCTTGTAAGAATTGGAAAGATGGCTGCTTCAGCCATATGGAAGCTGCAGAGAGAGCTGCAAGTAGATCACGGCTAGGTTGAACATGATCAGGCGTCTAGGATTTTCAACCCAAGCTCTCGCTCTAGCCAAAGTCTTAATCTTCAGGGTATTTCCGTAGACGGATTTTGATTTTGGAGGGGTGCAGTCGTCATCTGGATGGGACGAGTGATCAGTGCATGACATCCGTGCCTTTTTTGTTTTTGTTTTTTTCCCCCGTTTTTTCCCATTTCTTTTTTCCTTTTCTCATCCGTGGCCCAACAGTGGATCGACGGGCCGAGCCCGTCCCAAAGATTCATTCTATACCGAAGCATCAAAGATCGTAATGGGGGAAAAGAAAATAATCCTAAGATAAGTACTAAAAGAGCAAAAAAGCAAAACATCAAACCGCCGTGGATCGCAGCCCAAAGGGATCGTCGCACTGACTCGGGAATGATTGGCTGTTAGCGGCGGATACAAATGAGGATGACATCTAAACTGGACATCTGACCATTCATGAGTGATGAGTTTAGTACCGAAAAGGTACTGAAAGATACTTAAAAATACTTATTACAAGTAGACGTGCAGGACAAGTCCCAAGTAGCAATTAGTATTCTACCTAAGCGCCGTGAATAAGGTATAGCACAGACCATATACTCCCCGCGACAGGGATTGTCTCAAGCCGGCGGAACGAGGATCGATCGATAGGCTATCGTTTATCGATAAATCCAGCGTCTGATTTCCCCCCCACTTAATGTTGGAAGATTTTTTCGGTGATGGCTTCGGGTTTACGGAGGACAAAGTACAGAGAAAAAGAAGAGAAAAAGGGAAATCCTCTATACAATATTAGTGTACATACTTCGTACTGATGTTGTATACATATGTAGCCGGTAATTACTCCATACCTGTAAACGAGTAACTGCCACTATTACCATCGAGACTGGATCATAAAAATCAGACTAAAACGGAAAAAAGTCCTATAAAAAATAAAATATCAAAGAAAATCCAAATAGAGAAAATTAAAGCTGAATAACCAAAATACTAACCAAAATACTAACCAAAATAATCAAACATCAACAGATGCAGGTCTGCCCAAGCAAAACAATGCAGCCAATAACGGAGATGTTGCTCCGGGGGCCATAATTCTACTCCCGCGCGCAGACCGCTGGATGAGTACTGGGTACTTGATCGACAGCCTATTCTCCATCACCCGCATGGGTACTCGGTACCTGTGGGTACAATGTCAACCGCACGAGCACTGCATCTGCTCATACATAGCCTGCTTCCCCCCCGGAACTAAATCACAGCATATTTCTCCCCTCTGCACAATTACACCGTTATCTTCATCTTCGATTTCTATATCTCTACCTACTATTTTCCCTCTTTGGTGATTTAATTCTACGCCTATTTCTGAATAAATCATCATCTTCCCCCACCCTCTCCCCACACACACACACACACACACACACACACACACCGCCTCTTCATTATGGCACAATATTTCCAGTCTGAATTCTACCAACAATCACCATCGTTAGACGTGACACCAGAAGACGACGAGATGAGTGTGTTGGATGACAGAATCTTGGACCCAGGTTCTGAAGACCTTTCCAACAACCGCCGTGCCTCCTATGACGCCCCATCCGCCTACTCACATCGGGATTCCGTCTGGTCCAGCTACTCAAATACTAGCGGCCAGTCACAGTCAAATTCGCATTCACAGCTCGGGCATGCCATGATGAGCTCGGCGGGTTCCTCGTACATGCCAATCGACGGCCCGCAATTACCTTCCTACCCACAGGCATCGTGGTCCATGTCGCGGTCAGATTCAGACTCAGGCTCAGGCTCATGTACTCCGACCATGCACTATGATCACTATGCTACCAATGGAGACCAGAGCGCTAACGCTCCTTTTTCCGGTGGTGCGGTTGGACCCGTCAACACTATGCCATTAAACCCCGTCTCGTACGGTGGGAGTATGGCATTTCCCACTCCTGGCAGTGTCGCCATGTCACCGCAATCAAGCCAGGGCTGGATGCCGGCACCCATGGATCCGGCCGAGGCAGAGATGCACTCGAGAAGGAGCCCGAGGTACCCTGCTGCTTTCCCGCAGCGTCGGGGAGAAGGAGTTCGGAAGAGGAATTCCCGCATTCCAATCTCCGCTGAACTGACCTTGGACAATATCGATGACGCGATCAGGGAGAGCACCGACGAGGAGAAGAAGAAGGAGTTCAAGGCTATCAAACGACTGCTGCGAAATCGATGTGCAGCGTAAGTTGAGATCTATGCGATGAGTTGGGATCAGATGCTAACCTTATTGCAACAGGCTTCAATCTCGTCAACGCAAGAAAAAGGAAGCTGAAGAAAAAGGAGAGAAGATTAAGGAACTTGAAATCCGGATCAGCGAACTGGAAGCAATGATCAAGCAACTGAAAGCAATGATCAAGCAGCCAGAAGCAATAATCGAGCAACTGAAAGGAATGATCGAGCAACTGAAAGAGGAGTTGCAGAACATGCAGAGGGCAATGGACAACTTGAAGTACGAGATTCACCAGTTGAACCTCTACAATGCGCAGTTGACAGAGCACATCCAACGCCAGGACATGGAGAAAGATGAAATTATCCTCAGGAACACGCGCGAGACAGCCAATCTGTTGAAGAGGAATGCCATACTGGAGGAGACAAACAAGAGACAGGAGGAGATAATTAACCAGCTGAAGCGCGGCGTAAATCCCGCTCAAGAAAGCCAGTCTGGTGAATTCACCAGCTTCGAGAACCCCACCATGGAAAGCCAATCGTGGGACGACTTGATGGTTACTGGACCTCCTGTGCAACCAGAGTGTGTCCAAACCCCCCGTTCTCAGGTTGGCCAGCAGGTCAAGGCCCCGGAGAAATCCACCAACGGGTCAGACCTGCCGATCAACTGGAATGCCTTCTGCATGTTCCTGCTTCTCGGTGCCTTCTGCGCCTCAAACAGTACCTCCCTACCGGGCCACTCCCTAACCCAACTCTCCGAAGAGTATCGGGCCGAGTCAGCCAACGTACTGAAAGCAATGCTAGGCTCATCACCGGGCCACGAGGTGACCCACTCCCACTCCATCAACCATGTGACAACAACCGGGCCTACACCGGTGACAATCACCGGCATGGAGATGGCACAGATGGGATCTGCGCAACCCATCCCCTCAAATCTAGACCAGCTGCACAACACGTTCGCGATGCCGACAGAGGAGCAGGAGCGCGAGCAGGTGTTCACAATGAACGCGAACCAGTACAACTCCCTGACGACGTTCGAGGATGATAGTGTAGACTTCAAGCCACAGCAGCCATCTACTCTGCAGCAGGCGTTTGCTGCGATGCGTGACACCGTCGCACAGCAGAGTCGTATGCACTCCGCTTTGTCTTCGGATGTGCACTCTAGATCATTGATGTGGGACCGTGTGCCTGAGAAGGTTGTCCGGGATTTCCGCCGTATGATGAAGGGTCAGGATCACGATACTCCCGTGAAGGTGGAGGGTATTTTCTATTCTTGAGAGTTTTCTCTCGAGATTAGTCTTGCGATACGACCGTATTTTTTCTTCTTCTTCTTCTTTTCTTTTACCTTTCTTGCATTTCTTGCGATGTCCTTCGGGATTGTTGCTTGATCTAGCCCCCTTTTTTTTATCTCCTTCTTCTTCAAAAATACGGGCTAGCAATGGCCCTCGAAATTCTAGCGTGCAACGATAGATCACGCAACAGTTTTTATTCTTCTCTTATTTATGTATCTTTTTTTTTTTGACATAATTTTCGATGTTTTGATTTTTTTTTCAGTTCGGTCCCAGGGTCAGGTTCACTCGGGCACAGGACTCTGTTTAGTGATGTGATGATTTTAGCGATTGGCTTGTTCTGTTTCTTGTTTTGACTGATGGAAGGGGAACTATATTATACGAACGACATGGTGGAAAACTGAATTATGTGTTTATGTGTACAGACTTGGGATGCTCTCTGCAAACTGGGGTGAGATCTTGGACATGGGGTACGAGAAACGAAACGTGTTATGAAGAAACCTTGCATGTGTGGATTGCATTCAACTGTGCCTATTATGACTTGTTTTATGAACTATGTTTTATGTTACTATTTGGTGATGTGGGCTGGGACAGTGTCCGGTATTAGGAATAGAATGGGATGGTCTCTTGCTTTCGGGCTGGATGAACTTGCTTTTTCATGTTTTCAAACGTCTTCTTTTGATCCTCGGCTTTTAAGCCCTAGAAGTTCGCACCTAGACTATAGAATTAACTTGCAAGGTATCTTTTAGCCTGAGTGATTTTGTGCTGAACCCACAGATGGCTGGCGGCAACGCCCACGAATGTGATGAAGAGATGACAATGTGACATCTCACCACGACATGAACTGCTCTTGCGATGGAATGGCTATTGTTTAATCTATTATTGACTCGATCTAGCCGACTTAGCACCTTATGTCCGGGTCCGAGGACAGAAATATCTTTGCGGATCGCGGACATCGGGTCAGTATATTGGAATTACCTACTATCCACACCTCTGAATATACATATGCAATGGTAGAATGACATCTAAGTTCAAGCTACTGTGCACCACCTGTCATTTTAAGTCATATCCTCCCGATAAAAAGAAAACGTGATGTGATTTGACCCACGCATAATCTTAGCTGAAGGACCTTGGGGGCAACTCATGGTGTTGATACCCAATCACTACCACGGGATTTGGCCCACTGGCAAGACCTGCGTGAAATGCTTGCATCGTTCCAAGCTTTGACAAGAAATTCTCCGAGCCTTGATTTCCTAATAACGTGTATAGGGCTGATGTTTGCTCCCGCCTGGGCGTTTGACATCCAACAAAGCCCAAGTTCTTAAGCACAATAGTAACACACCACGTAGGAACTTTGAAAACCAGTTAGATAATGTAATGATATTGGAGGCTTCAACATGAATTAAACAACCTAGTCAATGCAACCTCCGACAAAGAGTGCAAGCTAATTATCAAGCTAATACAATCGGGGCCGAAACGTCCCAAGGTCCTCAACACAACGGAGAACCCGAAGAAAATGGGAACTTTTCTCCGATATAAAATGGACAAACAATTCCTGTAATATTCGTAGGTCAAGATTATCGTGTTCATTTCCCTGCCTCTTCCATCATCGAAGGACGATATACCAATATACAAAGCCCGCCAAGATGTCCTTTGATCCTCACAATGTTGACCTGGACACAGCCGACGCCGCTCAAATTGTTTGCTACCTTAATGCCGAGGGAAACGAATACAACGGCCAACTAGGCGCGCGAATTTCCGCCATTTTCGTAATCCTTGTCGTCTCCTCAGCAGCGACCTTCTTCCCCGTGCTAGCACAACGCGCACCACGCCTGCGCATCCCAGTCTACGTCTATCTATTCGCCAAGTACTTCGGTGCCGGTGTGATCATCGCAACAGCCTTCATTCACCTCCTCGATCCCGCATATGACGAAATCGGTGGCAACTCCTGCGTCGGACTGACTGGCCACTGGGCAGACTACTCGTGGTGTCCGGCAATTGTATTGACATCATTGATGGTTGTCTTTCTCATGGATTTCGGCGCCGAGCGCTGGGTCGAGATGAAGTACGGTATCTGTCGCGAAGACCCAGAACCTATGATGGCAAGTGGAGGTGAAGTGCAGCGTGTGGACTCGCGCGTTTCAGCATGCCACTCAGGCGACAAGCAAGTTAAGGAAATTGAGTCGCAGACTCAAGAGCTGGCAATCGAGCGCTCGGTCAAACAGCAGATTGCTGCGCTGCTGATCTTGGAGTTCGGGGTTATCTTCCACTCTGTCATTATTGGCCTGAACCTTGGTGTTGCGGGTGATGAGTTTGCTACACTTTACCCTGTTCTGGTCTTCCATCAGTCTTTTGAGGGACTTGGTATTGGGGCGCGTATGTCGAGTATCCCATTCAAGAAGGGAAGCTGGCTGCCTTGGTTCTTGTGTGCTGCCTATGGGCTGACAACTCCAATTGCCATTGCTATTGGTCTTGGTGTGCGCACGACTTATAACCCTGGTTCGTTCACTGCCAATGTTGTGTCCGGTGTGCTGGACTCCATCTCGGCTGGAATCTTGCTGTACACTGGTCTAGTTGAACTTCTTGCTCGTGATTTCTTGTTTGATCCCCACCGCACGCAGGATAACAGGAGGTTAGCTTTCATGGTCCTGACTATGATTCTTGGTGCCGGTATTATGGCTCTGCTTGGGAAGTGGGCTTGAACGGGAATTAAGTTGGAGATCTAGAGATGGTGTGTCTTCGGCCCCGAGGTGCACATGGGTGAATTGTAAGATGTTGAACTGCGATAATGGATATAATTTAGTTTAAAAACTGGCAGCTTAATTGAGTTTCGAGGAAACGATACGCAGATCGGCTGCATTTCTGCCAATTTTCCAATTTTCCAATTTTCCTTTTCACGAGTACGATAGACAGTAATGTTAGAATCAATGTCACCAAGTGCCGTTGCTCGTTTCCAAACCAGTTGAGAACCGAGGCAACTTCCATGTTATGATTGATCAAAATGCCTCCATTGACTTTCTCTAAGTCATAACGCCTACGACATGCTAGATAAAAATTTCATTGCCGAGCCCCTCCTGCGTACCTCGTTCAATATCTTTGCCAGAAAGTTAGGGCTCTTCGCTGCACGAGCTGCGAAGACCACAAACCTGTTTGCACTTGAAATAACAGAGCTTTGATTGATCATTGGGATCCATAGAAGTCTCCGTGGCGCAATTGGTTAGCGCGTCCGACTGTTAATCGGGAGGTTGGAAGTTCAAGCCTTCCCGGGGACGTTTCTTTTTGCCGGATGGCATGATGGTAGAATCTCGCCTACTCCACTAAGAGGAAGCGAGAATAGCGGGCGCAATTTTTTTTCTTGAAATCTTAGTGGAAACAGGTGAAGCAGTCAGTGAGAAAGCCGCGCGGCCTGAAACTCTGGTCGAAGGAACTTCCTTTTTTGTTCGGTGTCCATAATTAATTGTTGATAATGATGCATGTGTTAAGAAATATCCGGCTGCTGAATTGGCAGAATTTATTGTTAAATCGGAATGTCGAGGTCAGTTTCTGTAATAGCGAAAATGGTTCGAACACGATGTCGACCACTCGAAAGGATCGACTAAAGGAGCTCGATGGCCCTGGGAATTTATGAAATGCATATTGTGTAGGAGTTGTGATGTTGTCTGTTCAACTATATTTTAAGGACAAAGGGCCTGAAATTTAGGCCAAATTTGACGTGACCAAGAGACCAACTTGAAAGCATCTTCTGAACTTATGTATCAAAATTCTGTCTAGCTATCTAATTGCAACTGACCAGCAGCAACTTCTTAGGTAGCTTGTTGATCATATTTCTCCCCAAGTCCCTTTAAGACGACCTTCACCAAGCCACCTAATGTACCTGCTCGGTTGATTTCCACCGTTGGAATCTCCAGGCCCAGAGACCTCCGTAGCCAATTCCTAACCTCTATGGCCATGAGGGAATCAACTGCTATGGCGGCCATTGTCTCAGTGTCATCCGCAGAATCTGGCCCTTCATCTTGTGTCTGCCCTGTAAGATTATGGCTGATAAATTTGCCCAGTTCCTTCATCAAGGCTATCTCAGTCTCCTTTTTGCCCGTCAATGAAGGATCTGCTTGTATCTGAGCAAGGAGGGCCTTTAATGCATTTGCATGAGAGGATTGATCCCCGCCAGGGCTAGCGCTCGTAGACTCAAGGTTGGGATAGATCGAAAATCGAGCGTCGCGTCCACCGAGGAAGATTTCCTTTGGGAGGTCGGCGCGCCGCCTCGTGTGCGCGAGTCCCATTGCTATTGCGCCGCTCGCGTTAGAACCACCAACCGGGGAAATATTGATCGCTGCAGCGAGTCCGTCAATCACTTCAGTTTCATGGAGCACATGTAGCGCAATTGATTGTACTCTTTGAAGGAATCGGGAGTTGCGACTTGCAGCACCCGCATCTCCAACCACACCGAGGTGCAAGATAGAGGAAGAAAGTCCCTGCTGCCGTCGATAGCGGGTGAATGCTTCCAAAAATGTAGTTGCCGCTGCATAATTGGCCTGGCCAGTGTTACCACATATTCCGGCAATTGAGCCAAACACGACGAAGAAATCCAGTGAGTGTTGCAATGTGGCATGGTGCAGGTTCCAGGTTCCAGTGACTTTCGGCGCCAGTGCAGCCTCCCACTCCTCGTGGCTCATCTGTAGGAAGAGTCGATCCTAATACGACGTCAGAGGTTAGTCACTGTCCATATTCGGGACGACGTTGGAGTAAAAAGACAGAAAAATCCTTACTTTCAAGTCGACTGCCATCTGGAGGACACCAGCAAGAGGCCGCGTGCATGCGGCAACAGCCTCCTTTACATCCGTGAGGTTGGTTACATTACCTGCCACGCAAATAACTTGGCAACCTTGCGCTTCAAGTTCGTGAATAAATGATTGATCCTCCTCAGATTTGCCAGCTGACCGTGAGAGGAATACAAGTTCTCGCGCATTTTGTTCGACCATCCATGTTGACACGGATCGCCCAATACCCCCGAGCCCGCCAATGAGCAGATAAGCGGCGTCGGATCGGAATGACGGGAATTTTTTCACAACTGGAGGAGGCAAAGTGTCTACGGCGGATGGCATACGCACCAGAATCTTACCTAGGTGGGTGCCGGCCTGCATATATCTGAATGCACTGACAATATCAACCGCGTCAAAAATTTTGACAGGTTTGATAGGTCCGATTTTTCCTTGACGATACCAGTCTGAAAATGTTGCTAGGGTACTGCGATGTGTCAAGTTAGCCTTCCTTTTCTCTTAGCATCCACCCGGGACAAACCTTTTGAGAATATCCGGAGTTTCCTTGCAAACTTGTGCAAGGTCAACGCCGAAAAATGATCGGTTGGCTTCGAAAAGGCTCATATTAAGCATTCCATGACTTATGAAGTCGCGTTTTCCCAGTTCAACCATCCGACCGAACTTCGCAACGCATTCCCATGAAGCGTGTAATAAGTTACCTGACAATGAGTTGAGCACTAGATCAACTCCCCGTCCACCGGTGGCACGCATCAAGTCCGGTTGGAAGGAGGTGTTGCGAGAGTTGAAGATCCGGTCTCGAGGTAAACCGAAATCCTCCATCAAATATGCTACCTTTTTATCGTTGCCGACGGTGGTGTAGATCTATATTGACTGATTAGCAGCTCCCGTAACCAGATCACTCATTGAGAAGTGGGCTGACCTCAGTACCAACAGCCTGGCATACTTGGAGAGCCGCTAGTCCGACTCCGCCACACGCCGAGTGAATCAGGACGGACTGGTATCATGTCAGTTATTATCAATAGCCAAAGAACACAATAGTGACTTGCCTGGCCCTTCTTCAAAGCACCAATCTCAAGAAGCGAATAGAGAACAGTGACATAGCCTGTCAACATCGTGGCAGCATCCGCCATTGATAACCCCTGCGGTAGCTTGATACAAGCTTCTCGAGGCACTATAACGTTTGAGGCCAGAACCCCAGAATGCATCAAGACCACACGGTCCCCCACTGTAATATCCGTCACCTCGGCTCCAACTTGGAGCACAATACCGCTGCCTTCGAGGCCGAGATCTTCTTTATTTCCGAAAAAGCCCATTGCAACCATCATATCCTGGAATATCTTAATTAGCGAGCTATACAAGATTAGTTTGGGACGACAGGAACATACTTTGAAGTTCAGTCCTACGTAGTCCATCTCAACTTCAACCTGCCCCTTATCTAATTCATAGCATGGCTCTTTCTCGGCCCAGTGTAACGTATCCAAAAGTCCGTATGCCGTCAGAGTTAGCTTTCGGGACGCGTCTGATCGAGGTGGGCTTGCGAGTTGCTCAATGAGAGGTGTCCAGTGGTATCGGCCGACTTTGATCTTCTCTTCATGAAATGCGAATTCATACTCTGGATCGGGAAGGGAGTGCGCGCGGGATCTTTGTATCTTCTCGCACACCTGGACCACGGCCTTTGCGGCCGCCGCGTCCCATGTGGGAACCTCTAGAATTGAGAGATCAAGCAACAGCTCTGCCCGTAAAGTGCGAGCGAGCCCATGAACAAAGCCAAACATTGGATCCGAGCAGGTATGGGAGGTTGACTGTGTGACCCAGAGGATTTGGGATTCTTGCGCTTGCTCTATGTAGCGTTGGAATATCTCGTAGTCGTTCTTTGGAAGGGAACCTATTGGGGCTCCTTCCAGATCCAGCAGAGATACGATGAATTTGCCCTTGGGGGGCGCTTGGTGCAAGGTAGTCCTAGTAGTGCTGTAGCCTTCGTCACGAAATAGCGACTCAATATCACTCGCCCACTGACACAGGGTAGAATTGCCTGTGAGCAGCCAGATATCAGTAGGTATGGAAATCGCGTCCACCGGTCGTGACAACATGCTAGCGGATATATGATATGGCGGCTTTTGATCATAAGCCGTGACATCTGCTCCAGTGAAACCTGCAGCTCCTAGCTCCTGATCCCATCTCTTGGGTGAGATGTACGGTTGCTCTGCTCGACTGTCATCCTCACCCAGCCACCAACCGGGAAATATACCCTATAAAATATGTAAGCAAAACGGATGTTAGGGCTAGACAAAGGAACCTGCCATGGTGAAATTTGCAAGTAAAATCTCTATAGCTGGGTCAGCTCAATACATCAAGCTTGAGGTTCGTAACCTACCTGGGCTAATCTCATGGAGTAAGAAGCGTCCGGTGGGCTTTAAAAGACGATGCACATGACAGAGTGCTGTGTGAATGCTAGGGGTAGCATGGAGAACCTGAAGAAGAACGTGAGTTGAACGCTGTTGGAACTACCCATTCTAGTAAAAAAACTCACATTGGACGCAATGATCAAGTCAAAGCTATGGGCATCAAACCCCTGTTCAAGGGGATCTAGGCTGATATCAAGAACTTTGTATTCCATGCACTCCTCATAACTGAATCTCTCCGTTGCCGCGGACATAAAGCCCGAGGAGATGTCGGTAAAAACGTACTGTCCATACATGCGCTCCCCACTCGTGGATTTGAGAAGTTCTAGAGCCATTGCGGTTGCAGAGCCGGTACCTGCACCAATCTCAAGGACCCGTAGACCAGGAGTGGAATGGCAGAGTAACGGGAGGAGCGGGTTCCAGTCAGCATACTGTGTGTGCGCAGCATGGAAGCGATGCAGGAGGTTGTCCTTCATGAGGACCTCCAATGAGCTACTTTCTCCAGATGTGAATGCTTTGCAGTTATCGAAAATGACCTGCATGCACTCCGCAAGTGGAGCATCAAACGTAAATTTGATCTCCCTCGACACCTTCTGTATCATTTCCTGTCTGTCTGCAGAACTTACTAATGCCCATTGATCTGACTCTGGGTAGATAGATTGTTCTCCACTTGTTTTAGTATTGAAAGCTGCGTCCAGGATGAACTTCTTCCATTTTGTGAAATGTGATGATGCTGGTTGGACATCTCTAATTTGTTCCGCCGTCTCCAGAACAAAAAGCGCAGATAGCTGACCCAAGGCTCTGATATTCATGGCCTGTAATGTATAATCATGTGGTGTAGACAGAAGTGCTGTCGAGGGGAAGAAATCAATGTCAGATTTCCACTCAAGATGGCTTACTGAGCCTGCGAGCCCAGTTCCAGAATCTATGTGATCCTTTTCCAAGGCGAAAAGGTAAGCTCCTTGAATAGAGAGGACCACTCGATCACCTAGCATGGCAATAGCATCGCCTAGTTGTCCATCCCTTGTACCACCCTTGGTTCGGGCGCTTGCTGGCATAGGTGGACCTCCTGGTCCGACAAACAGAGAATTTATAATAGCTGGAACATAAATAGTTGTGAGATGCCGTAGCAAGCCCTTAGAACAGGCCACGCCCATAAGTTGGAGGCATTGATCAATTGCCGTAGGATGCAGCGAATACCTGCTCCCAGGCAGCCTGCGGTTGCCCAGAACAGTGGCAGTTGCCCTTGGTCCGGTGGGATCTGCTGTGATCTGCTCTAGGCCCTGGAATTGAGGGCCGTAATCTATTCCACTCCTTTGGAGCACACGGTACAAACCCTCAGATGGCACAGCTCGCTTATAGGAAGAGATCGGGAATGGCTCTGGGGGATGGTCGGCCCCTGCCCTTACTTGACCTTGACAATGCATGGTCCATCGTTCTCCGTCATGGGCCATGATTTTGAAACCATACCAGCCAGATGGGACCCTGTCAGCCACTTCGATCGGACTGAGGCTAGTCACCAGCTCGATCTGATCTCCCTCGTGGAACAGCAGTGGTGTTATAAATGTGGTATTACGCACTGAATAACTATCCCTGTCGGGATACAGCTGCTGGACTGCCTCACCTGCCATAGCGACAAATCCAGCACCAGGGAATGTGACAGTGCCTTGGATAACATGATCCATAAGCCATGGCACATTGTCCAATGTCACTAGATTGCGCCAAGAAGGCTCATGGTCAGTCGTATCGACGACCTGCAAACCAAGAATTTCATGGTGCGGAAATTTGCGCTGTCTCCAATCCCTACTCAGTCGACTCTCACTCCAGTAGGAGCGATCATGTTGCCAAGGATAAGGTGGAAGGTCTACCAGCGTGTTGCCCGGCTCCATTATGCTTCGCAGATTGACTCCAATGCCACTTGCATAGGCCTGTCCTGCCGTTCGTAGGAGCTGGCCTTGGACATCTTCATCATACCTAAATAAGGTGGGAATATAGACCGGTGATCTCGCCGTCAAAATCCGGAAGATTTGTCGCAAAGGGGCGGCAAGGGCTGAGTGTGGCCCAAGTTCTACAAAGACCGGGGTTCCACTAGTAGGTAGACTTTGGATAGCCTCTGTGAAAAGTACCGGTGATTCCAGATTCTGTCGCCAGTATGATGCATCTAGTTTGCGAGCGTCAGTGATTGTGTCGCCAGTCACACTGGAATAGAAAGGTATCATTCCTGGCTCGTGTTCGATATGGCTGGAGATAAAATCTTCATATTGAGAGCCAATCTTTTTCATGTGGTCTGCAAATAATGTAAGCGCAAGCCTACCAGAGCAGGGTGCAAGGGAGCGATGTACTAGAATGATAAGCAATTTTCACTGTGAGCCGGCGGCACAGTGTATCTGAATTTGCTGCCTTGATGCTTTTGATCGCACGGTCAACCGAGTCATTATCTCCTGATAGGGTGAGACTATGCGGACTATTGTGGCAAGCAACAACCACTCCGGGTGTTAAGTACTGTGTCACCTCGTCCGGAGCAAGTCCGACGGCTACCATGGCGCCTAAGCCTTCTAGCGGTTGTGCGACCTTGCCTCGGTAGTATGCTAGAACGATAGCAGTCCTCATCGAAATAGCTCGGGCAGCATACGCAGCCACAATCTCTCCGCTCGAATGTCCGACAACTGTGGAAGGCTCAATTCCCCAACCATTGAGAATATTTACCAGGCCAATTTGAAGCGCAACACAGAGAGGCTGAGAGAACTCGGCTTCGTGGACCCGAGCAGTTGAACTCTCTTGTCTTAGTTCATCTAGTATGTACGTTAGGCAAAAGATCCTTGTAGCCTCGAGGGTAGGGGCCTCAATCTAACCATATAATAACCAATTCGGGCCATTAGGTAGCTGCTGAAGTGCTTCATCCATCTTTTTGACATCCTGCTTGAATGTTGGAAAGCTGGACAAAAGCCTTAGCCCCATTCCAGGCCATTGAGCTCCCTGGCCTGTGAACACGAAGGTGACATTTGAGGAGCTGGTATTGAATATGGAAAACGCCGCATCGTCTAGAATGGGATTACTCGGCTGCACCACGGCAAAGGTCCGGTGAGAAAGATGCGATCTTCGCGAAGCCAAAGTATAAGAAAGATCATACAGGCGGTCTGGGTGATTCTTTACATAGTCAGTGATCTGGCCAATGCGATTGCGAAGAGTGTCTGCAGTGTGCGCAGACAGGACCAAGAGCTGTGAGCTAGAGCCTCCAAGCGATGTGATTTGAGACTTTGGAGATATTGTAGAGGGGGACTCCAGAATAGCGTGGGCATTGGATCCCCCAATACCGAAGGAATTCACGCTGATCCTTTCGGGCCTCCCAGCAGGCCACGGAGTTGGTTCTAAGGGGACGTGAAGATTTGCCTCGGTGAATGGGATTTGGGGATTCGGTGTTTTGAAATGGATATTGGGTGCGATGGTCTTATGTTCAAGTGACAAAATAGATTTAATGATGCTTGTGATACCCGAGGCACCCTCAGAATGACCAACATTTGGTTTGACCTGTGAAATGTGCAACATAAGTCATGAGATTCATTGTGAAAAGCTCTGCGAATAGAGAATACTGACAGCACTAATATATGTTTCTTCTCCTTGGGTCATCTTTGCAACAACTGATGCCTCGATGACATCGCCGACAGCTGTTCCAGTCCCATGGCATTCAAAAACAGGCGTTTCGTGGATAGCATCAATTCCTGCAATCTTATACGCGTGCCGAATCAATCTCTCTTGAGATATAGGACATGGTTGAGAAAAGTTAGGGGTCTTGCCGTCGTGGTTGGTTACTGTGGAGCGGATGATAGCGCGGACCGCATCGTTGTCACGAAGTGCGTCCCGTAATGGTTTGAGATATATGCAATTGATCCCTTCACCACGACCATAACCATCTGCCTCAGCATCGAAGGTATGAGAAATACCACTCGGTGACAAAACCATGTTTTTGGTCATGGCATCTGTCATGGTTGGACTCCATATAAGACTTGTCCCGCCCACTAGAGCTGTTGAGCACTCTCCAGATCGAAGTGCTTGACAGGCCTCATGAAGGCAGACCAGGGATGAAGAGCAAGCCGTTTGGATAGTCATGCTAGAAGGGATCAGAGCTTTTTGAGATAAAGACAGCGGACCGCACTCACCTTGGGCCCAGCAGATCAAACCGATACGACACTTGGTTTGCTAACGCGAAACCACCGGTGGCGATAGGATATATCTGATTCAGATACTGAGGATCTTTATTCGACATTTCTAGCCAATCTTCGCCAAAAACACCAACAAAGCAACCGATTTTCTCACCGCGCCACTTGGTCTCCCCCGAGTTCTCCAGGCACTCCCAAACCACCTCTAGCAAGAGCCGTTGCTGGGGGTCCAGGCGTGCCGCCTCGTGGGGAGGAACAGAAAAGAAAGACGCGTCAAAATAAGCTGGATCTTCTTGCAAAAAGAACCCCTTTTTCGTTTCGCTCAGATCTCCACAATCGGGACTGCTAGACGCCTCTCTGGAGCAGCGTGAGGGAGGCGCTTCGCAAAAGCCATCTCGTTTCTTCACGAGCATTTCCCAAAATTCATCTCCACATCTAATACCACCTGGTAGCCTCATTGCCATACCAATGACAGCAATTGGCTCCCCAAAATCCTCCTTGTGGTTTCTGCATGATGATTGTACTTGTCCAGTTGTCGAGTTCATTTTGGTCGAATGATGGATAGTTAGAGACTGGATCAAGATGGCTGCAGAGTAGGCAAAGCAAAGGTTGAACTGTGGTTTGAGCTCTGATATTACGATGTATTGGATTTTTTTACTATGGGTAAATTCACAAATTGGTGATTAGGCCAAATCTACACACAATATGTACCTACATATCCTGGTTCTGTGAGGTGCTAGACACACATTTCCTCCGAAATCCTCCGCTATCGGATGAATAATATGTACCTGAATGGCTGGTCAGTCATATTGCTAGACACTACAAAGAAATAAAATGCGCAAGTAGTTCTAGCTTGCCCTCGGAATACACTCTTTTCTCGACATTGTTCAACATTACTCCAACCTAGATCCGCATGTGTGACTGCAACACAACTAGATGCCGAACTGCTATCTTTACAATCCTTTCCATATCAATGCAAGTATATAAAAGACCGTGCATTAAAGAATCAAAGAACCGGTCTCATTGGAGATGATGTTATTGCATCAAAAAGGAAAGCTCAACTGGAATAAAGAACATCAGTCCACTAGATCAGGTATTCGGCTATCATCACTAGGGTCTGATACGCCAAAGGCGAGAACAACCCAAAGGAGATCTAGATCCAAGCAGCCTACAACCCTCCGGATGTCCAACCCAATCTCCTACCCCCCGGGAGTTCAACGTAACCCACCTCCATATACATGTTAGGTCCCTGAAGTGGCACATAAAAGGTACCTTGGGTAAGATATACTCTGAGCTGTGGCCGAGTACAACCCAACATCCCTTGAGCGCGAATGCTTTACACCGATTAGACTGTTGCATTCCGATATTCGGAACTGGGATGCACTATGGTGGTCTCGACTATTTGTTTCGAATTTATTCAACGCCAATATGGAGAGTATCTGATTTTCTTTCACACGGAGCAAGATATTAATTTTTTTGATCGGCACCAATCGTCTAACAGGTGAGCCATTTCCTTCGTTTTCTCTGCCCTCAATAAATCCATGCCGGACCTGCCTATGAGGAACGATGCCTAAAAGCAATGGCCTGCTGTATTATCACTAGACATCAGACTAAGGCTTACAAAATTTATAGCAGGTAACTGATATCTGGATATAAGTCTGGTCAAATAGTACTTTTATACCGCCATTTGATTGAAAACTACTCAAGTACCTTCTTTTGATTGTCCCAGCAAAATTGTCAGTACACCATTTATGTTGTAAATATACTCACAAAACTCCAACCCAAGAGCAGCAGACAACAATTGATCAAGATGGACAGTGAATGGTTTCGAGGACAAGTCGTCTTCCTCACGGGGGCGACTGGGAATCTTGGCGCCTGTCTGTTATACAAGCTAGCCATTCAACTCCCAACTGCCAAAATATTTGTACTGGTGCGGGGTTCCGTGCAAAGGGCAATTGAAGCATGGGAGCAGTCGATGCCAGAACAAGTGGAGGAGATTATCGCCACTTGCAAGATTCAATTCTTTCTCGGCGACATGACCCAGCCTAACCTCGGTCTCTCACCTGCCAATCTATTACGCTTACAAAATGAGGCCACAGTGGTGATCAATGCCGCTGGTGACATTGCTTTATCTCGAGATCTCGCAGAGACCATACCCATCAATTGCACTGCTCATCTAACGCTAGCTGCTCTACTAGACAGTCTCACTCAACTGCAGCGCTTCCTGCACATATCAACTACATATGTGTCCAGCTTTCTCCCCGACAGCGTGATCAAGGAGCAAGTCTATCCTCTATACAGAGACCCGGTCGATGAACTAGAGAAGATTCTTGTCACAGGGAAGTCATCCTATACAAAAGAATTCGCGGCTCCATATGCACTAGCCAAACACCTAGCAGAATGTTTGCTTCTGAGTGGCGACCACAAATTCCCCATCCTCATTGTTCGGCCCTGTCTCATATCACCGGCAATTGAAGAGCCCTACCCACTCTATGGCAGTGATGGCGCCATACCCATACATTCTTTCATCCAAATACTTCTGGGAGACGCTGAATACGGGCCTCTGAAGCTCGAGCAAACACTGCCTTCACACGCAGCCTGCAATGAGATCCCAGTTGACCTCGTGGCTCGCACTTGCCTGGCCCATATTGCCCAAGGAACAATGGGTGTGGTCCATGCCAGCGCTGATTTATATGTCTCTCGGTCGATTGGGGAATTGCTCGAGCGGATGCGCCGCCATGCGCCAGAGGGAGCGGTCGAGCAGGTACGAAAAGCTGGGATTGATCACGGAGAGGTCACGGCCCCTGAGTTTTACACCATGATCCAGCAATTTGCACGGGACTGGAAAATTGAGTGTACGCGGTCTGCTCATCTGAAGCAGGTGGCGGGTCCGTTGGGACTTAACCTTGGAGATCATGACCCAGAATTATTCTTTAAACTCCGTATCGAGCGGCTGGCGAAGACTCTTCTGGAAAAGCTGGAAAGTGCTAGTATAGCAAGCAATAAGGTCTATCCGAATATCTCTTAAAAGGGATGACTAGGTTTTGTTGGTAGTATTGTCCGCAAGTCTCTTCAACGATTATCCTTGATGCATTAGAGTTAGCGCTTCTATGGTATTTCTCTTGACGAGTCGTAGGATATGGTGTCGAATGGCTCTTTCACTGAGTTGCATTAAGCAGAGATTATTTTTAAAAATAAATCAATATGACGTGTAATAACGCCATGGGCTTTCTAGTGCGTAGAAAGCCCCAGAATATCTATGCTTCACCATCTCCAGAAGTCTTGGCGTATTCATATCATCATAAAATTTGGGTGACAGTTCGTTCCTCAATCCAAGTGGTGTCCAACAAGCGAACCAACATGGAAAAAAGCAGTTATACATACACTCAGTTGCAGTATTCATACCTTGGTCCTTCCATTTACTTAATTGCCTTGATTGATTCCCATCCATCTAATTCCAAGTTATGCACATCTCACCTGCTGTAGTCAGAAAATAAATCGAGTAAGCAAACATTTGAGAGGATAAAAATAGCATTGAATAAATGGGTTGTGCTGGCTATACTAAGCAGAAACCCCTCCCAAAGGAAAATAGGAAAATTTAGCCGATGAAAATTCATCCCCAAACAAAATAGCCTTTCGGCATGGCCGTAGCGTGGGCAGCATGTGGCTGAATAGAAGGTGATCTTTTACCTATTCTATATGATTTTGACATTCTTCAGCCTGATCTGGCTGACAGCGAGTATACTAGAATGTGGCGTATCGTGTTGAATGGTCTTTGATAAAGGAATGTGGAGCTGAGCCAAGACTCAGAATAAGATGGCGAGCTGCAGTGTCTAAATACTCAATCTTCGAGATGGATAGGAGGGCAGATCAAATAGAGAAGATAAATAGTGACTCGCGGCCGCTGCTTTTGGTCATTGCTTCTCATCTACACCTCTATAATCATAAACTTGAACAATGATCTCAAAGGCGCTGCCACCATGCTTTCAGCCCACAATCTTGCAGGTATATCTTGCATGGGTGGATGGTTGGCTCTTCATCTCGGATGGCCATGATACAGCGCCGAAGCAGCTCATCAGCTTGGACGAATTGGCTTCTCTTTTCGAAGAAGAAAAATATATACCAGTTAATGGATCACACCTGTCTGATGCATGTCATCCACTCACTAAAACAACATCTCAAGGATGGAAGAATCACATTTGGTGGACAAACGCCCCCTTCATGTGAGGAGACGAACCTCCTTTCCGAACAATATGATCCCCAGGTCGAGTGTACATGCGAGGATATTGAGCCTGCCACCCGGCTACAAAATAAATGTAACTCTGGGCAACACGAATGCCGTGCTATTCGAAGCATGAAGGAAGTCATGGAAAAAGTCATCGAGCGAAAAGACGAATGGCATAACACCGGTCTCTTCACACCAGCGAAACTCAGACTCGCAGTTGATGAGCTGGTAAACTCAAACACCAATATACAAGAGTCTCCCAAAATATGCCTGGGAACAGATATATTATCTTCCATCCCAAGAATCCAAGCACCAGACCGTCGCCCAAACCCATCTGTCGACACCAACCCTCGAATCGGAAATCAGCTATACCCGACCGCCGAGCAACTCAAGATCTGCACCGACGCAAAGTACTTCGGCGTGATATCTTGCGGCGGAAGTCTCTGTGATGAAGGTTTGGCTCGCGCTGTGGCTGACTCATGCAACGACATCTTGATCGGTGACTACTGCGAGGCCGCAGATGCAAAGGGCCTCAAGCTACTCCAACAAGTCGGCGCGGCGGCCATGTCATTTTTGAAACTCTGCAATATGGCCGGTCGGGTCACAGACTGGCAGTTTAATAACTTGTATGCATACATCGTGCAGTGTCGGGTTCTCGGCTACTATCGCGATCACACCCGCTCTCATCTGCCAGATGGCATCTATGGAAGTCGGATGACGGGACTCGGGGTGCATAGACACATCGATGTTGCTGCTTTCCATGGAGTTATGACTGCTTCACTTGGGACGGGCCAGGAGGTGACTGAAGAGCAATTCTCGCGGATCGTGGAGGCGACAGTTTATATTAGTGATTTTGTTGATCTCCGTGGGGATACTATGCGCAAGCAACGTGAGAATGTTATACTCCGAGGCATTCGAGGTGATCTATGCAAATATCTTGATGAGACGATTGGGAACTGCTTAGATTTAGTGGCTGATGTGATTGAGTCGAGCGAATTGGGAGCACTGGTTGTCATGGGGTATTGCAACTGGGCTATCATGTCAGCCCATCATAAGGTCTATGAGTTGCTCAGGGGGATTCAACAAGTTCAAAAACAATCTGCGTGCGAATATGTGTCAGTGTCTCAGGCCACGCGATATGAACGGTTGATTGAAGCGCTGAGGCCCTATGGTACTCTTGGCAATGATGGACCACGAGTGTCAAAAAAGAGAATTGAGATGGATAAGTCTTATGCTCTCTGCCAAGGATCTTCAGAGAAACATCTCGCATGGCTTGCTGATGCTACTCGGAGCTTGTTAGAGCCGACAACGCTGAGGCAGGTTTTAGATGTGGTGCATTTCGAGTGGAGCGGCGACGTGGGGGCTGTCGATTATTGTCCTTGAGAAATGATCAAATGTTCACTAATATGAGTTAGAATAGAGGAAATCTGCGTTCACAGTAATTTTAGAAGTTTGTCGTGGAATCCCGCCGTTTGCCGTCACACGGAAATGGATATATATATATATAGTTGACCATTCGAACAAAAAAATATCACATGGCCTTTGAACCCTACAAAAATGAAATCAATGACCAGAAGAGTTATCCATATAGAACTGCGCTCATAAAATAAAATAGATCCGAATGTTTCTGTGACTAAGACGCTTTACCATCCCTTCCAAGGCTGAGAGGCATTTTTCTTCGGATATTCTCCGCCTTTTTTTCCTTCGTCCTTCTACCCCAGAAATCCCCGGACTCTGCAAAATTTCTAGTCTGTGCCCATATTCAGTATGGAGGAACCGATTCCCCCATTACGTCCTGAATCAAGAATGCCGGACACCTTCAACAGCGCCGCCCCGCTTATCGAAGAAGAGGCCTTCTTATCGCCAGGAACATTCTCCAGCGCAGACGACTACGCCGCCAACCCCAGATTCCTCGAATTACAAGAAGAACTCCGCTGTGTACTCTTTTCCGCAGTAGCAAGCCTCGAGCCAGCAACCTACACATCCCCTGCCCCCCTAGAACCAACAGAAGGACCTCAGCCCCGACCTCCACGCCAAAGCCTAGACTTCACGCGGGCCATCTCAATCCCCAAAATCCGACTAATCTTCTACTTAAAAAACTGGATAACAGAATGTGCACCTTACCTTGATAAATTCGATGAGGCGCGCCATTTCGGCGTCCACATCCCCATCCTAGCACAAGGCTCACCAGCCCTGTTCTACGCAATCCTCGCCTTCTCCGCACGGCAAACAGAGCGAAAAGCCTGCCTGGACAAAGCCTACGATAGCCTCGAGCTGTACCAGGAGTCCATCCGACTTCTGGCACCATTACTTCAAGCAAAAGATCCGAACGTCCTCGTGACAGTATGCATCCTCGCCGTGATGGAGCTGATGTCTGTGAGCCCGCGCGACTGGCGACGGCACGTGGAAGGCTGCGCCGCGCTCTTTGAGTCGTTCAACGTGAATGGGCTTTCAGGCGGACATCTGCAAGCTGTGTTCTGGTGCTATGCGCGCATGGAGCTGTGCGGCGCGATCATCTCAAACGGCACTGAGAGTACAGTCCTCCCTCTAGATAAATGGGTCCCGGCTATGCCGCGGGCTTCTTCGAAGGAAGCGCAGGAGGATATCATCCGGGATTTGTTCTGCGAGAAGGGCCGTGCGTCTGCTGATATGCACGCTAACTGGGCGGTTTACCTGTGCGCGAAGACTTGCGACCTTTCTTGTCGTCGAACGCGGTTCTTGGAATTGGGCGAAGCGTCTGATGATACACGTCCGTTTTCAGAGCAGTGGAGTCGGCTTTGGGAAGAATTGCAGTACTGGCTTGAGCAGCGCCCACCTGCTATGCTGCCTATTAAGACTACAGGGATGGGCCGTGGGCAAATATTTCCCGAGATTTTGTTTGCCCATTGGGCGGCTATTTCTGGAAATCAGTTGTATCATGCTGCGTCTATTATGATGCTGGATATGAGGCCTGTTGAGAGGGGGCCGCCTCCTTCCAAACCGCATTATTCGTCTATTTGGCATGCTCGCAGAGTTTGTGGGATCTCGTTGACGAATCCTCATAGCGGGAATTTGATTAATGCTATTCAGCCGCTTTACATTGCGGGGAAGCTACTCAGCCATCATAGTGAGCATGTTGAGGTTGCGAAGTTGTTCAAGATTATTGAGCGCACTACTGGGTGGGGTGCTTTGTGGCGACTCAGGGATCTTGAGAGAGCTTGGGGGTACGAACCCGGGGAGATCTTGGGTGTGATTTGAAGCTGGTTCAAATGATACAGTGCCAATTCTGTTACGGCTCAGTGCCTTGCATTTGCTCCGATGAGATTGTGACCCTATGATGTTCGAACTGTAGTTCAACGACTGGCAAGCAAAGTGCGCAAAACCGGTAACACAAGGATGAAATTGATTTCATGCATTACAACCAATCTATACACCGATCCGCGGCCCCTATCGGGGTTCAAGCCCGTCCAAAATACTTGGAACACAAGACAAGATCCGTCTTGCAAAGCCAAATCGACCGGCCTACTTCAAATCTGGACGAGCCTTGGGATACTACGGGGAATGCATGATGGCCCCCTTGGTCTTCCCGCAATCAACCTCGAACACATAATTCGCCTCCCAAATACCCCCCATAGCTAGAGTTGCAAAAGCAGATCTCCACGCCCAGGAGCACTTGAAAGGGGGTCGTTAGCCAGAGTTACGCAATCGAATGAAATACACCCGATGGACATGGTCAAAGTCTGGTTCACAGACAGAGATGGGTCAACCATCAGCGCAGCGGCTGTCTCATCGCAGAGACAGGATGGCAGGTCGTAATACTTATAGGGCAGTTCGCTGTACGAGTTGGGCGAAGTGGATTTTTACCACTCCTCGATCGGAAAACGCGACTGGTCTATTCAACATTGAAGTCAGTGATAAAACCACAGAAGCAATCAAATATCAGGAAGATGACTCACCCCTGGGTAGTCTCCAGCAGATTCAAATTAGCATATCCACCTATAATCACTGAATCCTTGGCAAATGACGGAAATTGCATATCAATATGCGCATAGCAAGCGCAATATCGGCCAGTGCTCGAGCAGAGGGTCAATGGATACCTGCCCGGGATATTTGTGGACCATCTGCACTGCCGAAGTCGAGTTCTTCGGTCGGGCCGTGGGGAAACCGTGGAAACCTCGACGATACGGTCCAGGTCGCCCGAAGTCGGCTCGTTGCCATTGGCTTCTAACGTCCTAGTCTCCCGCGCAAATGCCCTCTCCCAGGGCAGCTTGCCATGTATCATCTCCCATGTTGCAAACGGTTGGGTGTGTTTATTAGCGGCCATACTGCCCAGGAGAGACTGGAATGCAGGCTATATTTCGGGTCTTCAGCGTCGCGACCGCGTGAAGCACCATCTGAGAACAGCTATTAGCCATATTGGGTCTTCATTATGGCTTCGTCATCGCACATCATGGCGATGATGTATATAGGTTAATATGGATATCCCAAGCCTAGAACCATCTAGGACTACCAGGTACGACACGAATCCTGCCGTATAATGTACTATGTAGTCATTGTCCATGATGGGGTAGTGTTTATCCTGGATATGGGGCATTGGCCCGCTTGTGACGAAAATGAGCAATGAGCTGCGGATCCGATGTGGACCAATGCATTGTAGGGTCAAAGAGGAATCGAGATAAGTACTGTGCGTATATTTTATAGGATACGCTGTTAGATCAACTTAACTCAACAGTGCAGGATATCTTTACATCTGTCGACACTTTGGCAGAAATTTGACATTCCATCTCAACCCCAGACTACGAACGGTTCATTCCGGATACTACCTTGAATATCTCAACATCCCGATTAGGAGGGATCTCGCGAGGACGGTGCCTCTGGTTTCCACAAAAAGACATAACAGGCCACTCCACACCCACCTTTTTTTACCGCCGAGACCGAGTTATAGCCTAAGTCGGGCTAGCCCGTACAGGGCCCGAAAGACCAAAATAAGAAACCGAATCATCCCGAGATTTTCACTTCTGTCCCGTCCCCGCTGTCGGAGCCATTCGCCATTCTGGGAGAACGGAGGCTACGTACCGCCAAAAAGGGTTTAGCGAGTTAGTTCCTCCACCATTTTGCCTCCACAAAAATCAACTAAATTTGGGGTTCCTGGGGATTTTGACGAGAAACTGGAGAAGTTCATGCAGGTTTGAGGTTTTTTTTTTTTTCTTCTTCACACGTGGTGCCACTCGGACTATGACAGAATTAAATCAAATGAATTCAATTCAATTCCAAATATGAGCGTATATATTCAGACCCTCTTTCCCCCGTGTTTTCAATTCCCCAGATTTCATCTCCTAGCGCTACATTGGAAATTACTCTTCTCCAATATTGCCCAGCATGACAGTCCGATCATCCAATGATGCGGAATCTATTTCACGAGTTCAAATCGCAAAGAAATCCATGTGGCAGTCAATCTTCGACAACCCCAAAGTCCTAGCTATTGCCTTCTTCGCCTCGTAAGAAATTCCCTTACATCCAAATCCACACACCTAAATATTAACACCTCACAGATTCGGTGGCTTCGAATATGGCTACCAACAAGGTGTCCTCGGCCAGTCCTTGGTCATGACCCGCTTCACAGAGAACTTCCCAACAGTAGTAGCTTCGTCCACCGCAACAGGCTGGTTAACCTCCATCCTGCAACTGGGCGGTATCGTCGGCTCCCTGGCAGCCGGTATCTTGGGCGAAGTCTACTCGCGAAAATACACAATGTTCTTCGCCTGCTGCTGGGTCATTCTCGGTAGCTACCTGTACATCGGCGCGACGGCCGGTAACCCGGCCATGTTGTACGCGGGCCGATTCTTCACCGGCCTTGGCGTCGGCTTGTTCAGTGGTGTGGGGCCGCTCTATAACGCCGAACTGGCAGCTCCCGAAATGCGTGGTCTGCTTGTCTCATTCTACCAGTTCGCTACTATTCTCGGAATCATGATTTCTTTCTGGGTGGGCTATGGTAGCAACAATATTGGTGGGACTGGAGCTGGGCAGTCGGATCTTGCTTGGCGTCTGCCTTCTATTATTCAGGGTATTCCTGCTGTTGCGCTTGCTTGTGGAATTTGGTTCATGCCTTTCTCTCCCCGCTGGCTGGTCAAGCAGGGTCGAGATCAGGAGGCTCAGGATACTATTGCTTGGATGCGGAAGCTCACTGTTGACGATGAGCTTGTCCAGATGGAGTACCTTGAGATTAAGGCTGAGGCTGTCTTTGAGGAGCGGGCATTTGCCAAGGCTTCGCCTAAGCTCGCAGACAAGGAGAAGAAGAGTGTCTTCATGAACCAGATCGCCCAGTACACCAACTGCTTCCGGTCTATGGATAACTTCAAGCGCGTTTGTATTGCTTGGTTGGTTATGTTCTTCCAGCAATGGAGTGGTGTCGATGCTAGTAGGTTGACTTGTCTGAGAAGTCTTAGCAATGTCTGGCTAACCATTATCTATCAGTCATCTACTACGCTTCCAATGTCTTCGTCAGCCTCGGACTGACTGGTGGTACCATTGCTCTTTTGGCAACCGGTGTGACCGGTGTCGTTTTCCTCATCAGTACCATCCCCGGAATGTTGATCATCGACAAAGTCGGACGCAAGCCCATGCTCCTGGGTGGATCGATCGTTATGCTCGCTAGCATGGTTATCGTTGGCGTGATTGTGGCCAAGTTCCAACACGATTGGCCAAACCATGTAGCAGCCGGCTGGACCGCAGTTGGTGAGTTACTAATTTCCCATGCGATGCCCATGTTGCAATTGCTAACCAAACCTCCTAGCTTTGATCTGGCTGTATATTGCAGGCTTCGGTGCCACCTGGGGCCCTGTCTCATGGACTCTCGTTTCGGAGATCTTCCCGCTCTCCATTCGGGCAAAGGGTGCCTCCATCGGCGCTTTCAGCAACTGGATCAACAACTTCGCTATCGCGTTCTTTGTTCCCCCTATGCTCCAGAACTGGGAATGGGGTACTTATATCTTCTTCGCTGCTTTCCTTGCCTGTGGCATTGTCTGGGTTTGGTTCTTCCTGCCTGAAACCAAGGGCGCGTCTTTGGAAGATATGGATCGTGTTTTCAAGAGTAATGCCGGCGAGCAGGATGCAGAACTTCTCCGTGAAGCGCAACGCGATGTGGGCTTGACTTCGTTCCTTGAGCGGATGTCTGGTAATGGTGGTGATCTCGAGAAAAATGAGAGATCTCAGTATATTGAGAAGGTTTGAGCGGACTTTATAAAAATGTGCCTGGGCTCAATGTCTCCTTTAGTTTACAATTTATTGAGCGTTTACGAAATCACTTCTTTCATGCATATATTGGTTCCACTTTGTAGAACTGTATGTTTGGCAGTATTTTATTCTTGTGTACATACGCGGATGGCGTTTGATTGCTCTTGCCCCTATAAAGCATTGTTGCAGCAAGAATGATAACGTATAGATCGTTCCTGCCATCCCCATTCGGCGGGGCGCACCTTCCAAGGCTGGAACCTTCCTGGAGTAAACAAAGCCAAATAAGGCTCTGACGATTTTCCATTTTTTCCTTCTTTCTTTTCCTTTTCCCCATTGCTACTCTCCTTTCCCCACCCCCTTATTCTTTTCATTTCCATCCTCCCCTCCAACAATCAGTGGCCCATAGTTGGAAGTCAAATGGAAAATCTCACACGCTGGACACGAAAATTGCTGAACCCCAGAAACTCGGAGGCGGAGAGAATACATCCACGAGTTAGGGCCCGCTCATTGCCCAAGCCGCTTGCACAGATGGACACCCCCTGAGGCCTGGGAAACTGGGCAATATCTGAAACTAGAGCAGGAGCAGGGAAGTTAGGAGACAATCAAGAATCAGGATAAACATGCCGTAAGCTCCATTCTATAACGAGATAGAATTATTTACAAATGAGCTTGGTGCTAACAAAGATAGGAGACGAAACTTTTCTCCCGATGTCGCCAATGGTATCTCGACGATTACCTTGATCCCGCCATATGCACGACGCAGCATGGCAGATCTGGGGAATCAATACACCTTCAACTCCGTTGCTTTTTATCGACCTTGAAAAGTCCTTGCTGATCCCCGAATTCCGCAATTACGGGATGCCTTGCGTCTGGTAAATCCTGTGGAGAACTCATGCTTTGTCAGGAGCTTCGACGACTCGTCACAGGCTGCAATATCTATATAGACGAGAAAGCTGCCAATCGAGGTGCAGGAAGAACCAGAAAAAAACTCTTTTTTGATTCGAGCTCTTACACGCACATCAATAGCAGAGGGTATGACATCCTTCGGTGATGAAGGACAGTCCAGGCTATACACCTCAACGAACATTGAGTGACCTGGTCATACTGTTACTAATGATAGTGGCATGGACTGTTATTCTTAGGACATGAACTTTACTTAGTCAACTATGCAACATCATTGCAGACTACGAGGCTTCAATAAAACTAGCGACCATGAGAAATTTGACAGAGCCACTGGCGTGTCAATCCAACTCATCTACAACCACCCATTATCTCCCATGTATCTGCCGTACATGATAGATATTTGCCACTTATTGGAGGCTGTAATATCCATTGAGATATGCCACAGCAAAAAGGTTCTGTGGACACGAAGTCAACTGAGACATTGAGATGGTATGATGCGCATCAAAACAGCAACTCTTATGAACAACAATTTGATATTCATCCCCAACAATTCAACACATCAACAACCATCTTATCCGGAATTCTTCTTCTTTTTTCTCCCTCCGATCCTTCTTGTTGGAAAGCGCAGAAAGAACCACGCAGGATGTGTGATGTGCAGATTCTAGACTTTGTGTCTGGTATTTGTCCATTTCTCTTGCCGGCGAAGGGAGAAATGGATAAAGAGCTTGACTTTTCGACTTCGTTAAATTTCGTCCTGCGGAATGAACATCAAGCATACCATTGAAGCCTATCCAGTTATCTTATCGGTATTTTCTGAGGAACCCACGTCATTGAAAGCCTGGTCCGGTCCGGGATCGTCTTTTCAACCATCTTTATCTGGCGTTCTAGCTCTAAAGAGTCATAAACTTTGAACTACCGAGACTGCTGCATCGACACAACAGCACAAAATAGCGATGGTCTTGAGACACTTCCGGATTGGTACCTCGGTCCACACCATCGACTCCAAGCCAGAGTTAGGTTTGAAACAGGGCCTAAATATTACAGTGGAAATACAATCGAACCAAATGAGGTCAAATTGCACCAAGTGGGTGGAAATCACTAATCCTTTCTAACGGCTTCAACCATCGGATTCGGTTGAGCTTACCACGGCTATAACTAAGGCTAAGTTCTCATACCTTGATTCAGCGTTGGGATATCTCCAAAGATTTCAGCGCGCTGATCCATCGTATCTCTTACACCTAAATGTGTGAATGATCGCCGTTATACTGTTCTCATGAGTACATTTTTGTGTTCACTTCAGCAAGCACGCAAGGACCTTTCGAAGAAGAAAATTCTTCACAAATCTGGATTTTACCGAAGTCCATCCATCTTCGACTGCCTATAATATTGGAGAGGTACCGAGACACGGAATCCTTGTGATGAGATAGTATGGCTGGGAGATGAACATAGCCTTAAATGCTGATTCCAACAGGCCATTGGCCAGTTCCTTTGTCTGGTCGATTAGCATTCAGAATCTCCTCGTGCCTGGTCGTGGCGAGAGCGAAACGGACGCGTTCATCTTGGAGCCGTTCAGTTCGATGGTCGAATAGAATCCGCTGCAAGGTCATAATTCCGTTCAGAAGATGAAAATGCGTATCGATGGAAACAAATAAAATGGACACTTAATGGCCGAGTCTAGGCTTGTCCGAGTCCCGTCCGCCGGGTGCAAACTGTGATGTCAAATCTCCACATCTGGCCTCAATGGAATTCACGCAGCACAGCAGCTTCAATATCCCAAAGATTATATGGCTTTTGTACGGTCAACTATCTCTGATTCTGTCCGATCCACCATCTTTTCCACGACAGCGGCTGCTATTTCTCCACCAAAAGAATACGAAGGGTGTAGAAAAAGCAGCAGATCGGTGGGTGGGATGGCCTAAACCAGAGCACGACCGGATGGGCTCCCTTAGTGGGAGAAGATTACAATTGATATCGCGAATGGGCTTGGGTCTAACAGGCAACAAAGGTGGTATTCTCGCGACAACCACTGATATGACCTTGGCTGCGTGTTTGGCTCCAGAAGCAACTATGGTAAAACGATATTTCTCAACAACGCTGGTTGGAAATGTTTCTGGAAACACTTGGAGGAGTGGGACATGATCTCTTTGGTCGAGCAGACTGCCTACGAAATGCTGCAGAGTAAAGCATTAAATGTCTTGTTTCTGTGCTGTCTTCGCGTGGTAAAGCGTGATTGGGAATCACAGATCAGTGGAACTCGCGTCCCGCTACAGATCCGATGCGTGTCCGATACCGCAATATCGAAGAGTTGCTCTCACTGCGCACACCAACACAAGGTGTGTGAACAGGTAATACGGTCATCGTATCTCACCCGGTTGACAGGAGTATACCTTTTCATTCCTCTGCCAAGATATGATTTTTCTACTATCTTTTACGTTGAATAGTAATAAAAAGCGAGAATCATTCAGAATTTATTCCACCTCAGAATTAATCAAGTCTGTAGGATATTTCATATAAAATCACTTAATGATTGATCCGTCGCAGCCATCCACCGTAGGCCGTTCGGTTCGAGCGTCCCCATTGGTGCTTGCCGCACGGACCCATAGTATCACCGCCAGTCGAGCACATATCGGGACGGCGGAGCCTCCGATCCTTCTTTTGTGCAACATCTGGGGTAATGCCATATATCGTGTCTCACCATGCCCAGGAAACCCACACCGACGGCTAGGCAGCGGGTTCGGACTGGTTGCCTGACCTGTCGGAAAAGGAGACGAAAATGTACGCGTCACGTGGTCTTTTTTCTTTTTTTCTGACCAGAACTGACGGTTTGACATTGTAGGCGATGAGCAGAAACCGAGCTGTGCCAACTGTGAGGTTAAAGGGCTCGCATGTAAATATAGCTCTGATTTGGCGTTTGTGCCACAGCGTGAGGGGGGTTTTTCTGCTGCGTCAAGACAGGAGTATAGGAGTATTACAGTAAGCATGGCAATGGAGTGGACTCGAAAGTCTACTTGATGATGTGATATGGACGTGAGGCTGATTTTGATTAGTTTGTCGATGAAACACCCCTTGCAGGTGCAAATAAAGAGAAATCAAGGGCCCTACAGAGGGCTGGAGATGATTCTCAAAGCGATGGCAATGCTGGGTTTTCTTTAGACGGATTACAGTCCTCGACTGACTGCCCTGATGATCCTGGGGATACGCGCCGTGCATTTGAATTCCGAAACATATTGTCATCAGAAGTCCCCAATTTCAACTTTTCTGAGCCTCCAACCCCATTTGTTGGTGAACGGAGAGGGCCAGATGCTCGATATATGAATAGCGCTCCATACTTCGGGTACAGATCTGACACCAGTGATAGACCAGTCGAGCGACGGGGAGCCCTTACAAGTGGAAGTCATGAGACTGACTTGCTTCGACATTTCCGGTACCACGTTGGTCCTTGGATAGATACTGGGGACCCTGAGCTCCCGTTCGGACTACAGGTTCTTCTTCTTTCGCGAACCAACCGAGCTCTACAAGCTGCAGTCCTTGCGCTGTCAGCAAGTCAACGCCTTCTTGTGGCATCACCAAGTAACAGAGACTTGGAAAGCAGTCAGCAATTCCGAAAGGAAGCAGAAGAGAGTCTGGCGCGTGAATATGATTTGGCTAGATATGCTGGTCATACCCTCTTGATACTTCAAGATGCTCTACCTGCTGGACCACAACGGTGGAGAGGCCTTTTGATCCCCAGAATAGAGCATATAAGTGACTTTGCGTCACGAGCAGTGGGAGAAGAGCTTGGTGACGCTTTGTTTTGGGTTTACCTTCGACTTGGTAGGACAACCTCTTAACGTCTCTAACAAACCAGCCAGTAGACTAACCACTGGGCGTTACAGATCTCGCAGGCTCAATATCTTCTTCAAAACCACCACTTATGCCCTTTCGATCATTATTACGACGAGATGGCACCTTATTACACCACCCACAATCCACACGGCCTCAGACCGTCAATTCCGTATACAATCACATATTGTGCCTTCTAGCTTATTGTCTCGCCCTAATACATGGCGGCCCAGAAATATCTCCTCCCCATACAGTCCCGTCACCAGACCTAGCAGCATTCCCGTCTCTACGACAATCGCACTCCCTATCGCAATGGACATTCCTCTGGTCTGACTGCCAGAAATGGTACAACGAGCGACCAGTCAACGTGCGGCAGATCGTGGACATCCGCGGCAGCGAAGCCGACCAGATCGACGCAGACCACGATTCCTCATTCCCAATCCTCATCTACACGACACCAATGGCGCTGGTCGCCAACGCTGTCTACCATATGATTTCTCTCTTATTGCTCACACATAAGCCACGGCTTCTGAAATCACTCCCCGGACCAAGATCCGTCACCTCGCATATCTGGCACGCGCAGTCGATCGCCGGGATCGCAACAAGCAATGACTCCCCCGAACAATGGGATCCGATATTAGTTGCGAGTCTTCTCACTATTGCCAAGGAGATGACACACGAATCCCAGCAAGCAGCTCTACTAGATCGGTTTTCCAAGATCACGGCAACTACGGGCATCAAACTAGGCCGAGAGACCGACGAGCTTCAAGCTGCATGGAACCTGGCACGATACGAGGAGGAATTCGATGAATCTGACGCTATGATTTCATAATTATACCCAAAACGCTATTTCTATTTACTGTTCTTTTCATAAATGTTACCTATTATCACAATTCCATCATTTAATTCCTTTATTCCATATCGTATGCAAAGGGAATACTCTGCATAGCACCTCGTGTCTGTACACACATAGCAGCAGCAGCATTCGCCGTTGAAACTGCATCCTCGACATCATCATCAAACGCCTCCAAGCTCTGTCCGGTGGCCAAGAAACGCGCCACAGCAGTCGCAAAATACCCAACAAACGTATCCCCAGCTGCGGTGGTATCAACAACCTTCGCAACCTTAACACCAGCAACAATACCAGTACGGCCGCTCTTTGTCGAGAAATAAACCCCTTTCGCACCAAGAGTAATCAGAACGATATCAACGCCCGCTAGCTCATGGAACCGCGGTGCCAACCCTTCAGGCTGTAAATCATCACTCTCAACAACATCCCCAATAGGAAGACCCTCGATTGACCTCGCCATCTGCACAACCTCTGTCTCATTCATAATAAGCACGGCAGTCCCTTGCAGCGCTGAAAGCGGAATACCCTCTGGGAACACAGGGGCGGGATTGAACACCACTTTGGCGCGGTCCTCGATAGATGTATCATTGAAATATTTCAACAAATCCAGCGTCGTGGTGCGGGGAATCTCGCCTTGCAAAACGACGATATCGGGTTTAGGCTGGCTCTTGAGCGCAGTAAGAATATTCTCCACGGAACTCAGCATTCCGGCATGGTTTGCGCCAGGAACGACGAGAATCCTATTCTCGCCGCCGATAGCTTCTTCCACGATAATGGTTGCAGACCCCGTCTGCGCGACAGTCGATTGTTCGATGGATGTTGTATCGACGCCGGATTTCTCCAGCGCGGGTTGTAGAAGGGTCGTATAGTAAGGATCACCGGCTCCGACGGCGCCGATCATGTTCACTGATACATCTTGGGTTGTTGGGGATGTGAAAGAGGAGCGGCCGCAGGCTACAGCTTGGTTTCCGCCTTTACCGCCCGCTGAGACGGTCAGGGAGGTTGCTGTGAGGGTTTCGCCGGGTCCGGGGCAGCGCGGGGTTGCTGTTACGAAGTCGATATTTAGGGAGCCGATGATGCTAATTTGGGGCTTTCGGCAGGATGGTGGGGTTGTGGTGGTCATTTTGGTGGTTTTGGTGTTCGGGGGGTTCGGAATCTTGATGTGGACTTCAGCAGGTTAAATTGAAGTGAGGGAAATTGAATTGAGGGATGTTGAGGGTTTAATTGTTCCAATGATTGTCCCACATGACCTTCGTTATTTTTGGCGCGGTCTGGATAGCTCCGTCTCCCCACGTACCGCGGTCTACACGTGTTGCCTGATGTGGGTGCCGTAGGCTATGTTCTACCCGAATAGGCTAGTTCTACCCACCAAATATGCCAAATATGGCTTAGCGCAGAAACTGCACTGACTAAGCAGAGATGTTGCGGTATTCTGTAGGCCGCGGTTTACCCTGGACTCCAAGGTGTAACAGATAGAAAAAAGAGGTTTCGTTAAGAAACTTGTCGCTCGCTATTCTAATTATGAATTTATACTCTTAATAGTTGCCTCCTGATTCCTCCATCCGCCCGATATTTATCGTCAATTTTGGCCTCCGCCTCTGTCGGGGTGACCATGGATCCTTTGGAGCGACCTGTGATAGAAATTATCCTTAGTCCAAATATCTGCGCCTTTTGCCTGCATATTGTCTGGTCGCCATGGGCGGAGGATAGTCTGGATCATCTCATGCATGGACGAGTAGCATAGATGCCTTTGTTTAGGTCACAATGCCAGTCACCTAGAACCTGATTGATTCCAAAATTCTTGAATTAGGCAAAGGCGTTGGTTGACATTTGAGGCGATGAATGATTACTCCGTCTATTTCGGAGAATTTGTGATCGAAAGAGTCGTTGGCAACGAACTGCTTACAACAGCCTTCGTATTCCTAGACAGGTGATGTACCCCATTCGGGGAATTTATTCCCCGAGTCTGACATAGATCTAGATTGTAGCTCATTACATTCCTAACTCAAGCTTTTTGCTTGCATCTAGCTGGCTCCACAGTAGGTAGCTCGTGCATCACATCGTTTCAAGTCGGCCAACTCAGGGTCTCGAAGCCGGTAGGCGACTACTGTCTTCTCCGTGTTCTTTTTCTATTTAGATCTGTTATCTTATGAACACTCCTTAAGTATACACTATCCAGCCGCTTTGAGGCTCTATCTATTCTTAGTTCGCGGGGTCGGACGTAGCGGTCTGACCCATTAGGAGGCTTACTTTTGACCAGTCAAACATAGGAACCTTGTGCCAGCACTACAAGCACAACGCCACTACCAGCTTCATTATGGTATTTGTAGCGCTTGTGTTCTCTTGATGGTTGGGGACCCCGATATGCGGTCAGATTGCTTACTTTCATAGTCTAATAAGCAGCCCCCTTCAGCCCAAATATCGCTATGTATTAATACCGCGTGCGTTGCCCACCTTCTGTTGGCTTGGAATTCAAAACCAGCCATCAGAATAGTTACTAAATATTCTATATCAGAAGTTTTAGTACTCTACACCCAAGACCATCATGATAGTCTCCGGTGGAGCTCCAATATGGGCCGATACACCGTGGCCATTGATCCCATCCCCAAAAGAAGATGCGGTTAGTGGTTATCCATACATTAATTTGATATCCGTCTGATCAGATTATCTCTAGTCAAAACATGCTTCCATTCACATCGCGACGGAGATGACCCACACGCATAATTGTATGCTCCGTGCTCTGAATAGTATCTACCACCAGGCAGAGCAGCTCGAGAAGCTAGAAGACATCGCGGACTTTTTATTCTTTATCAAGTCCTGGTCAGGTTGGGTATCCCATCATCACACGATGGAAGAAGAAATGATGTTCCCGGGGTTTGAGAGGGTGATTGGAACCCCTGGATTCCTGGGCGACAACGTGGAACAGCATCACGCATTCCAGCCACATTTGAAAATACTCCAAGATTATAGCGTCAAAACAAAACCTGCGGATTACGATGCCTCGATAGTCCGCAGGACCATTGAAGAGATGGGCCCCAGTTTCCGTGAACATCTAGCGGATGAAATTAACAGTCTTCTCCAGATGATTGATTATGACTCGGAGGGTTTGATGAAGGTCCACGAGAGTTGTGTGGTCGAGGCAACCAAGCAAGACAAGGTATGTTACGTTATGTCTGAACAAAGAAGATGAAGTTAAACTGATCAAAATTATAGCAAGTTGTCCCTCCCATGGTGCTTGGACTGCGAGATGTCACCTTTGAGGGTGGGACTCACTGGCCAGCACTACCTCCCATGGCCGAGACAGTGGTAAACTATGTGTTTGCCCGTCGAAATTCGGGCGCATGGCGTTTCCTTCCCTGTGATGGCTGGGGAAAGCCTCGTCCACTAGCCTTTGGACCTATCCAAGAAGAGCCAAAGAAATAAAGGTAGCGAAGTAGTGATAGGCTTATGAAGGATTTAATGTCTTCTATCTTCTTTTTTAATATTATACCACCTTACACACCAGTTGACCTGCTTATACATGCTTAGCATTCATGTTTGAATTAATTTCAATTCCGAGTACTATGTAGACTCTCAACCATACATTAAGATGGCGTTGAAAGATGCAAACAAACTAATAACACAAAGAAGTAGATCCCGCTCAATAACTCCGCCATCCCTAACCCAATACTCCAGTAGCAAAAATGAAAGCAAACCATTCAGTTCATCTTGACCTGGAACAAATAACGCTGCCGGATCTGCGCAACATCATACACAATGTACTCATTGTAGTGCAGACCAAACTGTGTTGTATCTTGGTCGTTGTTGCCAATAGAAACATCAGGCATTTTCACACCCTCCAGAGCCGGGCTCAAACACCCAGCATCCCTCCATCCACCAGGGATGTTTTTGCCCCTGCCGAGTGTCGCAATCTTGCCAGCATTGCGCGCTTCTTCGCCAGCAGTATAGCTGCTGCGGTCAAGCTCCAGCATGGGCGCTCCGAGTTCAGCATCACAGAGAAGGAGTAATCCCATTCCACGGCTGTTGTAGGGACAACAGTAGTTTGCGGATTTGCTCGACATATCTGCGAGATACACTCCCTTGCCAAACATGTAGCCATTGACCGGTGCTTCGGGCGGTGCAATGCGGAGACCCTGGCTGAGGATACCACCGAAGTTTGTACTGCGAGATCCGTGCCAGAGAAGGCGGCGGTCGCTGTTTGGGATGTTGGCGTAGGGGGATGAGTTGAAACGGTCATTTTCGCCTTGGCGCTCGATGCGGAAGATGTTCACCACCTTGTAGTTCATGTTGTGTGTCTTGCCACGCGAGTTCTGGAGGTAGTGTTCGAGTTCTTTGAACTCGGTTGATTTGGGGTCCACTACATAGGAAATCTTAGTCTCTTGGGATATTTCGGGTTCCGAGGGTCTATACTCACGTTCGGTCATCTCCTTCATGCCCAGACTCTCGTACTGGCGATCCAGAGGGTGGATGTCATCGTCTTGCTTAGACTTAGATGATACCATGATTTCATTCGCAACATCCATGTCTGTCAGTGCCTCTAGCAACTCGATTTCCTTCTTGATCTGTGCATTTGTGCTTAAGGTCGGGGGCCGACTGCGGCCAAAGACGTGAGGAATCAAGGTGAAATATCTGTTGCTCAATGTCTCTATGGCATTATGATATGGTTCGCCGTATTTCTTTTGTGCCTCAGTTGGAGTAATCATCAGCTCGGATATCTGTTTCAGAACCAAAAATCCACTTTTCAAAGTCCTGTCCCCGAGCTTTCCGAGTGGCAGCTTGTTGGCGTCATAGGACATTGCTGCCAATGTGTCGAGAACATTTTGTTGGTTGAAGATGAAGGCCATGAGGTTTTGAAGCCCTGTGGATAAGACGCTCTGGGCGGCAGGCTCATCTTCCTCTTCTTTGATGGCTTTCCCCGTTTTCACAGCCTCTTCCTCTTCGTCGTCCTCTTCATAGTCGCGCTCAAGGAACGTGTACTTTCCGTACTTAGGGGTATCGAGCCGATTCTCCCATTTCAGGCCTGACTTGTCTTTGAACTTCTTCTCATACTGCTTCGTTGCATCTTCCAAACTGCCGTCCCCAAGACAAGCCGACTGCCCATGCTCTCCGACTCGACCCCAGCGCGTCCAGGTATAGTACTTTGAATTTGCACCGACCAACAACTGGACGCGATAGAACTTGTTGGCATTGTTGGCTGCCACAGTCTGGCTCAGGGTGGCATCCCAGATGAGGCCTGCACTGTCAATGTAGACCTTGGGGTCTGTGGGAAAGTGTGTCAGTTTGTTACCCACGTATAAGTTCTGATACCGCAGACTTACCCTTGAGTTTACCCAGTGCCTCGAAGCCCTCGTCAATTGGAATATTAAGCGCCTTTGTGGATGTCTTCTGGATGTCCTTTGTCTTTTTGTTTGAAGTTTTTTGATCAAGATCTTCATCGGCACCTCGTTTCTTGCTTGCTGGCTTCTTATCCTCGGAAGATTTAGCTTTGCCGTTTGCACCATTCTTCTGGCTGTCGTTTGTGGTGTTGTCGGCATCATTTTGAGCAGAAGCTGCATCCGCGCCTCGCTTCCTGGTAGTACGCTTGTTTTCTGCAGGAAGAGATGCGCTGCTGTCTGTAGTCTTCTTCTGTGTGTCCTCATCTGCCTGGGACGCCTGATCGGCCTGGCTGAAGGAATACTTCGACTCCGGCAACGGTTTCTTAGCCTCGGCTGATTCAAGAAGCCACGAAAGTGCGACAATATGACAATTGGCGACTTGGGAAGCTTGTTTGTCTAGTGGATTAATCAATAAAAGAGTCCTATTGTTGTACAGTGACACCTCGAAAGTTTGGAAGATTGACCGCTGCTTGCTATCGCACACCATGTAGACCTGTCACTTTTTTTTCAACAAAAAACGGTGTTCAGGGGGCCACAACAAGTGTCTCAAATATGGTCAATGACATCCACAACACCGCCTGCCACGGCTTTGAGTGTCATGATAATGAATTAACCATTTGGAAAGCGCACGGGGATTCCAAACTTCGGAGGTTGTCATGGCCTGTGGTAGTGCACTCACATTTGGTGGTCTGCTTCTCCACATCTTTCTCAGTGGTCACTAGATGGGTACAATCATCCGTGACCGAGGTGCTGAAAGTCGCTCCATTCTTCTCAATAAGCGACTTCAAGTCAGCTAGAAGTATCTGGTCAGCGTGCAAATTGTGGTGGAGATGACCTAAAGGCCGCCTCCCAGGCTTGCAAATAGGGGGGTGGTCTCATACCTTGTTTTAAATTCGGAAAGGTCCCGGCGACAGCAATCACCAGCTTCTTGAAAGTTCGAACCGGCATTTCGTATTGCTAATCAAGACTAGGTACTAGGGGTAGAAAATAAAAATGCAGTGTGTAAAGGTTGAAGAGGGGAAAGTTAATCGAGGACGAGATTGAGATGTACGAGGTAGTACATGAGAGGAAAAAGACCGGGGGGCAAACAAAAAGTAATAGAAATGCGATGAAGATAGAACAGGAGGAAACAAGTCGCTCTTTAAATAAAAACACGAAGGTGTCGTTACGCAGTTAAGAATTGTGTGGCCTGAGGGATCGGGCATCAATGAGGCTGCTGCCTGGCACTAAGCCAGGCAGCACACCCTTTTTTGTGGAGATTGTAGTGAGTCTCCTGAACTAGGGAGTATACATCGTCATAGCTTCTTAACGCCCAAGTAATTTCCCTTTCCAGACTGCTTCGCTAATTCTGACATCCCCATACGCTGGCGGGATTTCTTGTCTTGTCCTTTGTCCCTTCACTTTTTACTAGTGATGAGAATAACTGACAACTACTCACATCCCACAGCTCGATAGTCTCATTGGCCGCCTAATAAATTTCCAGCATGCTGATGAACAACCTATGACTTGAGTCTACCATCCCTATGGAGACTTTATGTAGTATGGTGCTACGTCCCCGCAGGTGCCGCAGCCTTCGGGCAGACGTACCGCGACAGGAGGGGTTGTGCCTGGTGAACAACCAGTCATATATGATGCGCAAGCTTGTGTCAACCTGACCATCTATGCGTCTGCCAAGGGCTACTTCGACGACACTGGCCTATCAATGCCCAAAAAGCTCCTTTGGGTACTCGTCTATATGCATGGGCGACTGTGGTTTCATCGAAGACAACGGCCCATATCTGTTCATGATACGACAAAGACGACTGAGCCGGTAGCCCGCGAACCCATTGGTTTGATAATTGTATCGATAGATTACCAGCTGAACTGGCAGGGCTTTATCGCCTGCTACGAGCTACTCGATGACCAGGAAGCGTGGCGAGCCTACATTCAATTGTAGGCTACGAGACCGACGAAACAGCTTCCTCCGACCCAGAAATACATCAAAGCCCGTAAACTTGACCCATTTAACATCATTCCCTTTGGTGGATTGACTGGAGTAGCCTCATTCTTCATACACGCCTACTCAGACATATCTCTGTTCGACCGATTCATCGCCAAGAATGACTCGCTCAACATCGTATATAGCTACACGCTTAGCGAGTTCAATGCATATTATCTGCAAGATACATGTACCAAGGGAAGATGCCTACAATTGGAGCTTCAAAAGGGCCCAAAAATTCCTAGTATCCTGTTCAGTTCCGCAGCAATATATTATGACTCGATTTTCAACGAGCACAGTATGTATTAAGGCTCAGTATAAATACATATATATGATATATATATATATATCTTTAGATGGTTACCGTCTGTTATCATATGTAGGGATCACAGGAGCGACTCGTAAGGGAACCCCCCCGGAAAGCACCGATGTCGCTCTTGGTTTGCTTTATGTGAGAGAAATGTCGGCACAACGAAGTCCTTTCTTACTCTATTGAATAAACTTTTCTCCTCGGAAGAGCTTATACTTCACTCAAGGGAAGTCCTATAAGAGTAGATTGTTCGAATAAGATAGGGGAATGAAGCCATTAGCTAGCATGATCCGTCGGGTCACAACAGTACCGCCAGCGGGAAATTCCGAGCGAGGAGTTAAAAAGAGCTAAGTTGACCAAGAATAGGGCTGACTCAGAGGATGGAAATATTGAGGCGAGGAGAAGCGAGCTGCTTGTATTGGATGTACCGCAGATGTGTGGAGACTACCTACAACATGTGTATCGATTGTTGTGAAGAAAATAAGAATAGTCGGCCCCTCATGCGGCCTGTGTCACATATTATGTATTTACTCTAATTTCATAAAACATATGGAGTATACTGTACTTCGATATATCAAAGATCTTCCTCAATATCTCACCCCTACCTAGTGGTTTTGATTTCCTAACTCTGCTTATCTTTCAGTTGTAGTAAGCCTCGGGTCGATACGTAGCTAGTTAGGTATGATCTGGATTCAATAAACATAGCATCTCCAATCAGGTCCCCAACCAGAGGTTGAATTACATAGCATAACGTTTAATATAACTGGTTCCTCATATTCGGTGCATCTTGTTTGGAGGAACTAGATATCGACTTCTTCAGAGTTAGATTCTAGCTGCTCTTGTCTCCAGCTTTCCCAGATTACTTTTTGAAAGGAAAGGAATCATTTCTATCCATCTGTGTTTGTTGGCTCTATACATCACATCACGGTATACTTCTCAAATTTCCTGGCCTAATGGGCAGAGCTGGATAGGATCGACTGCTGGCACTGCAACTATCCTTCCAAAAATCAGTCCGAGAAAGGCTGGTGACAAGAGCGGTACTGACATCCAACCATGCAATTCCGGATATGCAGTTCAGTCGATTGAAATGCAACTGAGGGCAGAAGAGCTCACATAGGTTCTGGTTTCCACACAAAGACAAATTGGAGACAGTCAAATATGCCATATCTGATGAATCAAGGTCATATCGACCCCGGGCTTATAACTAACCTTTGGATACATGTAATGGGTTAGGAAGTCAAGGTATCTACTTTGCTAGAAATGGGTGTTGTGTGAGACCTCTGATATTTCCAACTATGGATGGATCGGGAGGGAATAATATATGATAAACTGGATGTGAGACACAGGTAAGTTCAGGGGGATCTAGATCATGGCGGTCAACAGAGATTGCATTTTATGGCGGCCTGCACATCCATGCTAAGCTAGAACAGGCCGCTATACTTGAAATTCCGTGCTCTTTGCACTAGATCTGACGGTACAAGGCATAATACAAGCTTCAATGCTCCGCTTCTTGACAACCTGTCCAAGATCAATCAGGGAAGTTATATGTGAGAACACTCTGATATATTTTTTAGTTATCTTTTTTTCTCCGTGTCATTACTCTATTATAGTAGATGAAAGCAGTATAAAGCCAACATAGACGAATTTCTGTGTATAACTAGGGATAACTACGGAGTATGTACTCCGTAGCTCCGCAAGGATCCAAGCGCCATTTTCACCTAGCCCGCAGCAGTGACCATCACAATTGCCATAATTTTATTTGAAACTGTTGCTATATTCACCTATTTTGGCACTGCTCCGTAGGGATCGAACAGAAATCCCTCAATCTAGTCCTTGTTCGTATGCAGCATTGGAATTTCACTCAACTATGTACGGAGCATCTACTCCGTCTTTTCCGTTCAAGTCCATACTCAGTCTCATGCATGCCCCACCCATCTATAACTACCGGAAATTATGGAGCTTCGATATTGGGGCTGACTACAGAAGTACCATGTGGAAATGAGTGCCAAGGGGTACTTAAGCCCAAAGAGAATAGACCACTGTGCCAACAGTATCACGTCTTACCAAATAGCGAGCACATGAAGTCTTCTATCTAAACTGAGATCTTCTTTCGTATATCACAATAATTTATTTATATTTTGTTCGGGTCATATCGGTGGCTGATCATCCTTGCGTTCTGCTATGAATTCGGACTTTCCGTTTTGGGACACGGTCGCCGCTCCGGTGGCGTATCTCTTGTTCCCGCCCCCGAGAGGGAAGAGCACCGCAACAACCTGACAACAAGATGAATGAGACATATGAGAATCATTCACGATGGAGTTGACCTTCTTGATTAGTCGCGATGGAACAAATGCGAGGGGACATGCACGGCGTGCATGTAATGCTTGTCGTCACAAAAAGGTGTCGTATTCTGTCCTAGATAGCCCTACAACAACCAGGGCTGTATACTGACTTCCCCAGAAACGGTGCTATCACAACACCCCCCAGGAGCAGTTAGCTGATGGGTCTTCTTCTCCCAACATATCCGGTGTCACAAGTAGCCAAGGTGTTGCATCTCAAGGTTCAAGGCGGGAGCCAGTAATCCGAAATAGATCTGCATCGCCACGAGCCGAGCGATCAAGTAGCTCCCCACTCCAAAACCCAGTTGAACAAAGGGCCGAATCGCATATCACCCCTGATACAGGTACGGCTGCAGAGGGTAGTCAAGAGTCTCGTCGTTTTGCGTGTGACTCCAACCCTATAGCGACTCTCATGGAACATAACGAGTCAAGGTTGCAGAAGGGTCTATCCCAGAAAGGGGATGTAGGTGCATGGCTGGGCCCTGAGGAGAACGCGATTGAACAGGGCGAAACTCCTGGCTCTTCTTCACAAACAGCACCAGGGACCCATGTTCACCCCGACTGGCTACCCTCCAAATTCTGCCAAGAGGCATTGATAGATATCTATTTTCGTCGGATTCATCCACTGCTCCCTCTTCTCGATGAAGACGAAGTGAGAGCCCAGCACAGAGCGGGCAGTCTTCCTCTGCGGCTTGTGCAAGTGATTTGTCTTGTTGCAGCGAAGGACCGTGGTGCAGTGCCTTTCCTATGTCTTGGTCCCTATTCAAAACTCCTCCCGCTGGATAGATTCTGTAATATCATTTACACTGATGCTATGCAAAACATCTCAAGAAGGGCCGAGAAAAAAGTACTTGCCATTCAAATCCTAGCACTTCTGTCACTGCACGAATGGAGCTCCACCGGATCCGAGGATTGTTCTTTGAATCTAGCTCAGGCTATTCACCATGCCCAGACCATGGGGTTGCATTTGCTGAGGCCAGACCAACACTCTGGTACATCTTCCAGGGGAGTCTTTTGGTGTCTGTGGAGCTTAGACCGATGGAACGCCGCCATGAATGGCAGGCCTCTAATGATACACGACGGAGACAGGAGTCAAGGTGTGGATGACGTTGTTTCAATGTTTCAATCACCGTTTCGTGTCTGGCTTCGAATTGCCGATAAGCTCGGAGAAGTGATTCACTTTTACCGACCGGTCATGAAAGGTGTGGATCAGAGTAATCTCGATCTTCCCTTCTTCGAAGATATTGTGGAGCACTGTGAGGCCTGGGACATGTCTCCAGACCTGTTTGGTATGAAACCTTCCATCATTTAGTTGCAACATTGTCTAACCCCTAGACCAACAGAGTCCCTCGAGCTTGTTTATCATTCTGTTATTATTCTCGCAACACATTCCAGCGGGTTGCAAGGCCGTTCACAGCCACGAGCGTCAAAAATCCGACAAAGTCATTCGATCCTTACCATCGCGTCGCTCAGTTGCAATCAAGATATTCGGAATTTTCTGCCGTTTCCCATGATCGGTTACACCATCTCTCTCGTTTTCTCGGTGACGTACAAACAGCTCAGAGAAAGCAAACTGCCAAGTGCGCGCCACACGGCGATTTCCCAACTCCGTCTATTTCATCAATGTCTGAAGAAAATCGGCACCACATGGTGGTCGGCTGCTGTGATGACTCGCCTAGGCCAGCGTGTGTTGAACAACATCCAACCCACCATAGATCAGGAACGTTCCACAGGTTCAGAAATCGATATCACCCGACTAAACTCTCAGCCTGAATCAAACCATATATCTCCACAGCCACTTGCTTCCGCTAGTAATGCGCAGTCGCACTCGGCTATCGACATTGCGCAGGTGGCGAGACGCATTAATACAGGATCTCAGAGCGCACATCGTCTAGCTGATCATCGACTGGGATCGGACAAACCTTCGAGTTTCGAAGTAGACAGCACGCCATTTTTAACATCAACGGGAATTGAAGATTTTGACACCTTTTTCGGCAATTTCCTTGATGTTAGTTTTCCAAACTACTCGGATGATCAACTATTGTTGGATCTCGACCTGACTGACTTCGACGTTGTTCATCACCATCTACCTTGAAGGAAAATGTGCACCGATGAAACGATATATCTGTCGCAAATCTTGTTTCAGTACATATTGAGTGTGCTTCTTCTGTTCTTTTTGTATTTAGTATGGTATAGGGTGTACAGTCGTCTGATCATGGTGCTACAGAGTAAATATTAGGAACTCATCAGATGTGAAGAAGAGAGGGGGGACGGACGCTCATCCCACGCTAAACGACTTTGGGTATATCTTCCGGTGGCCGCAATCCTTAACCACGCGGCTGTAATTCCTATAACATTCGGATAGGTTTATTTCCGATACTAGTATTCAATTTGCCAAGAGTATCAAATTCATAGTGGAAAGCTCTACTATATTTAGTTAATAAATCCTCAGCCATACGATAGGTATGACGGATAGTCTACGGGTACCATAACAATACTAGTATGGTCAAAAGAATAGCGGCCAGCGGCTGACATACGCGAAGCAGTTTAGCGGTGTGTCGCTGGATAAAGAGTGTATGAGAGCTAATATATTGTATGCTTCTTCGCTCTAATATACTGGAATATAAGTATTCTAATAATGTATATATTTACAGAAGTAGCAGTCGTATGATGGGAAGATGCTCGAGTATAGATCGAGGAATACCCCTAGCAAAGTCGCAAGAAGAAACCTTCTAGGACTAACCTTGAAACATTTGAGCCTTTTCGCGACTTATTGTAGCATACGTATGTAGACAGCTTCACAAGAATGTCGGCATTTCCTTCCGTGGTGAATGATTGCGCTTGTAGGGTTCTTTCTTGTCCTTGGAATCAACTTCCCGACCCCGTTTAGGAATGTCCGCTCCGTCGCGACACGAGTATAAAGCCAAACAATGCGCCATGATTCACTCGCTATTAATTCGCCGGCTCAAATTCAATTGGAGTTGTTAACCCGACACATAATTTATCAAGCTAAATATTGCTTGAATTTTTGACGATGTTCCGCGAACACATTACCGGCTCTGAGTTGAAGTATGATTATCCCTATTAGCTTTCCCATGATAACCTAACGCATATTCCCTTAGACTGGATCAAGCATGCATTTTTATATCAGAAGAACGGCATCCATTGTCTATTACTGGAAAACTCAATCTCTCCCTTAGTCAAGCCGTCTCGGTCAAGAGTATCAAAGTGAGATTGAGAGGAATATTAGCGATGTGGGACTCCCCCCAGCTTGTATGTTCGTTGAGGACTATCTGCTTACTTATTTATAGCCCAATTGAGGGAGTCTTTGGATCGCCAGATAACCGTGAAGAGATCACATTCGAGCGAGACCAGCCACTAGGTTCTTCGAGAACGCTCAACGCATTCCAAATGCCGACAGGAGACCACACATTCTTATTCGATATTCCGCTTCCAAGTAAGATGTTTGACACGGTAACCGGTGCAAACAATCAATACCACACATATCGAGTAGAGGCTGTTATCGAGCGACGCCTTAAAAGCGATTTTGTGGTCTCACGGCCGCTCAGGATTTATCAGGTTTCTGACTTGGAGACGAGTCATTTGAGATCACCTTGCCCACTGGTTAGTCTGTTCCTTGCATTGTAAAGGTTTTGCTAAATGCAAATAACTGAAGCCAACCATCTAGACTCTCCAGGGTCACTCCAACGAAAATATCCAGTATTCCCTCTCCATCACTGACCGGAACGTTCCATTCGGTAGTACATTTCCTGTGGAATGCTGGTTTGCACCGCTGTTGAAATACGCCAAGCTCAACACTGTCACAATCAAGGTGATTGAGAAACAGACTGCGCGGTTGGAAGCTACTGCTGCAGAGTCAGTGCGACAGAACCTACGGTTTATCACTGCAGCGCAAACTCAAACCGTTTTTTCCAAAACCATCAATTTCTCTCACAGAGATGAGGCTCCGGCAGATGATATCTCGGAAATTGAATGGCGCTTTACCGCACCAGTATCTCTGCCTCAGAGTCTCGACGCCTGCTCGCAGAGTATCTCGACCAGACACATCAAGATCAGCCATGAACTGTCTATCACTGCGCAGTTCCATGATGAGACAGGGGGTGTAACAACTGCGGTATGCAAATAATTTCGAGGGTTTATAACATACAGCTGACGGGGAACTAGATGACGGAAGTTATGCCATTTAAGATTTATATGACACCCGATATAATTGGAGAAAATGCGTCCATTCGTGGGCGATATATCCAGCGCATGCATGGGGACCGAAGTCCTCCTCCAGCTTATAGCAATCGCTTTTCGGACTTGATCGTTTCAGCAGCTACTCAACTGGATCTTTGTGAACATCCGACGCTAGCAGAGATCAATTCTGTGCGTTCTTCGAGTGAGCAAAGTGCAGCCATTCACACCACGGAGCCTGCTCCCCGATACGAAGAGCTCGTATAGTTTGTTTGAGCTTGGACACATTTTTCTTTTGTCTCATTTCTACCATGGTATGGATGCGGGATAATTTTTAATAAATTTCAGAATAAGATGCAGAATCTTGAGGGCTTCGTTTTCACGATTTCCTTCTCACTAAATATGTGAAACACTGTGTTCAAACCATCTCATCTCGAGTTCGAAGTCTCACTGCATCTTGTAGACCAATCCCTCTTCAGCTCGTACTTGTCCTTGACACAGTCTATCCCAACCCCCCTCGATACCATCAGCACCAGAGACACCGTGACCGAATACAATCTGCTTTCCTGGCACGCTCAAGTGCCGATCATCCAGCCATTTTTCCCACTGTACGGCTTTTGTTGCAAAGTAGGCTTCCGGCCCGACAGACTCGAGTATGGTGTCTTGCACACCAGAAGTGTTGTATTGAACCTTTCCAAGCTTCTCATTTTCTGCACCCCCAGCAATCAGGTCCTCCACCGAGTACACTTTCTGCTCCTTGCCAACCGAGACAATCACAACCTTGGAAGATTGCAACTCGGCATGGTTCTTGATCAGGGAGAGGGTGTCTGTGAGAGAATTCTCACGCCCACCGAAGTCGACGATGACAATCTTGGAAGCCTTGCGGCTAGCTAGCCACTCTGCCGACTCCTCGGACCCAATATCTTCATATGCAACCACCTTGGAAGGAACAGAAGTAGGTAAATTCCGATCTGCTTCCTCGATGCGTGACACAGCTGAGGTAACCTGCAACAGTCCAAGGGGTGCTGAGCTATCCGGCTTTCGCGACAGGTAGTACGAAAAAACACGGGCCGTGTTAGTCGACGCAGCCAGGTTTATTACGACCGCGGATGACAAGTCCCCGTCGGACAGGGTCCACTGCAACCCAGGTTTGTTTCCCAGTGGATGGATGGGAGGTTGGCTTGGGTTTGACGAGAAAACATACTCGCTGAGAACGATCCCAGCCACTCCGCCAATAAAAAGCGTGTTCCAGGCCATACGATCTAGCTCATCTTGTGCCGAATCTGAAAGAGGATTGAGCGTACTAGTCAGCTCAGAGATTGAGCTCGATGTTCGAGCTACTGTGTAGCGGTTGTACAGTGGCATCAGTTGCTGGCGATGGTCACTGATCTCGATCCAGTGGCCTTCTGGCGAGCCGCGTTTGAGTTTGAGATCGGTTGGTGTGCTGGACGTGGGCCAGAATCCGAAAAGGAGTGTTCCTTTGGATAATTCTGGAATAGTCGTCTCTTCCACCGTTGCATAGCCCCAGGCTGGAACAATTCCCCATGCTGATGGATCGTTGTATGGTGCGGGATAGTCTTCGGATACAGGGTACGCGTCCCACCTGCGAGTAGTTCATAAGAATCTCATTTCAGGTCGATTTTGGACAGTCTTTTTAGTCCGTGTGGATATTGGAAACATACCAGCGCAAGAACCCACCCATTGAGGCATAGGTCAGATTGTTTGAAGTGAGGCTGATTAGTTGAGTGCGAATTCTTACTGAGGACCCTGATAGTTCCCTCTGGGTAGCAACTCCGATGTCGAAGCTCGCATGCTGGCGGTTATCCAGCTTTGAAACTACATGAACACCCATGGCTTGATGAGTTTTGTGAGGAAATTGTGGAACAGAAGGAATTGATTCTTCCAAGATTTTAAGCTGATTGATTACTGATCAGGGCCATGAAGATCATCCGGCGGGGAACCCCCACCAGCCGAGAAGGCCGAGGATCAGCACGATTATTAGGAAGGGAGAGGGCCGGCAGGTGGCCGCAGGTGGCCGCAGGTGGCCGCATCAGTATAGGGTGTCGGGGCTGTGCGCTCTGTTTCATAATATCTAACTACCTATGCAAACAGCCGACTCGGGAAAGACCTTGTATGATAAATTATATGAGGCTCAAAGGCACAGTCATTGAATGCGGACGAATGAAGTTGGCTCATGGAGGTAAACCAGCTAGAGCTTGACATTCAGATACATCACGAAGGAGAAAAATTACAGCGGGCTCATTGAGACTAAATATCTGACCAGAAGGAGACTACGGAAGTGGAAATGATGACTCGTTTGCACTAGGGAATCTCAATAGCAAGTCCTCTTAAGATAGAGTGTCACGAAGCAACATGGATGGAGCGCCTGAGTGCTGTTTTGTTTCACTGGTCTGCCCCCCTGCATCTATACAGATGCTAGTTGTCTAAATCGCGATATTGCACTATACGAGTGACAAATACCCCGCTTCATTGAAGCCCCATCTTTTACGGCAAGCCTCCCGCTTCCTAGTCGGCCACTAGAGGCTCCCGAAGAGTACAACATTCAGTTTAGCAAATTGGCTCACTAGGAGGTTATTCTTGCAAATGTTATAACATAAGGGTAGACAAAGCTGAAGCTAAGCTCGATAACATTCTTCATTTCTTGATGTGTGGGAAATATAAAGCGGTCCAGAATACTATATTCATTTGCCCAGTCTTAGCGAAACAAATCGACACGTATAGGAAGTAAGAGATAAGTCACTAAATATATATAAGAAAATTCATGAGCAAAGGCGGAACAAGTGGAATTAAGCTGTAGGAGTCTATGAGAGATCCCCAGAATACGATAAAGTTGCACACAGATATCCTCATTAGAGTGATAGATCGACAAAAAAGAATTTTACAACGCCGGTCAGGAAAAAGAACCTAGGAAACCAGCGAAGAGTACGGAGTAGATGATTAGATTCATGCAAAGATGAAGCCGAGAGCAAAGGAATGAAGGGGCAATCACCACGCAGACAGATGAAAGATGAGATGGAGGATGCAGAATAGATACGAAAGGAGACTGGTATAAACATATTTGAGGTATCAGCTCGATACTCGAGAAATGCACAAGATTTCAATAATGGGCATGTGAATTGAAGACTCAGATTCAGATCCAGATCGCTTGTAAAATGACAGGTTTCATGCTCGCGCTTTGCTTGCGCGGAGTGATATGCAGAGGTTAGGATGGGGATTATGTATGTAATGTCGTTCATAGACTATTCTCGTCAGGGGATTATCAGCTTGCGTTCATATTCCAATGCTTGTTGAGAGCCCCAATGTAACTAGGATTTGGGCGAAGATGGTTGGAAATTGGGCGATTGATATCATTGGAACAGATCAGGTCATAAATGGGTTTGGTTTGGGAGATTAGAAGATGACAAATCGTTTCTGTTTGGCAGGCTTTTCGGTTTCGGTTTCTGGATAATTCATATGCAGTCAGCAAAATGTGCATGGATGTAAATCGGGTTTGGTTCACTCACCCTGGTCATGACTTGGGCTCTCGTCCTTGCGCTCAGATTTCTTCAGCCGGCCTCCATTTCGTGTCGCCCCATTGCGCCCACCCACGGCTGGATGTGTACCCTCTGCCGCAGCTCTGATTGTAGCGATTCGATGCTTGGCCCGCTCATCGCCCTGGTCCGCTGCCTTGACATACCACACATTCGACTCGAGGGGATCACGACGGCAACCAATGCCCATTTCGGTAAAGTAGCCGACAGCGTACTGGGCCTTGGCGAGGCCGAGGTTCGCAGCTCGGAAAGCCCACTCATATGCCTCATTCTCATCCTTCTCGAGCATAGGCTCCGCGCCAACGAGATACCACGCGCAAAGCGCCATCATCGCGACCGGATGCCCGTTTTGCGCAGCATTGGTGTAGAAATGGATACTAAGAGCCGGGTCGCGCGGACAATTCAATTTCCCATGCTCATACGCATCGCCAAGACGATAGCAAGCTTCGACATGGCCCAGCTCCGCAGATTTGGTAAATAGCTGCGCTGCATAAGTAGCATCAGCGAAGACGTCATCACCGAAGCCCCTCTCGTGCATCACACCGAGCTCGTACGGGCCGGAGTTATACTGCGCATCAGCGGATTCGGTCGCGCGCTTCATCCACTTGACTCCCTCGCGGTACCGCTTGCCCAGCCCCATATCACCAGCAAGACAGGCATGTGCCATGCGAATCATGGCGCCCGGGTGATTTTTCGACGCTGCTTGGCGGTAGAACTGGACTGCTCGGCTACCGTCGACGCGGCACCCCCAGCCAAACTCGTAGCAGAGCGCTGTGCGGTAGCAGGCTTCGACATGGCCGTGTTTGCTGGCTGCGAGGAAGAGCGGGAAGGAGCGTTCGTGATCCTCGACGCCTTTATTGAAGAGGCCGGACGCGTACCCATCACCGAGGTAGTACTGTGCGAAGGGGTAGCTGCGGTCTGCGAGGCGTTGGAGGATAGATTTTGATTCACGGAGTAGGCGGGCGCGTGTTATTGGGCTGGAATCTTCGAGGTCCACGGCTGGCATCTCGCGCATCGAGTTTACCATGAACACGGCGAATTCGTACAGCACTGTCGGCTCGTCAGTTTTCTTTACGTTCGCTAGGTACATCTCGAATGTCTCTTTGTGGCTAAGGAGAGACGCGTGGTTTCCGACTGAGGCTTTGAGATGCGAGTTGTCAAATTGCGCTGCTGACGGGCCTGGCTGGGGGTATGATGTGTTGAGCAGATCGAGGAATGATAGAGTCCTATTTTCGGGGGTTCCTGATGAAGATCGCGCATTTAGATAAGGTGATGCGGAAAGGTTCCGTCGGTGACCCCCCTCCGAGGTCGAGGAGTATACTGAAAGAGGCCGCGAAAGCCTTGATCGCCTGACGGCCAGCTTATCCGTCGAGGCGGATGGGTTATCTCCAGCATTTGGTGCCGGTTTCCTTGCAAGTACCGCAGCCGGCTGTAGCTGGTGGTGGTAGGTCAAAGGCTCGTAGCTATCCGACGCCTGCGCCGCGCTATCCAAGCTTCCTCGCGAAGAGCCGTTATAGCTCTGACCCTCGCGCTCTAACGAGGAGGCGCTCTTTTTCGGGTTTCCATGTTCATCCTCTTTCTGTGGCTCTACCACCGACCACGAGCCGCTGCTCGCTGGGGTGTGACCGTATGGATGCGTGTGTGTGTAATGCGGGGCCTGTGGTGAGTCTCGCCTCGGGGGGTTGGCAGGATTCCAGCTTTGCTGAGGCGGCTGTACGGGATCGTCGAGCGACATGTCTTCGAACTCGCCGAGCTCCAATTGTGGCGTGGTGGGCCCACTGTATGCGCCTTCGATGCGCACGCTGGAGGCATTTGGGATGTCTGCAGTATGTGTGATTTTGACAGGTGAGCGTGGTGAGTTTTGAAGGACGGGAGAGGTTTCGGAGTGCGATGTATGGATTGGTTTGCGGGCGAGGTTGATGTTCAAGCTCTGGGGTTGGTTTGGGATGGTCCGGGGTGATTTCGATGGGGTGAATGGAGGTGATGATCGGAGGTAAGCTGGTGGGGGAGAAGGCAGGGCCTGGCGGTATCCCGAAGCAGGACTAGCCATATTGTAGAGGGTATTAAAGGTCAAAAGCGAGGGTTTGAAGGATCCATAAACAGAAACGACTGAGAAGTTTAGGAGAAAAAAACTAGAAAGAGTGGACACGAGTACTATTAGAGATCGAAGAGACTAAGAGATGAAGCGAGGGGAGGCCAAAAAGAAAAACTAACAATACTAGTTCCCTTCAAATAATCCTTTTTATTGTTTTATTTCTCATTTTCTCATTTTCTCTTTATGTTTCATATGCGCTAATAGAGAGTGGGGATGAACTATTATTATGCGTCTGGCACATTTTCTCTCGTATAACCAAAATAAGTTGATGCCTATCGGACAAATACAGTCTTCCGAGACATGCCATATGCTCAGCGCATAAGACATAGGAAAGTACTTTACAAAATATCCCCCTCTTTGTGGAGACTATAACAACTCTAAGTGGCATTTGGTTCATATTGTCTTTAGTGTCTTTAGCGCCTCTTATATCCGAGTATTCCGGGGGTCTGTGGCAGTTAAGTGGAACTAAAGGCTCTCCTTATGTGCATTATATGAACGGACACTCCGTACTAAATCAGGTGAGCTTCTACGGAGTAGTTTTTAGTTCCTTTGAAACAGAGGGGCTTAAGCGTAAAATGACGAATTTCTATTTCCAGCTCCATTTTCAGTATTTCCTTAGGAAAACAGCAATTGAGTTTATCCAATTGCTCACATCTGTCAAAGTATACACCTTGCAGTTAACTGCACCGTCAAAAGCACTGACAAACCCCCGAGGACTCTCGTATGACGACATAAGCTGATGAGATCAGGCATTCCTCGCAGTACTGGGTACTCCCACTTGAAGCTGTACATCTGCTGATGCGTCAGCATTCCAGTAAGAGCCGAAGAACGTGGCCCGACAAGGGTATACCGAGCTCCACCGTCAAGTCCTCTCCGCTCCCAGCAAATCCCAAGCCAAGTCGGGTTCTCAATTGGATTGTTTCCGAATGAAAAAGGGGAATTATTCAGGCATGATACATTCGTTTCATGATCCAAGAATGTCTATGGAAGGGATGTCGTCTTCGGATTCAAACCGGAACAGTGCATATGCACTATGGGGCTCATGGGCTGTATGGATTCTGGGGATTGCCGTGATGATCGGCCACCAATCGTCGATCATACTGGTTAGATCGGGCATTGACATTAGAATTGGCATCGGGGTACATGATACAGGGGTATCCTGGATTTTATACCAAAGACAATGCTACATATGTTCATCACATAATGCGTTCTGTGCTGACAAGAATCTAGACTGGTAGCACAAGTATTAGTGATTCGTCAAGGGCTCGTACATATACGGAGTATATGCCGTACATTACCTTTTTGTTATACCCTGTTCTCTTTTGATCTAGATCATCACACCGACTCGTAACATATAATATTAGTAGCCTTGGTATGATCTCGGTCTGGCTACAGAGGTATAGATGTATCACAAAGCTGTTTATAGGTCCTCACAGGGGTTAGGGGATGAATTAGAGTTGGGGAAGCTTATTGTTTTCTTTTTTGTCTCTCTATTTTAGTCTCTTGTTGCCATGCCGATAGCCTAATAGACTATTTATGCCCTGATATATTGAAGTATAAGTGGCAATTGGCTATTTAGCGTGGTAGTAAGACTAAGCGCACTAAGAAAACAGCCTAGTTGAGCCCAAAATAGAAATTGAACCCCGTGATCAGGGGGGGAAAAAATGCCTCCTCGGCTGATTTTTCCCTGGTGTCTATGGAGTTAGCAAAATCTCGCCATTCCCCGTTGATTAATGAACCTTGGATGAGACTGAGCTGTGGAAGGGTTATTGATCTTATTGGTCTAATTGGTCGAATTAGTCGAAATAGTCGAATTAGTTATGATATTGCCCCTAGCGGCAAAAGAAATTATGTATTTTTGTTTAGTGTAATTTGTCTTAATATGGTAAAACAAGCCTAACCTCTCCCAGGCCAAGCGCTAGAGTCCCGTGTACATGGTCTTTGTCTCAGAACTTCCCATTTCTTTTCTTTTAATCATTCGTTGCTACATTCGTTCCTAACTACTATCACATTCGCTCTTGGTTGATCTTTCGATTTCTTGCTTAGGTGGGGGCTTTGTTGATTCTCCACCTCGTTGCACAGGCCGACCGTATCAGTTTCGAGAACTCCCCCAATTTGCAACCCACTCTAGTTTCTGGTCAATAGATCAGAGGAGATTTTGAACGGAAAAGTCCCATAGATCAAATTATCGAGGACTGGGTCAGCGCATTTGACATGTTTCAGGCGGGAAACGACAGATCCATATTGTGAACAGTCTTCACAACCCTGCTGTTGATGAGCAAATAACTGAAGTGAGTGCGCCGCCAACTGCAAACTCAAATACATCCAAGCAAGCTTGGATGTATAAGGTCTGTCTTGACTGACATCGGGAACTCAGGAACGAAATGTCTTTGCCGCAGAGGCCAGGCAAGCCCTCAGCTCGGCGCGAAGAAGCCCGCGCATTTCGCGAACCCTCTCGACGACGTCGACGTGATATCGACTCTGGCACTTACAGTGACGACCCCAATTCCCCCTCCCACAGACACCGTCGTCGACACTCCAGCCACCGGAGGACAATGGACACGGATGAAGAGCGCATGGACCGGGGCGGCGATGTGAGACGCAAAAAGAGCATGGTTAAACCAGAGCGCAGGCGAGAAGATCGTGAACAGCCCAATTATCACTACCGGCAGCGATCAAGCCATATGCCCGTTTTCCCCTCGACGACAGGAAATGATCCGTTATTGGAACACAAAGATGGCGAGGCGGAGACGAACAGCTCGCGTAGCATGGATATGAAGACTAAGGATGGTCTATACGGTGCGCAGGGTAATGTCAACAAACCCATGGAACGGGTTCCTAGCAGGCATCGCTCGAAGAAGAAGAAGAGAGGCTCGCGGAGGTCGTCAAAGGGAGCCGCAGATGAACAAAGACGGCTGAAAGTTATTGAACAGAGTGGCCCGCCTGAGTTATGGCCTACATACTGTGCAGTGCTTACATTTTTCATTCCGGACTTTGTGATGAAATGGTTCGGTATGCCACAGAAAGAGCAGCGCACTGCTTGGAGAGAGAAGATTGGCCTTATCAGCATCATTCTGATGATCGGTGCCTTTGTTGGTTTCTTGACTTTCGGTTTCACGGCTACCGTTTGTGGCTCGCCTCCACTTCGATTGAAGGCTAACAAGATCAGTTCCAACTACATGATCTTCCATGGAAGAGCATATGACTTGAGCGGTTCCAAACACGGCCCTGTTGCTGGTATCCCCGCCGATTCGAATGTTATCTACGACTTGCCACACAAGTATGGCGGACAGGATGGCAGCTTCTTCTTCCAGCAGGTCAATGGTGCGTGCAAAGGATTGATTACTGCCACGCCTGACAGTGATATTCCAACCAACTCCGATGGAGATCTCGGGTGGTACTTCCCCTGCGCGCCTTTCAACCAGGATGGTTCGTCCTCGCCGAATTTGACCGTTGAGTATTATACGGGTTGGGCTTGCCATACCAGCAAGAGAGCTCGTGAGCCTTTCTATTCGCTGAACAGTGATGGAGATGTGTATTACACATGGGAAGATACGAAGAACAAGAGTCGAAATCTAGCGGTATACTCCGGAAGTGTACTCGATCTCGACCTTCTCGCCTGGTTTGACCGTAGCCAGGTGTCATATCCCGAACAATTCGACGAACTCCGAAAGAATCCTAATATCCGAGGTGTTGATCTTACCTACTACCTGCAAAGCGGACGGGAGAAGAAGATTGGCAAGTGCTTGGCGCAGATTACCAAAGTCGGCAGCATCGATACGGATACTGTTGGTTGTATCGCATCCAAAGTCGTGCTTTACGTGTCCCTGATCTTCATTCTCGCCATTGTGGGTGTCAAGTTCGCTTTTGCCCTGATCTTTGAGTGGTTCCTGGCACCCAGGTTTGCCGCGCAAGCCACGAGTATGTCCTCCGACGCCAAGACTCGCAATCAACAGATTGAAGACTGGTCCAATGACATCTATCGGCCAGCTCCACGAGTTGTGGATCCTATCATTCCCGATCGCCTTAACAAGCGTGCCAGTTTCCTCCCGACCACTTCCCGTTTCTCAAGCCCATACAATGTGAGCAGCACCAATGGTAGCAAGCAAAAACCGCTCTATGTCACCATGGCTAGCCAGAACTCGACCTCCCATCTCATGCCCAGCTCCAACCCCGGCACTATGTACAAGTCAAGCCACAACGGCAGTGGGGGCAGTTTGAGCGCTGACAACTCCCGGCATAATCCTGCTGCTAGTCGGACTAGCTTGGTTCCTCCCGGTCAGGGTCAGCAAGATACGGGTTACTCCACAGTATTGACGGATCATGAGGGTGCCGGTCCTGCTGATTTCATTCATGAAGCTGTCGTTCCTCAACCTCCACCTGAATGGCAGCCATTCGGCTACCCTCTAGCTCATAGTCTCTGTCTGGTTACTTGCTACTCCGAAGGTCATGATGGTATTAGGTCGACTATCGATTCTCTTGCCATGACCGACTACCCGAACAGCCACAAAACGATCCTGGTCATCTGTGATGGTGTCATCAAGGGTAAGGGAGAGGAATTCTCCACACCAGATATTGTATTGGGCATGCTCAGGGACCCTGTTGTCCCCAAGGATGAGGTTCAGCCCTACTCCTACGTGGCCGTGGCTACTGGCTCCAAGCGACACAACATGGCCAAGGTGTACACCGGGTTCTATGACTACGGCAATGATTCGATCGTCCCGATAGATAAGCAACAGCGTGTTCCCATGATGGTGGTTGTCAAGTGCGGAACTCCCCAGGAGGCAACCCAGTCGAAGCCTGGTAATCGAGGCAAGCGAGACAGTCAGATCATTCTAATGTCTTTCCTCCAGAAGGTTATGTTCGACGAGCGCATGACGGAACTCGAGTTCGAGATGTTCAATGGCTTGTGGAATGTCACAGGCATCCCACCGGACTTCTACGAGCTTGTTCTCATGGTCGACGCCGATACAAAGGTGTTTCCAGACAGCTTGACGCACATGGTCTCGGCCATGGTCAAGGACCCCGAAATCATGGGTCTCTGTGGAGAAACCAAGATTGCCAACAAGACCGACAGCTGGGTAACAATGATCCAGGTCTTCGAGTAAGTTCTCTACTGTTGATAGTGTGATCAACACAATAACTAATTACACAACAGGTACTTCATTTCTCACCACCAAGCCAAAGCATTCGAATCCATCTTCGGTGGTGTAACCTGTCTCCCTGGATGTTTCACCATGTACCGCATCAAAGCCCCCAAGGGTGGCCAGAACTACTGGGTACCCATTCTCGCAAACCCGGATATCGTCGAGCACTACTCTGAAAACGTCGTCGACACCCTCCACAAGAAGAACCTGCTCCTTCTCGGCGAAGATCGCTACCTAACAACCCTGATGCTCAAGACCTTCCCCAAGCGCAAGCAGATCTTCGTCCCACAAGCCGTCTGCAAAACAGTCGTGCCGGACGAATTCCTGATCCTGCTCTCCCAGCGCCGTCGTTGGATCAACAGTACCGTCCACAACCTATTCGAACTGGTCCTCGTCCGCGATCTGTGCGGAACCTTCTGCTTCAGTATGCAATTCGTTATCTTCATCGAGCTCATCGGAACCCTCGTTCTGCCCGCCGCCATCTCCTTCACCATCTACGTCGTCATCATCTCCATCGTCAGGAAACCAGTCCAGGTCATGCCGCTGATTCTTCTCGCCCTTGTCTTGGGTCTGCCTGGTGTTTTGATCGTCGTCACTGCGCATAAACTCGTTTACGTACTCTGGATGCTGATCTACCTCATCTCACTTCCGGTTTGGAACTTCGTTCTGCCCATGTATGCGTTCTGGAAGTTCGATGACTTCAGTTGGGGTGAGACCCGTAAGACTGATGGTGAGCAAGATAAGGGACACGGTGATGCCGAGGGCGAGTTTGATAGCACGAAGATCACGATGAAGAGGTGGCGTGATTTCGAAAAAGGTATGTTTCCTATTCTCTTGAAATGATTTGATGTATGTTTGGATCCTAACATTCTCGTCAGAACGCCGTCTACGCAGTGCTTGGTCACAGCCTCATGCTGCGACGGATCCTTATACATCGCAGCATGACGCATATTCCCATTATTAACGAAAGCGACAGCACTTATTTTATTTTTCCGCTTCTTCGCTTTTCTGTATGTTTCTTCCGGATGCATCTGGTTTCGTGATTTTGTACCATTTACATACCGGCGTTCAAATATTTCTATAATATAGTTCAAGGTGTTGCACGACTGACGAGTTGATTATTTTCACGCTCATATCTTGCTTTGATCCTTTCTTCATTTTTTGTTTCAAGCATTTTCTCGGGCTTGTACGGCGAGTTGGACCCAGCGCTTTGCCCCGTAGATAGTGACTTCAGGAATTAATTGTCATGCTAATCAACATGGCGTGATCGAGATAGCACATAAATCCTGCAAAACAACCAAAGCAACACGAACTACTAGATAGAGGCTGAGACTTCGCACGTCATCTATATCGCCCCTCTTCAGCCCAAACCCTACCCAACAGGATCAAAGCGCAAGTCACCTGGCTGGTCGGGCTTGAGTCTGCCGTGCATTTACTTCCTGCATATGCGAGGCTCGGGGCGATCAATTAGGAAGACGGCCTGGTCAGATTTCATTAGTTCGCATGTTTAATCCGTGAACTACGTACATATATATATATCCGATCTTCTACAACTACTATCTATGTACTCATCCAAATATGAATGAACACTCTAAGCATCTGCATATCCCCTGCGTTCTATGATGTATCATCTTTTGCCAGTTCGCGCATGCGTTCTTTTCTTTTTTCCCCTTACAAATTCCACATGCACCTTTTCAAGACCGGAGATCAACGAAAAGTGCAGTTGTCAACTCTTACATTTCTGCCTGCCACATTCTACCCAACTGTATGAGTCTGGATCAATATCCCTTTCTGTCATTCCTTGCATACCCCATCTTCTGGATTGGAAAATGTTACTGCGAATTGTCCGCACTGTCCTGTGCTTTGCCCCCTCTATTTCCCTTAAGATCAATCCACAGCAATTGGCATTTCTACTTATGCTGGTAGCCATAGCATAAGCCAATTATAAGATTCCTCCTGCGTGGCCTTATTCATTGTTTTTGGTATCCCTGTGCTCTAGGGGCATAGGGAGGCCTTAAAGTAAGTCCTCTAGGCGTTGTGATGGTGTTAATAATCCTGCTAAGCACCCAACACACATTTACCATCGGATAGAAAATTGCAAGACTAGTTAGTTATCCTTTATATAGAAACTCCATAGTAAAAGCGTATAATGGTCAAATTTTTGCATACGATTGTTCTATGCAGGGTTTTTTGAGGCGCTCTTTACACTTCTATATCAGATAGAATCAATATTAGTAGTAGATTGAATGAGACTTCCACCACAACGCTAGGTGACGCCACCTAGGCTTCCTTCCACATTTCAAAGCGTTAGCTTTCTGCTGTTTTTACCCTGCTCCACTACCACCATACCCAGATTTGGTTTTTTTCTATCACTAGAGGATGGAGAACACCACCCAGCCATCTGACGACACGGATGAAAATCTGCGCCTGGCCGTGGAACGATTCCGCACCAAGATGGAGGCCTCGAATGGGAAATTTCTCTAAGGCCGAATTGATGAGATTGAAGCCATGAATCTCTCTACCGAGGAGGAGAAGCTGCAGGAGATGCATAACTGGTGGCCTGGCCTGACAGTCAGATGCCCAGATCCTTGGATCAATCCCCTTCACCAGAAACTATCCATCAGTCTCATGAGGAGGGAATATCACAAAACTAGCTGATATCAAATCGCTATACCATAAGCATATTATGGATGGTGCCAGCCCGCCAAACTTGGTGACAGATGAATGGTGCTAGATGTTTCTGGACACCGTTCAAACTGTGTGTAATGAGGTGGCCTTTCAAAATGAAGAGGACAACTATTTTGGAGTCCCGCCTGGTCACGATCTGGATCTCTTTCTCAAGTACACTAGTGGGGTCGAGGACCCAGACTTTCGCTACGCAGGCATGGCCCCTTTCGAACCGGCTGCAAGATATATGACACAAACCTCTGGTATTTCCAAAGACCGAGAAGATCTGATAAGAGACCTAAATCGCTATTACCTTTGCCAAGAATCCTTTGTGGAAACCTATGCGCATCGCGACTTGGAAGTGCGAGTTGGCTTCCTAACCGGGAGGGGTGTTCAGTACAAAACAGGCGAGTATGATACATGGTACAGCATTTATCCATGTATCTCTACTGTCGATGGGACGAGAAAGATTCTGATCAGAGTTACAAGGACTTGGTATGGCGAGTGGTCGTTTCTTATGCCGAAGTTTTGGATAATCCTACGACGGTTTACGGGCAGAAGCCAAGGTTCGACTCCATCGTCGATTTTCTGGACCGGTATACTACCTGGCTAGAATATTTAGACATGGATGAGGCTCGGGAGAGTGTATCGGCCCTTATGAGTGGATGGATGAACTGTTTATGTTGGCGGATACCTGAGGGAGGCTTCCCACAGGGGCTAACTAGGCTGCATGTGATAATTCCTCCTGCAAGAACTAGCCACCTAAATTGACTGCAAATAATTTGCATTCTCGCCAGTTAAACCATGATATGACTGTATCTTGTAGATTATGGATCGTAATCCGTCAACAATGAAATATTATCACGAGCACACCAGGCTACACCGACCTTTTAAGAAGCTGCAGCAGGGATCAAAGTATAGCCTACATATAACACCAAGGAGAGTAGAGAAGGGAGGATAGACATCGCGACATGTATGAAGAGATCTTCGATAAAGGCTCAATCGAAATTCAATATTGTTCAGCGAGAGTATGAAGTGTCTATTCATAAACTATCCTATCTACTCCGTGCCTGAAGTCTATGTATATATATATTATGCTTGTACTTGATCATATATATGTGAGGTGCTGACTACAATTACCGCTAATCCTATATTATTAAGAAACTATTAAGAAACTAGAATCTTCTTCTTTCTATTATTCTACTTTTTTGGTACCACAGAAGGCAGTTTTCATCATCGATTTCACATATATGTCGAGTACTGTTAGGTATAAATATATCAGGGAGCCACAAATTCACAAGCTTCCTGAGATGCAAGATTTTCTGCTTTCCTACTGCAAAATCTAATGCTGAATTGCAGAATTCTGATGGTTATTATAGCTTCTTCAATGTCCGATATGGCGCTCTGCTAGTGAGTGACGTTCGATGGAAAACATCTGTGTGCCGATAGTGTGTAGGACTCTGTATTTAAGTGCCTCGTAAGATATGTTATCGCACCAGAAAATATAGAACGCTGTCGCATGTTTTGGGTTGGATCCATGGCAATTATCCCAAAATCCTACATCGATAACGAAGTGCTAATAAAAAAGAACTAAGACGGCGGCTTTAGTACCGACATCATTTGGATCATCAGAGGGCTTGATTGACCGTAGCTAGACCAGTGACTCTGAAGGAGTGGTACATGTTGCTCTCAACTACTGACTAGGTGCGTTCAGTTTCCTATCTAGATCTTCATTCGAAGCGGAAGAGGGCCCACTCAACGCCGGGCTTCACGGCTAGTCTTATCCTATAGTGGGCCTTGGACCATATCCATCGTTTTAGAGACAAGAGGCAAGTCACCGTATTTGGTGAATCTGGAGGCGGCGGTTCCATCATGCGCCACATCATTGCATACAGAGGATCAGAGCTGCAGTCCCCCACCTATGTGCCCTGTAGATCGGCCGGAAACCACGAAAATACTTTTAAAGACTTCCTCGACTGGGCAAACGTTACATCGCTTACTAAGGTCCGCAGTCTTTCTTGTGATGTTTTGGTGTCACCGAATGCAAACTCAATCAGTATCTAACAGCTGTACACCTCGGCTATCTATGGCCTCACACTAGATGGCAGTCTTGTGAAGGCGGATCCCAAGAAGATGATCGGTCGTGGAGAGCACGACCAATCTGCCAAGATGAGATCTCAAAACTCGGAGGGGCTGGTGTCGGTGCTAACGGTGCATACAAATGAGGACCTCGGGAATATTATACGCTTATCAAGCACGTTCGTTCATGTCAGCGGCCCCACCATCCATCGATCACACATAGGTTCACGAAGACACTCTATCCGCCCGTATTTGATCGATGAGATACACTAACAGCTATCAGAGAGTGGCGTTGACGGTGGCAGATGCTGTAACTGACTGGAACGCTGCATTGGGGGTCCGCTTTCAAGAAAGGGTTGAATGCCTATTGGTTCGATGTATCGCCAGCTCTGCATGCACGCACAGGACACCGGATATACTTTGTACACTCCAAATGAGAAAGTCTCATCCTACAGTGTGGTTGACGTTGCCGTGAACCGAACTGTTGCTTTTCCCATCCAGGACTACATTCTCTTGAAAAACATGGCATCTCGAACAGCTCCATCGATGGTCTGGAGTGGCTTCTCTTTTCTCATGGTCAGTGCCTAGGGCTGGGACCGTGCGTCTGAACAATGACAACTTGGCGATCACCCAGGACCCGGCTTTCAACCGGAGATGCTAGTGGTGTTCGCTCAATTGCTTTGACTAAAAGACACAAAGTTCCTTTCATTTGAGGATTTGACTCATTCCTTCATTGCTCTCGGATGGGGCGCTCGTATTTCTTGCATGTAGAGATGCCTGTTCCCTGTCTTTGCATATGTATTATGTATCATAGAAGTAGTATATTCTGTTTTCTCTTGCTATTAGTATTTCCTGTTTTATTACCTGTGGTACCCTTCTTTGATCAGCTACTGTATTGACTCAATTTTCTGTAAAAGCTTTGTCCTAGTAGAGGGCTATCATAGCGCTTTCGGCGGTAAAGGGGGGTTTAACTATGTGATAGATCACATTAAATAAAAATAAAATATAAGGCCAATGCCTTACAACATGAGTCGGTTGAACTCGGCATTTCTGTCTCGACCGCTTTCCACTCTCCGCTTTTTCCCTCGCGTCATCTGTTTGCCAACGCCACGAGTGCAGTGTGGGGTCGAACTCAGCTGCAAAACAAAAGCATCTGGATGAATTCCGGTGACTGTACTCCTGGCTTTGTGCTTACTGGATTGTTTTCCTCCGCTTGTGCGACCGCCCTGCCATCCCTGCGCATTTGACCCTTTTGGGACGTGATCACCCGTCCCGCCTTGCTGCAAGGTGCCTAGAGAAGCAAAGGCAGAGAGACTTTGGCTTTGAGGGAAACTTATTTGTTTTCGAATCGGAATTCCCTTTTGGGCGATGCTTCATTCCAGTAACTGTGACTCCACGAATTACCCCTCCTCCGACTTCTCTGCCCGCTTAGATCCCACTCCATCGCGCCATGTGTCATGTGATATCGATAGCCCTTCAGTTCAATCGCGAGCCATGAGTCCTTCTTCACATACCTCTGGTAATGGGCTCTCTGGTCGCGAAGACGATGCGAGGGCCTTGAACTCGACTCTGGATCTGGATATGTTTTCCACGGACGATCGATTTGCTTCGCCTCCGACGAATATGACCTCCGAGATCGACCGCCGATTACATGATGTGGGCGTTGCAGCGCTTGCCGCCGTGTCTCAGTATCCTCTTGCGGTGGATAATGAGCATGATGATTCTTTTATGGTCTCCGAAGTTGTCAACGCTGTTACCAGTGCTGGCAGTCCTCCGGATTATCGACATTTGGACTCGGGGGTTCCTTTGCTGTCGGGACAGCGGGATCATTTTCAACGATCTGGAAGGGGAGATACGCCTTTGGCTAGACCGGAGTTTGTCTTTGGCTCGACCCCGAGTGGCGACGGCGATATGGAAACGATTGTCCGGGACTTGATTCACCGCACTGCAGGCCGGCAAAATATCGCCATCACCACAGACAGCGACATCGAGGATTGTCACAAGGATATGGTTATGGATTATGAATCAGTTACGATGGAAGACAACCCGTCGCCCGAGTCAACATCTGATGATGAGCTTGAAGATTTTCTCCGATTTTATCCAGATGAAGAAGAGTATTACTATCAGTGCAAGGAACGCCCTACACATCAAGCTGAAATCCCAGACTACGACCTGGACGATTTTTATAACAGTATCAGTTATGAAGATATCGATGTGGATCTCCCCCAAAATATTGGCGATGATCAAATGGAATTCCCTGGAGCACACTCAGCATCTATAATCCACACGTCCAGTAAGGTCCTCCCATCTATGAGACAAGACCCTAACTAATTGCTCTCTAGCATATGAGCGGAATCTTACTATTGATGAATTTATCCAGCGCTGGATGGTTTCGATAAACGTCATTCCCCATGGCTTCCATACGGAAGGTCGAATTCCACCACAGCTTCGCCCACTTGCAAAGATGATTAGCTGGAAACCGCCGCAGGAGATTGTTCGGCCGTCTGGATGGAGACGCAATTTTTACGATCTACAGCAGATCCCATGGTCAGAAACCTTGCGAGTGACACGGTCCGATGCACGCGCGGTACGCGATGCCTGGTACATTCCGTATCGCAACCTGGATTACTTGCATGTCGGCCACGCAAGGCACCTTCCACAACATGAAACCTTTTTCCGCGAGGGTTCCATGCACACTTCACACAAAGCGTCTATTGAGCACTTCCAGCTTCGCAATCTGATGTCGACCCCTGCATCTAATACCGTCCATTTCGCTTCCCACTCAAAAGTGTTCTCATGGACCCCAACAACCGGCGATGCACAATGTTTAATCGACATGAGCTACCCAGACCCAGAATCAGGCTTCCTTGGGCCTGTCAAGATCTCCACCATGAAAACAGCTCACGGCCTCACTATCGCAGGTGGGTTCTACGGCGAATATGCCCTACGCAGCACCAGCGGATCCAGCCCCGCCACAAAGGGTCTAGTAACCCCCGACTTCAACGACGGCATCACCAATCATGTAGACATAGTCCCCAATCGCACAGGTCCATCCCCAAGCGGTATCTTTGCCTCAAACGACAGACACCTGCGCATCCTCGACACAGAAACAAACATCTTCACCTCCGACCAAGAGCTCTCTCAACCAATCAACTGCACCGCCACATCCCCAGACAGCCGTCTCCGCGTCGTAATTGGCGACTCACCAGATGCATGGGTTATTGAATCCGACACGGGTCGTCCCGTCCACCCACTCCGCGGCCACCGCGACTTCGGCTTCGCCTGCGCCTGGTCGCCAGATATGCGTCACATAGCAACCTCCAATCAAGACAAAACAGTCATCATCTGGGACGCGCGAACCTGGCGTCCGCTTGAAACTATCGACTCTGACGTTGCGGGATACCGCTCTTTGCGTTTCTCCCCCGTCGGCGGTGGTCCACGTACTCTCCTCTGCACTGAGCCTGCAGATCGTATTTCTATCGTCGATGCGCAGCTCTTCCGCTCGAGACAAGTGCACGATTTCTTTGGTGAAATTGGTGGTGCGGACTACTCGCCTGACAGCGCAGAGATCTGGGTTGCCAATACGGATCAACACTTTGGTGGGTTCATGCAGTATGAACGCAGGCAGTGGGGTCAGCGTGTTGGGTTGACGGATTTACCGAATGAGTGGCTTACGGAGGAGGAGTTGGATACGGATCCTAGGTGTGTTTCGAGTAAGAGGGAGCGGGGACTGAGGTTTTTGAGGAATTTGTCGGATGAGGAGCATGAAGCGTTGATGCTTTGATTTGATTGTTCTTGTTTTCTGTCGTCTGTTTTTATTCTTTCTCTTTTTTTTTTTTTTTTTCTGGGTGGTATTCTTTGCGATCTTTCTGCATCTGATACCCTGGGCTATGGAGTTGGAGGCTGTTTATAGTATTCGTTTCTTTTGATTTTTATATAGTAGTGGATGTGCATTCATGATATGTTGTAGGCTCGTGTCAATTAAGGTGTTATACGCTAAACACTTCTCCCTCTCAAGTTGACAGCACGAGTATCTTCTCAACCTAATCCCAGTCCTTCGATAACTGATCAGATACCCATCCCGATCTGTGATCTGTATACTATATACGAGTCACATGACGTTGTAAATCGGTGCAAATATAGTCCGATAATGTCATAAGAACTATAACCTCCGATGCCTACGATGTACTCCGTATATGTTGTACATATACTTAGTACAGTGGTAGTACTGGTGTCTTGCATACTGAATACAGCGAGCCAGTAATATGACTTGCAATAAATTCAGCAAAATATGATACATCGAATATGGAGGCACCACTTTCTTTCCTTTTACTTGTCATCGGCTTTATGTTGTAGTATATGTAAAATCCGCAGACCCCCCTATGAACTGGACTACAAACTCCGAACTATCACCTAAGCCACACTAAAACCGCTAAAATCGCTAAAATTCTCCAAAATGAATGCAAAATCAATAGTCCATCTCTCAAAACACCCACTAAACAGCCCACTCGCTCATAATTGGCCTCAGCTCCGATCCACTCCATCCGATCGAACAGCGCATCGCCCGAATCAACAAAAACGCCCCGCAACCCCTCCATCCTCAGCTGAAGATCTTCCATTCCATTCTCTTCTTTTAGTTTTACTATTAAAGTCATAGTTTCGCATCTTAGTCTATTTTCAACCTCTTAAACCACTCAATCTTTACCTTCATCTACTCACCCCAACCCTAAAGCCAATATGTCGTACAACGATAACCAGCAATACGGCGGTGGCAACCGCGGCGGCGCTAGCAGCAGCTACTACAACACCGACGACAATAACAACAACTCCTACGGTGGATCTAGCGGTGGCTACGGCAATAACAACAACAACAACTCTGGCTACGGCAACCAGAACCAAGGCCAGGATAACTACGGCCGCCAGGAATCTCACAACAGTGGAGGCTACGGCAACAACAATAATAACAACTCTGGCTACGGCAACCAGAACCAAAGCCAGGACAACTACGGCCGTCAGGAATCCCACAACAGTGGAGGCTACGGCAATAACAACAACAACTCCTCCGGCTACGGCAACAACAACAACAACAATGGCCGCCAGGAATCCCACAACAGCGGAGGCTATGGTAACAACTCCAACAGTGGAAGTTACGGCAATAACAACAACTCCTCTTCCAACCACAACAACAACGACAGCGATGATGAATTCAGCAGCGCCGCCACCCACGCCCAGGCGAACCACAGCAGCGAAGACAAGTCCCTCTTCAGCAGCGCCTTGAACTTCCTCAAGGAGCGCAAGAACTCCTCCAACGACGTCGACGAGCAGCAGGCTGCCAATGCGCACCAGGCCATGTACGGATCTGGCAGTGGATCTAACCAGAACCATGATTCCAACACTATTGGTGCTGGTGCTGCGATGCAGGCGTTGAAGATGTTCACTGGTGGTGGCAACGGTGGAAACAGTGGAAGCAGTGAGGGTGGAATGGATAAGAACAAGCTTATTGGACTTGCTATGGCTCAGGCTGGAAAGCTGTTTGATGAGAAGAATGGGTCTGGGGGTAATGTGGTATGTTCTTCTTTCTTCGCTTGGGGATGACGGGTGAAGAGATGCTAATGCTAATGTTGTTATTTAGTCTGGCGACAAGCAGTCTGCTATTAACTCTGCTGCGGAGATGGCGCTTAAGATGTATATGAAGAATCAGGGTGGTGGTAGCAGTGGTAGCAGTGGTGGTGCTAGTGGGCTTATGAGCCTTGCCAGCAAGTTCTTGTAAATGGTTTTATTGCATCGCTGCATATGTGCATGTTGTAATTTGATTTGAGAGATGAACATCATCCAGAATGACATGATAACCTTTCGTATGATTTTGTTGCGCGAAACGGTATATATTGAACTCGGCTCTACTGTAAAATGTAATGACAATGGGAGAAGAAGAAAAAAACAATGATCCGCTGACCTGCACATGCATATGCCACGGCCCTCACAAACGAAAAAAAATAAAAAACGCAAAAGGTCAACGCTAAGCGCAGAAATGTCCAACACCGCGACCGACCATAAACAAACAATTTGTCAACTCTACCACTCATCGTCGTCGTCGTGTTTGCCCTGCATCGCACTTTGTCGTGCCCGTAGTGCCTCGGCCAAACCACCTGCCAGGCTGGCGTTCGATGCACTGTTGGGCGTTCCGCGGCCGCTGGCGCCTGAGGAGTCGCCAGACTGAATGCTCGCGACGCTATCCCGCGGAGCGGGCGGGGGAGCGGGTTTGCGTCCAGCCATGTTGGGACGCTTGGCCGGGGGAGCTGGCGGGGCGGGCTTGCCCTTTGCGGCTGCAGCGGCTCCAGCGCCGTTTGGAATAGGGCTGGGGGTTGCGCGGGGTGTCATGGGAGGTGGTGGTGGAATGGGCTTTGGGGCGGGAGCAGCGACTACTTCTTCAAGGTAGGATTCGGGGGTCCATCCTTGCGCTAATGTTGTGGTGTTCTTACACAGCCACCATCCTAGGACAAGTTAGTGATGATCAAAACCAAGTATGTTATGGGTACGTACCATTTCCTTCCTTGGATACAATCTCCACAATTTCGCCCTTAATGATGGAAAGCTCATTGGCCCGGTCGCTGTTGTAATCATACTTGACCTTAGCAGAGGGCTTACTTGAGGCTGCAGGAGGTGCCATAGGAGGAGGTGGTGGAGGAGCCCTCATGGAGTTAGTAGATCTCATGGAGCTCGTAGACTCGTTGCGAGAGTGTGCAGCGGCGGCAGCAGCCACAGGTTGAGATACCATGCGAGGTTGAGGCACAACACGCTGCTGGACAGCAGGTTGTGGTACCACGGCAGGCTGTGGAGTGGACCGGGGCAGAGGTTGAGCCGCAGGGACAGGCCTGCGAGCAGCTTGAGACAATTTCGAAGGGCCGCCACCGGGGCCACCAGGACGAAGTAGCTTGCCCTTGGTAACCGGGCGAGCAGCAACTGCCTTGGGCCGTGGAGTAGGTTTCGAGACGGAGTTAGGAGGCTCACCGGCACTGGTGTGGATTGTGCTGCTTTTGTAGCTATCGACGTTTCCAGCAGCTGGATCTTTGACTGCCTTGACTGTGGCCAACTTGCCAGGCTTCTTATGATATTCGATGGCTTCTCCAATCTTCAAAGTCAGAGAGCCACGCAGGACAGTGGTGAGATGAGTGAAGAACTCCGTTTTGAAGATACAGTTAAGTAGCGGGTCAGGTTCCTGAGCCCCAATAACCAGCGAGAACCAGTCATCCTTGAGATTCGAAGTACTGACACTCTTGATTGCCCCAACGGGAACGGTTCGTTCCGCTGAAATCACAAGCTGGTTGTTGAGGATGCTCTGCGCAACAATGAAGACATTACGAGTCGTCAAGACAAGAATTCGGGGAACAGGCTTGCTAGAACGACCAAACTTAGAGACCAAAAGCTCAGCACGGCAAGAGAAAACAACATCATCTGAACCGCTGATGCCTGCACCGTTGCGGATCATTTCACCAGGACCACCGGTATTTCCGACACCAAGATAATCGCCCAAGAACCGACGAGAGCCGAGAAGACTCATTCTCCGGCGCTCCTTGCGGCCCTGGAGCACTTGGTGTCCCTGATCACGGACCTTGATGAATTCGAGTCCACCAGTCATGCGGCGCCAGAAGCGCTGGATGCGGATCGCACATTCAATGCGGTACCGGAGATAATTTCTCCAGGCACGCTGAATGCGAATGGCCATGTTGTGCCAATATTTGTCTCGCATGGCTTCTAGTGCGAATAATGTTTCCGGAGTCTTGACGAAGACCTTTGTGATACCCATCTGGTACTCCTCGGGAGGGATCCGGGTATCCTTCAAGATCTGCTTCGCACCAGATTCTACATCACCAGTCCATGTGTAGTCACCGGCATACGAAGTCTTCGGGGACAGCAGGTAGAATCGCTCGGTAAACTTGTCGAATGTCTGGCGATAGGCGAAACCAGCACGTCGAATGCGGACATTCTCCTGGAGACCCAGATACTTGATCTGATGCAGGACATTGCCGACATTGTACTCCCTGGGGGCCTTGTTATCGTTGGGTTTGATAGTACGAATATAAGATGGCTGTGCCTTCATGAGCGTGGCCACAAGGTCATTCGCTGATGCCTTGATCTTGTCACCGGCGGTAGGTGGGCGACGCTTGTCATCCTGGTTGACCTGGTCAGGGAACAACGAGTGAACAAATTCATTGCTGCTAGATTGGGCAAGGTTCAACAAGTCCTTCAACAGCTGATCCTTGTTCTTATCCGTCATTCCTTCAATGGCGTAGCTGACATCACCAGCGTAGTGCTTGATGATGAACTGACCCTGGCGACCTTCGAAGTTGGGGTTCTGGGACAGGAAGTTGAGCCTGCCAACGAACGTCTGATCGGCCGCACCGGAATCGGCGTGGGCAGTTGCACAGGCATCGTTCAAAGCGGCGAAAACACCAGGGGGGCGCTTGTCCTCGATCAACGAACACACCACTTTGTTGTCAAAGTACTCGATGGGAGTCCACTTGATCTGCTCACGGGCATACTCATCTTGTTCTGCCTTGAGAGTCAATTGAATGAAAATCTGCTGCAGTTTCTCGTTGACATAGTTGATACACAGCTGCTCGAAAGAGTTCTTCTCGAAGATTTCGAATCCGTAAATATCCAGGATACCAATTGAATTGGTAATCGACCCTCGAGCAGTCAGTGACTGGTTGACGCGCTCCACAATCCAATCGAACAGATTGAAGTAAATTGCCTTGGCCAAAGCATCACGAACGGCTGAAGCCTGGACCCTGTTCAGTGGCACCTCATATATGGAACCTCTGCGCCCTCCTCGGGCAGTCTCCATCAGACGAATAGTCAAAGCTTTGTTCACTTGAGCAGCATCCACCTCCAACAGGTAGGCGACGAAATCAACAACTGACTGGTCGCTAATCATAGCATTACCAGAGTCATCCTCGCTGAATTGAACATTTCCAATCCAGAGAATAGCTGCCAGCATGCGGAAAACATTGTCCTGCTCGGCATCACTCATTCCAATCACCCTCATCGCATCCAGTGTATCCTTGAACTCGGCAACATCGTCGATTCCCGGCACATCGTAACACTTGGAGCGGCTCGTATAGAGGTAAGACTGGGGTTGCTGAAGACCGAAGCTGTCACGGTACTTCTGTGGGGCACCCTTTGTGAGTTGGTAGAAGATGTGGAAATTTCGCTCATTCGCAATTTGTCCCACAACTCGTGACTTCTCCAGCAGATAATTCGTAATATTGGCTCCAACAGGCTCACCGTTGGCATTGAACTCCAATTCTAGATACTTTCCGAATCGGGACGAGTTGTTGTTGCGCAGTGTCTTTGCATTACCGAACGACTCCAGCAACGGATTTGTCGCCAATACCATCTCCTTAGTCTGCTGAATAGACGAATCGCCGCCACCGGAGACACTAGCAATGTATTGCATGATGCGCTTCGCGGCCTCGGTCTTTCCGGCACCTGACTCTCCGGAAATGATGACACACTGGTTGTCCTTGTAGGATTTCATATTGTAGTATGCGGACTCGGCGACTCCGAAAACATGGGGAGGAACTTCGAGGCGGTTCTTGCCGCGATACGAATCGAGGACATTATCTGTGTAGATACCCACTGTGATGATCGCAAGTCTGTTAGCAAATAGAAAACCAAAACCTCTTCGCAGAGCAACTCACAGTCTCGGAAAGGATTTACTGAGACCAACACATGGCCAATATAAGTCTAATAGTTTCTTGTCAGCCTATACTCGTGCTCGCGCACAACCCCGCAGTCCGCGTGCGAGAGTGATCCCTTACATAAATCTCGTCATGCTCGAACCGGAGCTTCAGATTGTCGTTGATGGCCTCGTTGGAGATCTTGCTGAGCAGTGTAAGATCTGACACGCCGATCTCCTTTTTCTTGGTACTCTCGAAGGCGGCCTTCCTGACCTGCGGCTTTCCTCCCGCTTGCCGGCCATCGCCAACATCGGCGACTGCTTTGGAGCGCCCAAAGCGGCTCTTCTTTTCTCCGCCAACGGGGCGTCGTGACTGGCCCTATACCGCAATCGCCGGGTCAGTTTGATTCTTATCTGGTCGCAATGCGGTAGGCCACCTACCATCTTGTGTCAACCTCTCGGGGGATCGCCCAGGCGACAAATGTGAAATCTGACCTGTCAACCGAATGGGGGAATTCTGTTGACAAGTTAAGAGTCAGGAATTGGGAGTGAATAGGAAGTCTAGAATCAATTCTAGGTAATTGTAAGAGGGAAGTGCCCAGACGGACTTACGTACAACAAGTCAAACCGAAGCAAACAGCTGCGCCACAGATCCATTTCCTGGTTCCGTTGCTGCCTCAGGGGGCGAACTGGATATCTCCGAGATCAATATATCCGGTTACTAAGAGTCATCTCTTTGAGATAGGCCATTCTTATTGTTCAATACAATCTTTGTTGGTAATTCCTTTTTTTACAAACCTCGTCTGTCAGCCACGCGCGTGAAGGCTTGTGGCTCATGCGGTCAAGAATAGATACACCGACGTCATTGGGCATATCCCTTGCGAATATACTCCTGCCTAACCCGCAACTTTGGTTGACCTGCCCACCACAGATGGATGATTTGAAGCGCGGAGGTCATCTATGGATTATATTCTCGATATCGCATGAAATGTTGAATTCCAACTATGTAGCTTCGAATCTGCAAAACTAGACCTGCTCTCTCAGCCAACACCCAACAAGAAAAAGTTTCAAAGGCGCCGTGGAGCTTGCCCACTAAGCTCACAGTCTGTCGGGTACTTTTTTTCACAAATAAATTGGCCCGTTCTATCAATTTCTAGCGCATTGGCATTGTGGGTGGCGAGAAAAATGACTGGACTTGTACCAGACAAGGTGGGAGACTCAATCTATACACTCCGCCTTCCAAGTTAGAGGAGCTGAAACTAGCACAATTAAATAAAAAAACAGGTGTTGAGAATTGAGGGAAGAGTCGAGGCTACCTGCTATCCAACTCGAATAGCGGGGTGAGCTATATAGAGGTGGACATTGCCCTAGTAGCTATTGAAAGTCGGGAGTTCCTAATGGACAAATCCTTGCTGGTGCAGATTGTCTTGCTGGTTGCCGAAGTCAGGCTTGCAGGAGGCTCTCTCGATATTTTGGTGTAGACATCGAAGTAATCGTCTCTTTTGAGACCTCGGGGATGATGTGGAGGACGATGCCTATGGGCTGACACAGTTCCATTTCCAATGAAGTGACTGAACACCAGAGGTTTCGGTAAGAACCGGTGTTGTATAGTAATATCGATCCCACTTTCGACCTCCATGTAGACTATGAAGCCATCCATATACAACCACATGTCAAGAAATGAAATGAAGCGCCAGTGCTTGTTGATTTTTGTCGAGTACGAATATATATGGGAGAAGAGGGAGTAGATGTATTGCTTCCCTAAGGGGGCATAGTGACACTAGCTATATAAACACGTAATACCTGGAAGACAAGACATCTATGGGCAAACACAATATTCTTCGTGGTAACTAAATGGAAGATTTCACGGATCTTTAAATGGACCCACGAGTGATCCTGAGAGGCAGTGTTTCATGAATACAACATGAACGCAAAGGTAATCATAGGATAGCGACAGAGGGCAAGCGAAATTGTAGATATAGTTACATGTTGTTTAAAGTGAGACTTGCAACGTCGTGATTCAACCTCTTCAGCAAGACTCACGAAGAAAGAAATTGACTGACATTGTGGTCCTCTGGAGTGAAAGGTTGGATTTCTGCGTCTACATACAGTAGAACAAACATTTGGTGACAGATGGAACTAAAAGGGCCGATTAAAGGATACGGCGATGTGGATTAGGATGCAATCATATAATCATACATGGGACCAATAAAAGTTATACCACTCATTAGAACACTGTGTCAATTGTTTTCAGTTGAAAATCCCCGGCAAGAGACATTTCCTCTCGAAAAAGCGACCAGTGTTCGGAACTGCATCCCTCGGGCTTCACTTTTTGGCCTGAGCTGAAAACGAAAACTTCGAAGGCGGAAATGACGTAGACCCAGGCGTAGGCAACAAAGGTTTGTCCCCAGGGGCGCTGACTGGAATCTAATTGCGATATATTAGCAAATGATCAACATAAAGGAAGCTTTGTAGCTCAAATATAACTTACCGGGTTGGCCCGTGAGACACTCTTCATGTAAGCGCCTATGCAATCTAGAAGATAAGATGCATCAGACACAACAAGAACAGGCGGTGGTTCTGCGAAGCCCAGTGAAAGGCAATGGTGCAGTGCATTGAGAGACTGCACTGCCTCGACCTGTTCGTTACCGGACGATCTCGCATCCATCAAGTACACAATCACTCCCAATGAATTCTTGTTAGCCTCAGTGAACTTCTGGATTGCGGTTGCAGTCTGATGTCTTGTAGTTACGTGTAGTCGACTTGGAGTCAATAAGAGCGCATTCAGCCTGATGGAGTGTATCTGATGAAGGAGATCAAACGTTGATAGGGTTCGGTTTTGGTAGGTAAGTTCGAAGTTAAAATCGGCATCTCGAGCAGCCCACAGAGCTTAAATGGGAGTTAGCATTTAGACCTTTTGTGAAGGAGTCAAGGAAACGCACAACTGAAATCTGTTTTCGGGGATCCCAGCGAAGCTAGAGGATACGGTCAGCTCCAAATGTTGAGTAAATCAGTGGAAGTGTCACACCTTCTTTCATTGTCCCAAGAGCAGTGAGACTGGTAGCCAGCCTGGGCCATTCATCGCGTTTCCGAAGTTCTGGGTTGTATTCACCCCGAAGGCCAAGCGTTGGGAGAGACGTAGACATTGCGGCGGTCGACATGAAAACAGGTGGTGGAAGACTGCCACTATCTGCCGTTTGAGGGACAAGCGTAGATATAGGGATAAACGGAACTGATGAATTGAGCGGGCTCGCGGTGGAGCGAGGAGAGAGAGACGAGTTGTTAGTAGGAGATTCAGAACACATGACAGAGAGAGAAACAAGTGACCCAATTATTGAAATAGGAGACGTCAGATGCAAAGGACCGATGAAAGAGAAAAGAATCAAAGAGAAGAGTTGTTGCCTGTATGGACGTGATGTGTATATGTACATTTCAGGGAAAGAGCGAGGAGAGTATCAACAAGTCCGCCTTGCAACTCCTACTCCCAAAAACAAAACAACTCCTAATATTCTTTGCAGTGGTCGTTTCAACGGGGTATCTTGACCGAATATAAAAGCAAATGCACGCCTAATCTTCTATAATAGGAAATCGCTAGATATGAGATGAATACCAATCAATACCAATCCATTAGCAATCACGAGCTCTTCGATGCAGATGATGGTCTCAGACTAGCTGATGCAGTAGACTGGTCTGGAGATTGGGGCGGCAAGGCTGCCTGTTCTGTTGTAGGCTGGGTACTAGGCGCAGACTCGGTTGTGTTCGCAGCGCTTTGACCGAAAGTAATGTACGAGGAAATGCGTGAGAGCCACCCCTTTGCAATTATTGGGGTCTCCGGCTCTGGGGCCTGTTCATAGATCTCAGGGGACAGAATCCTCTTCGTAGACAACTTGGGCAAGTCGCCGTGCTTGGCTCTTAGCTGGAGTAGCTCCTTTTCTAGTGCGACTAGAGCTTCACGAGCCGCTTGCTCGGATTGTTCTAGCTCTGCTAATCTTCCCTCCACACCTTCCCGCCGTGTACTTTCCTTACTCCGTGATCGCCACGACTCAAAGAGGATCAGGCCGCCGGCAACCATGAAGAGAAAGGTTTCTGAAATGAAATTGGCGCCGGACTCGATAGCTTTAGACTCAGAAAGGGGACGGATATGATAGTGGTGTGGTTTAGCTGCCTCTTCTGCCGCAGCTTTGGCTTTGGCCTCTGCTTCCTCTGCGGCTTTCGTTTCGGCAGCGTTTCGAACGGTGGGCATTGAAGGCTTGAATTTTCGAGCTTCGGCTTCGGCAGCAGCTCGACGTTGGGAGGCTGCATTATCGCGGAGGGAGCCTAGTCGGAGGCGCATATCAAATCGGTGAAGGGCTTGGGCCATAGAGACGCAGATCTTGCGAAACCGTTCATGTTCACGGGCCTGAGCTTTGATTTGAGACTATGTGGGTCAGCCTATGGATTTGGCAGGGTTAAGCTCGAAATGCAAACTTACAGCGATGGGCTTGGAAAGGGTCCGGATTGCCAAGGAGGAGAGCTTTAATGTTAACGACATAGTTGGAGAATGGAGAGAGTAAGCACATGAACCAAGGTCGGGAAGCTTGAGTCACTTCCTTACCTCCGACGCGGTGGCCCCGGCGTCCCGAATTGATTACTCATCATCATCTTCAGGGCCCCCGCCCAGGAAGAGGTGCAGCGACCATAGGATGCTTATTTCCAATATCCAATAATATTGATACATTTGCTTGGCAGTAACAACATTTGCTGAAGATTCCTAGGTTTGATGTCATTAAACTTGAACTATTGGATTTTTGCTTATAAAAATCGCTGAGACCACAGTTTCCTCCCCCTTTTGAGGTGAGAGATAAGACAAAACTGCTATTACAGAAATGTATGGATAACTTCTCTATATAGCATTAACTATATCCAACACAGTCGGAAAGAAAACCGCTAGCATCCCATAATATTTAGATATTGCATAAACTGATACTCCCAAAGATGGAGTACATAGTACATAGTACACATGCCACACCGGTGTCCTGTATCATCCACATAAGGCTAGCCTCTCATTCCAATGGCCCAAGCCTAATGTGGGAATTACAACCTTGGAACAGAGCTCGGAAACCTCCCGAGTGAAAATAAATATTGCACGTTGTACATTCTACATTGTACCGTTTCTTTCCCTTTCAATATATGTTGCTTTTCCGTTGAAATTGTAACACTTTGCAGCTAATAATGAACCAATCATCTCATGCATGTTATTTCCATTTAAACTGATATCCTTCGGCCCCCTAACTTCAAGTTCTCGGCTGAAGCGATGTCGCCCTTAATATAATTTTCGTTACGCGAAAGCTCGGCTTAACCAAGATAACAAAAATTAGCCCCGGGCCCTCTCCTCATCGACCAGTAAAATGGTGTGATTAGCCTGCTTGACCTCTAGCGTGGAAATATTTTCTGCTTGATAGCTTTTCCTTTCTTGCAACGACGCCATGGCAGGGGTATTTGAGGAAAGCTCTTCTAAGAAAGGGAGTCGGTATGTTGTTCAAAATGTGGAAGATCAAACATTCTCCCCACAGTCGGGTCCATCGCACTCTGCTATCCCCGACGATGGGCAGATCGTTACCCAATATGAACGCCAAAGCTTGATCCGGGGTCTGGGGCAACGCCATATTCAAATGATTGCCATCGCGGGCGCAATTGTATGTGCACCATCGTGAAGACTTTGACTTTATCACTGACCTTCTATAGGGTACAGGTCTCTTTCTTGGTCTGGGTGGATCGATCGCCACCGGTGGTCCTCTGGGTGCCTTGCTAGGCTACTTCTTTATCGGCGTGGTAGTCTGCTGCATTCAATTTGCACTGGGAGAAGTCTCAGCGCTGCTACCAGTCACTGGTTCTTTTGTGCGACACGCAGAGATCTTGGTTGATCCCGCGCTAGCGTTTGCCGTCGGCTGGAATGTTGTTTATGGATGCTTTATCAGTGTTCCGAGTGAGATCTCCGCCAGCGTCGTTCTTATTCAGTACTGGACGGATATCAATGCTGCCGTCTGGGTGACTGTTCTTATAGTGGTGTCAGTGGTTGTCGCCATCTCGTTCATCCGCGTCTATGGCGAGATCGAATTCATTTTCGCCATTCTCAAGATCCTCCTGGTTGTCTTTGTGGTCATCCTGGGTCTTGTTATCGATCTTGGTGGTATACCAGGTGTGCCTCGACGTGGCTTCCACTACTGGAAAGACCCTGGCCCGTTCGTTGAATACATTGCTACTGGGTCTTGGGGACGATTTCTCGGTTTCTGGGCTGTCATGACCAATGCAGTCTACTCGTTCGCAGGCGTGGAATCCTTGGCCATGGCCGCTGCCGAAACAAAAAACCCGCGACAGAATATCCCCAAGGCCTGCAAAAGGGTTTTTGCACGAGTTTCTATCTTCTACCTCGCCGCTGTGCTGGTCGTGGGCATGTTGGTCTCTAGCGCCGATGAACGCCTTGGCTCAGACTCTGGCACCGCAGCTACGAGTCCTTTCGTCATTGCCGCTGGCGATGCAGGTATCAAGGCTATTCCCTCCGTTGTGAACGCCGTATGCTTGACCTCTGCGTGGTCTGCATCGAACCAGAGTATTCTGGCGGGAACAAGAACCTTGTATGGTCTTGCGATCAAGGGCCATGCTCCGAAGATTTTCCTACGCACCTCCAAGTGGGGAGTACCGTACATGTGTGTGCTTTTGCAGGTTGCCTTCTCTCTCCTCGCTTACATGTGTGTTTCCAACAATGCCATGAATGTCTTCTGGTGGTTCGTTGATTTGACCGCGGCTGGTACCTTGGTCTCGTGGATCACCATCGCTTTGAACCATATTCGTTTGTTGCAAGCGCTGGATAAGCAGGGCATATCACCAACAGAATTGCCGTGGCATAATCGCATTACCAGTATGTATCCCAGTCTGGTTTTCAATGATTGAGTCTTTGAAAGATTCGAATACTGACATTATCAAGGATATACAAGCTGGTTCGCCTTGGTCTCTTGTGTGCTGATTCTCTTGACTGGAGGATTCACGGTTTTCACGGCTGGAAACTGGGATCCTGCCTCGTTCGTCTCGTCCTACCTGTGAGTCTTCTTCTTTGTGGTATTGAGCTCAATCCACTAACCTTGGAACTAGGGATATTCCACTGGTCCTCTTCGCGTATCTTGGCTATAAGTGGATCCGCCAGACAGAGATTCTTCCTCTGAGGATGGTACCAGTTCAACAAGCAATAGACGAGGCCAACAACGACCCGGATAATGTGCCGATCAAGAAAGACAATATACTGGCAAAGATGAATATTCTTTGGGGCTGACATGTCTCTTACCTATCGCAGGGAGACTACCTGTTTTGTTTGAAGCAATAGACTGAGACGCGATATATCCCAAACTAGTCTAGTTAATAGTTATATTTAGTATATATATTTAATTTACATAATAACACCATCCATAACATTCTTCTTATTTCCGTGGTTCCATATAGTGTTGGCTTGTTTGAATTTGCGACTTGCATGCCAGGGCATGATTGCTACCTATGCATGTGTATATAACCTATCAGCCAGAAATCAATTTTGCTTTCTCTCTTGCACTCCTGTCGGTAAGTTTTATAGATTTATCTACCACCTATCACCGCCGTTCTGGGCTAGATAGCCTGTGTATTAGTATATGAGGATTTGAAGGAAGCATGGTCTCTCTATATATAAATGCAGTTAATCTAGTCAGGGTACATGCAAAAGGAGTAGCCAGATGAGCTGGCCACTCAAACATGCGCTACACTTGTATTTTTGTGGTCTCTTCAAGTATACCTGCTGCTTCTTCCTTTCCACCTGTTTCATTATCTCGCCTCTATCGCTCCCCGTCGAGTGAATCTGTCGCTACAGATATAAAGCCTTATGTACCATGGCTAGCTAAACTGTGATGCGCCTAGCATTAAGGTCAAAGTGAGTCACTTTTGGTTTATCTCTTGAGAGCCTTGATATAAGCCCTAGATATAGGCACTAAATATTCATTCTTCTATAAGACAAGGTTAACCCTCTCCTATAATTGCAAAGCTTAGAGCGATCCTTCCACCTGGGCGATGAATGTTTGTCTGACATCCTTGGCCTCTTGGGGGGGCTTCTGTACTGTGGAAAAGCGATATCTGAAGACTCAGCGAGTACGATATCAAGTATATGAAAACAGATTTTCCTGTCTTCCAAATTGGGACATCAATGCGGTCATACTCGCGTGGGAATATGAAGTCCCTGTTTGGAAGCTGCCCTGAGTAAAAGCATTTTGCTGGTGCTTTCTACATAGTCCTTGCGGACTACAATGTACCCGAACACATTTCGCCACTGGAGCGCATGGAGCCCAAAATATATCTATAAATGCCGTCATCGCAACGCCCAAGTGAGTCATTCTGTTACTAGTTTTTAATTATTTATACTGATTATTATCTATTCATTCAGATGATTGGTACAGACAACTAGGGAAACGCAATTTTCTCTTGTAGATGATACCGCCATGAGGAGATACAGCTATACCATGGTTGGCTGCCCTTGGCTAGAACAACCGGAAAGGGATTATTTTTCGGAAATTGCGCAGAAGTATACCATAAGGTTGCTTGACGTATTGAAGTATGTTTACTCGCAACCTCTAGACATAGTACCTGTGTAAATTTTAAGACTGAAGCTGACTAAATAGCCAAAACATCAACGCTGCTGTCAACGGAATTAAGCCCCACAACTCCCGGATAATTCACTGGGCCACAGCGTTGGCGTACGTACCTATTCCCTGTCGAAATGAGAATCGCAACCAATCCAACCATGTCTCATTTCGCCCCAAAGGCCTTGAGGGGCTTAGATTTTTTTGTCTCCTTGATCCTAGAACCTCCAGGTAATTCTATCTTCACGAGCTAATTGATCATATGAAAATAGAAAGAAACCTGATCTTGGCCTTTCTGCAGCTTTGTCTGGGACATCGAACGGTATTATAGAGATTGCCACTTCTTCCAAACTTCTTCCAAACTTCGCTGCCGTATCAAAAAAATGCCGCAGCAAAGAATGAATTCTTAAATTGGAGCTTACTTCAACCTCAGCATCTTCTCCGGGAGCAGCACTGCAGTTCATGTAATATGTGTTATAGCTATGGCCACCCTAATCGCTCGCGAGAAGGGGGCTCTATATATATATATATTCCTTGTCACCGAGTACGATGAGTTCCTCTGGCATCTTTCCCTCCGCGAAGTTGCGGTTTATGATGCTTGCAACCGACAATTTGTTGATGTAGCCACTCTTACTTAGTATTTAACTGCTGGCTATCTTGGAAAATCCAACAACCCTCAGCGGACAACTCCCATGGCTTGAGTCTGAGCATCTAGAAGTCAGGCACACCTCAACACAACTTTGACTGGTTGAAAGCCATGTTTTTACCAACCCTCGAAATTTATTGAGCAAGGAAGGCTTGGGGGAGAGTCCATATACGGTGGGCATTGGCGATTTTGGATGTTTTGACAGCTCCTACAACATTAGGCAGTTATGGAATTATCATTGGCAAATTTCGACGAAGGATGGATTGTGCCACGAAGTACCCGAAGGCCAAAAGGATGGATTTCCTGATCACATCGTTACGCTTATGAAGACTATTTTTATTGAAGGTGGAAAAATCTCGTATAATCTTCCGCTCTATGTCATGTGTTTGTGTTGGAGGTCACGTAACCTCTCGTTTGCTCCTAGCTACCAGTCTTCAATCTGCAGATAGTTTCTTCTCCTCTTCACGCAATTCAAGAGTTTTGCAGACACACCTACATTTCATTGTAGACTCTGTATCTCTCTAACAGTTTGTCTCTTTCTTTATATGAATCATCCAAGTCCAAACATTTTGACATTGTAGATCAGGTTTTTACAACGGTACCTTGCTATCAACGTGTACGAAGATGAAGATAATATCGTTGCGATTCATCTATCGCAAGTAGACTATCTTAGAAAGGACCTTGCACAATTCAGTCTCGAGAACTAAATTAGGCTCAACTCAAATAGTTAAGAAGGATGTACTCCCTACGTTCACTTCCACTAAACTAAGGCTTGGTAAGATGTTGCCTTCGGAGTTGAAGCGAATTAGCTGAAGTACTACATAGACTACTGCTTAAGCTCCTCATAAAGTAGCAGCCTTTCTCAAAATTGAGAAATTTACTCAGCAATGATGGAGGGTTCAAGTAAGAATTTGTGAGCTGGTATTCAGGTATGATTGAAAGTTATTTTCGATCTGAATGTATCTATGCGGGGACCGGAACCTTACAAGCTCTATGTTCTAACCCGGCAGAATTTCCAAGTATGGCAGAACATATTGACCTATGGACAACAGTTTTTATCAAGTTCTATGGGGTTTTAATAAAGGAAGGAAGCGAGAAGTATCGAGCCAGAGGTTTCTGCTGTCTGGGGCCACTATACTGAACCGTAAGCATGGTCATGTGATCTCAGGAGCTTGGTTATTAGTCATCAACAGGCATCGAATTTATGATCTTGAGACAGTAGAAAAAGGAAACATAGAGCGTAAGTAAATTTGAAGAGAGAATCAGACAGGAAGGGAGAAAATGTGTCTACCACCATACAACTATGGATATCATAAGGCACCCCTGGCACGTGACCATGGATGCCAAGACAATCCTATCCATCCTCCATAGGCATTGGCCGAGTCAAACATTCATCCAATATAACCCATTGAGATTGTTCGCATGTTTTTTTTTGAGCTTCAGTCATCTGGATGAGACGATTTCTGATGCTTCCCGAGATGAGCAACTAATATCTGGCGTGCAGGATGCCGATTGAAGCTCTTCCTCAGAAAACAATCCGGGCGATTGGCTCCACATCTGTTATTTCGGATCCCTACTCTGTTGTCAAGGAACTTGTAGACAATGCTCTGGATGCTTCTGCTACGTCATTGCAAATTGAAATTTCCCACAACACTGTCGATGTCATACAGCTCAAGGACAATGGCCATGGCATCTCTGCAGAGGACCAGCAACATGTCTGCAAGCGAGCTTTTACCAGCAAGATCCAGACATTAGATGATCTCAAAAATATCGGAGGGTCATCATTGGGATTCCGTGGTGAAGCACTGGCAAGTATCGCAGAGATGTCTGGGGTCTTCACTGTCACCACTCGGGTTGAGTCTGAAGTTGCCGGTTTTTTTTCGAAGTATGGAAGAAACGGAGAGCGTATTGGGTATGCTGACCGCACAATCTCTTTGGCTTCTGCCCCATTGCTAACCTGTTATTTCAGAACACAACGGATGTCACATCCTGTGGGCACAACTGTTCGCATCACGGACTTCCTCAAACACATCCCTGTCCGCAGGCAGACTGCCTTGAAGGGTGCTACAAGGAATCTCACGAGGATCAAAAAGCTTCTCCACGCATATGCTATAGCTCAGCCATCCAAGAGACTCTCACTCAAAGTTCTTAAGGCAAAAACTGAAAACAGCAATTGGACCTACGCGCCAAGCGTAGACGCATCGCTCTCGGATGCAGCTATCAAGGTAGCGGGGACAGAAGTGGCTTCTTCTTGTATCATGAAGCGGCTTTCTTCCCAGAATGCCGCCCGCAATCAGCGAGAATTATCAGATCAAAAAGAGTATGAAGCCATCGCTTTTCTTCCCAAGACACAATTTGGTAAGCTCATCTAATTGAACGTTCGGTTTTATGGTTACTAAACAAGTTAGATACTTCCAGAATCAACGGTTCAGGCCAATACATCAGTGTGGATGGTCGCCCTCTCTCTAGCAGCGGAGGGATTGGACATGAGATCGTTAAAATTTTCAAGCCATATGTCCGCGCCGCCGCATCCAAAAACGAATCTACCAAATCAGTTAGCGATCCTTTTCTCTGTTTGCAAATTCTTTGTCCCCAAGGAACATACGATGTCAACATCGAGCCAGCAAAAGATGATCTCCTCTTCGAAGATCGAGATGTAGTCTTGGCCTTGGTAGAAAATTTGTTTCGCGACCACTACGGAGAAATAGATGGGAGGGAAGCAAGAACTTCCAACCAGGGCAAAGAGAGTGCTAGCAGATCCGATAGAGCCCCAGGAGGGTTTGAACTTTTGATGGCTAGGAAGCCAGCTACTGATCCTCCCACACAGACTCGCGATCCTGAGAACCCCTTCCGTGGAGCTATACCCCACACACCTCTCTCACAGAGGACACTTCAGTCAAAGTACGATTTCTCGCCTGTGGTTCCTTCTAGCAGCAAAGGCCCCGAAAGTCAAGAAGAACTGTCCACTGCTAGAACCAAACGTTCTAGCTTCGTCAATCCATGGTCTATCTCCAGAATCAATGCCTCATTTCAAACATCGGGACGCGGAAGCAATTCTATCAACCAAGCAAGCCCCGTTGATCTATCTAGTGGTAGCCTGCAGGGGCCGATCGGAAGGGAGAGTCAATCGCGAGGCTTCCAACATTCTCCCAACTCAGACTTAGCAAGTCCTTCTACTTCTCGACTTGCATCTGGGTCGCCAGTGAGGCGCCGGCGACATCATCCACAAGGATCAACCGATTCCTCCCCTGAGAGTAATCGCATTTCTAGCACCCGACGCGCTGAGAGGGAACGTGATCGAGATCGATATGGGAACGGAGCTCTCGATACTTGGTTTCAGAGAACCACACAAGTCTCACTGCAGCAAGACCCTGTTGAGGAAGCACCGACTCAAGAACCGGACTCTCCACTATCTTTACTTGCCCAGCAACGATTTGGATCACCTGCGGATAGTTCGCCAAATATTATACATGTCGATGCGCAGAATGATGGTTGTTCGGACAGTCCATCTAATAATAGCCTCACCCTCGAAGACCACGGTGACCATATTACAGAGGCAATGGATAGTGGTCGAGGATTTCCGGTTCTTGAAAGATGGGCGGCTCAACTTCACGAAGGCGTCACCCATGAGCAATCATCTGATCTGGATCTGGAAAAAGCACTCGACTTCGAAAGGCGGAAGAAAGAAGCCATCCAGAACAGTCGCACACGCTTCAAGAAGAATGATAAACCGTCTGGTTCCCAGTCTGCTCCAATATCACATTCGCCTCATGGTAATCGGTATCTTGCCGCAAAAGCTGCGTTAACTTCGTCTCAAACTTCGATCGGCGAGCCGGTCTCTGCCACAATGCTGTCTCCTCATGATCCGCGAGCATATCTGATCCGTCAGGAAAGGGACTATCCTATTGATGAACCTTCAACAAATGACGGAAAGGCTCGGAGACTACTCACTAGCAGACTTCCCTTCGAACGTATACCCGATGGTTCCGATCTGCATGATCTCGGTTACACCTGGTCGGTTGACTTGTCGTCTAGCTCGAATTCATTCAAGCAGAATTTGCCAGAAGATCTATATACCGAAAACGAGAATGGAACTACAGCATTATCCGCATCTGATCTTGAAACCTGCTTGCCCCTCTGGAATACACGGCTGATGCTTATCATGAAGCAGCAATACAAGAACAAGGATGAATCAAAGCCTTTGAGTGTTGAAATTGATCTTGCTGCCACTATTTCACAGCATTTGAGAAGTTCGCAATTAGCGCAACCCAATTAGAGCTGGCTATATCCATATAATACCTTGAGGGAGGTATTCTTCGCTAACTGTCATACGCCACAACTCCCCTCACATGTCTCATATTATTTATCTTTTTGAAGATTATCTGTTATTTATTCTATATATTAAATATCAGAGCTTTGACAATTTATCAGTTGGCATTCGGTACAAGATATACGTCAGAGTGTATTATCGATGTGAATCGGGCCTACTGACGTCGTCAATCTTCACGTTTTTCGTTTCCCTATATCAACTACCTTTCGCATATTATACCCATAGTGCATGGTACCATTTATTTTCAAATAGTCAATGCCATTATCTTTAATTCAATGATAATAGGCAAAACCAGCTGGTGACCTTATGATCCACGGATGCTCGCTTCAACGTTACATAATCTTGACATCAACACCTGGGCACCAAACGAGCTATAAAACAACCAATTCACAATTGGTATGTAGCCTGGCTCTTCAAAAATCCAGATAATATGCCAAAATGGCATTTCTCATACCCCCCTCAGCTCTAGAGCACCAGGCCTCTAGCTCTCTTCACTCTCCGCCGCTCAAAACCCAGATTACACCCGGCGATGTGGGAATCCTAAGATCAACTCTCCTACCCTCATTCGGCCTATACTCGTCCCTCTCGCTAGCAACATACATTGCAGCTGAAGCAACAAACCGGGTCGAACTCAAAGACTGGCTCTGGCCCACCGCCCAAGTCCTCAATGCCTGGTGGACCGCCATCGGGCAACCGATGTGCAAACACGACATCTCATTCAGAGCAGCTTATGAATCTTTAACATGGACCGAAAAGGTTCTTCTAAACTGCGTTACGATCTGGGGCACGAGACTCTTTGCCCGGGTCGCATGCCGGTCGTTGAACCGCCGGACCGATGATTCGCGGTACAGCGTAGTCAAAAAACAGCCGGGTTTTTGGAAAAGTGCATTTTTCAAGATATTTTTACCGGAAGCTCTTGTGTTGAGTGTGATCTCTTTGCCGTTCACAGTTCCGTTTACTACAAGTGAAGCTACGCTTCCAATGGGTGATGATGTAATGGATATTGTGCGGGCGCTTGGCGTTGCGCTTTTCGGAGCTGGATTTGCCCTGGAGGCTATGGCAGATACACAGCTTGAACTGCATCGACAGGAACGGACCGATTTGTGTAGACATGGTGTTTGGGATTTGGTGCGGCATCCAAAGTAAGTTTGCTGTCGAGATAATATAAATCACCCTTCGCCCTACATAACATATGCTAATGGTTGTCTAGTTACCTCGGGGACACTGTGGTTCATTTTTCATTTGCTGTGCTTAACATGGCTGGCCCATTCAATCCAGTTATAATACTGGGGCCTATGGCGAACTACCTCTTCCTGCGGTTTGTGGGTGGTGATAAGCAAACCGAGGCTAGCCAGGAAGAGCGCTATAAGTCTGACGATCCACATAATTATGGACAGCTGCGACAGTGGCAGAGGGAGAAGAATAGTATCTGGCCTGGTTTGCAGGACTTGGTGAATCCATGGGCACTGGCTGTTGCTGGTTGCGGGTTTATCGCTGTGGTAATTGAGGAGGGGTTAAGAGGTGCTTATGATATGTAATAAGAGTAGGGAGTCGAGTGTTTGCCAGACCGGCGAGTCTTCCTAGTTCGCCAAAACTAAATAAAAAAGTATAGTAATTCAAACATGCCAAAGTGGCTGAATTTCCAGGTCTATCCTACCAAGTATTTTGGGAGGGATTTGATGGTGTTCTTCAAATCCCTGTGTTCTTTTTTCTTATTTTTACTATGTCTCGAAATGCAATATTGAACTACTAGGTGAATACAAGTATGACAGTATATAGACGCCAGTGCGCCATCGTGTACAGACTGCCGTAGGGGTATATCAGCCGGAAATACAGAAAAATCTATATTATAGCTTTTTGTAAGCCTAGAAGGCAATTATATAGTTGAGCCCAATGCTCATTATGAAATACACGCTCTTTACATCCTTTTACTCTGTACCAGTAAGCGTTTGCTATTAGTTCACACCAGTCTTTCTTGTTCTACATATAATGCTTTAGAATAGTTTTTATTCTTTGTTTATCTAGTTGATTAGGGAGACGAGGTATACACAAGGTTAATACAGAATTCTCCCCATTCCTCCCCGGTCGCAGACGAACAGATTTCCTCTGCAATCGCATCCTCAATGCGCTCGCTATACCGCTGTTGATATTGGATCTTTACTTGCTCAAGGTGTCGTGGTTCCCAGTGGAGTCGTACGAGTCGCGAGATCAGGAGCGTGGAGCGCTCTTTGTCAGATTTCGATTCGTGGAGGGCCTGGTGGAGGAGAAGGGCGTCGCGCATGCTTCGGTTGATGGCGCCGTTGAGGATGTGGGCTAATGGTTCACCCTGTTGTAGAAAGATATTAGTACGAGAGTTTCAAGCAAGAGAGAGCGAACAAAATAAGATAGACGAGTAGCAATAATTTTTCGAAAGATGCAAGTAGACTTACTACTAGGTTCCGCGACTTCGCAATCATCCTTCGAACAAAATTATGCCCGTAGGTATCCTCGTAAGCACGCAGCACCTCACGGAGATGCGAATCGCTCCGCAAAATGATAATATTAATCATAGCCGTCTCCCCACCCTCGCGAGAGACAAGCGCCTGATGCAAATCTGACACATCCTGCGTAATAAGCCTTGGATCAAGCGGCTCGCGATCTTCCTGTCTTCTCCCCTCCAGCGCCAGCAGAACCGCGACGCGGAACTTATCTGCCTTAAGCTCCGACCGTATACATCTCTCCAAACTGTTATCGTACCTTGTGTCCCGGAAGCAGGACTTGATTTCACCGATGGCAGCGTTCGAGCGACCGATCAAAGATTCGATCAGCAGTTCCCGGTATGACGTCTCGGCTTGGTAGTAGCAGTTAGCCCAGTACGCCTCTGATTCCCAGCGACCGAGCGCGGTCGCGTAGGCAACTTTGCCGAAGTTGGAGCTGCCTAGTTTTAGCCGGAGGTGTTTGGCGAGGTTGATGCCCTTTCCTTGCAATCGGACACGGGCTTTGTATTCCAGGCGGAGGAGGAGAATCTCGTCGCTGGTCAGTCTGGGGAGGACCTTGATGATGGTTTTGCTGTCGACATTGCGGGTATGGTTGAGTGCGGATTGCATGGCTTTGGCGTCGGCGCCGGCGTCATAGAGGAGATGTTTGTCTGAGGAAGGAACTACTAGTTCTATATCTGCTTCGGCTTTTGCCCTTTGAGCTGCTAGCTTCGCAGCCTCGGGACCCTCGTGAAAAATCGATTCCCCAGACCTCCTTAGTTCCCCCATTTCGCTTTCTCTCGATTCATCGGAATCAGGGTCACCTGAAGAGGACGCTCTAGAACTTCCGGCAAAGTAAGCATTTTGCTGGAAATATTCAGAGTACAAAATTTTCTTCTCATATGGAGGTCGCTCCAAACAAGGATCCACCTGGATCTCATTCTCGACGAGCCATTGGTAAACCTTTTCGGAGCTGTCGCGAATCCTCTGATCACTCTCGTGTCCATTATAATCCGCCCAAGGGAGTGCCCGCAACGAAAAAGAGTGAATATGTTTGGAAATGTGGTTGAGAAGCACATCTTTATCAACTTGAAACCCTTCTTCTGCCCAATTGCACAGTGGGCATTGTCGAATTTCGCTTGGTGGGGTCTTCTTAGACAATTTAACCAGAACAGGGATCTGGTCTGGGGTAATTGTTGCTGTATGAATGGACTTCACGTGCTGCTCAAAGGCCATCCTGTCATTGAACTGAAGCCCATTGCCACATGCAAAGCAGACCCAGTATGTCATGCTGCTGTGCCCATTTAACATGTGCTGGCGCCAAGCTTCCTTGGTACTGAAAAGAGCATCAGGTTGATTGCACCCGGCCAAAATGCAGGTATAAGGACTCAAATCGTCTGCAATATGCTTTCTATTCTCATATTAGCTTTTATGCTCTTACATCCGTGTCAAAGAATCCCACCTCCATCTATTTGTGTCCGCCGTCTTTACAGGGAGTGCTTCGCAGCAACATGGACAGCGAAAGAAATGTGCATCCTTCTCAATTTGAGGGGGCCGAGGATAATCCAGATCAACCGCCGTCGTGGATATTAATGAGGACGCAACAGATGCAGCAGCTTTTTCCGGTTGTAAATTGAAGCTATCGGACACGTTAGACGCACTGGTTCCCGTGACGATCGAGTTATTGGCACGTTTTAGCCCCAACCCTGAGAGATTCAAGCCCGACTCTTCTGTGATATCGTCTCCTTCTGCACCTACAACTTTCTTGTATCGCTTGTGGGTTTCATGTCGGTCATCCTTAGCATCGAGGCCCCTGGAATGCTGTTGTGCGTACAAAAATCGATTTCGACGCTTCAAATTACAGAGTACAAGTCGTAATTGTACCTCGCTCAATCTTGTTGAGTCACGTTCTAGGGGATGAGACTTTGATTGGGTGAGTAGCATTGCGATGAGATGGCCCTTTAACTCCTCGTGCTCTTTTTCATCAAATCGCTGGTCCGCCTTTTGCAACCTTGAGCGCCGCCCGGAGCGACGAATGGCAACACCAATACGGCCAAGTTGATCTAGTATTGACTCGATATTATGCATTGACTCTCTTATGAGGTTTCCCGATGGAACTTTGCGATCATAGGCGTCTGTCGACTCTTCACCAGAGCTGGAATCGTCGGACCATGGAGAAAATGGTCGGGGTTGGCCTTCATCATAAGATGAAATAGAGTCTTCATCGTGATAACTGTCCAAAGGCTCATGCTGCATCTGTATGCAGTATTCATCAACCATGCTACCGATTAACTCCAATAAATTAATGACGACATCACGAGCTTCGGGTCTCGAGGCTAATCTGGATTCCAAGCTAGCTCGTCCTCGGGCACAGGCTCCAGTACTCGAAATCCACAGATTCAGATCAGCAAGGCGGTTCTCAGCCCACTCATTTCCCTTCAGTGTTGAAACTTCAACGCACCGTGCGAAGCGTTCGACGCAGACCTGTGAAGCTTCTGATATGGAAATAACCTCTTCCATGGCTTTGAATGTAGCTGAGGCCTTTTCGGCTCGCTCTATGCAACGAGGAAGCTATGGTCTCTCGGCCAAAGAGGGGCTGACAGGTGGGGTCGTATACCACCAAGCAATGCTTTTCTCCCAAGAAGTGTCATTCGAAAGAAGAAAGCCAAGGAAGAAGACGTGGGGTTCTTTTAGTTACATATGATAATCAACAGCTTTAGAATATCATAGGAGGATGAATGATCACAGACATATTCATGTTGGTAATCTCTAGCCTTACTACTTCGAGAACGCCACACGTCAGCTAGACACCCCCACCTGGCCCTCCACCTGGGGTTTGTTCTAGGAAAATAGAATTCTTGTCTTCAAATTATTTGCATCTTCCCAACTTTTTCGGTCCCATAATCAACGTCCACAAAAATGGCGCAGCAGCCTACGTATATCCTTTCGCCCAACTTTCACTTCAAGCCCGGAACCGGACCTATCGCGTTAGGAAATATTATCTCCGACCCTCTTCGACCCCACCGAGCCCTGACGACTGTTGATACGGAAACACTACAGGAAAACTACCCACGAGTAGAAAAATTCACAGACTACGAGTGGAGAATCACTCGAGGAGATAACCGTGATGTCTCGATAAGTTTATGGGCGGAATTCCTGCAGACGGTGTCAGGAAAGATCTCAGGTGGCCGCAGTAGTGATGTGCAGTCAAACTATACAATGGAATCGTTGGAGACAATGTACTTTGTTGATGATCCTCCGCTGGAGGAGATTCAAGAGCGTCTAAAGGTTCCTCGGGTACAAGCTGTCACTAGGGCTACGAGAATACCCGGATTCAGGACGCCTGTTTACATGGTTACCGGTGTTATGATTGCGAAGGGATTCACCGCCGACATGGAGAAAAAGAAGAGTCGCAACAAAGGGATTGACTTTAGCGGCAACGCTCCTTCGCCGATTGGACAGGTTGGTGCTGGTGTTAATCTGACGACATCTACCAGTTTCGAGGAGGCAGATAAGTGGCGGGCAGGGGAGGAATTTGTTTTTGCATATCAACTTCTAAAAATAGAAGTCAAGGGCTGGAAGGGGCATAGGGTTGAATATGATGAATACAAACACAGGGCCGCCTATCTAAGCAACGATGATGAAGAGGAGTTTGATGAGGATTTGGATGACGTGGGGGAGCTTCTAATTAGTCCAGCTACAGCAGAGACTTTGCAAGGGGATGATAGTGTTGGAGCTATGAGTGTGTCAGAGTTTGGAATAGGGAACTCTCAAGTTCGCTGTGTTTCGTCAGCTCAGATTTAGCTTTGACTATTATATACAACCAATTGGCTCAAAGCCCATCCAATGCGCCTCCTATCTTAGCCCATCGTGCATCCTCAGACTTGCCTACCAAATCCCATATCGTCAGATACATATACCCTGGTTTGAGTGTGCTTGATGACAATATTCTGAAGATTTCATGCATTCCTCGGCGTGTCCATGCGCGGCTTTTGGTATTATAGAACGGTTTTTCGGGAGGGTGAGAGCTTATATATCCCAAGATACATCCCGCTATACCAGCCGCTATGGCCGTCGCAATAGATGTTCCAGATTTATATACCTCCTCATCGGAATTGGCCCATGCAGATAGAACATCTACACCAAGTGTGCCGAAGACCGCGGCTTCATTCTCGTGTTTAGGTGGGTTGAAATACTCAAAGTCGCCATATGCATTGGTCCCACGGATTGAGATAACAGAATCATGTCTGGCCGGGAACATCTCCCTGTCGTTCGCTCCGTCGTTAGACGCTGCAGCGAAGAAAAGGATTGAGTCTCTCCTTCTGTATAGCGCTTCACGGATAGCATCACTAATGCATGACTGCTCGTCTGAAAAACCAAATGACATGGAAATTATGTCAACTTCCCATTCGCTAGTTGCCCAAAGAATTGCCTAAACAGGTCAGCATAACGATATTTGTTAACTCCTGGTAAGCACGAACCTTTGCAACATTCTCGCTGGATTTCAAGAGCTCACTCGGTTTTTTGGCAATTCGTGCGACATAAATGTCTGCTTCGGGTGCACAATTCTGGATGAGGGACACTAAATGGGTGCCATGTCCATGGCAATCTTCGGGTTCGTCAGACCCATCCACCCAATCTTTCCAGCCTCGAAGGCGACTCTGAACACCGGGAGAAAAGAAGAAAGGAGCATTATTGTCATATCCAGTGTCCAAAACTGCGATACGTACTCGCCGCGAATTTTCACCCAATCCAACTGCTGTTGCAACTTGAGCCAGCTCACGATTGAAACCTCTTAGGCGTGAAAGCCATTTGCTGGCATCTTTCTCACTCCGAGTACGGCTCTTCTTAGGACTCGAAATTTTGCGCGAATCAGAATCTTCCGGTATCATATTCAGATTTTGTATTGTTGAGACTTCAGCAGGCATATCTAGCGGATTGATTTTTGTATACCCCTCAATCCATTTTGTGCCCTGGAGCAGATCTTCAAGCGGAAACACAACCTTGTCGTACAAAATGTTCCTCCGCTGATTGAGACGTCGCTTCTCTGCATGACTGGAGGATTCTTCGATGTCAAATTCCTGATCAAATGTGCCAGGCTCCAGGCAATGGCGAGCCGCACTCATATAGTCAGGGTAGTCAAAGTTCCTCCAGAGCCTCTCATCTCTCGTGCAGTCAACGGCTTCCAGCAGCTCGCCATTCAACCTGGCGGCCAATGGTTGCGAGCGCTGCTCATCCTTGCAAAGTGGACGCCCGATGCCGATCTCGACCAGCATAATACCTAGGGCTCTGATTATTGGATAGTAATGGACAATTCCATCGATCCTGTTATATTCGTAGGACTGTGGATCTTTGTCATTAAATTGCACCGCTAGATAAGGCTTCCAGGTAAAAAGTTTGGCCTGATCCCTAGCAGCAGTCTTTTCCTTGATAAAATGGATGGTCTCGCTTGTCCATTGTGTCTTCATCCATTCTGAATCGTAATACTGCCAGACAGAGTAGGCTATAATATAGGCCAGCACAAGTTTCATACGAGCTGTCAGTCGACAGTTGCTCGTAAGAATCTTCGCTAATGATATTCCCGGGGCATGATCGATTCTTTGCTTAAGAGGCTCGATGCAATGCTGGAGTCCCTCCTTCTGAATGGCGACGCAAAGGCGCCCATTTGCTGCCTGGCCAATCAACGTACAAAATTGACCTTGTTCGAGTCGCCGCATTGGTTTTGAAGACAGACGATTTGCCAAATCATCTTCATCGTGTGCACTGTTTATGTCCACAAACCGGGCGTGTTTTTGGTTGCCGGTAAGAATGCTGTTTGACACGAGTAGCTCCACATCCTGCCAGTGGTCGAGATGGTTATCATCCCAAAAAGGAGTCGAGGAAAAAAGCATTTCAAACTGCGCCAAGGTGTTACTGCTCGATTGGGGGGAAGGTGGCCGCAGCAAGAGAGACACCAGATGTTCTCTCTGCATTTGCTCTCTCAATCCATTCCTTTGACATGTACAGTACATTTGCTCGCGCAGCGTGCGATAGGTCAACTCGTTGGCATACCGGGACAATTTTGGTCGAGTGGCTCTTTTTGTGAAAGTCGTATCGTCTCGTTCGTCGCGTTTAGCTGACCTGCGATCGGACCTGGTGAATTTCTGAATATGAGCAATGACTTCTTCAGCAACGCGAGAGTTTCCCGTAAGCCGTCCAATTCCTCGCTGTATCTTCGTTTGCGCGTGTTCATAGGATGTTGTGCCTGGCAACGACTCCCATATGGCTTCAAGGAGCGGGTAGCCATTTCTAGGTACTTCGTGGGGCCACTAGATTGAACACATTTAGTCTTTGTTTAGCAAAATCCTGGCTTTCTATTATAACTAACATTGCATATGGCCTCCACATCGCGCAGTAACTTGGATATTCGTAATCGTAGTCGCTTCTCTTGGTCCAGGCCGACCCTGTCGATGTAGTCGGCGACTATGTAGAGCTCGCCTCCAAGACGCCCGCACACCGGTAGTTTCAACTTCGCACCTAGTGAACATGCGATGGTGGCTACCTGGGATATGGCGGCGCGTGCAAAGTCTATCGGATCCTCAGTAGCCATTCTCAGCACATCGCGAAGCCGCTCTGGTCATTGGGAAGTTCCTTGGGTAGTGTTGAGACTAGCGAGGAACGCGGGGTAGACTCTCAGCTGAAAACTGCTGAGCCACCTATGCTAAAAATGCCGAATTACAACATTGAATTACTAGGATACAGGGTATCATCACAGATTGTTTAAATAGAGGGTTTCGTCATATTTGGTGGGATAAAGTTCTATATATTCATTGATGACCATACCTTGCTTTGTACCTTGGATTCTGTCATCAAACAATACTGCTGTCAAAATGAATTATGGCGCACTGGTTTCTACTATGTACGGGGGGGGGGGGGGGGGGGGGGTACTTTGGATTATTTGACTTATGATCCTCAACCTCTGATGTCACACAGTACATTCGGGGGCTGTCTAGCTGGGGCATTGATACAACAAATAAATGCCTACAAAGTATATACATGCAAAAAGGCTAATACCCTTTGCCTCGTACATAAGCATTGATTAATGGCTCACCCCGAGCAATGCGTCCCAAGTTTAGCACGAGAATATCGAGAGAGCGCGGGAAGTACTCCATCCCAAGACCACTGACATGTGGACTGATCTGAACATTGGAGGCATCCCACAGAGGATCATCCTTAGGAAGAGGTTCAGGATCAGTAACATCAAGGGCAGCACCACCCAAGACTCCAGAATTCAATGCATCGCCCAACGCCTTCTGATCGATAACCTTGCCTCGCGAGATATTGGTCACGTAAGGCTTGCTCGCGTGATGATGACAGTTGTCGGATAGAATGGCGAATTCCTCTGCGCCGAGAAGACGGGTTGTTTCTGGGGTCAGTGGAAGTGAGATCACCAGATGATCGAGCCCTGTAGCCAAGAAAGAGCGGATGGATTCCCGGTCTGTTCCGTGGTGCCACGAGGCCGGAATTGAGCCGTCTGGGTCTCCAGTCCCAGGCACGATGTAGCCTTGGTCATGCCGGGATTCAGGTGTTGGGCGTGGATTAGCCGTGTATGCGTGGACAGTCATGCCTAATGCGTGCGAGACGCGGGCAACTGTCGGTTGTTAGCGGAGGCTTTTACTTTGGTGAAATTTGTAGCTCGATGTTGTCGAGCAATCATGGGTAAAACGTACTTTGGCGCCCGATACTTCCATATCCTAGAATACCTACCTTCTTGCCCACTTGATCATGCAGACCTTGCGTGTACGCATTTTTATCTCCCCATATGTGCGATTTCTGTGACTCATAGGTATGGACATATTTCCGGGAAGATACTAGCCAGTTCATCACTGTCCATTCTGCAATTGGAGGACCGTGGATACCCGAGCTTGTAGTGATGGGGATATCGCTTTCTCGCAAAATTGGATGTTTCAAAAGATGATCCACACCAGCAGAGAAGGTATGAATCAGTTTAAGGCTATAATACTGGTTAATGAACAGTAAAATTGATTGGGGTGGAGGTTTACTTTTTCGAGTCCTTGAGCTCTGGAAGATCCGTGAAAGTCACAAGGACGGTAGCACGTTGATATAATTCTATGCGAGATTTTAGTTTCTATCATATGAAACTTTGAAGATGATAGTAACTTACCAGATGGCAAAGGAATACCTTGCTGAGACTGGTAAATAGTGACCTCGGCATTGGAGAATTTGTGCCGGATAACATCGCTCAGCTCTGCTGGCATTGCGCGGTAGAAAACGACCAGCACATGCTCTGATGATAACGGTGCATCACCCATAATTGCGTTAAAATAGGTTCAAAGATGAGTGCTGTCCCCAAGGATATTTGGAGATTTTAAGAAGTGTCACAGGGCGGAGGCAACGGTTTTCTTATCGAACTTCCCCGCCTCGGTGGCTTAGAAAGGCAGTTCGACATCGCAACGGGTAATGATTGTTTGTGAACCGATCGGATATCTCTCATTGGAACTGCTCGCCATTTTTGGGGAGATGGTGGTGGTTTATGCGCAATGGCGTGGTATGGCGACACTTTGCTTAGATATGGTCTCAGAACGCTTCAAGGTAATACCAGTGTGGGACAAGATATTGTAATTAAAGGATATCTAGTGCAAGAGATCGCATCATCGATGATACAAAAATACTGTGAGATGATTATTATCAACATTGAGCCTAAAACCTCGGCTTGTGCTCCATAGATGTCCCGCCTATGCCGAGCCAGCCACCTGCCGGAAGCGAGTGTGAACAACGCGAATAGACGAATGTCAATCATTGACCAGCTGTCCTATTTCGTGATCTGGATGCACAACAAGAGTCTTCACTGTTGAGTGCGTGTATCGGAACATAAAATCTGAGAGACGACCAATAGTACCGATAGCAAAACGCAGAAACCCAATGACCCACGCGTTCGTCGCTCGGTATTTCCACCTTCGCGCAATGCCGCATTTAAGGGTCCTGCCGGGTGTGTGCAGACGCGATGGCTTATTCCGAGCCTATGAGCCTGAGGCAACAGACAGAACAGCTGCATGGTTTTTATTTTCGCGCTTCCCACGAACTGGACTGCCCCAGGCCAATTCTGCTTAAAACTTACAAGTAGATGAAATATCGACGACTACCTCTTTACGGCGGATAGACGAGCCGTTGGATTTGCGCTAAGAACAGTATGTTGTACAGCACCCAAATACTTCGTGTCAACTTTAAAACCTTTTTCAACTCCTATGTCTAGGTATAATTTGAGAGTACTAACTGCAAGGATGTGGAGATTGTCTAATATCTGCGGTCGAAAGACTTGCTGTAAGGGGCGAACCAGGCCTTTATGACGAACTTGACAGGGTGGCATATTATTCCCACTTCCATGCAATATACACAGTCAGACCATTGCCTTTAGCACGGCGGCGAGTCATATGAGTTTATTGCTTATAGAACTAACTCTTCTGGTAGAAAACCACCTAAGAGCCTTCTCCACCCCCCACTCGGCACCACAACCAAGATCCCCCCATTCGAAACTCCATCCAAAAGTCCAATTCAATACACAAACTTTCCCATTAGACATTGTACATTCTCATCGCATTGTTGCGCACAAATTGCAAATACAACCACCTATAATGTCGTTGGAAGTCTACCCCGCGTCCCCCGCCGACGCGCCCGAACTCACACAACTCTTCTACGCCACCTTCCGTAGCGGCCTCGACACAACCATGTTTCCCAACACGCCAGATGTCACGGAATGGTGGGAGAATGCTTTTAGCGCCGATATTACGCGCTCAATTGCACGCGAGACCAACGATTTGTTCTTGAAGGTGGCGGAAGGGTCGGAAAGTGGCCCCGTTGTCGCATTCGCGAAATGGAAGCGTCCCGTGTCGGCTGCAGATCGCGATCGACACGAAGAACAGATCGTGTGGCCTGCTAGCAGTGATAAGGAGCTTTGCGATCGGTTTTTCGTTGATATGGAGGCGCGGCATGAGAAGTGGATGGGAGAGAGACCTCATTATTGTAAGTTTTCTTCATTTCCTCCTCTTTATTTTTTGCTCTTTATTCCTGCCTGAATCCTCTGGGGTTTGCTTTATGTTTTTTTTTCCTCGAACAAACATGAATGGGAAAGTCAGCACTAACCATGATGCATAGATCTGGATATGCTGGGTGTTCACCCTTCCTACCAAGGCAAGGGACTGGGCTCGAAGCTCCTGAAATGGGGTCTCACGCGCGCAGATGCTGAAGGTGTGGAGGTTTATCTATCTGCATCTCCGGCTGGGAGACCCTTGTATGCGAAATATGGGTTCAAGGAAGTTGATACCTTTTCGCCGTACCCCAACTATGTGCAGGTGGGAATGATACGCTCGCCCAATGCTCAATAGAAATAGAGCCACTGAATAAAATTCAATACAAAGTATTCCGACCATGTGAGGTCAAAACCAGCGCACCACTCTCATAAAGTTCCCTCTGAACCAACTCCTGAGGAAACTCATAATTTTCAAACCCCACATTTGAGCTCTTTCTGACAATTCGCCCCGTTTGCTCGGAGGGGAAATCCCCTTGTGGCACATGAATTGAAGTAGATGATCACCGGTGCATCACTTTGCTGATCGCAAACATGACATTATCTCAGTGGATACCATTATGGACAAGATTGAAAGTGTAGATAACCGGTGCCTGCCTTAAATTGCCCAAAAAAGCTATCATTATGCATCTACCGCCAGTGTTTATTCATCAGATGGTCTGCGAGTGTCTCTGCATATCTTTCGAAACAAAACTTGGCGATCTGACCGGCCTTCACCACGCATCCGAGATAGCGAGCAAGATTCTCGTGAGGATATTTAATTAAGATTTGGCACATTCGTGCTTCTTGAACCAGACATCAACTAGGTACGTTACATGTTAAGAACCCTTTGCTGAAAAGTAGTCGATTCCATCATGGAAGGTGACATGTATGTAGAAATAAATGCTGAACCGTCATCCAAGCTCCGCCGCCCCGTCATGCTATGAAATTTTATTGTGGGATTTAGGTCTTGTGAGGCCATTAGGAATGAACATGATGGTTTGATTGAAATTTGCTAAGTAAGAAAGACTTGAAGACTTAGACCAATAACGATCAAGTGCTATGGAATTTACATTAAGGACCGCAATAAAATTGCGGGAAGAGAACAACCTGAATATGTACGAAGTGTATGTGCAACATGGTTGATCGTCTACGCCGCTGCTCTACCTTGGGTTTCAAGGGGGAGCGCCAACCACGCAATAGCCATGATAATCCACACCGCACCGCAGAACCAAACTGGACCTCCACCTGAAACTGCAGTGCTATCAAAAGTGGTAATGATGTGCGCGATCAAGCCAAACACTCCCCAAAAGAAACCCATGACGCCCAGGCTGTACCCACGCACCGTAGTCGGCACTACCTCAACGGTATAAAGCATCAGTGTAGCCACACCAGCAAAGCGAAGGAAGTTGATAATGCACTCAAAAGCCAGCGCAGAATTGCGAGACCGGGCCACAGTAGCGAGAAGCATGAACAGCCCAGTTAAAACAGCAATTCCAGCTCCCGTGCGCTTCCGCCCCAGGCCCTTCACTTCCACTAAGACTGCCGCCACGAGAGGGCCCGGAATAGCGCAGAGTGCAATATACAGGTACCGGCTGTAAAGGTTGGACCTCGAGACTGTTGCCGCGCTGACTTGGACTACACCGTGCGCCGCGAGATAATTATCAATATAAGTTTGGTGAAGCACAAAAGTCAAACCCATCACGCTCCACAGCAGGACAAGACACACGGAGCCATAAATATTGAGCGACGAAACAAGGCCTTGTGAGCGAGATTTTGTGCGCAGTTCAGCTTCGGAGCCGTCGATTGTAGAATCAATCCGTGCAAATGATGCTTCGGTAAGCCATGTCTGGCGCTTGTTGTAGAGTGCAATGTCCTTGACGAGTTGGGTTGCTTCTGCGTCGCGGCGTCGTGAGAGGAGAAACTTTGGTGTTTCGTGCAGGTTCAATGCAAAACGACACAAATACAGGAAGAGAGTCATACACCCGAAGGTCCACCATACATAGCGCCAGCCTTTGTTGCTGACGTAGTGGCAGGATGAGGCGCTGCTAGATGAGGAGATGGCGCTACTTGAATGGCCGAGAGCGCGTTTCTGGCTCATTGATTGAGAGGTGCTCACTTCATCAGGGCCGGTGCCACATGTGTATAGAGCGATGAAAGCCCTACATGTTGATTAGTGATGTTTCCAATGAATGGTTTGGATCTTGCTTACCATCCCACTGCCGCAGCAACCAATTGTCCCAGTCCCCAGAACACGCCTTGCAGGGCCACCAAGTACTGATGGGAAGCAGGCAGCGATTCCAGAAGAATCATGGCGTCGACAGCTTGGTTACCAGCAGCAGCAAATCCGACAACGCATCCGACAACACACAACCCTGTGAACGAAGGCATGCCCGCGCCAACTAAGCCGCCCATTCCCATTAGCACGATTGTGCTAGTGAACATCCACTTCCGACCCAGTGTATCAGACATCATGGGCCAAGCTGTGCCACCGACAGTGAGGCCGACAAACAAGCTGATAAAAAGATAATCCGTGTTATCACCAGGGAAGAAGAACTGAGCTTCATTTGCAGCTGATGGGGCAATAACTAGGAAAGACATGACCCAGAACTATTCTCGAACAAACTTAATCAGTACCAAAACCGGATTTTCTCTGTACAACACATAAGAACTTACGCTATCAAGAAACCAGCCAACGCCTGTCATCAAAAACAACATCCATTGATACAGCCCCATGCCCATGTCTAGCAGCGCCTTATTCAACAGCTGGGCCTTGGCCGCGAAGACAGCATCGCTTCCAGCATGGATCTTGGGGGTTTCGATTGCAAGCCCGAAGAGGCTTTTGTGCTGCTTGTCTGGCACTTCACTGGTCTTGGATGGCCCTGCCTTTTCGACATCATTCACTAGGGTAGATGCAAATGCGCTCTGTGCCTCGAAGTTCCTAGCCGGTCTGATGTGATCATCATCGCTCGACATTGCGGGCTAAAGTGGGTATGATAAACTTCAAACGGACTCAATCGTGTTAAATGTGAACGACGGTATTCAACACCAGGAAAATGTCACCACCGGGTCAGCCGTTGCTTATTTATTGAGAATGTACCACGTATTGTCGCAGGAATTTGTGCACAGTGGGAAGCAAGCTACGTAGATAAGCAAAAGCCCCACCCGAGAGTATGAAGGTAGACCCATAGCATGACTAGGATCTACGCTGCCTAGGGTGGACGAGTGTGGGCGACTTATCCACAGTCTCCTCAGACCCCGCTCTGTAGACAGGGAAGTTAGTACAGCAAGCGGGGGTTTACAGTCCTCTGGTACGCTCATGATACATATCGGAGTTAGCTAGAAGAGGATATACAGGATTAGACGATCGGATTAGGCAAGCCGAAGAGCATCGAGTAACATTTGCAGGGGCAGCTACATACACTAACGTCCTGGGAATGAATAACGAGCAAACTATTACGAATGGAAAGCTTTCATTCAACCAGTCGATAAGGCTTCCATAGCTTGCATGGCTTTCTCCGAGGACATATTCTCCTCGGAACGCGACACGTAAGTTTGTGGGTACTGATAGGGACTGGGGTGATGGCCTCGAGGGATAATATCAAGCCGTCATGGCAGCCATTGGCTGAAATAGGCTCCACAGAGCGGGATCGAGGCGTTATGGAGACTTAGCTCGAGATCGAGTCATGCAATTGTGTTTCGTATGGTAGACATGGTGATTGATAGACATTGGCTCAAGGTCCCACCAACGGGTGTTGCAGGATATACATATGTAGACACTGGCGTGATTTTTTCGAATGGAAGTTAAAGGGTAGGGCAGGTAGCTGTGAATGAGTGAAGCTGCTAAATCCGAGACTCGGGGAAGATTTCTGGATCGGGGATCGCGCGGAAATTTCAAAGGCCAACAAGGGAAAGTTGGGGAAATACGGACTAATATTCTCATGGAACAACTACAGAGCACTAAAGAGCACTTCCTGTCAACATATATATCTCTCAAACGTATGGCTGCATTTCTGTGATAGGTTCCAAGTGCAGACGGACATTAAATTAAACAGATTGCTTTTTGTAGAGAATGTAAAGTAGGAAAGTACCCATGTGTTGAATTGAGCCAGTGACCGAGAGAGAGAGGATCAATCAGGGGAGGAGCAGATGTCCTATTCTGCCTTGGAGATGAGGCTATCTCAACGTTTTGGCGTAGCTAGGAGGCAATAAAATGTGACGATGAATCATTTTGGTTGCAGATAACCTTTCCCTTTGTTCTATTGCGCATATGACCCCTTCACGTCTGAAGAAAGCAGCAATAAGCCTGTTATGCAGTTTGTATTCGAGAGAAAGGAAAACCTTTTTGCTAACAATTTCAGAGTGTTCAACATCACGATCCTTGCCATCCACACATAGGTCATTCCCAAGAGGAGCTGGGCTCTTTGTCAAATATTGTGGCGATTTCTTCAAGTGAGTATCCCTTGGTTTCCGGATAGACGAAGCATACCACAATAAACTCGATGGCAACCCACGGAATGAAGATCGTATAGAACTTCCATGCGATATTTTCGAGTCCAATAGGAAACGCGTAGGTCGCTAGTAGGGTGAAGCAAGTGGCGAAGAAGTGGTACAAAGCCTGAACCCTCATGCGAGGATGGAAAGGCAGGGTCTCCGCGATATAGAGCCCGAGATTGCCATTTATCCCAAAATTATAACATGGCGAAAAGAGATATAGAAATGCAACCACTGTGCCACCTGCAGCTTTGTTCGAAGAATCTTGGGCGAACACAGCACTCCCAACGGTGATATCAATGAGACAAAGGAACATGCTCCCTCCCGAACCAAGGAATAGAACTCGACGTCCAAGCTTATTGGGAAGAGTGGCGAAGTATAAACAGGAAAACCATGAAAGCATCTGCTGGGTTGCGTTGATAAACGTTTGTTTTAGACTGCTTGTCAATCCGACACTCGAGAGAACTGGCGAAAGGTAGTATGAAATAACGGCGTTTCCCGACATCTGAATTTAGGATTAGCTTCAATGACTATGAGATGGATATTGGTCGTGAGTACATACCTGGGCGAAACACGCGCTCCAGAACAAAATAAACAAGCGCTTCCGATCTCCACGAGAACGGGTGAACTGCAAATAACTCTGGATCCAGGTAGACTTTCTCGCACTGCGTTCGTATTGGAGAGCCTCTTGGATTTCATTGAATTGAAAACGAACAAGTGCATCATCCGTGTTGCCTTCCGCATGGTATTTACCAAGGATTTCAAGCGCTTCGTTGTTTCTATCTTTGGATATAAGCCAGCGTGGACTTTCTGGAACAAAGTATAAGCCAAGAAGTTGGACAAGAGACGGAAGGCCCTGAAGGGCAGATGGAATTCGTCATGCAGCGCAGCCATCAATTCGAAATGCCCCAAAGGTCGACCAGGCCGCAACAATTGCTCCGAGGGCGTAGGTTGTGTTGAACATAGCTGTTGTTGAAGTTCGGTGTGCTGGGTGTGCAATCTCCGTGATCAAGGGGGAGCCAGATGCCCCAAGGAAGACTTTTCCACAGCCTAGAACCCCGCGGGCAATCACAAACATTTCGATGTTCTGTGCACCACCTTGGAGCGCTGCCCCTATGCAGCAGATATTCCACCAACGGCAAGACCGGCACGTCGACCAAAACCATCACAGACAAATGATATGAATGGAATAGACACTAGGCCCCCGATTGGATAGGCAGCATTGGATAAACTGAGGGTAGCTCCTTTGGGTTCTCCAAAATAGCTGTGCCAACTTTCCACTACCTGGAGGCCATTCATCATCGACCCATCAAACCTATTGCCGAATGTTAGCTTCCAAACGACAAGCAATCAGATTCCTCATTAGAAAACGGCTTGGAAACATACTCTTGAGTAGAAAGAGACAGCAGTGGAAATATCATGGGAATATTCAGCGAGCGTAAATTTTTGTGCCTCCACCAGTGGACCACGTCCACACTGCTCTCGGGCATCACTGCCCTAGAAGAAGACATTGCAGGCACAGGTGGCAGGTCGATGGAGTCTGATTTTCGAAAACCCCTTGCTTGTAAAGAAGAACGGTTTTACTAAACTAACATGTTCTTGTGGGGGGAGTCTCCGAGTATGCCCATTCGAGTGGTCTTTCCAGATGGCCATGAAGAGATGATGGGCGGGGCTGAAGACATTCACCTAGCTTTGAAGGCCAATTGAGTAAATATAAACTGCATTTACCCATTCACATTCATGAATTAAAATATCTTAGAATCGCCACGGCATCACACAGGAAGGCCGTGTCATGAATATCATTGTTGTACATAATGAAACCTATCATCGGGAGAAATTTGACTTCACAACAACCTAACACTCTTCCGTAAAGTCTCTCATCAGATCCTCAAGTATTTCTAACTGAGTAGCGATATCCTTAGCCTCAAATCTCCAGTATCTTAGCATTTGCATCACCTTTTCAACGCCATTCTTCCAGCAGGGAGGAAGTAAAGTAACGAGCCCCCGACGAGCCGCATCCCACAAAACAAAGGCACTACGTGGACAGGACCGCAACATCAGCTAGGTGCCATGTTGACAATGGTAAAAACCGGCTTCGTTATTCTCAATTCGAGATGCATACATATGCAGCCCTTTTTGCGCAAATGCTACCAACTCGGGATCGCGTGGCAAACCTTCGTGAATCTTATCAACCGGAGATAGTTCCTAGTGCATATATCAAGAGCTGTTGGGAATGAGCGAAGCATATGACTGATGCTTTTAGGTTTACTGACAAGTAGACATGACTTTGCATCCCAATCCAGACCATCAAAATGCGTATCTCTCATATACTCTTGCACTTTATCAATTTCCAAGACGGGGTTGTAGATATGAACGTGTCTGATGAACCGTTGGAGCAGCTGCCTAGATCCGCCATTTTCGAAATCCAAGGAGACAGGTAAAGGATTCAGTTCTGTAATTCCGTTTGGGGATTTAAGTAAAGCCCTTAAATCTTGTCTTTGTCCAATATTGCAAGATTGAAAGACTGGCCAACTCAAAATACTCTCGACATTGATATGATACAATGCTGATGACTCCGTCTTCTTCAGTGCTTGTAGTCTCCCTTCTGTGGGCTGCGATCCCGCATTTCTTGGTGAGATGTGCGCCAAAGATGGCTCTGTTGTTGCCGGTAGAAGGCCCGGGGTCAGTCTGGATTCACAGACCAACTCTTCTAGGGTATCTAGGCGCTGCAAGATGAGAATGCTAGCTGGGTCAAACCTAGAATCCTTAGTGAATTTCCTTTGTCTCAGTTGGGAGTTGATGGATTACGTGGATTTGTCATTTTCTCGGTAAATGCACGGTATTCGCAATCCCACACAAGAACCGCACACGGGCCTCTCATTATCGCACTTAATTCGTTTTTGTCGACAAGTTTGACATGCTTATGTCTCCCGTTTCCGCGGGTATGAGTGTCTTTCGTTATTTTCCTCTCGCTGTCTTTTCCGCAGGTTGCAGTTGTCTTCTCTCGGCATTTCTCCGGGGGACATAAAGGTGGGGTATTTGGGATAACCGAATCAATCCAAGCCATACACGACAGCAGGGTTCAGGGTGGGATTTGGAATGTAAGCAAGAAATCAAGAAGTCAGCGGAATCCCGGGATCTTAGATACAATGGCGGGTGGGGAAAGGAATGTCTCATATGTGAATAAATGACCCATCGCGGAATACCGGGGTTTAGCCGGTCGGGGGGAAATATACCGACAAGTGGCCTACTCTCTTGCCTGCCATTCCAAACCGAAAGGGGAACTAAAAAGAACCTGGGCTGTATTAACTAGTGTTTTTATTCCATTTATCAAATATAATGGACTCGTCCGCACTTTTTACGTTGACGAACGCTTTTTTCTTCCAACACTCAACGATTATCCGCCACGAATTCTCTTTGAAACTTCATCATGACCCAACAATTTATGAATGACGTGAATGTTCAAAAAACGGTCCATGCTGACTTTGACGTGGAACATATCCTACCTCTACTCACTGTTGACGAGAAGATCGCTCTGATCTCTGGCAGCGACCCTTGGCACACTGCACCCATACATCGCTTTGGTATTCCTTCAATTCGTCTAACTGACGGGCCTAATGGCGTGCGAGGAACTAGATTCTTCAACGGTATACCTGCAGCATGCTTTCCGTGCGGTGAGTATTCCTCCCAGCGTTGTTGGGTGCAATTTCTAATTTGCAACTAGGAACCGGCCTCGCAGCTACCTGGGACACTACACTAGTCCAGAAAGGTGGCCAGTTGCAAGGTCAAGAGGCTATTGCCAAAGGAGCGTCGGTTATATTAGGACCCACAACCAATATGCAGCGATCTCCATTGGGCGGCAGAGGTTTCGAGTCTTTCAGCGAGGATCCGGTTTTGGCTGGTAACATGAGTGCTGCAACTATCACCGGTATCCAGTCTACGGGGGTAGCGGCCACCCTGAAGCACTTTGTTTGCAATGACCAGGAGCATGAGCGACAGTCTGTGGATGCGCTTGTACCAGAGCAGGCTTTGCGAGAGATTTATCTTATGCCCTTCCAAATCGCGCAACGAGACGCAAAGCCCATGTGTTACATGACAGCCTACAACAAAGTTAACGGAACACATGCAAGCGAGAGTAAGAAGCTCATCACTGATGTTTTGAGGAAGGAATGGAGCTTTGATGGAATGGTGATGTCTGACTGGTACGTATATATCAATGAATGTGGCAGCCTTCTGGGCTCTGGGCTGTGAACTGATAGCACTTAGGTTTGGAGTTTATTCCACTGCCGAGTCAATTCAAGCAGGCCTTGACTTGGAAATGCCAGGACCCTCCTATATGCGTGGTACATTGGTGAAGCAAGCTCTGGGATGTGGTAAACTACTGCCCTTTGAACTCGACCAATGTGTGAGAGAGGTGTTGAAGCTTGTGAAGAAAGTTCTTCCTCTTGGAATTCCAGAAAACGCGGAAGAGCTGACTGCGGATACCCCTGAAACATCATCTTTGCTTCGTTCTCTGGCCTCGGCAAGTCTTGTGTTGCTCAAGAATGATAACAGCATTTTACCGTTCACGAAGAACAAGACAACCGCTGTTATCGGCCCGAATGCCAATTTTGCAGCATATTGCGGGGGTGGCTCCGCATCACTCAAGCCGTATTATGCGATTAGTCCTCTTGAGGGACTCAGAGCACAACTCCCAGATATTCAATATTCCTTAGGGGCTCCGGGTTGGAAGAAAATGCCCCTTCTATCTCGGCTGACCAAAGCAAGTAACGGTCTAGCAGGGTTTGATATGAAAGTCTACCTCGAGCCACCGTCAAAACAGGATCGAGAAATGATCGACTCGTTATATGTCGATACCGCAGACGTTTTCCTCGCAGATTATGCACACCCGAAAATCGAAAGCAATCTGTTCTATTTGGAGCTTGATGGCACACTCACACCAGAAGAGACTTCAGAGTATGAATTCAGTCTTTCGGTATCAGGCACCGGCAAAGTGTTTGTCGATGATCAGTGCGTTGTCGACAACGAAACTGTGCAGACTCCTGGTGATAGCTTCTTTGGCTCCGGAACGATCGAAGAAATTGGAACAATCAAATTAGAAAAGGACAAGACCTACACAGTTCGAATCACTTTTGGTACACTGCCGACCAGAACGTTCAACGTTGCAGGTGCCACTTCCTTCGGCGCGGGTGGTCTTCGAGCTGGCTGTGTTCCAAAGATCGAGCTCGAGACTGAAATCCAAAAAGCAGTCGAATTGGCCAAGAAGGTTGATCAGGTCATCCTCTGCGCCGGACTGAACAGCGATTGGGAAAGCGAGGGTTACGATCGGAGTACTATGGATCTACCCCCGGGAACTGACAAGCTCATTGCTGCGGTAGTAGCGGCAAATCCCAACACAGCTGTGATCATACAGTCAGGAACTCCCGTGACTATGCCATGGCTCAATGATGTTCCCGCGTTGGTTCACGCCTGGTATGGCGGCAACGAGACTGGAAATGCCATCGCGGACGTTGTGTTCGGTGCGGCTAACCCGAGTGGCAAGCTACCGCTTAGCTTCCCGCACCGCAACGAAGATAACCCGGCCTTTTTGAACTTCCGAAGTGAAAGAGGAAGCACCAGGTACGGCGAAGGTGTCTATATCGGCTACCGCTTCTATGAAAAATGCAAGAAAGAAGTTGCATTTCCATTTGGCCATGGGCTGAGTTACACCACGTTCAATTTAAGCTCACTTTCTCTCCAAAATACCGACGAGGAGATTTTGGTCACTCTCGATGTCCAGAATACTGGAAACATTGAGGGCGCAGAAGTTGTCCAAGTCTACGTTTCCCAGCAGAGTCCAAGTATCAATCGACCACCCAAGGAGCTCAAGGGCTTTGAAAAAGTGGTCCTCCGCCCACAGCAGACTGAGAGAGTGACTATTAAGATCAAGACGAAATATGCTACCAGTTTCTGGGATGAGCATAGAAGCGCGTGGGTTCAAGAGATGGGTCGTTACGTTGTTCATGTGGGCACATCTAGCGCTGAAATTCCACTATCGGCTGGCTTTGAGGTCGAACAAACTTCGTGGTGGAATGGCCTGTAATATTCCAAATACCGCTTACTTTTCCCACTGCCTCCAGTTTGCAAGTCATAGGGGTGGTTTCATATATAAGTGCTGAGCACGTTACCACAAGTGATATAAATTCCTGATACGTATGTATTTTTTGTCTTGACCAATGCCTCTTTTTCCATAGGTTGCTTTGCCCAAAGCGTAATTTGAGTTGAGTATATCTCGATTGGGCAAGGTATACGACAGAGCCTTGTAGAGGATAATTGGAGCCAAGCTAAATCACTCCGATTGATACATATTCTAAATCTCTGGCGAAATATCATTAATGAACTATTCGCCACGAACGGCATCAGGAACGAGATCCCTTTTCAAGACTTTGCTGCCTGAATGCCAAGGTCCCGAAAATCGGAAAGGCTAAAATCAGCGGGTGGATGTGCAAAAGGGGCTAGCCAGGACGCACGGACCCAATCTTAGACCTTTATTTCGGATCCACTAATCCCCATCAGGCGAACGATACGAATGCGAGGCTGTCTAGGTAGCTTCCAAATCTTGTACATATTTGCTATTAGTTCAACTTTCCCAGATTTTGATGTTGATTTCTCATGAAATTCAAGTTCTACAGCATGCGAACCTCCAAAATCTTTGGGACTGGCAAAGAAGAAGCGGAAGAGTCAACGCCTCCTCCATATTCGTTGGTTGCCGACGGTGGACTCGTGGCAGAATCAGGGAACGTGCAAGGTAGGCCGAGCCATGATGATAATGATTTGCCGACCTTCTCTAATACTCTTCATAGGGGATGGCCGAGTTAATGTGAATCTCGAATCCAAGATCGCGAGAACGCTCGCCAAAATCATCGACTTGCAGCAAGAAGACATCCACAATCCACCTCCCGACTATATCGACCTTACCAAGAAAGTGACCTCATGTGAACTGAAACTGAATATTGTGATTCAAATTGTCGGCAGTCGTGGAGACGTTCAGCCTTTTATCGCGCTCGGAAATGAATTACAAAAGCATGGCCATCGGGTTCGAATTGCCACACACGGTGTCTTTGCCGCCTTCGTACAAGAGTCAGGCTTAGAATTCTACTCAATTGGCGGAGATCCTACAGAATTGATGGCATTCATGGTCAAAAATCCTGGGTTGATTCCACAAATGAAGACACTCCGCGAAGGGGAGGTGCAAAAGAAACAGGATATGGTAGCAACAATGCTCGATGGGTGCTGGAGATCTTGCATTGAAGATGATCCAATCACCAAAGAGCCATTTGTTGCAGACGCCATAATTGCCAATCCCCCTAGCTTTGCACATGTTCATTGTGCACAGGCTCTAAGCATTCCTGTCCATCTGATGTTTACGATGCCGTGGAGTAGTACCAGGGCGTTTCCACATCCTCTCGCCAATCTGAATTCCTCTGCTATGGATCCTCGCACTGCAAATTGGGTTTCTTATGGAGTTGTCGAGTGGTTAACATGGCAAGGGCAAGTTCACTCATGGAGTAATAGGGGTTAGGCGACTGACATGATATATTCAGATTAGGAGATGTGATCAATCGATGGCGGATCTCAATAGATCTGGAGCCTATCCCCGCGACAGAAGGACCCGGCCTCGCTGAAGCATTGAAAATACCGTGCACATATTGTTGGTCTCCTGCCCTTGTGGCAAAACCACAGGATTGGCCAAGTCACATCGGTATGACAGCACTTTGATTATCTGTTGAGATGATAAAAGCTAAACGACTTAGATGTCTGCGGATTTTTCTTCAGAGATTCCCCATCATATTGCCCACCCTCAGAGCTGCAGGAGTTTCTACAGGCTGGTCCACCTCCTGTCTATATCGGCTTCGGTAGCATTGTGGTTGAGGACCCCCAAAAGCTAATAGACACCGTTGTTCTCGCAGTGGTAAAGGCAGGTGTACGTGCTATCATTTCAAAGGGCTGGAGTGGGCTAGTTGGAAGTCCAAACCCGAATATCTACTATATCGATGACTGCCCGCATGAGTGGCTCTTTCAACAGGTCGTTGCAGTGGTTCACCACGGGGGTGCTGGAACTACAGCTTGTGGTCTCAAAAATGGCCGACCGACTGCCATTGTGCCCTTTTTTGGCGAGTGAGTTACCAATCGCTCAATTGACCTTCACCTGCAAAATATTATCAATGCTGATACTCCTAGCCAACCTTTCTGGGGCAACATGATTGCTAGAGCTGGGGCTGGACCGAGACCCATTCCATTTGCATCTCTCGAATGTGAGAGACTGACCGCTGCTATCCAATTTTGCCTCACCCCAGGGGCAACAGAAGCCGCACGTAAGGTAGCCGTCAAAATGCAGACCGAATTGGGTGTAACAGCCGCAGTGGAATCGTTCCATCGAAACCTTTCTGTAGACAAAATGAGGTGCAATTTAATGCCACGCCAGGTTGCAGTCTGGAGGTACAAAAAGGGCAAGAGCGACTTGAACCTCTCAAATGCGGCGGTGCAGATTTTGCTTGAACATCAAAAGATAAATGAAAAGCATCTTCAGTTGTAAGTACATTGACTTGGAATCGTAGGAACCTGCTAACCAGTGGCTCGTGCTCGATCAGTCACGTCGTCAATCCAATTGTTATTGAACATCGCCGATGGGATCCCATAACGGGAATGTTGGCTGCAGCTACGACAACCGGGTCAACTATGCTGCAATCGACAGTCGATATGGTTTACAACCCATACAAAGAATACAAACGTGGTCGCTCTCCAACCCCATCAGCCAGGGCCTCCCCTCGCAGCCCGCTTTCGCGGGAACCCTCGTCAACAAGACTATCTGTACCTGACGACGCAAACTCGCATAATCCTCGGTCCCCATCCGTTGAGCCTGGATCCAAAAGTGGACCCGACAAAAGCAGAAATGGGCTATCTGTCGCAGGTAGCATGGCAGGCGCGACAATGAAAGGCTTTGGCAGATTCACCGGATCATACTTCAAAGGAGTGATAGTCGACATTCCACATGCCGCCGCAGAAGGATTCCGACAGGTCCCGCGATTATATGGGGAAAAGCCCAAGGATTACGGCGCAATTCAGGATTGGAAGTCCGGAGCTATCGTTGGCGGTAGGAATTTCATGGATGGCATGAGTGATGGCTTCACCGGTCTCTTTACACAACCTGTCAATGGGGCAAAAGAAGAAGGTGCTCTAGGCGCAGTCAAAGGATTTGCCAAAGGTACTATTGGGCTTGCAACAAAGGTCCCCTCTGGTAAGTGATTCTCTCAATCCGTGAAACCAAACAGAACTGACTTGTATATTTGCTTAGCGGGAATCGGACTGGTGGCTTATCCTTTTCAAGGAATCGCTAAAAGCATTGAGGCGGCCTTTCGTGCAAAGAGCCACAAAGCCATAGTCGGTGCACGACTAAAAAATGGGTATTATGAAACAAGCAAGATGCAGATGACGGATGAAGAGAGGCGTGAGATTCTGCACTCATTTGATACATTTTCATGGTCATCGAATACATAGGTAGACTTATATCCTGGGTGTTGCGATGGTCCTGTTTTTAAACACCATAATCACTTGAACTATGACAATCTTCAAACTTGTGTTTGCGTAATTTCAGGTAGAATTGAATTAGATACAGTGATCGCAATGTCGAGTTGGCATATTTACCGTTTCTACAGTTAGACTCGTGGGAAATGGTTCACATAGCTAGTACTCTGTAAGAGACAAGAAGCAGAGTTATTATTGAAAAAAGGGTTTCATTGCAATGGTGGTAATTAATCAAATCAACTGGGGAAAACAACTCGGACAACACCCAGAAATTCTTCCCACTATTCCACTCCCTAATCAGATTCTAATTTACGATTGCGGGTTAGAGCTATACTTGCCGCCCCTTCTATCTGGTAAAATTGGTTGCGTAGCACGAGGAATCAAAAGAAGAGCACCGGGGTGCTCGTTGGCTTTCCTAACACGTCTTTTCTCCAACCACATCAAAATCCCAGCAACTCCAGCAACAGCACAAGCAAGTCCGACAAAAAGACCAGTTGTCCAACTTGGTCGGTTGAAGCGATTCATCGCCCACATACAAACAGCCAAACAGATCTGAAAAACCGTGTTAAGGATATTACCCCATACCACAACATCTATTTTCCACAACGGGGTGGGCGTGGCCTGTTCAGCTAGATGCAGCTGTTGGGCTTTTATAGGAAGCAGAGTCAGCTCTTGAGATCTCAGGAACCAGTTCTTATGGATCTCAGCAAGGCGATCGAGCCCTTTTCGTCGACTCTCTTCCGACCGGCCCAATCGCCAGAAAGACCATTGGTAAAGGTCACGGATACGCCACGGTGCCAAGCCAAGTCCAGTGACGCAGAAAAGGGCGTTTAAGATTTGCGAATCGATTTCAATCCAAATGCGACGTGATGAGTCAATGCTATCGCAACTTGGATGGCACATTGCGGGCGCAGCGTTGCACATTAAAAGGAAGAGCATTCCGCCCCATGCGACCACATTCAGACCGTAAATTGTGATGCAAGCCCCCAATGGTGTGTATATCCACCGAAAGAAGGCGTGGGATCTTTCTTGCCATGAGCTAGGAATAGTCTCGACTGTATCGTGGGAGGCAGTCATCTGAAATTGGCATCAGTGATAAATTTTTATAAGATTATAATCAGAGTGACTCGAGATGCTGACCTGGTCAATGTGTGCTGATACTTTAGCAACTCCAGTACTGTCCATTTCCATCGGATCAATATTTGCTAACAATCTCTCGTCCATTATGTTTCGAAATGGGAATCGGAGGACTGAGTGGTTTGGCCACGGGGGTAATTATTAAATATAAGACTACACAGATAATTTAAAATAACCTTCCATGGGTTTGCCACGCAAGAAAATCCTCCATAAATTCAAGTCGACACCAACAGGGCCCTGATTCGATTCAATGTGAGCCAAAATAGACTCAATCCTATGTGGGACTGCCGTAGGTGGGTCGTTTGGTTGATTCAGCAGCCAATAGAATGCCGATTTACTCGTATTCGTATTCATTGCCTATCTAAGCTGAGCAATCAAAATGTTGGACCCTTCGATTGTGATATTAGAGAGGGTGATTCGCTTGAACACTATAGAAACTTTGTGGAATCATGGAATTACTATTCTCTCAATGTTTTGCTGTCAACTTCCGCTTCTACAAACTATCACCAAAAGCAACATCACATACAGAGAGCCATGGTTTACGACACAGTACTTCCTAAACTACAACCCATTCACACAATGGCGCCAGAATTTATTGTGCTAATAATTTATTTTGACTTTATCCCGTGTAGACAGCACTGGTGAGCACATCCTATCCCTGGGGTTTGTGATATGTCCATGTTGAACCCTGCAAGGAAGAATCCAACACCTAACTTGGACATCGCGTCCAAGGGCGAATCCTTTTTTTCTATTAATTTACCAGCGCTCTAGGTGAATTTACCTTCTGTAGCTTTTTGTATAGAAAGACTTTATTCGAGCTATGGCTGATGTCGTGATATTCTTTTCCGTCTAAGTTTCCGGTCATCTAAGGTTCACAAGATAGCTTAGTCCCCGGTTCCATTTTAGGTCAGAACTCGTCGCTTACCCCAGTTCCCCCATCTATTTAAGTCACCGGCCGCCTTACTTTCCAAGTCATACCTCATTACCCACCCGTATTGCCTTGAGCGACTGGTAAAATATAAATACCTGCCCCCTCCCCACTTTCCTCCTTTCTTTCTTTCCTCTTCATCCAGCTCCGGGTTCCATCGCCTGCCCCAAACATGAAGAACTTCACACCTCTGAGGGTACTGGATGGAGTCTTTGCTGCAGCATGGGGACCGACTGCCAGACTAGGGGCAACAGCTCCTAGTCTAAATGACACGAAGTATGTTGTGGCCCGGAACAGTCCCGCATGGGACTTAGTACCCCCACGACCTCTGCGGATACATCACGTCACTTCCCACTCTCTCCATCGCGCATCTAGGAGCTTCCCCCCAATGTGCTCTTTGAGCTTGTCTCATTGAGCCAATTTTTGGAACTTATCTTAACAGAGATAGCCCTCTGTTTCCCTATAAGTACTCTGAGGGTATTTCATCCAAAGTTCCTTTTATGGTCCCTCTTGTCTTTTGAACCTCTCAACATAGATAACCCTCTGTTTCCCTACGAAGAGATCTCTGAGGGGTTTTCCTTTTTCACGGAGGTTGCTCCTTTCGTGGTCCGTCCATTCTGTCGTAGGAGATATGTACCGCGCGGAGAGAATCTGCGTACCACACCACTCTAGGGATTTTAGATCGGGAGGCCCAATTGATGGTGTGCCATGTCAACTGTACCACGGCGCGGCCTAACCATGGGGATGACTTCAGTATCAGTCCATTAAATTCGAGCTCGGTGGTTCTAGTCGGTGTAGAAATGGCTTCGATCTGTACCGTGAAGCGAGAAAGCTTGCTTCGAAGCCTGCACTCCTTTGAACAAAAACAAAAACAATATTACTCTGACTAACAGGAGGTTTCAGCCCGCGAAATTCTTGTATATGAAAGATACCGTATATCTTCATCTCCAGGGCTCCCGCCAAGATACCCGCTTATAAATCCAATATTGTGTCCCCTGCACCTGGCAGGACTGCGGGGTTACGATATTCCCTGTTTTCAATTAAAAAAGCAACGTCCAAAACTTCGAAAAGCATCATTTGCAAGGTTATCTGAATCGAGATAATTAGTGTATCTTACTCAAAATATCGATATTGCGGGGAACCTGTGACGTCGAGCCTCCCACTTTTATCTCCTTCAATATTCGCAAAATGACCAAATTATTCATGTGAGGCTTGGCTTTTAATCTAAACAGCTCAGCTCTAACAATGCCACAGTACCGGTGCCACAGGCTACATCGGAGGTGATTCCCTAGCCACGCTTGTTGCCAATCATCCGGAGTTCTCATATTCTGCCCTTGTTCGCAGCACCGAGAAGGCTGAACAGGTCAAGGCTCAGTACCCATTTGTCCGTATCATAATCGGAGACCTAGACGATTCAGCCTTACTGGAGCGAGAAAGTGCCGCCGCAGACATCGTGCTGCGTAAGTATCCAACTCGAAACTAGTGCTAGCATAATACTATATGGGCCCTGCTTACTCCTATAAAATAGACACTGCGGATGCGTCAGACCATGTGGGAGCCGCAAAGGCCATTATTTCTGGTATTGTAGCTGGTCACACTAAGGAGAACCCAGGCTACTTACTCCATACCGGGGGAACTGGTATTCTGACATGGGAGGATAGCGACAAGAAAGAATACGGAAATAGAAGCGAGCACGTCTATAATGACTGGGATGGAGTGGATGAATTACTCAATCTACCAGATCATGCATTTCATCGGAATATCGACAAGCTCATCCTCGAGGCTGGAACCAAGCATACCGATGTGCTCAAGACGGCACTTGTTTGTCCGCCTACGATCTACGGTACGCATTTACCATCAACAAAAGAGAAACCTTGTACTAAATCTCCAACAGGCAAGGGTCGAGGTCCAGTAGGCCAAATTTCGCGCCAGGTATATGTATTAGCAAAAATGACGCTCCGCCGCCAGAAGGCCCCGATAATCGGCGCCGGCCAGTCAATTTCAAATCACGTCCACATCCACGACCTGACTGACGTCTATGCTCTACTCATCGACGCGGCAATTGCAGGCCGAACTGATGATGGGCTCTGGGGTCCTAAGGCCTACTACCTTACCGAAAACGGGGAACACTGCTGGGGCGAGCTAGCTCAAGCTACAGCAGAGGTAGCGGTAAAGCTGGGATACTTACCAGAGGCAAAGACTGAGGCACTTGACCCCAGTAACGCCAAGGAATATGCAGGATATGAGTCTCTTAGCTGGGGAATGAACTCTCGTGGTCGCTCACAGCGGGCCCGCGAGATCCTGGGATGGAATCCCTCACGGCCCAGTCTGGTGGATGAACTACCTGAGATTATTCGCGGCGAGTGGCAGCTACTGCAAGACGCTTCTTAATATCTGACCTGAGTGGGGGTTTCATGTGTCTCTTTATGATCTCAGAGCATGTATTGATTCGCATTAATGGGTTTGATTCCAGAAAATGCGGGGAGGTCCCAATAGCCTTTGTTTCGTCGTATATTCCCGATCGGTAGATAATAGAGATTCTGATGCGCGGTCTAACTGTTTAAATGCTGACTAGGGACATTTCAATTCGGCTAGATTCCAGTTCCTCGCATTCGAGACATGTCCCAGCCCTTGCAAAAACAATCATTATGATATTTTAGCGTAGTACAAGTGTAAAGGCGACACATATTAAAACTTATGGCTCAAATCCTCAAATCTCATCATATTCAAAGTCCAAGTTCATGATATCATAAGGCACAGCAACGTATTTCAGTTTTGAATGAAGTCAACAGATGTAGGCATGACCGCGATTAAGATCTTACCAAACCGCCCTAGCCCAAATCAGAGGGTTGTCTAATACCAAAAGAAGAAAGGCAACCAAACTGAAACAGACGAGACGTCATGAAATCGATGCAATTATCCGAGTCCGACTGGGGACGGCGAGGAATTGTGCCGACTGTTGGCAAGCCAACTGGTTTGCTGCAGCCACATTCAAACGCTAACCAGAGCTATCGTGGAGACCCTTGAGAAATATCTCCCCGTGTATAACATGAAGATTTAGGTAATAGCTAGCGTATTCAATATTTCTGATCCACGACCGAGTAGTATTTCGTCCTATTCTAAACTGTACACGGGATCTTGTCAATTCCGCGTGGAGTAGACGTTTGTTTTACTACATACCATTTATCTACCTACAATGTAAATCCCCATTTCAATTTTTTGTTTTCTTTTGCAATATATGCTCTAAACCATTAAGTCCATTTTGAGCGTTGCATCTACCTTCTGACTGCTAGATTGTCGTCGTCATTCCTGATATTCATCATGTCGGACTCAGATTTTCCATTCTATAGACCCGGAAGGTCCGAATATTACGATAATATGAGCAGAGCATCTTCAGATGTGAAAAGGAGAAGAAAATTGGACGATGAAAAATTTGCTTTGGGCCGAAAGGGAATCCTAGTATTCTTTACTTTGTCTGTTCTCACCTTGATGGCCGCTTTGGATGGCACTTCGCTATCTGTTGCTTTACCTGTCAGTACTTCAGCGAGTTAATCTGATGTCTTAAAACTTACTAGGCCTAGGAAATTGCGAAAGAACTCAATGGAACAGCCATCGAAGCATTCTGGAGTGGAACTTCGTTCCTGCTGTGCTCGACAGGTAAGTGATGTTATGCTTCCACGATACTATCAACCCATTTAACATTCCCCTAGTATTCCAACCAAGCTTCGCCTCCTTCTCTAATATTTTCGGCCGTCGACCTATGATCATGATCTCCCTTATATTTTTCTGTGTCGGCGCGATAATCTCAGCAATTGCCAATAATTTTACTTACATGTTGATCGGTCGATCAATCCAAGGTGTCGGCGGAGGCGGCATTATATCTCTAAGCGAGGTCATCATAACTGATCTTGTCCCTCTGCGATGGCGTGGTCAGTATTTCGGTATCCTCAGTGCTATGTGGAGTGCTGGGTCCGTTACGGGACCTATTCTTGGTGGCGGATTCTCTGAAGATGTGTCTTGGGTAAGTTGGTGTACGGTGAACCCGCAATTATCCATGCTGACTATGAGCAGAGGTGGATCTTTTATATCAACTTCCCATTTATCGGGGTCGGCGGAATTCTCGTGATATTATTCTTGAACCTCAAGCTTGCCCCCAGTTCATTAGTCGAGAAGCTCCGTCGGATCGATTATCTCGGTACCGTGCTATTCGTTGGAAGCATGTCGTCCTTCTTAATTCCCCTCAGCTGGGGTGGTATCTCATACGACTGGGACTCGTGGCACACACTTGTACCTCTTTGTGTAGGAGGAGTTGGGCTTATTGTTTTCGGATTCTACGAGTATTACTTTGCCTCCGATCCGATTGTCCCACCTGTGATATTCCAGAACCGCACGGCAATAGCTTCTTTCATTGGGAGTGTTTTGCAGGGTTTGATTCTATGGTGTGCCCTCTATTATCTCCCTCTGTATTATGAAGCAGTGAAGGGGTATAGCCCCATTATCTCGGGTGTTGCTCTATTCCCCGAGACATTCACTGTCGCTCCAAGTGGGATGGTAGCCGGCGTCTTGATCACGAGAACTGGCCGTTACAGATGGGCTATCTGGGTTGGATGGGCCTTTTCAACTATTGGACTTGGTTTGATGTGTCTGATCAAGGCGGATACCAGTATGCTCGGTTGGATCTTCCTCAACATTGTGCCCGGTCTTGGATTAGGGATCCTCTTCCCGTCTCTTGGCTATGCAGTGCAGGCCTCGACAGAACCTGAGAACCTCGCCATAGCGGTTGCCATGTTTAGTTTCTTCCGTGCTCTCGGCCAAGCTATCGGCGTTGCTGTCGGCGGTGTCGTCTTCCAGAACCGCATGTTCGCCAATATCTCGAGGTATTCTGCTCTCGCTCCTATGGCTGAGGCGTACAGCAAGGATGCTGCGGGGTTGGTCCAAGTTATCAAGGCAATGGCGGATGGCGCTGACAAGATGAATCTGAAAGAAGCGTATACAGACAGTTTACGCACGGTGTGGATCGTCTGTTGTGGGATTTCGGGTGTGGCGATGCTGATCAGTTTCTTGACGGAGCATTACGATCTTGACCGTGCATTAGAGACGAATCAAGGTCTTTGCGATTATGATGATGAGTCCATCAACAGTTTGAAGGACTTGGAGATGAGGAGAGACCGGAGAATAGTCATAGAGCATCGACCTTGGGCGTGGTAGTGGATGCTCTTTTCCGACATAATTGATGGAGGCCTATAATGTACAAAGCAATGACGCTTACTGATGTTGATAATCGAAGTCTTCACGCATATCATAAGACGATTCACTTGATCAAAGTCCAACACGAATCAAAGTCTTGATCCCTTCGACTCTCTTAGTAGTCTGTCAGGCCTCAACAGCATCCTTCAAAATCCAGAGTTCTACGAGGGCAGTCTGTTAAACTACGTGTCATGAAGGGGTCTGCGTTGAAGTAGACGTGTATCATGAAAATGTGAGACGATTGAGGAGCTAAGAATGCTAAGGGGGGGGGGAAAGCCCAACTACTATGATACTCAACACTACCAAGGGTGCAGAAACGTAAATCAATGCACCTGTTTAGCCGCTGGGCTACGAGCTGTTTTACAGATAAGTATAGGTATTACAACCGACATAAGGGCAGCGGAAAGGTTGTTGGCTCGTAGGGAGCAAACCTCGGAAGACATTATTCGACTGAGGGACAGTGAAGAAACAATACAATACGGATAATTTGATATGGGGAGGTTTAATCGTCCAAGCTAGAAATGGTGGCCATCCTACATAGGGCAGTAATACGGGACAGTGCATGGCATTTATACATATTGCTGCAAGTAGCCGAAAGAAACAAAAACAGTGTTGGGCAAAAATTATCGCCAACTTAGGAAGCTGAACTTCATTCGTGATCTCGTCTCACGAGAATAAACATAAAGCATTACACCAGTAACAAAAACAAAAGGTCGTGACATCGTAAAAGGGACATGATAAATGGCAGAAGAAGAAAAAGGCAGATTCAATCAACGACCAAGTGTACGTAGCCGGTCTTTGAGTATATCCATTTCTTTATCGTATCCCATCCCAACGTGCTTTTCCTCTAGCTCCCGATCGCTATCTTTGAGCATTACGGACCGATATTGGCCATCGCCATCGGGTGCTCCGACAGTCACCCAGACAAACTTCGTTCCAGGGCTATTAGGCTGCGAGCGCTCCTGCGTTCCTTGCCAGAATGCTTCATCGGGCATGGATTTATCAGAAGAGGAGTCAATTGAGGGAGGACGACCTCCAAGCCGCCCGAACTTGATCCATACTCTCAGAGTGTCTTTGATGAAGGCGATTTTCTGAATGAAGGCATTTGCATCGAGGATATCCCGGATACGGTCTTCGGTAGAATTGATGGAATCTCCGTTTGCAATGCTCAGGAAGGTGGCAGCCTCGTCGGAGGCCACGGCCCGAGTGTCAAATCCTGCTGGATGCATCTTGCCTTTTGAGGCGAAGAATCGAGCAGCAGAGGACGAGAGGTGGTAGAAGTCGATCCAGGGGGATGAGCTACGGGTGCGGCCGGGAGAGATTACCAGCTTTGTGTGGTCGGGGAAGTTGAATTGGAAGGCTCCGTCTCCGAAACCCCAGATTCCGACATTGCCCAGGCGCTGGTAGAATTTGACAAACTGAGCACTGTTGTGTTCAGGCAGGTCTTCGTCCATGATGCCTTCGTCGCCATGTCGACCAAGGGCCCCGATCATGTATTTACCGAACTGGTCCACAAGTTTCATCCGCTTGATTTTCTCTGCATCGGCTCGTTCGAGGTCGGTTCCTGTGTTGCTGCGAATTCTCATTGCCTTTGAGCTTTTGACATCGAAGAGTGAGGGCGGGATCAATGCTCGTCGGATGCCGCGGCATCCTAGCAAGTCATCGTCACGGTTCTCATAGAATTCAACGGCAGTTCCAGTACGAGGAACTAGCTGATCAGCCTCGGAGTAGTAAATCGGTTTTTGTTTGCCATCCGTGACGCTACGCGCTTTTCGGCGGATGTGTCTCTCGCCATCTCGAATCACAACACTCGTCGCCGGCTGCCCGTTTTCTCCCTTAAAAACACATCCAACACTGCCATCATCCAGAACGTATCCAATACCATAACGGTTGGTGTAGTCCACCCATTTGATAACATAGGCATGAGGCTGTTTCCGTGCTCCTCCTCTGCGCCTACTTGGTGCGTGGTTGACCAGGTTGGTCAGCATGAGACGCAAGTCAGTGTTGACTTCAGTCAACGAAGTCCTAGGTAGAAGCTTGCAGGCATCTTCTGCGTGGAAGAGAGGACTAAGCCCCAAACTCGAACGTGCCCTGCCACTGGCTGTCTTGCTGTTAGACCGAGCAATACCATTGGAATCTGATCGGCCAAGCCCATTAGATTCGGCGGAAGACTTAGACTGTGCCAGTGAAGATCGAGCGGACTCTTCAATGGGGCTGTCTCTCCGTCTATCGCCTTGTCCGACACTAGCGCCGAGGTCTGCTCTGGATATAGACCGTAAGGATGTCTGACGGGTGATCACTTTTCGCTCTTCCGGCCGGGCAGACGACTGCCGTTCTCTAGTTGGGATGGAAGGCTGCATCAACTCCTGGTCAGCGGCTGCCAATCTGCGAGACTGAGAGCGTGTTTTGCCTACAGTCAAACCTGATGGCATGCTTGTGGATTTGGCTAATTGTGGGGCAATATCAATGTCATTGCTACGCAGCGCCGTTGCTTGCGATGCAGATACCATCCTTCGTGTCCGAATAGGACGCTCTGCCAAGCCTCCAGTTGGCACGTCCGCAGCGGAAGGGGGTTTTGGCTCGGCTTGAGATATATCTCGATATGGCCTGGAGGATAGAGTAGGGGGGATCACCGATTCCAGGGGCCCTCCGGGGAGAGATAGGAGGCACTCGCGCTTGCTGGCGTAGCGTTGCGGCATGACTCTGTCCTTCCATTCGGCGTTGTTGAGCAGCTGCGAGGGCGGCACTGGTCCGTGATGCTGCCATAGGATTGGGACGAATGGAAACACTCCGCTGGGACATAGTGCTGCTGTTAAGCATAGACTCCTCACTCCGGATTACCTTTCGGGAACTCTCCAGGAGACACCAATCTCCTTCGAGGTCATGGGGCCATCGGTAAACATAATCTGCCGACAAGGGTATTATTGGTCGTAGACCTCTGGAGTCCTCTACATCACACTCAGAAAAGGCCGACTTTGAGCAGTTTCTCCCAACAGATTTCCGAGCCGTTCCGTCAGGCTTACGTCCCACGCCGCAGAGTGAGTAGAAGGCAGCTTTGCAAGAATGATATCGCTGGGCGGGGTCGTCCACCTGGTACACATAGGCTCGGAGCTTCTCATCCGAGTCCAAGCCATACCCACTTACCACACAATCACCCTGAGGCGAAGCGTCCTTGAGCCATATTGGCTTGTTGAATCGGCATGAGGGGTCCAGCTGACGAGGAATGCACCCATCGTACATGTTGAAAAATGGGTGCTCAACAATGTCATCGGGATCTGGTCGCTCCTCGTCCACTAGGTTCAAACAACGGCTGACTAGGTCCTTTGCTTCCTCGGGAATGTAGTTACTGGATTCTGATTCCTTGGGCCAGACATAATTCAAGTTCTGGACTTTTTTGTAAACTTCATCTTGTGTTTTGGATTGGAATGGCAAGTATCCAGCGAGCATGGCAAAGCTAAAATGCAAAAATTAGTTCATCGATTTCGTGATTCGTATCGCGGCGTTCTTACCATATTACACCCACGGACCAAATGTCAACTTTTTGTGTATGGCCACCTTTGCTCTTGTCCAAAACTTCGGGGGCGATATAGTTGGGTGTACCGCATAGCGTATTCCGTCGCTTCGCATCCTTGTCGGACAAAATCATAGCCGCCAGACCAAAATCCCCAACCTTGATGTTCATGTTGTGATCGAGAAACAAATTTCCCATCTTCAAGTCACGATGAGCGACGAATCGTTTGTGTAGGTATTTTACCGCTGCGCAAAGCTGAATCATGTACCGGCGCACTTCTGGCAAGCTGAAACAGCGTCGTTTTCGAAACATATCCATTACCGACCCGTTCGGACATAACTCCAGGACGACATAGGTGCTGGATTCGAAAGCGAATGCGCGGTGGAACTGGACGATGAAAGGATGGCGCATTTTAGAGTGAATCTGGAGTTCGGTTCGAAACTGCGACAAAAAATTAGGTACTGTTAAATGGTCGGTCTGGAGGCTCGGCATACCTTCTCCTCCATCTTTTTCTGGGGCATCGCTGACTTGACGACCTTCATGGCATACACCCGGCCGTTGCGAGCTAATGTGCCCTCATAACAAACAGCAAAGCCGCCTTTTCCCAAGAATGCGCCTATTGAGTATCGCTCCCCGCCATCTTCCGGCTCTGAGACTACTGACGGCGGCGGATCGGCGTAGCTTTTGGATGTTGCAAGCTTTTGCTTGTTACTTGGAACCACAGCATTCTTATCGAACGCTTTACGATCCATGGCCAGCTTCGGTTTGATCATCTGGTTCGTTGTGCGCGGGGAGAGGGCCTCCATTCTTGGCGGGTCGTCTTTTTTTTCTTTTGGCGGGAATTAGGATAGTATCTGTGGCTGGAAGCGTGTAGCGGAGGGGGTATCGAGCGTGAAGATCATTAAAAAAAAAAGCGACCATGTGGTAGTGTGCGAAGAGTATCAAGTTCCGGCAATATTGGTATCCCTGCAACGAGCAAGTCAGAATTCGCTCCACTGTCGGGAAGCCGAAACCCCTCTCAGTTGACAACGGAACACATAGAAAATAAGAGATATTACTTACCGAAATTCAAAGCGCTAAAGAATTAAAACTGTACAAAGCTCGGAAAACAAATCACAGCACCTCAAGCGAGGGTTGGGGGAGGATGGGAAGTAGAAAGAGTCGGACCATAACAGTTTGCTCAAAGCGGTAATCGATAAACACTGGTTGCTTGGCCCGTTGGATCACGTGAGGGTCGTTGGCCCCTAGGTATCTTCAAGTTTGGTCGACAATTTCTCTTCTATATCGAATACATACATAAATAGCTTTGTCTAAGGTTATTAAGGTATTTCGAAAATTACTGCTCAGCTTTAATCTTGGTGCGTTGCTGGTAGTTTCAAGTGTTATGATGTGTTCTGATATATATTTTAGTTTGTTTACTTTGACGTTTAAACCTTAAAAAACTTATTTTGCTAGCTAACATTAAGACAAACAGAGCCTATATAGTAGTAGGAGAGAGTCTAAGTGCTCAGTACCTACTTTATATCCTTCATATTGCTATGATCACCTATTTCCGAATGATCTAGGCAATTTTATTCAATGAGATGTGCGTGCTCAGAGTATGCTTTTAAGAGTGGATCTTACGGTAGCAAGTAGCATAAACGGGTCTCGACACTATTCCTCCATTTTAGGCCCTATTGAGGTTTGATTTTGACTGAAGTTTGAAATATATAAACCCTATCCACAACTAGAAATGGCGTTCTAAATATAAGAAGGTAGATTCATTCTCAGTGTCGATTTTACGCTACAAAGTATATTCCGTATACGATATTCCACGCGCGAACCTTCGAAGCCTCCACCTGGGCTGGGCTGTCACAGTCTCGTTAGTCAGCACAGCCACACGGACGGCCGTGGACGGGTCCACAGAACAACACGTTCGATTGCATGCCTCTGCAGATTCTCAGTCTTGCTCACTCAAACGGCTAAAGACGCCGAAATGTGGAGCGAGGATTTTTCAATATCCAAGTTCGCGATCCCCGGCGTCAGTGTGCTGATCGCCTTCCTCGCCTACACATCACAGTACTTCTTTCTGCACTTCGAGCCTGTGCCACTCAAAAAGGACGAAACTTGGAAGATAAATATCTTCGCCCTGTGCATCTGGATATGCTATTATCGAACTTGCTTCGTAGATCCCGGTCGGCTTCCTAAAGCCGAACAGCGGCCGAAACCTACAGAGCTGGAAGGTGCCGCACTTGCTGGTCGCCAGCGATGGTGTCGTAGATGCGAAGCTTACAAACCTCCTCGCGCTCACCACTGCAAGACCTGTAAAAGGTTCGATGAGGAATGCCTGCTGTGGAAATTTTTGCTGATCTTCTCCCAGATGCATTCCCAAAATGGATCATCATTGCCCCTGGACTTCGAACTGCGTCTCACATTTTACCCTCCCACATTTCATGCGCTTTCTATTTTATGCGACTGTTGGAATGTCCTATCTAGAGACTCTTCTCTGGCAGCGTGCCTCATTTGTATGGAAGAACAGTCATCTGCCAAGCGTAAGTAAATGAAGTACTTCACCATTCATGTCGCTAATATTGAATAGTATCTTGGCCCCACATTAGGGCAGCTCATCCACTTATTTATACTGCTTGTGGTGAATACCCTTACAGTTTTTGGTCTCTTCGTTCTCCTGCTTAGGAGCCTTTGGTCTATTGGATGTAACACGACTACTATTGAAACCTGGGAAATCGAGAGACATGCTACCCTTGTCCGTCGAGCCCGTGTACTGGGTGGGTATCTTGAGGGTCCTGGGGGAATTCGAGTTCAAATCAAAAAGCAAGAGTACCCATACGACATCGGGATTTGGGCCAACATCAAGCAAAGTATGGGCGGGAGCTCGAATGTAAGTATAACTATTCGTGGTCCAAGTATTCCGGACAAACAAACAAGTAAGCTAATGTTTCTCTAGGTCATAAGCTGGTTTTGGCCATTGGCTGCAACACCCGATCGTCGGTCTGGCTGGGAATTCGAGACCAATGACTTCGAGGGTGAGTGTGTGAGTCGGTATTCTAGCTTGTTGATTACTGATCTTTTCTGTTAGATCCTGGTGTGTCATGGCCACCTCCAGATCCAGATCGAATCCCGATTCCGGCCAGGCTACCAAGTAATATCAACATGCCTACATATGCAACTATTCAAGACGAGATTGATGCCTTTAATCGTCGTAAACAGGAAGATATGAAGCGATTCCAGCGAACTCAGGGTCTACAACGTCGTAAGCCATTTCACGATCGGTTCAAAAAAGATGACCACGCTCAAAGTGATAGCGAAGAGTCCGAAACTGACTCCGGGGGTGACTCAGGCGAGGGTGAAGAGTCCTGGCGAAACGCCGAAGGAGAACGACTACGCGACTTCGGGGTGGATGAGGAAGCAGAATTCTATGATGAGGAAGACATTCCTCTCGGTGTTCTCATTCAGCGACGGAAGCAGCAGCAATCTACCAACCGAACCCTTTCCAACGAAAATCATCTGAATCATTAGATCTTCTTCGCAATGCCCCTCAGTCTCACATATCCCAGCCACTGGCTCCCATCTTCACTACGAGTAACCACATCCTGGAGCACATCGCAAATCTGCCACACTGCAGCATCCCGCTTCTCCTCAGGGAGCACTTCCAAGAACTGGGCGCCCATCAGTCTAACCCATCCCTCCAAACCACCCTTGGCGTCAGTGGTGAGTTTTGTTGGGCGGTACTCGAGCTCAACATTTTCAACCTTGAACCCGATCTCTTCCAGAGCATTTCTCATCCAGGTATCAGATGGAAAGAACCAAGGGCTCGTCTCTCTCGCTTGTTTGACAGGGATACCCTGTTGCACCAGTGCGCAGATAAGGGCTGTCTTAACCTCGGCAACGTTACCATGTCCGCCCATTTCAAACACATATGTGCCACCTGGCTTCAGACAACCGTGGATTGCGCGGAGTGTTGACATGCGCGTCGACTCATCGCGTAAGATCCAGTGGAGGGCTGCGTTGGAGATCCTGTCTGGGTGTTAGAAGTCGAGTTACATACATCTTGTACCATGTATTATAATCAAAGACATACACTTTATCCCATGATCCGTTCACAATGGAGGTTTCTTTCTCCAGGTACCGGCAATCCACAACGCGGAAACTGGCCTTAGGACTTGCGTAGTCTTTGTTGGCAGACTCGATCATGGAAGCAGATGAGTCAATGCCCAAGACGGTCTCTATGGCAGGAAGGAAGTTCGCCGTGAACTTTCCATCGCCGCAACCGACATCAAGGACCTTGTCAGTTGACTTGGGTTCTAGGGAGGTGAGGAGTTTTCCGGTGATTTTCGCGGAATGCACGAAGGATGCAGAGGCGGAATATGCCTAGGCTGTGTTAGCGATGAGAAACACATATTTTCGGGGAATTTTACCTACTTCGGCTGACCAGTGGTCTTTAGGACCCTCGGTATTGGACGCCATGGTTTATTTGACCGATGGGAAGTATGGAGAAGTGGAGAAGTCGTAGTCTTGGCGTGGAATATGGGTGAGGAACAAGCGAAATGCCAGTTAATCAACACGTGGTAATGTTTCAAGAGCTATGTTCTTCGTGGAATTTGCAATGATTTTCATTTTGAAGAGTCGGATAGGCTCTCTTATATGTTTTCTCCGTAGAGTGGACAGTTGTTGGGAGGTAGTATAATGAGGCCGATATCGGACCGGGCATATACTCTGTGAGAAATGCACAGACCTATACTCCGTAAAGCTCTAGAATATTTCGCTCGTCCAATAGTTAGGTGAATCTTTTGGATTTACAGTGAAATCCAAAACTGCGCAGCTTTGTACGGGCTGCACGAGTTTCACTAACCAACCCGATTGAGACATAAGATGTCCATATGCGCAGAAATGACTCTAGAATCACAAAGCCGTGATCAAAAGACATCACCATTTGCCCGTCATACAGTTAACCACTTTCTCTCCCCTTTCTTTCTCGAAATTTTCAGTAATCAGGTCAAGATGCACAACACGCGATGACGTTGGATAAGTGGGTATACCCGTGGACGGCAATGACGGAACGATTTCCCCACTAATTTTCGAAGCAAAATCGCCCTCACCCTTGCACAAATATATTAGAAGTCAGAGCTAGCAAGGTTGCTGCATATTGATACAAAACCACAGCTCCACTAGCCAATCAAAAGCTATGTCTTATCAAGGTCATTGCAATTGCCAGAGTGTTCGCATCACTCTTCCCCAACAACCTCCGAGCTCAGCTGTTTGCCACTGGTATGGGATCTGCTTCGAACTTTGAAATCTCTTATTCCGATGGTCATGTACTAAAATAGTTTTGCGAATGTAGCGATTGTTGCAAGCGATCCGGTGGCGGTCGTCAGTTCATTCCGTGAGGCTGAGCAACAATGTACATTTTGCTTACAACCATTCTAGCATTCTCCGTCAACTACCTTATCTATGAGGATGAATTGACCGTCGACGATCCGAATGCGATATTGAAAAGCTACGAGGACAAGTACTGTGGGGACAAGGAGTGTGTCGGTGGCACTGCTGTTCAGGTAAGAATAGCTCCTTTATCAGTTTCTGAATACTAATATATGAACCTCAAAATAGCGTTATTTCTGCTCCAGCTGTGGCAGGTATGTAATGATTACAAGTCCAGTAATAATAATGACTGACACCCATCATAGCCCAGTGTATACCAAGAACTACAAGGCCCCCGGGAAAGTCTTTCTGAAGGCTACCTTGTTTGACAGCGTTCCTCCTCCTAAGACCGAGGTTTTTATCAATAAGCAATACCAGTGGGTAAAACTTGAGCACACTGGAGAAAAGGAAGAATGATTACAATGAGCTAGAGGAGAGCTCACATGTTCTGAGAAAATGTAAAGAGATGGAATACATGTATTTTGTAGACACTATGCAATTTATTATTCTTTTAATTACTCATTATCCTATTATTGGTCAGCAAATGTATAATCTTATAGTAGGTTGCATTTAGCTAGGGTATATAGCTTTAATCATACATGGAAGCTGTCGCATTTGCTAAGCTAAGGAGTAGATAACCAAAATGCGGGGGATAAAACCACGTCGATCCGTGGAGAACCTGTCTTGACCCTTCACCCATCCCTAGACAGCAGTAAACAACGTATCTCGCAGTAGCCATGCTGTCATCACCAGGCTGGGATTACTTGTGAAAATATGACAGAAGTCCATCCTCAAACTTCTGGTCCTAGACGACCATCCGGTATCATTTTGCGTAACATCCGACCGCGCAACAACGACAACAACTTGGATTCCCACGAAGCGCACGAGCTCCAACAGCTCCAAACACATGAGGACAATGAGCTAGACTACTCAACACCGTCTGCTTCATCCGGTGATGAATATCGTGTTGTAACGCGCCGAACCACATCACGCGCTCTCGCATTGCGTGCCGATGCGCAACGCCGCCGACAAGCTCGAAAGGGGCCTTGGGGAAAGCTCATTCGGATTTGGACGCACAATGTTACTCTAACTGTTCCACATAAGAGTAGTCGAGATTACTTCGGTGCGTGCGACTGCGACTGCAGCTTGCCGAATGTGCATAATACTAACCCTGCATCGCAGCTTTGGAGAGAACATTCCTCGCGTATATCCGGACCTCCATCGCCGTCACCCAGCAAGGCGTGCTGATCGCGCAGCTTTTTCGTCTGCAGGCGGCGGATGCGTTGGCGGACCGTCTTGGATTTCGTCAGGTTGGTACACCCCTCTCGGTCGCGTGTTACTGTGTGGCTATTCTCGTGGCTTTGGTTGGAGCCTATCGATTTTGGAGGCAGCAGAGTGCTATTGCTAGGGGTAAGATCTATGCTGGAGGATGGGAATTGAACACTGTGGGGATATTAATGGGTTGTGTAAGTGTGATGCAAATGCTTTCTGGTCTTGGAGGTGTAACTGACACTGGCTAGATCACCCTAACGGTGTTGATTGTGTCCACTGCTATCATAATTGAGCTTGATATAGGCTCATCTGTATTTGTTCGACAAATATTGGGCAGGTGAGTGGCGAAAGTGGAATCAGTTCGCATTAAGCCTCTCTTGGCACCTCTAGTCATTATCAGCCTTATAGCTAGGCTAAGCAAATACGATTCTAATAATTGACGACTAAAACGATGTTGCATAACAGAGCCATGATTCACCAAGAACGGTGTTTAGGGGCTAAGACTAGCTGGAATACAATATAGAAACTCTTCTCTATTGACTTATTTCCCTACTCTTATATATGAAAACCAATTAGATGATCCTTTAATGTCACTTGGTCCACATATTGCGCCCGATGGAGCAATAATAAGGTACCCGACTGGGGCCAAGTCCGTCTGAACCCACGCTTTCTTCTTGGCATTCAAGGTCCCTCGTATTCACCCGATTCTGCGGTATCCAAGTTGCTTGATAAAGACCATTCCTCAATTTGGACCGAGCAAGCTATAGCTAGTGAACTGCAGGATGGTAGTGAACCTCGATTATATGAACTGATCATGCCGACGGCTATGTGTATGATAATTGGTCAGAAGCGGAAGCGCGAGCTTCTCCTGGCATTACTTACACTAGCTGCAGAAGGGGTAAGTTCGTTTTAGAGCAAACTGCAATATCGCATAATGCATTATTTTGCATTTATTCAAGTCTTTTGAACAATACAGATATCTCTTCGTCGTGTTTCGTTTCTCACGAGCTACCCTTGAGGAAATCTAGTTTGTAGATAAAGCAAAATATTTTCAAAGTGGAACAATTATATCGTTTGATTCAGTTCGTGAACTTCTTATGTTATTAAATAGTTAAGATAATGCATATATGTACAGGAATACAATCCTTCCACTGTTATCGTACATGAGGGGACTGCTGATATGAGAAGAGTTTGGTGAGCGTAATGTGGTTTAGTTGTTCGAAAGGTCTCGTCAGTAAGAGGCACGAAGTTCTTCTTCAAGAACGTGCCATTTTCTAGCAACCTCTGCACGTTCGTCAGGGGTAGATGCTTGCATATCTTCAATACCTTGCGCTATCCGAGATGCCATAATGCCAAGCTCCTGGGACCTGCCTAAAGATTTTTGCAGCTTTCTGCGAAGCCCAACTAAGGGATATCCAAAGAGTCCCCAGAGACCTAGAAGAATTTGAGTCAGAATGAGACGCGGAAGGTAAAAAAGCGAGTGAGTGACGCATAGCGTTAGCATACCTGCTGGGGGCTTAAGGAAAACACCGCCAATTCCTTTCCCAATTCCCTTAAACATCCCTTTCGCTCCTTGATGCTTGGCACCATACTGAGGCTGGGTAATCAGGCCCGTGATACCGTAGTAAAATCCATCTCGAAATTCCTATAGAAAGTTCAAAAATCAGTTCGGACCTTGTGATCGCCGAGAACGGGCGACATACCGTTCCAGCTGCGTGGAGTCCACTCCGGAAACCAACAACTTTCGGTGTGTCTGTGACCATTTGGTCATGGTACAGTTTCGGCGCATTGTGGAATCCTTTGGACATGCTAAGCGTAAGGTCTGTTGGGAGCCAAATTAAGCTTTTCAAGAATTTCTTCGACATTCGACTGCTGTGATTGCGTATTTCGTAGATAACACCAGTCCCCTGAGGTGACTCTAGATAGCTCAAGAGTTCTGATTGATCAAGCGGCAGGCCCTGTTTCTGGCCAACGGCACTAGCTGATAAATTATTGTTCATTTTGTTGTATCTCGCGTTGTCGGCCGCATCGTCGTTCGTATCGAGGCTTATCCCATCATCATTATCGTCATTTGACCCACCAAGTCCTTGGCACTGACCAGGCCCATAATACTCAGCAGGTTCGCGATACTCGGCAGGCTGATAGTTTTCGGCAGGCTGTTGGTGCTCGGAAGGCTGATAATTTGCAGCAGGCTGTTGATACTCGGCAGACTCGTGATACTGCTCCTCATCACTACCCAGGCTTGAATCTTGACTTCTGCGGTGTTTCCTCCGCCATGAAAATCTTCTCGAGGAATCATTCTCCTTACGAGTCTGACCTATTGCACGACCAGCGGTGACAAAATCTGTAAAGATTTCATAAGGCACCTCACCGATCCCGGTTACAAAGTTTGCAATGGCCCCGATTAGCACCTGAGCTCCTGCGCTGACAGGGCCTACAGGATTGCGGTATGTGTCATATTCGGATGTTCGGTGTCTGCATAGCTGATTAGTTGTCCGAAAATAACTTGCTGAAGGCCAACGTACAAAGCAATATTCTCTGGTTTGATGGCCCCCATTTCAACCAGTACTGCTGCAGCAAACGCACTGAGCCCGATGGAAGTCTGGTTAATGTGCCACACAGCCGGACGGGTGGGACATATTGCGCATCGTAAAGTCTTCAACTTGAGATGCCTATGGAAGCTGCGCACTCCATCCTGCACACCAGATTCTGTCTGCATCTTCATCGCAATTTTTTGCGCTTTCTCTTGGGTTGAAGGTTTTAGTGCCGTCTTGATGGCATCGGTCAACTTTTCAACTGTTAGTTGCTTGTAAGGCACAGGCAAAGGCCCGGCCCCAGCTGCCGCAACGATTCCTCCCCAGAACTGTTGATCACCAAAGAAGGGGACGATAATGGTTGGACGTCCAAGAGCAAGCCCTGCGGCTGTGGTACCCGCACCACCATGGTGAATTACGCATGATACATGCCGGAATAACCAGTCATGTGGTACGCTGCCGATGATGAGGATATTATCTGGCACATCGACCTCGTCGACTCCGAGGTTTCCCCAGCCTTTTGAGATGATTGCACGCTGGCCGGCGTTCTTTATCGCTTCGAACACGATCTGGGTTAGTTTGATTTGATTTTCCACCACAATAGAGCCGAATCCAACGTAGAGTGGAGTGGGTCCTGCTTTAAGAAAATCGGCGATCTCTTTCGGGGGTTTATAGTCTGACTCTGAAGGTAGCACGCTGAACCCACAAATATCGATATGATCAGCCCAGTCACGGGGCTTTGGCAATAATGCTGGCGACCTGAAGCAAAACGTAATTAGTGAATGATTCGAATGCGCCGACTTCTAGTTAGCCCATACCACAGATATGAGAATGGAATACCGAGGCGCTGGGGTAAACTTGGCGCTGTAATTGAATCTAACGGATCAAGTGCGAGACACTTTTTCCGCCACGAGTTGACAAGATCTCCCAAACCTTCCCAAATCATCATATCTACAACGGTATAAGACACGAGGTTTGCAACCGTTGGCTTGCATTCCTGTGGGTGGAGAACTGCTAAAGGATGCGGAAACGACTGGGTAGCCGACCAGGGCATTCTAGGAAATTTCCATTAGGATGTCCCTCAATTTTTTATCCCTGAAAATCAACTCACGTGAACATCATATGAAGTGGAACTCCCAGCCGCTGCGCGCAATGAATATGGCCCAAGCTGGGCGGGTTAGCAATTATTGCATCGGCAACAAACGGCCTTCGACGATAGTCCACCTCGTCACTCCAGGGGTCCTCTTTGATTTGATGCAGATCTGTACCGTCGCCTGTTTCAATGCATGATCTCCAACAGCCGTATATAATTTCCTTCATTTCGCGCCGGCGTTTCTGGATGGCACCGCTGCGAATCGTGCGGAATGCGGGTAATAGGGACGGATTTTGGACCATAAATGCCATCAGTTCCTCGGGATCACCACCTATGTTGAAGAACTCCAAGCCGCCCTCCAGTACAAACTCCCGGAAAATGAGGTGTGTTGCTAGCCGTACGCGGTGTCCATATGCCTTCAACTCTTTGCCTAGCGCAACGAACGGTTGGATATCACCTCGAGATCCGATAACTTGAATGACGATGTTCAGTTTCAGTGGGAAATCTTTCCCCTCATCTTTTGGTATTGGTTCTGGGGTCGGTTCATTCTCTAAAGCCTCTAGGTCTGGTGGCGCAGTTGTTGTTTGGATGCGATTCAATAGGCCTGCGAGCTGTGGCATATGCTCGTTGAGCTTTATATCAAGTCGGCCATCACCTACAAAAGAAAGAGTCACCGTTAGCCACCGTTGGTAACGCGTTGCTTGCTCACGAACTCAAGATTTTAACCCCGCCGTTTCGTCCTTCTCCACTGTGCTTCCGCTCACGGTGCGGGGAGAGAGTCATTGCGATGCTCTCAGGCCAGTCCTCCGATCGGATTGACTCATGGCGACTGGACCTGGGCCTCAAATTTTCTCCTGCCGTGGCCATTCTTGGCGGGAGATTGGCCTGATGTCAAATGAATATTGGCAGGAGGATTAGTGTATGTTACACTAAATTCTAGCAGCAATGAGTATGTTCGCGTGTTAAAATTGACCATAGTTTCCGGGATCAAAGACTATAAAAAAAAGAATATGATCAGCTTTACTCGATGATGTCAGAATAGTCCCAAGTACGGCAGTCTATTACCGCCAGTGCACCCAGTTTAAAATTTTGCCTGCAGTATAATTTTATACATCGATCGGAATAGACTAATTCGCATCGACACCAATTGGGGACCAGCGGTGAACTAAGCGGTCAAGGTTTAGTATGAGAAAATGTGAAGTGGCGGTAATCGACTGCCGTAGTCCCGACCCTTCCCGGATCTTCCACTGTGGGTCTTTGATCGGGATCAGCGCCGACTTGGACCTCGGAAAGTGCCCAGGTGACCCTGATGATCATGCTTAGTCATTGGTTGAATATGCCCCAGCTCCATGGTGGATAGTCCTTTGGGTATTTATCTACCGAGGTAGAATACTATTGGTTTCCCTATTTCGTGTCGAACATTGAAATCCATTTGTAGAACAGATTATGCAGTTGTGGTTCCTGTTTCTTGCATTTTGCTGTATAACAATTCAAGTGCCTCCTCTGCAGTAATGCGATTAGATGGTAGGAATCGCATCAATCCTTGTACCACCTGTAATAAGGGTTGAAGCTCCGGATCGTGTACATTTTCTGCAAACATGCGTTCAAACTTTGATGTTTCGTAGCCTTTGAGCGGAATTAGCAGAAAAATCTTCCAATGTTGTATTGTTTGATATATCAAACTGCTTACCTTCATTTATCTCAAGATTACGGCTAATTTTCGTCTGGATTGTTTTCCACTGAGGCTCCCATTCGATTGGCAGCCTTTCTACAAAATCAATCATTTGGAAGATCAGATATTCGTCCCTGTCAAAATACCGAAATGGATAGTTCGTGAACAAGAAAGCGTAAATCTAGAGTTTGATTTTCCGTAAGTATGTAAACCGAGAAGGATTGAAGGAGAAGGGATATATTCACGTACTATGCAACCTGCACGCCATAAATCGAGGCGATAATCAAAGCGGTCCGTGAAAATTGTCTCAGGTATTCGCAAAATACTCGGCTGAGCTGACTTTTCAGGCTCCTCGCCTGGGAGAAAACTCTCTCCCATATCAATAAGCCGGATGTCTTCCTCGTCCTCGTCTATAAAATCGATCCATTCCGCTGCCTTCACCAACTGGGTCGGCAATCCGTTGTCCAAAGGCGAGCCATCAATATAGGCCAGCGACTCGATTTCTAGTAGCCCAAGAACATCTAGAACATCTTTCTCATGATTCAGCATATTATTGCAAGGAAATGCGATGTTACGGCCGCTGATATCTAAGCAATAAGAGGTTAGCACAATTACGTCACGCTACAAAAGCCGCATAGGAAAGAATGCTCCTACCACCATGGCACATCCCAATACTGTGAATAAATTTGATAGCCTTTAAGAGTTGCATAGACATTCGAAGTATGTCTTCCGGATTGAGCTTGTCATTCCCCTCGGAATATTCTGTGAGGACCATATCAAGTGTAGGGCCAAGTAATTCAAATACAAGACATTGAAGAGCTCCGTTAGGGCCATCGTGGGTAAAGTCATCAAGCAGCTGAACAATATGGTTTGAAGAAAGGTTTCCGCCGGAATGCTTTTCGAGAAACTTCAGGTTTTGTAACTCGTTCGATTTTGACGAATCTGCGATCATGACTTTCAACGAGACCCATTGATTTTGACTGGCATCGTATTAGCCATGTCTTGGCAAAATAGTTAGGTTGATGATCTGACTCCTTATCTTTCGCAAGCCACACAGTCGAGAATCCCCCATACCCCAACTTATAGTGGGTTTCGTAAAGACCATTCTTAAAGGTATCACCAAGTGTAACTGGGTGATATCCCCCGGGTTTGTGTTTTGACAGTTTCTCCTGGGTATAGAGAAGATTATTCTGGCAGAATAAAGACAAATCCATGTTCGGATGTTTGACAAATGAGAGTAGAGACTTGGAGGGAGAGGACGTCATGGGCTGAACTGTCATGTGCCGCAAATAAGTCTTGCCTAGTGCGGGAGGTGCGGGTAGGTGCCGAGATTTGATGATTTATCGGACAAGGGGGACAAACTGGATTTCCCGAGGGGCTGGGGCGGAGGTCCCTTGCAACGTTAGCAACATAATTGATTGGCTATAGCACACAGTACGGGATATAGCCCTCGGCACATCGAACAACGGGCATTTGATTGGTTCAGCATACTAATTCACACCGCTCCGCTTTCGCCTCTCCTTCAATTCTTCTTCAATTCTGCGTTGCAATCTGATCTATAACCAATAATATGATAGACATTATATTGAGATCCTTTGAAGAGGTTTTTCTGGGCATCCTTTCCCCTCTTTGTGTTACAGCTAGAAGAATAATTGGAAATGAATAGCTGAAATCCGTCAAATAATGGTGTAAGCATAGTTCCTACAACGGTTTTTCGTCATATAAGATGCCATATTTGGAGTATCACGATAGCTAGATAGATCTACTCCGTATATATGTTAGTATAGTCGATAATACATCGTCTCAGCGCAGGATTAGGAACTCATAGGTCCCCGCCAAGATCACTTCCCGTACTAGACCATGTTCCAACAGGCTATGGAAAATGGTGTCCGAACCGGGAAAAGGTGTCCGACTCGGTAACATCCTGGGGCCCCGCGAGCAACCTTGAAAGCCTATGGATCAGCGGGTTTCCCCGCATTTTGTCCCGGTCGATGGCGTCAAGTCTTAACACTAAATAAACTGCACGGTATAATGTATAGGGGCAACTTGGTTGGGGTAATTGCTGTTGCTCTGATTGGGTGTGTAAGTTGGATGGTCGAAAGTTCACATATCCACTATTTTGTTTATATTTGAAAGATATCCTCACTTATTTTTCCTCAATTGGATACTAAGATCCTCTCTTAAGACACATATCTCATTATCGTCCACTTTTTATATCCTACTTTTTACCTATCAAACTTGAAGGAACAAGATCATGGCAGACAAGAAAGCATCCCCAGAGACAGAACATATTGAATCCGAGATAAAATCGGATCCATCTAGTCTGATACCTCCCCTTATGTCAGAAAGACAACCATATGGCGAATCTGGTATAGCCTTCCCCCCTTACTCATGATACCCTTCTTCTCTATGTTCATCACATACTAATCCACTATTATGCAAAACAGGCCTAAGCGGTATCCTCACGAACAAGTATGTAGCAGCATGTGCCGCATTCGCAACGATGGGCGGAGCAATGTTCGGGTACGACCAAGGAGTCGTCTCCATAACCCTTACAATGGACCAATTTCTTGAACGATTCCCAGAGGTTGGCCCCGATGCCCCCGGTGCAGGATTCCAGAAAGGAATTCTCACTGCCATGATCGAGCTAGGAGCCTTCCTTGGAGCAATGAACCAGGGATGGATTGCCGACAAGATCTCTCGCAAGTGGTCTATTATGGTCGCAGTAATCATCTTCCTCTTTGGCTCCGCCCTACAGACGGGAGCTATGAGTTTCGAAATGTTGGTAGGTGCCCGGTTTGTTGGAGGTATTGGTGTCGGCATGCTGGCTATGGTGGCACCGCTGTATATTTCTGAGATTGCGCCACCGGAGATTCGTGGTACTTTGCTCGTTTTGCAAGAACTCGCTATTGTTACTGCTATTGTGATCGCTTTCTATATCACCTATGGTACACGATACATTCCTGGTGAATGGGCGTGGCGCCTTCCTTTCCTCATTCAGGTATGTCTTCCCAGTTAGCGATAATCTGTCCTTTCCTAACTACGTGGATAGATGATTCCGGCCATATTCCTCGGCGTCGGCATTCCTTTTTTACCATATTCACCTCGTTGGCTCGCTGCTCGAGGCCGAGATGAAGAAGCACTCAAGGTTCTCTGCAAATTGCGCGGTGTTGACGCCACGGACGAGCGAGTGATTCGAGAGTGGGTTGAGATTCGCTCCGAAGTGGCGTATTGCAAAGAAGTGAGCATTGTGAGACACCCAAAGTGTCAGGATGGAAGTTACACCAGCCGTGCTATGCTTCATATCTGGAGCTATCTGGACTGTTTCCGCAAGGGATGTTGGAAGCGAACCCATGTCGGTATTGGACTGATGTTCTTCCAACGTGAGTATTTGACGGTCGTGATGAAACCAATTTCCCTTGCTTTCACTCCTTACACGGGCTAACTCATATCCTTTTCTCAGAGTTCGGCGGCGTCAACGCCCTCATATACTACTCACCCAGTCTATTCGCAGGCATGGGTCTAGGATACGAAATGCAGCTCCATATGTCTGGCGTCATTAACATCTGCCAAATGCTAGCCTGCTTCTGGTCACTATGGGGAATGGATAAATTCGGTCGGAGACCGTTGCTCTTTGGCGGTGCTAGCTGCATGGTACTTGCGCATTTCATCATCGCCGTGCTAATGAGCCAATACCAATCAAACTGGCCTGCGCATTCAACAGAGGGCTGGGTTTGCGTCGCTTTCCTGTGCTTCTTCATGCTGACCTACGGAGCTACTTGGGGTCCTATCCCTTGGGCTATGCCAGCTGAGATTTTCCCTTCTTCGCTACGTGCTAAGGGAATGGCGTATGCCACAATGTCGAACTGGCTCAACAACTTCATCATCGGTCTTATTACCCCACCCCTTGTGCAAAACACTGGATATGGAACTTATGTGTTCTTCTGTGTGTTCTGTGCTCTTTCGTTTGTTTGGACATGGCTTTTTGTTCCAGAGACTAATGGGAAAACTTTGGAGGAAATGGACTCGGTCTTTAAGGATAACAGTTCGAGCGCGGAGATAGAACAGCGCACAAGAATTGAGGCTACAATCTGGGCCCATGTCGCGGGGCGATCTCATGGACTCGAAGGCACTCATCAACTTACTTAGATGGAGATTTGCTTTCAGGTTCTATTTTCAATGCAGTGCATATTTTGTATGAACCTGCATTTTTCTTCCAGTGGTTATGTAGCCATCTATGAATCTTGTGACGTTTTTATTTGCTCTGGGCATTTGTCTCTGCCTACTATAGATAGTCCCTTTTGTTTTCACGCGTCTAAACAAGGCATATATGCATATAGGCCCACCAAGTAAAGGATGCAACCCAGCATTGTTCGATATATCAAACAATATTTATACTTGAAAGATAGTCCATCTAGGATGCGAAAGTCTATTTCTTTTTGGTGATTCGTGATTTCTTTCACTTAGGTACTTTTCTCGCACAAGCAAGCAATGGCTTATCCTACTCCTTCCTCTCCCTATGTTTTCAACTAGACACACTCTTATATGTAAAACCTGTCATCACTTTCGATTATCACGGCATAACATGGGCGGTTGTGTTGGCACGCCCTTTGGATCCACTAAGCGCCCCGCACTAATAGCAAGTGTCCACTCCCTCATTTCTCTCCTTTATCCCCTCACCTCTCCATTACGGCAATTTTCAATAACTCCAGATAATGGCCTCGCAACCGAAGGTCCTCCCGCAATTGACGTCCTCGAAGCTCTTCCTCACCGAAGCCGGAGTCGAAACCACTCTCGTCTACAAAAAGAATGTTCATCTCCCTTGCTTCTCTGCCCTCCCACTTCTCAGTACAGAAGAGGGCGCAAAAACTATCCTCTCCATATATCAAAGCTATATAAATATTGCTCTCACCCACTCAGCCGGCATCGTACTCGAAACTCGAACATGGCGTGGCTCTCCTGCATGGGCTTCTCAGCTTGGCCTCTCTATCCCACAAATCCTCGACTTAAACCGCACAGCGGTCAAGATTCTCCATGGCCTCAGACACAAGACTGAAACTCCATGTACTCCTATCGTCATCAGTGGGACACTTGGACCCCTTCAAGATGCCTACGAGAATTCCACAGACACGGTCTCCTTTTCTCAGGCACGGGAAAATTACCACTCCCAAGTCTGCGTTCTCGCAGAAGAGGGTGTAGACATGATATCTATCATGACTGTAACGAACCTGAATGAGGCCACCGCAGCAGTGACTGTGGCGCGTGAGTTTAATCTCCCTATCCTCGTCTCGTTTAGCATTGAGACAGACGGACGGCTGCGAGGAGGAAGAACCCTTGACGATGTTATTCGCGAAGTCGATCGTCTGACAGAGAATTATACAACGTATTTTGGGGTGAATTGTGCACATCCACACCATATTATGACAGCATTACGGGATCTCCCTGAGGATGTGAGGTCGAGGATCGGGTCGATTCGAGGCAATGCAAGCCTTAAAAGCCACGATGAACTTGACAACACGCCGGTTCTAGATCGGGGTAATGTTTCGCTGTGGGGTCAAGATTTCAATGAGCTTTTCAACATGTTGCCGGAGCTGAAAGTGGTAGGGGGTTGCTGTGGCACGGATGAAGAGCATATTGATACTCTTGCGGTATTTACCTAACTTTTTGTTAAATAATAGTTTCCCAAGTCTCAAAGCGAACTTCCTTTCTCTTGTTAAGTATCGGGGTATTAGGTATTTTAGTAGACTTACGAGTAGCAGCGGCCTCTGCAATCGGTATACCGGAGCTAGTTTAGTTCTGTAAATTTACAAGACAAAAGGCAGCTTTAGTCAGTAACGTATTTCACATGCGAGCGGCCACCACAACCGAGTGGCCATCCCAAAAACACATAGTAAATATAATAAATTGCAATTTCATATCTCAACAACGGTTGGTTGTAAGGGGTGTTCCTTATAGCTTAATTCTTTCTAGATAATATCTAGCCTCTTTAGGAAGTTTAGAGAAGTTTTATGAATTTGTGATTGCCATATATATATATCTAGCTTTTAGTAACGTAATTTTTGGTAATTTTTGTGATTAATATACTACTGCTGTTTACTAACTATGAAATTGATATATGGTGCTAATGGGACTTATCAATGACTATCGACAAGTAATGAAATGAAATGATAATGTTGTTGTTGAGATATGAAATTGCAATTTATTATATTTACTATGTGTTTTTGGGATGGCCACTCGGTTGTGGTGGCCGCTCGCATGTGAAATACGTTATATCCTTTGTCAATCTGTCAGCCCCCTGCGTCACGTTGACAACAGAAAAGATCGACATTTGGGCCAATCACCTGGCAGTGACCCTCCATTTGGACCCGCCAAGAAGATTATATATACATAACCTATCCTAAATAGGAAATGATATGCTTATAAACCATGTTTTATATAGACTTCGGCACAACCCACTCTAACCCGGACCCAACCCAACCCAACCCAACCCAAAATAGGTTTTGGGTCTATTGCTTCGACCCAACGATGGGTTTTGGGTTATAGCTTATAACCCAAAACCCATTGGGTAACCTATTGGGGCCCCAATATAGTGTAAACCAGACAAACAGACTTCTAGCGTATAACTGTATAATTAATGTATTTTTTGCTTGTAATATTGAGTATTTTACTTACAGCGCTCTTCTAGAAAAAATAGAGAATAAATCAAATAATTAAACCAGGATATATTTCTCTAATATTGCTTAAAATCCTTATCTACCCTGCTCTTACGCTTCCTCCCTAAGGCCTGTCTCTGAGTTATAGTCTCTGGTAACTCTGGCTCTGTTACCTCTATATCTATATCTATTAAATAAGGAGATATCTCTCGCAGTCTATTATCTACTCCTTCTTCCTCTTTATTATCACTAATTAGGTCAAGCTCAGTATCCTCTGTATATTTATCGTTCTGCTCCTTCGCTGACTCAATCTCAGCGAGTGTAAAGAACTACTTAAGCTGCTTTGCCTCAGAATCCTTAATATTGAATCTTGTTGTATATAGAAACAATATAAGCTCCTCGATTGTTTCGGACTTCAGACAACCACGGCGGTAGTGATAAATATCCCGAGCAGTATTGAAGAGCCGTTCGACACCAGCACCAGTTACTGGGATAGAGAGAATATCGCGAGTAAGTAACGCAATCGCAGGGAAACGAGATTGGTTCTCCCGCTAGAATTAAAGAGGTTCAATATCAATTAGATCTAGTAGTATAAATATATTAGTATTATCCTGTATAGGGAAGAAATAGATTATAAATATACCACTATCGAGATATTGAGTTATCTTATTACTAGACTGCGCCAAAACCCGCAAACCCGTAAACCCGAAAAAACCCAACCCGCAAATGGGTCGGGTTTCGGGTCGACTTTCATAACCCGCAATAGGTTTCGGGTTTGCTTAGGTAACCCGCGCGGGTTTGCGGGTTACCTATACGGGTTACTAAACAGTGCAAATATAGGAAGAGTTGTATCTATATAAATTATGTATTTCTTACCTGTATCTTATTGTATTTCCTTTTCACCTTAAGGGGGTAAAAGCTCCTACAGCCCGCTCTAATTCCAATACACCACTACTATTTCTAACGGCTATCAGAAATTACTTATACGTGAAAAGCCACTTTAGCCTATACTATTTCTGACCGCGGTCAGAAATAGTGCCTAAAACCTTCTTCGACTGCTACTATTATACTATATTTCCTATATATACTTAGATTGTAAATAACACAGTTATCAATTTAAAGCTAATAGTATTCCTATTTATCGTTATCCTGCCTTATACGTTTCCGGGATCTAACAAATCCACGTACCTGAGTATTCCCTTCCTTAGGTATAGGTAGTGGGATATCACACTCTGGAACGTGATCCTTGTTACTAGTTGATAGAGTAGGCTGCTCGTCCTCCCTTCTATTACTGATCTCTACTATTATCCTATCTTCCTCGTTATCGCTAATCGGATCAAACTCGTATATATAAAGACTATTATTCTACTCTTCGTTGGCTGTCTCGACCTTATCGCGAGAGAAGAATTCCTTCAGAAACGTATACTCGGCTTCTTCGAAGTTAAACCTCGACGTACAAAGATATATTATAAGATCCTGAATAGTGTCGGTGTTAAGTCTACCTCGGCGGTAGTGACAGATAGACTACAACATCGCCCATAGACGGGCGGGTGGGCAGTGCCTACGGGCCTTATATAAGCGGGCGATAGGCACTATCCATACGCCTATAGACGGGCCCTACCCTTAGGGCCTATTGTCTATAGACACCGTGGGCGCCTATAGGCCTTTTTAGTAAGCAGAATTTCTTGACCTCGTGACCTGCATTATTTATATATTTTTTCTCTGTATTTTTGAGTAATTCGATTATATATACAATAACTTAATACTACTGTCAATTTTCTGACCTCGGTCAGAAAAATAAACTGTAGAAGCCTTTATACAATAACTTAACACCACAGTCAATTTTCTGACCGAGGTCAGAAATAAGCTTTAGAAGCCTTTATATAACAACTTGATATATTGTCACTTTTTTAACCGGGGTCAGAAATAAGCCTTAGAAGCCTTTGTATAATAACTTAGGTATTTATTATATTTATATATTTACACTAATACGATATAAATTAATTATTATTGGGTTTACTACGCTTCCTTACTTCTCTTAAACTAGGGCGCTTTTAAGTGCTACCCTTATCTCTATAATAAGGGAGATAAGGACTGCTCTTATCTTCGCTGTCGACTAGCTCACTTCTCTATCGCTTCCGCGTACTTAGCACTATAGAAGGATAAGGAAGCTGACTCTCTATTATAAACTTATACTCGATTAGTCCAATAGGATTATTATCCTCGGAATCCTCACTATCGCTGATTGGTTTAGGTATATCAGTAGTAAGCTTAGCCTCTCTCTGTTCGTCTACTTCTTATATTAAATCTAAGGACGTATCCTTATCGGGTAGTTCTTCTATTTTAATATCGAACTAGGCTTTACACCGGAATATTATAATATCCTAGACTATCTTCGCACTCAGCCGCCTATATCGGTAGTGGTAGATATCCTGTGCTAAATTGAAAAGACGTTTAACTCTAGCGCCTATTACAGGAATAGAGAGAATATCGCGAGTAACACTTAAAAGAATTGGGAATTTATTCTTATATTCCTTCTAGAATTGTAAAGGATCGACCTTTCTCCTTACTATTATAGGTATTAGTATTCCTACTCGTAATAACAGTGAATATAACGTACGCTTTTTAAGGTATCTAGTAAGTTCGTACTCCGACGTTGATAGATCAGAGTGGATATAAGGTAGAAGGTTAAGGAGGGTGTCTAGGTCACTTATACTGGCTGAGTGACGCTTAGGGGGTTACTCTTCTCGTAGGGACTATATCTGAGTATATCTTTAGGCGTAAGGAGCTATAAACTAGCGAAGCGTTTCCTTATACTAATCACTCTAGTTTATATCGTTCTCCGATATACCCTACACCTTACTTAAGAAGAAGTGAAGCTTATACTGGGGTGTAAGAATTATTCCAATTACGTAGAGACTACTATAGATCTCTTTTATCTTTATATAGTAAGAGGTAAGCTTTGCTATCCTAGTATTGAGGGCTTATAGTATCGCCTTCTTCTAAGGTATAGTTTTCGGAGTGAGTTATACAATCGATTCCTCGAAGTACTTAAAGAGGGCGTTATAAATACCAAAAATATAATATACCGTTATCTCTTTAGTCTTTGAAAGCCCTATAGTAAAGCGATAGAACGGCTCTGTGATATACAGAAGGTAGTCGACCTACCGCTATTCTACCTTACTGAGTTTGTATTTCTAAGTCCCAATATTATTATAGTATTTATCGTAGGGCTTACTGAAGTGTTTTGTATAACGAAGTATTAAGAAGGTAGAATTCCAGCGGGTACAGATATCTTAGATAGGCGTAAGTTTTGCTCTATTAGTCTAGAGACGGAAGAAATTATCGCGACGTTAGGGGCTTATATTAATAAACACAGTAAGCCCTCGAATCTAGATAGTTATTAGATATATTAAGTGATAAACAAAGTGATACACTTACCTTGATAAGGGTTTATACAATAACTTATTCACTCTGTAAAGTATAGAGTGATCGAGCTTAGGCTTAGGCTTAGATATTAGAAATATTCCGATCTGTAGTATCGTTCTAGGGATCGGCCTTTACCGATCTAAGTAGCTCGCGAAGGCTTAGCTAGATAATATATATAAGATAAGGGATTCGAATAACCACCGGGCTATTCGGTAGTTTAAGGGAGTTAATAGAGTCTTAAACTACCTATACTAAAGTTGTGTTATTTAACGCGTTATCTAATATAATCGCTAATATACGATCAGTAATATCAAGCTTCTTAAAGATCTCTATAAGTACTTTACTTAGATTCACACTAGAATACACCCTATTAAGTGGTTCGAAACTAAGTAGGAGCTTACAGTAATTCTAGTCTCGGTCGATAAAGTACTCTGTGATTACTATAAATACCTACTAAAAAGGCGATATCTAGTAGTCGAGGGTAATTGAGAGCTTCGTATCTTATAGTAAGGTAGCGAGAATTAAATATTACTCCTCGTCGACCAATTTCTTAAGCCGGCGTTAAGCAGTGCGAGGAT